TTTAACTTTCTATTCCAATTAATTCATTCCATATCAACTGTATGATATATTATGAACCAGATATACTATGATATATTATGCGCCAATTAGCTTGGTTTATGACTGAAAAATACGTGGCAAACGACGTGATAATATTATCAAGTGAAAGCAACATTAACATGCAACGTAACAAAAACTGTCCACAAAATTTGTGTTAAGGGAAAATAGTATAATTTTTGCGCAAGTTAAGTCATAAATGAATGTTTTTCATTTTGAAATTTAGCTTTTTACGACAGTAGAAAGATTATATAAAGGAAATAATTTGCACATATATGTATAGTGCATAATAAATCTTTCCATCGAATTGTTAGTCGTTAAAATAAAAAACAAGTTGTTATAGTTGAATTCTATAAAGTTAATAACCCGCATAAAATAGGTCATTTTTAACTTTAAGCTGAACGGGTTCGTACACAATCGATAAATAACGCCGCTGATAATTAGGTTAAAATCAGGATATATTAAGCGCTGCTATAGGTAGATCCGTCCAGTCTTATTTCTATTTCTGGCTAAAGCACCTATTCCTAGTTCTGGTGTCTTTAGTGTTTTTTTTAATCATTATGCAGCATGTTATGTTAATCGTTTGGAATGTCTCGTATTCAGATAAAGAGAATAATCGGACAAGTTTAAATGTATTGTAGCGCTTTCATAAACCATTAAAACCAGTATAATTTATCAGCCTAAGGTGGTTTCTGTATATTTTAGCTGCCTGAAATTTTCAAAATTTCAGACAGCATTAATTGTTATGGATTCCATCAAGATTTTATTTGCAGCGATTGCTCGTGACTCTTATAAATCACTGCGTGGTGGCTGGTTGTAAGAGAAATAACAGAAAAATTACCAGGGTTTAATCGAAAAAAGCGGAAAAATTAAAAGTCATGCACTAATCTTAAAAAGTACTTAATTATTTGCTCCTGGTTGGTGGTGAGTTGACGGAATGGTGCTTAATTAGCTGTCGACATTGAACTTAAGACTTGCGGACAACATGTTGTCAACGCGTTTAGGATTTATACGCGGGATCATTAATTAATGGATAATTGGGATTTAGAGCGTTTTGGAGACCAGGTGGCGCTACATACAATTCCAGAATTTTAGGGTAGTTTTGCACCAAGTCTATATAGCGTTACTGACATGAGGAACTTAAACTAAACTAACTTTGTTTATACTGGCTAACTCTATCAGTTCTAAACTGTTCTTCTTAGAGGTCCAATAAGGATCAAATCTTATTGATCCAGTATTACTACAGGAGGAAACCTACACTATAAACTAACTTCATAGACAGGTACCCCTATCAGTTATCAGTATATAGGGAGACAGTAGACTAAACTATTCTTCCTATAGAGGGAATTAGGATCGCCTCTTATTGATCCAGTGTCGCTACAGAAGGAAACGTAGAAACTAAATGTACATTATTTATACTGGATAGTTCTATCAGTTAATTCTTTCTAGAGTTTCATAAAAGATCATCTCTTTTATCGGATTCCACAGTGTTACAACAGCTGCATGAGAACCCAAACGAAACTAACCTGAATTGTTCTTTCAATTCTATGCTGTTCTAGCTTGAGGTCTAGTACAATCTAAACTAACTTTAACTCCAAAACTTTAACTCTAAACTGTTCTTCCTAGAGATCCAGTAAGGAACATCTCTTATTGATCCAGTGTTACTACAAGAGGAAACATAAACCGTATATAAACTAACTTTATTTATACTAAATAGCTCTATCAGTTCTGAACTGTTCTTCCTAGAGGTCCAGTAAGGATCATCTCTGATCTCTTATTGATCTAGTGTTACTACAGAAGGAAACCTAAACTAAACTAACTTTATTTATACTGGATAGTTCCATCAGTTCTAAACAGTTCTTCCTAGAGGTCCAGTAAGGATCATCTCTTATTGATCCAGTGTCACTACAGAAGGAAACCTAAACTAAACTAACTTTATTTATACTGGATAGTTCCATCAGTTCTAAACTGTTCTTCATAGAGCTCTGACTGACTTGCTCTATCAATTCCGGTTCAATGTTCTCTCCCACAAGGTATAATCACACATATTACGTATGAATTATATACGAACAACACTATACATGACAAAAATAGTTCAAAATTAGAACCGAAGTCAAAAATAGCGTAAAATTGACTAAAAATACAACTCTCTTTAAAAGATTGCGGTTGAGATCTATACATTGTTGCATGTTCACAAAGAGCGTGGGTGCACAATGCACAGGCGACTTTGAACATCATCAAAGAAAAGCGTCAATAATAAAGGGAGGCTGACCGCATTAATCTCGCAATCATCTATAGTTATAGTGATGTACTTTAGGAGTTAATTAAAAGTGTATAAACATTTCATGTAGTTGTTTGTTTGTCGTTTTATAATCGGCTTGGAATGAGAGGCGTGTAAAATATGTAGCCAACAAGATGAGTGAAATAACTGAAGTGGATTTTATTAAAATCGGACGCAGGAAATTGAGAAATTTCGAGGACAAATCGAGCCACCCCAAACCAGCAAACACTATATATCACCTTGTTCGCCGAAGGCAAATTCATACATGTAGACAAAAAGCGAACAGCGTATTAGCTAATAGCTTTAGAAATGAAGGGAATTCGTTAAGACGTGAACAATGGATGATTTTAGCTCCATGCAGACCAAACTTTGATCAGAAGACGAAATACAACACCGGCAAAGATTGAAGCAAAGAAAACTGCAAAGTTTGGTTAAACAATGTTGCAAAAATTGTATGATATCCGGGCCCTATAAATTTTGTAAATATTTGTATTAGGTGCAGAAAGAATAACTATTTATTGATCCGAGAGCGATTATTTTTTCTTCCACTGACATTGCAAATTTACTTTACATTTTTAATAGCAATCACAAATCGGGGATAAAGTAAGAAGACGCAGAGTGCATGAGAAAATGCATGTAGACACGAAATTTTAAATATGCTTTCCTAAACTATTCACTAAATCAACAAATCTATTGAAATGATATTCCTGGTGGCAATTTAGCATTATACACGTCTTAGCGAAGTGAGGCGGATTAGAAACTGTTGTTTCGATATGATTATGATATAATGATGGAATCTGTAGTGGATCTGCTTCTGACCTAGTTTATGACTTCTCGCGAAATAAAGATAAAATATTTGTCTTTCAATTGATAGAAGTGAGATATTACAGTGGATACAGTAAGTTATATTGCCCACAAACATAATTAAACTGTTCTTTACACGGATCAGACATTACGACGTTCAGCCGCAAGAGAGTCGCTCGGTCTACACCAGTTTAATAATCAACACTTAATCATGCCGATCTTAAAATTCAGATTCGTGTTTGCCAAACAATTTAACGGTATTTTGGTGTGGACAAAAGCCTTGCAGGAAATGTTTTATTGTCTTTGTACGGCTGTCAGAAGTCCAACGGCGCGCGCGTCACTCGACGAAACTCCCGTCGTCTTGTGTTGAATGTTTTGGGTTGGAACATGGTGCGCTTTGCTGAAAATAAACTACCCACTATTTCGGGATGTTCTGAAAAAAAGACGTGATCGCAAAATGACAAAACAGGAAGCATTTTACAGACTAAAAGAAAAACCGACCAATTTTGATGAAGGTTAAAAAAGTTCTTAAGCTTTGCCGCGTTCGCCTTCAAACACTTTGCCAGCTGCTTTGGTTTGCTGCGTATTTAAATTTTTTACCAACCTATTGTTTCATTCTGTATACATTTCATTGCGCAAAAATGTATGAGAGACGTTTTGTTTCTCATATCGACTGCCAGCATTTCTGAAATTGGCAACTAAAAGCATAATATTTCTCGCCTCAATCGAAACATGCAAGATTGCAATTTTTTCTCCAAATCCCCATCAGTTTCATCTGCTGTGAGTAATTTAATCAGTTTATGTCTGTCATGAAACAGTTTAATCACTGTTAATGAAAATCCATATATTACAAGCATATATTAAATATATAGTGCTTATAGAACTGTCATGATCGACTTAACACGAAATATAATAAACCTGTGTTAACAGAAAATACTATTGTTTTGTTGTTATGACAACATCAAATAGATTTATCAACAGTCGTGATATTGTGAATAAAACAAAATGATACAGATGGTTGATGTCACAAAGTACCAGAATGTCAACAGGAGGTTTGAGTATTCATTAGAGTTTCAGTACTTTTGAATGATACATTAGTATACATAGAAGCAGGCTTGTCAGACCCAGGGTGGGGGATGGTGGGGGGGATGGTGTGGGGGATGGTGTGGGGGATGGTGTGAGGGATGGGGTAAGGGATGGGGTGGGGGATGGGGTAAGGGATGGGGTGGGGAAGGTGTGGGGGATAGTGTGGGGGATGGTGTGAGGGATGGGGTGGGGGATGGGGTGCAGGTGGGTTGCAGTACCCCAAACAATTTTCACACGCAATGGATTTGTCCACTGTCCTAGTTTGTATGTGAAGGTTGGGAAAATGGAGCTAAATCTAATTGCAATAGTAAACCTTTTAACTTGTTGTACAAGGAATTATATTTTGCAATGTAAGGTCTAAGAGTCAAACTGAATTCAATACGTAGGGAGCAGGGGGGGGTGGCTATGCTGCAAGCATGCAGTGATCACATATTTTTTCTAAACAGGCACAGTCCAAGAAAGCTTCTCCCCAATCCAAATTTCATTCTGACAGGCCTGTTGACTCAACAGATCTGTCAGAATGAATGTTGTATGTACTGGGGTCTGGGGAGAAACAATCTGGGTTAAGGTGTTGAAGTTATCAAAGATACTAAAATGCATCTTTTTGTGAATTTTTTATTGCTATGCTAATACCATAGCAATGAGCTCTTAATTTGCTCATAAATAATATTGAGCACAATGTATTTATTCATAATAAGTTTACTTATTGTGTGGAAAACAACATATTGAAAACTATGGCTCGGGTATTAATGGAAATAATGGCCATTGAGAATTAGTATCAAATGAAACTCACCACAATTTCTAACACCTTCACTGGATTCAACATATATCAAATGACTTTTAAGATGGATTGATTGAATTCTACATGTGTCTGTTGGAATTAAATTTAAAAATGTTAACTATGTTATTTTAAAGATGAAGATAAAGTCAAAATTTTGCATGTTTTTTAATATAATATCTGTCAGTTTTTATTCACATGAAATGGCGTTAAAATATTCAAATTAACGAAGCTTTAGTTTACCAAACAAACTCTATTCTAATCACCTTGAAATGTCAACTATTGTCTTTATTTCACGTCTGTATTTATATTAATTGCTCAAAATTTGCTCTCACTTGCAAAATGTCTTCTACAAAATGTTTAATATAATTCCTTGTGCTGTATTTGGTTTCATTTTACAATATCAAAGTTTTTATTTACAAATTGTATCTTTGGATTGGCCGCCATTGCACCTGGTTCAAATTTTCCCGCGCAAAGGAAAAATGAGAGAATCTGATTGGTTAATTGAATTATGGCAGATTATTGCTCTCCGTGTGGCAAATAATCATATTAAAAACCAAAATATCACAATTAAAAAGGAAAAATATTCTAAATGACTTTAGAAATTAGATAATTTAGGCCATTTTTGTGTGAATGTGGTGTAGAATGGTTTAAAATCGCGTTCTATGGGAAAACGTGAGGCACTGAGGCTATAGTTTTCATTATCTTTCAATCCTGTGCTAAACTGCACGTTGAGGAAACGGAAACACTTTGACAAAAAAATAAGGATTTTGTTCAAAATATTCACACAATATCGTTTAAAATCCTGTTGACGTTAATTTGAAGTATGAAATTTAACAAAAGAACAAAGAAAAGAAGACAGAAACGTGCAGTGAAATCCTCAAATGCGGGGGACGTACATTCTGAAAAATTTACTCAAAGTTCACCTGACCTGGAAGTACAAAAAAGTACTGATTTTGTTTGAGAATTCACTCAATATTTTATTGCAAATCTTTTGAAAGGTGTCAAGCTATTTTTAAACCAAAAAAAATCGGGAAAAGGCATAAAAATGAGCACTAAGGACCGGTCTAAAACGTAGGGTAAAATCCGAGTTAGACAACACCAAAAAAAATTCCGAAAATCGTCTTTTTTTAACGCAAGTTACGGAACTAAAATTGGTAGAAATGTGAAATTATACTTGCCTTATTTCTCTGCAGCTCTTAACTCGCTCGTGAAAGGTTTATTTAACTGATTTAAGTCTGAAAAAGGTCAGGTAGATGACCAAAAAAACCTTTCTTCGTCCAAAAGATCCCAAAGAAACAGATAATCAGATATGAGGAGATATCACGCTGTTGTGACGTCTTACTGCTCTGCTTTGTGATTGGTCAAATTCTCGAAAGTGGCAATCAGAACATAATGTTGAATTTGTTGGGAGAATCTCCGCAGGTAAAATGTGAACGAGATGATCAAATAGGAAATTCTCCTAAGCTAAGGTAAGAAATTTCATTTAATACGAAGCGTTGGATTGGTAATTATTTTGATTAATATTGAAAAATTAATTTAAATCATTAAAGGAAGAAAATCACATTACTTTGATCAGGAAAAAACTATTGTGAAATATACATATTTTGATAAATGCTTCAAATACTTATACGTGCACAAATGTTTGACGTAAATAATTTCATTAAACTTTCACCCCTCTCAAATTACATGTGGAGACCCCTCCTGATCTTGCAAAAGATCAGAGATCGTGAATTATTACACGTTATATAATTATATAAATATTTATATCATTTGATTGTATCACACATATTTTTTCAGTCTTCGAGGACAATAAGATAAAAAAATTATCTGCGACTAAATGGGTTTGTAATTATTCCTGACACGTACGATCTCGATCAATCGACCCTGCAAACGTGTTTACGTGTACAAAGCCATTGTCCAATATTTGTGTAACATCTCTGCAGGTTCAAAACATCGTTTATTTTGAGAGCGAGGCGAAGTTTGATAAATAAAAAGCAATGGGACAGGATAAAGTATTTATCAAAAAGCAGAGATGGTATTTAGGTGGAATTGCTTCTGGGATGGCTGTCTGCGTTACACATCCGTTGGATTTGTTAAAGGTATTACTGAAATTTTTTTAAAAAGTATGAGGTTGTTCAAGGCCTCCACCGATTAAATGTAGGCTATGCACCTGCTGTGAGCTGAGCTCCTTAAGTCTGAGCTCCACTAGTGGGGTGCGAATGTTTTTCGACTACAACATCATTCAAAATATATTACTGGTATAGAGTATAGACATAGAACAGGGAGATATCACAGATTGAATGCTTATTGTTCAACCCTTTGAAAGGTCCATCTTCAGACACAGCAAAAAGTCCAAACAGGATTGGCAGGAATGGCTGTGAAGGTTGTCAAATCAGATGGTGTCCTTGCACTGTACAATGGTCTATCAGCTTCAGTTTTGCGACAGGTTATATATGATATCTAGTTGTAACTACTACAGAATTTTGTTACATAACCCATGTTGCAAACCTGCCCCCTGCAAGGAATATTACTACCAAGCCAGGTGCAACAGTCATAACCCAAATAATTTATAGTGATATATTAACTTAATTTTAACCCATTTAGCTGACCTATTCTACTGTTCGGTTTGGTATATATGAGGTTGGATCCTCAAAACTGAGAAAAGGAAATGGTATGTGGAATGGTATCCTCTGCCCATATTCCTACCATTTCTTGCCTTAACACTATACTCAAGATTATATTTCAAATAATTTCTAGAGCCATTGCCATTTCACAAGAAGCTCATTGTTGGGGCCTTTGGAGGTAGTTTTTGTTTTACATGGTCACAATTGCTACTATAGAATATTGAACTAAACTTTGTTGAAAATGATAAAACCTATTAATATTGTTTCTCTGCAAAGGATTTATTGGGGGTTTTGCTGGAAATCCAGCAGACATTGTAAATGTCAGGTAAATAAGATTATAATTACATTGAATTAAGCTATATATAATAAAAGGTTGCTAACCATTCCTCACTTTGTTATATAGAATGCAAAATGACATCAAAATAGCTCCAGAACTTCGAAGAAAGTATGTTAATTCACCTCCTATAATGGCATTTGCCAATAGCCTTTGGTACCACCGAATAGACCGTTTTCATAATGACATCATACACAGAAATGCTATGTTGCACAAAGTTGATTTTGCAGAGCCAATAAAACTTCATACAACATTACGCCTTCCATGATTGAGATCACTAAAAGAGAGGTTTACTTAGAATTTGAACTATACTTTTTTTCAGTTACAAGCATGCAATTGATGGTGTCTACAGAATTGCAAAAGAGGAGGGCATTTCAATGTGGATGAGAGGTGTAACCATGACGTCAACACGAGGAATTATGATCACTTCAACTCAGGTAATAACATAATTTGGATCATAGAGTGGAGTACTCTTATTTCCAAGATTAAGCTTTAATGTTGACTTAATCTTATAGGTTAAGATTAGCTTTTAGATTAAGCTTTAATCTTGCACTTATAGGTTGCCTGTTACGATCAAATTAAAGAAACTTTACTTCGGACAGGGTAAGCTAGAATGAGTGAACTATATTTAAGTATAATCATATAAATAATTTGCATGTCTTTCTTTCTCTGCTGTTAATCTTAATGCTATATCTGACCCTTTATTTTCCAGTTATTTTCGAGACAATATCATCACACATTTTACATCAAGTTTTTTGGCGGTATGTCATATTGGCTTGAATTGCAGAATCTTTAAGATCTGTACACGTAAAGAATTAAACCATGCATAATATATCTTTCCCTCCACAGGGAACAATAGCGACAGCTGTCACTCAACCATTTGATGTAATGAAAACAAGAATGATGAATTCAACTGAATATAAAGTAGGACGATCATTAGATCCCTAATTTAGTCAATTAGATGTTAATATTAAATATATGTGTACTCTTGTTCTTTAAGAATATTTTTGAATGCTTTTGGCACACAGCAAAGCTTGGTCCAATGGGATTCTATAAGGTGTTGCATACTAACAAACTTTCTTATATAATATGGCTTCTTTCTTTACTCATATATTTTTTCATTTTTTAGGGTTTTATTCCAGCATGGATACGTCTTGGTCCTCACACAATTGTAACTTGGTTAATACTGGAACAACTACGCAAATTATTTCCTTTGTGAAAATAGTATTACCACTAGAACTATGTCAGAAAAAGGGAGTGTTTTTTAAAGTTAATCATATATCCTAACCAAATCATATATATTTGTATTAACACAGACATTTCAATCACCATACTCCACAAACTTGACCAAAACAATATTATCAAACATATCCCCCCTTTCAATGTTGAGCTTTTATTGAAAAAACATCTATGGATCTTCATAACATCAGTTGTAACATTGCAATTGTAGTGTAAATCTGGTCATTTTTAAGTGTTATATATGGATTTGTTTAGCTGACAGTAGTCGTAGCTAGACAAGATTAGATTTGGGGTGAGGAACAACATATTTTTATAGTTCTGTTTTTTGAGGTGGACATTAAATATCTAAGGCAGTGCAAAAACATTAAGAGGGAGCTAAATACCTTTGGGGAAAAGTGTACCACCATAAAATATGAATGTTTGGTGGATCATTATGGACTATTATGTGAATCATTTGGTCCAAATATTTCATATACGGATACATATGATGTTCTATCATAGTAATCTAAATTTATTCATAAATACATATTTTTATCAATAAATTATACCTGTGAATTTTTTAAAAAATAAAAAAGTTCCAAATACATTATTGTCAAATATAGTGCCAACTCAAGTGTGTTTTCAACAATCACGGGGCACCCAAGATTTGTAAAATAATCTTTCTCATGCCTGTGTCTCACACCATAAACAAGAACACTTACATTCGACTCTTTCCACCGCTGTACATAGAATCTGAAAGAACAGGGGGATTTTGCTCAGAGCCAATGCTGTACCTTGTAATAACATAATTAGAGAAGGGAAACATTGGAAACATTACAGACCTTAAGATACACCAAATCTGATGCTGATCAATGCTGATGTGAAGTAATACTGTCTTATTAATTTTCATAGTTTCACAACAGGAATACAAATTATGGACTCTTTTTGGTAAACAAGGTCAGAGCTATATGTAGCACTAATTAAAACTTGGTTATCCTAGCACTATACTGCCTGATTTCATTTCACATCTGCGTTGTAGATTTGGTGTGTCATAATGTCCCTATTGACTATTAAAAACTTACCCTGAGGCTTCACTGTGGTGTGTGATGCGCAATGGAAAACGTAAAATATGAAACAGCCAGGAATGAACAGAAAGCTCAAGAAGATAATCTAAACTTCGAGTCACTTTGGTCATCCACCATTGAGAATGCTTTGGCGTGCCATCTCGGTTGTAAGACATGTGCCTTGTAATCCAGTTCTGGATGACCATGATCTTTGGATCTGCTCTACGGACCTTAAACACAATGGGACATGTTTAAAAACTTTGGCAACTAACTGAGGTACTTCAAAATGAAGGAAATTGGATCTTACAAAAAGTGTTTAATATCTTGATAAAATTTCTTAGTGTGTAAACATTGCTCTGAGAAAAATTACCTACATTCAAACCGGGGGACATAGCCAAGTCAAGTGTTGAAATCTAGCTAGAAAATTGTACATGTTAGGGGAGGATTATCTCATGGTAAAGATGACCAGTGACAAACCTCTGATCAAAGCCCAAATTTCCAGGATAGGGGGACCCCTATTTTTCAGAATTTTAGAAGCCCTAGAATTCTAAATTTTGAATGCGCTTGCCTCCCCCAAAGTCAGGGACCCAGGGCCACACTCCTGTTTATAATAGCTTCATATTCAAGCCAAATATCACCCAAGTTGGTTACCTGGTAAACCACATTAGGATAAAATGACAAAACAATTGCTTTCTCATAAAGATCATATTTCCTGAAAAGTTCTTTAAGAAGAAGTGCTGCCTAGAAAACAAAATGGCTTAAGGTTATTCATATCCTTGCTACAAAATAACATATTTCATCCCATGAATCCCCACGAATTAGTTTACCTTAACCGAATGCCGATATGCCTTTATTTCGATAAACATTTTTATTTCCAATTCCAGACATGTCTCTATTGTTTCAACTAAGGTTGGAACTTGTGTGAAAGTAAGATTCTGCCTAGGAATTCAATGTGAAAAGTCAAATTCTTATAGCTGCAGAAACTAAATGCTCTGAAAAACTAGCAAGTGGCGGATTCATAGGGGATTTAAACTTTGAAGTTTCAACTTTCAATTTCAAAAGTACCGATTTTTAAAGTCACCAGCTGCATTCAATTTTTTAATCTCCTCCAGAGTATAATCAGAAACATAGCCAGTCCCATCCGTAGTTCTGTCAACTGTTGCATCGTGTATTATAATAGCATGTCCATCTTTTGTAAAATCCACGTCAAACTCAACTCCATCAGCCCCGCTTTCTGCTGCATGACGGAAAGCAACGAGTGTATTCTCTGGACCTTCAAGGGTCGTCCCTCGATGACCGACGACAAATTCCTTTTTATTCGGTCTATTTGTTTGTAGAAATTTATGAACTCGAACAGGATCGAAGTTCTCGAAACGCAGAAGAATATATGCGCCGTAAATAATGGCCGACAAAGTGCAAAAAATACCAAAAAAAGTTAGAAAAACCTCCGCCATTTTACGTTCATCTTTGCTCATTTTGACATTTGCTGATCTTTGACACCTTCGAGTGCTACCCCCCTGTCACCCCTGTTTTACCCCCCCCCCAAAACAATGTTAAGTTGTTCCTCTTAAAAATATTACTCCCAATATTGTCAATGGGGGAAGGGGGTAAATAGTCAATAATTAATCGAAATACGTGACCAAATAGTTTATAAAAGGAAAAATAGTTATAAAAAGGAAAAAATGTGTTTAAAATACGTAAAGTCTCATCATGTTTGCACATGATTGTAGGTTTTGACGTAATTGACAATTGACCATTGAACTGAAAATAACTTTTATTATTCTTACTACAATTATTATTATTCTTTTGAGTTGAATGCGATCACGATTGAATTAAATACAACTGACGAATACCAGGCAATATCACCACGGGAGGATGCTAAGGGCAGCAGCTTGCGCCCGCTAACACCCTCCCCCCCCCTTCTCCAAACATCAACAAGATGTAGTAAGATTTCCTGGAAATCTTAGCAGAAACAACTCATTTTACTGGTTTAGTCGGTTATTTCATGAATAACATTTTTATGAATTTTTAAAACAAAACAAAAACCTGAAACAAGCAATATCAGCATGTCTGTCAGTCAGTCAAGTCGAATGATTTTCAATAAAACTGTAAAGTCCACCTTAAAACCTCTTTTTAAAAAGAACTCAAATTATCAAAATGTATTTTCCCAATATCAATCTTTTTCTTTATTAAACTATTACGAATATTTCTATTAAATCGCGTTGTTTCGTTCTAGGTAAAACTATATATTCAACAATCTATACTCTATAATCTGAAATCTTACTCTGATATCTAAATTATAATGTTCCTTCATTGTGTAAGTGTGTATTGTGAATTCATCCTGTGTTCAAAAGCGAATTACTAAAATTCATTTAACGTTGTTTGCTGTATTGAGTATTTGGCGTTTCTTGAATACGTATTCATTGTTTGACGCGTCCCTAACGATTTGGTCCATGGGGCGAGAGCGGACGTGGACCAGGGGGGGAGAGCGAACGTTTCGGTTGAAGGGGTGGTTTAGCTGAGTAGTCAGATGTCATTAGCTCTGAGAAAAATTCATCCACTTTTTTTTCGGTGCGAGGTGACCTAAAATAAAACAAACAAACGAATGAATGAGAACTACTGATAAAGTGTTAAGATCGACCAGTGCCATTGAATCTTCGGGTGTTTTAGAAAGCAAAATAAAAGAGATGTTATTACCCCAACCCGGCAAATGCTTCTTCAAAAATGATGGTCGTATCTGAAAAAAGAAACAATGGCACTCTGCCCCATTTGTCCGTTTCTTAAAACTCGCAAGTTTGAAAGAGGCTGATGTGGAGTATAAGTCAAATAATGGTAGAATATTTGACGTCGACAGATTACTGCGAATTCGCTTATTCTAACAAGTAGTCCATAGTCCAAATAGTTGAATGGTTACCCAGATCGGAGGAATTGCCAATGGCCCTACATTTTTTACCAGAGCTTGAAAGAGCGCCTTACATTGAATAAACTCGCAAAGTTCGGTAAAAAATATCGTAAAATGTGAAAAAACACATCGTTAAAAAACTGCGAATTTGATGTATTTGGGAAGATCTTTCAAGATGTGGCAGAAAACGTTTAAGATTGATGTTCCCAAAATTTTCTATAATACTTTACAATCGATTTCTGCACCTTATTTTTTATCTATTGTTCAATATCCCATTGTATAATACTGCCACAGTGTCTCGAGACTGTGAATACTTATTGCAGACCCTCAGTTCTCCAAAAGAATTAAAATTAACTATCTCGCTCTTAGGAATACAAAAAACAACTTACATTTCGGTCTCATCATTATCCACAGGGTTTACGTCAACAAGAGTCGATGCTTCGTCCAGCAATGTTGGGCGTTTTGTTTCATCGGTACTAAGCTGTTTTTGAACCTTTGTGTTGTTCTTAGCTGTTTCCTTCTCTTCAAACGGTGAACTTTCAAACGTACCCAAATTTGAGACCTCGGGCGTCGAAAAATCAACATCTTGAATGGTCGAGGGAAAGTTGAAATTGGTGGAAGACAATACAAGAATGTTGTTGTTATGGTCGTCACGTTTGTTTACAAATGTTTTATTTGTTTGTTGTTTGGTGGAAGACAATACAAGAATGTTGAAGTTATTGTCGTCACGTTTGTTTATAAATGCTCGATTTGTTTGTTGTTTGGTGGAAGACAATACCAGAATGTTGTAGTTATTATCGTAACATTTGTTTTATAAATTCTTCATTTGTTTTTTTTAGTGGAAGACAATACAAGAATGTTGTCGTCATCTTTGTTGATGTTGATTCCTTGTATTGTTTGTTGTTTTGGCTAGGATTTGTTATCATAACAATTATCTTCCTAATGTTACCGTTTTCTGGGAAAATTTTGTTTCTTAAAAAACACAAATACCTTCAGGGAAGAACCAGTCAGCATGTTCGATTAACGCCTCAAGAATACCAGTTAAAACTCCCGTATTTTTGACGTTCATATGTCCGCTAAAGAGATTTAAACATTCTTGATTAATGATTTATAAACGCCTCTTGCAAATACATGGAATACATTCCCAGCATTTCCAATTTACTTGATCAACAGTTTATAAATGTGAAAACAAAGACTTTTTTTTGCAATCAAATTAGTATCTACCTTTCATCGTCGATGGACCAAATAACGTTGGGCGCGATGACGATTGCAAGATTATGAGCATTCATTTTGCCAACTTCAGAATTTTGTTCAATTTTTGCCAAGAATTTGATAAGGTATCTGCATGCAAAGAATCGCATGAACTGATCACACACAAGAAATGGTCGTCATACGCACAATCAGCATCAGTCGTACGATGAGTTATGCATGATAATGAGGCCAGGCTTAAAAAGAATACTAAAACCAACCTCAAGTTATCTTTGTTCGCCTTGGGAAGCTGAGAAACGACAGTCCATAGCTTCTGTAAACGGTCATCTCGTTCTCTGATGCTAAAATGAGAAGAATATACATGAGAAGATTATATCAACGTTCCATATGCACGCTATCCTGTCCGTTCCATTCGTCGTTAGAAAATATGATAATAGTTAACACCTAGGCAGAGGTATGTGTGTCCAGTTTCATATATTGCAGTCAGTGACGACGCCCGCAATAAGAAACTGGACAATCATACATCTGGGCAACCCAGGGTTATACTCCTACCAGCCAGCCTCGATCCAATCGTGATGAAGTTCAAAGGTCATTAGAGGTTCTGGAAGTTCTCGCAGATATTGCTTGAGCGCTCCTGTAGTGAAAGACATACAAATAGATTTCATTCATTCATACAGGAATTGTCACATCTATTCACATTTTGAAGGTAGGTAAATCATATTTTGAATTAGAATGCGAACCTGTGACAGCGTGAACGTCGTATTCTTCACCTGATAAGTCTGCTAGACCAGCATCAAACGAAGCCTTTGGTTTGGAAAATAATGAAACATTAAAACAATTATAGAATAATTCCCTATCATGGCAATAATATGTTGTAAATCAGGGCCATTGAATTCAGGGCCTATTTTAAAAGTATTGATGGCAAGGTGGGCAGTATTGGATGTGAATGTGCGCAGTATAAGAATTTGAAGATATCATCTTCAGTTAAAATCTACTTCACTGTTCCAAATCTCAATGTTTCAACCACCTTACTTGGTACTTTAATGTGTGCAGAATTGAAAGTTTCTCAGAGTAGACCCTGTTGTAAATATTCAATTCGTTGAACAAACTAACCTTTAGTTTTCTGACTTTGGTTGCTTGTCCCGCTATTCGAAACAAACCCTGCGACAAGAAATGTATTTTGTGAGCAAAACAAACTCTTCTTCAATTTTCAGTGGGTTTCAATTCCCGCCATCTTCGTTAAGTTTTCAAAACTGGGGCCGGTTGTATAAAACTCTTTAACTACATTTTGCATCGTTAAACTATAGTAAACTGAGAAATACACAACTCTGATTGGCCAAGTCTGTCCTTAACAACAACTAGTCTTTTATACAACTGGCCCCAGGTGCACAAATTATATTTGTCATCGTTTATATATTTCAAAAACAACTGAATATACAACTGAAATTTGCACAAATTAAAGCGGGAAAAAATAAATCAACACAGATTGCTTTCTTGGAAAGCAGAAGTAAATTTTTAGAATCACACAAGATGGCGACCTATGATGACATGATATTATGACGTCATATGCGAACGAATAATTCGTCCAAGTTTTGTAATTTTCCTCAGAAGAGAGGAATTATAACACCGAAGAATATAACATTACCTCAACATCCATCCCATTTCGAAATAAATATCTCACACATTCTTCAATAACTAGTGCAATTTCTCTTTTCGTGCTATCTAAGTGTTTTTCTAATGGACATCCAAACGTACTCGAATCAACTCGCACTATTCCTAAATAAAGTACACGATGACGAATCACCACCTCACTTGCAAAATAACACTTGTAATTTACACTTCACAATCACTTCACAATCAAACTAGTTCACATCTTTCAAAAGAAGAAAACATTCCTTAAAATCGCAGCACAAATAGCAAATGTACACAGGCAATGGCCTACCAATCTCCTTATCCAGCAAAGGCATAATCTTCTCCAAGTGCTCGGTTGCTCTTTGATGAAACTCCAATTGTGCCATAACAAACTATGGAAAAACAACCAATGGTTGGAAAATTGAATAAAGAAGGAATATATTACATTATGATTATCATTATTAATCTCAAAGGCCTGTTTACAACCTTCAACTTTTGCTAGGATTTCGAATACGACTTTCTTCTTTTGACAGATGTTAACGAGTGGATAAGTTACGATTGCCCACATATAATGCGCACGTACATTAAAGCATTAATAACTCTTTGCTCGTTTGCATCTTTCAAAAGATGAAAATCGCAGGATACTGCAAGTGTGGATGGGCCTTCACAGAATAAAGGCCCGCTTACACCTGCGATTATTTGTGCGATTTTCTCCTTTTGATAGATGCGAGTGAGTGAATAAGTTACGCATGTATCAAATACGGACATTATACATTTGAGCATTCACAACGTTTTGCTCGTTTCCATCGGTCAAAAGAAGAAAAATCGCAGCAGAAATTGCTAGTGTAAACGGGCCCTTAGAAAACTTACTTTTCTCATATGTTCCGCATATTCTCTTTCTTTTGAAACCAGTGTGAGCATTTCAGTGATAAACAAATCCTATAAGATGAAGTATGATAGATCTGGTTATTGCATTGGATAGGAACAGTTAGATGTGATGTAGGTCTACACGCCTAAAAACGATCAGGTTGATGCAATATTGATATGAACAGGATGGAGCGTGAAGTACACGTTTCCAACCTTAGCCGCTTCAAATTTCATCATTTCATCTTCGTAGTGCGTCTTGAGTTGCTCAGCTTTCGCCTCTGCTGCGGGAAAGTCCTTAGCGTTGCTGCTTTCCCTTGCTTTTAAAGCTGCATGATACCTAGAAATAAAAAGATATCTCCATGTTTACCCTCGTTTAACAATTATATTGCCCTATTTACAATAACAGATCAATAGATTACGGCGGTACTCTTCTACGGAAAGAAAAATGTGTGCATTAGAAAGATGTCCGTACTCCGTATTGGAGAAGTGTTTGCACTAGAGATATGTCTGTATTAGAGGTGTCTGTATTAGAGAAGGTATCTGTATTAGAGAAGGTGTCTGTACTATTAGAGAGGTATATTGTGTTAGAGAGAGGTACCTGTATTAGAGAGCTGTCTGTATCAGAGATGTCTGTATTAGAGTATTTTGTGTAGACGTCTGCATTAGAGAGGTGTCGTTAGAGAGGTGTCTGCTAGAGAGGTGTCTGCAGCATATGTAGAGGTGTCTGCATTAGAGAGGTGCCTGCATTACAGAGGTGTCTGTATTAGAGAGGTGTATGCATTAAAGAGGAGTATTAGAGAGGTTTCTGTATTAGAGAGATGCCCGCATTAGAGACGTGTATTATGGAGCTGTCTGTATTAGAGAGATGCCTGCATTAGAGAGGTGTATTAGGGAGGTGTCTGTATTAGAGAGATGCCTGCATTAGAGAGGTGTAATAGAGAGGTGTATTAGAGAGGTGCCTGTATTAGAGAGATGCTTGCATTAGAGAGGTGTAATAGAGAGGTGTATTAGAGAGGTGCCTGTATTAGAGAGATGTTTGCATTAGAGAGGTGTATCAGAGAGGTCCATTAGAGAGGTGTATTAGAGAGGTGTCTGTATTTGAAAGATGCCAGCATTAGAAAGGTGTATTAGAGAGGTGTATTCATGTATGTACCAAAAAACACAATAGCCAAAGAGGTAACAACACCAATACATTGAATAATTACCTTGATCTTAGTGTATCCATATCTAGACCAATTTTTGCTAATTTCTTTTTATTCTGATTTATTGATGGTATATCATTCTAGGAAATATATACAGTATATTTAGGAAATTATAATTAAGGATATTGCTTAAAAATATTGATCTACCTACCTATTTCTACCTATTTACCTAAATTTATCAACACTGGCATATTGATTTGGCTGACTGAGAGGGACTCTTACCTCAAGGACTGTGTGAAATGGTGCAATTATAGTGCTCTCGACGTCCATTTCATATTCCGCAATAACCTTTGCAATTTCTGCTTGTGAATTTCCACATAACCTTGTCATATTACTAAAGAAAGTAAAATTATTCCATGCTCGCAAATTGTCCATTGGTTTTCCCAATACTGATAAAAACTATTTGACCCGTTCAATTTTGCCTTTTAGCCTTAGTTGTATAAAACTCTTTAACTACATTTTGAATAATTAAATCCGAGTTAACTCAGAAATACACAACTCTGATTGGCCAATTCTGTCCTTAACTACTGAGTCAAAAGTTAACTAGTCTTTTATACAACTGGCACCAGATCATCACTTACATAGTTCCAATTCCTACAGTATTTAAAGCCAAAATATTTTACTTACCAGTGCTAGCACACTCCTGGTTAATAGTTCAATATATGCAGAAGCACAAGATACTAGAGTCTACTATTTAACCATTCTAATTCATTGGCAGTTTATGGTGTAAATCAACTTTCTTACCCTAAAATTGAATCCTCGCCAATGATAGCAGCTGCTTCTTGCATGCTCTGTGCCAAAGCTAGATGTGGAAGCTTTTTCTACAAACGCAAATGTGATGTTTGAAAATAATTATTCATCAATGCAGAATGTCATCTGTTGGTTGTCAAAGCAATTAAATGAGTTAAATTAATATAAATTGATACTGCAAACAACAATGGATACTTTGTTGTCTGAAAGAGGAATTGAATTTGAAATTTCTAATTAAAATTTCTTATCATTTCTGCTGCTTTTAAATCTCCTGAAATATAGCTAAGCAAGGATGGGTCCATTGTCATTTTGTAGGGTCAGAGGATATGGGGAGGGGGGGTGCAGGCTAACTAGCCAAGAGGGTAAGCCCCCCCCTGAATATATCCATCTATGTTGTCAAACGAAAATGCATGAATCGTACCAGTCTTTTCTCCACATCGGATCCAGTACTCTGCATACAAGCACTCAGCTTTTTGCTTGTTATTTGACACACTTGTCGAATTTTTTCCACCTTTCTCTCACCCTGAAGATGTTGAAAAATTCAAACTTTGGCAAAAATAAAGTAATAAACACTACCACAAAGCATAAAGCATGTGTACCAGTAAAGGTATGCTTTTCATATACATTTTACATCAAGTGATGTTGAAATTTTCATGTTACACTTAAAGGTGGGTTACAGTTCATAATGAAAACCAAACACTTTGTTCACATTGTGAATCACAATATTTCTTAAATCATGAACAGTCAAAATATTTAACATTATTTTAGTTGACTATATAGTTCTAAATGGATATAAGCTGGAGTCTATGTCCAGAAAAATAAGAAACTTGCAAAATTTCAGCAATTTCAAAACTAGCCTAGCTATTGCTATGAGCAGAACTGATGCGCAGAAACCACTGTAACCCCCCCCTAATGTTTCATTATCATTTTCAATGACACTTTCAGTTAAATATTGTTGTTTCATACTGGGGCAAAGTGAGTTGTCTGAATTTACCCAGTTAGGACCTAGTGGGTCAAGTAGGAATGTGAGTTTTTCACCTAATTCGGCTAATGAGCAAGACGTTTCTAATCAAAATTAACAAATATAATTAAAATAAATATTTATGTATTTACATCTTGTAGATCTTCGTTAAGCAATTCGGTCTTTTCAGCCCTGTCACAAAAAAAAGGAATAGATATATTATTTTCTAATTAAGAGATCACTTTCCATCATGGTGGTGATTGATTGCCCATTAATTAAATCACCACAACTGATGTATTTGTCTCAATTACCGCTTTTGACTATTGTCCAAATTATTGATGGAATTTTAATAAAATTATGAATATCCACCATGATTATAATAAACACATATTATGAGTATAGTATCAAGGCATATTGTATGCAAATATATCAAACGCAATTAATATAGTTGTTTATTTTTAGGATTAAATTCTAGGATTAAATAGATGGATAATAGATTTATCTGTGGACTACATACAATTTATTAATGCAATATCGTCTGTCAGAATGTAATAAAAATCTATCAAAAACATCAAGATATGAACAAGGAAATGGGTGTCTCGAAGATCAATAGTCCTGACGTGAAATGAAACATCTTTATTTTCCAATCTTGAATTCGTATTTCATTTGTTAAAACGTCCATTTCTTGTTTATCGTAAGCGCGTGAAATGATACAGCTGATAATGAACGATCAAAATGCAAGCAAATTGCCAATTATGGATCGTCCAGGCAAGGCAACTAATTTAATACCTCGGCTTCGACTCATTGTTGTAACCTTACCTGCCCACACGCTGGTCAGCTAGCTGCTTAACCCGATAGAATTGCTTCTTCATCTTCCAAACAAACTTTCTCAAAGCTTTTTCTCTGATTTCATGAGACAGAATCCAGGAATTCACACGGATTCATTTCTGCTAGGTTATGTAAGTATAAAGGGCGGCCATGTTTATCTAGGTTCGCCCCTCCCCCCCAAAGGAGATAACCACAAACGTCTTTCAAAAATTCCTAAATTAAGTATAATTGCCTAGTGGTTGGCAAATATTGCATTGTAATTAAAGTTCTTTTCTGAAAGGGACGTTTCTTTTCTGTCTGCTTCAATTTGCATTGTATAGCTTATATTTTCAGACAAAAATGGCACGAAAAAGTTACTCCATTGTTCACTATTTCTCATTCATTACAGGTTCATAGTTCATGCACGATCATTTCCGATCGGAAGGGCGCGTTTGTACCCCATTGGGAGTTATTTTGTCCTCAAGAGACCTCATTTCTAAATAACAAACTTCGAGAACTCTCGCGTGATAAAATAGAACTGCGTTAGTTTCATTTTTGGAATTTTAGTAGGCAGGGTGAAGTGATTAGTCTTTGTCTTCAAAAACGGCGCTCGTCGAAGATGGCCGATTTTCCCTTGAGCACCGTGCTAATGTATGGTGTTTATCACGTATAACAGCAATTAATTGGGTTGTTATTCAATATGGGAAACAATTTTCACCATGGGACGGCGGTTATGGACATTTACTATTGAGATATTACACTTCGAGTTGAGCTTAATATATCTGTGAGGCCAATATTTCGCCAGTTACCCTAGCAAGCGATTCTAAAACGGCCTTACATCCGAGTTGGCGGTTTTCCTTGTGGCAAGAGTTAATTGAATATTTCCGAAAGACAATTTATATCGACCGTGGTTTGTATTCTGGTGGATAAAGCAGATCGGATTGTGGCTGTGTGTCTACAAACATATCTGTGAGTGAAAAACATGTGCAGATGCACGAACCATAGCCTCTTTTGTACAAATTGGATTGTAATATTGTTCAAGTTTTGGATTCTAACGTCCTTTGGTAAGCAAAACAATTTATAATTTGAAGTATTCTCTCATGAACGCACGCACCGGAACGAATTATCAAGCTCTAATCAATTCCAATGTCAATAATTTCTATTACTCTTCAACCTCATTTTGTCTGGCTTTGTGTCGATAAAGATATCATGTAATTGTTATTAAATATATTCGAGTCCATTTATAGCAACATATTTTGAACAGTTAGAATAATAATAATAATAATGTGTAGTTTGTGTACATGTGCTTGCATAAATTGTGTAATTTTAGACGTTTGATTTAAAAAGTCACAATACTTAATGTTTATTCGAAACTTTGCTACTTTGAACTATTAGAACAATTATGAAATTAGAATATTCAGCAAATGTAGTTGGACTAGAAAATCGTTTTTTTGGATTGAATTTAAGGCTTTAATCTATTTAAAATATGTTTTGTTTCGTTCCCTATGTCTTGCTGTTCCGAATTAATGGCCAGTATTTAATGCAAAATCGCTTTAAATGATCATTCACAGCGCTTTATTATAAAGGCAATTGTCCGGCTCGAAAAGTCCTGTGTCATTGGTAATTCCGTAGAGAGGGTACTCTAATCTTTCCTCATGTTTAGAACCGACGTCGCTTGTGGTTCGTTTGTTTTTGCAACTTCGCGAAGGCGCAAAGGAATTTAGGTGCGGCGTAGGCGGCGAAAATTGTTTACTTTAAAACCTAAAGCCTTTGTCTAAAAGCCTTTGTCGTCGATAATACGCGAGAAACGTGTGTAGTAATTGCACGCTGCGTTACATTCAAGGTGTCATATATATAGTTCGGTACAATATATGTTACAGGGTCTGTGGATTAATATCAACAATGTGAAGAACCTGTTAATGTACATGCATTAAATAATCGTACACAAAAAACACTTTCTTGCGTGAGTCATGTAAAATGTTTGCAAACTGTTTAATGTTTAGCTGCATCTTAAAGTATCTACAGACTTTATCGGTTTTTAATATGGACTATCCAGATTTTCGTCAAGAAAATACGAAATTGTTGTATTTAAATTGACCGGACATGTCACAATTTTAGGTTTGATGTTTACAATTTTTTACAAAACCCAACTGGCTTAAGAACTCTTTCAAATATTTACAAATCGATCTACAGGCTTAGTCGGTAATTTCCCTGTTCTTCGATGAACTAAATTGAGCAATTTTTTACACAATGATTGATGAAATTATCAAGTACTGTAGTAAGTAGTATTCGCATTATTAACTCCCCAGCTAAACCACCGACTCTGAAGTGGTCAAAATTTTAATTTGATACTAAGGTTTGAAAGAAATGCCGAACGCGGTAAAACTGAACCAAGGATTTCGCAAACTCATACCTAATTATTTCTAGACAAAAAAAATTGTTTCGAAGGTTAATGGTTCAAGCTGTGAAACCATGCACGCTGTGTCTACTCATTCTAAATTTAGCTGTATCAATAGTTCCCGAATGCCAAAATTCCATACGTTTGTGACAATATCTATTTTTTCTTTCACCATGTATAGACTTAACATACATGTTTTGCTCTGTTGAATAGCATTTGTATAATCACCACCCAAACCATTTCTGTCCAGCTTCGCCGCAAGCTTTATGCCGTGTTCGTAGACACAACACTTCAATATGTAATATCTTCCAGATTATTACGAGTGACATTCTTATCCGTACATTCTGCGCTTAAGTCAAACAATCGTATTTAAAAAAGACATGTTGATTTAGAGATCTTCATAGGAGATATTCACTCCATTTTTAGATATGGAATATCTCGCCGGTATTACCAAAATTCGAATTGTGCAGATTATGCTAATACAGGGACATTTAAGGTCAACGATTGTCGCGTGTCGGATTTGCGACCCGCGTTTAATTAAGACTTGATGGAATTATTGTGTGTATAGAATGATTAATTAGCACTAATCTTGCTACAAAATCTTCTAACGGGTGATAGAATGTTCACCTTCTCAATAAAGTGCGTGCAGATGTCTTTAGAACGAAGCTAAGTAGTTAATTGCGGTCAGACAGGCGCGTTCCTTCGCAAAGTCGAACGTGGAAATGACCACGCACAGACTGAACCTTGGAGCTTTATATGCTTATGCACAGCGATGCACTGAAGTAAAAATTTCACATACCAAGTCATTGGGCATAAGATATGTCCTTATTTGTTAGTTTTGACTATCGACAGCCCACCTTTAAGATCATTTCTCGAACTGAATTCATTTATCTCTTCAAAGACTCGTACTTCAATCGAGAATCCTATCTTAAAAATAATATTTTATTTTTCAACTTTACCACAGAAAATCTCTCGTCCAGACGTGTTTCAGCCTCAAGCGAAGTCAATTCTACCCATGTTCTACCTTCGTCTCGGAATCAAGCTGTCGGGGAATCCAATGCTGGTCGCTCGTCCGGTCTCTTGCAGACCACTTCCAACCCAAAGAGCCCAAATGTTTATACCGACGAAGTCGAAGGTGAGAAAATCGCGAATTTTCGGGAAATTTTGATTGTTTTCGATAATACAGTACTTATTTTTTCAATTCAGCCTTGAAGCGTTTCTTTATAGTGGCAAAGGATTAAATAAACTCTTTTACATTTGGACCGAAAATGGTGCCAAATTCCAAGTAATCTACAAGGCTTTGTTTTCCACATTTTACCCCCAAACTTTGTGATTCATTAGCGATTCATTTCCATATCCATTTCTAAGTAAAACATTCCATAATGCACGCAAATTGTGATTTCACAGATTCCTTATTCAAGAAGCTACGAGTATAACAGTGTAATATGATTTTTTTCTTAGATTTTCCGTTGTGGATTATCGTTTTGATTGTCGTCACCGGTGGGATTCTCGTAATTGCTTTCATTCTCTGCATGATCAAACTTCGTCGGTGGTTAGTTCAAGTATAAATAATATTAGTATAGAAATCACCAATGGCAATTGCAATGTCTCGTTTTAAAGATAAGTAACTAGTTGTCTGAAAAAGCCGACCATCCCTCAATTTTTTGTCCTTAGTGAAGTTCAACTTTGCTAGACAAAGCAGGAATACTCCTGTTTTCAAAAAGCAGCATCTTTAAAAAGTAAAACATAAGTTCAAGTGTTTTAATTGAGGTCTGTTGACACAATCCAATTTTGTCCAATCCAATTAACTTTTGATGGATGTTTTATAGTCTGCTGACTTGCAACGAAAATGGGTAAATTATATGGGCAGCAAATCAACTAAAGCCAATGCAGTACTGCTTTATTAAGATCAATATTTCGACGTCAGAACTCAGAAGTGAATTGAATTCGACAAAATTGAATTGTGTGAACAGACCTTCAAGTCATTCCAAAATTTTGATATCCGAAACATCGTCGGCTTCACCTAAAGGAAAGTTACGATTATATGCTTTATTCATGTTTACAATATATTTTTCAACAGGAAGAAGGACCATGGCACCTATTCCATGTGGAATAACCAGGGACCAAGTGTGGAAGCCATGATTGCAAGGTTTGAAGAATAACCGAGTGTCGTTTGATCCACATTTTACGATCTTGGACTGTCGATAACTTATTATAATGTTGTTTTTTACAGAGAATCTGGAGTCCTTTTTGAAAGATTAGACAGTAAGTCTTGTGGTATATTTAATGTAAATGAATAGTAAAATAAAATATCAAGAGCAATAGTTGCTAAATTAAGTAAATTTTGAGAAAAGTCACTATTAACACTAATCAGAAAATGAATCAGTTTAAAAAACGTCTAGAACATCGATGAAGAATGTTAAAAGCTGGTAGTTGAACACGAGAATACAACTCTAGTTTCTCATCAACTCTTATTCCTATTTGAGGGAAACCTTTTGAATGCTGAAATTATTCATTTCCATATTACCTTTTTGCTTGTTTTTTTTATACTCAAATAACCGTTCCACCTTTTTTTTAGTTGAAAACACCCCCCTGGCCGAAGCTCAGTGCTACGAGATCCCAGTTGACTCATTTGACACTCCGCAGAGAATATACATCGATGGAATCAGACTGACTCCTTTGGCGTTGAGCTTAGAGACGCATCGAACCAGCGAGATGACGGATGTGAGCATTGTCGATCAAACACAATACTGTCCTGCAAGGGAAAGTGGCAGTGTTTCTACTGACGTGCAGAGAGAGAGTGTCCCCAGTTCATTTGGACCAGGTAAGCATCTTGAAGCAAAACGCTTGAATCTTAGTACAAATGATAAATGAAGTTTGCCGTTTGAGTTCGATAATGCCTTAAGATTAACCTTCAAAATTCCGGTCGGGAAAATTGCCTCAGAACCGGAAGTTTTCCTTGTGCCCAGGCTTACTGTACGGCCTGAGAACTCACGGACAAGATCCGTTCTGAAGATCATTTTCTTGAGTAAAACCAGTTTAAATGATGTGGTATCATGTTCTGCATGGGAGGAAATTGCTTGATCATAACATGCATGCAGTGTCTGTGATTGAACAGAAATAATCAGAAATAACTAGTGGACCGTTCTGATTTATCTTTTCTGTCTATATCCAAAAATTTGATGCATTTTTTTTCCAGGTGCCAGTGAGCGGTCATCGCTTTCACCGAGCACAGTATCCGAGCGTACAGTCGGTTCCCCCCGGCAAGAAACTCCCAAGGAAGGCTACGCCAAACCTCTCCCCGTGATACCTGTCGCCGCCGATCCCCCCACGGTGTTGTGCGAGACATACTCGCTCGGTATGGAAAATCGTCCGCTCCCCCAAACCCCACCTCCCTCTTCCCTCCCCGTCAATTACTCTGCTGTGAGCCTGGACCGAAGGTTACTGAAAGAACAAAAGGATGCAAAAATCGAGAAACCAAACACGTTTCGTACCTTGCCGCGTCCGCGGAAAATGCGTCAGATCCCCTTGCCGTTTCTCAACGCGCTTGCGCGCTCCGCCAGCAGCAATGACGTCAGCAAAGAGGCGGAGCGACTGAGCGATCACGTGGCCTCGGATCCAAAGAAATGTACGCTGACCAGGATGAAGAAACGGATGTCGCAATCGTTGGACACCTTGTTCAACACGCCGGAACGTGTCAGCCACTTCTACGAAAATCCGTATCTTTCTGAAAGCGCGGGGGCAAATGGGGATAAAGGGGAAGCTGCTTGTCAAAATAACATCCCCACTACAAGCGACGAGGGGTTACCGAAGGATAAAGAACACTTTTACACCCGAATAAGTCAGTTTATAGATCGTAACGAGAGCCACCTTAATAGGCATTCTTACGCCAGTATCCGCAATCCGTCGTTTCGGGCGAGACCTAGGTCCAAACACGTTTATATCAGTATAATATTTGGCAGTGCCGAATCTGTGTCCATACCTAGTGTTGATAATCCCAAAACCGACCAGGAGGAACCCACAGAACTGAGTAAAGCCATGAGTCAATCCTGCCCCAATATCAGCGCATCCACTTACCCTGAGGTATGCGATACCCCACGACCCAGCAGTTATTACCCCCCGGCAGATACCGAGGAGGGACTTTATGCAATCGATACACGGAATGCACGAAAACAGGTTCCTAAAGTCACAAACAACGATATGGCATCGTTTCCAGATAGTGAATATCAGAATATCAGAGAGTCGTTAGGTATTCCCCCCCTGGCACAGAATTCCGCAGACGTCTACAAAGCTCCCAAGAGCTTAGACGTGCGACCGTATTACGAAAATATAACCAGTGCCGGGGACAGCGTTAGGCAGAATAATGGGGACATTGATGGTCATTATGGTACCCCGAAGAGTCCCCCAATTCCACTGGATAGATTTTGCGAAATACTCAAGAAAACAAATTCTAATGTCCAAAACACAGATTCAAAAACTACTTCAGAATCTGAAGGAAACCTCGAAATATGCAGGCGTAAACGTGACACGGAAAACGCTGAAAAGTGCGTGGAAAACGGAGAACTCAAAACGTTAAGCACGTACCTTGAAGATCGTTTTAACGAAGACAGATTACACAAAGAGCAAGTCGACGAGACTGATGAAAAAATCTCAATTGAGAATGGACTATCCAGCGATCAAAGTGATCGAAATGAACCAGCATATGAGAATTATATTCGCACAAATCGCGATAGTTTAGCATCAGAAGACACTGTTTCCAGTCAAGGCCGCGTGTCCCTGGGTTCGAGTCTAAGCATAGACGACAAAGACGAAGACCATCCTCTCATTCCGAAAACATCAGATTTCAACGGAAACTCGGTATGCGATGGACTCGTTGAAAAACTGGAGGTTCGTCGAAAAAGCTTGATTGGAGCCGTGTTTGGCGAGTCAGTAGCTTAACGCTGTGCGTTATTAGACTTTACCTCTATGGTCTCTTCCAGGCTTTGAAACTTCATGTTCATATTTCGTTGAACGAAATTCACTTATTGTAATTGTCTCGCCGTGAATTTTGAGGCGTTTTAGTACAAGCTCATTGGCACCTTGTGCGCCCGCCATCCAAAGTGAAAGTTCTGTGATCAGACCATGCGCATTACTGGAACTTTTGACACGGTCATTTTTGTACAGGAACAAGGAATCCCCGTTTACCGGAAAACAGCCTTAAACTATGTCCGCAGCAACGTGCCAACATACGGGAGAAGTTGATAAAGCTTCGTTTAAAGATTTGTCATTCAATGATAAATTTTCGTTTCCTTGTACGTTTCCTGTCTTTTCGAGTTTCATAGTCAAGGCAACAACAGTATTGACAATCCTTACAGATCAAAATTGTTCGTAGTAAGGGGGACAGCAAGATCTATTTCACACGATCCGAGTATGTCGGATCCAATTCACTTCTGGTGGATGTTTTTTAGTCTGTTAACTTGCAACGTATGGACAGCAAGCCGTGTCATGCAGTACTGCTTTATCAATAACAAACTACATTCCATACGTCAGAAGTAAATTGGATCCGACAAAGTCGGATCGTGTCATTCGACAAAGTCGGATCGAACATTGATAAAATACATTCCACTCCTTGCTATGCTGTTGCTAAGGACGTGTTTCAGTGTACAGACTGTGGGGAAAAGAATATGAATGAATTATAAAACTAAATCATTTTCAAAATCTGCCAGTGCATGCAGCTGACGCAGGCAGAATTTAATGAGCATTAATTGTAGTAAATAATCTGTTATTGCTTCGTCGTGAGTACGTCGACTACTGGGCAAATATATTTGGGCTGGTCCCGAGTACAAGCCACCATTGTTAAGCGTTGAACGCTTTTTTCAAGGTGTGTAGAGATTTACGATACGGATTACGGAAGCAAAAAGATTGACATTTATTTAGTTCGTAGAAAGATATCTTACATATTAGTGTTAAATAATTTCTATTGTATTGCACAAGTAAATTAGTAAAACACAAATGCACAATTAATAAACACAGGGAGAACCTTTAATGATTTACGAGAAATTTGTCTACCGTGCGAAATATGCTAATGTTCAGCTGGACGCGAGGGATACGTTTGAAAAGGTTAATCACTAAATCTACCTCTTCCCCCCCCGCCGAAAAAATATGTCTCCCCCCCCCGCCGAAAAAATATGCCCCCCCCCGGGAAAATACGTTCAATCGCCCACTGGTACCGTCAGCAATTCGTCAAAGACATGTAAATTTTGACCCCCAAGTATTGTAGTCAATAATATTCTATTGTGCTTTTATCTCAAAAACAACTTTTGATAAATATTGTTGTCTTGAAAATGTGATTGTTTCAGCAAAATGCAGTTTTGTTTCCCACACCAGTTTCAACATGTTTAATCCTTTTACGCCAGTGTTCTGGGAATCCAACCCAGAAGCCAAACACTCGCTTTTTCAACAGTTCATGTACAAATAGGATTTCTCGATTTTGTAAAATGTGCAAGAAATATTTTCATGTTCAATGAACACACGTTTGGCCCCAGGCATGGACACTGTTTTTTAAAGCCAAACGAAAAGGAGGGAAACCGGAGTGCCCGGAGAAAAACCCTCCAAGGGTAACCTGAATTTCAGGTTACCTGACCGGCGGTCCGAATTTGGTATTTTCATTTAGAAATCGTCCGCCAATGACAGTTCATATGCTTTATTTATAGTTCATAGTTGACCGTTTTAGTTCCGCTCATCCGAACTGAAGTCCCAAGAATTGCCATGCAATTCTTGAGCTTCGTTACCTCGATCCTGGTGGTGGTCTAACGTGCGCATATCGTGCGTTGCACGACTTTAACGTGCGCATATCGTGCGTTGCACGACTTTAACGTGCGCATATCGTGCGTTGCAGCAGGCTTTTGCAAATTTTAATTAAACTGCGCTTTGTCCGACAGTGGCAACAAAAACTATTTCAATTATTCAAAAGCTCGTTTTATGATCATCCTTTTTTGGAAATCTGGCATTAGGGAAAGAAATGTCTCATATTCACGACTTGCATGCTTTTTTATCTGAAAACGATGTAGACAACAACACTCTTCTACTATCTCATCCTAAGACATGCACCTCATGCACCGTTTATCTCTTTTTATACGTTCTGGATTACGGTCGATAGCCGAAAATGGAGGAAATAAACGTAATCGGGCTCAACATGCATGCAACTTACTCAATATGGCTATTCAATAATGTCTCTTACCTTTCGGCACTTTGGTAAACCGTGTACTCAAATTCACTTGCTTCGCTCCATGGCCAACCTTCTTCTTTCACAACATCTCGACGGTGGGGCGTGCATGAAATTAAAAAACATAGTAAGTGTGTCCATATGCAAAGGCTTTCTTTAATTCAAAAAGGATCGTCTTTAATTTAAGGGTTGGCTTTTTAGCTAAAGAGGGTATTATACAATATAATCCTACAGTTAAACGGTTTACCCCCAGATATTCCCCATCATACAAGTCCGGTTCTCATGCAATGTAATATACCATGATATAGAGGCTATATTTTCTTTCTTGTACAAACTTCGTCAAATTAGTCAAAATTAGATTACGAGAATAACCAGGCTTTGAGAGCTAAACCGCAATCCGAAAAATTAATACCAACAAGGGAAACAGAAGAGTGCTAGTGTCTAACATCAAATAGTGTTAATTTTTTTTCTTCATTTCAAACTTCAATAATTTCAATTTAAAAGTGCAATTTAAAAGTATAATTTTTAATGCCACTGACGGACGTTCTTCGAAGCGGTCGCATTATAACAGGCTGGACAGAGAACTTATATAGTCATATAAGTACTCGCGATTACCTTCGTATTAATCTAAAATTAGGCTAATACGAATTCGATGATATTTTCTCGCTACGTGCGCGTCGATCATGCTAATTGCATTTCATTTCAACATTTGAACGCTTTAGAACCATCATGCATCTCCGCGGCTGTTGAGTATTAGAATTCACACGCAAGTGACAAAACTAGGAATGTTTCATCGAGAAACCTCGAAAACGCCCTCAAATGAGCTGTGAGAAATTTCCTGTTATCATGCATTGTCGAAAAGGGTGAAATGTCACTTGGTGTGTGAATATACTAAGTTAGACCACCAGGAGGAATCGATTCAAGAATAATCATGCATTTACATAAATGACATGCACATGCATTACTCTAATTAGTATACCATAGTATGTACCTCAACCAGCTTCTGCTTGAAGACCCGTCTCGTCGTCCATAATCTGATCTGCGACGATCCTCCATCATCTGATCCTGCGACTATCCATCATCTGATCCTGCGACGATCCATCATCTGATCCTGCGACGATCCTTCATCTGATCCTGCGACGATCCATCATCTGATCCTGCGACGATCCATCATCTGATCCTGCGACGATCCATCATCATCTCTGATCCTGCGACGATCCTTCGTCACATAAAAATGATATCATAAATTCCCAAGTCAGCAATGTCACTATGATTGTATTCAAAATAAAAAATTAACACTCAAACGAGATTCTACACCTTCAACATCTTCCACGCCATTCGTCCAAGGCCTTCGCATTGCGCACGCGAATACAAAATGTCATGCACGTTTTGTATATGAAATATTCATCGTTTTCTTAATGGTCCTGAGAAAACTAAAACACTCGACTATTATCTCCTTCAAGAAATACAATTTCTCATGCATTTTTATGTTTTTTCATGCATTTTTTGTCCGGACTATATTGTCGTTCAAGATGGAGAAACTGCAAGTGATGGGGCCCCAGAATCACTTGTATTTACTCCGCATGCGCTTGACACGACCAGACCCATGCAAAAACCGCAATCCGAAAGATTGAAATTCAAGGAGGTAAACAGAAGAGCGTTCAGTATATCTCAGCCAAAAAAGCCAAATCCATGCATATTTTACTCATGCATATATTTTCACCGAAATCTAGTTTGTATTTGCGTGCATAAATGTCCCAAGGCAGGTCCCAACATCTCTCTGCTTCCGACGATTCTTTCTTTCTAAAAACAGAAAACCTCGGTAAAACAAAAAATTCACGGGCATATAAAACCAGGTTAAAGTGATTTGCTTTTCGACTTTTCGTTTTGTTTTGTAGTTAAACTGACTAATTGAGATTGGAAGCAAGGGAATCGCCACGGCACGATAAGATACTTTGGAAGTTGGAAACGCGCTCAAAACATTCAACTACAATCGACAACTACAATAAATCAAATCCGCACATGTCAAGTATAACATGAAGTAGCAACGTACACATAATAGGCATTATGTAAATTTCAGTTTGAACCCGTCTTTTCCTGTACAAAACTAGCATGAAACTCTGACAAACGGGTAGTCGGACGTCGGGAAAGTTTCAGCCATTTCTTGGCAGACATTTAGGATAAAGTCCCGAAAAGTTCGATTCAACTATATTCTGGTTTCGCCCACACTGTACAAACGTGTTATTTCAAGTCACAAATGCAAAATACATAACATTAATAGAACAATACCTATTATTCGCTGCAAACCAGCGTTTTGTGTTTCGCCTTCTCCATCTTTCGGCGCCGTGGTTCGTTCTAAAACGAAGTAGGAAAGTAAAAACAAAATCAAGTTAACAGCTCACTTGTATTTCACATTTTCAATCGAAATATACAAGATATAGCGGTGAAAATCAGCAAGAATATGTCTCCAGTCGCTAATGTCTTCTGGCTATTCAAATCATCATTCATCACGACGATGAATTAATTTACAAAGCCAAAGGCAAAGATCAAGCCAACAGATTCTTTAAATGGCCATGCATGTACCTGAGCAAAGTGTCTTCCAACGTTTCACTAAACTTCTTCGAGTAAATCTTCCTTCTTCGACAAATCTGAGTTACCTCTCAAATTCAATCACCTTTTATCACCTCAAAGAACATTCCAACGGACAATGCACTTTATGCATCGATGATACTTAACAGTTAAACAGTAAAGCCTGTTTCACACTAGCTCCTAAGAATCAATTAAGCTCCATTGTATTACCTTCCGATAGACAAAGTATTTTGCACACCAAAGGACAAGTGTTTCTCATGCATGGAAGATATTAATACAACAATAGATAATGAGGCAACGCTGAGATTAACTATTGTTTTAAATGCGTTCTGCGCAGCTCAGAGTCACCACGTTTAAAACAGGCCTTTATAAATACACATTATGCTGATGATAGCGTAAACGTGGAATGGCACGAACCCCTAAAATACATGAAAAATTTATTTTTCATTATTTGTCATATCATTTCACATTTAACAACAAATTGACCATGTTAAAATATTTGATATCATAACCAAAGTATGGTTATATTGTTTAATGTTTGTATATGAGCGCCAAACATGCTTCCAACCTTAATAGGACAAGCATTTCACCATTAAAACAGCGTGGTTATCCATGTCAAAATATTTGACATCATAACCAAAGTATGGTTATATTGTTTAATTTTTGTATATATGAGCGCCAAACATGCTTCCAACCTTACATAGGACAAGCATTTCACCATTAAAACAGCGTGGTTATCCATGTCAAAATATTTGACATCATAACCAAAGTATGGTTATATTGTTTAATTTTTGTATATATGAGCGCCAAACATGCTTCCAACCTTACATAGGACAAGCATTTCACCATTAAAACAGCGTGGTTATCCATGTCAAAATATTTGACATTATAACCAAAGCATGGTTATATTGTTTAATGTTTGTATATGAGCGCCAAACATGCTTCCAACCTTACATAGGACAAGCATTTCACCATTAAAACAGCGTGGTTATCCATGTCAAAATATTTGACATTATAACCAAAGCATGGTTATATTGTTTAATGTTTGTATATGAGCGCCAAACATGCTTCCAACCTTACATAGGACAAGCATTTCACCATTAAAACAGCGTGGTTATCCATATCAAAATATTTGACATTATAACCAAAGCATGGTTATATTGTTTAATGTTTGTATATGAGCGCCAAACATGCTGGAAACTTTACATAGGACAAGCATTTCACCATTAAAACAGCGTGGTTATCCATATCAAAATATTTCACATCATAACCAAAGCATTGTTATATTTTTGAATGTTTATATATGAGCACGAAACATGCCTCCAACTTTACATAGGACAAGCATTTGACCAGTAAACAAGAAAATGGTATACGCCGGAAAATGGTATACTTGACAAGGTCGAATATGCCGAAAAACGACCATGGTCGAATGTGACCGAAAAACTGTATACTCGACCATGGTCGAATATGCCGGAAAACGGTATACTCGACCATGGTCGAAAATGCCGTTTTCCAGCGGACTCGACCATTTTCGAATACGCCGTTTTCCAGCCGACTCAACCATGGTCGAATATGCCAGAAAATGGTATACTCGACCATGGTCGAATATGACTGGAAAACCGGGTATACTCGACCATGGTCGAATATGACCGGAAAACGCTGAGAAGCACTGAGAAGAGGAAATTACATTGTCGCAAACTGAAAAAACTATGGTTAACCGTCCCTGCCATTCCAACCATAAAAAAGCGAGAAAAAAGCTTCCCTCTGACCTCTGACCCTCGTTCCCAGTGTTCTCGCGAAGAAGCTTTGAAAAGATTTGGGGCTTTTTGAGCTTCTGATATGTTCAAATATTTGTGTTAATTCTTGAATTTTGGCCATCATTGGTTCAGTTATTAGCAACACTGGCCCCAAATTTGTGGAACTAGACGACATGTTGAAACCAAGAGTCTTGACCGAGTTACTTGCTCAGGAAACTACTGGAGGCATTATGAGTACTATGTATGTATGTAAGGACATTTTCTATTTTCGTTTAATTTTGACACAGGTTTTGTGAAGTCAGACTTTGATGTAAAATTTAATGAGAATATTTGATAGTATGTCTATGATTATATGCCTAAAATAAACTGTAAGATGTTACAATAGTGTTTTTAAATCAATTAAATGTATAAATCTCAGATGTCACATGACAATGTCAATAGGCAAAATACTTCCAGGCTTCCAGCACCTCCATGGCAATTGTAAATCAGGGTCTAAGGACTATAATAACTATATTCACTTGTAATAGTTGAGAATGATGCTCCCAGGCTAATAATGACATCCAAATGTGGAGATGTATCTCTGTCAGAGTTTTTTTAAGGGAAGTATGGGCTAGCTTCTGACAATGTCCTAGGGAAAAGCACCAGCCAAATGAGATATTAGAATCTATATTTGCTGAATTTTAAAAATGACATGTGTCTGAGATTACTAGAGCCTCAGATACAACTCTAAACTTGTATTTAAACAAAAATAATTTAAATTGGATACTAAATCTTTGCTCTTCGTATATCAACACCACATAACTTGTTTGTTTTCTAGTCTTTTGAAAAGCAACGGTTCCCTGTTGGCATTTGCTGGTTCAGGGGATAAAGAGGCAAGAGTTACGGCAGCCATAGCATCAAGTATCTGGTGTGCTTATCATTCAAATATCAAACAAAGTTTTCATACAGAGACCTTGAATTTTGTCCTTATGGACTGTGATGTAAGATGCTTTATTATAATTGTTGTTTATTGTGTTTTTCAAGAAAGAAAAACTAAATTATTTGACATGTTTTTAGGATGGAAAGGTTGCAATAACAAGTATTTCTGATCTCCTGTTATGCCTTCATTCAAAGAAATCTGTTGGCCTTGGGCTTTTAAAGACAAAAGTAAGAATGTTATAGCTTTGCTTAGGTCTAAGAAGGTTGCATTTGAAATTTCTTGCAGTGATTTCAATGACATATTGTGTTTTTGTTTCAGACATTAGCATTGGCAAAATATCTGGAAGGTCCTCTATCAGAACTGAATCATGCCGTCGCCTGACATTCAGATTTTGAAAAACTCCTTAATAATTTTATCTCGATTAGACATCAATTATACAAAATTACTTGATTTCCTACTGAAATATTGTATATTAAACCAACAATAAAACATTAGTATTTATATTCATCAATGCAGTGTTTGTCTTATTAATAATAGAAAAAATGTCACATTTCCCCTGATGGGAAAAAAATGACCTGACTCATAGACGGATTTAAAGTAAATATCAATGCTGACTCAGCATCGATATCATTCCAGTTAAAACAAGAGCTCATCGTTAGAACTCACGAGATACGTAATGCGCATCTCAACCAATGGGAAGGCCGGAAACGGATGACGTCAGCAGGTTGTAATGGCATTTATAATTCTTTCGTCTTTCTCTCGCGGAAAGACTGGTCTGCTTGTCGATGACTTGCCGATTACTGAGCTTTTCTGCCTTAAAAAAGACAGTTTTTAATCCAACAACGTCCTTCACGCAGCTAGCAAGAAGTATGAGTCGTTTTGGAAGAGACAGAGGTTACGATTCGTCGGCCCGGTCGGATAGGAAAGGGTAAAGTAATCGTCTAATGACTTACTCAATATCGCCTAAAAACCACATGTTTTTGGCGCCGGTCACTGCAGTACTCAATGTATACTTTTTCTCGATGAAAATTTGTGCTGTTTATGCTGTAAATAGTATCATAGCTTGGCTTATTGGTTCCTTTGATACCTATGTTTCTTCAGTGGTCTTCAAAAACGGGGAAATTTAGAGTAAAGTATATTTTCCAAAGAGATTTTCTCTGAACTTGTCTAGTGAAGAAAGGAGACACCATAATTATAAAATATAAACGCAAGGTTTTATCGCAACGCGGGTTTTTTTCTAAAATGTCACTTTGAAGATTATGATATTTCTAGTAGAGGGCATTCACAGATGGTTCTAAACGGCGTCTCTTTCAACTTTTTAAAATGAACGAATTAAAATTTGACATACGAAGTTATGCTGTTCTGCCTGTTCAAACTTCAAACTACAAGAAAAAGCTAAAATTTGTAATTCGGATGGGGGAGCTACAGCCGGTTTGGGCTGGCCTAGGTTCTAAACTTCTTCAAATCACCCTCAACAATGTTGTTTTGTTTTTAGGTTTGGTGGAGGTGGTCGTAGTGGAGGTAGCAGTTATGGTGGGGGTAGTAGAAGTGGTGGTGGTGGTTATGGTAGCGGAAGTGGTGGTTATGGCAGCGGTGGTGGAAGTTATGGAGGCTATGGTGGAGGTGGTGGTTATGGTGGGAAAAAAGACAAGTTCAGCCAACCTGGTGCTAATCTAAGGAAACCAAAATGGGACCTAAATAACATGCCAAAATTTGAAAAGAATTTCTATAAAGAACATCCCAATGTGCAAAATTTGAGCCAAGCTGAGGTTGAAGAGTATCGGAAGTCAAAAGAAATGACGCTTTCTGGCAGGGGGGTGCCAAGACCTGTTAAGAACTTCAGTGAAATGTTATTCCCAGGTATAACAGAAGACATTGCTGGTTTACACATGATTTATAGACCAATTGCGAAACTTAGTGACCGCGCCTTCGTGCAACATGGAAACGAGGCTTATTATGCAAAAAACAATATTTGTATTTTTTGTAGTACAAAGCTATTCGCCGAGTTATATGCCGTTTTTCGCCTTTGTTTTACATATTTTTCGATACCTTTCAGCTTGGTTTCATCGTTGTTATCATAGTTTTCAGGTTAGGAAGTTTTGCCTTTCAATTGAGGCGTTTTTGTGGTATTTTCATTAATCTTTTCGGCTGCTTTCGTCGGGGAAGTATGGAAAAGGCCGACACAAACTCAGGTAAAAAGTTAGTTTTTCCAAACTATTTCGTCTCAAGTTTTGAAAATGTATTTCATTTTTCTCCCTCTTATTTGTGCAAAATTTGGCGATATATATTTGGTGCAAAATCTATGTTTTTTATGTCAAAAATTATTGAAAAGTGACAGTCAGATTATATAATTTTCAAACCTGATGACTGAAATGGCTTCATTTATTCAAATTTATTCACAAATATCACTGTATTTTTTTTCTTTATACCACAGTAATACTGTTAAAATGGTCAAAAGTAACTGACTGAAATGTTTTTGTTTATTTTCGTTTTAATAAAGTACAGACGATGCATAGCTTGCATGCCGGCCTGAAGGCCGAATTTTATAAAAGTCAAATTCGAATGCATCTGAGTTTGCATCTGAATTCTACCGCATTTTTGTTAGTACAAAACACTATTCTTTCTATCTACTACCATGCAATAGATGTTTAATAAGGGTTAACCAGGAATACTTGAAAAGGAAAGGATCCCGTTCACCATCGTAAACGGAAAAACACTTGCGAACTCCGGTTTAAATATTTTTCGCTTTCGGCTTTGCCATCATGTAAAGGTGTATCTTAAAAAACGCTGCAGCTCGCATTGTGGCTACCTTTATAGTATGTTATTGCCGGGAAAGGAATATTCAAATGGCAATTCAAAATAGACAATGATATTATGTTTTGGTTATAAGTATTTTACTATCCATGTCATGCATGTGTGCCAAGTTGAAGAGTTATTTTGCTTTTCAGTCGGCATCACATCACATGTACTGTACTCTGTAGTCTATATACACAGGGAAAACAAACATAAAACATGCTTATTTTATCTCTTATAGTTTTTGTCAAGAGATTTCTACTATTTTTTTTTGCTGAAATGAAAAATTGCTGTCAAATTACATCTTATCGATCGATAAAATTGGTATAAAAAAATTTTAGATGAGAAGTGTGAACATGGTGGTTTGTTCGATCGTGACTTTTCAATAATTTTTGACATAAAAAACATAGATTTTGCACCAAATATATATCGCCAAATTTTGCACAAATAAGAGGGAGAAAAATGAAATACATTTTCAAAACTTGAGACGAAATAGTTTGGAAAAACTAAACTTTTACCTGAGTTTGTGTCGGCCTTTTCTATATTTCCCCGACGAAAGCAGCCGAAAAGATTAATGAAAACACCACAAAAACGCCTCAATTGAAAGGCAAAACTTCCTGACCTGAAAACTATGATAACAACGATGAAACCAAGCTGAAAGATATCGAAAAATATGTAAAACAAAGGCGAAAAACGGCATATAACTCGGCGAATAGCTTTGTACTGCAAAAAATACAAATATTGTTTTTTGCATAATAAGCCTCGTTTCCATGTTGAGCGAAGGCGCGGTTACTAAGTTTCGCAATTGGTCTATAGATTTGGAAAGATGGAAATGATCATAGTTTTTGAGACCAAGATCAAATCCTTTCACCATTGTTGAATACTATTAAATATCACTATAGCTAACATGAACAGCAACTGGTGAAGGAATATTAAGATTCTATTTTTTAATTAAATGGTTTTTTTTTCTGAATTTTCAACATATAGTTAATGAATATTATCTATTTAGATTACATAACTGGTGAACTGACAAGAATGGGTTTTGTTGAGCCAACTCCCATACAAGCACAAGTAAGAAAATCACTCAAACATGTTCTTGCTGTTTGCATAATATTGTGTTTCCTGAAATGCTTTTGACAATTGCTAATATTTTTCAGGGCTGGCCAATGGCTATGTCTGGACGAGATGTTGTAGGCATTGCTCAAACTGGTTCGGGAAAAACCATCTCGGTAAATATTTTTATGCATTATATAAAAAAACAACATAATTGAAGAATTACCATTGCTATTGCAATTTTTTTGATGTTCCACATTTTTTTCCGTATAGTTCATTATACCAGGGATCATTCATATCAATCACCAACCTTTACTGCAACATGGCGATGGTCCTATAGTTCTCGTTCTTTGTCCAACAAGAGAATTAGCCCAACAAGTGCAGGGAGTCGCCCAGCAATTTGGCAGAACATGCAAAGTCCGTACATCTTGCATCTACGGCGGCGCTCCAAAAGGACCTCAAATAAGAGAGTTAGAGAGAGGTAATGTATACTATACACCAGCATCCCAAATTCTACAAAACTTGTGTTCTGCTTCCTGTTGTGCTTAATTGGAGAAAGGGCTCTTCAAGTTCTCTTTTCTTTCAGGAAGTGAAATCGTCGTTGCAACACCTGGACGTCTCATAGACATGCTTGAAGCACGTAAGACAAACCTCCGACGGTGCACATACCTTGTTCTTGATGAAGCAGACCGAATGTTGGACATGGGCTTTGAGCCTCAAATTAGAACCATCATAGAACAGATTCGACCAGATCGCCAAGTACTGATGTGGAGCGCAACATGGCCGAAGGAAGTACAAAGTTTAGCGAGGGATTTTCTCAACGACTACATCCAGGTCAACATTGGATCCTTGCAACTTCATGCGAACCATAATATCCTACAAATTGTTGATGTCTGTCAAGAATTTGAAAAGGCTGGAAAGTATGTCAAATGTTATATTATAGAAAGTTAAGAACCTGCTTTCATTAAATACCCATGATGGTATTGTGTATTGATTGGTTGTCAGGCATTAAATGTTACAAACTTTATACATGACAGAACTTTTTACTGTTTAACCATTTTAGGCTTGCAAAACTTTTAGAGGAGATTATGGGAGAGAAGGAAAATAAGGTTGGTAGCCAGCACAAATGAAAAGTTTTCCATTAATTTGGCATTTCATTACAAAGCTGTGCTGTGCTTGAAATTTGACATCTAAAATATTTTGTTATAGACATTAATATTTACCGAAACAAAGCGAAAGGCAGATGATCTTACCAGAAGTCTTCGTCGCGAAGGGTGTGTGTTTGAAAAAGTTTTTTGCTTTATAACAAAAGCTGATGATGATTCCATTTGTCTTAGTATCACTGCCGACAATATTGTGAATTCCTCGTTACTGAAGCCTCAAAATGCATCTGCACTGAGTTGTGTTCTTGTTTCCTAAGATGTTTTACAGATTTGTTTTCATCTTTTAGATGGCCTTGTATGTGCATTCATGGTGACAAATCACAACCTGAACGAGACTGGGTGTTAAATGGTAATTATTTTTGGCAAATCTTCCATTCGACTGCTTAATCATTTTTAGTTGACTCTCTTACAAGTCAACAGGATTTCCAAAATTTATTTGCATGCTGTTCTCATATGTTTGAAAAACGTCATATGTGTAAAAAAGTTTTGAAGAAAATTGTATCCCCTGTCTCCTCAATTTATATCCCCCCCCCAATTTGTATTCCCCTCCCCCTTGATTTGTAGCAAAATCCTTCTAGCAAAATTCTACAATATAGAAGTTCTCATTGAATTATTGTTTAATTTTTTTTACTAGAATTTCGTTCTGGTAATGCACCAATTCTAATAGCGACAGATGTTGCCTCCCGTGGTCTAGGTAAGTTTTAAGGAAATTCTATCCTGTTCTTTAACCTTAAAAATTAAGACATGTGTGTTGATTTTTCTGCTCTTACGTACATTGAAGTCTAGTTGTGTGTGTGTTTCTCTTCTGTGTGTTAGTCTGCTTCAGCCATATATGCCCCTGTTGAACATAGCATAATAAGCACATACTAACTTGTATCACTGTGTTTCAAAGTAGTGTTGTAGGGGTCAGCAAGATGCTTGCGACCTGACCCTGAATGCCTGCTTGTGAAAGACTGTGTTGTTGGCGCCATGACATCACACTTGAGTAAGCCACGACGGGGAGTGACGGTCCGTAAACAAAGTTGCAAAATTGAAGTTTCATTCATATATCTAACCGGTGAGCAATGGGGAAGGATTATAATAGATCTTTCTCCTGTTAAAAAAAACTACTGGTTGTGATTTCATGTGAAGTATTTGCAAGAGTTGTGAAGTACTGACTGGGCTGACAAAATACTAATGTTTTGACCAGAGTATTTTGTCCTATGTAAATTCAACAAGTTCTTGTGAAAAAATAGGATTTTTCATTACATATATTAGAAACTTTTGAGATTTTATTCTATGTATAAGCTTTGTTTTTTATCTAAAAATTTACAGTAGGCTGGATATTCTTAATGTTTTACATGATCAAAACTTTAGTATTCTGTTTTCCCACATAAATATTCCCGATAATAATAGAAGAAAATTCTGCATTTTGTTGTGCCTGTCAACCCGAACGAGTTGTATCCTCCACCAAAATCTCCTGCTAGTCCATCCAGAAAACGTGAGCTTCTCAAACAGAGTTTTTGGTGGTCTCGTGATGGGTCGCCAGCATTTAAAATACCGTAAACCAAAAGTTCTACTTGAAATTATATTTTCATCGCCACTTAACTTTGGGAACTCTGAAACCTGAATGAGAGCACCAAAGATCGGTTTGATAAGTTTATGTCATGCATAGATAAGCTCGCAGCTCAACTCTTGCCCAAAACTTCACCAATCATGACCTCGCGAAAATAACGGTGATGAAAGGATTCGTTTGTCCAACGTCTTTAAAATCTATTCACTCCCTTGAGAGGTAAACGTAAGTGATGTCTGGAAAAGTGGCTGTAAGTCACGCGTGTTTCTCTAAAAAATATCGGTAATATTTACATTATCGACAATCTTGAGTGTTTTGGTATATTTTAACTATCCTGAGGATTGTATTTGCATTGAATTTTGAAATTTAAAGGTGAGTTCACTAAACCTTAGGCAATGGCTTGCGTGTGTAATACGACATTGTCTTCTTTCTAGATGTGAGCGATATCAAGTTTGTCATCAACGTCGATTATCCTTCGTCAAGCGAGGACTACATCCATCGTATTGGTAGGACAGCTCGTTCGGATAGACACGGAACCGCGTACACTTTCTTCACCCAAGCAAACGCTAAACAGGCGAAGGATCTTGTGAATGTGTTGCAAGAAGCAAACCAACAAGTCAGCAGCAAACTGATGGAACTCGTACACATGGCTGGAAGTTTTGGTGGACGATGTAAGTAGAACTAGAAAAGTATTTCTTTCATCGTTCGAGCCTTAGTCTGAATTTCCAGTAGAGAAATGGTTCGCTGGCAAAATATTTTCATATTTTCTTTTGAATGTAAACACGTTGACTGTTTAATCTTATTGTCCAACGGGAAATGGTATTTAGTCAAGACATGTATTATTGTCGCTAGCCAGAACCTTTGTTTCGAATTGAGTTGAAAATCCGAAATTTTTTTTACTACGGAGGAAATCGTGATAACATTGTTGTGGAATCGGAAATCTCGATGGTAAATGTGTGTGGTTTTTATTTCAGCGCGAAGTCGATACAGAAATGCAGACAAGTCTTCAGGTGGTGGAGGCTACAAAGGTTCTTCTGGAGGGGGTGGGTATAAGAGTGGTGGTTACAATAAGAGTGGCGGTGGGGGAGGTGGTAGTTATAAAAGTGGTGGTCAAAATGGTTATGGTGGCAGCAGTCAGAAGTCCTACTCCTCTGGCGGAAGTGGTGGTGGATACCAACAGCAAACCACCCAACAACAGAACAACTACCAGCAGCAACAGAATACCTACCAGCAGCAAGGTTACCAAGGCTATGCCAACTACCAGCAACAACCACAGACGACATCCACTACTGGTGGTTACCAGCAACAGAGCACCGGTTACCAACAACAGAACTATCAACAACCAGGTTTTACTTCGGGATATCCAACCCAATAAGAAATCGTCCCTCACAACCACCTCGATTCATTTTAAGCAGTTATTTTTGAGTTCCGACCAACATCTGTTTTAGTTTATAAATATGCATAATGTAGATTGGAGATGATTTCCAAAAAGCACCTCGTCTGAATGTTTTTATGCAAAAAAAGGTTAATTTAGAAACCGGGTTGTCTTGGAATCACCTGAACGCAGCCCCCGCCCCGTGCAACGTGGCTAAGGCTTAGACAAAGTGATCGGGTAATATATAATTTCAATACGTTAACACACGTCTGGTTATTTGCCTTGTAAGATAAAAAGTTGTTTTAGTACCAAGCGATTAATAAATAAGAATTTAAATGATTAAAGAGTTGTCTTTAAAACCAATCCTCGTGCATACAATACTAGTGAGTTTAAGATGTACGAATCTACGACACGGACGTGAAGTAATACTGCTCGAATTTTCCAAAATTATAGACTCTTTGATAAACAAAGTCAGAGCCGTATGTAAAACAAATCATTACTGGTTTCCTCGCACTAGTGGAAATTTTCATGTCACGTCTGCGTCGAAAATTTGGTTCATCTTAAACTCGCTACTCTCTAAAAGAAAAGTTAGTTCTATGCTTTTTAGCGTCTTCAAGTTTTAAAACGATTCGGTTAAGAAGTCTACGATTAAAAGAACCTCAACTTTCAGAGATATTTATGTTTAGCCGTAAAAATTTAAACCTAGTTGTGCATGCGCCTGGGCACATCTTAATATGCGATGTAAGCTTGTGAGCTTTTTCTTGGAGTTACACAGTTTCACCCTTTTTGCGTTTCGGCTTTTGGTTCAGTCGGTGTAGTCCTTGTTTTCTTTTTCCCGTAACGATGTTTATTATGATGTACTCGCGGTTTCAACTTCGCGACGGCTGGTTTTGGTGGAGGATTTGGAGAAATGTTCACGATGGTACCAACAGCTTTCGTTCTTCCTTCACGGAACACCATCCTTGTGCCAGGTTTCAGAAATTCAGGCTGCTTGATGAATTGGAAATGTACCAACGCTTTGTCGCCTGTTCGTAGATGTTCTTTATTCATGTTCAGAATGGTTGCCGTTTGCCGAATACTTCCACAATGAACTAGGGGAAAAAAGATCATGTGCTTGATTCTCAACGGTGGCTTGGATAGCGCTACATGGTTATCCATTCGTTTAAATGTTTATCGCGTATGGTGGAGCCAAGTTTTGAAAAATGTTATGCATGCCCTAATTGTTTATTAATAACTGAATACGAATTATGGATTTCTTTTCTGCGACATTATCTCCAAAGTTGAGCATTATGATGTCCACCATCTTACCATGGCTAATTTCCACGAATCATTTGTACAGAACTTACCCATTGCTTGGTATTTTGGACTGATGGTTGTTGGATGGTGGAGGACAAGAATCTCTCCCTCGAACTCCCAGCAAGCTGTTGGTTTCAGACGTTCGTCTACCAAGAACATTCCTTTACGAATCTGGTTGCGTTTGATCTGAAACAGATGAAGCAATATCTCTGTGTCTGATTCGGCATTGACTACCACATTACCAAGTCAATTCTAACAAATTAACCTGTTCAAATTTGGCTGTTTCCCAAACCTACCTTCTTCAAAGCGAAAGAGCAGGTCTGCCCGCCTCGAACTTCACGAACAGGCATTCGTTTACGATGAATACCTTTGATAGTGACCGGAGCAAACTGCCCAAGTGAGTCTGGACCCAACAACAAAACGTCGTTTAAACGAATAATTCCTTGGAGACATGTCCCTGAAATTACCGTTCCGACTCCCTGAAACAAAGATTGAAATTTTAATTCATTTCCAAATGATCTGTACGCAATGACTTGAAAGAAAGAATGTTTGAACATGATCATTGACCATGATCATTGATTGATCATCATCAATAGATTAATTGATCAATGATGATTTAATGGTACATACCGGCACAGAGTAAGTTTCGTCAACTTGGAATTCAGCGGGTTCACTTTCACTGTAGTTTCCTCCGGATGAGAGAAGATTCAAAAACATTTTCAACAAGTCCAGGTTTTCACCAGAAACGTTGGAAACTTGGAATATTGGACACACCCTAAGAACCAGGTGGCATTTGTCAGAACGGAACCAAGAAAATTGCTGGTAACAGCTGTATTACAGTATATTTGGCTTAACAGTGGCAGATTGCTTAGGGCACACCTTGTCCAATGCATTGACATTTCACAGTCTTACCTTTCCGAGACGAAGTTGGTGGCAGAGACAACCACATCATCTGTGTTTTGGATCGTCATTGGTATTTTGCGACATCCAGGTGATTTGAGGACTCTTGAAAGCAATTTTAATGTGTCTTGAAGCACATTTGGCGGACACATGTCTATCTTCGTCACGACAACAAATACTGGAACATTAAGAGCCAATGCCAGACCAAGGTGCTCTGAAACAAGATATGGTTGTGAGGTATTGAAATATAATAGTTGGAGAAATACGGTTTTTTTGAATTTAAAGAAACCACTATACAATGTAAATATTTTATCTTTTTGTGCCTAATACCTTTGGTCATCCCAATAATGCCAGCATTTGCACCAATCTAAAGAAAAAACAATGCTTGTTGACATTTCAAATGAATGAATACTTTCTAAAGACTACCCAAAAGATAATTTTCACCCACCATCAACATTGCAAAATCTGGAGCATGGCCAGTCATTCCAAAGATTGTTGTTTTCAGGTACTTCTCATGTCCTGCCAAGTCGATGAATGTGATCACTTTGGAGGACTCTCGACAGATTCTTTGCCAATCAACATTGCTTCCTAGAAGTAATAAGTGTCAGGCATGAATGTGTGTAGATGATTTGAATCACCAACTGGTTTACAGTCCTGTATTCCTTACCATGTACTTCTGATTTGTTGATAACTTTCCCTTGGCTGTCAAAACCCAAAATGTCATTTCCAACACTACTGGTGCGACCAGACTCCATCTCGTGTTTGTGTCGGAAGAGTTTCTGGCGGGCAAATCCTCTGCCATTGTCCAGTTCACCGTGTGTGAGCACTCCTAGCAAAGTACTTTTTCCGGCATCCACATTTCCCACCACAGCAACACTGAAAAGTACACATTCTGAATAGTCAGGGTTTGCCTATTATGGTTCCCACAACATAAAGTATGATTCCCAGAAAAAATATAATTTCTAGAACATAAAATATGATTCTCAGAATGTTTTCCAAAACATAATTCCCAGAACAGAGAGTTGGCAACTCTATTCCAACATCAACTCCTCATCTTACCGAACTTCAATAAAATCTTCATCCTCAACTTTCCTTCGCAGCAAATACTCGGCAATCATTCTTCCTGAGGTTGTTGTCTTCTCCCTCAGAGAGAACATTTCAACTCCGCATGTCTCTGTCAAACTCTTTAGAGTTGCAATTGATGCTGCAAGATCTTCCTTGCTCAAACCACTTGCATCTCCATCTATAGGAATCCAGGAACAAGACTGACTATAATATTACTATTTTTTATTTATTTACTTTTTACTTATTACTACTTTTTACTTATTCTCTAACTTGAAAATTAATTCCAATGAAAACATTTTTTGGAAGCATCGATGAAACAATCACAGCTTTATTTTACTAACCTCCAACACCAACTTCATACAGAGTTTCTCCATTTCCATCTTGTAACCTTTGCTGTAGTTGCCGTAGCAACAAGTCATACTCGTCATCATTTGGGCTTATCAACAATGTCTAAAAATATGGAGAACCCACTTTAATCCATAATACCCTACAACATGCATTTTGGCATTTGAAGCACACATTTCATAATACGAAGCAACTTTATGAAAATCATAGTAGCTGAGCACATTCATTTTTTTTGTGCACATCCATGTACTTTAGGAGTGCAGAAGAACATTGTTTTGTCTCAATTTATCAATTAGAATTTAGGAAGTGCCTATGCACCTTGTGTTCCTGTATTTGGTACCAACCTTTGCACTGGGCAATGTAAAATTATCATGTGTTGCACCATTACAGGCACCATTTGCTTCTTCCACAGGAGCAAACAGATTTATGTCTGCATCAAAGCAGACAGGGCTATTCCTGCTCTCAGCCATTTTCCTAGAAATTCAAAATATTTCAATACTCCACTCACATATAGAGGCCACTGACTGTTTTGGTCACTGGGCTCTCTATGCAACACTGGAATGATACACACAAATATATACAAAATAAAAAAAAACGAAAATAACAAACTTTCGGTTTCCATAGCTGCAAGATATTTACACAACAGAATGCAAATATCAGATAAATAGACAAAGGAATGCAAAAACATACTAAGCATTTCAAAAGGACAATTCATTTTATAAATTTAAAAACTTATTTTATATATTTTCACAGAAAAAACAACGGGTACAATGTAGAAATATAAACCTTTACTTACCTTTTTAGGTTCAGCAAACGTTTGTGTCTTCAAATTGGGCCACGTATGCTTAGTTTTTTATTAATCGCCACACAATATATTACAACTGTCATTGACCTGTCGGCCACATCGCGCCGTTTTCGCAATAATTATCCAAAGATTCTACATTCTTCTTCAGTTTATTCTACGCAATACTGTAAAGGGATTCCAAAGGCAACTCTTTTTATACTAGCGTTCAATCTGATGCAATATTGTCGCTAGAAATGAAACAAAATTAAATTTCACCGCCTTGTATCGTTTGTTTCATTTCATTTGAATAATGAAATATTGGTCCTTGGTCCCAGGAAAGATTACACCACCGCGTCGAAATTTCGCGGGGTATTCGTGGATTCCCGCCATATGTTTCGCGCGCAAAATATCGCGGGAAACTTTCGCGCGCAAAATATTGCGGGAAACTTTTGCAACAAAAGTTTAAAATGAAAGTTTATAAAATGTCTTCAAAATTAAAATGCATTCTTCTAATGAGTATTTAGTTTCAAAACAGTGATAAATAAACAGTATTTACCTGTATAATATTACTCAAAATTTTGTGATTTGCTCATAAATAACCTTTTTCTGAATGTGACAATTATAATTTTCATTTTGCTTTGAAAACTCAATAAGAATATGTAAGGTATGTGTATTTTCAAGACTTGCTCTTAATTCAAACTTTGTTGCCATTTCTAGTTTTTTTAGCATTGTTTAAAACCAATAAAATTCACTGTAAGAAAATCTGTGAACCAGGGTGTATTGCAATACAACTGGTATTTATTTTAATTTCTTAATAATTAACTTTATTATCCATTCTATTAATTTTCAGCCAGCCGAACATATTCCCAGAGATGTATCATGAACGTCAAAGTCTCCAGTTCTGTGCATTACATGTGTTAAACAACCTGTTTCAAGAAAGAGTATTTTCCAAACAAGAACTTGATGACATTTGCTATTCGTTGAACCCTGATGCAACTATCAATCCTCACAAAAGCATGTTTGGTTTGGGAAACTATGATGTGAATGTCTTGACAGTGGCATTGCAACTCAAAGATTATGAATTTATATGGTTTGACAAGCGAATGTAAGTGTAAGATATTTAGGTAGGAGCCATTTCTCATAATGCCGTCAAGCACAGAAAGGAACCTTAATCAGCTCATTAGTTTTAAAGAAACAAACAAACATTTGCATCTTGTGTTTTCAGTGATTATTAGACAGTGGCCTATTAGACAGTGGTCAGGTAGTATTTTTTTATTTATCCAGCATCTGAAAGGTAAATCTAGATTTTAACAGCTAAATAGATAAAAAGAGATGCTAACCGGCATTCTTGTAACCCCATTTGTCGGCAGGGATTCATCCCTTATTTCGTTTTCACCTATAGTGATCTAACCTCACTGGATCTGACCAATATCTATGGCATCGTTCTCAACAAGTTTTACAAACCAAAATGCCTCGGTTTAGAAATTCCCATAAAGCGCAGACACTGGCTTGCGATTCAAAAAGTGGATGAGAGCTTCTATAATTTGGATTCAAAACTTGATGTTCCAAAATACATTGGAAATGAAGATGATTTGATAAAGTTTTTGAGGTCTGAACTTGAGGTGACAGCTACTCAGTTGTTTTTAGTTGTATCAAATTCACTGCCCAAAGATAGCTGGATGAAAATGAGCTAGACTTTGGTGGAAATTTTGATTATAGGTATCATATTGTGACCATGGTTTGCCAGATTAGCTAAGGACAAGAAAAAAATTGTGCTAGCATGAATGTCTTCGGCAATATTTTTTAGCAGATCTATCAACCCTGTGTAAATCTGAAAAAGGTTATCTTTTGTTTTTACTGGTATTATTCAATCATTTTAAATGATTTGTCTTGGCAAATAATTGGCTCATTAATTAGCTCATTAACTCTCAAACTAATGACAAAACCACCTAGCATTAAAATTAACTTGTTAAATGGCAGTTTATACTATTCTAGTAAAGTGGAAACCATCTGACATTAAAATTGACTGTGAGATACATGTGCACTGTGAGATACGAGTTCACTTTGTCAACATACAATTCGGTGAACATTCAACATCCGGTGTATATAATTTTATTAACATTGCAAAAAACAGTTTGCAAAGAACACATTACAAGCTTCTCTACTCCTAATTGAGAATAAACAAATCACAAATGAAGTTCTAAAACTTTCCATATTGCGATTTGTTGTAGCTAGTAATGCCTACTGCATGAACTGCAAGCGTGATTGATAATATTGACAAATATTGTCTACCATTATGACTAGTTGTAGATCCACAACCTGTCGAATTACATTACGGGAACTGAGGGATAATATATTTATAGCATATTTAGCATCTTAAAATGTTGTCATAAAACCAGTTGTCATCTTTGCAGATGTCGTTATCTAAACTCAAAAATAGATTGACTGTGGTCTGGAACATGATATAGATTTAACGTCTGATACCTACAAGAGAACAAAAAGTCGATTATTACATTTACCTTGTTGTTGATGGGATATTTCACCTAGCCATATTGTCATGCCTATAGCTATATAGTTTCATTTGTGCTTTGTTGAATATTTTCTTAGATAAGGTTGAAGAACTTTACCATTCTGAAGTTTTGTGATAGTAATAACCCTCCATTGTTGCTGTGGATTTTTGAAAACATATATAGTAAAAACCAGCAAATGAGGCACCATTGATATCCTTTATAGTGTGGTCTGGGACTAAAAAGTGTTCCTGAACAGAATGGAGACATTTTAGTTATACAACTGTTGGTACGCATTGGGCCATTGCTCCTACTTGCAAACATGTTGCATTGTTCGTTTACACTTGCAATTTTTGGAGCGATTTTATGTGCAATTTTCTTATTTTGACAGATGTGAACCAGTATTAGTTCTAAATGCTAAGGGGCTGTTTGTATAAACAAGAGATATTTTGCATAGTTAAGCTCAGAAATACACAACTCTGATTGGCCAATTTATTTGAACATCAGTTTACATCCATCACAAGAAGAAAATCGCACGTACAATCGCAGCAACTGGCCTTAAAGGAACACTTACTTTCCACCTCATAAAAGCGAAGTCCAAATTATTTAGTTGTGTGTAGTCAAAGTTATCACTGTTAAAATGTTTTGCAAACTGATAAAATGGAGGGAACTTTCCCTAGATTAGAGAAATCATAGGTATATGAATCAGTAAAAATATCTATTATAATGCATCTGGGTACTGAAGTGTAGATGGCAATATTTACAGACATAAAAAATGACCTCTCAAGGAAAAACATGTGAACAATGGACCTTTTGCATAATAGACCATTCTCTTACCCAATGTTTTCTGTCAACTTCCTCATCAGCTTCCTGCAAGAATTTAGTACTTTCAATGTGAAAATATGCTCATCACATGCTCATGCTCATCAGAATTACAATTTCAAATACGCTACTTCATATGAACCTACCCATTTTCTCGTAAGAAATGGATGTTTATCACAAATAATTTCACCATCAAAATATGTCGTCAACAAAGGATATTCCTGTTTTGAGAAAAAGGTCACACAAAGTGAATATGTATTTCTGCATCATGATCAAGTATTACCCAATGGATATCTGAGTTAAAACCAATGTTATTCTTTCATAAACAGTACACTTAAGGTGATGAAATTGTTCCTATGGAAATGAACAAATGCCCGACAGGTTCTATGTGTTCTCATGGGAATACATAGAACCTGTTGGATTTCTTTTGGGTTTCCCCAGGCCAGAAGTCATCTTAAATCAGCAAAAATTGTCAAGTCCTGTGTGGCTGTGTGGACATGACCAATGCCATCCCAGAAGAGATATTTCACTATTATAAATATTATAAATATACCCACAGTCTCTACTAGGCTAAATATTAACAATATAAACCTATTAATGAATTCTAGGATTTCTATTTATTATCTTTATCCACGAATTTAGGGCAATGGTACTTTCCAAAACAGTAAATATCTCCTGCACCAACTTACCTCTGTTAAACCTATAATTTTTAAATATCCGCAAAGGAAGGCATTTTCCTCGTCGACATGCTTTTGGAGAAAAAAAAAACCGATGAACAAAAGATATTAAAATCATGTGGTATAAACATTTACAGTACAAAGAACGACACAAAAGTTCATATCCCGTATCGTAAGGTTTGCCGCTATATATTACTGTGAAATGTCATCTACCTGCAAAACGACTTCAACGTCGTAACTGTTTCCCTTGCTCTTCTGTTGCCCTTGAAAGCGACTGCCACTGTATAAAAGGCTACGCGGCAAGCCAGGCTGGTTGGATTTCGGCGGCAAAGGCTCGCAGCAGATTTTTAAACCAGGCATTGTAGCCACAATATTGCGACGAAACTTTTGAAAACATTAAGTTCCTTCTTCTCCGGAAATCACATCGCCAGCAAGGGATCCTGGGAGATCCACTGAGCTATAATAATCATTCTTTTATAATCTCATAAAGGAAACATAACTGGAATGTGACCCGAAGAGATATGCTGACTGAATCAAATTTTTTATTTTTCCCACTAAGCTGCTTTTGTTTGGAATTCAGGAACTTGTCAAAGTGGTGGATCAGCATGGTAACGTAGTGGTCATAGGGAGCCTGCCCACCTGGATTTGTGCAAAACCCATTGTCCTCCACAAATTAAAACAATTTTATTTCATCCTTAGCTAAAAGCTATCCTTAGCTAAAAGCTAACCCTTCGCAGACCATAAACAATGGTCTAAAAGCACAAAGTGACTGGAGCGACCACGATTCTCCCACCTGTGACCTGCCCCCACTGTACTGCCTACTGAGGTTCAACTTCACCCACTGCATTTATCACCATCAAGACTGTATATATAGCTCAGTGCTTCCACCTTGACCTGTGACTTTTTTTACCCGTCAAACGGCCTCTGGTTCCCAAGCTTCGAAGTTCGAACGTGTGCGACCAGGGCGAATCGGGTGAATTCTTATTCCTTGTTGTCGAAGGACTGAGGACTGACTGCAAATATTTTCTACTTGACACTATTTGTAAGCTGTATTTTTTTATTTTGAGAGCTTTTTTTAAGTTATCGGGGACATTTATCTTCAACGTAGTAAGGTAAAGAACGTACCATGATTGACTTTTAGTAACATACACTTCAAAAACGTTATAAAAATGACGAAGTTGCTTTGCTAAATTTGAGGTGTGTTTCATGATCAGTCACTAAAGTAACCCAGTTTGCCGGATAAATTTCATGTAGATGTTTCAGTTCTCGCGTTATCTCTCTTGATTAAATCTTTCAGCGAAGCAGGCGGTATTTTTATTCATTCTTTTAGACCGAATATTTTCAATTTAACAGCAAAGAAAGCGGTCAGAATATGGCAGACCCACAGACATTGGCTCAGAATTAATATTTATCGTTCCTTTTGTTATCCACAGATATTGCTTTTGAATTTTATATCAACCAGCAATCATGAGTGAGGTAGAGTCACAGCTACCAAACCCAGCACCAATCAGTTCAGCTGATCAGCCAAGTACCGAAACCACCACTACCATTTCCACACCACCAGCGACAGAGGTGTCAGTTGGCCTTAAGAGGCTCCATGTAACCAATCTACCATTCAGGATACGTGACAATGACTTGCATGACATGTTTGGGGTAAGCTTTGGAACAGACTCTACATCAAAATATTACTTATATGTGACTTTATAACAGCATATCCTTTAAATTTACATGTGTCTTCTTAGAAATAATCTTTCAACTTTTCCTTACAGAAATATGGTGAAATTCTTGAAGCAGAAATAATCTACAATGAAAGGGGATCAAAGGTGGGAAAAATTCTTAAGTATACCTATTTTGTATCAATTCCATTTTGGGGAGATTATATATGGAAATTGGTGGCCAAATTATAAGTATTTTGGTGTATTTCCCTAAAATTGCTATTAATCATTTCAAGGGCTTTGGATTTGTGACAATGACTCAAGCAGCTGATGCAATGAAAGCAAGAGACAATCTCAATGGGACTGTAATTGATGGAAGAAAAATAGAGGTAATATAACTGGCTATTGCTTGATAAAGCTATCAAGATCGGAGATGGATAATCATGATTGTAATGGGATAAAGATAGGATTAGTGTTAGGATTCCCGTCGATATTTATGGTGGCATTAGGCTTGTAGGAAGACTTGTCTGAGATCAAGTGATGTAAAAGAATTAGATCAAATAAGGCATTCTTTTGAAGTTGTAACATAACAAATGCTTAACCTAATACTGTTTTACAGTATCCTTGGCCTTTTTTTTATCTAATTCTTCTGTAATATGCGGCTACTGAAGGACAACTTTGCTTGTTTATTCAAGTGATGTGTTTGGGTGACCGTTGTTGAACCCAGTGCATGTTGCATGCTCAATGTAATTTTCTCCACACAGGTTAACAATGCTACGCCAAGGCCTAAACGAGGGCCTATGAGCACCCAACCAAACCAAGGATCATTTCATGGTACTGCATGCCGTTCTCAGGCTCTGCATGTTGAAGACTAACCTTGCATGTTGTTGCGTTGTTTGCATGCTGCATTTGACATGAACCCGCCCAGTTGCATGGACGTCAGAAGTTCAAAGCGAAATTGGTGATGTATAACATGAATTATATGTGACAGAAATGAGGTTCATTTCTGATACGGATCATTGGAGTTGAATCAATGCTCCGGCAATTTTTCCTGTGGAAAAGTTGTTTTCCCAAAACCTTTCTCAACCCAACTTTCCGTTAAAAAAATTTTAAATACCGAATTATTTCATACAACAAATGGACTGGATTGTATTATTCTTGCTATCACAAAGGTAAAAAGTTAAAAACAAGAATTTAGTAAATGAAAAGTCTGTGCAAAGGTTGACAAATGCTTTTCATATGAAGCAGTGTTAATTCTTCAATACTTTTTAGGACATCGAGGGATGAGAGGTGGTCGTCGAGGTAGAGGTGGCATGGATAGTGGTGGATATCAAAACCAAAAGTAACTAAGGATTTCATCTTTTCTTTTATTAAGTTGTTTCAAAGTACCTGGCCTTATCTAATATTTTTGGTTTTTTAAAATTTCAGTTATTACCAAGGTTACAATATGAACCAAGGATATTCAGCTCCACCAAATCAAGACACATTTCGGTAAGGGACAGGATGCAATTATTCTGTACAATTTTAAGTCTTCTTTACCTCTGTGTCATCTGATGGCTAATCATCTTTTTGTATTTTTTAGCTATGGTCAACAAGGACCTCAGAGTTCATATGGTGGGGGATATGGTAGTGCATATGGTACCAGTGGTGGTTATCAAAATACAAGTGCCTACACCAGTGCTTATAACAGTGGTGCTTATGGTGGGGTAAGTACCCATTTTCCATCAAGAACAGAAAATCAGAAATGCCATACATATAAATAATCAATAATTGTGGTTTGCTTTTAGACTGTCTTGGCATAAAATGAGACAGTTTACATATTATTTAAAACAATTTCAGTTTATTGTAGTTTCAAGCCTATGCCACACAGGTGATTTTTTTCTCCTGGTGTATTGCAATAGACCTTTCCCCATTTAGTTTTCAAATGCGCAATGCATGACGGTAGTTGATTATCACGCAACTTTGAGTTGCAATATCGCTCTGCTTGGAAGCCATTTTGTTTGTAAGAAAACCTTGACGATTCCTTTTGCTTCTTTGTTAAACTAAATCGCTCCTGATTCTTGCTCTGAACTCAAATTGATCTTGATAATCAACTACCATCACGTATTGTGCGCTTGAAAGTTAAAAGCGGAAAGGTCTATTGAGTGAATTCAACAGAATAGATTACTTTACTTTGTTAAGCAATACACTTGTGTACACAACTCACTCAATAGCATACACTAAAAATAGAGAATTGGCAACAAAAATGGTCTGTGTAGCTGCAGCTTAAGGTGAATAGGAAATAGAGGTTTTTCTAAGAAAGTTTAAACCACGCAAAATTTAAGCACGTTTCTCATGAGCAGTTAGCTGGACATGACCTTTATAGTGTGTTGATCATTTTTAAACTGAACTTGCTCCCTCTTTTCTAGGGTTATCAACAGCAAGCACCTCAGCAAAGTCATACACAAGGATATCGTTATCAACCATACTGAAATTAACAATGTTTCCAACAACATCTGAAAGTTGATTCTGGCTGTAGTATATTTTAGATAGAGATTGAAAATGATCTAATGCCACAGGCGAAAGAGTTTATGGAAATTTTTAAAAACCTTTTTCAGAATTGTCATAAACATGTACAAACACTGTATAATAACATTCATACTGAGAATGTAGTGATCAATAAATAGAACTAAATACTGACTGATTTTAGTAAGAATATCCAGGTAATCTGATGCTGATATTTTTAGTCAATCAACAGCAGTCAGAAGTATTGTCAAACTAGAAATCCATTCTGCCATATTTAATTTATATCTTTTGTTTCTCTTTATGAAACCAGTGAAGAATTTGTGATTATTTGTTTAGTTGTAAAAACTATAGCTCTGGCATTAATTTAAACTAAGAGATATTAAGTTGCCTTAACCAAGAAATGGAAAACTAGCTGTAGGCCTTTTTAGCAATTTCAGATAACCTGGATGCAATGAAAGTACAACTGTTAACTTAATACTCTATCTACGTATATTTATGTTTACATGTATGTCGTTTTGTGTGGTCTTAAATGTGAAACCAGAGATACATTCTGTATGTTATGTACTTAGAATGCCCTAAATTTAAGATAGCTAATGTTTCATTTTAAAACATCTTATCTCTACCCTAAAGCAATATATAATTTGTCCTAAATATCAGGTGGTTATAATTTCTCCAACAGCAAGTGAATATTGAGTTGTAGCAACAAGCAGCGGATTAACGTCATTGCAGAAACCGCAGGCAATCTCAACATGATAAAGTACCTTCTCTGCAAGATCCAATCTGTCCTTTTTATTCTAAAGAACATGACAACATAAATTGAATGATTTAAAAAAAAACTGTGTACTTAGAGATGAATTTTCATCACTGATTGTTACTTGCAGATCCCCACATAACATTGTTGAGTTGTATGCTCCAACCAATTCTGTAACTTCATTTAAATCAACACTGTGAAGATGCTCTTGTTTAGCTAAAAAAAGAAAGTGACTTACTTATACTATATATATACATGCACCCATTTGCAAAAACGTTGGCCGCAGATAGACCTAGATAGATACTCGAAGTCTAATTAGAATTGCATATGATTACATTTGCATGGGATTTCAATCATATTACACAACATATGTATATATGCATAACACAATATATATATATATATATATTGCATTTCGATTGTATCATTGTAACTAGAGATACTGATGTGTGGAGACAAGCTTCTGGAAATTACAGTCCCATCATTAGTAACTGTTGATCAGCAGTTGCATCTTTACCTTTGGAAAGAATGAAACAGCATCTACCCAAAAAGTAATCAATGTCAACAAGGCTCACAGCTTCCTTTATCATTTCAAAACTATAAGAGACAATAAAAATCAGTATTTGTGATTGATTTAATTCAATTTATTTTTACACAATTTGCTTCCAAAAAGTGGCATCATCTTGCACCAAAATATGATAGATTTTGTGTGTAAACACAGCTACAAAACCTTTGCTGGTTGGTTAAATCCAAAATGAAAACAATATAGTCTATTCTTGGTCTGGACTCCTCTGCATTGGTTAGCTTGGGTAATGGAAGGCTTGTGGTTGTCCGGCTAGAATTAGCAAAGCAAAGTTAACCCAATTTAAGGGTAAACTGTGCAGCATCACTACTAGTCAAAGTAAAACTGTCAAAGGTAACAGTTAAAATAATTCTTTCAGATGTGGAGTGGTAGGGTATCTTTGATAGGATGGTAGAAAGGTGCAAAAGTTTAATTCTTACATCTGTATTGAATATCTAGTATTCATCTGTGACATTATTTCATCAACAAAATTTTCCATCCCAATACCCTTTATACTAACAGTCTAGAACAAAAAAAAGTTTTATGATATGATGCCTACCTATTTAGAAGTTTTTTAAAACAATGTCAAACTTAGGTATTGTTTATATCAGAGGACTCTTGGCACATGCGCAGAGAGAACGTGATTGCATCTTTAAAAACACACGTAAACAAATAATATGGGAATGTTAAATAATAGACAATATACAATTTAGTGAATTTACCAATATCGTAGCATGATTATTTGTTGGAAGTTCTTTGAATCTTGATAAAATTTCACTTTGTTTTTCTGACATTTTGTAAAAACGTTCCTTCAAATTTGTTTACCTCCGAATTTTCCCGCCATATCTTTCTGATTTAATTGCTAAATGTACGACCCCCCTGTTAACAAGTTTCACGATATACAATCACGGGGGGAATCAATTTTTTGTATGGTTAAAATATTAAAAATATGAAAGGTAAAAGAGATAAAGTTGTTTTAGTTTTCGACGAGAAAGATCGAAGGTTAGCAATGAAATATTGATCTCTTTTCATTTTTAAGCATATTTCTGCTTTGAGGAATGCTTGAACTACAGCAAAGATATTTTTATTTAATTCATTGAATGTAACAAATATATGAACTGTTTACCAATATTGTATATCCTCTAGTATGTTTTAACTGTGATAGTTTAATGTAGACTTTGAATAAATTTCCAAAAATTGCCTTTGAGATGTGCTGAGATATGCTCATATTGCTAAGAAATGACCAAGGGATTTTTTTATGTTTTTGTAGAGATTTTCTTACTGGTTTTCGTAAAAGGAAAAATGTACGGAGGAAGAAAGCACAAGAAGAGAACAAAAAGAAAGAAGAGGAAAAAAGAAAGCAACTTAGAGAAGAGGTAAATTTGATGTACTTTGCTTTATAAAGCAAACATTGAGATACTGGTACCATCTTGTTTTCTTACAGAAACGAGAAGCTTTGAGACAGCGCCTTGAAGAATATGAGAACCAACAAGGTTGATTAAATAGTGTATTTAATAGTGAAACTTTTTCAGCTTGATCTAATCTCCTTAGATCAAGTCTAACTGACTAACTCAGTCTTAAATGTTTGCCTTTGTTAGAAGCAAATGACATGGAAGATTTTCAAGATTCAATTCAACCACAGGAAAGTATAACCCATGACTTTGGGGAACACACAGTGACAGTTTCAACTATCACTGATGAAGATATGGGAAGAGACTATATAGCCACTGGCTTACCTGCAACACTGGACAAACCTAAAGAAACAGATACTAAAATCACCTCGGACAATCAGAAACAAGCCACAAAGTATGTTGTATTATATATTTTCATAAAAGTTATATCCTCAACTGGTAACGCTTTTCTTATAGCTCCATTTTGAAAAAGTGATTTTGAGATAAATCAGTAATTCTGGGTATTTTTTAGAAATAAATTACTTCGAAAGAGACAGTTCCGCAAGAAAGCACAGAAACGAAAAATCCAGGCAATGGGTGACAAAAAGTCTTTCAAACAGAGACTAAAACATGGAGCCAAACGAAAATAAACAAACATTGTATTGGAATCAGCATAAGAAAGTGATGGCTAATTTGGCTAATTTTCAGTTTCTTGATGTAATTAGTGCAACTATGTTGTACATTTATGTAAATATACTTTCATTTAAAAACCATAAGATGCCCTTTTTCTTTTCAAAATCTTTTTCCTGTGTCTGTCAATTAAGGGGAGGCGGTATTCTAGGAAATATATGAGGGGGAGAGGGGAGAGGGGACCCCGCTGGGTGAGGGGGACCCGAAATGACCTACAGTTTCCTTCGGTGTCCAGACTTCACGTTTTTCGCACGTGTTTTTTTTCGGAGCATTTTAAAGATGGCGGATTGTTGAGGAGTGAAAATTATCTCGATTTCTCAGTTGAATTTTACAGGGTTTCAATGGCTGAATATGTATTTCAAAATGTGGAGGGAATGCTTCCAGAGTTGGAGGAAATGGAAAGGTTGGAATTATTCACCAAGGATGAGATAAAGTAAGAATCTCTTTGCAGATGAATGATTTTATTGATTTATATTTCTTGAGGTTGAATACTGCATTTGATTCACAAATTGCAAACGAATTATTTCATCAAATTAGATGTATTGTGAAACGACGGACTGCGTTTGAATACAAACTACAAAAGCGAATCGTCCAAGAAGCGGATTTTCTACGTTATATTCAGGTAGAATCCGTTTGTTTTTGGTAGTTTTCATTATCCATTTATCCTCATTTTTCTAACGTGTTTCTGTCATCTTTCAGTATGAACTGAACTTAGATCTTTTACGAAAGAGAAGAAAGAAGGTATATAATTACATCCACTTAACCCATTTACACTACACTCAAATTTTTGGCATGGTATGGCTAAAATGGGTACCCACACACCGTACCATTTTAATCTGTGCTCAACCTTTGTATTGGTAGTCTGAGGATAATTGAAGTTTGGTACGGGTACTATTACTCAATTTTATCCAAGCTCAGCTTACCAATACAAAAGACAGAGCATGGTTGAATTTGGTAGGGTACATGGTACCCCCATTTTAGGCATGCAATTACAATTACTATTGTTGATATATACAGAATAACTTTTTCCCTATTGTATAGAAATGTGGAATTCAGGAGAAAATTCTACCTGGGGAGGCAGTTTTTATTAGAAAGATGCACTTTTTGTTCCAGGTGAATTGCTTATACATACGCATTCCTCTGAATTTCCTTTTTAACTAAATTTGACGCTCCTGTCCATGATTGCAACATTTTAGTCAGCCGTCAAGAAATTTTCAAGTGATGTCAAGTTATGGTTGCAGTACATTGAATTTTGCAAACAGGCTGTGAGCTATGTTTTATTATATTACACAAATGGCTTTTGTGTGTTTGTATTAATTCTTTTGTGTATAGTATCTCTTTACATATATTTTCATTTTATTTTATTAGGGCAGTGGACAGGCATTAGGAAGGGTTGTTGGAAGAATGTTACAGGCTCATCCGAACAACACAAGTAAGTAAGCTGCAATAATATTCTTGTATGTTTGCATGGTGACAATCAATAAGTAATTTAGCTTGTAGGTACACCACGTAAGTATTTGATACTTGTCTGTTACCCTGGGCCTTGATGAACTTCCATTGCATTGCATTCCTTCCATTGCCCTGATGAAGGCCTGGGTTAACGAACCGTAAGCTTTGCAGTATTAAATATTTACATGGTGTACCTACAAGCTAAATTACTTACTTAAGTAAGCTGCAGTTGCTCAATACCAGAGGCCAAAAGACTAGTTAACTTTTAGCTGTAGTTAAGGACAGAATTGGCCAATCTGTAACTAGGATTTAACTATTAACTATGCAAAGTTTAGTTAAAAAGTTTTATACAACCGGCCCCATGAGTTTAGCTCTGTGGTTAATTTGGTCAACAAAGTGTCAATTCAAATAGTTTAAAAACTAATCTGTAATAATCTTGTATCACTTTATCAACCATTTTGGAAAATATGGGTGTAACCCACCTGCTCATAAGCCCTTAATTGGGTGGGCATGCTGACTTAGTGACAACTATTTTTCAGTTGTTTTCAATATAAATTGCTACAGCTCTAAGTTGCAATCATATTGGTAGATTTTTATGTAAAAATATTCTTTAGAAATGAATAACCAATAGCGTTATTGTTAAGATATTTTGAATTTGAAATTAAACTGTGTAATGTAAGTTAACCCTGAATCCACAACTGCATATTGCTTGTCATTTGGTTAATGTTTTAAAAATATTTCTCAGGCTTGTGGATAACTGCAGCAAAATATGAATTTGAAGAGAGAAACAACATAAAATCATCAAGGTATGTGCCTTGCATAATTTTTTCATGTATTTCTCATGTGTTTATCAATTTTTATACATTCATATTTGTCTTCAGTATTGTTAATAACTTGAATTATTTTTCCTAAATACTCAGGATTTTGTTGCAAAGAGCCTTGCGGTTAAACTCAAATTGCCAGAATCTGTGGCTTGAGGTGAGTTTTTCGCGGTAGCTTGAAGATATAGTCTTGTTTGTGATGGGTTTCATTGTTTAAAAAATATATGCTGTAAAATATACCGTTTGTACGCTGAAAAATATATCACTAATCAATAATCATATTTAGTATTTCAGATTGGAATTGTTGTATATTGACAAGGTTTGTCACCATCAAAATATCTTTATTCTATCATTATTTCTTGTTTGAAAAACTGCCATGGTCATTATAAAATGTTTATGTTCAGGTTAAGAAAAGACGAAGATTGTTAGGAATTAATGCTGGAAATGATGAGGTCAGTAATCTAAATGATATGAATGACAGTCATGGTACATTCTACCATCCTCTCTAGCCCTAATCCACCCTGATCTTCCCCTTCTTTATTCTCAAATTTTTTCTCGCTGTTTCAGGATCCAGAGACACCAACTTCTAGTGATTTCATTTCTGGAAAAACCGCTAGAATTGTTTACAAGAATGCAACTCAGAATATACCAGGTACGAATGCATGTGGTATAAAATTTGGCCATTTATTGGCCATGTCTGATAATAGGGAGCTTTAGCAGTGACTATACGACTACGAGATTCGTCATTCCCGCGTTTTGCTGGCTTACGTCATCAACCAAAACTCGTACTGGCTGAGGTTTAGAGTAATTTCGTATTCAAAACCCCAACGACTGCCAGTTTCGTGCGCAGGAAAACTGTAAAAGTACCGAGTTTGGCGCGAAAAAGACGAATCATGTACGCGTAGAAATCTGCTTTTTCATTACAGAACCTACATTGTAATAATTTTTATATGGATCTTCTTGTTTTCAAATTGATGCAGATGAATGTACCATACAGTGCACTGACTCAGTTCAATAATTCGTTCATATTATTTTCAATAGATGATGTTGAATTCCGTTTAAAGTTCGTCAGTATCTATTATCTTTTCGATGATTGCGAGGAAGGTGTGGATGAAGTCTATCAAAGGTGATCAATGATAATTCAATATGATTAGAAAGTTTGCAGTGTCTGGATGTTACCTGAATGTTTATTTTCCTTCGATATATATTATTTAGTTTGTCGAAAGATTTTCCTGAATCTGAAGAAGCCTGGAATGCCTTGGCCTGTCGTGGTTTAAATAAATTAAAAGCCACAAAAAGCAAGATTTCTAACATGCCAGGTAATCATAGATGGTTTTAGTTGTTTTAGCCTTTCTCGCGACGACGTTTTTGGGGTACTTTCAATTTTCTCAAATGTGTTTAAAAAATTATAACAACATGAAAAGCAATTTTTTTAGAATCAACAGACCATTTGAAGAATAACTCCAGCCTAAAATTAAAGGCAGTCGCCGTTACGAAGTCATACGCTCCCGGTTTTACTAAAAAGTACCCCAAAAATGGCTGCATATTCGTCATCGTGAGAAAGGCTAATTGAATAAACTCTTGACGAAGAGATTATTGTTCAGATGATTCTCACAGTCGCACAACCAGACCCACCATCTTCTGTAGAATACGCTGGTCCATGTTTTTACGAACGCTTATTCATATTTTTCCTTTCTTGTGAGTTTCGTTTTCTTTTTACTTTAAGATTTTGAATGGCTCAAGTTGGAAGAAGAAAGGAACAAAGTTTTTGAGGAAGCTTTAAAAACTGTAAAAACTGGTAAATCTTCTATCAAAAAAATCTTCGCTTTGTGTTGATCTATGTTTGAAATAAAGATCTTTGCTTTCAAAACAAACCTCTTCTTTTCAGAAAAAATGTGGAATTATTATATTGAAGCGCGCTACAATGACTTGGAAAGATATTCTAGCGAGATTGTTAAAAAGGTTTAGTTAAAAATTATGAAAATAGCAAGAAATAAATAGGAAATGGTTTATTTTGAAGATTTTCCCATTATTCCCTTTTTTTACTCTTCTTTCAGAAAGTAAACGACTTGCTGCGGTTATTCAAGTCAGCGGATACGGCCAAGAAACTTTGTGCAAATAAATGCTTACTATGGGTGGGTAATATGTACACTAAAGGCGATCTTATACACGAGGCAATTTTTCTTACAACATGCGTTTCTGGAGTTAATGCATGTTATGGAAATGCCATCGAATGGATAACATGCATTTGGATAACATGTATATACTCCAGAACGGCGTTGCAAGTACTTTCTAGATAACATGCATCTACTCCAGAACATGCGTTACTTTGTGGATAACATGCATCTACTCCAGAATTTGTTCAAAATACTGAAACGACCAGTAATTGTAAGTATAATATTTTTGTAGATCGAAACGCTTTTACAAAATGGGAACTCCAAAGAAGCCACGAATATTTGTAAGTCGTCGTTAAGGAACTTTCCAAGTTCTGTACAGTTATGGAAACAGTATTTTAATTTACGATCACAGGGTAAGTATCGTCTGAGATCGTCCCAATCCTACCATGTTGCAATGCCCCTGGGTGCATTTTCTCTTCACCCACCCCTCCCATATCTTCGCCTTGTACGGCCTTGCGGTGAGTTTAAATCATATAAATTATTTTCAGATTCCGGCAGTTTAACAGACGGTTTTTTAGATGAATATTGTGAGGCCTTGGGTCAGTTGGACTGTGATGAGGTACGAAATATTACTGTACAGATACCAATTACAAGTCTATAAAGTTGAATCACCTAACTTAAAGTTTACTCTTTGTAATATTGATCCAGTGTTACAACAGGAGGAAACCTAAACTAAACTAACTTTATTTATCCTGGATAGTTCTATCAGTTCTAAACTGTTCTTCCTAGAGGTCCAGTAAGGATCATCTCTTATTAATCCAGTGTTACTACAGGAGGAAACCTAAACTAAACTAACTTTATTTATACTGGATAGCTCTATCAGTTCTAAACTGTTCTTCCTAGAAGCCCAGTAAGGATCATCTCTTATTGATCCAGTGTTACTACAGGAGGAAACCTAAACTAAACTAACTTTATTTATACTGGATAGCTCTATCAGTTCTAAACTGTTCTTCCTAGAGGTCCAGTAAGAATCATCTCTTATTGATCTAGTGTTACTACAGGAGGAAACCTAAAGTAAACTACTATTGCCTCTACCAGTTTTAAACCGCATGTTATTTTCTTCCAGGACATTATTACGATGTGGTTCAATTGGTTTGAACTTTCACTGTCTTTCTCGAAAGATGGGGCAGAGAAAACCGAGCGTGTATACAATGTAAGCTTTTAAATTAACCAAAATAACTCTAATATTCAGCTCCGTCAGTTTTGAACTCTCAACTCCAAGATTTGTTGCCTAATCTTTTCCATTTTCTTTTTAGCGTTGCGTTGCCGCATGTTCGGCGAACGACGTCACCACGAAAATTCACGAAGATTACGTGGAGTTAGTTGTGTTAAGAGATGGAATTAAAAGTGCACGAAAACTTTATAAAAGGTATCGATGTTTGATTTCCACTTTTCTTTGTCCATATCTTTACATATTGACTTTTATTTTGTAAACAAACTGTGCATGTTGTTTTCCTTTTTTAGGTTGTTCAAAGAGAACTCTGTGTCTGTTTCGTTTTATCGAAAATGTTTAAGTATTGAAGAATCCCAGGTTTGTTTAAGGTTGTATTCAAAGAGCTAATTTAAAATACCGAATTTCAACAAAGGAATAGAGTGAATAGACATTTCTCATACTTACATCAAACGCGGAATTAAGCCTGATGTTACACGAAATTTGATTGGCTCGTTAGTTTTTACGCAGCCAATCAAACTTCGTTTGACATTTGCATCCTATTATGAGAATGGTCGATTGAGTTAGTTCACTTTTTAGGCTGCTCCAAGTCTCGGACGTCTTCGGAAACTCTATGAATCAGCACTTGAGAGATTTGGATTAGAAATTCCAGGTAATTCTAAATTTCTAACACGATGACACGATGGGAATTATGCCGGCGAACAGCTCAAATATGCTAACATTATATTTCCCTATTCGACAGATTTGTGGTTGGACTACATCAAGTTAGAACTTAGCGATGGGGATCCCAACATTGTGTCAAAGTTACATTGGCGAGCAATGAAGTCTCTTTCTGGAGACAACGTCGAAGAGTTTGTGACCAAATATGCATTACTGCAACAGTCCTTGTAATATCCTGGATTTCACAGCGCAAAATCTTGTAATAGATGGCGGGTCAACTTTGGTGAACTTTCTATTGTCCCAATGAGAAATAATCATTTCCTTATTTGTAAATATGTTTGGATTGGTCGACCATTGACGAACCAACTTTATCATATAAATAAGAGTTTAAAAGATCAGAAAAAATTGTGTTGCACATGAGGTATATGAATTATAAACTGAAAAACGTAAAGTAACAGGTCTGCAAAGTTCACTATATTAAAAAATATTCAAATGCCATTGTTAGCACTTGTTGCAAATCAGCAAAGGTGTTTAATGAGAGACTGACCATTGTGGTGCAAACGACGAACCACTACTGATGTTATTTACACGAAGTATTGGATGTGGCTTTACGTGGCTACCGCTAGCCGTAATTCGTCTTCAGTTGCGGGCTCAGCGTTGTTACCATAGCGACAACGTCACTAGCCTCTGTGTGTTCTGTGTGTGGTTCTGTGTTTTGGTTTGGTTCCGTGCGATGGATCTTTTCGATTTGGTTCGATAATGAACAGCCAAGGCAAAGATACCAATACAGTTTTAACAAATCTTTCAAACTATTTGACAGTCGTATCGGACAAACCATATAGCGAGAGGAAAAAGCAACGTTATGGTCTGCCTGCTTTGAGGTCCAGCGCAAATAGCTCCAATCTTGGACGTCGTGGACTCAGATCTTTGCATAAAACCACTTTGAACATAACAAGTGGTGAAATCAAAAACGAATTTTGTAGTACTATGAAAGATGTAAGTTATCTGTTCTAATGTTATTGTTAAAATAAAGAAATTCATAATTTGCAACACGCTGTATTCATTAGAATGCTTAGTATGTAACATTTTATCAACTCTTTTTTCCAAATGCGCTATTCCATTTAATACGTGCCCTCTCTGTCGAGGATACGTATTTTTTAAAGATTCACCTCTGAGGAGTTCCAAGAGTATCTGTCATAGCTCCCCCTGAGGAATTCCAGGCCATAGTTTAGCTGCCCCTGGGGTAATCAGTGATGAATTCTAGGCATCTTTAACAAGGGGGGCGGGAGGCATACAGATTTCAAATGGAATCAATCAGACTCAAGTGAGGTAGGTGTAAATTTAGGAATTGTCGCAGCTGTAATATTGTTAGAAACCTTATTATTTCTATTTTGTACTTTTAGAGTTTCGGTGGCAAACCTAGCCTGAAACCGGTCAAGCAGTTAAAAAAGTTCCCCTCCTTGCACACATCACAATTTGACGTAGGTTTGAATTCTGAGCTCCACACAACAACAACCACCAAGGATTGTTTCACAAATTATACAGGTCGGAGAACAACAGAGCATGTGGACAGAGCACGATGGATGAGTCAAATGGCTGGAAGAAACATGGTGAATTGCACAAGATTCGATGGAGCCAGTGATGTAGGTTCATACTTTGGCAAAGCTCCAGAATGTAAATAATCCTCAGCCTGAAATATATATGGCTAACATTTTTCCACATGATGTATTTTAGATTGATTTTTTGACAACATATTCCCAAAACCATTATAAGATGAAACTGAAAATGAGTTATTCTGAACCTGAAAAATTCAATGGCAGGTGGAGAACTAGCATTTATAAAGTTTGTGGTGGTAGGTATATGACAAGCAATGTTGGGCAGAGTGACAGAGTTATACAATAATTTGCTACTTTTGGATTTCAGAACATCCGGAGGTAAACGATGCAAGAAGATTCAGTTCAATCTCAAGAAATAGAACTTTGCATGAGGAACGTAAGAAATTAACACATTCGAATATATTATATTAAAAAGACAAAACAATGATGGAATTTTTGTATCATAAAGTTTGTTTTGATAAAATTTTTGTAAATATTTATATTAGGTACTCATGAGTAATAATTAAATAATTAATTAGAAATAATTAATTAATAGTCTGCTTGTTATTCGGTATGGAATTTCAGCCAATCATAGAGCGAGAACGGAAGAGCGGGAAAATAAATCCAGGTTCTAAATTTCAAAATGGCGGATGTTAAAATGAACGTCTATGTGGTTATGTGCTACTTTATTTTGCCCTGAGGCAAAAACTTTTGTTTTCTGACACTTGAAAAACCCCCAACTTAAGAGGTAAGGTATAACTTTGTTGTTATATGTTCGTGTTGTTTTTCTTGTGGCTTTCAACGCCTGTTTAAACGTGTTTTAAAATCCCCGACAACAACTTAGACAGTTGACGTCAACCAGAAGTCAGAAGTGAACCTTGTTCGGACGTTTATCGCGGAGTTAATTATATTTTTGAAACTGCTATTTAGGTCCTCGAATTGGAACAAGCAAAAGATCATTTTGTGGATAAAACGCCTTGCATAATGGATGGTATGAAACCAGTATAACTATGTTAGAGAGTATAACGAAAGTAAGTCAATTTTGCAATGACAATGTGAGTTCATTGGTTGACTTTGAGAACCATGAAAGTGATGAAACCTAAAATTCATTTAATCTTTAATAAATGAAATTTGGGAATTGGGAAATCTGGAAAATCATTCCGGAAGCCATGTTTTTAGACATGCATGATCAAGCAGACAAACTTGAACGAAGTCTTCCTTGACCCAAAGGCCACCTGTAACACTATAGTCAATAAGTCAACAACAGGTGAAAATGATATATTTCGTAATCCAAAACGAAGAATATTATGCACCGCAGGTCAGAGACTGTACTTGACGATGAGGAAGATTTTCTGTTCGGAGACAAATTCGTCACGTCTTTATAATCGTCCTTTGATAATCACCCTTCCACATTGAGATTCCCCCGCGGTCCCAGTTCAAAAAAATGAGCAACGTTATCGGAATGGATATAAAAAAGTTTTTAAAAGCGCATCAAATCTCGACGAGACTAATTGAAAAAATTTCTGCTGATTTCGGCACAAATTTAAAGTTCTCAAGTGCGCCTAATTCGTTTGAATTAAGCCGTCGATGTGGCATATGATCTATTAAATCTCCATCATGCACAGTTGGTAAATCGCTTAGGCAGCAAGCCCACACGCCAGCGCGCATAGTTTCGGCGAAGTGGCACACCATTGTTTTGCATCGTGCCCGTAATGAGCGCAATGACCGCGCGCCGATATTAATATTGTGTAAAAATAATGAGCATAAATATAATTTGGTTTACGGGGTGTAAAAGCTGGGTCAATAATCTCGCCTTTGGCCTTTCGCTTTGAATTGGCCCGATAAGAACGTTTGCGATATTATAATTGCGACAATCGGGCAACCGAACAAGTGCCATGACACTCGTAGTTAATATTCAGTGTTGGGCCTGTACAAGACCGCGTTGTTTGACTTAGTCATAAGCCGTGAACGATTTCATAAAGATTACAAAATGAAGCCGAATCGCAAAGTAACCACTGATTAGCGAACAAAGCCCCCCCGTGATATGACAAATTACCGCCGTTATATTGGAGGAAAGTCGGGCCCTCTCTGCCATGGTTGGTCTTAGCTGAACACCGGTGTACGGCTTCTTTGTATCAATTTAGTAATGTGAGAAGCCGATGGTTCGTCACCCGCGCCCAGACGTGATAATCACAGGAAACGTGCGAGGAGACTGGAGGAGGCTGTGTTGTTTTTGATGTGAACATGCTGATTATTAAATCTATGTAACATTAACGAGCCGAACTATTTAGGCTAATGGAAATATCGGCTTCATAATTTTCCCCGGACTCCGAATGTCCGTGAAAAATTGTGGTGCAAAATATGCGCGCTTCAAAAAAAACATGTCCCCGATCTGTGCGGAAGTTTCCGTAAATTTGGAACAAAAAACGATTGCTTTCGAAGAAAGTTGGAATTCTAATTAGAATTCGAACATTCATGCAATTGGAATTCCAAAAAAGTAATGTATCAAGGCTGGGGTTCGATCTAGAATTCCACCTTGTCTCTACTATTTTATGTGCGAGAACTTTGCAGAAACACAAATCATTCGCAAGTTTTTGTAAATTCCTTTTTAGAGGTCATGTCTTTCTCAGTTTTAAGAAAACTTGCCTAAGGCTCTGGTTTAAAATAGTAAAATGCCGGATATTCATAAAAAAATGTAAGGTGATGACTATTTCTAAAATTATTACTATTTCCTCGCATCTCTTCATGGTAGCTACTGTTATTTGATGCATTGGGCAGTAGGATAGACAAAATATGTGTTTGAGTGACATGGGAAAGGTAACTTCAGACATTTTTTCTTCATTTATTTATCCCATCCTAGACGTGACTTGGTACTAACATATTTCCTCCTTGAGCCGGTTGCAAATAAGCAATGAAGTTGTCTCCAGAAAGACTACCCCTACTTTGGGGTCAATATAAGACAAGATTGGGGGCTTCATAGATGTTTATCCTCTATATATAACTATGTAGATTTCTATCGAAAATAAAAAACAGGCACTAAAAGAGCGTTGTTACAAAAAGACGCAGATTTCATTTCTGATAACTTCTATTTTGTATAGTATCAGCCTTGCCCTTGTCTGAATTCTTTTTTTCTAGTCCCATAATAAGTGTATACCTAAACGTCCGGTAAAGTTATGACCGTTTTTAAATATGTAAATATAGTCTGTTCTCTTTGAGTTATAAGTTCAGTGAATGTCGACATTATTTATGTTGAGTGTTTTCCCAAGGAATCCGACTATTTGTGCAGTGTTAAAAAAAATTATCAGGGGGAAGAACGCTTTTTTTGGTCTTAAAGTTGCTTTGCAGCTCAATAGGACGCCCTTCAACGAGGGCGTCGGTTCCTTGTGGATATTGTTACGCGGCATGTATTGATCTCAGAATGTCAACAGTCTTGAAGGTTTTTGAGAGGATCAACTTATCTTCCTTGTATTCTCAAAGTCTATAACCTTAAGAGTTTTATTAATATACGCCATTTCGAAAGAATAGCTTTGCTGACGTAATGTGAAGAGAATTCCATTCTTTTCACAATTTATTTGCCTCACCTGGCAAGATGGCGTCGCCCAGGACAAAATAGCGCATTCTATCGCCAAGGCCTGGAAAATATCGGAGAAAAATACGCGCGAAAAGTGATAACATTGGCATTTTGCCTTGACCTAATGATTATAAATGTTTCAAAGAAACTGGCACCCTATATCCTGAGATGGCGTATAAGGATAGTGTCTCCAAATATTTTGAGCAGTTGGGTTTCGAAAAAAATGCGCCCAATATTTGAAATTCTGATACAAGTGTGAAGTGTCAAACTTCTCGCAGGTTAATCCAGGCCAAACTTTAAAACATTCTCAGTTGAAATGGGTATACCCGGGTTTGAAGCGTGCCAGATAACATCGGTTTAAAATCAATTCGACCTTTCGAGTGGACCACTTGTGACGTGTCTCTGCCGATGACTGATCACGAATGATAAGAAATGGAAACGAAACCAAATGAGTTTCCCCCAAACGTGGCGGTATGGTTTGGGATGTTTTCCGCTGTTGTCCTAGCCCATATCATCCTAAAGTAATACTTTTTTCTTTCGTCCCAAAAGCTTATTTCAAACATTTTTAGAGTATAAGGAACTAATTTTCTTCCTTGATTTCGAAAGGAAGCACAAAGTTGATAACAATACAAAAGATATAAAAATTGGCTCGATCGTTTGCGGAAATCATAGAAAAGATAAAAATGTATCAAATATTAATTCGAGCATGAAATCGAACAAAAAATAGAATTCGAATTCATGTGGAACTTGTTGTGTTGTTCGAACGCCATTTATTGGCTTTCATCAAGTCTCCCCGGTGCATAATTTACGCATCAATTTCGACAGGTAGACAAAACCTTGCAGGCACAACGCCGATATGGCGTTATATTTGCGGCGAAGCAGTGAAGCTGTTTAATTTTTTCGGTTTTATTTCGAATTAACTTATACCAACAGGCCTGAATACATCCCATGGTTGCTGATGAGCTCGGGAAATCTTTGAGCAAGCCGCGGCTAGTAGGAAGCATAATTAGGCAGAATCGCGTTGACCAATGGAAGGCAAACAGGGCCATAGCCGACAAACTATAAGCTTTATCACAGCTGCTTTTAATTATGTGGAATCATCAGCATGTGTGAAAGTTCGAACCACGTGGAACAGATCGAACAGTAGCGAGCTGCGCTCTGATTGGTGCGGTGTTTTGACGTATTATCTGCCTCGATTGATCGAACTAACACCGCCTCTTTAAGGTCGGCACGCTTTGAACTAGTACCGCCAAAGGCAACTCGCAAAGTTTCAACAATTCTGACCTAAACGCCCACCAGTCAGAAGCGATTGCCGAAGATTCGATGTGTATAAGCGCTGTGTTATTCGGAGGTCTAACAGCCAATGTTCGGCGGTGGTTCGTCTGGTTAGGACAAACCTCAATAGACACCGTTAAGAATAATAATCCTGAGCTCCTGATAATTCTCTCATCTCGGCAGTTAACGTGAAGCACTCTCGATCTTATGTTTATAAAATATTTGCTTTGAACGCAAAGCGGTCTCGCTTTTGATCTAGCTGAAAGAAAGCACCGAGCCTGTCTGAACACTTTAGTTTATCGGCGCAGCGCTTTGGGAACGGAGTTGTTTGTGAATCAGCCGTGCTTGGACGTCTATCGCACACGGATTTTAGCCGAGGATTTATATGTATTGATCCCAATACTGACCTCTCTCGGGTACATGTGAATTTTCTATTGATATTTAAAAGAAGCTATACAATGTCTTCTGACTCTGCCGTCAACATGACTGGCTCGCGACCAGCACCGCCTGGGCAGGATTCGGATTCTAGCGTCAGTTTTGACTCTACGAAGATTCAAAGTTACTCGGCCATTCCTAGAAAACCTTCGAGTAAAGAATCCATGGGAAATATCGATGTTTACACCGACGAAAGTCATATAGCACCACTGGGATTTGAGCCCGAGGGAAGTGCTACAAAGCCCACATTTTGCGAAGGGAATTCGTCGCTTTTGGACTTTATTTCGGATCGAAATGGTTACTCATTGTTTAGGAAATATCTACAGGAACAGAATCAAGAGTCTTTACTCGACTTTTGGCAGGCGTGCGTGAAATTCAAGCGCTTGGCAAACACGGGGTCAAATTTAGCTACACCAACAGCTAACTCAAATTATAATAACTACATGCACTCAAATCATCTATGCGCTGGCATTTTACAAGACGTGATTCGCGCCAAGGTGAAACACTCGCTTAGCACAAGACAGCCTTTGAGTGAGACCCTATTCGACCACGCTCAAGATTGTATACTACAATATATGAACGATTTCCACTACGGGAAATTCCTATGTTCGGACATCTACACGCATTCAGATGTTTCAAAGGCAATCCTGTTGAAAGATCGGGTTTCAAGCAAGAATGTTCCTCGGTTTATAAGCAAGGGATTGCCTACTTTGCCAGAGGAATCTGTCTACGAACAGCATTCAGGGAATTGGCCTTCTATCGATGTAAATTCCAGATCAGTAGGACGGTCAGTCGACGAACCTGACGGGTAAGAACTTGTGTTTTGTTATTGTACGGTCCTTGTGGACTTAAGTTTCAATGGGGTTTTATAGTGCATTTCATATTGACATACATACGATTTCGTTCAAAGGGAACTCCCCATCTAACCGATTCTTAAATGCATGGCAAAAAAAACTGCGTATGTTAAATATATTTTAATATAAGGCATTTGTGGAAGGGGCATATGTTTGCTTATTATTCCGTGTCGGCAACTCTAAGGTCTCGACTAATTGTACTCAAGTATGTCTGTGTATAACAGCGCTGCTTTCCGTCGGCTGTGTCAAAACGTTTCTATCTGCTTTAAGATCGATCTGAGATTGCAATTAGTTGAAAATTTATGTTGAGTGCTACATAGTGAGTGTTTTGTCAACTTTCGAACAAAAACAAACCGACTATGTTGCAATTAACATAAACCCCTTGCCGATTTCACTTTGGCGGCATGTACGCAAACGAACTTATTTCATTTCATGATTTCGAGATTCCGGTTTCCCTCGCTCTAACCTTGTGTTTGTAATCTCTACTTAACGTGGACAAACATTACATGTTCAGCGCAAACCCTTATAAGCTCTTTAACCCCTTCTCAAAAAGTGTATATCAATTTGTGAGGTCCACTGACCCTAGCTGGCGTGTATTGTGTTTTTAAAAACACATTACGGAAATCTGTGAGAAGGCTGAGATTTTACGCTGTGCGTTCCCGAAGACCAAACAGCACTCGAGAGATATTAAAGAGTTTTAAGGACAAGAGATCTTGTGAAATGCATCCAAAACAGCTTTGCCGACTCCGCTTTAATAAATGACTCAATTTGCATAGCAAAAAAACACCGTTGTGTTATTGTGGTTAAGAGGGCTCTTGAAAATTACCGCTTCAGCGGTACCTATGATATTTCGCTCTCTGTCGGGCCCTTTTCCGCTTCTGACTGACTTAAATCCGTATCATCGCCACCAAAATCCGCCGCAGAGTGCTAGCATACAAGGCAAGCTCTTTCGCTTCGGATTGCTCGCGTAAAAGCGGCCAGCTTTTCCGCGGGGGAGGAAACGCGGCCTTTCTAAGCTCTTTCTACATACGGGCGAAGTCCAGCGCGTAGAGAAGCGCACATATTGACAAAGCGCGTGTAAATTGGACACACATGTTTTTCTTGTGGTGCTTTATTGAACTGCGTTGTATATCATATATTCTGCGTCTGCTTTGTGGAAGGCTTTTTGAACGCGCAAATTGTCCTAAAGGATAATTGGAACGCGGTAATGCAGCAATTTGAGGTTAGGAGAACGGAATGTAAGTGAATTTAGTTGTCGAAGAAAGAAAAATAAAGCGACACTTACACCGACAGCAAGACACCCGCGATACGCGCAAAAAAACCCAGTTAATTTTTCGATTAAAAAGCTAGCTCAGTACAAAAGGACGACGCTTGCTGTGATCTTAATAGTTTTATTTTCGATTTGTTTGCACCAAATTCGACACCAAAAGCCTTCCATCTTGATCAAAACGAAAGCGCACTTGCGTATAGAATTAACACCAACCCTGTTTTAAATATCGGTGCCTTTATATTAAATGGCAATCAGGCGTCTAAAAGCGAGCCGAAAAAGCATCAGACACGATTTGATTATATCACGTAATACAATATTTGTCTTGTTTAAATGGCGTTTCGTCCGACTTGTATACGTTCGGAGACAAATATTTTTGCCTGTCCAATTCAATTAAACTTGCTGGGAAATGATCTTACCGAAAAGATTAAGTAATTTACATTATACTAACTTTATGTAATGGTTTTAAATTTGATATTTTTTTATTGGAGATATGGGCCATTAAATTTGTTTTGTTTTTTTCATAATTCCAGTTACATAGATAGCACTTTGTATGTAATGATTTTTCACACAATATTCAACTATTATTCCATTTCAGTTCGTATAAATTGTATGTATAAGTTTGGGTCTGTCTCTGCTGAATGTTTTTTTTGTTCTATGGCACATTATGGCATACTTATTACAGTAATAATCATGTGTAGCTCATGCTATTGCTTATATAACATCAGTTGAGATATTATCACTTTATTTAAAGGTTTTACTTTCATTCTAGGTATGTGCCAATTAATCTTAACCTAACCAAGGCTGCCTTAGCTGGAATGTTTCAACAGCCAGCCCCACCAGTAGTTAGTGTGAATCATTCTGATGTGCAAAGCCTGTCAAGTGATGCCCTTACGGATGACACAAAATCTACAGTAACCGAGTAAGTATTGCGTTTCATTGGTTCTCTTTTATCGATAGCAATGCATGCCTTCTCGGTTAGTCAAAGTTAATTGCCCTTGTGATGGAGATGAATTAAAACCACTCTAAAGTCTTCTTAACTTAGCATGTTTTTTCACTAGCCTACTGTTTATGTTGCTTAGAAATTTGATAGCATATCAGATATTGGGATTAGTTCATTCACAATCATAACAGCATGATGCACATCAAGGCTGTTATTTTTCACATCAGACTCAGCTGAAATAATCTATACACACAGGGTTCCATGGCTGGCATTTTTTTATGGCTGGAAATTTACATGGGCAATCAGATTAGGTTCCATTCATTACTGCCCTTCCTTCGGGCCAAATGAATATTTTACAAGCAATGAAAACAGTCCTAATTGTATATTCATACTGTTTCCAAGACTATTGCTGTATTGCTGGCTTTGAACTGCTCATCTTGATCAGCCCAGTTTCTCTGAAACCTTTTTGCTTAGAGCATGTTTTTACTGTCTCCCTTTTGCGTAAAAGACCATGATTCAAAGCTTGTTTTCAATGAATATCAAATATTTAGTCACTGGTGTTGAAAATGTTTGCATGTAATCCATATTGGAGACAGGAGTTCATGATTGTAGGCCATTCAGGTTGACAGCCTAACCCTGACCTTTGGCCCAATTTCCTGCTTGGAAAGATTGAAGATATTCATCAATTACATTATCATGTCATATGGACTGTTGGATGCATGAGCACTGCTAGTATACTGCTCTGCATGATGTTTAATAAATGATGACTTTCTCTACCTACATGGCTTGATTAAAACCTTAAGGTCGGATCAAAGTTAGCCCTGAGTAACTCTCACATGCAAAAAACCTAGCATTCACTGCTCAAGTTTTAAATAAAACAAGAGACCCATGACTGCATTAAATATAGTTTATGCTGATTTAATATCTTGTATTCATTCTGAAAATTCCTTCTGTTTGCTTGTACCTGATCCTTAGAATTAGCTAGAAAACATTTTGATGAATGCTCAAGTACCCAATTCTTAGAGCTAACCCTAAAGCAATTCTATAAGAACCCTTATTACTTATTCAAATTGTTTTAGTTATGAGTATAAATGTTGAGACTTCTACTTGACAAGACTGTAAATATTTGTGGGAGCATGTTTTGAAAACTGTTTCTTTTTTAAATTTAACAGCTTCAGTGACTTGACTGCAAAGTCAAGTGATAAAAGACAGACTTTTCAAGATGGATTTGTACCTGTAAGTTTTAACTTTTCCTCAACCTATTTTTAGACTGTTAATTTCTCTTTGTCATGCGAGTGGTAATTTTCTATTGAATCCTAATGTCAACGCTCTATTATGGTGCGATATATTCAGCATTGTATTGTATACTTATATGTTATATATGAAAATTATTTTTCATTTAAAGCACTCTATCAGACCGATTCTGTCATTGAGTAGATTAAATGTTGACATAGGTTACTTTACCTAGTGTGAAATTGAGAATTGGCTCGCAGAGACAACCAACAAGCTGTATTCCTATTGTGAGACCTGTCATTACGTAGCTGCTATTTAGGCAATAAGTTGTGATTTCTAAAATTAGTTTGTCTTTAAACACTTTGAACATTGAAAATAGAAGACGTGTTGAAATGCACAACAATAGAAACAAGCGGCTAGCATATCACATGTATTCTGCATATTGTTCACAATACATTAGTTTATGTAGGCGGAGTTTTATATTGTATGTTAACGTAATTGGTTTCATCACATTTTCTCAGAGCACCTGGCATAAATAATTGTGGGAAACATGTTAGGAAGTTTTCCTTTTAGCATAATAATATGCTGTTGTTGCCTTTCATGTTATTTTCGAGAGGGAGATGACAATATATGTCTTAGACTTCTTCATTTAAAAGATTATTAGCAGTAGCTGCAAATTTGTTTTGCAAATTTTCACCATATTTCCTAGTTTTTAAGATATCTGTGAAGAATTATACTTCCTAGTGGCCATCTTGTTTTCTGGTTAGGTTTTATAATTATGATGATGTATAAACAGAGTTGACTTTTGTAAGGATCACAATTGAGAAAATAATGTCACCTTGAAGGCTTCTACACTGTGATGTGATACAAAATCAAGTTGCAATAGGAATTTTGGCTGAAATAGCTGGCATTTGGAAAGTTTAAAACGATTTTCCCCACTTTAAAGTCAAGCATGTCTTCCATCAGAATCATATATTCGTATCAAGGCATAGGAAGGCATAGGTAGCCCAAACAAATAGTGTCGTGTTGAAATATAATGTCACAACATCAAAATATATAAACAATTGTTGGACTACTTACTTGTGATTTACAATGGCATAGGGCATACATATCTGTTTCTAAATGTCTCAAAAGGTAAAAAAGATAATGTAAATTTATACAGTTTCTAACTGTGCTTAAAATCCCTGTCAAAAGGTGGGAATTGACTTTTATTGCCATTAGACAACATTCTCAATAATCTCTCTTTAAATCATGTTTTTGATTGACTACTCTATTTCCAATTCAGTTTTTATTCAACATATTTTTTAGCAATATCACTGTTTGCCAAAAGTGCATAGGACTACGAGTTCACAACATCAGTAGTAATAATTACAGGGTGTAGTTTGAACACACCAGGTGTATTATGTAAGATAATTCACTTAGGACCATGTTTTTTTACACTGAGCGAACCTAAATATCTTTCTGTAAACCTTCAGAGAACGAAGAAACTTCCAAAGGCCAGAAAACAATTGGCACCCGAAGAATTCGCAAAGATTTTGATTGAAAAGTTGGAGAAGGTTGTTTTCGAACGAGAGCAGGCAGAGAGAACTGCTATTAATTTAGCAAGCTTGCCTTTTGATGTGAGTACTCTGAATAATTTTTATAGCAGCATCTGGAAACCTGCCAGGTCTGATTCTCTGTAAGAATTCTTTATAATCCCAAAACCTCAAAGTTCTAGCTTGACCTGACCTGACCAGCCAGTTCTTGTCTGACATTTATTGAAATTTTACTGAAATTACAACTCTAAAGTATGCTTCATATTATGTGTTAATTAAAGTTGCTCTACATATAATCCCAGTCAATATTGTCAGTAGATTCTAAATATATTCTCTTGGAGAACACAGAGTTTTTAGAGAACATAGAGTTTAGTTTCCAAACATTTTCTTTGCAGCATTTACGTGAGAACAAAAAATCAAAATCGATTTTGGAAGATGCTGCTGAGAGACACCATCAGTACCAACAATTTGGAAGGTTAGGATTACTACCCCCAAAGTTCCAAGAACCATGCTATCCTATTCATCCGAACAGTATACCCTCCTACGCTATGCCTGGGTTTGTTGAACATCAGGGAATGTCCAGTTATTACCCGGCATCAGTGGATGGTAGTCACAATGGCAATCCAACTTGGCATAAGCCAGAACATGCAGTGGAGAAAAGGCAATGTGCTGCTGTGCCTTTGGGAAATAATAAAAAACAATGGGAAAGTCTAGGAACTATCGAGTCTGCCCCAGACAGTGGGGTTAGCATTGAGGAAGAACTTGGTTTGCATCCGGATGCACGAAACAGAATCTTGGAGTGGATGGAACACAGTGAAAAAGAAGCCCAACTTTTACAACAGGAAAATTTTAATAAGCCAAGGACAAAGCAATCATATAATAATCCTTCAGTATCTGGCCCAATGCACTTAGCACCGGTTGCCCAGGATCCTCTGATGCCACCCCTGGGGCCACCTGATTCAAGGAATACCATTGAGGAAGTTCGGCGAAGACTGAAACAGAAAAATGTTCGAGAAAAAAGAAATAAAACAAGTAAAAATAGGTAAGGTGTTGGTCATAGTGTACTTCAAGAAGTATAAAGTTAAGGTGCAGTGGTGACTCTCCCCCTACCCTCTTCCTTGCTGGTCACGCTATTCTTGTGGTTTCCCTGGACTGTAGAAGACTACCTCACCCTGCATCACCCACCCCTTCCAACAACCAAAAGTGAATTATGCTCAACCACCTAGCTTCCCCCACACCCCATTTCTTAAATGTAGCACTTTTGTATTCAACGGTTTAGACCCCCCCTCTCTCTCATGTTGGCCTAGCTGCACCCCTGATTATATCTGACTAGAATTCTTATTTTCCTAGAACTGGATATCTAAGTAGCAAATCTTCTCACGGGACTTGTCCCCAGTTTTCGGGCGATTTAAATAATGACTGTTCAACCGCTGTCGTTCCTGTGGATGTTCATCCAGCAGCAATGTACAGCTCATCGTCGGTTCTTTCGTCTATCCCATCAACGGTGAACAGTAAAGACAGCGGTCTCGGTCATCCATCAAAAAGTACCAAAACTCAAGAGGGTACCAAGGTTATCTACTATCTTGATGGAGAGGATTACCCGTATCAATCCACGCTGCAGGACAAAACTGTTCGCTTGAAACAATTTAAGGAACTGATTCCGTTCAAGAAGAGAAATTATAGGTAATTAACACTTAACATTGATTCACTTGAAGTAAAATAAGTTTTGACCTGTGGTTATGATAAACTCCTTGGTGGTTTAAGCATGGGGTAGGTGAATACACTTTAGCTTATCGCATTATCAGAATTACGATGTTTAAAATAACTGTAAGATCTACTACCAGATCTTTTTGATTCCTCCTGAGAAAAAAAATTTAAAATCTCTCCGCTTCATTCTCCTGGCCAAAGGTTAATGTTCTATAATAAAACTGCCCTTGAGAGGAAAGCTTATTACTCGTCATTAGAAGGAAGCTGTGGGGGTCTGAAGTGTTTTGGTGCACCAGTGGCATATAGCCAAAACGGGCCTCAACATGACTGCATTTATATATAGAATTTGAGAATAAGCGTTCCAGGGTCAGTTGATGTGATACTTAGGATTTCCATGTTGACACACAAATACCATCAATATTGAAAAAAACAAAGACTCACTAGTTTGGCCAACTACGAGATAATATGGGTATGGCAAGTCCGTGTACGTTTCCCTCAGTTGTGCGATTCCGTCATTAACACAGGCGGCACGAAGCCTGTGACAGTTTGCTAAGTGTTAACCCAAAATCTAAGAAAAACACCTCATGGCACAGATTGACTACATTTTTTACCATCCGGCTAAAAAAGATGGATTACAAGGATCTCTCGAGAAAAGCCAATTATTTCAAATTTTCGCTGAAATCTCATTTTCGTTAATCAACTTTCTCGAAATGCGAAGGTCAACCGAAGCATATTATGATAGCATGTAGCAATTTCCCAGCCCCGAAAGCCAATTAAAACTGTGTGCCAAAATCTCGTTTTCAATGTTATCTTGTTGAATGGACTAAAATAGCCCTAATAGTTTCGCTAGAAAGTGTCTTTGTTCATCGTTAACCATGCATGATTCCTACCACACACTGCTTTTAAATGACCCCAAAAAAATGATCGATGTCCATGTCTAACTCGCAGACTAAACATCGCTGACATTAATTATGAAATTTGCGTAGTTTGAGGATTTCGACCTTTTTAAAACGTATCGAAGAAGACAAAAGGTGGTTTAAAAAAAGCGGGTTGGATAGTGTGGGAATTTTTTCGCACAAACAAGATTGTATATCTGCTTTGATGTTGTGAACATGAGACGGGTTTTTTTAAAGAAAGTTGACAGATGAAATCTTTTCGCAGGATATTCGTAATCTTAATAAAAAAGTGCAGGACAAGTGAAATACTAAAATATATCGTGAATTTTAATTTGCAACAAAACGTGCCAACTCGAACAACAAGTTTTACTAGTTCGAACAACAAGTTTACCAATTAGAACAAAAAGTCTACCAATTGGAACAACATATAATCAATTAGAACAGCAAATCGAACAATTAGAATGTTCGAATGGTCACTAGAGTGATAGTGAAATGGTCGAAAATTTAAAGGCTAGTCACATGCTTTAAACAGGAAACTATAAAGTCATTAAATCGCTCTTTGGAGCTCTCTTTCAAACGTTGCCGACATCCGGATTTTCACTACTAATTTCAAAATATTCTGAGAGTTCGCTGCTCGCTACTTGGGTTTAAAGCGCTGAACACTTTCGCTCAATAAAATAATTGGCTTTTATGGGAAGTTTGTGCTTTAGTTACCGTTACATGTGGAGTGTTTACTATTTATGGTTCGCTTAACCGCTTAGTGCGAATATTGATGGCGCCTTAGTGATATCACTTCTAAAGAAATCATTTTCTATTTTTCCTCTTAGGTATTTCTTTAAAAACAGAACCGAAGAGGAAGATTGTTGGGTGTATGAAGAAATTCTCGACGATGAAGCGGTGTTACCGCGCCATGGCAGCAAAATAATTTGCAAAGTACATCAATAAAATATATATTTAGTCAAATAGTTATTAAAATACAGGAAGAATGTTGGCTTGAAGAGAAGAAAGAGTGCGTTTGTAGAATTTAAATCAAGTCTGTCAATACCTAACATAATTTCGCGAAGAATTCAGCTAAGTTTTGAATAAATCTGGCCAACTGCAAAGTGGAACAGTGTAAACATTGATTAGAAAAGAAAATTAAAATATGAATGAAAAGATTTAGAAAGAAGAATTGGTTTGTCGGTCGCATACATTGCGATGTTGGACGGTTTGGATTTAAATGCATGTTAGGACGAAAAACAGATGAATTCATTTTTTTGATTCTTTATACTTTATATTGGCTTTGTCAAATACCATGCGCTGAGATCACAAATCAGCGACTATAATCGTAGCGTCTTCGACCGACTTCGGGCAATCTTCGACGCGCTGTTTCGTCTCTTCTTACCACAAATCTGTACATAGTTTTATATATTGAAACATGTAAATTTACGGAAAATATTGTATAGGTATGCTTGTAAATAAACATTCACAATGATAATATTTTGAAATAAATAACACCATTTTATTCACTGAAATGTGAGCGTCTCTTTATTATGCTGATACGCAAAAATGATGGTAGTGAACTGGTAATGGTGTCGGTGATGGTAATGATGATAGTGATGGTAATGTGTATTGATTATTGTGATGGTAATGACGACAGTGATCGCAATGATGATAGTGGTAGTTTTGGCGATAGTAATGGTACTGATGATAGTGATGGTAATGATAATAGTGATGGTAATGATGATGGTGATGGTAATTGGTGATGGTAATGAGATAGTGATGGTAATGATAATAGTGATGGTAATGATGTTGATGGTAATGATGATAGTGATGGTAATGATAATAGTGATCGTAATGATGATGGTGATGGTAATGATGATAGTGATGGTAATGATAATAGTGATGGTAATGATGATGGTGATGGTAATGATAATAGTGATGGTAATGATGATGGTGATGGTAATGATGATAGTGATGGTATCATGGTAGTGATGATAGTGATGGTAATGATGATAGTGATGGTAATACATTGTGATGGTAATGATGATAGTGATCGCAATGATGAAAGGTGATGGTAAGAATGGTAGTGATGGTAATAATGATATTGATGGTAATAATAATGATGAATGGTGAAGGGTGGTGGTGTCTCATCCCACTGGTTGTTTTGAACTTATGGTGAATAGAGGAGTGTGGTCATGGGTACATTGCGAAAAGTCTGATGAGAAAAATTCTGATCACACAACTACTATGCAAAATATGTTCAGATGAAATAGTCAGATTTCGCCATCATACTGTTTTCAACAGCTGAAAATGAACTAAACGTAAAAAATGTCTGGTATGAAAACACACACTCTTTAGGCAGACAAGTCGTCACAACAAACAGTTTCAAACATTTTTCATTATGTAATCTTAAAAAATTACCACTGAGCCCCACCCGCTAGACATGAAATTTAAGCAGACGGGGGCTTAGCCTTTGGTTATTGTGATATTGGTGGAGACATCCAGACATGAAAATTTAAACACACCGGGGCTTTGCCCTTGGTTATTGTGATGTTGGTAGAGAAATTTCATCAATTATTTCAGTCGACGGGCAAGTTTGGCTAATGCAGTGTTTTGGCTTAAAGGGTCCTTAGAGCTAAAATGTAGATTGCGCGACGCGGTTTATCTCTTTTAGTTGCCATAATTACAGGATAATCACCTAAAAGTTGTTTGATTGCCTGTCAGATGGCTGGGAAAATAGCCGTGTGGTTAGACAATGATCATAACAACTTTGTTTCGCTGGGATTTGGCCAGTTTTGACGGCTTCGGGCTGCATTGTGATTCAAATCTTCCCAGCGAAGCGCGACAATTGAGGATGCAGCGAGTGACGTGTCGAGGCCAAGTGAAATTTCCTTTTCCTCGATAATGGGGCGCTGACGTCAATGGCGGTAAATATCGTATCCTGCTCTCCAGTATAATTGAAGTGTTTGTGCTAAAAACGCACTTGGTATGTCCTAATTGAACAAGCTTGCTTCCCTGCCGTCCACTCGTTTTTTTCGGCTTAAAACGAGCGGTCAAACATCATCAAACTACGTGGAGGCCAAAACGAACATGTCTTTTCGCACGACCACAACAAACAGTATTTCTAAAAACCAAGCTATTATTGCTGCGAACTTGCTCAAAAGACCACGCTTTAAGTTAAACAACGCATTCGTATTTTAGGAATTGTTAAAAATGTCGTCAGTGCAGCTAATAAAACTCTTTGTATGTTTTTGTTTTTTTAATGTACTCGTTACTGAAAGTAACTCATAGGGCTATTGCCTAGGCTATTATAATAACAATATGTTAATGGCGCGATCCCGACCATTTGCAATACACACGTGTTTTCACAAGAGACTTTTAAGTAGGTACTTTTGAAAATGTGGGTCATTTCTCGGCGATATGAGTTATTATATTATCTTTGTTACAATGTACATGTCATTTATCTCGACTCGACGGCACCAAAAAAAAATTTAAAAAAAAAATTCGTGAACGGGTTTCATTTAAGATACCAGCTCATTTTAATATACATCCTAATTTTTATACAGTCACTCCGAAACCACTTTCGTTCGTAAAATAAAACTTCTCAAATCCAGTTCATATTATTATACAATGTTATCATGTTAAAAGTAAGATTCCTTTCTTAGCGAAAATAACACGCATCTTTGCATCCTACAAGACCAAAGCAAAGTGCGTGGCTTTGCATTGCTTTGTGTTTTGTTACTTATGACGAGGCCACATCCGATGACGTCACTTCGCTTCCAGTCTTGCTCGTGTCTGAAGTGCTGTCTATAAATAGAGCATGTGACGTGCGTCAGAGCTATGTCTTTCGGGGACCTCATATAGCCTGGGGTCAGGCCTACGTATTCACCCACCCTAAAGTTTGCAGGTGGATAGAGAAGACAACTAGAAAACTCAGTGAAGTACTATGCTCCTGTTGACCTGCAAATTTCAGGGTGGATCAATCATCAGGCCTGTTTTCAGGCTATCCCAAGTTAAAATATTTGATTCTGACAAGTGACAATGTATATAGTTGTGTGATTAGAATATCATCTCAAAGAGTGAATATGTTTTTCTAGTGTCAAGCTCAACTAATGCAAAAACTGGAACTGATTCATCAAAGCCTACTTTGTGCAATCTGGGCTGCTGTGGACTCTTCAAGACTTTCTACATCAACTTCATTTTCAGTCTCTTTCAAAGGTGATGTTAACTTATCTTTTGGTTGTTCTGATGAACTAGCAGCATTTTCTAAAAACATTGGTTCAAAAAAGTTTAAACTCATCTTTTCATTAGGTAACTTGACCACCATGAGTGTGCGTGACGACCGTACCTTGTTTAATTTTCTTGGCTGCAACTCCCTCATTCTGACCATTTGCAGTCGTTTCTTTAGCACCTCTCTTCTGGGAAGTCTTTTTAGGTGTGGTTGCAGATTCCCCACAACTCTGTTCGTACATGCGTTGCTTTAAAGCACTTTTAATTTGTGTTCTAAACATCAAGAGAAATGCACCAACAAACTTTAAAGTCTCAACAAATGACCTCTAATTTGAAAAATCATGAAAAGAGCTCTCGAATGAGCTTAGTTCCATAGCTTAATATCAAAACATGATAGAGATCTAGTTATAAACATACATGGATTTGGTTGTAATAATCTCACTGATTTTCTTCAGATCTTCTCCAAAACGTTTCACCGCATCTCGCAACATTTCTATCTCAGTCTCTCCCCATTTCCCACTAAATGAAATTGATCAAAATCATCAGAGTTTGATGAATAACATATGAAATCAAAGATCAAAGGTCAGATTTATAAGCTGGCCAGAAGCAAATAAGGATGACCCCATTGACCTGAGCTGAGATTGGTTTTATAGTAGCCTTTTTAAGAAGAGGAGAGAATCTGACGTTCTCACCTTGCTTGTGCTGACCCATCACTTGTAAGAGGATGAAGTTGAACTGTGAGTTCACCAAGACGATTAAACGCAGCCCCTGCTGCCGTGAAAATATCTGCTACCTAAAAAAATATATATGCAATATAGCTATTGGCAAATTTATTTCTTTTGCCAAACATGTGTAACTCACAGTTTTACACAGAAATGTTTAAACTATAATCCACAATCTTTTAAATCACAACCAACGAAAATAAATAAGTTGAATATTCGTAAAGTCCAAATCATTGTTCAAGGGTTCAACGGTTCAACCCCACTCATACCTTGGACGCGGTTGAACTCATCGTCGATATTTTGTAGTTTTCACCAGCGATGTATGGTTTCCAAGCGAGTAACGTATCTTAGCAATATACACAAACGTTATTGCTTTCAAATTCTTAAGAAACAACTCCCTTTCCTTCAAATAATTGCGAGAAATTTTCCAATTTTAGCGTCCATATTGTTTTCACGCACGCTTCGCCTGGTCGGCGTTAGATCATAGACAACATATGCACAAATATGCGACTCTTGTATATGCTGGTCAGCGGTGTTTCCTGTCTCCTCTACTCCATGTAATCCCTACGGATTATATCTTATTTCTGAAAAATAATGTCTTTACTATACAGCTTCAACTTGGCATGTTGGAACTTGGATAGTTTTATCTGTGAAAATTATCTGCGTTAATATTCTAATAATTGGTAAGTAACTGCCGTAACCCTTTCAGACTTTCGGAACATTATATATTATATAACAATTTTTATACATGATATTCTTGTATGTTTGCATGGCAAGTGGCGACTGTAAAAATTAAAGAATTAATTATTAATTAATTAATTATTAATCATGATTAATACATTATTGTATTGATGAAGGCAGAAGGCCCAGGTTACCTACAAGTTTAATTAATTTTTATACAATTGCATATTTCGAAACAGTAGGATTTCAACCAAAATGCTATTTTTTTACTTTTACTCCAAAAATTAACCCAAATTAAAACTAAATAACAGAAACATTTACTATATACACATATATATGCACTCTTCATCATACATGATACATTTGTGTATATTTTAGATATAATATATTGAAAATATACACAACTAAACCAAGTTGTGAGAAGATATGTGAGCAGAGTTTAGTTTGTTTTTCCCTGTGCTTCAAGGCTCTTTTTCAGGTTCATTTACTAGAGGAAAGTCTGAAGATCATTGTAGGATATTGTACACTTTTACTGGGCAGTGGTGGGATTTTTGAGTGGAATCTTTTTCACAATATTCGCAGATGAAATGTGTGTTGGTTGCAAGTGCCGCAACCTGTTTTGCTGAAAGGTTTATACATGTCTGAGATTGACCATGGTGAAACCAGTTGTTGCCATGTGTTGCAAAGAACCATTTGTGCTCCAGGAATGTGCCTATAGCAAATACAATAAATGCTGACAACGTAATGAGACCTTGTGCTTGGTACTTGCTTTACTTTGTGAGGAAACATCTCAAGTTTTCTTTTCTCAAAACAATCATGAAGATGGTTGCGCATTCTATCTTGAATCCAGGTAACTGTAGATGGATCTACGCCATTTGCAAGCGCGACAGCATTAGCAATGCAAAAAAGACCACAATCAGCTGATCCTATTTGTCGTTGTTGGAGGACAACTGTGATGCTAAGAGATCCATCATCATTACATAACCCTTTGTAGATGTTGACCAACTGCCGTTTAAGTGATTCATTCAGGGACCTGTACAAGCTCTCATATACAACCACCTCTCCAGAAATTGAACTTGACAAGAGCCAATGTCCACCTCTAGTATGACACTGAATTGTATTATGTGGATCATGTAGATATATATATATATATATATATATATATATATATATATATATATATATATATATATATATCAAGGTGCTAATTTCCTAGTAAAATTTTGGTAAACTATTAATAGTTGTTTCACAACGATGACGGAATAATCATAAATTCATGAGGAATATAAAATAACAACCCTTGCATTAATTTGCATATGTATTTATAACTTTCTTTCTAAAAAAAACAATATATTTCCCGGTCCTACCAAAGTCAGCGTTAGATTTTATACATCTCCAGCCACTTTGTGTGTTTTTCTTATATTCTTCGAACTGCTCGAGCATTTCTTCTCTTGAATCGCAAATAATAAAATTGTCGTCTTCGCTTTCCATCGGTTCTACGAACGCTGCGGACGCCATCATATTTGTTTTAATTAAAGTGGTTTAAAGCATCGAGATTATAAATAACACTGTTTTTTATAATCTCTATGGTTTAAAGTCCTTTGCTTCGCGCCTTATTTAAATTTCGCGCGCTATACTTTAAAAATACATTAAAAAAACACCGCTGACCAGCATATACAAGAGTCGCATATTTGTGCATATGTTGTCTATGATCTAACGCCGACCGGCCTTTGAGAAGCCTGATGCCTGAGTAAAACGTTCGCCTGCTTTTAGGGAGCGCTTAAGTGATGTGCAGGAATATCGTGCCTGCGTTCTCTACTATTGTCTATTGATCGCGCTTGTTTTAAAATCATTTGCGCGCAAAAATAGCTACAAATAAAAAATATTGCCAGAAAATTATTGCAAATGGACTTGAAATAATTTAATGTTAAAAGTGTATATTTACAAAACATGTTTACAGTATTAGTTTTTATTCAGTACGTACTTTACTTAGCGCATGCGTGGTGTCTTCCTTAGGTTTCCATATTTTTTAGGTTAACCACGACGCATAGCACTTTTTCCAGAGCATTAACAGAAACATTTGAAAAACCATTTCAATTGCATTACAGGATTACTGTACATGTATATACAGATTGAGTAACGTTCTATTTTAATTTTATAAATAGACTCTTCAGCAATCGAGCTTCATACGTCACAGTGTTTCTGCCTGGATGCAATTTCTCTTCTTCCAATGGCTGTTCAACCAAACCTGGTATGTTACGACCATAAACTAGAATCGTAATAGAAGAGTTTAGTTTTAAAAAAGTCACATTTTAAAATTGATTTTATCAGTTCTTAACTGTTCTTCCTAGAGATCCAGTAAGGATCATCTCTTATTGATCCAGTGTTACTACAGGAGGAAACCTAAACTAAACTAACTTTATTTATACTGGATAGCTCTATCAGTTCTAAACTGTTCTCCCACGAGGTCCAGTAAGGATCATCTCTTATTGATTCAAGTGTTATTACAAGAGGAACCTAAACTAAACTAACTTTATTTATATTGGGTAACTCTATCAGTTCTAAACTGTTCTTCCTAGAGGTCCAGTAAGGATCATCTCTTATTGATCCAGTGTTACTACAGGAGGAAACCTAAATTAAACTAACTTTATTTATACTGGATAGCGCTATCAGTTCTAAACTGTTCTTCCTAGAGGTCCAGTAAGGATCATCTCTTATTAATCCAGTGTTACTACAGGAGGAAACCTAAACTAAACTAACTTTATTTATACTGGATAGATCTATCAGTTCTAAACTGTTCCGTTTGCTAAGAACCGTAAAACATTGATAAGTTTTAATAAACAGCTTCTCCTAAAAGGCTTTACCTTCACAATGTTCCAAAAATTGGATAATTTCTAGCGTGATACTGTCTCGTAACATGATCATATGTTTAGCCATGTTTTCCAGCAAACTTATGAAACATCTCTTTGCATAGTACCAAGTATCCGTGCCGAGCTAAACGAAAATAATGAAAATAAGAGCTTCTCCATATTCTCCCATATCAGAGAGCTTCAACAGTGACTACGAGTACGAGATTCGTCATTCCCGCGTTTTGTTGCTTACGCCATCAGCTAAAACTCGTAATTTCCTAGTACGAAACTCCTAGGACGAGTTTTTCATTATTAATTTCGTATTCAAAAAGCCCAACGAGAACGGGTTTCGTCAGATGGCGTAGGCAAGACCGATTTTGGCGCGAAAATGACTAATCTTGCCAAGTGAAAAACTTTTACTTCTTTATACCTTCTTGTTGTACGGCTCCACGCTCTTAATAATTCGTGACATCCCAAACTCATAGTTTCCCTTTGCACAGTAAAGAGTTCTAAAAAGAGTAAAAAATATATATAACGAAATTAACAAACTATAAGTCACAAAACCCAGCCATAAAGGATCCTTTCAAAATGATGTAATATCCAAATTTCAGGCTCACCCAATAACAAGATTGACGATACAAAGATGGAAGATCTTCTTTTCCGGGTCATCATAAGCAACTTGTTCCTGGATAAATTCGATTAAAAAATGCAATGGACTTGGTAAGTACTGAACGTTGTTCTTGAATGTTAGCTTAACGTGTTAAGAAAACTTTCAATAGCCTGATATTTCACTACGAAGCTCGTGTTTATACAAATATACCTCTTCCTTCTCGATCTTCCTCATCAGTTCCTCCGCCTAAACAATGATACGACTGTATGTTTGAATGATTTCAAGACCTCGGAGGGGTTGCCTTAGTCCTGAGTTGAACATTAGAATTCCTATAACAAGGGTCCTATAACAAGGGGGAAACAAGGGGAGTGAGGGGAAAGGGAGTGGTTGCCTTAGTCCCGAGCTTAACATTGGAATGCCAATGACAAGGGGAAAACAGGGAGTAAGGGGAAAGGGAAGGGTTGCCTTAGTCCTGAGCTGAACATTAGAAGTCCCATGACAAGTAGGAGACTAGGGGAGTGGGAGGAGAGGGAGGGGTCGCCCTTAAAATATGTGCATTACATGGGATATATATACATGAGACACCCGGAGGGAGTCCAAAGAGAGAAGTTTCAACCTTCACCCACCTCTTCGTTGCAACTCGTCATAATGTACGAGACACAAAGATTGGCCAGCACGATCGCACTTACACTAAGTATCTAAGAAGAGAAGAACAATGTTCTTTCAACGAAACTTTCAGTATTAAGGCAGGTGTACTGAAATGTCCCCACTCACATTGTCATAATGCTTCTTCACGATTGGTTCATAGAATCCAATCGCCTCCTTGTACTTATTTTCCTACACCAGAAACCAGTGAGAATTCGATTACTAAACTACCAATGAACCATTTCAAGCCGAGAACTCACATTTGGTCACATTTGGCATTACCAAATCGATAAATAAGCATAACTCATACCTGCATAAACAGCACATGCGCTACATTCAGTTTCCATACTTCGTGTTCGTTGCAAAACTCCACAGACTTTCGGAATATCTACATGAAGTAAGATAGTTCTCGTATGACTTACATGCACAATTGCAGGCTCCACTACGCTTGCCTAGTTTTGGGTTTCACAATTTTATTCACTTGAATTGTACCTTTTCAACTTGTGGATAGTTTTCTAAATCCCAGTAGATCTTTGCTTGAGCCATTAAGATCGGAATATATCTAAAGGTGTGACACAGTATCGCTGACACAATTGCAAATTACAGTTTCAGTTATTGCTGACACAATGCAAATTACAATTTTTGGCAAAGGTTTTTTTCATCTTTCTACCTTTCCAAGGCCTCGTCATATTCGTTCACAGCTTTCTTCACAGCTTCATCATCGTGATTCTGTCGTGACTCCTGGACCTAAGAAATTCAAACAGTTCGCGCAGTCGTTAGAACAAGCCGTGATCCAGGAATAATATGTGAATGGATGTCATTACTCTTCCAATCGTGTTCATCTCTCGCCTTGACCGTTGAATTCGGTTAAACTCACCTGTTTCGTTAGTTTTCTTAATTGTTCGGTTTGTTTTGTTGCCATTTCATCGAAACTTCGAAATGCCTAAGAAAAAGAAAGTGGACTCATTCGTCAGAGATGACTCTAACTGTAGACTAAATTTAGGCTATGGTGGTTCTATGGTGGTAGATTCCATTCCTCTGCCCAGATCAAAATTCTTCACAACAAAACAGATCTCAGTATTACTGCACCTCCTCAGGCGACGTTTGTCTTGTGATCGTAGCGTCAAGAAATTCATACAGATACTGAAAAAACATGAGATTCACATCCGTCACAAATTTGTCCAAACCTCTTTCTCACGCGTAGATTGGGACGGACATGACGTCATTGGTAGCGTGCTATGACGTCATCGGTAGCGGGCATTTTTCATTGGTCAAGAATTTATTTACCACGGTCCATACAATGCCAGCGATACAACCTCGTACCCAGGGCATTTTGCCTCCATGATGGACTCCACTGCACCTAGCAGTGCACAAGAACTCCCCCCCGTGAAATATACACCCCCTGGCCGGTGGATTGTTACACTTACAGGTGTTAAAAACTTGTATGTTAAATGAGCATTTTCGGCCAGTACGTCAGCGGCTAGATCGTAGTACTGAAACGAGACGTATACTTCATGTTAAATCGAATATACTACAGACGATACGGAACAATCCAAGATCTTTAATCGACGCCCAGTACCGACCTGATATTTCACATACAAAAGCAATAGATTTCCAAAGGTTTCTGAAACGAAGAACCGGAAAAAAGTCATTTCATATTTCATTCATGGCTCTCCATCAAGTTTCAACCAAATTACTTATTACTTCAAGATATTACCTGGTGGAAATGGATTTTGTTGTAACAGAAATTGGAGTTTTTCAAAGCCCTGAAATACAATGACCGAGTCAACCTCGTGGTTTAATGACAACAAGCAATCATACGGAACTTATTTAACCCTCACCGTGGTTGGGTTCACCTCCATGTTCATTAAAGCTTGGTTATGCAACGTTACTGCATCAAGTTCCTACGTAAAATATGGCGGGAATGAGAAGCATCCGTTTTTCACAACATCAAATGAACACAGAAAATGCAGGAACAATTAACTCACAGTTTCTGATCTCGGAGGCATATCTGTGAGCGCTTCCTGGGCGGCTTCGTCTGGCGAAATGAGAACAGAAGAATTGGAGACATGCCCGGATTTGAATGGGGAGTTGTGGGGAGATGCCCACCGCCCCTGGTAATATAACGCATCCTTCAATTAGAGACGTGCACCTCCTCTCCCCAAGGGTCGTACACCTCCTCCTACCAAGGGTCATACACCTTCTCCCTCCAAGATTCAGGTACCTCCACCCCCCAAGATTCAGGTAGCTCCCCCAAGATTCAGGTACCTCCACTCCCCAAGATTCAGGTAGCTGCACTCCCCAAGACTCAGGTAGCTCCCCTACAAAATTGAGGTACCTCCACCCCCAAGATTGAGGTAGCTCCCCCAAGATTGAGGTAGCTCCACCCCCCAAGATTGAGGTAGCTCCCCTACAAAATTGAGGTACCTCCACCCCCAAGATTGAGGTAGCTCCCCCAAGATTGAGGTAGCTCCACCCCCCAAGATTCAGGTACCTCCACCCCCCAAAGATTGAGGTAGCTCCCCCAAGATTGAGGTAGCTCCACCTCCAAGATTCAGGTAGTTATCATGCACCTTTCCCCCGCAATAAAATGTATCCTTGATTGAAAAATGGACAGAAGTACAGAAAGGTGAAGTTGAGTGATTGATTTAACAACTTTTTTTCTTACAGTTCTTGAGTTGGTATTCAATGGCAGCCTTGAGATTAAACGCTTCGACTAACGCAGTCTCGTGAAGAACCTGTGAGAAACAAAGAAACGCCGTGGCTCTGATCAGGAAAATTGTCTGGTTTTACACAAGAGTAAGAAGTCGCCAATAAAAGAGTATCAGTTTATTTTTACCTTGGTGTTTCCAACGCTTCGCACTTCGATTCCTTCCGTGGTCATTCCAACGCTCAATTCTAACGAGGGAGAATAAAGTAAGAAGTTCTATGCATGATAGAGTATAGTTCCATCGCGAAGGCCGTTTCTTACACGATGCAATGCAATTATGGACGGAAACTCATCTTTGACTGGAAAGGGATGGATAAATTTATACGTATGATGGGTTGGGCAATGCTAAAAAGCTTATCGTAATTATTACAATAGTCAATAATCATTTTGTTTATTATCTCCTAGCCGGCTTGTTCCGTCCATGACCGTGTTGATATTTCAAAAACTCGTCTGATTTATCCGTCTAAATGCGAATTTAAGACGAGTTTCTTGTCCAGACGGGATTCCCGTTCAATTTACTCGTTAGACGGGAGAATTCGGACGAGAAACCCGTCCGTGATCGGATTCACATCAGACGAGGTTCCATTTTCGATGAGTTTCCCGTCTAAGATGAGTTTTTCGTCTCTAATATGAATTTGGTTATTGAGTATTGATATCAGGTCCTTGTACATACCTGGGTGTTCACGAATGCCTTTTTCAATGATATCTGCGATGTGTTTCAAAGCAGGGGCATATTGCTTCATGCTGTAGAAACACAACGCTATATTATAGGAAAGATCTAGGAACGATTGCAAAACAGAAGTTAAATTGGGCCGTTTCACCTTCGGCAGTGTCAACACACGAACTGATTGACCACATTTTTTTGCGAAGTTTTTTAACATACCCGGTTGGTACCCAAGAACATTCATAGCCGAAGAAAATTTCTGGCATGCTTCAGAATATCGCTTTTCCTAACGAAAAAAGGAGCTCGGTTAGTGGAAGATATTTAAACTTGTTATTTGCATTGATTTGGTAACTTTTTATCGTTTTCTCCCGTTAATATTACCTTGTATAGCAGGCAACCTAGATTTATCTCAACATCAGGATCATCTCCAGCACATTGCTCAACCATGCTCTGAAAATGCAGAGAAACTTTCTTAAATTTACTTAAATATTCATCACAACATTCGCCATCGGCACTATAAAGAGATCAGTGCTTAAGTAAGTACTTTAGTCACTGATCTGAGTATAGCAGCTGAATGCAAAATTTTTGTTCTGAAAAAAGAGCCTGGACACTAGGGTGGAAATCTTAAGTCTTGAAAAGTGTAGGTAAACTGGATGGACCAAGTTGTAGTGATGATTTTCCTAACAAAACATTTTATTATGCCAAAAAAGTGGGGGAAGGAATGTCCCCCCCCCCATCCTCCTAGGATTTTCACCCTTGCCTGGGCAAGAGGCTGTATGCAAGAGATCAATGATTGGTAAATTGTACCTTGGCACCCTGGAGATCTTCCTCACCATATTTTATAGCAGCTTGTAACTTCAGCACCTAAATCATGTGAAGCATGTTAGTACAGCCAAGCATTGAGTTAACCAAGGACACCCTGGATAACCTGTTTACATCTCAAATGAAAAAGAGTGCTTGATATGAAATGGTGTCGATTTTAACTCGGGGATTAAAGGGATTATTGTTTTTGGATTCCTCATAATACAGAGCAGATAATTCTCCGTACACTACATAGATGTGGCAATTTTTGAGCTGTTAGGAGCCAAGTCAAGTCAAAAACAAGTAACTTGTTTGCGTTTCACAATCAATTGCTGGGCTATGCGAGTGATTAACTTACATGGTAATTTATAACTGGGTCAAATTTTCTCCATTTCAACATACCTGTGATTGATACGCTGGATTCTCAATTTGAAATGTCGCTTTGGTCGCTTCTGGGTATTTGAAAGCTTTGTACAGAGACTAGAAAGACAATTGATTTTGACTAAGTCACAGTCCCCCCCCCTTAGCTATGCCACTGTTTCTCCCTTAGGACAATTCAACACAATACAGTGAAATAATATAGTTCAGTGGTAGTTAACAGGACAATACTGTGACTGTATAGTCATATTTTCATTTACTATCTAAAAATAGTTACCTGGGCATATGCAAGTTTGTATTCGTCAACTTCTGGGTTAATCTGAATAAGCTGCTCATAACTAAATATTGAATGGAATGTGGCAAGAAATACAGTGTACTAATTAGCTGTGGACTAATTGGCAATGGACTAATTAGCAGCCTCGTTATCGAAAGCAGCATTACTCACCATTCGGCAGCATTTTCAAAGTTTTGCTGCTGAAAATAGCAATATCCTAATAATGACAAGGCAGCTCGCGACTAAAATGAAAGAGTTGCAAAATATAAACAGAGGAAGTAGTAGGTTTATTATGCTCCAAAACAACTTTGGCATGTGTGAAAACAGGCAGTCCATCCACCTCAGCAGGGCTAGTAATGTGATTGTCACCTAGTCTTGAAACACTGCCTGAGTTTATAACCTTTCATTAGGCTAAGTTTACAAATGGCTAGTCCAGTGGCGTTAACCCCAGCATTGGTAAGCAGGCAGGGGGGGACATATCCATGTTCGTTGACCATAAAAACAGCCAATTTGTAAAGAATGAATTTAGAACATAATATATGAATATGTGAACAACACCACTGGACTGTCAAACTCAAATTCACAATCTTGCTCAGATTTTCGTCTATTTTCACCATGCAAATGGCGGCAATTCGAACAAATTTGAGCACATCCCGAATTCGTCTGGGGCCGGTTGTATCAAGCCCGTTTAGCTTAAACGGTGGATAAGTCAAAATTAAATAACACTCCTACATCTCTCTTGAGTGAGTCAACTTGAATATTATGTACTGAACATGTAGTTGTAACCAGTATCTTTGTATTAAGGTTAAAAACATTTAGTTTGCTTGTTAAATAAAACGATAGACTTGCTTTCTATTTTGAACTGAACCACCGTTTAAGCTAAACGGGCTTGATACAACCGGCCCCTGGCCCTGTTTGCCTAAGTTACACTGACCTTAGGATGATTTTCTAGCTCCAGAGAAAGATAGTTCGTTGCCTCTGCAAATTTCTGACCTTTTATCTAAAAATTTAGGAATCATTCATTGCATATAAACCAAGGGTAGAGAGATCAGAATTAGACGAAAACACACATCATTTCTAATATCACACTGAGACAACATTGATTCAATCGCCAGAAATATATCGTTTAATTGCGAAAACTGAAACTCGTACCGTATGTACACATAAACAAGAAGAGAACCATACGAGGAAATTGCTAGATGTATAATTTACAAGTACTAACCAGTGAATAAATTGTGGACGTATACTCCCCATCTTTTATCGTAGACATTTCCATTTCTCGTATCGTGTTTAAAAGAGCATCTTTCAAGGCAGAAACTACAAATTTTTTGTACAAAATTTTCGCATAGAGATATGTTGTTGTTAGTGTGTCTAAGGCGGTTTTCGTCCCTAGGTACTTAGTTCCCCCTCACCCCGATACGGGTTTTAATCCAGGGGAAACCTCCCGGTGGCCTGTTTCTTGGAAGCTTGAAAATGTTTTTTTTTTATAGCCAGTGATTTTCTTCTTTTGATAGATGTGAACGAGTAATTAGTTACGAATTCTCTTATGTATGAGTGCTCTTATTTGAACATCAGTAATTAATTCACTCATTTACATCTATCAAAAGAAGGAAATTGCAATTGTTTTTTATAGCTAGTGATTTTCTTCTTTTGATAGATGTGAACGAGTAATTAGTTAGGAATGCTCTTATGTATGAGTGCTCTTATTTGAACATCAGTAATTAATTCACTCATTTACATCTATCAAAAGAAGGAAATTGCATATAAAATTGCAATTGTTGTGTAAACGGGCCTCGCAAATTCCCCGGGTATTTTCCTGTCCTTGTGCATATATAAATATATGCTTTCAGACATATCGTATTACAGTATTTTTTGATAAAAAGTTTTTTAGATTCACACAATACCACGCGAGCTTTGCTCAAATTACATGAACAACGTGGGTCAATTGTTCCTACCTGCATTCATTGTTGCCTTTTGACAAAGACCGGTCGGGTATCGTTGTAAAGGTCTATCAGAATCAGATTTAAATAATGGAAGTCTATCATTATATCTTTGGAATTACTATCATCTTTAGTTTTATTCATCTTTCACGATCGGCAGATAAGCCTAGTGGATTGTCTCAAGGTAATATTTTTGGAGCTATGTGATCATATTTATATTTATTATATGATTTTTAAGCTTTTAGACCGAACTGTAACCTTTACTTTTTCAGGTATATATTGCGAAGGATGTATTGCAACTGTTAAAGGTACGTTGCATCACTTTACACTAAATTGTCTGGATGTACACAGTATTTTAACCTATTTGTTTGCAATGAACACCAGATTAACTCTGGAATAACAGTTGATTGAACTTTGTCTAGTGTCATATGATTTTACTCATCAGTGGAAGAGTACTGCCTGTTAATAAGTTAACAAAACTATCTGTCACTGTCTTTTGTTAACCATTAGCATGCGATGCACCCAGATGTGCCCTACTTTAGTATTTTACTCAGTCTAATGCCAGATGATTTTTAATACTAATCAGAGAGAGTATTGCCCAAGACACAATTTTATTATATATATTGCCCCACTTTCAACGTTCAAACAGATAAGACTGGTTCCCATTAGTTCACTGAATTACGTACTAATATTGTTTCTATAAAAATTTTGAAATTTCTTAGAATTGTTAAAGAAAGTCGACAAGAAGACAGGAGATAGTCGTGAAGTTAGAGTGATCGATGGGATGGAGGATATTTGTAATCTTCAGAACTTTGGAAGTTACGATTATTCTCCACCAAAAACTGGACAGGCCTGTAAATATCTCATAGGTAGGTACACTGTGGTCACACAGGCATATCCTCTAGTCTTGTTTCTCCTCAGAAATTAAACACAATTCCACAATTTAGTCAGGAATTTTATGCTGCAAAGAATGAAATAAAGCATGTATGTTAACTACCATAGTGATACATACATTATCAATATCTTCACTATGGGTCTTTTCTTCACCCAATTGTAATCATAAATGTAGGTAACCAGTATGTTACAGTCGCTAACTGGTTTACATTTTCAAACCCTATATTTTTAATATGAAGAATGGTCAAAATATTTTACACTATTTTAATATACTATGGTTCTAAATGAGTTTATGTTCAGAAAAGTAAGAAACATGCTAAATTTCAGCAATTTTAAATCAGGTATTCTACCCATTGTTATGAGCAGAACCGATGTGCAGAAGCCACTGTAACCTACTTATTAAGTTTGCATTAGTTTTTATTCTAACCATACAATATGTGACTGAAAACTTTGGAAAAAAGTTTTAGAAAAATCCACCCTTGTTCCCCTGAATATGTTTACACAAAATACCCTTGGTCACACAATGTTAGAATTGTGCTGCGAAAAGTCTGCTTTAACCAATCATTTTTGTTTATGGTAGAAAACTATGACGAGGAGATTGAGGGAATCATGCTGGATGAAGGTAAATCAGAATATTTCGAGAAAAAAATTTGCTTTGAACTTTCCGAGGCGTGCAAGGGGGTTGATCGAACCAAGAAAGAAAAGGAAGAGCTGGAGGTGAACATTAACGATAAAAAACAAAAAATTCACACTGGCGATCCGAAGAAAGAAATGGAACAGTTTAACGTCGACATTAACGAGGAGGGTGCTGCCGAGAAGCTCGTTAATCAAATAAATATGGCAATTAAGGATAAGGAGGGTACTGGTGGTGGTGATGATGACAATGACAATGACGACAATGATGATGATAATGAAATAGATGATGATGATGATTCTGATATGGATAATGTTGATACCGATGAAGTAGAAAATCTCACTGATAAATTTGAAAAGGATACCAAGACTGAACTCTAGTAAGAGACAAAAAAAAATGCACCAATTATCATGTTATTGTCTGCCCTTTGTAAGAGACGTTTCCCATTTAATAAATAGTGCTAACATGTTAAGATTTAATATCACTTTATGACTACAAGTCTAGCTAGGATAAATTATTTAAAATAAACTTTTTGTGTGTTGCGCTTGTCTTTGCCTTCTATAATATGAACGTGTCATAAAGAGAGGTGTTTTTCACAGTTGAAAAGTACACAATTCTTCACACTATGAATGTTTAAAGGTTTAACATGACCCTGGGTCTTTCTTTGAGGCTCCTTGTTATCCTTTAGATGGAGGAAATTGAACACCTTAACTTTCCAGTAACATAGGATGCGTTTCCCAGAATTCCTCTTTGATTATGTCTATATGTAAGGTGACCACTTGGGGATAAACCCGCGTAGTCAATGTACCATCCTTCAACATTGAGTCACCTTTAGAGATGGGCTTTTCTACCTAAAATAATTAAATATTCTTTGCATCCAACATATATGCTGTACATATATGGTATTTTATATCAAATACAGCAAAACAATGTTGGTTTTGGTTCGTAAGATTACATCATCGTATCAGTGTATTATAATACAATGGCGTAATCTTAAGAACAAAAACCAACATTGTTTGCTGGGCTGTCTATGGTCTACCTTCTCCCACAAAAGCACACTGCCTTTTCTAAACATTTCCGGCAGATTGTTATAGTTTATGTTAAATTCTGAGAAGAGAATTTCATTCTTGTCAGCTGAAACAGTTCCCTAAAACAAAATAGTTTTTGCCATGTTAACACATTAGGCAGTAAATTCACCATTTTCTAATTTTGGTACATAAGATGGATGCTTTGTCTAAACGACTTACACAAATCTAATTGACTTACACAAAGTCGTTTCTCTGCATCATCCGGGCTTAGACCTCCAATTTTTACAAGATTCCAAAAGCATGTATTGTAAAGGTTATTGATGTGACCTTGATTAAGTAAGTGAGGATTATATTAGCCCTGAAGCATTATGTGATGTTGTTCCATCATGCACAACAACTCTACCAACATTTGTGAACCTGTATTCATACATACAGTCTGCCTGTCTCCAACTAAGATAGTCCTTTAGATTTGCATCACTAGGATATAGAATAACTCTGCCATCAAAAGTTGGTGGATATTTTAAATTTTTATCCTTGAAATATTCAGACCAGTAAAACACATAACTCGATGCAAAGTAGGAAACCAAGTTTGTCATGAGCTTGCTTGAAAAAAGAAAACAGTAGCTAAGTGAGTGTGAAAATAGTGAGGTTTTTTTAAAACAATTGTGTTTTGCATCTATACCTTGCTCGACGTTTAAATAAAGTTGTGCTTCGTTTAAAGACAAAACTAAATGAAAAAAAAAACAAGATTGCACACCACTTGTCATGACTGTGGCATTATGCCTGTGAGAGATGGTGATGATGGTGTGGTAATGGCAAAAGTTGTGAGTGACGTACATACCTATATTCGTCACTCTGTCCATAAGCCAGAATGAGATCTTGGAATTCTTTCATCACTTCCAATGCACATCTGTTCATCAAATTCAATGCATTTGCATCATTTGGCTTCTCAAATTCATGACTATCTGAAAATCTGACATGAGGATATCCTGGTAAATTATTATCACTGGCGATTACAATTAATCCTCTATTGGCATGTAAAATTTATGCCATTAGACAAAAAATCCCACCAAAGGGTGCATTTGGGCCTGTTGGCAGTAGATAGGTCATCATGACATTCTGACAGACAGTTAAATGGTTAGTCAGGTTAGACTGGTAGTTATGCTGGCTGGTTGTAACTAGCACATGGGGACCATTCGTCAACTAAACAAAACATGTTCATTTCTGACATTGTAAAAAACAGTAAAATACAAACTTAGAATGATATAGCTCTATTCCCAGCTAAGTTGATGATAATGATGATAAAAATTTCAGATTACTTAAGGTGGTTCTGGTATGATCTATTTCTAAGAGAAATCAAACTCCATTGATTTCAACTATGAAAGCTCATGAAAGTCTACCTGTGAAAATTTCTTCCATCTAAACGCACAACTATAAAACAATTTAACAAGCAACTGTCATTGGTTTCAAATTTTCTGGTATATTCATACTTGCTCTTCGCCATTGGTCGGGAATTATACAACTATATGGTGATACCTCCGACAGAAAAGCGTTCACGACATATCCTTAAAAAGAGGAATTTATTAGTACGAACTACACAATTCCAAGGAAAATGACAAGGAATTTTAAAGTTTTCTGCAAGGAATTCTTCAAAACAAAACAATATGGCTGGACAAGAAGAGTCTTGTAAGCGCGAACCAAAGTCAAAGATTGAAAGTTCGGATAATGTGACCGTTGAAGATGACTTCTCTGACCCCCTTTTTGATGTAATGGACTCTGAAGAAAAAGACATGTTTGTAAAGGGATATTGTCTGTATAAACACATGACAAATAGGTCCGTTTATTTGCTTATTATTGTTATATGTAAATTGTATATAGACAGCCGTTGATTGCATGTAAGTGAACAGGGACAAATATTTAGAACTATCTTTGATTCAGCCAAAACCAGCTTTAATGTTTGAGTACCACCATCATTGTCATCAAGGAAACATGAACCAATCAAATGCGATACTTCTATCAGATTAACCAATCAGCTAGTGGTAATGGCCCTATACCAAATGCACCCCCAAGCAACCAATGGCTAGACCTTCTATGGTTAGATCCTAGAATGAAAATTAACTAATGGTTAGATCCTTTTCTTTCAGACCATTAACATCATCAACAGATGACACCAAAGAAAAGACTGTTATTAACTTATTGAAAGATGAATCAGCATCAAATAAAAATTTCAGGTAGGATTATGCAAGGACATAATCTAGGGCATAACAACCAACTTTGGCATGAGGTTTAGGCCAAAATCACGTCAAGGAGTGCATGTTTCAGCAAAGTGGATGAAGGTCTGAGGCGTTGTTTGCACTATGGCAGATTCCCATGGTCACAAATCAAAATGAACTGTGTCAAAGAGAGTTTTACCCTCAAAAGTGTGATAGCTTGATTGCTTAAACAGACAGAGAGATACGGTCCGTAAAACAACTTAAACTGATGTTTTGACCGTGTGAATCCAGAATAGTGTAAACAGGGTCTGAATCAGCCAGATGTCGACCTCCTTTTACACACAGAAAGGCGTACATTTCTTGGAAGTCTTTACATGGAAATGGACGCTGGGGATTATGATTGAGTTAGGTCATGGTTGAGAAGTAGCATCTAGCCTTTGGGAATTGTGATTGTGTACTATAGGATGAAGCACAGGTTCCATGTACAGTACCAGCTAGTGTTAATAGCACTAATGTAGGTCTCAAAGATGTACCAAGTCTCAATGCTGCCTGACTCTTTGACCAATAGTTCCCTATATGAGTTGATGAAACCAATCACTCAAGATGAAAACATTCTTGTACCCAGAGCCTAGCTACCGGTACCATACATTTGATTAAAAAACCCTTGGCTTTTTTATGTAGTTTGTCATTACTCAATACTGATCTTGAGGCAGAGCAGGAGGCCAGACTTCAAGATTTCCTCATCAAACGTTTAACACGGAGCTCAATATACAACAATACCTCAGGAAGTCTCGCTACATTAAGTCATGAGGATATCTCAGAAAAACCTGTCATGTGTTACTACAAGTTGATCAAGGGACCAAAATTTGACCTGGAAAACCAAAGTAATGTTGTGTAGGTGATATATTTTGAATATAGACCATGATTTTCAACAATATCAAGCTTTAGTCTGGTTTCCACTCAGGAAAATTATCCTCCTGACTGGATGGAATAGTATGATTCCTTTTGTGTAGAAAACAATTAGTTTTGGTTGACAAAACATGGAGGAAGCCAGCCTTTAGAGAGATGTTTTTAGTTGCTGAGATATGTTACTTTGGTATACCGGTAGTTAAGAGTTATCACATATGAATAAGTTATATCATAGATATATTTTCAATAGTGTGAACGAACACAGTACATGCTGTCTGGATTTTCTCGTTTGCTTTGTTGTGAGTGAAACAAGTAATCTATATTTATATCCTTTTTTAAATGTAAACATCATATTTGTGCTACGTCCTGTAGGAATTTTAAAGTAACTTCATTCCAAGTGATTATTGATATAAATGTTTTCCATAACTTCACATACATTTCAACAAGAATTGGAAAGATTTTGCAAAAGTTATGAAGCATCTTTGTCAAGTTTAGTCCAGGTGAGCAAGGTATATAGTTGGTTCATATTTCTTCCAACTTTAACTGAACATTGCGGCAACACATCCCACGTACCTAATTTACACCTCCCTGCCCTCCCACAAGCAACATTCTCCATAGCTTAGTGGTTAGAACACTGCTTAGTGGTTAGAACACTCCAGAATTGCCTGTAGGTTTGTTTCCAGCCAGAGGACGTAAGTTGCATTTTTCACATTGTTCCTGCTTAGGTCTCTAAATCATATGTTTCTGTCTTTGTTCTCCGGAAAGAGGTCCCATCAACATTTCATTTATGTTATGCAGAAAAAGAAAGTGCATATACACTTCATTCTACTCTGCATTCCAGTCAATTATATAATTATATTAATAATTATAATAAATAATTATAAATAATGCAGTATCATATATTTGATTTTATACGTATATGGCTATTCCAATTAATTTCATAGACAGAAGTCGACATCTCAAAAATATTTAAAGATTTAGTCAATTGGTATGATATTAATGTAAGTATCTGTTGAATTTTTTCATACTATTTATTAAAGCTGTGTTATATACATGCACTACTTGCTTTGACATGACCTGGACCACAAAATACAGGCCAACAGAAGAGGTGGCCTGGTCCAGGCCCGCACCTCACCTGGGGTACAATTTTTGTAATGTGAACAGGTTCTAGTGTAAATGTGGCTTTAGTTTTTGTGAAGCCATATAGGGAATAGGGTGGTAAATGTAATGCAAGTCTCATGAAATATTAAGGTTCTCTATGTATGTCGCTGTACCAAGTTATTTCAGCTGGAGTTGTCCGCTTTAATTAACACGGTAAGCACTATCGAAATGCTTTCCTTGGCTGGTCAGAGTGTTGAATAAAGTGAAAAAGGATGTTGTGGTCATCTAGTGCCTTGTAATTTTCATTATATCCCAGGGCTTACTTGGTCAAAAATTGTCTATTTTGAACTGCAATCAACAACAGAAGGAGGACATTGCCAGGTATTATACATGCAATAATATTACAAGCTGCAAAGTATATTCTAAGTGCTGTGAACAGTCATTACAACATGCAAGGCTTCACTCAAAATGTCATAATAATAATAATGAGCTTTATTTTAGAAGTGCGGTAGCGTAGCCAGCCTGACAATTTAGTCCTGCTATATTAATAATATTTTGGCCTGTTCATTGACTATGAAAATGAAGAATTTCTCTTTAAGAAATGAATAATTATAATAACCTGAAATTTAACCTACTCTATCTGGGTATATTATTTTGGTGCTTACACGCAATTTTTTTCTATTTTTTTTCCTTTATTACATTCCAGATTTGTTGATGTTTGTAGCTTATCAAATCTCTTAAGTTCTCCTGTCAAGGTAATCATCAGAATCTCATCTCATAATGACATATCAAACACAGAAAGCCTGGTGTTAGTGTTACACACAGTTTAATTGGCTCATTAGTTTTGGCAGAGCCAATCAACCTTTGTGTAACATCAAACAATTCCATGATCTTAAGATTTACTCCATCAGTCATTGTTGGAACTCACTTGTCTAGTTGCATTTAAATACATGGTGTTTTATTTTAAAGGAAAGCAATCACAAAATTTTAGAAAACTTAGAAAAGAAACCAAAAGAAGTTAACACTTTGACTTTTTCTGATTTGAGTTTTAAATTCAATTTTGCAAGTAAAGAAGGTTAGTTACATAAACTGTTCTTCTTAAGCTTTTCTTCCTAGAGGTCCAGTAAGGATAATCTCTTATTGATCCAGTGTTACTACAGGAGGAAACATAAACTAAACTAACTTTATTTATACTGCATAGCTTTATCAGTTCTAAACTGTTCTTCCTCGAGGATCATTGCTTATTGATCCAGTGTTACTACAGAAGGAAACTTAAACTAAACTATCTATATTTATACTAGATATCTCTATCAGTTCTAAACTGTTCTTCCTAGAGGTCCAGTAAGGATCATCTCTTATTGATCCAGTCTTACTACAGGAGGAAACCTAAACTAAACTAACTTTATTTATACTAGATATCTCTATCAGTTCTAAACTGTTCTTCCTAGAGGTCCAGTAAGGATCATCTCTTATTGATCCAATGTAACTACAGGAGGAAACATAAACTAAACTAACTTTGTTTATACTAGATATCTCTATCAGTTCTAAACTGTTCTTCCTAGAGGTCCAGTAAGGATCATCTCTTATTGATCCAGTCTTACTACAGGAGGAAACATAAACTAAACTAACTTTATTTATACTAGATATCTCTATCAGTTCTAAACTGTTCTTCCTAGAGGTTCAGTAAGGATCATCTCTTATTGATCCAGTGTTACTACAGAAGGAAACCTAAACTAAACTAACTTTATTTATACTGGATAGCTCTATCAGTTCTAAACTGTTCTTCCTAGAGTTGCAGTAGGGATAATTTCTTATTTATCTAAATACTTTTTTGTCCCAAGGTATATGTGAGGTTTGTAATGACTGGGCAAAAACGATGGTTGAGGGTGAACAAGACAATCCAGTCTTTTTAAGGCAAGTCATGGAGAATTATAAATTGAAGGTAAGAAATTAGCCTCTCGTAACCGTTCCGTCACTTCAGTGGATAGTACAACTTTATGCGTTTCTTGGAAATCTAAGGCATTTATAGAAATTATCTTTCAACTCCCAAGGTTATTCAAGACATGAATTCGCTGAAGAGATTGTTACGAGAAGCTGAGGCGGACCACTATGCTTTGTTCAGGTAAAAAGATTATTTATACGACTTTCTTCTATGCTACGTTCAGCTTTCAGGGTTTCCACGGTGCATGTCGGCTGGCCCTTCGACTTCGGTTAGTGCCCGAGGAAAGCAAAAAAATGTATAAAATTATCGTAGTCTTACAATTTTTTCTCAACCGATCCAACTCATCCAAGCACATATAAAGTGTTTTGAGTGAAACGTTGTGGGTTTGAGAGTCCGCAAAAGATTCTACAAGCCAAGGTTTTCCCCAAAAAAACGCAATTGGCAATTCAAACTGTTTGAATTAGGTCTCAACAAAGAAAGCTCTTTCGGCTACAGTTAACAATACAATGATGTTCTATTATTGAAGTTTTGCCAAAAAGTTTGGTAGTATTAGGCCTTAAGGACAAACATGAGTTTGTAGTTTGTTTCGGTTGAATACCCATTGGCATAGGACATAAAAAATGTACTTAAAATCACCGGCACAAATAAGCAGGCTTTAAAAAGAGTATTAATGGAGAATTATCTTTTTTAAAGATTTTCATTTAGCAATTAGGCTTGAAAGGTCAATTGCGTTTTTTTGGGACACCCTCACTGAGCTATATAAGTGGACACCCTGTATAATAATGCACGATGACTGCATATCTGGTACCTGGAGCGTCCGCAACGTGAACAACAAACGTATTTCCAGCTGACATTCAATAATAATTGGTAACTGGACGATCCCTTCTGCTCTTCTTGCTTTTTAGATCATACGTGTTTTTATCTAAGTGTGTTAGCAGCCGTATCGTGATGGAACACATCAGACAAGAAGCTGAGACGAGTATGACGAAAGAAATTTGCGATATCATTGAGGTCTTGGACGATTTTATTGCCGAGAAAGGTGGCTTTTCAGAAATATACTTGCAAAAGAAAAAGTAATTGCCTTGAGATTGTTTCAATATACCAAGGAGCAGCGTGGCAGCGTCTTCAAACAACTTAGCATCAAATGTGGTATAACAAAAGTTAGTAACTCTCCCGACGAAGGCCCTCAGGTCGAAACGTCGAGAAGTGTTTTGTCTGTTTAGGCAGTTGTTATACCACATTTGATGCTAAAGTGCCTTGAGATTAGCCTAAATTAGTCAAATATTAGAGACGGGAAACGCTAGATGCGCAAATTTCGTCGGCACAGTGAAGTCTCTCGCCCCCAGTTTCCGTTCAAACAAACAGATAAGCTGAAAAGAAATCTTATTCAGTTATTGAGACGAGAAATTCCGCTTTAGCTTAAATTTAGACAGATGATTATAAATACTGTTAAACACGGAACTAAGAGAGGAAAATGTGACAAAATGGTAGCACTACCTCGCGTGTCTAAATTTAATATATAACCATTTTAGGGCTGCTTTCCACTGCACGTACGTTCGTTCACGCACGTAAAAGTTTTAAAATCATTTGAATGATACTTCGATAAAATCTACGATTGAATAGATGCATAGGGTGGGATTCTGTTGAAGATTTGCGTGGGATGTTTTTTCTGCAAAAAAATTAATTATATAGCAACTTTAATAACTTTTACGTATGTGCATATGTTATTACGTATGTGCGTGCAAAAAACGTGACAGTGTCAGTGGTAAAAAGCCATCAAGGGCTGCTAAATTAACTTGCACTTAAGAAAACTAAAAAAAACAAGCCATGGTGACCATTCACAGCCGTCTAGTATTTGCTGGGGTTTTTTATGAATTCTTTTTATGAATTTTATGAATTCAACCACCATTTGTTACACTTGTATCGTTATAAATCAAAGTAAAGAGTAAATAAGTTATTTTTATATATTTTATAGTATTATCAATATTACATTCATCTTTTATATTGTTAGAGATTTAAATTGTGAAATAGTAAGCTATATCTAGTAAATATAAAGAACTATTCTGTTTATTATAAGATTTAATATTCAACTTTAAAAGATGTAGAAATAAATTTTTTTACATGTTTTTTAGTCCTATAGATGTGCATTTGACGTATGTATTTTTGTAATCCTCGATTCTTTAAAGGCATCTGATTGGTCCGTCAAACAATAACTATTATTTTCTAAACCAATCACTGAGCAGTATTCTTTTCTTGTCCAAAAAGTGAAAAACATGGCGCGAAGGTGAAGTCTGAATGCGGCATTGTACGTGTTGAGAAAGTTGTCCCTTTTGCTTCTTTGAACAAGAAATACGGCGTGAAATCTGGCAAAATGTATAGGTAAATATATGCTCTAGTATTATTTCATTTTGAATCGTTTGCAAGTAATTTTTATTGGTGTTTACAGTGAATCGATTGCAAGTTCACTTAAAAGTTAAACTTTAAATATGACATTTTGAGTACAATAAAGTCTACTCGCACAGCCTATGTGGGTGGGCTTGCCTTCAGTACACCAAATTATAGTACTAAAGTGTTTAGGTACACTGTCAACGGAACTTTATTTTAAAATAACCACTGTCATAGAGAAATCTGGTTATTTTTTTCCTTTTTCGCATCAGACATATGCCACATAATAAACGCCCACCAGTGTACAATTGTATTCCAAAAAAAGCATAATGGTTTATTTATAGCAAAATTCATTTTCGTATGAATAAAGAATATTTTAGAGCTTTCATATCTTGCGCTCATTCAACAAGAACTTCTCGTTTGGTGAAGTTCTGGATTTGAGTAGCCGGGTATATTAAAAATTTAAGTAATAGGCCTCGGTGACTCGAGATTTGTGTTCGTGTTTCTGGATAGTGACCCTGAACTTGATGTTTATTAATTAATTGTTTGAATTGGCCAATTTCGTCTGGGGAAACTGGATTTTTTTATTTCTGGATTTGAAAAGAAGCTAGCTGGGTGCCTTTGTGCTAGGCATGCGGGGAGACTATTTCTCATGATAAAATCAGAAGAGAATAAATTGTGTGAAGTGTCAAGTCAAGTAAAGTCAGCTTTTGGAAGAAATGGCCACGTTTCAAGAAGAAACTTTCCTTTAGCCAGAAGCGTCTGGATCGTGTTTGCTGATTTTTTAATTTTAACTCCGAACTCTGGAAGAAAACATTCGCGTTCTTCTCGATCGTGATAAGCAAGGCTTCCGGTTGTCATGAACGGTAATCGTCATTTTGACATCCGCGTGATCTCCCACGACCTAGGATTGATATTCGGGTCGAGATCAAAATATTGAACTACACCTTCACGGGAACTTCTACGTTCGATGATTCACATTGCCCAATAACACAATCACAGGCACACGCAGGCAACGTTTTTTTTTTATTGGAGAAATGTGCAATGAATATTCTTCGCTCTCATGCATCTACATGTCAAAACACTTGGGGAAAAGGGAAGATGGAAATTGCCAAGTACCTACAAGTGCCTTTCCCACTAATTCTTATTACTGTTATTAATTTTTGCTATAATTACATTAAAATCGACGATAGAAGTCAGTCAGATACGAATTTAGCCATGTGTAACTAACATTGTGGTATCCAACCAAACTCTGTTGGTCATGGCATTGTGGTTTCCAACCACAGTTTCTAATCAGACAATTTTGAATATCACATGATAATTATTCGGCATTCGTAATGACAACACAAGGCACTCCTTTAAACACCCCCGCAATGACAAAATATCGTTAAACTATCGTGTCGCGGGTCGTGGAACGTGTCGCGTTCACACGAATGGCTCACGAGAGATCACCTTGAGACGGGTCATTCACTTCCAAGTTCAAAACTTGAGACATGTGAAAGAGAAAATGATAGCGCGTGTAGAACACGTCTAAAACACAATCAGGCGGTGAGGTCGAGGCATCTCACGGATGAAGACTCTGAAAAAAGTTGTAAACAACATGAGATTGGAATTTTCAAACAGCAAAAACAGGTTTATAGCAGAAGCTGTTCAAAGCAGGTGATTCCGACAGGACAATGGAATGTCAAGGATTTGAACACCTAGGTGTATTGTGATATACCAAGTGATTCCGATTGTTCAATGACCTGTCAATCAATAAATAGATTTATTCGCGATCGTTTATGAACCGGTCTCCGAGAATGACCCAAGTCAGTTGGCGAAATAATTTGTAATTAGAATAGATTAGTTTCACTCTCACCGTCACCCCCCCCCCCTCCTCTCCCCCATTCATAGCCAAGAACATTTTTGGAAACGTTTAAACCTTATTTTGTGAAGAACAACCAGTAAATTATACATGAACATATCTTCTATCAGATTGGATATTGTCATATTGCACTTAAGTGTGGTAAATTCGACTTTGACCTAAGTTGCACTCCGCTGGCAACGTTCCTAGGTCTTAATGATCGTATGTTTCTACCTTCTCAAACCAAACTACAATTGACAGTTAATTTATTAAACTTTGGGGTTTTCGCTTGATTACTGTAGGACTTTTTCCGTCAGTATGACAGTTTTGAGTTTTGCGCGCAGCGCGCAATGTTTCCTGGTAACGACCTCTCAACGTCACGTCATGTGTTTCTTCATCACGAGATAATCGTATGAAGCACGTACAGTAGTTCTTGGCTTGGGTAAGGCAACCTCATGCGTCATGATGACCCTTGTCACCCTCCTGTTTTGAAGCAAGAATTTAAGATTTAAGATTTATTAAAATGAACACTTTTTTGTAACCTTAAACGGTTAAATTACAAAGGTTCAAAACAGGATAGGTATAATAAGATGTTACATATAGTAAAAATGGTAAAAATAGTAAGATATTTTACTATAAATTATTTACTTTTAAAATTACTTATTACTTACTATATTGTAAAAGAGATTCTTAAATAGGAAATGTTAAAAATTATCATAGCCGTTAAGCCTTGGAAGAAAAAGCACTTCGCGACGGTCAGGTGGGCGAGATGGCGAACTGGGTACGAGATTGGAATTGTTGAATTACTGATGTCCAAGAAATGCTGATTTTTAACGGCATTCTGAACGGCATTCTTGATAGCCAATCAAATTGCGTCTCTTTCCCGCGCGGTCGAAATCCTATAGACCTATACTACGAAAGGGCTTTGGGGTTTTCTCCGTGTCACGGAGTCAGCTCACCTTTATCTTTTTATCTTTATGAAAGAATCTTGGATATAAAAGTGATTAATGAATTCATTCGGCACATTTCATTTGACAGTCGCTTAGTAGCCGAGAGCAATGTCAAATATTATGAAAATGAAAACCGTAGACGTAGTATATTGCGTTCACCACTTGACATTCTAAACACCGGCGTAGGAAATCTTCCTCTTTGATCTCGCTTCCTGATCTCGTTCCTGATGTCCGATGAGGTCATCATTGCAAGGATAATGGACATGGCATGATTGTGAAATATTACAATTATAGATGGGTTTATTTTCGGCCTTCCCTCACAACGACGTCTTCATGATTTCCGTAAACGACTTATAAGGCTCTCTTGAAACGATCAACGTTTCTGCCGAAGAAAATCTTTACATAACCTCCGTTCCTCTATACTCGAACAGCTCTAGACTAAACGACATATTTGGCCATTGACAGTCAATCACAGGCCAACTATTCCGCATTCGAATGAATCCAACATCTCAATCTTGTGAATGCGCGCAAACAAGCCACTACAAAAACCTTTTTAACTCAATGGTGGCTGACTGCATATATATAGAGCCTCGCTCAGTGAAATAGCTTTAGTAAAGCTTTCGTAAGAGCATAACATACAGAATAAAATCAAAGGAGAGAAAAAGTGGGAAAAAATATCTAAAATATTGCATGGTTTTGTGCGGATAGCGACAGATTGCCGGCCACGAAGTTGTCTTTACTTGGTAAAATATTGAACACTTGGATATTTGGTTATCTGTCATTTCAAGACTATTTAAAAAGTGACAATCATATGATCTTGTTGAGTTTGTTACATAGTGAATTTCGGGGTTAAACACACGAGTTAAACGTTACGTTCGAACCGCCACGAACCTCGTGATTAATTTCCTCGCGCGACGGTCCACGACCGCCTGTTTGCTATCGCCTCTCAATAAATATATTCTCCCAGCAAACCATCAGAGCTATTACACTAATTCAACGTTCTCTCCACACGAACGACATCCGCTTATAAACCCCAAACCAAACACGGCTGTTCCTTAGCATGGCCAGCGACGAATATCGTGAAATCTTGGAAACCAAACGGCTCGAAATCGTGAAAAGCATCAACTGCGAGCGAAGTCTGCTCCTGAATCATTTGCGATCGAACCTGGTCTTTGATCGGGAGGATTGCGAGCTTATACATGCTGCTAAGACGAACGATGGCAGGGTGGGAAAGCTCATAGACACTCTACTACAGAAAGGCCGTGATGCCTACGAGTGTTTTATTGATGTGGTACAAATTGAAAACCCCGCACTCTATGAGCTGTTGACTGGAGAGAAAGCTAGTGGCAGTAAGTTAAAATCATTAATGTACCTTTCATTTGTTATGATGGGTGATATATGTGCCTTTAGCTCATGGTGCTTGAGTTCTATAAGATCTCGTACCGTTCTTTTGGGCAAAGACAAGGCATTTCATCCAGCAGCCTTTTAAATATACATTCCCCTTTGGTTTAACCGCATCAATGTACTTTGACTAATATTATAATCGTGAGCTTGGCTCGTGAATGAGTTGACGTAAAGTTACAATCTAGTATAAATGAGGACTTTTTAATCTGAGATATCTTGCATGAATGTCTACGTTTTGACCTCCTCATCTCAATTGACTCTGAGCCTTTATACATTACGGTGTTGAGGCCATAGTCTATGAGACAACGTTATATATATATATATAATTCATAGCTCATTATCACTGGAGTGTGATGTATTTTCATAACAAAGTTAAAAGTTCAAAGACTGTTTTATCAACGAGCAATTGGGGGTCAAACCATTCTGTAGATTTCTGTCAATGTTATTTTAACTGGCGCTCTCGCAAAGTACCAGCTTAACTCCCGAGTTCAATCAAAGTTCGACCACGTTAGTGCGAATTCACCTCTCAAACAAACGAACCGTTCTGCAGGAACACTATGTGTGACGAATTTCGCTTCAAAATGGCCCGCAGAGTCGCTCTGTCACGTAGAAATGTCAATAGAGATGTCGAGTCAGATTTCATAGGTGTTAGTTGTGAGTATCATGCGGTACAGTGTTGAAATCAGCGTTATATCTATCACTTTACGATGACAGCAGAATCAGCCTTTCATCCTATCCTTGTGTGCTAAAATACAAGAATTATACGCGTGCATATGAACTACAACTTGGTACGTGTTTCATGAAGTTTCCCCCGCCGTATGCGCACGTCTCGATAGTCGCGGCGCTGTTAATGATAATTTGATTTCTGGCACAATTACCAGCGAAGTTCTCTGGCAATAGGCCGAAGCAATATTTGCACAGTCTATTCTTCTTTTCAAAGAGGTTCGTATCGCGAAAATTTAAGGTTAATCATAGGAATTTCCAGATGAAATTTGTTCGTGGCCAAAATTTTGCAATCCGAAGTTAGGCTTGGCCACTTTTGGGCTTACAACACTTCACCCCATGTAATGCGATTACCAAATAATAAAATGCCCCCTGTGCTTAGTTTATCGTCGTTAATCGCCCATATTCACGAATTCTAAACAGGCTTTTAATGCTTCATGTAGTTCAATTGCTGCGAATAAATGTTTAGCAGTATGAAAATTTTCCCGAATATGAAACAAATCGTAAGAGGAAAATTATTATAGCTGGGGTTCGCCACTATGTTACAACAGTTCTAGTGGTCGAAAGACAAGAGAGACTGACAAAGAATCGTTTTAAGTTGGGAAAATTAAAGCGATACATTTCATGGAAATTCATATAAGTATAATATAGCCTAATTTGGAAATTCTGAGAATTCCAAAAGACAAGGAAGAAGTTTAGAAAAATTACCAAAAGTTGTCAAATGTTTTTATACAAGTTCGTTAAAAATATTTATACAAATTAGGTCTAAACAAATCACAGATAAAGTTACACAACACAGAAAAATTAATCGATGAGACCATCTTCTGTTGTTAGGCATCTATACCGTTTTAAAGAAGCTAGCGAGAATTTTTTATCATTATAAGCTTTAAAAAATCGGTTAAAAAAAGTTAGTTTCCCAACATTGTCCAGTCGATGCTATGTATTTGTCTTATTTGGGGAGCGAATCATAGCCCTGATGATGATTTTAAAAAACATCTTATTTTAAAACCATTGATTTAATGAGCCTGAAATCTTTTTAAATCGTCGATGAAATCGGAAATTTCTAAACATGTCAAATACTCACTAGCCTTGTGGTCTGATTGATGTTTTCAATTATATGATTGATATTTTCAATATGAGTAAGTCGCGCACATATTCTAACTTTTCATCTTCTAAACTTTTCATCATCTGCAGTTAATCCAATGTGTTAGTTATTGGGGCATTCAAGGTTAACTGAGTCATCGCAACTCGTTTTAACGAGGAAATTGCACGCGACGAACTTTTAACGGATGTCGATAAAGTGATCTCTGTCTATTCAAAATGATCTCTGTCCTGTCTCGCAAAATATTTGCACGCGGTGTTTTTTTGGTACGATTGTATATCAATGAACTTTGAAAGCGCCACGACGCTAAATCTATTGAGATACGATAAACCCGTAGAAAAATTACCTCATAACTGCGATACATGTATATAATTTAAGTGATTTGTTTCACACAAGGATTGTCATCTATGAGATTAAAGTATTAACGACGTGAAATATGAGAAAAAGCGCGTAACAAGTGGACATTAAACACGCCCGTAAAAATATTAAAAAACAAATCTCATTGATATTAGGTCTCGCGCGGGAGTTCTGACGCATTTGCCGTCTACATTCATATTTACCGACTCGAGTGCAAAATGTACTAAGATACATGCAGGATCCTTTGAGAAAAGAGTTTCATGACGTAAATCACCCATCAATTTTCAACCACAACAACCCGTCAGCACAGATTTTCTCGTTTCCAATTCTTCAAAGACTCCACGGGTAGTCGTTTCTCTGCGGTAGTTCGTACAACCGAAATTATACCACAATATTTCTTATGTTCATTTCAAGTGTTTTTTCCTAATATTGTGATAGCTGCTCTATCCCGACGAACTCTTGTGTTACACCTAGGCATCAATATAATTTCGTTTTCTGTTCTGAACTTCCTCTTATGCATGGGCTTGAGCTGCCAGCCAGCCAGCCATTACTGTATTCCTCGCTGTAGTCTGTATGACCAACCAGCGAATTCTCTAAAACAACTGGACAGATAACTCTAGGGGGCGGAATTAAAGCCAATGGTTTCATTTTGAGCAGAAATACGAATAAACTGAACCTTTTGCTTTATGCGAAGCTAAAGCTATTTATTTGGAGAAATTTGATGTGGAAGTTTTTCGACTTCAGCCTAATTACAAACTTCGTATAAGAAGGTAATTACTTAGAATTTTTCTGGGTTTTGGCCGAGCGGCAATTTTTATAGCTATTTTTAAAATATACATCCTTTTGTTAATGTCTCGAAATTTCCACGCCTATTAAAAAATCTCCGAAGCTTCCGAATGTGATTTACAACCCGACTTTTGGGGTCAAGTATATCAGCTTAAAACGCAGCCCAAATTATTTTGCCTTTAGGCAAAAATGGGTATGTTTATCGTGCAGGGGCCGGTTGGTTGTACGAAAGCTGGATCAGCGCTATCCCCCGGATAGTGTTTTTTTCAATCGCTCTAAAAATGCTTGAAAAGCAATAAAATTTCAGTTTTGAAAGCAAAAATTATTAAGGAGGACCCTCAATTTAGGAACACTAAGATTTAAACAAAGTTATACCCAACAACGGACGATGTTACAGCGATTGAGAGAACCACTATCCGGTGGATAGCGTTATCCGGCTTTCATACAGCCGGGCCCACGTGTATAGCAGAAACCACTGGTCGACACACCTCCTGTGTTTCGACAGCTCGTTAACCCCTCCTCAATTCTCGTCTAACGAGGAAACACCAGCATTTGCGTGCCTCCGCCTATGTCTGCCCCCAACACACTATCATTTTTCCTCAATGTCACAAGAATATCGACTCAGGACGTTCCACGAGAGAGAGGGAAGGTATGACCATCAAAACAACATTAATACTAATTTTCATTGGAATTGAGATCTACATTCGACACTAGACATACATATCTTTGGTTTGTGTTTGACAGGTTTATTTGAATGTGTATTTTTCTTTTACATAAGCATAGTCATTTTGTTTATACAAATGTACAAATACTTAATCTTTATGACAACATTTCTTGAACGATTCGAAACTCCCATGCAGTAATTACTCCTAATCTTCGTTTCTTTTTCTTTGCATTATTCTAAATCTCCACCCATATTTAAAAATGACGCGGAAGCCTTAAAAAATTTCAAAACTCTTCCCATCAAGGCTTATAATAACAAAAGCCTAGACAACAAAAAATGCTTTCTCTACTTTTTGACGCGAGGTCCTTCGCCAGGTATTTGAATAACCAGTATTCGATGTTGCCACCACGATAGCTAATTTCACGCACGTAACGTATATTTCCAAATTCCCACCTATTATAAACAGTCACATCCAATGTGCACACGTTAACCTTTTCGAGACAACATGATTTGTTTTCATGCCAAAACGGTTTCAAACACCGTCAATTTACAATAGAAGTTGAAGCTAATTTAACATATATATTAACATAACATTAACATAACATAGAGAGATTTAGCATGAGGACGTGAACGTCAAAGACGACGCGAAAATGGCGAATAAATGGCGTGATGCACCCGCATATGGACATGCCACGCCATTTATTCGCCATTTTCACGTCGTATTTGACGTTCACGTCCTCATGCTAAATCTCCCTATTAACTATATTTCTCCTTGGATCGTGTGGACAGGGCTAAACAATAAAATAGACAAAAACGATTTTGAAAACACTCGAAAACGACGCTCGTGTGCACATAGCCTAGGACTAGGTAACAACGAAGTGGTCGCGTTTTTGCTAGGCAACGTTATCAGGCAACACCACATCGCGATTATCCGTCGATGGAGTTATCAGTTATGACCTAAGGGTTAAGTAGAATTACCGTCAAAAATCCGCCGCCTTATTCATAAGTTTTACTAAGACTAAGTCCTGAGCAGTACATACCAGAGCTATGTTATAATATGATATGATTACGGGCCGCGTCTTCGAATTTCCCAATCTCTTTAAATTGAACAACGCCAAGTGACCACAATGTTTTTAAAAAACGTTTGAGGACAGGTTACATACAGCGTCGTGAATATAGATTTTGCTCAAAGTGTATGCATGCTAAAAGCAATTTGTACGCAACAGCCTACTACTTCAGCCTAGTTTCCACTCAGAAAAAATATCCTTTGGATCGAACGGACAGGAAAATTTCCTTTGTCGGTGAGTTCTCAGGCGGCGTTTATACAAAGGAAACTTTCCTGTCCTGTCCGATCCAAAGGAGAATTTTCCTAAGTGGAAACTAGCCTGTAAAATGATCCAAATTCTCATAGCCATGAAACTATACCTCAAATTGATTCAGAAATCAGAAGTATATCGCGAAACAAAGTCATTGTGGTAAATTCTGATAATGCTATTCTAAGACATCAGTATATAGCGGCTTAAAATGTAAACAAAGTGTTTGTTTACATTAAAGACTAAAAAGTTACAAAACCTTTAAAACATAACCTATTAGCGCCTCACTCGGCGACAAGAACATGCTTAAATGAGGATATACTGCGAAATTATAGACCTTCAGCAGAGCACTAATATGCCGAACGCATTATAACAACAATAGGTATAAAGCCTCTTTTACATGGAGCGAGTTATCCCGGCTAGGCGAGGTAAAAAGCGTATCACATCAAAGGCTTAACCAGATTAGTCTTTCATTATATGCAGCTTTCACCTCGCCTAGCCGGGATAACTCGCTCCATGTAAACAGGGCCTAAGTCGTGAATGGCATGAACAAGTTATTTTCACAAATGAGAAGTAGTCTGGATATAAATTTATCCTTATTTATGTATTAAAATCGGTCATTGTTAGCATAAGGCTCGCGATATCACAACTACTGTGACCACCTACGCTCGCATTTTCGCCGATTTCCCCCCTCCCCCTTTTCAATGTTGATCCCTAATTTTAAATATATTAATTGTTGTAATGTCGCAATAACGAAAGTGCATTAGAATTCAACATTGAATGAAGGGGGGGGGGGAAGGGGAGAACACATTTTTAGAGAAAAAAAATGCAATCGTTTTGGGCAAGATTGTACGTTCACACAAGCCTGAACGAACGAATTTGGGACCGTGCTGGAATTTGTCCTGTTTTCTTGTGCGAACAGGAAGAACCGTACAAATTTTCATCCATTTTTACCGTGTGAACACGTACAACCGAACGAATTTAGGCACGGATCCAAATTCGTCCGGTTCTGTTTGAACGTAAACCCAGCCACCTTAACATGTTCGCGACAATTCTTGGTTTGCATGTGACGTCATAATCAGTCATTCGGCGCCATCTTGGTTGATTCTACAAAGTTTACTTTTGCTTTTCAAGAGACCAAACTGCGTTGATTTACTTTTCCTTGTTTATTTTGTAACTTCTTATCATCTCTTGTCGTATTATTGAGCGGGTTTTAAAATACAGCGACGATGGAAAATTATTTGTGCACGTGTTTTGAAAAATCAACCTAAGATGGCGGCAGCAATTGGAAACCGCCTATTACGACTAAATGGAAACTGGGCATAACGAGCATCTTAACCGGCTGAGCCGGTTTTCCACTAAATTTTGCGCGCGAATAGCAATTTTTCCTTTTCTTTCTTGAAGTTCAAAGACAATGAAAAATTCCACTCCGCGCGCAAAATTCCGCGTAGTGGAAGATACCCTAATTAATGCGTGCATGCGCAATAGCGATTTCTGCAAAGCGACTGAACTCGTAGTATTTCGTAACTGGAGTGATCGGTTCAATGGTTGCCAAGAGCTGTCTGGTGAGGCGAAAGTAAGTGTTTTGACACGAATTTGCATAACCAGGTTCACGTGGTGTTTCTAATTGTTCGACAAGCGTTGGCGTTAAGTGATTTATTAATTAGTTTCGAAACGGAAGTTTGACTTTTGACACATCATACTTCAAATATTAAACGACCAGCCTGCTGTTCTATTTACTGTTTGCAAAACTTGAATTTTTTGCACTCCCAAAGCAAGCAACAAGAACGAGATCGTCTGATTTGTTCTAAACTAAAAACTACAGACAGTCGTACGTGCGACCGTTTTCAGCCACGACTCCGCGTCGCTCTCGAAAATATCGTTGCTACGAATGGCGGCAACCTAACCTTGGGATTCTCTGCACACAATCTAAGTATTGCACTCCTGTAAAAATCGATTTTGTTATCTTGTCTTCGAGACATACCAAAAAATACGCTCATCCCAATTTTCTGCCCGATTTCATCGAAAGAATTCGCCCTAGGATAGGGTAGTTAAGCCCTTTGTAAATAGCCTTGCATTTTGTAAGAGCTTATAAGTCAATCATCACTTTATTGCTTGATTATTATGGTAAACATAAATGCTATATTATGTAGTATAATGGACTTGTTTTATGAAAATTCACCGGCTGTATTTCAGCTATATGTATAGTATTTAAAAAATAGTAGTTGTTAATACTTTCTTTGATTGGAAATTTCATGAAACGTGGCCTAAAACGGTGCACCTAGAAATACTTGTAATCGTGATCTGAGAAACGCCCATGCTGCTATGCAAAGGAACTGCTGGGCGTTTGGGATAGTATCAAACAAATGCCCTTTCTTTAGTTGTGTGCCAATTGATCTCTAAGGATTGTCATCAATGTTTGTCGAAGCAATCTTCCGGTTTCGATCCGGATGTGAGCTGAAGCTCTCAGATTCTGTGTTTTCTCTAAGGGGGGCGGTGATGTATGACTGATACGAGATGGTGCTAATTGGTAGACGTGGTGTTCTTAGTGCTCCAAGTGAACGCTATTCTGGTATAAATGTGGAAGATCAATTCCTAGTTAAGGTATATTGTATATAGAAAAGATTGGGTTTTTAAGATCTGGTGTTTATCCGTTTGTTCTGCAGTAATCCTGCTCCGAGTTCAGTCTCGAGAGTGAAGCAAGTCTGAATTGTTACTCTAAGGTTACACTGAGGTAACAAAGAGTGACTGCACATATATATATGTATGTATATATATCTAATAATATATCACCATGTATATAAATGTACACGTTCTTCATATGATGTAAGATTTTCCAATGTACTCTTTTGATGGATCAGATCTTTAGGTCTTGTCTGCGATTGTGACGAGATTGTGATTGTCTCACATAAATATTCTATAGCGACCATTGAAATCTAATTTGTGTGCTGCGTCGGTGGTTCATTAGAAAGTTCACGAGCAATTTATTACACCTAGAGATACGGGTTAAAAATTTTTGTCTAGTATTACAATTATATGCCTGTGGATGTGTTTCGTTGTTCTTTAAATCACCCTTTTTTTCTGGTAAATTTTTGATAACCTGAATCACGAACGACTGTCAATGTGCGCTGCGTTATTTCTCGTCGGAATATTATGTAATCAAGATGTTATTCACATCACCATATTCCCATTGATACAAGCTTCAAAACGCGTGGATTAAACCTTTTTAGTTTCGTTTCTATATGTGCTGTTTCGAAAGGAAATACATCTGTGACTTTTTGGCAATTGGGTTATGAAAGCTAGCATAAGGTTAATATCTTGCGCATGCACCATCGCTGTTTACTACTCACGTTCATGTACCCATTTCCCCCTTGTAAAGCCAGGAGTACGAGGAAAAGTTCTTGTACGCGCTTCCTCAGAAGAGCAAACCTGATCCGATTTTTTTATTTTTCATTTTCAGAGCCGAGGATGCCCGATTTGGCGTTTCTGGATCTGCAACGTAAGTGAACATCTTTGCGAATTTTTGCATAATTATATATGTATATCACGTCCTTAAAGCCTTATTCCTCGCGTAATTAGTTTATTTTATTCAAGTTAAAATAACAGTTATTACAAATTATGATGTCCCTCGGTTAAACAAGTCTTCAAGTCCTCAGTTAAACAACCCAAAAAGATGCGATTCGAGATGCTATCTCGCTTACCAAAGGCACTCTATCGTATATACCATTACTTACTAGACTAACCTGGTATGCAACTCACTTTAATTCAATTCAATATCTATGTAATTGGTGGTGATCTACTTTCATCTGATATAATATTCCTGGAATAGTATACTACTCCTGGAATTACTACGAAAGGGAAAGTCTGGAAGTCTAATTTGCTTATCCCTTTGAAAAATTAATATTGTGAAATATTTCAAATGAGTGCATTTTGTGAAATATTTCAAATGAGTGCTTTTTTGGAAATATTTCAAATGAATTCATTTTGTGAAACATTTAAAACAAGTGCTTTATTTCGAAGCAATTTTAAACAAACTATTGCGATAATTTTTTCAACGTGGAAAAGATTACCAAGGGTCTAAAATTAGACAAAACATTTTTTAAATTTATCCGCCCAAATTCTTCCGGACTATTTACAAGGAAGTTGAAAATGAGTTGAGACAGATTATGGTAAATCCTCTCAGGTTTTGTACTTTCGTACGAAACAATATCTTGAACGTTCATTATTTCCGTGAGCAGTGTTTCGGGTTAATGTTGTTCATCTATTCACCACCATGGAACTGGCACAGAAAAATATTGGGGAAATTTTAAAAGGTTGATAAAGCAAAGTTAGCTTTTGTATATACGTCTTATTTCCGTTTCGGTGGATCGCGGTTGTTGAGCTTCGGTAAAATAAATTTTTTGAAACGACCAAGCTATTTACAGAAAATGGTGTCTGATCAATGAGAGATGATTTTTCTGGACTTCTAGGAAGAACAGTTTAGAACTGATAGAACTATCCAGTATAAATAAAGTTAGCTTAGTTTAGGTGTCCTTCTGTAGTAACATTGGATCAATAACAAATGATCCTTACTGGACCTCTCCTGTACCTCTAGGAAGAAAGCTGATAGTGATGGTAAAAATAAATAATATTCTGTTTTACCGTGAAAAATCTTGTTTACTAAAGCTCATTGTTGCCTTTTCTTTAGCTGGGAACTACTCTCAGCTGCAGCCTCTCGTAGAGTATCAACAAAGAATGCTTCAAGATCTGACCGACAGCGCAAAGAGATACAGAGAAGTGTTGAAGGCGAACGAATCTCTCGAAAAAAAACTGGAAAATGCTACTAAGGACTTAGAATTTGAGAAAGCCAAGCGAAAACACTGTGAAAACAGGTAAGTGTATGTTTTGCATACAGCGTTTATAGCCTTTTTAATGATAATAATATTACATATATAAGGGGAAAGCACCCGTCACATATCGTGATTTTCGGGAAAGTCCTGACTAACATTTTGAAGTCATCCCACTGATTATATAACTACTGGTTGTCGGACAATCTTCTAAAGACATTCTTACAGATAACCGAGGTGAAACTAAACTAGACCATTCCAAAAGGCTGATTTTCATTCCTGACAGAAATTGGATATATTAAAGTGTCCCAAACTGCTCTTTCAACAGTAGTCTTTGTTTCATTTGCAACTTCCTGTCTAGATTTGAAACTTCATCTATAATTAGAATTGTCTATTGGAAAAGTATGCACCTAATTAATAATAGACTTAAATTGTCTATTGTCAAAACATGCAGGATTTCCCCTTGAAGACCCAGCAGTTGCTCTCGATTTTTCTTTGTTCTCTTTCCCAAAACAACACTCCTCTATTAAACTAAATGTGAAACTAGGAAAATACTCCTTCGGCTGATATATGAGAACAGAATTTCCAGAATTTCAGAACTTTCAAATTTGTGAATGCCCTTTCCGGCTGTATTCACCATGCAGTAACAACACACAACTGATGACTGTTTAGTGAATTATCCATATGTTAACATTGTTTGTGTTAAATTGAGAAAGTTGATGAAATAAAAATAAAATTAAAATAAAATAAGCATCGTTTATTAAAGGGGCTGTTGTTACACTATGCAACTTTTCTTGCAACTTGCAATGCAATTATAATTCTAAGGGATGTTAATTTGTAGATATAAAACAAAACATAATCCGAAGATTAACATCTTGAAACCCAAAATATAGGTTAAAACAAGACAAGGAATTAATTCGTGATATTTCGATTTTATTGCAAAATCATCATCAGGCTAACTGAACCTTTTGTATTCCCTGAAATTGTCGGCTGGTATTGGTTTTAAATTGGCCAATTTAACTGGTAAAATAATTCAAGTATTTTAATAATAATCAAATCAAATCATAAATAGTGTTCAAAATGCTTACAAAACGTTATCGATCATAAGAAATGTTCGTATTTGTTAACTTTGGATGCTTCAAGTACCAGTAGAATTGTGGTGCAAATTGCAGGAAAGAAAGTTGCATAGTGTAAAGCTCACTTCAATTCACTTCTGACGTATGAAATGTAGTTGGTTGTTGATAAAGCAGTACTCCATTGGCTTCAGTGGATTTGCTGCTCGTATACATTACAAGACAACAGACTATAAAACATCCATCAGAGGTGAATTGGATCCAACAAAATTGGATCGTGTGAACAGACCTTAACACCGTCTTAAGAGAATCATCAACTGATTCGATTTTTTTTTCTATCATGCATTTCAGGTTAACACAGGAGAAGAAAATCGACGAATCTTTGATAAAGAATGAGATGTTACTGTTTCACGAGTACGATGAGATGGAGAGAGGAATCGCGGACAGAGATGTTTACATCATCGTCCTTCAAATGAAGCTGTTATCGGAGAAAGAAGAAGTGGAAAATCTCAAGACAAAGGTTGAAGAACTTGAACATAAGAATGAGAAGATGGAAAGAGAATTGAAACGAGTATCGCAGAGTTATAACCAAGAAAGGTGGGTGATAAATGATGATGGTTGGTGGTTGGTGTGCACACTAATAGTCTATACTATTTTCTAAAGTTCTAAAGTTTTCTAAAGTTGGTGATGGATGTTGAGGATGTGCATGGTGAACTAGTGATAATGTGGTGGTGGTGAGGAAGCTCATGGTGAACTAGTGATAATGTGGTGGTGATCAGAATGTGCATGGTGAACTAGTGATAATGTGGTGGTGATCAGAATGTGCATGGTGAACTAGTGATAATGTGGTGGTGGTGAGGATGTGCATGGTGAACTAGTGATAATGTGGTGGTGATGAGGATGTGCATGGTGAACTAGTGATAATGTGGTGGTGATGAGGATGTGCATGGTGAACTAGTGATAATGTGGTGGTGGTGAGGAAGCTCATGGTGAACTAGTGATAATGTGGTGGTGATGAGGAAGCTCGTGGTCAACTAGTGATAATGTGGTGGTGGTGAGGATGTGCATGGTGAACTAGTGATAATGTGGTGGTGATGAGGAAGCTCATGGTCAACTAGTGATAATGTGGTAGTGGTGAGGATGTGCATGGTGAACTAGTGATAATGTGATGGTGATGAGGAAGCTCATGGTGAACTAGTGATAATGTGGTGGTGGTGAGGATGTGCATGGTGAACTAGTGATAATGTGGTGGTGGTGAGGATGTGGATGGTGAACTAGTGATAATGTGGTGGTTGTGAGGATGCTGATGGATACTGATGGATACTGATGGATGCTGATGATCACGAGGAGGAAGATCTCTCATAATTTTATCCCAATTTTCAGGTGTCAGTCTATCAAGTTGACCGAATGTATCCGAATACAAGGTGACGAGATACAGAAGATCGACGATCTTCGCAAACAGCTTCGCGAGTGTAAATTCAAGAACATGATGATGACGGAAGAACGAGATGCGAAGGTCCAGGAGCTGATGGAACTCAAGAAATGGGCTGAGGCGCTCAAGACACGTTTTGATGTCGTCGAAAAAGAGAAACAAAACTCGATTGAGAAAACAGAAGTTGTCTCGAATAACTGTGTCTTTCTGCAAGAGACTGTGAGGTTGGTTTGCCCATTCAGTTTTTACGGTTTAACTTTCTCCGACATTTTTTTGTTGTCGAGCTATGTTAAAGCAGGGATATCGAAGAAAGTAAATACGTACAAATAACGATTTCTTGAGACATTCTCTGGTTGAAAATATTATTACAAGCTCACTACCAATTCTGATAATAATTCTAAACATCTACCCGAACAATATCGCTTTGTGTTGAAGAAAAAGTACCATTTTTTAATCCATAGTGCTAAAACTAGGCAGAACTGTCAACACTTAGTTATCCGTCTGTCTTATAGACGTGACTATAGACAATCGTGGGTGGTGTATAGTTTTTAATCGCAAACCATATTCGTCAAATATCATCAAAACATCGCTGAAATTTTTGCTTTTCGACTTTCTCGACAGAGCATTAAACCAGAAAGTGTCTTCGTCAAGTCTCGAACTCGAGGAGATGCGAAAACGCAACGAACTGCTCATGAAGGATTGCGAGCTTTTCAAAACTCAGCGGAACCACGCTTTGGAAGCGAGACGGGAAGCTGTGAACAGCAGGGATAAAGTGATCTCGGAGAAGGAGTCCATACAATCCCAGTATAATGATCTTTTGGCAAAACGCGAACAGATGAACAACGAACGACAGGATCTGATCCAGAGCTATGACTCTATTCACGGCAGGTAACCCAAACTATACACTTTCAATTTTGACGCATGCGTGCTGAAGTGCCCTTCTTTATGATCCAGGTGGTCTGAAAGGGGGGAAAGAACTGGGACTAGTTGTAAATTTCCTCCGGTACTACCCGCATACCCGCAGGTTTTTATCAACCCTGCCTGCCTGCATGATCGCGTTGCTCATCTTTCATTATCATCCTGACCAGGTACGAAAACACTTCAAAAGAATTGACTCGAGTCAAAACCACGTTGAACGAGAAAGAGTTAGAAGTTGAGGATTTGCAAAGACAACTGCGGGAAGCCATGGATAAGGTATGGGTATGGTAATTAAAATTTTGGGACCCTTCACTCGATGTAAGATCATTTTTCTAAAGGGTTAGCTATATAGGTGGCTTAATTTCGAGTGAAAATCATACACATCTCAAATGCAAGCCAGAAGCAGCTGAGAGAAATTTGTCAACTAGAACCCCTACTACGTTCTTAAGGCCCGATTATCTTCTTTTAATCGATGCAAACGAGTGGATTAGTTACGGATGTAGTAAGAGCTCTTATTAATCAGAACATTCGTAAATATATCACTCATTCACATCTGGCAAAAGAAGAAAATCGCAAGTGTAAACGGGCCTTTACGATACGTTGGTCCGGGGTAGTTTCGATCTTTCTGATTCACCGACAATAGCTATCGCCGACACGCCGACTGTCGGTGCAATATGAAGCTAAATTCAACCAGAACCAATCGCCTGGCCTTGCTTTCGATCGGAACTGTTATTAACAAACTCATTCTAGCAGTAAATAAAGGTGTCAGCCATTACGGAGTATTTAAGAGCTAATATTCCTGGGCGTAAAATTACCGGGCTAAAATACCTAGGCTAAAACTCCCGGGCTTAAATTCCCAGGTTAAACTGCATTTTTCCGAGAGTCAGAAAGAACACATTGTGGTATAGGCCACCAATACAGCAAGGTGCAAGCCAAGATCTTACTAAGTATTAAAAAGTTTTTGAATTTAATTTGAAGAACCATCGGAACAGTGTTCTGTTGGATACCATCCCCGGCCTTGCGCCGGGATCTTCCGACGAGGATGACGAAGATGACGACGATGATGACGATGATGATGACGACGATAATGATAATAATAATAATGGCCCATCTGGTGTCGCTGAACAGCTAGACGAGAAGAGAGACGACGACGAGAAATCCGCAGATTTTAAACGTCCTTGGCGTGAGAGACGCATGAAATCTTTACTGAGCAGTATAAAATGTCGTATTTCGGGCGACCGACCCGACGAGGACTCTCGGCCCGAACACATGAGCCTGATCAGGGGCAACGTGACCCTGGATGTTTTGCAGAGTCTTTTGCCCAACCTGGGGAAACGCCCGTGTTCAAGCGTGCCTCTTCACACGCCCAGGATTTCACGCACCTTACAGCGTCAGAAGTGCCTGAGGCAGAAGAAGTCGGAATACGTCGTCGATAAGAAACGGGCGCAAACCGCCCCCTGCGCGATGGATAACGTACCAGAATATTTCTTATTCGATGATGTTACTCCAGATGTTGTGAGGTCATCGTCGTCGACGCCCGATCTAATCACGTACCCCGACGACGTAAACGAAGTTCCGATATATTTCCGAAGTCGTTCGAGAAACATGACAAAACATGTGAAAAATTACCGAAGAACAAATTCGTCACATTGAAATACGTACAAACCGACATTTGTCCGAGAGACTACCGAGAGTTTTCCGACTGTTCTTGCGATATTCATCCGATCACGAGTGATTTTCGACCATATATATTTTTCAGGTTTAGGCTATCCATTTTCGTTGGCAGATTTTTCCTTTGCAAATTTTGTGTTTACAAATTCACATCTGTCTATATCTCAGACTCTTGGAGTCATCCGATTACCGCTTTTAAACGGAAAAAATATAATCATTCCATGCAGGGATTGCTTTGAAGAAAAAACTAAACTTTGAGGACTATATTATGCATTTTACATTCCACATCACTGTTCATTGATTTCATTTTTATTCCAAGAAAGAGCAGTTCAAAGTTCTTTCTTGTAAATTGATTGATTTGACTTCCTGCAGTGAAAAATGTGATTTGAATCATTATGTTCATTCACTGAGTAATTTGCATCTCATTTTGCTGCTATGCCTATGATTTCGGAGTATCATTGAAAGAAAAAAACTGCTTTTGTTCTCTATTGAAAATCGAGATCATTTATCCGACAATATGATGCATAAGAGTCTCAACTTCTGTTCAATATTTTCGAAGCACCCAGGAGAAAATCTTATCGATGTTCCTGACGTATGTCGCGTGGGAAGGGAGCACCTCAATAAGTAGCAATTAATCTCTCGCTGTATTACATAGTGAATTGCGTCAAACGACACGATCCTAACAATGCATAATATTTATATCTTGGTATAAGCTCTCAGACTCAGTGTTGTCTTTTGTCAAAGACAAAACCAGTCGATTCCGCGTTCTAGTTCCCGCGTCCAAGAAACTAACACAGATAACATCTCGGTAATGTTATTTTTATATTCATATGTAATTCGTAATCTTTCTAAATTGCATATACGAACCGCCCACAATATATAATAATATCCTCAATATAATTCTCTGTAAATATAAGTATTGAGTAAAGCAGTCCGCCATTATGGACATAGACCATTATGTAGCTACTATATCGCTATATCCTGTTCTTTGTCTCTACTAAAAAGAGGAACCGAGACACCGAACCAATACGTCAAACCTCAATGTGATGCTTGACTATCAATATTGTCTGATTATTGGCTGCTGTATTCAGTCTATGCTGTAGAAAGCTGTTTAAAATGCTCTTTCAGATAGTTTCCATAACCTATTCCAAGTAGGGTATTTTTAACAAGGTTATATAAGAAAATGCAAATGTTTGTATATTTCTTTTTGTATCTATGTTACCAATTCTTTCAACGAAAACCTTTCGCATTTTTACGCGAGCAACTTCCTGTTTGTGCACTGAAAGTCTTTGTGTGTTGAGAACTAGAGCTGCGCAAGTCTCGCGTGAAATATATGACGTCGTGGTAACTTTGTGCAGAGAGTGACCTTCATGACATAAGCTTTTAGTTTGAAGCAAGAATTATTTCGGTGAGTCTGTCAAAAGAACAATTTCTCAAGCAAATGTAACCCACGTTTGACGAATATTTGCCAACTGTAAACCATAAATTCACATCGCATTGTACGTGCTTTGGCTAATGGTGTACTAATTGACTTTAAAAGGTAAATAAACGGTATAAGCCTAATCACTTGAAGAATTTGCAATGTCTGGCTCATCCGTGATGTTTTCATCGAGATATTGCAGAGCGTGGTAGCGTGGTAATAGACTGCTGACAGCCAGGTTTGAAATGAATCTGTCTACATATTGAATGTCGCCAAACTAGGTTTATTGATTGTTGATTGATTTCTATATTTTGTCATTAGTTATTAAAGCCTGTTTATAATCGGTAACCTTAACTAACTTTATAATGGATGGAATTATTGTTTTATAGTTCGTATTATTACTATTTGTCACGTCATAGTTGTCAAGGTCTCTAACTAATTATTGCCTATTTGAGTCTATTTCACAAGTCCATTGTATTTCCTTAGTTTATTGTATATATGGTGTAATATGTTGTTAGTGTACTCTGACAGTTGCTGCCAACTACCAGGGGCAGTAGCGTTGACAAATTGAGGAATTTCATTTTGCATGCTCAACACTGATTTCACCCCCGCCGTATTGAATTACGACGAAAGGTAAACAGATACTTCAAGACCGATTAAACAAACTCTACAACTATCGTATTTCGTTAGTTCTCTGGCGATAGCGTGCGAACATCCTGGTTGATATAGTTCTTCGAATCTCGTGCACTTGAACGCATTTCCTAAACGCAGGTGTTGGTTCCTGTCTATTGTTTTATACTGATTAAATTACCGAATTGCTACCTCCTCAGTGCATGTTTGGGAAGCTAACTTTTACTAACCAATATCGACTTATTTTATTGTAGACAAACGGGGGTGTGTAACGCGAACTTGGGTGTAAACAAACAATCCTGCTAGACCAGCCCATACTCTTTCTCTTGTAACTGGAAAAATTCCGCCACTAATATGTCTGAAGATGATGAATACAGAGATCTTTTGGAATCCAAACGCCTTGAGATTATACAACACTTGCAAATCGACAGGACTTTCGTCTTCGATTATCTTCGCCACAAAAACGTGCTGGACCAAGAAGATTGTGAGTTGATACACAGTGAAAAAACGACCTCGATGAAAATTGGCAAGTTTGTGGACGTTTTAAGAAGAAAGGGCCGAAAAGCGTACCAATGCCTACTAGAGTCATTGCAACTGGAACATCCTGTATTGTATGAAAAATTAACCGGAGAACACGCTGATGCAAGTAAGTCAGAAACTAAGGCCCGGGTAACACTGTCAAATTTTCCGTGACCGTTAGCATTTTCAAGCGGCAAATATTTAGACTTTTTATGTTTCAAATCATTTGGTATAGAAATATTTAAGGAACTAAAACAGTTGTTAACGCTTCTGAACTGAATTCATCGCTATACTCGTCGGCAAAACATTTAGAACTTGGGGACATAATGCAAATTTTCAACTGTGAACACAGGAACTTCGACAGCGTAAACCGGCCGTAAGGTTCAGCAATTACTATGAGTGCAAGATTCGCCATGTTCGCGCCCAAACTCAGACCTCTGCGGCGGCTGGTTTGCTTACGCCATCTGACGAAGCTCGTATGTTATTACGAAATTAGCCTTTCTCACGATGACGAATATCCGCCATTTTTGGGGTACTTTCAACTTTCTTAAATGCGTTTAAACAACAATAGTAATGAAAGAAGCCTTTTTTAAGAGTCCATAGACTATTTGAACAATAAATTAAGCCCAATATTAAAGACAGCCGCCCTGACAAGGTCTTGCGCTCACAATTTAAAAAAAAGTACCTCAAACTCGATTATTTCTAAAATTACAAATAATATGTTTGAATAATCTTAATTCTCAATGTCCTTTCGAAATTTACAAGATTATTTTGATTACGAAATAAGCAACGAATTCCCACTCAAAAGTTTAAATGGCTTAAAAACCTATATCCTGTTATTATTTACTTCACGCGAACGTGCATGAGAGTTTTTTTTTGGGGTGTGTAGGTTTATAAACTTGCATGGAGGCTTCAAAGGCACCGTTAAACAGAATTTCCCATTTAACAAACCTATTTGCAATTTAATGGGCTGGAAAATATTAAGTTTAATTGCCGTTTAATAACCCTGGTGTCGATGTGGCCGAATTTTGAACACGTTCCCCTGTTGTTTAATCACGATGGTTACACTTTTGGGCATAAATTCGTTTGTTTGGGGAGTCTCGATTCAGAAAAATTACATGATCAATACAATGAAACTCCACTAACGGAAAATTTCGAATTCGTCTTCCGCTGAACGCTTCCTGAGTATATCGCAAGAACAATTATCCAATTTTTCCTTATTTAATGAAATTATCTCTTTCACAGTCTTTGAGCGACTCCACGCCCAAATTTTTGTATGGTCTTTCACAGCATGATGTGAGTTTTTTTTCATCATACAATATAACTTCTCTTCCAATATTGATTGAAATGAAGACTTCCTTGCCCATCCTAACCGCTTTCAACAACAACGTTATAAAACAATAAGTTTTTACACTAAGAATTTACATTGCAACATTAGGTATAGTGGTCGTAAAGTACGTGGTATCTTGATGCAAAGGACTTGGGATAGGGTATAAAAATTCTGATGCTGATCTGGGAAAATTCTCAAAACAGAACAATTTTGATATAGAAAATTATAATCAGATAATCAAATCGCTTAAATAATACAATTGTTACAATACTTATCATCATGATCTGGTATATAGCTGAGCTTATTTGAAATGAAATTATATTATCTTGTATACAGGTTCGATAAAAGAGCTGTTTCATGTTATCAAATACTGATAGACCAAAAATTGGATATAGTTTGCCATTGTTTGAAAATGAAGTGTTAAAATTTAACATAATTTTCGATCGTAGACGTAGCACTAAATCTTCTCATAAAATTTTAAAGGCTGACTAATAATAAAAAACCCCCGATTATTTCCTTCCCCTCTGAGTGGTAATATTTACTTAACGACCATGCACTCCCAATCCGGGAAGCAGTGTTGCAAATGCAATATCCTTGAATACTTTCCATCAAATGTGGCAATAAATCTGACGACACAGACGAAAAACCAATCACGCGAAATTTCGACCTAAGTGCTTTGTCGGGAGGGTTGACATGATTCCTCTTATAGTTTGTCATTCACAGGCCTGCACGAGACGTTTTCAGTATAGTCAGGGACCTAAGTCACGTAACATGCATGCGCCATAATCGAGGCGGCGTATATTCGTATATTCTCGTCTGTCCGACGGATTTCTTTCGGAAACACAACGAGTATTTGAATATGCACGCACACTCACACACCCCTCTCGATATAGGGACCTTAATGGTAGACGGTTTTTTTACACAGACCCTAGCTTATATTCATTTACATGTATTAAAAACCATAGCTATAACCAATTTAAGTTGAATACGTAGACGTTTTTTGACACATACTCTAGCTTATATTCATTTACATGTATTGAAAACCATAGCTATAACCAATTTACCTTGAATGCGTAGACGTTTCATCGTATTTTCAAAAACAAAATATAGCCTTGTTTACATAACGACTGGGCATCATCTTCACCTCAAGTGGCCAGCGATGATGTGAACTTTTTTTTATTTCGCGCATCGATCTTCACAAGTGCACAAAATTGTCGCTTAAGTTTGACCCGGTCAAGACGTTTGGATTACCGGTTTTAAATAATGATATTTGTAAAAAATTCCGTGGCAAATTAGTCTTCATTTTTGGGACTTTTGGCCCATTTTTTTATCCCGAAAAAAAAGAGTAAGAATACGGAATTTGCACGTACATGCGTCATGTCTTGTTTGAAAAATACCAAATCAATGTCGACGAAATTTTGCTCTCGTATTTTCATCTGATTCGCGAGTGGAATTCAATGGCTGTGGTCATTGTGTTTTGCACAGTGAACTATAAGATCAACTGGAACGCTAACTTAAGCTCCTATAGTTCAGCGTAATATCATTGGTTGAAGTAAAATTTGACTTGAATTTTGACTCAGTTTCTCGTCCAATTTTTGTAAAAGTTACCAAATGATTGTATTTTACACAGTTCTAGACATTCCTAGATAATTAATCTCTACGTACGACTGTCTCAAACGTTTAAAAACTCACAAAAAGCTACCTTCAAATTTGGCTTCAAAGATGGCGGCCAAGTTAGCGTTCCAGGTTTTTATTATAATATTACAATTCACTGGTTTAGCATTTGACTAGTTTTACTTATTTCCATTGCTTAGCAACCAGCCCAATCATGTTGAAGTTAAGGAATTCATTCATCGGCTTAGGAGGTCAGTATATATAATATATCCCATAACCTTATTGTTACCCACTTTGCCGCAATCACCTATAGTCCACTCCCAAAAAAATCCACGACAGCTCAGTTTTCTTAATTACACTACGTGCTTTGACCTGGCCCGGACTAGGCCTAGACCTAGATCTAAACGTTGTTTATCCGGCCACAAAATCCAGGCCAACAGCAGCAGAAGGTGGCCTGGAGCAGATTTTGGTAATGTGAACAGGCTTTACCTAACCCTAACAAATTTTGAACTTATTAGTATGATTTGTATAGATTTGGATACATATAGTATTACCACTTTTAGGCGTGTTTTGGGTCTTTTCCAAGTATTTTGTCAATTACTTCGGCTGTCCAATATCATCAACAAGGGAGACAGTGTGAACGTGGCACATATTACCTAGACTTGTCCAACCCCTAGAATTCTACCAACACTTGACCACCACGTTTGTGATACCTTTCTCAGGTAGTTCAGACACAGCTTATTGTAGAATACTACCAACACTGGACCACCACGTTTGAGATGGCAAATGGTCTTTACATAGCATGCATGGTATCCCATTCCAAGTGAACTATACCTACGATGGTCCATCATGTTTGAAAAACAATTCTATTAACTTCATCTTCTCAATTGAAGGTCCCATGGGCAACAGTGAGCTAGAAATATTGACAAGTCATTTGGAACGTACATATGGTGATCTTCATGAAATGGCGAAACGGTACGAACAAGTTGTACAAAACAAAAAAGACATCGAAGAACAACTGGAAACGACAACAAATGATTTAGAGAGGCAAAAAGAAAAGGTTGACCTTCTGGAGAAGAAGGTGAATTATGACTTTCTGCATATCTGTCAGCACTAAACTGACTTTACTCATACTGGTTACCTCTATCAGAGTATCAGTTCTAAACTGTTCTTCCTAGAGGTCCAGTAGGCAGTAATGATAATCTCTTATTGATCCAGTGTTACTACAGGAGGAAACCTAAACTAAACTAATTTTATTTATACTAGATAGCTCTATCAGTTCTAAACTGTTCTTCCTTGAGGTCCAGTAAGGATCGTCTCTTTTTGATCCAGTGTTACTACAGGAGGAAACCTAAACTAAACTAACTTTATTTATACTAGATAGGTCTATCAGTTCTAAACTGTTCTTCCTTGAGGTCCAGTAAGGATCGTCTCTTTTTGATCCAGTGTTACTACAGGAGGAAACCTAAACTAAACGAACTTTATTTATACTAGATAGCTCTATCAGTTCTAAACTGTTCTTCCTTTAGGTCCAGTAAGGATCGTCTCTTTTTGATCCAGTGTTACTACAGGAGGAAACCTAAACTAAACTAACTTTATTTATACTGGATAGCTCTATCAGTTCTAAACTGTTCTTCCTAGAGGTCCAGTAAGGATCATCTCTTATTGATCCAGTGTTACTACAGAAGGAAACCTAAACTAAACTAACTTTATTTATACCAGATACCTCTATCAGTTCTAAACTGTTCTTCCTAGAGGTCCAGTAAGGATCATCTCTTATTGATCCAGTGTTACTACAGGAGGAAACCTAAACTAAACTAATATTGATAATTTATTGAAGATTTTCACTTTGTTAGATTGATTCACAGAAGACAAAGTCGATGCCACTGGACAACAAGGAAAACAATCAAAGATGGACGCAATATCTGCAATATGTCGACAACACCAGGAAGGAAATCTCGGATCGTGATATTTATATCATCGCCCTACAAACTAAACTAATGAGCTCCAGGGAGGAAATCGAGGCATGCAAGAAAAAGAACGAGAATTTGTTGGTCAAGAATGCGGAATTTCAAAAAATGATTGAGGAGGTCAGATATGGATTTCTGTGGTTGATTTAAGGCCCTGTTACACGGTTCAATTTTTCTTACAACTCGCAATGCAATTCTACTTCTAAGAGATGGAAATTAGTGAAGAGTCTTGCGGAAGAAAAGTGCATGAAGTGTAATAAACATAAAAGTTTCGTTGTTCCCAAATATACATCTCTCAAAAGTAGAATTGCATTGCAAGTTGCAAGAAAAATTGCATCGTATAACATGGCCTTTTGTAACTTGAAATGCGATAACTCCATTTTAACTCCATTTGCAGAAATTCCATTTTTTCTTTCTTTACGTCATTTCAAAACTTATTTTTCCTACAAGCGTCTTGAATCCCATTGAGTCGGAGCGATTAAGGCGATTAAATGTCCCAAAACTGACCCAAATTTTTTTTAATCCCGCCCTATTTATGATCACAATTTTTTCTTTCACAGATGAATGAAAGTTACCACAAGAAGAAATGTGAATCCCTGCGACTGAGCGAACGCATAGAACGACAGGGGAACGAAATCAAGAAGGCAGAACAGACGATGAGAAAATATCGTGAAACCCAGTTTAATAACATGAGACTTCGCGAGGAGAAGGAACACTTGCAAGAGGAGTTGGACGAACTCATCAAGTTGACCGAAGCGTTGAAGGTACGATTTCCAGAATTTTGGGTACAGGGGGGGCGTGAAGGTACGATTTCCAGAATTTTGGGGAGAGGGGGGGGGGCGTGAAGGTACGATTTCCAGAATTTTGGGGAGGGGGGGGCGTGAAGGTACGATTTCCAGAATTTTGGGGAGAGGGGGGGGGGCGTTAAGCCCGTTCTCCACTTAGCGAATTTGTTCGTGCGAACAGATAAAAAGTAGAAAGCGATTCTAATTTTTGGCGGCGAATTTTTTCGTAAGGCAATCACATCACTAGATTTCAGATTTCGCTTCGCGCGAATAAGTTCGCATAGTGGAAAACGGGCTTTAATGATGGACAATTTCATTGGGCAATATCACATTATTATTTACGGCATAGCAATGATTCACTTCATTTTCTCAGGAGGGGGGTGAAATTTTTCCGGAGTGAAAGGGGCGTCCCCCTGCCCTACACCTAGTTTGGTTACTATGAAGTTGCGAAATTTTGCATCTCCAATTCACGCGAGATTTCCAGCTCAAAAATGGTGTGAACTTCAATAAATAACTGGATCGATACCTCCTCGTTGCTTTTGTGAAGCCAAAATTCGCGAGACTTTATCTCCAGACATGCGTTTCTGTGATTTCCACACCACGTGTGAAGGTTGCTTTCCACTTCCCGTTTCAGTTCCATTCGCACGTACACGCACGGAGAACTTGAAATGCTTTCGAAAAAACGCGGAAAACTAAGTTCTTTCCTCCTTTTTTATACTCAGTTTTTTCAGAGATATAATAACACATAATTTATATAGATTTAGACTTTGACAAGCGTGTACGTGTGTATAAAAATCATGTAAGTGGAATCTGGAATGCAGTTTTTCAAGGGAAGCATATTTACAAAGATTGCGAACTATTCAGGACGGTGTCTTGCATATTTTAAAAGGTTTTAAAACCAAACATTTTTACCCTGCCCATTTTTTATGCTCTTCTAGCTATATAGTGTTGGATTTCAGTCTAGCATAAATCTTTTGATGAGCCAAACTCTTGGCGGCCAAGGGTTAATCGTAGTTGGTCGTTAGAATACAACTAACTGTGATAACTCTCATTTCATTATCGTTTAACCAGGTCGGGTTTATGGGGTAGATTAAAGTCCTAATACAATTTCTCGTCTTTCAGACTCACTACGATATTGTCGAGTACGAAAAGAAGAGGACTTTGAGTAATCAAACCGAAATCATGGCTGATTTCAGTAGTTTGCAAGAAGAATTGATGAAGTCAAGGGAAGAAATGAACGAGGTTTGTTCCTAGAGGTCCAGTAAGGATCATCTCTTATTAATCTAGTGTTACTACAGGAGGAAACCTAAACTAAACTAACTTTATTTATACTGGATAACTCTATCAGTTCTAAACTGTTCTTCCTAGAGGTCCAGTAAGGATCATCTCTTATTGATCCAGTGTTACTACAGGAGGAAACCTAAACTAAACTAACTTTATTTAAACTGAATAGGTCTATTAGGAGATAACCTAAATTAGTTTGAGTAGTTCTATCAGTTGTAAGCTGTCCATTTTATCGCTGAATCCCATCGTAATAACTTTAATTGCTAGGTCCAGTTGGTAGCCGCCGACCTCCGGGATCGTGTACGCCATCTTGAACACGACAGGCAAACATACAAGCGACAACGTGACGGGGCCTTCATGATACGACGCGAGGCGATCTTAGATCGTGACAAAGCTTTCTTGGAACGTGATCAGGCCATTAAGAAATACGAAGCCCTGAAAACCGAAAATACTACCGCAATTGAGAACAAAATATCGCAGTCCAAGGTAGGAAGGTGGTTATGTCTGGTTTCTTAGAAAGGATCACGATAATTCTCGGAAATATTCCACAATCAGACCGCGATTAAGAAATTTGGCTTTGGATGATTTGCCTATTAATACGTTTTTTGTTTCCGTTGATTCGAATGCCTAGAGTTACGACGAGGTTGTAGCAAGGTGCGATGTCTTTGAAGAAGAGGTGAAACAGTTGAAGATCAAGTTGCGACAAACTGAACGAGAATTCGAAGAATTAAAAGTTCGTTGTGGAGTAGTGGATGAAAAGAGTGAAGATGAGGATGATAAGGTACGGATATGGTCCTGTAAGGATCATCGCTTTTTAGGTTCCAGAGTTACCAGAGGATATCGAAGCTAAACTACGTTAATGTTTTGTTATTTGCAGAAAGATGGCGATGCAACCCCGCCCAAGATAGAAATAGAAACCTCAAATAGTGAAGTTTCGAAAACTGAACCTAAAGAAAGTGGAAGCACGTCACAACCACCAACGTCCCCCTCAACCCAAAAAACTATTTTCGACAGCATAAAACGCCGTGTAGGGCCACCCTCACCCAATTTCGCAGACATCCAACCCCCTATCTTCCCCGTGTCCAACACCCCTACCTTTCCAGGCCCACGCCCCACCGCCACCCTCAGGCCCCAGTCCATTTTCACGGATATACCCTCCCTCCCTCCATCCCCAATTAATTTTACTCCGTTCACACGAGCTCCGACCAACTTACCAAAGGAAGGTGGGTTGATCAGAAAAGGCGTGTCGCGCATGCCTATAAAAATGCGTCAAAGTGGCATCGATGAATCGGCCATCCCAAATGGGGAGGTGGCCGAAACCCCACCTAGCGAGGAGAGCAACGATCAGGGAAACACAGAGGAGGTGGTTGACAACGCCACAGAGCTGCCCACACCTGACCAAGAAGTGACTGCGAATGGCGACAACGGGGATCCGGACAGTAAGGTCATACAATATCTTTGATTTCAATTACATACCAACCCCACCCCCTCACGGGTACTTCGTGTAAGGGTCAGTCTAGTATTCTTCAGACGTCCTCATAGTTTTGCCGAAAGGTTACCAAACCTTATTTGCAACTTGCCTTTAAACCTGAACAATTCCCAAAGATGCCTTTAACATGGCTTGAGCAGTTCACAAAACAGTTCACGAACAAATTTGAATACGAACAAACGCTGAAATAATATTTTCTTAGATTTAAATATTATTACAAACTATACAATTATCGACTCAAAGTTTATTACTGAATATTATGAATAAGTGAATTGCAGTCTTAAGTTATTGAAAGCTTTTTAGTGGTCTTTTTTTTTCATTTTTTTTTCATTAGAGCTGAATATTTTGACTGAATAGGTTTATTAAAATATTTATTTTACTAGTCATTGTTTTGTTTTTTTTTCATTGCGAGTGAATACATTGTTTTGTTTTTTTTTCATTGCGAGTGAATATTATGAATGAATTACAGTTTATTGAAAGCTTTTTTTACTGGCAGAGCTTTTTTTACTTTTTTATTTATCTGGGATAAACTTCGTGGTAGACGTACGTATGTAATCCTGTTAGGATTTTTCAAAATCTAATTGCGATTTCAACTTGATACAAGTTTGATAAAGTTTACAGAACGAAAGGTGCATGCATATTAACAACGCTATGTTTTGGGTAGAAATTTTAGAATAGTTTTTCTCGCTTCACCGACAGTCAAACATTCTTTTTCAAAGACCTTCTCCATTGAACTTTCTGAGACGTTTCTTAGGCACAGCTTAAACAGATTTTGAGCTTCGATCATTTCTGGTTTCACCTCAAACAGCCGAGAAAGCAGCTCGCTTTGACTTGTTCCAGGTCCTCGTAGAAAGCTGGAAAGCAAGATTTGGTACAGCTGGCAGACCTGTTGAAAAAATACAGGAAGAAGGAGAAATGGATGAGTGAATGATCATGACAGGCCTGATGTAATCCATTTCTTGTCAGTTTCCTATTGACCGAAAAGGCCATCTCTGTTGCTCATTGAAAAGGGAAGGGGGCACATTCCCCTCGCTCCACGTCGCACCCCCAACCCCTCGCCCCCTCTCACCCCATGCCTCGTCCCCTGCCTCAAATGTCAAGACTTGAACACCTGTAACAAACATACAAGCTTCCTTGCAAATTACAAAATATAACAAACCTCGAGGGTGTCAGTCGAGGATCGTGCGACGTCCACGTAAAATTCGACGGCTTCGTGCCATAATTGTCGTTGAAGAAAGATAGCGAGGGCATCTCGATTCAATCCAAGTCGGTCCAAAATCTGTGCGTGTACTTTTATTCGTTTCAGGTTGCATTCCTTCTCGCTCCAGACATTTGGAAGAAAATCCAACATAAAATCACGAACACTCTCCTAGAAAGATAATACATCTCGACTTGAGGGAAGTATATTTATATTATATCGAATAAAGAGTTTGGTAATAATTCATGTTTTGTAAATCCTAAATACGCGAATTTAATCCTTGAGATTAGGTTAGGATTAAGGTGAGGATTAGTTCCTAGATTAGGTTTATGGTTGATTACGGTTAACCCTAATCCTAAATCTAATCCTAATCTAATCTCAAGGATTAAATTCTGCGATTTACAGAACATGGAATTAGGAGTTTCTCTTAGTTTCTTGCTAATTCGCTCTCAATCGTATCCCATATTATCATGAAATGTGTACCTTTAAATCCTGCGATGTCCCTTCATCTTTGCTCGTTCCCACGATCTCCACAGCCAGGTCGAGCACATCAAGTAATCCCTCTGGATGTTCCTTATAGAGTAGTCGAAATAACACGTCGATGATCGTCGCATTTTCTGGACTTGTGCGTCGTTTCCATTTTCTGTCATTCAGCTCGGCTCTGAAATGAACGAATACTGTCAAGTTTCGAAGTTGCTGACTGACTTTCCTGCTGTTTGCTTGAAAATAAACGCACAGTGTGGCTTTTTCCTACCTTAAAACCTCCACAATATTATTCATCTCGTCTTCTGTTTTCACTAACAAACTTTTCCCGCCTTTTACAAACGCTTTTACCGCTTCTCCAGGTTCGTGCAAGCTGAGAATCTCCATTTTCTCAAAACACAACGCATGCGTTGTCCCTTCTTTCACAGCCGCTACAGCAGCATCAATCACAACACTCGCGTTGTCTTCAACCACCGTAGAAAGCTGTCCTAAATCCACTGAGGGAACCACAATTTGCTCTTTCCATCGTTCGTACAACTCTCTTAGAAATGGCAAAATTTTCAAATTCAGTGGTGTCATGTACTCTGACGGTACCGTAGCTTGGTCAATTTCGTCCAAAAAAGATTTAAGCTCGCTTCTGCATGCTTCCTTCAGACCCAAGTCGCTTTGAAAAAGCGTCAACATTACCCCTGGGTTTCGAAACACTTCTTTCTCCAAACGTTTCAACAACTGTAATGTTGTTTCGGGAATCGATTTTCCTCTCTTCTTACACAAAATTACGTGCTCTAGCAGCAAAACTGTAGCTGAATGTTTCAAACCAAACAGATACAACCATTTCACAACGTCAAGTGACTGCAAAACTTCAGCTGAGAAATCCACTCTAGTTTTTGGCAAAACCTCCTGGACTTCTAACTTCAGCGGTTCAGCAATGCCTTCGTTATTATGTTCGTCATCTAAATTTCCACCATTTTTACTTTCATGGCCGGTTGTAACCGTTTTAACAAGTGCATTTAAACTTTTACAGTTTAGTTTCCAAATGCTGTTTGAATTCCAGAAAACTGTGATTGGATTGTTGCAGTTCATTCCAGGTAAAACCTTGACACTTCCAGAGTTAAATTCTTGCAATGTTTGAAGTAGTTTTCCACTAATAATGTCATAGATGAATATACACGAATTGCAATCTACAAGACCAAATACTAGTCTACTTGAAAACACTATAAGTCCTTCAAAATTTTCATGAATGTTTGATGGTAGCTTTAAATTACAAACAGATGAAAGTTTAACTGTATTAGAGTTTAGTGAGAGTTTTATCACAGACCCATTCTTATTTAAAAGCAGCAAGTCGCCTGATGACGCATGTGCTGTAATCCCAAGCCATGTTTTACCATCCTCGTTAGCCATCCAACTTCCGACTAACGATGTTGTAATGTCACGGAAATCTGAAAGACCTTTGATCGATTCTTGCACCTTTCCACTGTTGACAACAACTGCCTGAATCATTTAAAAAAGTAATGATAATACAGTCACAAATAGTTTTGTCAACCTAAATCTAGGTGCATTTTTAGTTTGAAAACAAATAGACCACTTCACCTGAAGATCCAAACTTATATTTCTCCAAAATATGAGGATCCTTTCCAAATACACCTGACAAGGCTGAATACATATGCCATTGTTGAACACATAAACATTAACTAACGGGCAGTTGTGAAGAACTGCTTGAGTCGAGCCAATTTTGACTTTCTCACTTGTATCTTGTATATTTACACTCCTGTAGCAGACACAGTATGCATCGATGGCAAAGCCACGCTTTTCACACCAAAATAGATTGCTGCTTTCTTCATGATATTTGACATTGATAATTTGTGACCCTTTTGCATTGCTCAGTTGGACGGTTTTATGTTTCAACCACTCATGAGATGGTCTTAAAAACTCCCAAATATTTGTGGCTCCATTTTCGGTAACAATAAAAACCAGCGACGGGTTTGAACTATCCCAAATCACTTCAACAACAGGCTCTGGAATTTCATCCAAAATACAATCTGCGAAAGGATAGACTAGGACAATGAGAGCCAACCACAAGGATCCCAGGATTGGTGACCCAATTCCTTGCAATCAACAAAGGCATTGCCAGTAATTACATGCAAGAGATTTCCAGGCTATCCTGGGGAGCATGCACCCTAGGAATTTTGACCGCCCCCTACCCTCCCCCTCTTGGTGACATTTTTGCATCAGTCATCTGCTATGTACCAAGTTCGCAGTACACTCAGTCTAAAGTCAGAAAATTTTATTCCTAGTTAAAGTGCACCACCAAGTTATGAGTTCAAATATTATACAGAATCAGATTGAGGTTGAGGATGACAATGAGGATATGGAAATAGCAGATAAATGACCAGGATAGTGTCACAAGAAAATGTGATTTTATCAGGAGTTACCAAGAAAATGGTACGTTAAAAAGTTCGGCAGTTGGCTAACTCAATTGTCCTAATTTGGTTAATTTTATTTTATACCATACAAAGAAATTGACAAACACAAATTGTACTGTCACAGTGTTTCCTGTGCTGAGGGTCACATGAGAATAAATCACTTTTCCGTTTCATTTAAAATACTTTCACTAAGTCTGTGCTTTTGATACAAAAAATGGTCGCGTTAAATAAAATATACAAAGTTATTACAATTTACAAACCTTTTAGAATCGACTGAACAGCCCTGCGCCACTTTAACTGCGGAACCACATCAAACGCATAGAAATTAGGGCCCTCGTTCGTGCACAGAAATATGTGCTCAGAATTTAACCACAGTTTAGACACTCCGCCCCTGTCTAAAATGCTTGTAAGATGCTCGTTTCCGCGAATGCACGGCGTAATTTCGTTGTATTTCACAAGAGAAAACATTGTCCATCACGCGATGGACTTCGAAATTAATTAATTACATATCGACAAAAACCATCGCTCAAAAGTAGCTTTCGAAGTGTCGTGTTTTCCCGACTTGTGATTTATAAAAATCATTTACAGGAAAATTTAGCGAAATTTTCACCTTGGAGATAAAAAAAATCATTATTATCGTCTAGGAAAGATTTAGTAAAAGCATAAGCTGTACGTAGCCATTCAGCACAAGTTGTGGTTCAACTTCCAAATGATAATCAAGCTTCCTTTCGATAAAAGAAACCCTTCAGAATTCGTGGTAAGTACCACGACTCCGCGAGTATTTAATACTTAATAGTTTAACCACATTATTAAACTATAAATGGCTTTGTTTGAATAATTCAAACGAAAAAGATATTGATATTTCTGACATATTCTGACAAAACGCCAAATTTCTGCCCCAATTCAGCTTGTCTTAGCAATTAAAGTTATCATTTTTAATATGTCGGTTTTTATATTGGATTTACTAGGCTCACCGAGCTCTTTTTTAATAAATATATATTCTAGAGTTAACAATAATCTCTCCCGTAACAGGTAGTGATTGAATTGGACTAGATTTGAATGCAAAGCTTTTATTTAAAATACAAAGTTTACTCTTACAAGTTTTGAGAAAGTACAAGTACATTGTTTATGGTTAATTAAAAACTCAATGTAAGTCTCCATCATTTCTTTAACATATGCACCACATACAAGGTTATAAGTTGTTAAAAAAAGAAAGTTCCAATGTTTTCAAGGCGTCTAATTTTTCTCAGGGTTCATTCCGGTCGCTTGCGAGTAGCTTGGCGGTGGGGGTTCGGTGGGGAGAGGAGGATACAGGGGTTGACGCATAGGCGGGGCACTGGGGTAAGGTAGGCCCGGCATACCGTATTGCTGGGTATTGAAAGCGTAGGTGGGGGCCGCAGGTGTGCCGGTGTTGTCGGGATCAAAAATGAAAAACAAGGAGTGCGAGTCGTTGGGGTACTGCAGATTTTTCCCTGTCTCTTCAACCACCGTATCATCTTTTTCGATCCACTCGGAGCTGACATCTCCGCAAACATACAAGCGCCAGCCTTTCTTGTAGAACTCTTCCACGACATGACAGATGATGCTCTTAGCATGGAGAGTATCGTTACGAATACCCCCATGCCACGGTTCGCAAAACAACTTCATCTGCCAGACATTACCAAAAGTAAATTCCTTCTCCTTCTCGGATTCATACCCCTCGCCCCAACGCGATAGCACCGTCCGCTTAAATAACTCGACCATATCCGGCTTCATGTTGATCAAACGAAACTTGTCCTTATCGGCGAGGGCAAGACAGGAAATAAAATCGCTCCGTGGTTGAGCTTTTTGAAAAACTAAAACACTTTTGGTACCACCTCTTCGACTCATATCGATCGCCGCTATAGAGTGCCAGCCTTTCTCGCGCATAGCCTCGAGGATTTTCAAAATCAAATATCTCACTTTAATGGAGTTATCGCTCGTCGAATGCCACAGGATTCCAGCCAGTTTGAACTCCCAGCTCCCAAACCAATCCTTTTCCTTTTGTATCTTATCTGCGCCCCAGGCGGACTGGATGACCTGCCTCACTCGAGAAACAACGTCTTCCTTCACCTTAATAAGACGCAGGCGATCGTCACGATTCAGACTGATCGTGCAGAACTCGACCTCTTCGCCGGGGACGATTGTAGGATCGAACTTGAAGACGAGGGAATCCGTGGTACACTTGGTGTTCACGTTGCAAACGAACGACCACTGATGGCATCGGAGCGTTGCGATTATCTCCTGAATGAGAATTTTCGATTGAATCGCTTGCTCGTCTGAAGATTTCCACGGAGTACCTTTAAGTTTCACCCTTAGAACGCCGTCGGCGTACACCCACTCTTGAACACCCAGACGCCACGTGAACTGTATGACCTCTCTGATTGGCTGCTCCAAATTGGCAGGAAAATTTATAAACACGAAACCGTCGTTGCTGCTTAAACCAACGCCGATATAAGGAAGGCTCGGAGGATCTGGTGCACTTTTTCTTAAGAAAAACGAACTTTGTTCAAACTTTCTGCCAAGCTGAGCAGTTTTCGCCACTTTCCAACCAACCGCAGCTAGTTTTTCCACGATTTTGCAAATCATTTGGCGAAGTTGGACCGAGGTCTCCTCGTTTGCCCGCACGAAGGAATGACCACCGAGCTTCAACCATGTGACACACCCGCAATCCGGGTCGACCGGGACACACCCTTGTCTCCAGGTCTCTCTTATCGCTGTCTGCATCGCGTTCACTCCGGCTTTGTCCAAGTGTACGGCGGTGATGTCATTCACGTGTTGTAACGAGACGCAGCTCGTCGCGAAGTCGGCGCTCGCCGGAAGGACTGGATTCGAGACACCGGCTCCCATTCTTGACTAATCAGATTAGCTGAAAGATTTCATTACAACGAGCGTTTAAGAACTGATTAACCGAATATCAGTTTAAAACTCTATGAAAAGTTAACCTTTAATGCTGAATCACAGATGGGATAATTATGACTAACTATTACATGACAACTGATATTTTTCATGCTCCATTTAAGGTGGCTCGATACAGTTTCTCGAATTTTTTTTGGGCTCATTTTAAACAGGGATATTAAGCACCTAAATATTTCACTATAAGGCTAAAAGTTAATATACTTTGCAGGAAACATATATAGAGTGGAAAAATTCTCAGAACCTTTGTCGAGCACCCGTTACCATGGAAACAGAGACGTTTCAAAATGGCCGCCAAACAAGATTTTATCGTGTTTATATCACAAACGAGTTCGGTGACCCCCACTTTTTTTTGCATTAAACGTTTACGCTATAGATTATTTATCTATGAAAAAGTTTTAAAAAAATTCTAACATAGGGGAATTTTTTAATAAGCAAAAATAACGTTTTTGTAAATAGAAAAAATTCCCCATGTTAGAATTTTTTTAAAACTTTTTTATAGATAAAGCATTTATGGCGTAAACGTTTAATGAAAAAAAAATTGGGGGTCACCGAACTCGTTTGTGATATAAACACGATTAAACCCTGTTTGGCGGCCATTTTGAAACGTCTCTGTTGCCATGGTAACGGGTGCCAGGCAAAAATTCTGAGAATATTTCCGCTCTAGATATGTCTCCTGCAAAGTATATTAACTTTTAGCCTTATAGTGAAATATTTAGGTGCTTAATATCCCTGTTTAAAATGTGTCTAAAAATTTCGAAAAATTGTATCGAGCCACCTTAAATATTAAGTTCGACTAAATAACTTTGAGGAGGAGGCGCAATGCAACACGGTACAGCCCCACCCGAAAAAGCAGTTACCCTTCGAATCATTATCTACGTTAGCGAATCGTAATCTCAACACTCTACATTTTTTATCTTAATCGAAACTTAAACTGAGACCATAATTTTCTTACCATTGGCGGTCGTGTAATACTAGACTAACGTCGTTTGGCGAAATTTAATATGAGTAAAATTGTTATTTCATCTCATTCTGTCATGCAACAGCGAAGGCAATCATTAGTCAGGTGTATACTATAATATAAAAATTTAAAAAATCAGTTTTGGTTCAAAAGCCTTCTTTTTTCCTGGAGTAATATGCGATCTTAATACACGCCCGAGTGACATGTTTACCCGGGATACTTCATGCGGACTGGTCGAAAATTCGACAAAGATCTCAATCTTACGATTCTTATTGGTAAATATATTAGGCCCTGTCTACACCCTACACGATGCCGGAAGAATTTGTAAACGCAAAAATATTTATCCGTTAAAATATTTATCCGCGTCCACACGTAAACACAAAAACGACCCGAAAACGCTAAAGTTATTTGATCCCGCAATACACCTTCATAAACACACGCGCAAGAAAAAAAGCGCCATTTCTTTGTGTGTAATGTGTATATTGCATATTAGTCCATAAAGTATCAATACGCTTTACTAGTTTTTTATGTGATTTGTGTCCGGACTAGCATACTGCATACACTTACCTAAAAATCGAGATTATTATAGTTTCAACGACAGTGAATTTTACCCAGGGTCGTGACTTGTGAGTTGTGACAATGATAAGCGGTTGGAAACATAGCAATAACCAGAATAATTAGTGTCTCACATAGATAATGCAAAATTTAACCAATTGCAGGCGGCCTCGATGATTGGACTTCTTGGTATTTATTGACGCAAAACACTCGCCGAGGTTCTTGACGGGATATTAGCCGGTGTTGAATAGGTGTTGAAAACGGACAGAAAAAGGTGAATTCTCAATCTGCCTGGCCCGCGATGTCTGCCACGTTTTTAAAATTCCTGTTTGCTTTAGAAATAAACAGTTTGCTTTAATTAGTCTAGACCATGCAAGGCTTGCAAATTTATTCTCAACGGAGCTCTTTTTTTATCAATATATATTCTAGAGTTCAATAACTCTCACGCAGGCAGCGATTAGAAATTAGAATTTCTGTTTGCTTTTAAAAATTAACAAGGTTAATACTATTCTTTGTATGACGTTCCAAATCCTGCTTTGAAATTGTTTGGTTATTTTAACTTTGAGTATGCTTTTTTAACATCATGCAAAACGCCAACAATTACTAACAACGTTTTGAAATTCAGGAGCAACTTTTCAACAGTTTTGAAAGATTTCTATTTCGATATACAAACTTTCTTGAGCGTTGATTGGCTAAAATATGTCATTGGATTCTGGATTCTGTGACGCGCAAGGCATTCCGGTATATTTCGTTCTACCGCTTGCAGCCTGGCACTAGTGACTGGTGGCGTCAGCGAGCGAAACACGAGGACAGCGACGTTCTAAATTTCAAACGATTTTCAACTCAACTTTTTGTCAAATTCCGACCACAAAACAACATGGATAAGCTCGATATGTCGCTAGAAGACATTATTAAGGCGGGGAAGAAGACCCGCGGAGCTGGACGTGGTCGTGGCAGAGGTAGAGGTGCTACGAGAGGCGCTGGTGGGCCCACAAGACGCGGTCGAGGTTTTTCCAGAACTAATCGTGATGCTCCATATACTAGGGTAAGTAAAATTGATGTTTGTTTAGTTGTTAAGATACAGGACTCTGTTTGGATTTCTTTGCTTCAAGATAGTGTCGAAGTCGCGTAGGTTATACTTGAAGGATTTAAAACGATCTCTGTGAAAGATTGCCAGTAAGATTAGGACTCGATTTGATATGTTTACAAATTTGAAAGAGGTCACTTTGACAGGCTTTCATCGTTCTTTGTGAGGTATATCACCTATATCACGGTATCTAAGGTCGGTTGCCATTATGAAATAAAGACTGGCAACACTGCAAATATCGTTGTTCTAAAAACCGCAAAATAAGACCTCTAGTATTCAGAATTTACCATCAGTTAAAAATATCGCTTTTGTGCAAGTTGTGTGAACATTGTTGTAAGCATTTTACCACACACATGAGCCGGTAAGTCTTGCCAAGGAAAATCGCTTATTTCTATTGGGCTTTGAAAATGATTTAAAAACCTGTAATGGATGGTTCTGAGCATATGTTTAGCTGCCAGCTTGCCAATCAATCAGGCCAAAACACTGCTGAGTTAAAAATCTGAAATCTTTTTTCTAGTCAAGGCAGCTACCAAATAAATGGCAGCACGATCTCTTCGACGGCAGCGGTGGGGGTGTGACAAGGAGAACCCCAGGTGCCGGAGGTTTGTCTACGGGCACGAAACTTCACATTTCAAATCTAGATTTTGGTGTGTCCGAATCAGATATCCAGGTATGGTAGATGCATTCGCTTGCATTCCCGTTGTTTGATTGGCTCACAGAAGTTGACAGCAATTGTTGTGAGGTTGTGATGAATTGTCCATAATTATCCAGGAGTTGTTCAGCGAATTTGGAAAGATGAAACGTTCCTGTGTTCATTATGATGCTTCTGGTAGATCACATGGAACGGCTGAGGTTGTTTATCAAAGCAGAGAGGACGCATTAAGTGCATTTAAACAATATAATGGTGTACCATTAGATGGTGAGTATGTGATTTGCTTTTTTGTTCATTTGAAACTGTGCCTCAAGTTTTGTTGTTCTAAAAGACATTTTTGATGTAATGTAGGTCGGCCAATGAAAATAGAAATGATTGCTGACGGAAATGTAGCATCTCAACAACGTGAATCATTCAGGTTTGTTATGCCCTTTATGATAAAGGATTTTTTTATAACTTGATAATCCTAACTAGTATGTTCACTGCTAGGATGAGGCAGTTTATCAATAAACAAAAAAAAGTTTTTTGAAAACCAATTTTGCTAGCGTTCCTTCAGGAAAGAAACTGTAAAAAAAGTTTGAAACTCAGTCATTTGTCCTTATTGTAAATATTACAATTAGTATTATGCTAAAATGCTATTCTGTAAAAGCCTAAAACTTTTGAATTTACATGAATAAAGTTGAACCTAACTGTAACATGCCATGCTTTGCCAGGACTTGTAAATGACTTGTTGATTTTCCCCCCAAACCACCTCACCTTATCCACTGCAAGCGAGCCCTTTGTAACTTTTCTGCATTTCTTGACAATGATTGTTTGTTTGTTTTTCCATACATAATTGGTTCAAACTTGTTAATTTAGAAGAAAGCATATTACATGAAATTATTTGGAGGGTAATATAACTTTTCAAATCAGAATTTTAATGTCATGTGTTTCTTTTCTATAGTACAAGGCGTCAAGGTGGTGGAGGTGGTTTTAGTCGTGGGGGACGTAGAGGTGTGGGTGGTCGTGGAGGGCGACAAGGGTTTGGAAGAGGTAGGAGAGGACGAGGTGGTGGAAACAGGAGAGTGAATAAAACTGCTGAAGAGTTGGATGCAGAACTTGATGAATATAACGCTAAGGTAGTGTGAATATGATACATGTCTTTTCTACCGAAGTATTTTAGTTTAAAACAAATCTGAAATCTCTTTTAATAGGGTGATTCAGATATGATGGAAGAGTAAAGATAACTGAATATCATGGACTAATACTTCCTAACAAGACACAAACTTATTGTAATATCACAAAAATTGAACACACATGGTAGTCATGCAACCTATTTTCTGTTCATTGAAAAAGTCATGTACTTTACTGCTTCAGGACAGTGACTAGTGCTATGTTTTGTAAAAGAAAACCTTGGAGAAACTTCTCAAGGAACAATGCATAGTTTTTAGCTAGACTTTGATATTGTCTTTTTAGATATTTCTTATAATGTTATATGGAAAAATGTTTTGTAAATATGTGGTTTATGACAGATATTTTGTGGCAATACCAGATGATAGTGTGTTTTATCTTATCTTTTGTTGCTTGTTCTAAAAACAAATCATTACAAATGAGCAATGTCTGAAAAGAATTATAAATTGCTGCCATTTCCACTACTGTATTTTCTACACCCTTTCATTCGCCCTTTGAAAATCACAAAATGAAATATGCTAGTGCAAATTGTTTGACCGAATAGGTGGTGAATAATTTTTTTAATTACTGCACTGAAAAGAACGGGACATGAGATTACTACCAACCATTTTAGATAACATTCTAATAGCTAGTTAGTGCCTTAGTTATGACCCCCAGCCTCGAAACCGTTGATGTCCCCCCTGTCCATTGTATATAGTTCAGTAAATTAACCGGTCAGTGTCACCCATGTTCAACCAAGTGGTTTTAATAAAACGTAAACATTCGAAGAGGAAAATCATGTTCAAAATCACGTCTGTCCCAACAAAGTTAAAAAACGTAGAATCTGTTAATTTCCAAGCCCAATCTGCAAGCTAAATTCCATTGTACAAGAAGGTACGAAGCTTTGTTTTATTGTTTAAATTTTGTAGTAACAATTAATTTATCGAGTAAATTTATTATCGATTACAAAATTGTCTGTAATTGATACAAACTTTTGTGATATTTAATATCGATTTCATCCGATATTCTATATTGCTTTGATAATAATCGGTATTGATAATTGCTCGTTTTTCGGACGGGCCTGCTGCAAGTTACATCATGCGAAGGCAATTAATTTTTTTTCATCAGTTTGATATTAAATATTAAAATGAACTCTGGTTGTCGGAGTGAAAACAATCCTTGTATTTTGTTAAAATACTCGCTTAATTCTCGTTGTAAAGCTTTTACATTCTGTTCATTTCCCAATTTAAACTGAGATAATTCCAGGACATGTTTTTTAAAAAGGACTAAACATTCTCAGATGCATTCCTGAAAACAATGTATTTAAAAAATAAAAATGTGGTTTTAGAACTCCATGGCAGGAGCGACATTGAAACGTGTGGTCATAGACAACTACAAAATTTTTAACAGAAAGCAGGTCCTTGATTTCCAACATGAAACTTCCCTGTCAACAAACAATAAGTATTTCACCTTAGTAGGAGAAAATGGGAGTGGAAAGAGTACATTCCTTGCCCTTGTTGGTCTGGCAAGTAACTTTGGTGGCAAAGTAACCAGCCATGTTTGCGACCAGACAAGACCCTCGGTGGTTGCATGTGAATATGAAATTGAAAACTGGCTATCACTGACAAACATTCAAAACAACATAGTACGCCATTATCCCGCATTAGAGCTTTGGTTTCTAACTGGAGTGCTTAGAATCCCCAGTGAATTGCAACGTTTTATTGCTGAACGTTACCTGGGGTTGAACACAAAAGGTTTGAGAGTTGTCCTTGGTTTCAAACACTTGCCCATCTTGGAGACGGATGGCGAAGCTGTTGTGTCGAAATTCCTGTATGTTGAGTTTGGTTCAAGCATTGTTGCATTGATCCATGACTTAAACGATGAAGCTAAAATAGCTGTTGTAGACAGTTCAGAAATTGAAGATCTGCTAGACTGGATACCAGATGAATCTGTGTTTGCATCAACTGGCTGCAATTTCCTTGAAAACCTGAAGACTCCCAAAACACCAATTGATAATGATCTCTTCGAGTATCCTAATCCAAAAAACCACCAAGCATCGCTGATTCTCGCCCTGAGAAACACCCTAGCGGCAGATTCTCGAGACACCATCTGGGCAGACATGATTGAGTTGTTTCACGAACTTACAGGAAACGCCAAGATAACTTTGATTTACGATTCTTTGAGTGGATTGGTCAGAATGAAGCATCAATATGGTGATTGTGAAACATTCCGGGATGATTTGCCAGAAGGTTTCTTTCATGCTTTTATTGTTGCTTTTCTGGTTGTGAATCCAAGGTTCAAGACAATCCTTCTGGATGAACCCACCCGCGGCATGCACCCACTCCAGATCAGAAGGCTTCGTCGCATCCTTTCTCAGAAATCTTTGGAGGAAGATAAGGTGATAATTGTTGCCACCCATGCCCCTGACATAGTCCACACTTCCCAAATAAATCAAATATTCAGATTTCAACAGCTTGATTCGGGTTTCGTAGAGGTTCGCCGGACTTCGGCGAAACACGACAACCGTGATGTCCGCTTCATAAGTTCTGTAGAGAGCCGAGAGTTGTTCTTTACTAGGAGGATAATTTGGGTCGAGGGTGACACTGACCGAAGATTCTGTGAGGCGATGTTAAAACTCATTGATGAGGGTAATGATGTACTTTGGAGTATCTTAATGGATCCAAGAGATATCAAGGCAGATTTAAAGGCAAAATCTGCTGGATTGGCAGCTACAGTTGAGGATATGGATGATACAAGTGATAGCAGTACAGATGAGGTCGATTATGGTGATGTAGGGATAAACCCACTGGACAATCTCTTTCAAACATCAGCCTATGAGAAGAAGTATTTCAGAGCTGAGGTGCTTGCTGATTGTCAGGAACTTGCAAGAAGTTGCAGCGTTCTGCCTTTGTCAGGTAATAATTATGTTACGTTATCTTCACTAACTGGTATCTTAATCTTAATTAACTTAATAAGGAATAATGAACTAATTAACTTAATTAACTGCTGTCTCACTCCCAGTGAGTCCCAGTGAGTTGAATCAAGCCCTGATGTGCCTATTCTAGTATCTACTCTGCCTTACTCTGCCTAATGCCAGACAATTTCACTTGAGAGGAGAAGTATAATATATTGATAATTCCATGTTCAGGAAATCCTAAATACACAAATTCAATCCTTGAGAATATAGTTTGGAATCAGAGTTAGGATTAGATCTTAAATTAGGTTTATGGTAGCCCTGATCTTAATCTAATCTCAAGGATTATACTCCTGTATTAAGGATTTACTGAACATGAAAGTTTAACTCATAGTATAATATCTCCCCATGGATTTTTCATGATATTTAATGACCTTTTTGTTGGCATTCTGGCAATAGGGATACATGCTGTTTATTCAGCCATTATTAAACCTTTTGCCCAAGGCAAATGCCCCCTTACTCAAGGGCATATCTCACACACACCCCCTGATCTCCAAATGTTAGGAATTAGACAATAGGTCTAATTCTAATAGGGCTAAGTAACATAACGTTAAAGGTTTTCGGGCTTTTTCGCGCTCTTTTTCTAAAATCATAAAAGGTTGATTTATATGTTGTTATGTAACTTATGTCATTGGAAATAGATTCTCAAAACACTAAAAGGCCCTATTGTCTGTTACCAAATCTCAATTTGGCAATCCAATCGATCTTTCCCAGGTAAAAAGAACATAGATAAAGCCACAAGAACCTGCAAAGATCTTGGAATTCCTTATGCGGTTGTTTGCGACCTGGACGCAGTTCTACCGAATTCTAAGAAAAACAGCATCATGTCGCAGTTCATGAAATGTGTTGGAAACTGGAATTTAGCACATGTCGATAAGAAATTGCTGTTTGACAGCGAACAATCGCCAGCGAGTACTTGCATTGAGGATCCCACTCTCAAAGCACAGTTGAAAATGTGTCACAACGCGAAAGACGTGATGGATTTCTACGAAACGATGGAACGTATTTTCGCTTGGAGAGTTGGCAACGGTGAAATCGAAGATTTGGTGAAGGTCACAAAACGAACGTTTTCCAAGAAATGGTGGGCAGATTTCACCTCCGAAGCTTTCCAAGACTTGATTCAATTCATGCTGGTGCCAAATCTCGAAGGAGAAACCGGTTATGGCAGCAAGACAAACCCAGAATTACTTCGCTGTTTTTACTTCGTGCTGGAGTTTTTGCAGGCCGTGCGATGATAGTTTTCGTTTCATTCTTTTGTTGAATTAAAAAGACAGCGATTTTTGAAGCAAGTTTATTTGTGCCGTGACTCGTGAGGGAAGCAATGCCAATGGATGTTCTCGCCTTCTCGGGTACCAGGAATCCCTAAACTTTACCAAGAACTTTATTTATCGATAAAGCTGGAAAGAGCATTCGAAATTGCAAGTGTGAAAAATATTGCAAGTGTGAAAAATTCGCCGAAAAATTCGCACGGCGAATTTGGCAAATGTTGTATAAATTATACACGCGAAAAAAAACTTGTCACAACTTGTCACAACGAAATTTCAGGATCCTCTTAATGAAGGTATCAGCCATTGTTTTGATACTTTCGAAACAGTTTATATTATAGTTATAGTTTTAGAATTAGTTCCACTTGAGATACAATCATATTATGTATTCTTGTGTATTTGCGTATGTAGTTTTTAAATTTAAACTTTATACTGTATACAAGTAAATGTAATAACGTGTAATTCAATCCCTGATCGCAAAACGTTAATTTATCTAATATTAAATCCAAATCCAAGAAAAACACATTTTAAGTTGCTACAATTTGCGACTCGTGTTCAAACAGTGTTCATGCGAGGCTCGTGGATTTGTCTTTTTGAATTTTGTGGCCCTAGCCAAGCCCACAATGGTGAAAACATCAATTTATTCAGCCTTAAACTAGAATCTGAAATTTTCAAGACGTAGCTTTTAAGGGCAATATTTCAATTTGTTAGAAACTTAGAACTTCCTAAAATCTAGTTTGGATGTTGTATATTTAGAAATTAGTAGGTCGATTTTGTAATTTTTTATAACAACCTTTTTCTTGTAAAAATAACACATCGAACGATGAAATTTTATTAAATGGACTTTATACTCGATTATTGTTTCAAAACAAAAGCATTTCATGACACGAGATCAGATTTCCTGTTTTTTTACAAGCGCTTTGTACTCCTTGCTCATGTACGTCATTTCAAGTCACGCTACCTGGAGACGGCCTCCCAAATTACGTTTAAACACTTAAAAATTATTATGACTATTATCCGTTTTTATTTATAGAATCATTCGAGGCTCGCCCCACCATCGATTATCTGGGATGAACTTTAATTGTGCAATTTACGTTCGTAATTACTATCGTACGAGTGGTCAATCTATAAGTCCCATCGGGATTTATAAATTCGATATTACAAATCGATGAATATGAATAATTTATCGATTGGCACGACTTTATTAGCGGATGCATTAGTCACAGCGGGTGGTGTATTGGGCATCCGAGGTGCAATCTTATGCTGATTAACATTCCGATGCTTGGAGGATCGCGAAATCGGTGTTGGGCGTTGTTACGTGGGTTAAATTTTGTCGAAGATGTGGGCTGTGCGTTTAAAAAAATGAAGTTCCTTGCCCCTACAGGCCTACACACTCGAGTAAGTCTTAAAGAAGACTGAAAAAGTCGAAGATGGTCTATTTTTAACCTTTCGTATTTCTCTTTCTGTCCGTCACGAGTCAGGAAGCCTCGGTACCAGCATAACAAAACATGGCAGTAGAAATATTCAGCATTAAGAAGCTTTAGCAGTGACCACGACTACGAGTTCAAGATTCGTCATTTTCGCGCCAAGTTCGGTGCTCATGCCGACGCCATCTGACGAAACTCGTAGTCGTTGGGCTTTCGCGTACGAAATTTACCGACAAACTCGTACTCAAATCTCAACTCGACGACTACGAGTTTGGCCGATGGCGTAAGCAAACAACACACGAGAATGACGAATCTTGTATTCCGTAGTCATGGATAAAAGTATTAGTCATTTCCCTTTGGGGCGAGCGTGCGCGCATAGGAAGACTATAGTATTGTCTTGTATAGTTTCTGAAACGGAGCCTTTTATATGTGGGAGAGAAGGACGTTTTTTAGGGTCGACAAAAATTTTCCATGGCTACATCCCGAATTGCTCTCTTGCGACGAAAATTCCTCCGGCTCTGGGCAATGTATGAATTAATCTGCATAGTTTTCAGACTGTAGTTTCGTGTGCACTCTTGTCTATATTGAAAGATTTAAAATCGTTAACTCAACTTAATAGAAGTTTCTAATAACTTTTGTACAACTTAACCGTAAGGCATAACTCAGCGAAACCTCGGGTTGAGGCCAAGCACCTTTTTTTATGAGTTTTGAGCAAAAATACTTAACAATAAACGTAGTTCTGTATATCAAACTGAACCTACTTTAAAAAGCTTTTTTGTGTTGAGTTTCCAAATACTTCATCTGAAACGGATATATTTAAAAATTCAAAAGTAATTGCCTCTATTTTGCCATTTTTTGGCTGAAAAGCAGCTGTTTGTTTTTGTTATTTCATGCAGCCCGTGTTTGAGCTCATGCATTGAAACTCGGTGAGAAAAACTATTTTGTTTGCAGGCCGAAATATGGACATCTTTATCGCGAGTTAGCACTCCAGTTGTATTAGAGTTCATTGTAAACTGTCTCGTGATGTAATTGTCGAAAGCTGTACGCTTTTGGGCGTTGTCTGCGCAAACGGCAATCAAATACTTCACCTGCATATTTCTAAAAGATTTAATGTGAGAAAAAAAGCCTAAATTAGGAACATCGTTTTACCACATGCCAGGTTGCATGCATGCAATCATCGTTTTACCACATGCCAGGTTGCACGCAGTTGTAATTTCAGAAGTGGAGGTGTAATTTGTAATGAAAGATGATTAAATTATCCAATCGAGTGCTCAAAAACATTGTGTGGCATTCTGAGCATTAAAATTGCCCATAAGATCTTATCTTATTTCTAAAGCTGCGCCCACATGCCTTGGGGAAAAATAAGAGCTGCAAAAAGTCATATATACAGTGTTATAACAGTTATATCAGTGAAATGACAACTGTCCTTGAATCTTTTTTTGAATTCCTTATCGCAAATAGCAGCCAGAAACTCTTTAACTTATCCCTCCAATTTACTGTATATCTATTAGACAATTCCCATATGGACTGATGGGGCCTATAGGATCCTCCATAAGTTTACATCAAACTTCGAATATAGGGAAATCTCTTTTCTCTTATTCTCATACGTGCAAATTGTTTTCAACCTTCGCAAGAATACTCCTTAAAGGTAGATTACAGTCGGTATTAAATGCAAACAAAGCTGTTTTTACATATATTGAATTGCCATGTATATCTCTTAAAATATCCTGTCCTGTCAGAATATTTACTACCATTTTAGTTCACTATATTTCCAAATGAATAAGAGAAAGAGTTCATGCTAAAAGTAAATTCAAAACATGCGAAATATGGGCAATTTCTAAAACATTGACGTGGAGTCCCTCAATGCATGTTATGAGCAGAAACGATGCGCAGAAGCCACAGTAACCTGTTCTAAATAGGCAGACGTGCGAGTTTCCTTATATGTTTTCAAACAATTGGAAATGTGCAAGGAAACCTTAAAAAACATGCTGAGAGTTCACTGATTGGAGTTTATACGTGGGCTTTAATTACTAATCCATAATATATTTCAATATGCTAGCCAAGGTCTCAAGAATCACTAGTTTTCACAACTTTTCGACCAGTTCTAGTTTTGATGTTAATAACAGTGAGCTACAGAGAGTGTAATATCCCATTTCAGAACATTAATCTATTTCATCTAGACTACGACTGGAGCTACGTGCACACTGTAATGTTTACGAAGAAGGACAAGCATTCAAGAGCTCTGTTTGTGTTGAATGTGTCCCCACGCAAAAAAGGAAGTAAACACTAGTATTATATCAATCTACCAAAGAGAAATCGAAGTTCCCTTGATGAATTATAGAAAACTGTGTGCACAAGGCAATAAAAATGACCAAAACGTTCTTCCAAAGTTGCAAACGCTTGAAAACAACGCCCGTGTGTTTTTCGGCGATTTTAATAGCTTAACATTCTAAAACGTCTAATTTAACTGTAGCATAACAGCTGGCTAAAATAGGCAAAAAGAAGTCGAGAAATACTAGACTGAAGAGTTAGTAAGACGAAGTCCCTTCGGTCGAAGCACCTTAAGAACATTTGGTTATACCAACTAGTTATGAATTTGTGCTTAATTCTTGATTTTTTCCGGTTACATATTAATAAAAAACGGCTTTAATGCTTTTACAATTTAAACTCCTAGCTTAATTTAGCAGATAGAAAAAAAATCGAGTGTTACCATTAACATCTAACGATTTATCAATGAACCGACTTTATGCGAAAAATTAGTAAGAAACTATTTGATTTTACCGTTTAGTTGAACTTTTAGGTTTGGGGAAAGGTTTAGAAGATGTTAATTGAAATCTTGTGTTAATCTGTACAGTAAATTGCGTTGGAGTGAACGTTGGCGTTCTGTTGATTACCTTGCTGGAAAGACAATTTTTACGCCTCGTAATGTTTGTGTCAACTGTCTGTTAAAACAATGTCTATGGTTGATGGAATTGTACGCGCTTTGTGATATGAACTAAGCTCGCTGTGAGAGGTTCTCCCACACATGCCGATTCAGGCAATTTTGCCGAAATCGACCAATATATTGAAGGTTTCAGACCTTGTTTATCTCGTGACTTTCTGTGAGAAATCATTTGAACAAAAATTGTCATGTTTCATGCATGTCTCAAAATAGCACAATTTTACGAACGTTTTGTTAAAAAAACAATTAGAACATGCAATAAAGTATTTGCTACACCGGATGACATGATCGGTGAAAGTAATTCCCCTCATCCTGACTTTTCCTATCAAAACAATTGAACCGTTTTAAACAGATTTTTATGATATAACTATGGAAAATGTCCAATGATATATGTGACCTTGTAATGACGTATTGAAACCCACCCACGCGTTCTTCAATGATAAAAAAATTATGAATATTTAAAAAGTCGAGCAAGAGTATTTTATGACACAAACATCAAGTTCCGTGTTACGTTTCGCATTAGCCTTCGGTCTGAATGGGGCCTCGAAACAAGCAAGTCGACGATAATTCGACTATGAACGCCGTGTTTTACGTTCAAGATTACACTTCTTCGGTCAAGGTAAGTTTTTCCTACTACTCCTGTGTAGTTTTAACGCTTTTGTAGTGGAAAACATGAGAGTTTATTATGATCGAATGACGCAAGTACTGATAACAATGTTTGCAAGTTTTGTAAAGCGATAGAACAACATAAATGTATGTTAAAGTCGCAATTCTTCATCTAAGTCAGACTTAATCTATGCGATGAACTGTAAGCTCGACGTACACCTATACATTGTTCACTTTGGTGGTGTGAATTTGTATTACTTTACAGCATAACAGTTAGTTATACCTTCTAACTGGCTGTATGTCGCCTTAAAACAATAGAATGTTTACATTACACCCGAGTATTTTATGACGCCATTGACTAAGCATTCGGTGTGAAATTTGTTCAATTAAACTGTATGTACAGTATTCTGTTGAACAAATTTCTAAATTACAGTATTGCAGGACTTGTTTATACCACGTTTGTCCTATTAAACTGGTATTTCCGTCTACAGGGCGCAGCAAGCAGGAAGTGTAATGTTCATTTCTCCACGTCTGGAAGCGATGGCTTGGGTAAGTTTCGGTTAATATTTAATTTATTATCCACTCGACGAACCGCTTATAAAAAACCAAGGCCTTTTTTCTTAGAAAACAAGCAACGGTTTAATTTAGAGGCGAAACAGTCCTTGGTTCGAAATTGCTACATCTAAGCACAACAGTTTTAGTCATGCAAACTTCCTATATGTGATTATACCACACATTATAAGCTAAAATGTGACTTTTTGTGGTGCTAAAATGATTCGGCTATGCAAATGATTCACAACTGTTGGGCCTGCTCCGTGAAAACCTGTTTAAATCTTCGAAAATATCTTTAATATATACTTCTCATCCAAGCCTATAAAATATTGTTGACTTCTGGAAGTGGACTTGGTTAAGTCGGTTAACAGCTGAAAATTCGATTAAAGTCATTGTCACTTTCAGGGACCGACAATCCTGTTATAAGGAAGTTGGTTTGGTTAACTTAGATAATTGCCGATTGCTAGCTAGAACTACCGATTATTTCAATGATATTACTCCAGGGGGTCGCGCGTTTTGGATGAAATAAATACATTTCTTTAGTCAAAATCTTCAGTCTAACAAGCTAAGTCAGGCCTCGTTCTCGGAAGGAAGTCGACATACTTTTGAATGAATGATTCCGATTCTGGCTTTTGCTTTGAGGAACCTTTTCAGGAATTTGATAAAGTAATCGTATGGCTGTGGAGATAAACTTTTTGTATATTGATTTTTCACATAATTTTTTTGTTTAGCGAAGTTAGAAATCGAGTATCTCGAGTCGACGAATACGAAACAAGTTTACAACGAGACCAAAGTTCTTAAGCCGAATGAATGGTTAGTTTATTTACCTCAAACCATCGGCCATACTGTCTCCTTGGTTTTAATGAAGTCTACAAATCCTGCTGAATGCGTCGTTTTCGAAGCAAGAAGCGAAAACATCCCAGTGTTGAAGATGATGGAGGCAAAGATGAGAGAGTTTCTACGAGGTATGAATGAAGAAATTCTTTGAACTGGGTTATTAAAACGAAGCACGCACGCTTGAAATTATTTCGAAGTATTAAATTTGTCTTTTATGGAAAAAAAACACACGCCATTGTCGGAGTGTGAACTGCTTCGTTTCTTCCCGAGCAATTTGATCGCTTTGAAGAGTTGAGCTGGCCTAAAGTGATATAGCTAACGAATGAGACGTTAATAATGCTAATTGCTATTATTACTCGGGCATTTACACTGATTAGAGGCAAAAAAAACAGAGCTGGGGTCAGTTGTATAAAAGACTAGTTAACTTTAACTGTCTGTAGTTAGGGACAGAATTGGGCAATCAGAATTGTGTATTTCTGAGTTAACTAGGATTTAACTTTGCAAAGTGTAGTTAAAGAGTTTTATACAACCGGCCCCTGGAAGTTATATATGATGGAAGTTAAGCCTTTCCTAGCAAGGTAGCCCTTTAAGGTAGCCCTAAATATGGGCACAATTAATTTATTTGCACCCGTCTATTGGGGTCCCCTCTACTAGATTGGACATGGGACGTAGTTAAGATGAGCTGATAGAATACCTTTTTGACCGAGAATGATTTGTTTCTACCGGTAAATTTCTAGTTATACTCTACCATATCAAAGTAAAAGACAAGACCTCCAAGGATAAACCGAATGTTGGTACGCTACATATTATGAGAGACAGGCTGATGATTATTACAGGTGCCCCGCCAAATACCTGCGCTTTGTTGGACTATACCTTTGCTCCTTTCAAAAACGGAATAACATTTTCTCCTAACAACGAACTAGGCTTTGACGCGCTACCAGACATTGCCGTTTTAAGTGATCAAACACATGATATTTGGAGAACTATTCACGGCTGCATGCAAACGATTGGGCTGTTTAACAAGACTTCAACGACAGAAGATTTTGGAAACAAGTGCGATGAAGCGGGAAGTCAAAAGAGGTTACTGCCTCAAGCAAAAGAACCGACTTTTCAGATATTTGACCCAATGAACTGTGAATCTTCATCAAGAACGATGTATGTCTACTACAATTTACCAAAAAATCCAAGTGTTCTTCGGCCGTGTAAATATGTCTATATGAACTTGCCGGATAGAAAGAAGGCGCCCGTTCTTAACCATCAATATGTGAACGTTCGTCATGTCGGTTCTGTTTATCAAAACTGTTGGCGCAGTTGTACAAAAAAGACTGGGAAAGATTCTATCGAAACTGGCGAAGTACCCCCTCCTCCACCTCCGAGATTAAAACCACCACCCCTCCCCCCGAAGCCAAGAAACAGACCACCCAACTCTCCGCTACCTCCCATCCCCACTCCAGATCTCCCTCCACAGCGAAGACTCCCCGAGCCTCCATCTCTACCTCTACCACGCCTACCCGAAAGATACGTACACAAGGAGATTCAATATGTTGTATACTCGTCAAAGCCTGTCAGTGGGCAGATTTTTGTCATTCAAGTTGTGTTTTTCCAAAAGCACGACGACGCTACCCTCGAGGTTTGTTTAAAATGCTCTTACCTACGCCCCCAACACTCGCACGGTTTTTTTTTCGTATCGTAAACAAAGAAAATGCAAAACTCAAGATGACGACTGACCCGACTATTTGCTCGCAAAACGGGTACCTGTCAGCATTTTAAAAGTCATTCATACAACTTATAATAATCCCGACCCTAAAATTTTTTTCTATTTTGCTTTCAGAGAATCAAAAAGTTAGAAGAGGAAGCTAATTATCAGGTTTTAAAACCTTTACCTGACTGCATTAGCGTCTCTGGGGATTTGAAGATCTCGCTGCTAGATATCGACGCCTGCTGCACATTAAAAAGCGAAAAAGATCAGGTGTGTTTTTAGGAAATGTTTATTACAGCTATAGGCAGTCCATATAGCCCGGCAAAAGGCGTTAAAAATTGACGCTTATTCATAATTTATAAACTGAGAAATTTAGATTTCAATTCAGACTTGAGAGTAACTTCAATCCAAACGAGAAAAACAAATGATATTTCAAATGCCAAATTTCATATTAGGCAATTCTTGACGTTGGCATTTTTTTTTCAACAATAGTCTTGGAGAGGCAGTGCGGGTGGCATGTATATTTTATACAAGGCACCCCACATGAGGAATAGTAAAAAATAATAAAAAAAAAATTAAAATGCTCAAGACTGAGATGAAACGGTCAAAAATGCGAAATAAGGTTTTGTTTTCTTGAAAAACAAATCTAAATCCTACTTTTTGCCAGGTTATTGAACACGAAATTGTGAAAGAGGCAATCCTGCAATCTTGTTGGGTGATAATCGAATTTCATTTGGAACATAATGAAAATACCAGCCAAAATTTTCATGCAAAAATTGCGATGCAACCCAAGACTGGCTCGAATTCCAGGTCGTCCAGAACCAACAAAGACATTCAAATTTCAACTACTTTTCAGGTGGGTAAAGAATTTTATTGAGTTCTTTGCAGTTGTCGAATCTAGAAATAAATGTTCATGTTATAAATGCGTATACAAAATTGAAATTTGAAGTCGACTAATTAGCATCGCTCTTAACGAATTAATTAACAACTCTGTTTACACTTTGCACAGATGCGGGACGCCATTTCAAATGTATTCCAGTCGAGCCAACCGGTAGTATGTAATTCGTTGAAAACCATTGGAGTACGAAAATATTTGGAAGTGTGTGGACTAATGGACATTCCGTGTGCTTTGCACAACGATTGGACGGGGCTGGCAGGCGAAATTGGCCTGACCGTTGACGAGGTGTTTAGAATACAAAGTAAAGCTTGTTTTCCAAACTTCTCACCGACGAACGAAGTCCTTAATATTTGGTCACAAAGACAAAATAAATCGTGCAACATTGACGGTTTTAAAGCGAAGTTAGAAAATTTACAGCGATTCGATGTTTTGGAGGTTTTAAAAGGGTCGGAATAACGGCTACACTCTCGTTCACTAGATTATTAAATATACAGTAATCAAATAGACGTACAATAATGAAAATGCTATAAGATATGTAAATTTATATATTTTGTAATATACACCCGCTACGCGTTATAACTTCAATTTACAAACATAGTTTAACTTCTGGGGCCGGTTGTTCAAAAGCCGGTTAGCTTAGCTAACCCTGCCCCTGGCCAGCTCTGGGTTTAAAATAAATCTTTACATTTATCTTTTTAATTGCTTGTTTACAAAGTTGAATATATTTTTTCAGAAATATAAGTAATATTTTCTAAAGTTTTAAAACGAACTGTAATTCAGAGGCACATAAACTAAAAGACTGGATTAAAATTTAACCCAGGGACAGGGTTAGCGCTAACCTACCTTTGAACAACTGAACTTTTATTTTTACCATAAAATTCTTTCAAAATGGCGACCTTTGGAAAATAGCAAATTTAGCATTACGTAGCTTTAACTATGTTGGGGAAATCGCAGGAAGTGAAAGATCAAAATTTATATAACCGGATAAGCAGTATTGTTACGACTTGTACATCATATGGACATCGCGGAAACCAGCATCGTTCCAGCGCCGTTCCAGCGCTGTTCCATGCAGAAAAACAACACAACGAACAACGTAATCAAAGACAAAGTAAATATCAATAGTCTGGCATTTATCAAAGACAAAGCCAAAGGTCATTTATACCATAATAGGCTTTGCCTTTAGCTGTGCTTTGGCCAACATTTTGGCGTATGACCAGCTATCAAATCTTATTTAACATGCTTGCTTTATATCAGGTTTATAGACTCTTAAATACAAAAAATATAGACATATTTCTATTTGTGGCCGTTGCAATATTATAGAATAAAGTTTGGAGTTTTAAAACTTTAAAGTTGTGTGTTCGGGAAGCGTGTTTTAACTCCCGTGACAAACACGACCCGGAAACGTTCATTTCATATTATCTCAATTACTTTGAATATCCGTGTTGTGCAACTCAACATGTCTTTCTTTTTAAGAAAGAGCCACTCATTTTCAACTCATTTTCAAGCATTTCGGAGGATGGATACCGTTTCATATTTTCTCTGCCAACCAAATAGCCGTGCGGCAACCGAGTTGAATGACATTTTTCATGGTGGAATAAAATGGCGCCTGTTCAAAGAAACAAAATTTTTACCAATTACGTTTTTACGGCGGCTGAATAATTCATCTTTCTCCTTTAGAAACCGTTTCCAGGTGGTCACAAAAACCGCTAGGAAAAACAACTTCCCTGCACGCTAATAAGGCTCTATGGGGCCGATATAGTGAATTAGTCTACTTCAAGAATGTAGTAACACTAAAAGTGCTTCAAGTTGCCTTAGTGTTGTAAACAGAGAACTTTTTGGCTACTTACTTTAAAATTTTTTACAAATTCTTATTGTTGTTTTGATGAAATCAATATAATGCATTATCATACGCGATATAATTACCGTAAGGCGTAAGAAAACCAAAATAAATTAAATGAAAGAACTCAATCAATTTAAAATCTAACTTGACGATCAGTGACTGATAACAATAAAATTCTCGACTCAAAAAGGAACTGGGATGTTTTTGATATTTTGTATTTTTGAGGTCTAAGGTCTTACTGTCACAGAAGGCTATATTAGGTCTCTACAAGTCAGACTTGGTAACTTTTGCGCTGCACATTCCAGTCCTACGCTTCGCTTTAGTCCTTACCTAAACGTTGCTTACAACTTATTGCAACCACTGATGGCAACAACCGCACCATAGGCAGTCCAGAAAGCATGCGAAAATTATGCATGCATGTTTATAATACTATATATATTATATTCTAGAGGTTTAAAGGGTCTTAATTTCGAGTGGTATTATACACACTTCAAATTCAAGCCAGGAACAGTTGATAGAAAAATGAGTCAACTATAGGTCCTCCGGCAGGAATCGAACCTACGCTTTTGCGATGCCGGTGCAATGCTTTTGCCACTGTGGCACTTTTATGAACTATGGTGAAATGACAGGCTCTTTATACAGTCTATTTGCAATATTTCACCTCGTTTCGAAAGGATAATCTAGTAGTTTATCTTACTTGCATTGCATCGTTGTCAAGCCCCGTTTCCAAGTGTTCCAATTCATCATCTCGGAATTTTGTGATTACCTTGAAATATTTAGCATTAAATTAAAGTTGGCAGTGAGTTTTCACAACATTAACTAGCTGTACTATTCCACTGATCAGTTAAATCATCCGGCATTAAGCAGAGTAAAATAGGGTGCATCTGGTCGCATTGCAAGCTAATGGGATAACAAGTGATGCTGACAGAGAGTTTTTTAATACTCTTCTGAACTTACGTCCAGTAATTCTTTGTGTTTTTCAAGATATTCAGGGTCTTCTAAAAGTTCTCTCAGCTGACTAGCAAATGTTAGTTGAAATGTTAGTAGATTGAATTTTCGGTGGTGAAAGTCAGGAGGGCAGGGGTGGTTATCATGGTAGCTGGGTGGTTAGTGATGATGGTCATTGAGGGTAGCATTAATAATGATGACAATGAACATACTTATCATAATGTTCACCAATCACTTCTTCAACAGCAACAGTACATGCCATGGCTGCTTTTTCACCAAGCAATGCGCTGCCGGCCCCTAGATGATGGTGATGCAGTAAGTATAAACAAATACTCCCCTCCCTGTGTTCATATTTGAGCCACACCTGACCTGGTGCAGACACATTACCTAAAGCATAGCCTGCAACATTCCAGAATGGTAGCAGGGCCGTGGGCCGAACTCTGTATTTTGGTAGAAGTTCCTCAAATTTTTCAACATGTTCCTTTTCCTGATCCCACATTTCCTAAACAAGTTGAGTTGTTGGAGATCAAGGGGGAGGGTGCTAAGATGAGTGGGGGAGGTAGAGATGGGGAAAGGGAAGAATAGATGGGCAGATGCAAATTTGTAGGAGGGGTAAAAAATGGGGAAGGGTGCAAAGATTGGGAGGGATGCAAAGATGTGGGGAGGGAGGGAGGGATGCAAAGATGTGGGGAGGGAGGGAGGGATGCAAAGATGTGGGGGGGGGGGAGTGAAGGGAGGGATGCAAAGATGTGGGGGGGAGGGAGTGATGCAAAGATGTTTTGGGAGGGAGGGATGGAAAGATGTGGGGAGAGGGGGTGCAAAAATAGGGGTGGAGTATTTGTTCAAACTGCTGACCACAATTACCATACTGCAGGCTTAGGTGACACTTCAAACTAATAAAACAAAGCAAGGCACACGCGCATACTCAGAACTGCCTTCAAACGTGGTTTGGATTACCTTAATAATTGTTGCAGACTTGGTGTTACTTAATACGGCCATCTGACCGGCGTATATTCTATTCGCCCCGATTTCCCCGGCATGATCGACTCTTAATATCTTGTCCACGAGTGGATCAGGTCTGCCTCGCCTTCTTTTCGCACTCGTACACAGGCATCGGCAGGAAACAGCCGACGGACGGTACAAAAGTTGAAAAAAAACACTTCGTGAGACGGCCATTTTGCTACGAAATTGCTGCAGAATATCACTACAGGTTTTTACATAGATCAGTAGTTAAGCTGAGCCAGTGAGCTCCACATATATCTGGAGTAAGAACTTTGGGTGCAAAAAGTGAAGCCAAAGATGGCGGAAATTGAAGCGCTATAGTACGTCAGTTTCAGTCCCCTAACTCGCGCGGCCAAATATTTCTCATTGTTTTTGACCGGGAGTGACGGTTCCCGAAACCCTCAGATTTTCGTGTTTTTCATCATTTTGAGAGTACAAGAATGGGAAAAATTGATTCATTTTACTGAGAATCTATTTCTCTGCATCTACCCGATGTAGGTGCCGCATTTTCCGACTGTACGAGTGTGTAAATATGCATTTTTCGCCGTAAATTCAACTACGCATTTCAGATTTGTTTAATTTTGAGTTATTTTCATATATTTTCACCTTATGTTTTGAGTTTCTTGTTTCCTTTTTGGTTTCGAAACGCTTTAAAACAAGTTGTCCTTTATTTTTTGGCCAGCTTTCCTAGCATAGTGCTTTTTTAAAGTTTTTTTTATACTTGCATTTTGAGTCTTGTTTATAAATTTCATAATCATATATTAGTCATATTTCAAACTCGTACGTTTTTCAGCATAATTTTCTTTCCTATTAATTTTTTACATGAATGAAAGCCTTATATATAGATGAATTAAACTGAGAAAAGTTTTATTTATGTTTTTTGGGAAGCATATTCTGTGAGTAAATGTTGTGATTTGCGAAAAGCCGAAAACATCAACAATCCGCCACTCCTTAGCTTTCCTTGTAAGATATCGCTTATTTCTTTGTTAATTTAATTGAAATATAAAAGTATCTCAATACAAAGCATTAATATTTTACCTTTCATTGAAATTCCCCTCATTTTTTACTCAAAAATAGGAAAAAATAAAGTTAAACCGCGCACATAAGAGGACTGAAACTGACGTACTATAGCGCCTCAATATCCGCCATCTTTGGCTTCACTTTTTGGCCTCGCGGAAGTCTCTTACTCCAGATATATGTGGAGCTCACTGAGCTGAGCTAAAATCCCCAAAATCCTTTGCGCGCTCGTCCAGCTGCGCCACTGATCTATGAAAAAGTCTGTAGTGGGCCTACATTCTGAGCCGCTGCAGCCATGAACAGCGGGAACCCGCCAGTTGAATGATATACTCTAGCGCGTTCAAATCATGGACATTTCAAAGGTCTGTTTTTCCATTTTCCCCTTAATTTTTATGGTTTTTCTGTGGTTTAAGTTCTTGAAAATACGTCTATTTCAGGGTGGATGTGTACCGGAGGGCCCACTGCATAACAGTAGTGGGGGAAACACAAATAAAAGTATGTTTATGCAATTTAATAATACAGTGTTGACTGTCGAGTGTCTTCTGAAAATGGATATTGTTAAATAGGAAAGAAAAGACTAAATAAAATGAAACGGATGAAAAAAAAGAAAAAGAAAGATGAAGATGAGCACAAGGAGGAAGAAACTATAACAGTATGTTGTATTTCTAGTTAATCACATTTCAAAATGTGATTACTGATTAATAGGACAATAGGCTGTATACATTCTTGGCTTGGCCATAGAGCAATCTTTAGGTCTTTGTAATCTGTAGGATAATTAAGGTCTGTGTACACACAATCCTATTTAGTCAGATCCAATGGACCACTTGCATAATTGACCAACTTTTGATTTGGGCGACAAAAAGGATATTTTCAAAAAAGTGCGTACTAAACTTACTAAAATTGCCAAGTTTGGCTGTGAAATGTTGCAAAGTACACTTTCACCCGTATTACAACAGTATACAAAATTGCCTACTTCACATTATTTTCCGTACTACTTGATATTTTGCAGCCAAACTTGGCAATTATACTAATTTCAGTATGTTCTTTTTAGCTGTGGTAATTATTTCCTCCTTGTTCCCTAGATCACAAGTTGGTCTATTATGCAAGTGGTCCATTACTTTTGAAGGATGTTTTATAGTCTGTTAACTTGCAATATATACAGACAGTAAATCAACTTAAGCCAACGTTGATGTTACTGCATGCTTTATCAATAACAGACTATATTCCATATGTCAGAAGCAGATCATATGAACAGACCTTTAACTTTTTCTTTCCCTTTAAGGAGCAGTTTTCCGTTGACCTTGGGAATTTACCGAAGAACAAAAAAGAAATAAAAATCAAAGAAATCCAACAGTTGATTAAATCCAGTCTTTTGAAATCGGAGGGTTTACCAAACTGGGTGCAGACCCTGGACAGGTCATGTGTCGATAGAGTGGCTGTGGTTTTGATGAAGTATGTCACAGCTGAGATGTTCACAAAATATGAGGATAGCATGCCAAAGTTAAGCAAGATGTTTGATGTGGTAGGTGGGGAAATGGTTTGCAAGGCCATACAAGGGTATATTAGGTAGGAGGGGGCCCTGCTTCCCCCACACCCCACCCCCACCTAGGTTCATCCAAGAATGTATTATGCAATATTTACTGAGTTCAACTTTTTTAAAGTAAAAGTTTTAAAATGCTTTTAGCTTCACAATTAGCTTCACACTTTTAGTCTTTTCTAGCCAGGGTATTACCTTAGTTACATTTGTTTATGATAAGGATAGTGGACTTGATTAGCATAAAGCATAGGCTACAGAACTGGGGAGAACACTGTGTTACCTACTTTTTTGAAGACATAAAGGTGAAGGTATACCTCACTTGAAGCAATCATGCCCTAGCTTCTGTCAGTCATGGCTACTTTCCTCTGTCTCCTTATTTGCCACCTTCCCATTGATATTTTCATATTTTTTTACCTATCCAACATTCCTATTGTTCTCCACCCTCCTGACATTTAGGTGACCCTGCACTCCCACCTGGCACCCGAATGGGCATGAATTTTCTATTTTTCCAGGTATTGCCTTATCTCAATGATGGACACCATGTTTTTATCGAATCACCAGCTCATTCATTGTTAAGCGTGATACGAAAACCGAAATCCATACAAACAGAGCAAGGTAACTATTAACTAATGCCAGTCAAATTTACTCATCATGGAAGTCTCCTGTCAGTTAAATGAATTACCAGTAAATTCATTTCATGGGATTCTTTAATATTACTCTAGTTAATCCATTAAGCACCAGCACTTTCCACATGACAAGTAAAATTATCTGGCATTAGACAGAGTAGGGTCCATCAGGGCACAATGCCGCTTAATGGGTTAATATTGTTTTAATTTATCTATTGCTGTCCCCTTAAGGTGAGATCAATCCCATGTTGCTCCATGCAAAAGATTATATTTTAACGGAGAGTCAACTTATCAAGAATGATTTTCTTATCCCCGGTTTGTCAAAAGGTAAAAATGTTTGTATAAAGTGTCATGTGTTTGTCTATGGTTGATGCTTTAAGTTTGTTCATCTGATAGATGCTGAGGATTTTTTTACAATACCAAGCAGCACGACAACAGAACCAAGTCCTTCAAGTAAAATGTTTGCAATTGATTGTGAAATGGTAAGATTTATCTCTTAAATGGCTAATAGCCTCTGCAAACATTATTCAAAACTTTTGCTAAATGGAATTTTAAATGTCTTCATTGTTGAATTATAATAACGTTGTATTATAACCATTTTTGGCAGGAATTGCTTTCACGTAAAAAGCTCTTAAATTAAGTGTTTATAATAGATTGTCATTTTAACATTTTATTGCAGTGCATGTCTTCGGAAGGCAAAGAATTAACAAGAATCTCTGTGATTGATTCAACACATCAAGTAATTTATGATACCCTGGTGAAGCCAGAGAATACCATCACTGATTACCTGACGAGGTGGGTTTGATTTTGAGTGGGGTTGGGTACGTGGTGTAGTATGGAGAGGGGAATATATGAGTGAGTCTGAGAGCAATTGGTATGTGGGGAATGTGTAAGGGTGTGTCAGGAAGGGGGGGTGGAAGTAGTTGTGCATCGGAAGGAAGGAGGGGGGGTGGAAGTAGTTGTGCATGGGAAGGAAGGAGGGGGAGGGTGGAAGTAGTTGTGCATGGGGAATGTGTGGGTGGAGGTGAGGGAGGGGTGTATGGGGAATGTGTGGGGCAAGGTGGTGGAGAGAAATGGCTGGATGTTGCTTAATCATGCAAAAACTTTAATGATTACCAGTAGTGACAGTACTTAGTCTATTACTGATAGTATAAATTTTAGCATGCATTGTCTTTATTTAGGTACAGTGGCATCACAAAAAGCGATCTCTCTGATGTTAAAACAACCTTAGAAGATGTGCAGGCAAAATTAAAAGAAATCATCCCACCAGACGCCATTCTGGTTGGCCACTCGCTGGAATTTGATTTCTTCTCACTTCAAGTATGCATGATCTGTAAATTTTAGTTTTTTTCTTCGGAGAACTAGTGAATTTAAAATATCATATGCTCACTACTCAAACTGAATAAAATATCCTTTTTTTTTCTAAAAATCGACGGGGAAATCTGTGAAAAGGATTTCTTTGTCCTCAAATCAGTTTTCCTTTAAATCCTGATGCAAAAAAGCTTGAAATAAAAGGTCGAAAAAACTATTTGTCGAATTCCTAAATTCCCTGAGACTTGCCAATTTCTCCCAAATCATGTTCAGTTTAAATTATCATTTCTTCTTTACAGTTTGCAAACTTAGGCTAATCGTGTCTTATATGAACGAATTGATTTTAGAAAACTTCGTTATCTTTTTTCTTCAGTTCTTTCATAATAAAGTCATAGACACTTCAGTAATATATCAAGATTCACGTGGCTTTGGTTTTAAACCCAGCCTGAAATATCTTGCAAAGAAATACTTAAAGTAAGTTTGTGAAATTCTTTGTGTCTGAATGATATTGCAAAAAAGACTATTGTCTGTATTAACAACCAAATTACAGGATAAATACAGTAAAAGTATACTTTTTTGTCATACTAGCCCACGAGCACTTGGATTTGGTCTTGTCTTTTAAAAATTCTTGATTCCTTTCGTTAATCTCTTGTTTTTAACTTCATCGATATTTCTCCTTTTTTTTTCTCCAGAGAAAATATCCAGAAAAACTCGCAGGGTCATTGTTCGATAGAGGACGCAAGAACTTGTATGCATTTAGTTCAACTAAAAATTACAAGAGGTAAAGAATTGTTTTCTTGACGTGTTTTTTCATCAGGAGTGTTTCTCAGTAGGTGAGGTTCGTTCATTTAAATTTTTTTTTAGAAAACGGGCGACTTTCTGGAGAATACGTTCGCAGATCAGATTTAGGATTAAGATTAGTGTTAAGATTATAGTATTAGTGTTAGGATTATAGATCAGATGAATTAGTGTTAGGATTATAGTGTTAGTGTTAGGATTATAGATCAGATTTAGGATTAGGATTAGTGTTAGGATTATATTTAGTAATTGAGATTGAGGGATAGGGTTGGATTTAAGATTGAGATTAACTTTGTTGATAAATTCAGATTGTATATACTGTATATGTGGAAAATGTGCGAAAAAATTGAAGTTTTTTTTCTTCTAGGTCCGGACTTCGGAGTGAACAATGAACGTCACGAAATGAGGTAAAATCTTTTTCCAGCTGACAAATTGATAAAATGAATAAACAATGTTTAAATATAGTGATCTTTCAAACCCTAAGATTCCTTTGCTGTCCAATGCTTAAATACTTATGTTAGAGCTATAGTTCTTATACTAAACATAATCACAAAAATTCCACTAGTTTCATAAAGAATAAGTAATTGATTTAATACTACAGAAAATATTTTTATTTTGACAACCCTTCCGAGAACTGATTGGCTAAAATTTAAACTCGAGATCACCTGGTAATAGACCTTTTTCATAATGACGTTAAACGCGGAAATGTCTGATGTTACACGAAATTTGATTGGTTCCACAAAACTATCGAGCCAATCAGAAGGTCAATACAAACTTCCAACCTCGTACCCAGAGTTTTGTTACCGTGGAGCGAAGATAATAAAACCCTGGATACGAGGTTGTTAAATTTCAAGAGTGATGCAAAACAATATCCATATTTTTAGTTTTTTTGATCATCTCCGGGAAGTATCCAAAAGAACAGGTTGGTTTTGATAAAAGTTGTGAACATAGTGTACATCAGGGTCGTACGCAAAATTTTTGAGCTGGGGAGCAGTGATGTTTCTTGGATGGGGAGCAGTGTATTTTTATAGACATGACGTTACATATAATTTCTGCGCGTGGTGTATCTCAACGCTGGCGTTGCCATGATTCGCATTAAAAAGATTTCAATGCAAGTATTTTCGCTAGGTGTAATGGTCGACAGGAAATCAAATATAAAACAATATTCTGGATGCGCAGATTCCATTCCTTGTTCTTGCGATGAAGAGGTTAGTGAAGAGGTCTGGTGAAACTCGTCCGGCAAATTGTCATATTCATCACTCCCCCCGTCTTCTTGCATAGGTGGTCAAGAATGTCATCGAAGTTTTACCAGAATATGATTACATTTGGTCGCAGTTTCATAATATGGATTCATTAAAAACAGCCAACGTTTTAGATGATGATATAAAGGTGATATGGATGCAAAGTTCGATTATATCCAACATTTAAGAAATAGAAAACATTTTCCGTGTAGAAAACGTTTTCGCAACTAGAAAACTTTACCTTTTATGTTGTACTTTCTTAGCATTTCCATGCAACTTATAATTTCTCTCTCATGCCTTTAGTCTGTGTTGCAAAAAATGGATGAAAATGTGAATGAAATCCACCAAAACCTTCCCAAAGGAACTTTATTTGTTGTTATACTCGGAGCGGCTAACACTTCGCAGATAAGAAGGTTGGTAGAGAAGGTGGTTAGTTTGTACAGACCCATACTGCCCTAAAATGAGCTAAAGACAAGATTTTTTGCCTGTTTTATCCGTTTTTCTCGCGTGTACGACAATTTTTAGATGATTTTTTTGTGGCCGGTAATGGTCCGATACGACTAAACAGTCTTCCTAGACTTCGGCTAGGTCGAAAGCTGACGACCAACTTTTGAACCCAGAAAATAGGCTCTTAATCGAGTAAAAACCACTGGAAAAAACATGTTCTTGGTCAAGTAAAATGTTCTCTTGGTTAATTAAGACAGAATAATTAAATCTGTCACGAAAAAAATCCTCGAGGACCATCTTTTGAACCTAAAAAATAGGCTCTTTATCAAGTAAAACCACTGCAAAAAACATGTTCGTGGTCAAGTAAAATGTGCTCTTTGTTAATTCAGACAGAACAATGAAATCTGTCACGAAAAAGATGCTCGTTTGCGCTTTCCTGTAAAGTTTTGAATGATTTTAAAATATTTTTTATTTTTTGCATTTTGTAGGTTACGAGAAAGCGGGGCCAGCAGTGGTGTCGTAAAAAAGGCAGTTCGAGATAACCAACGTGGACTATGCTGTATTAAACTCGTGTGAGACTTGTCTATGTAAATATAACATCGAACAGCGTTGAGAAAGCTAGAAACGAACAAATTCTTTAAATTTAGTGTGTAAAGTTGTGTATAGTATTAAAATATGTACAATTTTGTGCGTTTTTTATCGGCGAAGAATTCATTCGTCTTATTCGACATCCAAGTTTTCATTAGAGATGAGACGGGGGGGGTATGAATCAGACTGATCCCCCTTCGTAAAAGGACTCATATTAATTGTAGGTGAATGCTTTTTTACGGTACCAAAATGAACGAATTGCTAAATTTTCAGCTAATTCCTTCAAAAATTATAATAAATATTACGTTTTGTGCAATTTTAGGCATGTTGCTCTTCTCCGAAGACTATTTCACCTTGTAATAGTTCAAAGACGGGGGGGGACGAGCAAAATTTCAAGATTTGCACCTTGAAAATGGCTGTTTTAAAAACGTCGGAAGATTATTTACTTGTTCAGAGCAGGTATGGTATATTTTTTCTAATACACTAGGATTATTACGCTATATTTCAATGTTATATCTCATGATATTCCAAACGGGCTAATTCAATGTTTTATTTGCTTGCAAAATAGGTCGTTCTCCGATCAGGATTTCGCCCAGCATGTTCGACAGACTGCAAGCTGCATCGCTCGTGGTGACAGAGGCTCAGAATGTGCAGCTAATTTGAGAGATTTATATCGTTATTTGGCCTGTAAGACTAAGCGGAGAAGGTAGGCATGAGTTTGCTGTGATATGGTTATGATTATTAGCAAATATGCAAAGTTGAAAAGACACTATTTTGTCTTTCCTTTTTGCAATACTGCATTGCTTTGATTGCACAATGTCGTATGATTTATCACATGATGTATGGTACCATGGTATGATATATGGTACCATGCCATCATTACATGATATACTAAAATGTAATGATATACTATACCGAACTAAATTTGCTGTAATCAATAATTATACCTAACGCAAAACTTTACCATAATTTATTATATACCATTCCATCATACTGTATCATACCATAGCTATACCATAACATGCTCCATGCCATATTCAAGTTTATCAGTGATATACTTAGATTGTATACCACACCATATTCTATATTATTGTATATCAGCATTACCATACTATATTCTATATTCATACTATTTGTCATACCATTGCACCACATTCCATAATACTACTCAATACCATATCACACAATACCATACCAAACCACACCATACCTACCATACCATACCTTACTTTACCATGCCATACTGCACCATACCATACTATACCATACCATGCCATACCATACCATATATACCATACCATACCATATATACCATACCATACCATATAATCCCATACCATATACCATCATATATATACACCATACTATATTTTAAACCATGGTATGCTCTACCACATACATTCTGTATCACATTAAATCATACCATACTGTACCATGGTATACCATACCACATTCTACTGTAAATGTATCATGTTATACCATTGCTACCATTTGTGCTGTTCTATGCTATCACATTGTTGTACCAAGCCAATATTTCATACCACACCATTCTATACCCTAGCCAAGCCCAAAACCTCATCTCCTGGGAAAGTCTCAATCCCAAGTACTGACATTCCTTCCTTGTCAGTTTTTCAGATGAACTATTAAAACAACTAAAAAGTATGATTGTTGAACCAGGAAAGAGTCCCAAAGCTCTGCGTCTTTTAGCAATGCTGATATTACGAGAACTATCACCTACGGTTGGTTATAGCATAAAGATATCCAGTCTGTCGGCTGATTTCAACTGGTTGCCTTTGGTCTTCCCACTGATTTTTGCTCAGGTCAGGTCCCATTAAATTCAGTCCAAAAAGAAATTAGTAAATATATGTTACTTTGGTACTTCTGTTAAAAAATCTATTGAATAAATTCCCATATCTTACTGTACTACAGGACCAACAAATGGGGTTTTTGGGAAGACTTTTTCGACCATTAGTCGACTTTCTTGAGTTCTCCGTCCCCCCACACCTTATCTGCACCCCTACCTGTGAGGCTGTTCCTATAGGTTAAACTTTAACATTGTGTTTTTCTATCTTAAAACAGGGTGAAGAGTTAGGCCATATTGCATCCCATGTCCCTATATTTATAAGGTGTGTTTATGATTTCACAACCTCTGAGTAAAGTTAAAATGTAATGATCCAATTTTGCCAGATCCAATTCACTTCTCATGTATGGAATGTAATCTCTTATCATAAAGTAGTAATGTGTTAGCTCTAGTTGATTTGCTGTCCATATACATTTTAAGTTGACACACTATAAAACATCAATCAGAAGTGAATTCTATCTGACAAAATTGGATTGTGTGAACAGACTTAAAATGTTCTCCAGCTACAACCAAAAACAAACCAACATTATAGGGCCTACCTTTTAGAATATGGTACACAGATATTGATGGGTTTATTTTTGTTGTAGATGGTTGAAAAGTTCACCAGGTTCAAATTCATACATTCAAAGAAAAGCTCTTCTGTGTTTGTATTCGATCCAGAACAATTACGGAGTTCATTTGTTGGGTGAAGGTACGCTTGCATTTGATGTATCTGCTATGAACTCTTGCAGACATCATTTTTTAGCTGTTTTTCTTGTTGTTAGATCAAGTGACAGCTGTCAATCAATTGATGCTGCAGTGGTTGACAAATACGAGCCTTTACTCCGCACCAAACCCGTACCAGCGCACGATCTTCAACAAATCAAAACAAAAGGTACAATTTTCAGGAATGGAGATTTCAAAACAACATCGGCTAGAGAAAAAAGCGAGATTGTTCTTCTAAAAGAACTCCTAAAACTATATTTAGAATAATTACAAAGGTGATTATTGACAATTCTGGTCTCTGATTGGTCGAGCGGATTATCACGTGATAATCACCAGATTTTTCAAAATGGCGGGAAATTGTTTATGAAAGCAGTGTCAAAGTGACAGACGAAGAAAGCCACTGAGAAAGCCGTTATTTTTGCGAAAATACTGAACCTTAAAGCACAATGAAGTGAGAAAATTAGACCTAATTCTAAAACTATTTTCAAGGTAAAAAACTACGTTGTAGAACGCTTTTCAACGTTATTTTGCGAAAACATTGTTTTTTAAATCGCCGTAAAACTGTCGAGTTATTTGTTTAGGTTTGTAAAACATGTATTTTCTACAACAGATTCGTTTTTGAAAAAATCACCTTTGTAATTATACTAAAACAATTATTCACATCAGGCTAGTTTTATCAATATTGCTGAATAAAAACCTCGACTTCAGCGATATTCACTTTGCCTTTGGCGAATAATTGTTACCTATAGCTATTTATTTTGTATCATATGCAATATTTTTCTTTTAGCTTCAAAGAATCACGGAGCTGGATGGAAGCGCTTGTCAAACTTTTTTTACAGTCCTGAATCTAGGTAAGTGGATAGCAAAGCTTAAATTGTTTTGAAAAAACCAAAGCCCATTGGGCATCGTCAGATTTTCAATAAAGGTATAATCTGTCGTTGTTCTGAAACCATTACTAGCATTAGTCTTTCACATTCATTGCCTTTCACCAACTTGTGCATATCTGTAGAGACGTACAGGCCATGTTGACGCAAGTTGTTAAAAACAGGAGTGAACAATGTTGTGCTGCACCCTGTGAACAGTATTATTAACAATGTTTCATCTGTGAACCTTGTCGAACCATCAATACTGTTGAAACTTTTTGCAAGAATTTGCAGCAACATTGACGATTCAACAAATGTCAAGGTTCAACAACATTGTTAATAATACTGTCATGGGGTGCAGCACATTATTGTTAAGTTCTCATCAAATTTTTGTAAAAGGATGTGCATATCACCGCTTCGGTGCTTGCTTGTGAATTTAACTGACAATGTCTGGAATAAAGACGAATTATCATCGACTCTGTTTTTACACTTTTGTGTTTTCTTGAATATTAAGAAAACAAGATGTTCCTTTATTTTATTTTGTATTTTTTCAGGAGGATTGGAGAATATTATGAAATATAATTGAAATATTAATAGACTAACTTCTACGTATGTTCATATAGTGATATAAAACTCTTTATTTTCAGCTCAGTACTGTTTTCCTGACCAATGGTTAAACATCTACACTTTCTCCATCCTTCGTCAATGGTTGCTAAACACATGGCGTTTCCAAGAATCCTTAGGAGAGTTCTCCGTGGACATCCCCCCTGAGGAACGAACGAGTGACTCTCCTTTCTCGACGACCGCTGGATCATCGTTCAGCGAGCCCGCTTTTCTCGACGACCGCATTCTCCGTACCCCGGGCGCAGATGAAATGTACGAGGAGATCTCAGACAAACATTCCTCTCCCAGCTTCAGCGAGATCACGCAAGCGTTCAGCGACAATAACAGTACGCCAATAAGAGAGGCCGATGATAACGTCAGCATCGGTAGCTATAGCAACCTGTCGAACATGAGACAAGTGTTTGGAAGTGAGTCCAGCTTCTTCACGGAAAGCAGTCAAGATGGCAGCCTTGCAAGAAAGGCGATGTCTTACTGTTACAGATTGCTACGTCAAAGTGAATGCAGTAAGTTAATGAAGTTGTTGATAGGATAAAAATGACAATTTTAGCGTGGTTAAAGATCCTACCTGCCCCCACCTTTCCCCCCCGCGACCGTACGCCTATGCTTACTTCCCCTTTTCCTCCCCCGACCGTACGCCTATGCTTACTTCCCCCTCCCCCCCGACCGTACGCTTATGCTTGCTCTAACCATGCCCATAGTAAGTATGACCTTTGCTTGTGAATGGAAAGGAATCTCGCCAGATCGCAAATACAATTTGATCAATATCCTGGAATTCTAGGAAAGCTTACCATCCATATCTCAGTATAGTACAAGAATTGTCCCACCTGTGAAATATGAACTTGTTAGTTCCACTCATTTACTCTCAAAACCTTTTATAGAACCATCAACCTCGCAAGACGCTACACTTGTTAGAGCGGTGAGTTTCCCATGATAAACGTCTACCATATTTCCATCTATTGAAGAAGACGTTTCTAGTAAGTGTATGAATCCTTTCAAGACGCGAAACTGTGTTTTCCATGAATTTCCAACGACTTTCTGAAGACAAAATTACATGAATTTAACGATACTCTTCAGCTCTTGTAGTTATTATTGAAAACTGATTACATTCTTCTTCTTTAGTGTATTATAGAAGCCGTATCTTTGATGGATTTTTGCTGTATACAAGAAACAGATTTAGCTCCCAAAGCGGTCCAGGCCGTACGGCGTGTGTACAGTGTAGTTAAGATGTGGTCTGTGCCAAAGACCGTCGTTTTGCCGCCCATAATCCTCTTCCTTGTCAATCATGGTGAGCAAAAACTCGTGGCTTTGAAAACATGTCGATTTTGCAAAGTTTTAATTACGTTTGCTCAAATTCCATTACCAGGTGAAGCTGTGATTCTTGACTCTGAGCCATATTTAAAGTTTCTCTTTGGTGAAGTGTTGTTCAGTAGTTTTACAAGGTTAGTTAAGTACGTTGCACGTGATTCCTAGCTGAATTAAAAACAGGAAAGGCCTGTTTCCCACATCAACCGTATCGTAGCGTAAGGTAGCGTATTTATTTGTTTCCGAAGTATTCGACCAGAGCTAATGACTTTCAAACAATGAGATAGGCTATATACGTTTCGCTTTGATATGGTTGAAATGGAAAACGGCCTTAATAGGGAAGGTAATCCTGACGAAGATCTCTAGGTCGAAAGGTCGAGAAGTGTTTTTGTCTATTTTAGACAGTTGTTTACCACATTTGTGTGTGACGCTATGCATAAACATATTGTTACCAAACTGCAATTTAAATTGTTCCTAAAATTTTTAACAAACTATTGTATTCTTTAGTCCCGAAGTTGCTTTCGAAATTCTGACTTTTTGCTATGAAAATATGGAGAAACTTCGACAGTCCACAAACGTTTTTACCCAATTTTTCCCGAATATATTCAAGGTGAGAAATTATCGGACCCTATTTGGTGAGTCCCTTGGACCTCGATACTTCTGTATATCGTAAATGAGAATTTTGCGTTTTAAACACACTCTAGATTCTAGCGTGGTTTCCGAGAACGTTCCTCAAAGAATTCATGGAACTATTACCAGCGATGATTTCTAGGAAAACGTATATCGAGGTGAGTGATGCATTGTGTGTTCGTGTTTCAACTACATACACAATTTTAATGCCCTCTGATATAGCAATGTACTATGCCTTGACCTAAGTTCTCTAATTTTAAAGATTTTTCACTTTCTACTGGACTTACCGTGCCTTTCTGCCGCTCTTGAAACTATGAAGCAAGCTCTAAAACGTAAGCTTATCAAACTAGCTTTATTTATACTGGATAGCTCTATCAGTTCTAAACTGTTCTTCCTAGAGGTCCAGTAAGGATCATCTCTTATTGATCCAGTGTTACTACAGGAGGAAACCTAAACTAAACTAACTTTATTTATACTGTATAGCTCTATCAGTTCTAAACTGTTCTTTTTAGAGATCCAGTAAGGATCATCTGTTATTGATCCAGTGTTACTACAGGAGGAAACCTAAACTAAACTAACTTTATTTATACTGGATAGTTCTATCAGTTCTAAACTGTTCTTCCTAGAGAACCAGTAAGGATCATCTCTCATTGATCCAGTGTTACTACAGGAGGAAACCTAAACTAAATTATTTTTATGCTTATCTAAAACATATATTTGGATCTTTAAGGAAATTCAACAGAGTCGTCGACCGTGTTCCGAAAATCTGTCGAGGCTTACGAAAACGTTAAATATAAACCATTATTCACATTTATTTTGAGGCAAGAAAGTGGGATTGCTGATACAATTGACAAGTAAGCTGAGTCGCGGAAATCACGGCCTGTGTTCTTTGGTAGAAGAAGATGAGCGGATTATGTTTATGAGCCTGCTTTTCGTTTGTAGGTTGGATGTTCTTCATTCTGTATTTGAAGATTTTGCTGAACATCCCAGAGTGTTAGTCTCTTCTGAAGTGTCGTGGTTGATGCTAAGGTAACCATACACCCAGTATCAGCCATTGCAACTGTACCATTAGACCAGAATGTACCATACTAGCTATAAAGATAACAAACTGTACGACATTGTAATACACCATACCAAATTGTACCACATTATAGCTTACCCGCCATAGCAATACCACCACACCATACAACGCTTACCATAGCAATAACAAATCATAACACATTGTCGCCTATCATATCATACCATCATAGCAATAACAAACTAAACAACATTGCCCCACACCATACCGGATTGTACCACATCATACCATACTAGCCGTAGTAATACCATGCTATACCATATTGTACGGCATCATAACTACTAGTAATAGCAATACCACACCATATCGTATTGTACCACATCATACCATACTAGCCGTAGCAATACCACACCATACCGTATTGTACCACATCATACCATACTAGCCATAACAATACCACACCATACCGTATTGTACCACATCATACCGTATTGTACCACATCATACCATACTAGCCATAACAATACCACACCATACCGTATTGTACCACATCATACCATACTAGCCATAACAATACCACACCATACCGTATTGTACGACATCATACCATACTAGCGGTAGTAATACCATCCCAAACCATATTGTACCAAATCATACCATACTAGTCATAGCAATACCATAACACTGACCACACCATAACACACTGTACCTGTACTACCATAACACATTTTATTACCTAACCTAATTTTCATCCCATTGCATTCAGGGTCTATTTCAAAACAATTTTAAAAAAAGGAGATGCTGATGTTATCAGAAAACTCTTTCCCGTTTTGCTTGAGCGAATCATCTGTATTATAAACATTGAAAGCTTCAAGAAGAATATTCAGAGGTAAATAAAGATATATCATTTGGTGTCAATAAAAATGATGTCAAAGCTGTATACCACCGTCCATATTATGATGATATTTCTCTCTAGTTTGTTAGCGACAGAGCTACTGACCATCTTCAAACTCTATCCGAGCTTGGTTCTTGAACATTCTAATGAAATCATAGAGTTCGTACATCGTATGAAATCTTTGGATGAAGGATTCGAACAGTTTTTTACTAATTTGGTAAGATTTAATGCTCGACTATTGCAGCATTTTTCAACCAAACTTTGCAGTTGAATTTGTTGGATTTCATTCTTATCCCGTTCAAAAATTTTAGTCTATAGGCATAGAGAGAAAAACTATATACATATGAAGGCCCGTTCAAACGATCCAACTTTGTTGGATTCATTTCACTTCTGAGGTATGGAATGTAGTTTGTTATTGATAAAGCAGTACTGCATCGGCTTTAGTTGATTTGCTGCTCATTCACACTGCAAGTCAACAGACATCCATCAGAAGTGAATTGGATCCGACAAAATTGGATCAAAATTGGAACAGACCTTAAGAAGACAACTGAAAGTTGATAGCACTTCAATGCTCTGAGAAAAGTTCTTTCATCGTCGAAACTGGTTTCCATTTTGTAGGTTTGGGTCATCGGCGAGTACGCTTCAAGTAAATATAACGAAAAATGTGGCAACCAACATATTATCAAGTTTCATGAGGTCGGAAGGATGTGCTGTACCAAGAATTGCTTTGTAAATTTGGGCTTTGAAAATCGAAAGTTCACCAAGCATCTTTTCTACCAATTTTAGGCAATTGAATCCGTGACCTACGAATTGGCATTGGCCATGACCCCCGAGGGTATCGATGTAAGTATACCGGATCTGTAAGCGATTGAAGGATGATTTCAACTGTAAACTAAAAATTTTTCAGGCAGGAAGAAAAAATGCAACGAATGTGTTTGTATCACGTGAGGTCAAAATAACTACTTTCGGCCAAAATGAGTAATTTTCAGCGCGTTATATAAGAATATATAAAATTGCATGCAAACTTTGCCGTGTAATATTTTCCAATTTTACAACATTTTCGCAACCAAGCATTGCAGTTTTATTTATAATTACCTTTGTGGCTGTGATGATTTCGTCCTTTTTTGTTTAAATCGAAATCAAACTTATATCATGAATGCATCCATCAAGTCATCTATGAATGTTGCTAAAAACTTGATGAATGATTCTTTTCAATTTCAGGCAATCTGCAGTTCTCGTCTGGTTTGTGTTTTGATGTCAACATTGGCCAAAGTAAGTTGAATTTTATTATTTCAAAATACAGGAAAATGTAATTGCACGTATGCGAGTTTTCCCTTTATCCTATTGTCTTTAACACCAAGCCTCATTTTGGTTAAATGATTTTTCTTCGCGTAATACAAAATATCAAAACTTTACAGTGTTGGATTTCGTTCATGCTCATGGTCATGCATTAGTTACTGTAGAATCACCTATTAATTTTATTCTCTTTTAGCTTGCTTCAAGATGTCAAGATCTTATTCCCAAAGTTATTTTATGCATTAACAAGGTTTCCAAACTTAGATCGGTGAGAAATTGTTCCAAATTATTTATTGGGCATTCTATAGTAATTAATGATTTTCCAATGTTCTTAATGAACTTTTAATTAATGTTCTAATCACCTTCTAATTACTTCTATTAGGAGTTATGTGTCGATCAGGTGGAAAGAGAAAATTTGCTTATTCGAGCAAGTGAACTTATAAGTTTGCTCAAATTACCGAAGTGAGTTTAAGCTCTTTAAGAGAGATTGGGGTTGGGATTAGTTTTAGGATTAGGTTTGGGATTAAGATTAACTCTGGTATTAAGTTCAGTTTGTTAATGTGGAAATTGACATGCAATCTTTTGCTTTCGTTATATAGTATAGCCCCGTTGATCTTAACCCCTGAGCCATCGCTTAAGGAAGGAAGGTAAACACATTTTCATTTGAATACAATATTTTTAGAATCGAAGTAAAATACAAATTGATTACATGGCAGATTAATTGGACTACGAATTTTTTAGAGTACAAGTTAATCAAAATATAAATTAATTAGAGTACAAATTAAATTAGAATACAAGTTAATTGAGATATTAGTGAATTATATAGTACATCTTAATGAAATACAAATTAAATATCGAATGTTTCCTATCTTTCAGATTTCATCGCGACCGCCATATTTCAATGTCGTTTCTGATGGACACAACTAAAGATATGTTGTTTTCACAATAAGGTAAGATCTTTCGTAGTCATTTATTAAACTATATCGTCCAAAAATGTTTACATTTTCAACCTTCTACCCAGTTTTTCAGCTGAATTAGGAAAAATTTATGAAACATATGGCGACGATTGTATAGCTAACTAAAACATTCAGAGATTTTGTCGAGTACCATTAGTGAATTTCACTAATGAAATTTTCATGATATTTGACGTTCAATAGCCACTGGCAACTTGTCAATGCTGCTATTGTATATAAATTTATATATAATACAAAGTTAAATTTTACAATCGCGATATATCTACCTATCTTGAACATACTTCAAACATGCATTTAGGCTTTTAAAAGTTTAAAACACAATTCAAGAGACTAAGGCATTACTAAGGGCTATTTACATGAGCCGGTATTAAACCAAAGCTCAAGTGGGATTATAAATGAACATTGGCAGTGCAGTATATATTATTATATTTTCCCTTCTTTTAAATGAAATAATTCTTAAAAGTACTTAATAGTCTGTCATACACAGCCAATGTTTTTCAGTCAAAGTGTAAATATATAAAATGCGAAATATTGTTGAAAAATTTTAAAGGTTTGTACTAGTTTGAAAAAGTTAATCCATTTATAAGACTCAGACCCTAGTTCCATGTGAATCCAGTGGACTTAATCTTATTTTTAACTCGATGTGATTCAGAGGTTCCCAGTCCCTGATGAGGCAGGTCGGGCCTGTGAAGTGGATGAGTGATTTTTTTGTGGCTTGGAAACGACTCTATGAGGACGGCTGCGGATAAGAAGAACAAGTAGGATGTCATCATCGCCGCCCCCAGTTTCCTATCCAGACGCCATTCGTTGTAATACAGAATGGCCAATGCCAGGGCCACCGTTCCGAATAATGTCATTGAGACGTAAACAATGTTACCGCCCTGGATCAAGACTTGGGAGTTAGGATGAACTATTGTTGTCGATAACAGCCAAGGAATGCTGAGGCATAACATGTCAAATATATTGCTACCTATCGCGTTCGCTAGTGCCATGTCCCCCAAACCTTGCTCGGCCATGACTAAGCTCGCAATTGCATCTGGGATACTGCTGCCCGCAGCGAGTAGGGTTAAACCCATGATGCATTCTGGGATGCCTATTGTCACACCGATGACGCTGACCGCCCAAACCAGTACATACGAATGAAGACCCATCCAAACGATTGACATCACAAACGTCACTATGTACCAGGACTCCCAGCTTGCCACTCGGCAATCGGGTATTGTAATATAGTAGAGAAAACGTATTGGGAACATTATTGCAAAGCGTACTGCTTCCCATCGTCCAGAAGGAAATGCCAAGGCATTAAATGGTTCATCGTCGTATTTCGTATGCGGTAGCGTGTCGTCGGTATCGGAATATACCGAATGTACGTCGCTCATTCTATCATCGTAACCTTCCGTCATGGCTTCGTCAAGATTTGAAGCATGCAAAAGACTGGATGATATTGGAATATCGTTTGATGTATGGCTGGTCGTAGCATCGGTGCCCGCTATCTCCTCGGGCAATGCAGGTTGCTCGTTAGGCATTGTGGAGTGATTATCGGGCTGGCTTGAAAGTTCAGGCGACGCAGCCCGCTTTTCAGGCAGTGCACCTTGGTCGGTATCTTCAGGCGGTTCTGTAACCTCTATGTCTGGATTCCCATTGATCGTGGGTGAATTTGCGTGAGTTTTGGTGGGAGATTTGGAGGAGCTTTTCACGGGGGATCTAGAATGACTTTTAGCAGGGGACCTTCCTGGGGTCCCGGACCTTGTTTGGTGGAAGTGGGCCCTCGCCCACCTGTTAAAATGATGTTCTAAAGATGAGTTATAATACATGATAATGACGTATACTCCATATAAGGAGGAGACAATGCACGCCTCGTACCAGTAGATCATTCCGTCAAACATTGTGAGAAGAAGAATTATCAGATATATGACGTAACAAAACGAGTCCCGGATGATGGAGTACGGCTTGAGGTTAATTGCAACACTTGTTGCCAAGCCACAGACCCCTGTGATAAATAGAATATTGAACATCGTTGATCCTATGATCGTTCCAAGGCCTATATCCCCCTCGTCCAGAATGACTGACGTCACTGAGATGAACATCGTCGGCATGGAGCTTCCGGCTGCCATGAAAGTTGCTCCGGCCACATCTGGGTGGATGTTTAATCTGGAAAATAAAATCGCATGTAACCGTTATTCACTTGATCAAACTTGACATATTAAAATCGTCTGAACCTAAATCGTTTAAATTGCTTTTCTCGAAGCATTATTTTAGGCTCTTATGATGAAATGGCCAAATTTGCTTTAAAAATGTTACAAATCAGGAACAGAACCTTTGCAGACTTTTGAAATCTTTTTTACATTTTAAAGGCGCGAAAATTGTGAGTACATTTGGGCCGAAAATTGCATTGTTTGTTGTTTGAATTACCTCTTGCAAATCTTGTTCAACGCAGCACAGAAATAATCATCGCACAGAATAGCGAGAGCAGCGAATGCATAGAGGCAGATGAGAAGGTGAATAATGACAGCACCATGCCTTCTCTCGTCCAACGAGAACATAATCTCATAATGAAGAAGCTCAAAGACTTGGCTGGAAATATTCGTGTACGTCAAAGCTGGACCATCGTACGATCCGTCTATATCCCCGTATTCTTCGTCCATTTTGATCGCTTTGTTGACAAACTATTCCCTGTTTTACCGTCAAACACCAAACGACCACGTTGTATAAACAACCTTCTTATTAGATTTTGTCTTCCTTCATCTTCTGTCGTGTTGTTTCAGATGAAACGGTTAAAGCAATCCCAACTGGTCTCGTAATAAGCTACACACGACAATTCTTGTCGGAATGTACGGCATTTGATCTTATACAAAACAGTACAAAACTCGCGCGAGAGTTGTACTTTTGGAGGAGGACTGTAGGATATGCTTTGGATCAAGTTTTCCTTCAACTCCAATTGTAGCCAACTTTTGTCACTTTCTTTGATGGATTTTATCGTTGTTTAATGTCGCCTCCAGATGATCTAATTTCAATAATCGAGTAATTTAGTAAACGTTTTAACAAACAAATGTGTTAGGATAATTCTACATAAGTGCAATATTATTTATCAAAGATTTTATTTACCTCAACTACCTGTCAGTGTGGGATTGCCACCTGTACATCAGACCGAGAGGAACACATGGTCGCTCCTGATTTTTAATACCAGTAAGTGTTTAGCGCACAATTTATCGGATATAATTGCATTCCTTGCTTGTTTAAAAACATCCGCGAATTTTGTAAAGATGGCAACAATGTCGGTCGAAAAAAAGTATTTCAGTTTTGCGAATTTTAATCGATTGCGATAGCAACGTTTGTATCTTTAGCATATCTTAAATTGATAGGGATGATTAGCAAACTTTTGATGAACTTTTTATGTGTGCAATGTAAGTTTTTCTAGTTAAAATAGATGGAATTTTCTTTCTGCAAAAAAATGTTAATATCGACAAGTTGCTATGTTTTCGCTTAAAATGGGACGATTATGAAAAACGAAATTCTTCAAAAGGTAGCCGGTCAATTGATATTTATTGTGATATATAAACAAACATTTATTGTGACTGTTAAACAAACATTATAAAATAGCTTTTTAATTGATTTAAATTCGCAAAAAATAATTACGGCGAATTGATGTCAACATATATTTGCATCAGACTGATCAGAGAGCTTTACTGTATCAAATTTTTAAATTTTTTTTATTTATATTACAAACTGTTTGATTATAAGGTAGCTATCTTGATTTATATAAAGCTTATAAAAAGCCTACATTATGGCGACATCATACTATTTTACGGACAAAGAGTGATCCTGATTGGCACACACGGGCAGCCAATCAGGAACACGTACCCTTTGTGCACAAATACATCACAGCTTAGAATTTACATCAAGGTCTAATGTGGAAGTCCCTGTCTTGTTTCCATTAGATTTTATCATTTAGAAGTCTAGTAACTGCAAATGAAAAAAAAAGCGATTTTCATTTACCATAAAAAAATTAAACCTGTATTCTTGATGGTGTAAGTTACATTACTAAACTCTACATTATTCACTGTAAGTCCATACCAATTGTGGTAATATTTTTTCCAAATGTTCAATCTCAACTGTAATTGCAGATTCTGTCTATAAGGATCAAATCATATGTCAGCACTTGTTGGTTTTGTTTACATTACCAAAAATTATTATTATTATTATTATTTGCCGGGCTAGCCTGGCGTGTTTCCTATATTATCTCAAGCAATTTTTGACGTTTCATTTACATGCGAACTTTCAGCCCAGCTTATGCTATATGCCAGTTATGTCAACCCGGCTAGCCCATCTTGCCGGGCTGAAAGTTTGCATGTAATCATTTCAGCCCGGTTTGCCAGGCTGGGAATTCGTCAACGCATGCACAGTGTTACACAAATGCATAAACAACAATGGCTTCTGCATTTGCTAAATTTTTTTCATTTGCTAAATATCAGCCTGGCAAAAATTACTCATATAATCATTTGCTAAATTTCAGCCCGGCAAAGCTAGCGGGCCAGCCCGGTTAACCCGGCTAGCCCAGTCGATGTAATCGGCCCCTAAGACTATCACATTGTACCTTAGCTTGATGGCCAGCCCTTGCAGCTCCCTCTAAAAACAAGTTGGTAAAGTTATATTAATTTAATAAGTCTATAAGATACTATTTCATAAATAGCTGTAAATAAAAACACTGCAATTGGCTACGCGAGAGTTTACAAAGTCTTCAAATACCTGCAACAAAAACTCGCAGGAATTCCGCCATTAATTTTGCAGAGTCGTTACTAACTGTAAAAGCACAAAATGAACGTCAGTGTTTTTGCGTCAAAATTATTAATCCAGATCTAAACATAACATAATTACATAAATCGACTAACGTTTGGTCTTTTCGTCTGTAAAATGTTCTTGAAGGAGCTTGCTCGCTGTCTCCTGTCGTGTAAGAAAACGTAAATTATTATTGTAACTTCAGAAAAATAAAGCCAGATATTAACTCTTTTACTGACAAATATTTAAAAACTGCGCGGGAAAATTTCGTGCGAAGTTTTAAATTTTTCACTTTTCGACATTTGCTACAGTGATATGTAGTTTCTACATAAAAATATCTGCCATTGTTGTGTCAAATACGTACAGTTTTAAAGAAAATCCTTTCATCCATAATCTTTATTTTTTAGAAAGGATAAAACAATTGAATGTTTATGTTTTCGATTTGCCCGCCATCTTGGGACGTGTGAGATACGTCATGTAATTTCGTTATACCCGGTTCTCTAATAAGACGTCCTTCAAGCCTAGAGTAAAAATTATTCTGATTTCTGACCTAAAACATTAGGTCTCCATTGTGTTAGCGCGTTACTAACTGAGCAAGCTGGAAAATTAGGTTGACCACGATGGGAATCGAATCGGGGTTAGTATATATTATTATTTCACCATTGTTCAAACTTTGACACTTGGATAATCCCCTTTGATGGGTAAAAAAGAGTATATAATGACCTGTAACTTTTCACGTGTTAAGATAATGCAATATTGCTTGCTGTAGTCATACACCATGGAATGCCCATTTGACGGGTTCAAAAAAAGCATCAAAAGGTGAGTTGATGTAGTTTAACTAGCTGTTTGAAAGTAAAGTTGAGACCATGGTGGTTAGTTTTATAAAATTGAAGATGTTTTTTGGTCCGTTGCACAAAAAAGAACATACAATACATTGACATTTTAAACTTTTGTCTTCTTAGCCCATGCAAGTGAACCATTCTGGAGGTTTGTAAAAATTGGCTGTCCTTATATGCTAAGAAAACGAGTTGGCGTTATTTAAAGTGTGAAGTGCGCAAAACTATTGACGTGCGCGCGTAGTCAACGCATGATTTCCAATTTTCCCACAATCATTGAATATCCGCAAACCACGGTACAAACAAAAGCGTCTATATAAGATTGTGCTGAGAAGTGGGAAAATTTGCCCGAATAAATTAGGACTCTGATAGATAGAGCTGGTACCCAGCATAAGATACACATGGTTGGTTGGGGGCCTTATTCGGGGGTGTATCATGTTGCAGGGGTGCCCCCCTCTTCCTCCCCTTCCCGTAGATTAGTGCTGTGGTAGATTTCATTTTACAGGGTTTTTTTTCATTTTAGATTTATCTTCTCAGCCATGCAGTTATCAAGACGAACGTGAAGATGAAAGACAATTTTTTTTACCAGTTTTAAAGTCACTGTATTCATCATAACGTAAGTTTTACTATGGTTTTACCCCTATAAGGCTTACCCCTTACCATTTTGGTCAATTTTCACGACTTTTTTAACCGTTCAAAAACTGTCTTAAAATGCTAAAAATGGCCTTCTAAGACTAATATCTTTTATTTTAGAGCATATTTGGTTGATTTTTGGAACGATTGAAAAAGTCGTCAAAATTGACCAAAATGGTAAGGGGTAAGTAAGCCTTACCATTTTGATCAATTTTGACGAATATGGAGTCCTAATCATTTTGTTCTATTATTGCTAGCCAAGGAACTGCCAACGATGTCATTTATTGTTATCAGTTAACTGGACTTTGTGAGAGTTTTCTTGCAAAATGTTTGCCAAAGTAATTATTATAATAGATCATAAAGGCCTTTTAATGTTTCTCATGGTATACTGATCTTTGTTGTTTTCTGTGATTAAGTGATGTTTTTCTTCATGTTGTTTATCACTGAAGCTAAAGAATTGAGATACAACAATCTTTGACTGACTTTAGGTGTAAGACGTTCGCCCAGCTATTGTAGACCGCATGGAATCGATTCAAGTCCTTTAAAAATTTGTGAATCAAGATGAGAAAGAACTTAGTGAATCTGTAATTGCTGCTATGTGTTTTGGCTAAAATATAAAAAAAACTGTTGTATGTCTCCAAAACAAAGGAGCTTATATTTATGATACCAAAAAGTACAGGATTGTTTGACATCAGAAATACAAAGAATTCGGCACACAGCGACAATTCACCTTTTAAAACGAAACCAAAAAACTAGAAGCAAAAAACAAATTGTGCTTCAAAACAAAACTAGAATGCACTGCTTTTAAAATGTTGAAATATAGGAAAGGACAACTTTTTTCTAGGCGTTTAGTGTTCGTTTATAGTAACATCGCTCACGATGATGTTCGGAGTTGATCGGCATGTTGTCGAACATTATCATACCACGTGATCTGCTAAGATCACATGGTAATTATTGCCTATAAAAATAATCTCAACGTTAAAAAAAAATTTCTTTAGATTGGTGGCGATCGAAGGTGGACAGCAAGATCGAAGCTCAGCAAGATTGAAGATTGTTCGAGGAAGAAGGAGTTCGCCGTTGACTAAAAGGTGGGTTCCGGCGATTATATGCGTAATCTGCGGTTACTTTGTCCGACCCCAGTAGGGGGACCGTTTGCCTAGAGCGTTTTGGTCCCCCGCACGCTGCTAGTTTCCACTTGTAGGCCTTTACACTAATCTACGGGAAGGCCGTAGGCCTTCCTTAAGGAGTACAGTGTAGCTGAGCCGACCCTTTTTTTCGTTGTATATAGGTTTATCTGAACAGCTATTTGTCAAGATGAACGTGAAGAGAAAAAAGATGAGAATAGACGACTCGCCCGGCCAAATTCAAAATGGCGATGCCAAAGAAAACCATCCATGTGGACCGTTCGCGGACCTTTCTGAGCAAGATTGTTGTGCTGTCTGGTCAAAGTTAAGTATTTTACTTTGATGTTTGTGTGTCTTCTGCTAATTGTTGGCCAGAAATAACAAAAAACCATGTACAATATGAAATGTTCTGCGTACAAGGTTATCTAAAGTTTCGAGCTTAATTCTGCCTGCAATGATGAAAATTTTTTACTGAAAATTTATGTCATAAGCATTTTCCGCACCCATAGACTGAAGCAGAACTGAACATTTTGTCATTAACGTTTATCTCAACAGCCAGTTATCAAGACGAACGTCAAGAGAACAGTTGAAATAGAAATCAGTTCAAGACTCGCCCGGCCAAATTCAAAATGGCGATGCCGAAGAAACTATCCACGTGGACCGTTCGCGGACCTTTCTGAGCAAGATTGTTGTGCTGTCTGGTCAAAGTTAAGTATTTTACTTTACTGTTTGTGTGCCTTCTGCTAGAACTAGACAATAATTAAGATAGTTGAAAATGCAATTTTATATTAATAATGTTTTCTTATATTCAAGATTTTCCTTGGTCAAGAGTGCAACATATGAGCTGTGGATATGAAATTTACTGTCAGATGAACATTGAAGTGAACAAGATTTCTGCGCAAAGGTAATTCGATTGTTTCTTCAAAATTTATATTAGCCTTGCAGCTGAAATTCTTGTCACTACCTTGTAATACATATCAACTGCCCGGGTATATATTTTGTTATTTCAGTAGTATAAGAGGGAATTTGCTGCAACTAGGATCTTTTTCATGAAAATCGTCAGTGCGGTCACAATTTGGTTAAGATTACTAAGTGAACTTTGCTTCTATACTCACTATGTGTCACCAGTAATAAATTCCTGTGGTGGTCTTGAAATAAATATAGCAACCATAGTTATATATAGAGGGATGAAGTAACCATAGATTACCTGACCAAAAACTAGACAATAATTAAGATAGTTGAAAATGGAATTTTATATTAATAATGTCTTCTTATATTCAAGATTTTTCTTGGTCAAGAGTGCAACATGAACTGTGGATATGAACTTTACTGTCAGATGAACATTGAAAGTGAACAAGATTTCTGCACAGAGGTAATTAGATTGTTCCTTCAAAATTTATATTAGCCTTGAAGCTGAAATTCATGTAGTGACTTTGTAATACATATCAACTGCCCGGATATATATTTTGTTATTTATTATAAGGGGGAATTTGCTGCAACTAGGATCTTTTTTTGGAAAATCGTCAGGCAGTCACAAATTTTAAGGTTATTAAGTGAACTTTGCTTCTATACTCACTATGTGTCACCAGTAATAAATTCCTGTGCTGATCTTTGAATAAATATAGCAACCATAGTTATATATAGAGGGATGATCGAGTAACCATAGAATACCTGACGAAAAACTAGACAATAATTAAGATAGTTGAAAATGGAAGATTGTTGCTTCAAAATTTATATTAGCCTTGCAGCTGAAATTCTTGTAGCGACCTTGTAATACATATCAACTGCCCAGATATATATTTTGTTATTTAGTATAAGGGGGAATTTGCTGCAACTAGGATCTTTTTTTGGAAAATCGTCAGGCAGTCACAAATTTTGTTAAGATTACTAAATGAACTTTGCTTCTATACTCATTATGTGTCACCAGTAATAAATTCCTGTGCTGGTCTTTGAATAAATATAGCAACCATAGTTATATATAGAGGGATGATCGAGTAACCATAGAATACCTGACGAAAAACTAGACAATAATTAAGATAGTTGAAAATGGAATTTTGTATTAATAATGTCTTCTTTATATATTCAAGATTTTTCCTGGTCAAGAGTGCAACAAGAGCTGTGGATATATGACGTTTACTGTCAGATGTACATTGATTGGAAAGTGAACAAGATATCTGCACTGAGGTAATTTGATTTTGTCATGGATGGTCAGCGTTTGATTTTAAAAAGCCACTACATTCTTGAGATGATAACTATGAAATTGAAATTTGCTTCTATGGTCACCATGTGTGAAACCAATGATGAAACTTAATGCTATAACTGCTGAACCAGTCTGACTGATTACTAAAACTCCTGTGGTGGTCTTACAATAAATATCCATGAAAAAGACCAGCAATTGCTATTTTAAACTTGGGAGAAATTTTTCTGATTTCCATGTGATTTATATTCTGTAGTACTCAGAAGGGTGATACCTTTGATATTTCTGTGTTCAAATTAAATAGTGACATACGTCTGGGTTGAATATATGCATGTGACACATTCTTTTTATTGAAAATGGCAAAAATATAATTGGCATAAAACAGAATGCATTCATGAATGTATTGTCTATCCATGAAAGATGACTAAAGTAAGATAATGAGTAATATCTTTCAATAATGATGTCAGGTTGAAAATACAAACTTTGCTGCCACTTTTTGCCGAAAAGGATTGATGAAATTCTTTTTCTCTTTAGAATGAATGAAGTTGAAGAAAGTTGAAAGGCACCCCTGAAGAACCTGAATTATTTAAGCCCTATCCTAGATTCATTAATTAATCATCAATTATTGGGCGAGGTTGAGCAAAATATCGTGATTTGTCGGTGGCGAGCAGATCAATTATTTGGCCTTCATTTACCACTCAATTTTAAATTTTGAGTTCGTTTTATCAAACAGTTCGGCAAAGCAAGTCGCCATTGTTTATAAAATTGACATTAATGCGCATGCTCAGAGTATTATTTGCATAATGCGCATGCTCAGAGTATTATTTGCAGCTGAGTATTATTTGCACGCAGTTAACTTCAGGTAAATTAACCAATCAAAATTGAGAATACTATAAAGTGAATGATAATATATTTTAGTGTGTGATGACATGTGTGAAATGTGATCATGTGACAATTTTCAAAACTTGGATTTATAAAGAGAAATTTTTCTTTGTAAAGTTTAAGAAGTAAATCTTTTTTGTCTGGTGGTGTTAGTGTTTTGATTTTGCATGTTTTTCCGTGTGCTTTCACAATTGAAAAGATTTTGGCAGTTGCTTCTAAATGTTTTTTGAAAAGTTTAAGAAGAAACTTGATTTTTGTCTTGTGGTGTTTGTTGTTTCGATTTTGCATGTTTTTCCGTGTGCTTTCACAATTGAAAAGATTTTGGCAGTTGCTTCTAAATGTTTTTTGAAAAGTTTAAGAAGAAACTTGATTTTTGTCTTGTGGTGTTTGTTGTTTCGATTTTGCATGTTTTTCCGTGTGCTTTCACAATTGAAAAGATTTTGGCTTTTTCTTATACTTCTTTTCTCTTTAATTTCTTCTTAGTATAGTTTTTTTTCTAAATATATTTTCTCTTATTATTTTTTTGATGAAATTCTTTTTTTTATTTTAGTGTTGAAGAAAGTTGAAAGGCACCCAGATTCATTAGTTAATATATTTCAGTGTGAAATGTGATGAATTATGTGACAATTTTCAAAACTTGGATTTATAAAGAGAACTTTTTTCTTTGTAAAGTTTAAGAAGTAAACCTTTTTCGTCTGATGGTGTTAGTGTTTTTATTTTGCAAGTTCTTCTGTATGACTTGACAATTCTAAATTAAACCTATTAGTATTTTTTCTAAGTTAAACCTGTTAGTATTATCTTCTATTTCTCTAGTTTTTTTCTTATTAATTAATATATTTTAGTGTGAAATGTGATGAATTATGTGACAATTTTCAAAACTTGGATTTATAAAGAGAACTTTTTTCTTTGTAAAGTTTAAGAAGTAAACCTTTTTCGTCTGGTGGTGTTAGTGTTTTTATTTTGCAACTTCTTCTGTGTGACTGGACAATTTTTTCTATTTCTCTAGTTTTTTTTCTATTTTCCTAGTTAGTTTTTTTCTCTAGTTTTTTTCTCAAGTTTTTTTTTTCTTCTATCTATTTTCTCTAGTTTCTTCTATTTCTCTAGTTTTTTTTTTCTAGTTTTTTTTCTATTTCTCTAGTTTTTCTATTTTCCTAGTTAGTTTTTTCTCTAGTTTTTTAGGGGTTTTTTTCAAGTTTTTTTTTCTTCTATCTATTTTCTCTAGTTTCTTCTATTTCTCTAGGTTTTTTTTTCTAGTTTTTCTTCTATTTCTCTAGTTTTTTTTCTATTTTTCTAGTAAGTTTTTTTCTCTAGTTTTTTTTTTCTCTAGTTTTTTTTCTCTAGTTTTTAATAGAAAAAAAAACTAGAGAAATAGAATAAAAACTAGAAAAAAAACTAGAAAAAAAAACTAGAGAAATAGATAGAAGAATTTCTCTAGTTAGTCAAGCCCTTGCATTGTCTTTCTTTTTTTTAAACTTACAATTTTTTTCAACTTTCCAACTTTCAAATCTTGTTTTGAAACTTCGAATTCTTTTTTTCATTTTTATTTGAAATTCTGAATTTTTTTGATTGTCCAATTTCTTTTTACTTAGAATTTTTTTTTTCGAAACTTCCTTTTTTTTTGAGACTTCCAACTATCCCTTGTTATTTACCAATTTTTGTCAATGATCAATTTTTCTTCGGAACTTATGTTTTTGACACTGCAAGGGCTTGAACCCACCACCGCTTTTATGGACTAACCACTGTCCTAACCAACTCGGCCACTGCCGCCGGTGGTGGAAGACGACTGTTTTTTATTTTACTTAATCCTTTCTTCGACTTAAGACTTTTTAAATTTTCCAAGTCTTTGAAACTCATGTTTTGGCATTGCAAGGGCTTGAACCACTACCGCTTATGGAATAACTACTGTCCTAACCTACTCGGCCACCGCTGCTTGTGGTGAAGGATACAAGTTTTTTATTTGATTTAATCCTTTTTTGGAGACTTTGAAATTAAATAAGAAATCGCAACTCATGTTTTGACACTGCAAGGGTTTGAACCACCACCGCTTATGGACTACTGGCCTAACCCACTCGGCCACCGCTGCTTGTGGTGAAAGGCGCAACTTTTTTATTTCATTTAATCCTTTCTTTGGAGACTTTAAGACACTTTTTGAACAGTTGAAAAAGTCGTCAAAATTGACCAAAATGGTAAGAGGTAAGCCTTTTCAATGTTCAAAAAACTAACCAAATATGCCCTAAAATGAAAGATATTAATCTTAGGAAGCCATTTTCAGCATTTTAAGACAGTTTTTGAAAAGTTCAAAAAGTCGTCAAAATTGGCCAAAATGGTAAGGGGTAAGCCTTACCATTTTTGGTTAATTTTGACGACTTTTTCAATGTTTCAAAAACCAATCAAATATGCTCTAAAATGAAAGATATTAGTCTTAGAAGCCATTTTTAGCATTTTAAGACCGTTTTTGAACAGTTGAAAAAGTCATAAAAATTGACCAAAATGGTAAGGGGTAAGCCTTACTATTTTGGTCAATTTTGACGACTTTTTCAACTGTTATAAAACTATCTCAAAACGCTCTAAAATGAAAGATATTAGTCTTAGGAAGCAATTTTTAGCATTTTAAGACACTTTTTGAACAGTTGAAAAAGTCGTGAAAATTGACCAAAATGGTAAGGGGTAAACAAAAGTCTGGACAAATCATAGACAAGAATGGCAGGGACACCACAACAGTGAAAACCAATTATTGTGGGCCCTTGAAATATGCATCATATGCGTATATAATAAAAGATAGTACACGTGTATGCACGCCGCATGCCTGCAAATTTCAAATTAGTATGATAAAATAAGGTTGCCATTGATTTGAACCATAGTCTCTCAAGTCATGTCATAATGAAAAATATTCTTCTGAGGATTTAAACCACCCAGCAACTAAAAAGTTGCGAGACCATTATCTTCACCACTAGACTAACAGATTTTCTAATTCACAGCACACACAGGTTTTTCTACCTTCTCATAGGCGGCCTAAAATTGCGCGATATTTTTTCGCGCGAAAAATTTTTCGGCAATTTGTCAGTGTAATGTATAATATATAATTGCCTATGATCTTCCTTGAATTTTTTCTTTCCCGTCATGATGAAAACATTTTTCGTGCAAAAAACATTTCTTAAACTTTTTCCATCAACTTGCCAGTATAATGGACAGTGTTGTCTTTTTTAATTAAATATATTTTTCAAAGTCATTATGAAAAATGACATTCGTCCAAGGAATCAATCCAATGTGTTTTTTAAAAACTGATCACGTATGAAGATTAATTAGCTTAGTGAATTTTAAAAACCAAATTAATAATTAAAAAGTTGGTATATACATATATATGTCTAAAAATATTATATAAGATTGAAATATTCGAATTCTAGTTAAAAAAACAAGGAGGTATTTCGTTTTAAACTAATCGCCATATTTGTTTACAGTTTTTAGGCAAAGCCATTCAGAATGCCTAAATTTTCAATACTTCATGTAAAATGGTACATATTGTACTTTTTATCAAAATTTATGCATTCTGATTGGGTCACTGAAAATGTAAACAAACTTGCTGATTGGTCTAAAACGAAATTCCTCCTTGTTATAGTTAAAAATCGCCCATTGGATTTCTGTCTCACCAATCCCTTTCGTGAGGTTCAAGGTAGTCTAAACCCAGATACTTAAAAACGTCTTTTTCATGAGCGACGGTCAAAGGCGTGCCTTCCGTCAAACGCTCTTGACCCTATAGTAAATGAACAGCAAATGTTCATTGGACGTTTTCCCAAATTGGTTTTACAACGACTTTAGAATTGCTACACTGTGCAATTTTCCTTGCAACTTGCAAAGCAATTATAATTTTGTGGCGGATGTTAATTAGCAAAGAGTGTTGGAAATGCTAGGAAAAAGTTAGCAGATCGTAAGAAATGTTCGTATTTGTCAACTTTAGATATCTCAGGAGTAGAATTGCATTACAAGTTGCAGTTGAAGTAGTTTGTTTCTTTCTATTTTTCTATTTTTATATTTATATATGTATAGGCGAATATAGAGGACGGTCAACTTTGACAGTCAACGTTTCTCTTTAAGCAGAAAAACTATGAACCGTACCTTTCTTATTACACCAGTATTGAGTGAGTGCTCGGATAAGGACATACCCTAAAATGTGATTGTATTATATCATGGTACAAAATTATCGAAAACGTGGGTGATGCTTCGACCTTATTGGCCATAAATTAGACCTTATTGGCCATAAATTAGACATTATTAATGTCAGGGGTCGATTGTATCAAACCCGTTTAGCTTAAACGGCGGATAAGTCAAAATTAAATAACACTCTTACATCTCTCTTGAATGAGTCAACTTGAATATTATGCACTGAATATGTAGTTGTAAACAGTATCTTTATTTTAAGGTCAAAAACATTTAGTTCGCTTGTTGAATAAAACGGCAGACTTGTTTTCTATTTTGAACTTATCCACCGTTTAAGCTAAACGGCCTATGTGTATTTCAGGGGTTACAAAAAACTGTGGGAACATGGGCACCACCAGTGAGGAAGATTCACTTTGAATGATGTTTATGAGAAAGGTGCATCCGTGCATGTAAAAAACCCCATATTACATATTACATCATGATGGTTAGCATTTGACTCAGGTACTATTGTATTACTCACCAGTGAGACTAGCACCAGTTAGAGAATAGCTACCTTCAGATATGAATACATAGGAAAGGCAGGATTTTCAGCAAGGTTTTTAAAACTTGAAATCCTTTCCGGAGAAAGGTTGAACTCTTTGCGACTCTACCATATATATACTTACCTTTTTCCTAGCCAATAAACGCATGGATCTGTTCAAGTAATCTGATCCAGTGAAATATATCAAGGAGCAAATCCATTCGGAGTAAGGAACCACAATTATGTCCAGACGACGATGCTGGAAAGAAAGAGGAAAGGACATCATGGGAAAGATTATTAAATATAATGAATACTAAATTCAGTCTATGCAAGAATGAAATCTATCACCATAGAAATAAGTAAAATCTTTGAATAAGTAAAACGTCATCTTTGAATAAGTAAAACGTCATCTTTTCAGGCATTTTTAGTCGAAAGTTGTAATTTTCTTCAGTCATAAAAACAAAATTAGTGGACTTTATACGGATGTATTTCCCAAATTTGACAACCTTCTGCAACAAAACTCTGCAGTTCTCGTCATTCTAAGATGCTCTTTCTAGCTGTGCTGTTAGACATGGTTCATGCAGGTTCTACAGCTGGAATCATCCTTTTTTTATTTTCACCCACAGGTGAAAGAATGCGTGAAACACAGAAAAACTAAGTCCTTTTACCTTGCGATCCTCACCGGGTAATAAACACACGCCGAAGTATTTCCTCTGTTTCTGATTGTCCGTCAGAGACAAATCGTCGGTGAGAAATCCTTCGAAAAAAAAAATAAAGAATATTTAATCTAATATCCATGATGTATCTGACATGCGTCATAAACAGGGTGAAAAATACTGATAAAAAAAAATCGAGATCAAATTTTCTCCTGACCGAACCAAGTTTTTTCCTAACCAATAAACTGAATGTATATTTGTAATTAGTTTGTAATTTGCTGTTTTAGGCTAATTTAGGGGCATTCTTGAAAACGGCATTTCAGCATCCAAACATCGATAGCGCAGTCAATTCTACGTGTAAATTCAAGTAGTATGTATCAAAATCAAAGTTCACAATTGCTGTGTAGAATGGCCTTCACTCCAGCGCAATATATGGACCATCGACAAATTTCACGTCACATGAATTCGGGTTTTTTCGGAAAACACCGTGTAGTATATATTTTCAGCCTAGTCCCACACCTCTGTAAGGGCGCGCTGTCACAACAATGCAAAGTACGCGAAAGTCGAAAGAGGACTATGGACTAGTCTGATGCAATCTCGAAACCAGAGTCCGCGATCCATCGCGGGAAGGAGTCGGGGCCCGATGGATCGCGGGCTCTGGTTTCGAGATTAGGGCGATTTAGCTCGAGGACGTGAACGTCAAAGACGACGCGAAAATGGCGAATAAATGGCGTGATGCGCCCAAATATGGACATGCCACGCCATTTACTCGCCATTTCCACGTCGTCTTTGACGTTCGCGTCTTCATGCTATATCTCACTATTATCTGACCACGGTCTGACGTATCTCTCGTGTGTGAGAGTCCTAGGCACTAACCATTCTCCCTCAGTTTCTCCAAGAGGCGGCCCATGACCCCAAGGTGCGATCTGCCGTCAGGATGAGACACCAGGACATCCACGTCACCACATGTTGTCCGACCACGTCGAAATGAGCCGCATATCACGCACTGGAGATCTGGGTCGAGGTCGTGGGCTGCCTTCATCACAACATTACCAATCTCTTCAGCCTCGCTTCGAGGCATCCGTTCCAAGAACTCGTCATAGTATTTCAGTCCTATCTGTTGTTGACGATTCAGATTTCCATGTTCCTTCAGATCGTCCAGAGTTTTGAGTCCCTAAATTTGAGACAGTTTGATTTTCACGAAGGCTTCTTAGACTTGGAGCTTTTAGGCAGGGGCCGGTTGTATCAAGCCCGTTTAGCTTAAACGGCGGATAAGTTCAAAAAACAAATCACGTCTATCGTTTTATTCAAGCAAACAAAATGTTTTTAACCTTAATACAAATATACTGTTTACAACTACATATTCAGTGCATAATATTCAAGTTGACTCGTTCAAGAGAGATGTAAGAGTGTTATTTAATTTTGATCTTATCCGCCCCCAACCGACCCCAGGAGCCCTTCTAAACCAGCTCACACGGGCGATTTTTGCTGCGATCACTAGGGTGGAGGCCGGAGGGGACTACCATACAGGGGTAGAGGTGGTGGGGTGGGGACTGCTATGGGTGGAGGGGATGGGAACTGCTTAGGATGAAGGAGATAGGGGCTGAAAGGTGTGGAAAGGGGGGACAGCTAGGAGTTAAGACTGCTAGAGTGGAGCAGGGTATGGCCTTCAAGGGAGTGGGATGCTAAGGGTTGCAGTATCTACCCAATATAATCAGGCTTTTGGTCACAATAGTGAACAGTGTTTATGATTCAATCAATTCGAAATTCGATAATCAATTCGATTAATGAAAATTCATTTCTACAGTTCATTGTGTTTTATTGTTATCATCAACCAATATAACAAAGCTTGCTCACATAAGTAGGGAGTGGAGACATGGTATCATTAACAAGTGTTTCACAAACCTTTGCTACCCAGGTCTCTGCAGTCTTGGGCCCTGCACCCCAGAGATTACAAAACAAATCCACAGAATTCGTCTTTGGATCCAAATTTTCCAACCTCCGAAGATGACCGGTTTGAACAATCTCCCAGATCTTATTAGCAAGACGCTCTCCAACAAATGGCAGGCCTTTGCATTCCTAAAATAATCCACCATATTAGTGTTCAGCTTTGCCAAAAAGGGGGCATATGATGTGGGTATGTGTGGTTATTAGATTTCCAGTTTGAAACCTCGTAAACACCAATTTCTGGAGTGTTGGTTGAGAATGGGGGACTTTGCACATGTTTTTTTGTGCTTGGGTGTATATTATGGGGAGTTTAGTAATATGGCAAAAGTAATATTGTTTTATTACCTCTAATGTTTCAATTTTCTTTGGAAAGTCTTTTATTGAAGCAATCGCTTTCTTGTAACCAAGTGCTCTCCATTGATCATTGCTGTTCTTGTAAACCCTTTCTAAGACCTGACAATGAAACTAGGAATGAGACTGTGTACTCTGATTAACTGGCTTCAATGCAGTGGTGGAGGAGTGGGGAGGTGGGGGATGGAGGTAAGGGGGACCTGAGCCTCCAAATAATTTTAAAGACTAAACTATCATACAGAGATCTCCCTGCCACTACTTCAGTATATCAGATCAAATAACTTTACCTCAAGTTTTTCTGTGATATTTTGATTTAAATTTTCTTGTTTGGACGTTGATGGTTTGGTGCAGATCCATTTATCACCCTAAAATGAAAAAAGAACTGTTGATTAAGTCCCATGCAGACCCTGGGTTGTAAATAGAATTTTCATGGGAAGAAGCCTAATACTGCTGTAAATGTGTCAACTTTGGGTTTCCCTGGAGAACAGCTGCTTTCTCATTCAATTAAAAGTACAATTGCATTGCAAGTTGCAGGAAAAATCAAACTGTGTAACAGGGCTTTAATCCTTGAGGTAGTACTTCAGAATAAAGTTTTAAAGACTTGCATTATAACCTTTTTATGAGGTGATATATGTGGAGAAATTTCAGTTGGTTTTTCTTCGCCATCCTTAGCACTGTCTGTTCCATCCTCTTCAGTATCATCATCGCTATCAACATAATCACTATCATCATCATCATCTAATGCGATTTTCCTACGCTTGGCAACACTGACATCCTGTGAAGTTGTTGGAATGTCACGTTCAGATGATCCTGGAGAAGTTCCATCACCAGTTTTGCATGGTACTGAGGGTAGATCATCAATGGCATCTATACTGCGTTTTCCCTTCGTATTTCCCGACAAACTTTTTGTAATATCCTCCACGTTACTAGTACCTCCCTCTGTTTGACAAACCTCGTTGCCGTTCAAAGCAAATGGACCCAAATCAACTAGCTTGCCCACCTTCAAACAGGAACTCAACCAATCAGCCCGAACAACGGCAGTATTCTGGCTTATTTCTTTAACTTTTAAAAGAGCTGGCAACCTCGATAATTTTACAGAGTTTCCGACCAAAATATGCGTTGTATCCTGGTTTAATTTCGAAGACTCCTTTCCGCCATGGCGAGCAAGTTGTTTGGACAAAATTGAAGCCCTGGTTTTGCCTAAACCTTGCTGAACTATCACCGCCTGGACGCCTCTTAAATACTGTGCAGTAATGGACGCTTTTCCAGAGCCGGATAATGGTGAATTTCTCGACATTCTTGCTTCTTTCTTTATACTTTATACCACCCCCCAAAATTTCTCTTTAATTTTTTTGCCATTTTTAAAAATTTGTTTTTAAAATTAAAACGCTGGCGGAAAACTTTATGTAGTCTTCATATAAGTGCTCACTGACCTCATGATAAAACTGGACTTGTAATCAACACTCGTTTGCACTGCTGATGAACATTTGTTTATACACCTTTAATAACGTCATTCGCCTGACAGCCTCGCCATTAATCATTCATTAAGCCAATCGCATTGCCCCTTATATTAATTAATGAGGATCAGGCATCCAGACTGAAAAAAATGTATGTAGCTAGGTCGCAATTTGAATACATATGTTGAACAAAACACACTAAAAAAAACACTTAAAATTTGCAATTTAATTGGAATTTTTACAGTATCATTATATTGCATAATATTTTTCAACAAACTGTGCAAGCAAATATTAATCATCATTACAGCATACATAATTACAACATGAAATTGGTTGCTAGAAATTTGCTTAAAATGATCATGGATGTGTATGTGAAATACCTATATCTACAGACTAATAAAGTAATCCCTAATTTAAATACTATTCATTGAACCAATGGAGATTTCATCAATTGAAACATAAACCTGGAATGGGACAGAATGATTGATATTTCTACAGGGGCACTTTCTAGGTAGAGGAGGTGTAAACCAGTGGACTCTATATGCTAGAGTAATAGAGTTCATTGGTGTAAGCCCCAGCTCTTCCAAATCGTGGTAACCTTGTTTCTGTATTTACTTTCAATTGGATATTGGTAAGCCTAGGTTCTGAATGTAAGGCATCGTTTCATAGTGATCAACTTCACAAACATTTTGAGCTTGTTTACCACTACACTATTTTGTTAACGTGAACAAAAAATCCAGCAAAATGATTGTGTAATAAAGAACAGGCCTTCAGAAAACACTAAACAGCACAGTTAACTCAATGATAAAACATCCCTATCCTACAGCATGATGTGTAACAATGTGACCATCAAAATTGAAAACTTGGCCTGCCATACTGACTAATAATATTACTGCACTTGAAGTATTGGCTATATAAAACAAGTTTCTTGATTTCCTTAAAATATTTGTGGATGACAAATAACGGTCTCAATTCAAGATGACTTGCCTTCAACATCAATTCTAAAATGAACGATTGTGAACTAATTAATCCATAGCTCTCTTGTGTAACACAAAGTTTAGGTGAGATAGGTTACACTACTAGGGTTACTAAATTTTCAATTACCTGTATATATTTCTCAACAAAGTCGATTGTTACAGAAATGGGTTACTTGCTTTGGCTTCAGGTGCTGATCCACTTGGAATCAGTGGGGCTGGTAGGAGGGGGTCCCCAAAGGGGATAGGGTTCGTCTGTGGGACAAGGGGAGGTGGATTTGTTCGAAGTTGATTGAGTGAGGGTGCGACAGGCTTCTCTTGTGCGAATGGGTTTCCTGGTTTTGTAGGTTGAGGGGTGGGACTGAAGAACGGGTTTGATTCTTTGTTTACGCTAGCCAATGAATCGAGGTTAACTAAGGTTGAATGATCCGAGAGAAGATCTTTTTGTTTTGTATTGGTGGGCAAGGTATTAGCAACACTTGTCATATTAAAAGCTGGTGCATTACCGGGTGCCCCATTAGAAGTTGGTTGACCAGCCCAGGGATCCGACGAGGGGGTATTGAACAAGTTGGTTGATGCACTAGCTGGTGGTTCACTGAAAGGGTCATGATCCCATGGATTACCAGATGAAGAGGTGGGTGGTTGTGAGGGTGCACCCCATGGATCTGTTTGAAGCGGTGGGGCAACTGAAGTTGTTGCGGATGAAGTGCTGCCCCATGGGTCATGCACTGGTGCAGGTTCAGAAGGCATCACCATTCCCTGGCTTGTGGGAGCTTGCGTTGACATAGGATGACTCGGTTGGGGTGGTGGGACTGTGGGGACTCCACCCCATGGATCTATCTGTGGTGCACCTGGATCTCCCCATTGTGGTTGCTGTGGTGCACCCCATGGGTCTGCTACCGGCTGGTTGGAAGGGGCACTTGCACCTCCCCAAGGGTCAGTCGCTTGGACAGTTGAACTACTAGTTCCAGCCATGTTCAACAATGAGTTATCCGGCCGTTTCAAGCTATTCTGTCGACTTTCACTAAGAGCCATTTGATAACGTTGCTCATCTTTGTCCATCTTCTGTTGGGTTTCATCCGCTTCTTGTTTGCTTAGAGCCAGGGCGAGCTGAAGTTGCAACTCTTCCTCGTTCATATTCGACGGTCGACTTTTCTCGATTTCAGAATTATAAGTCCGTCGTTCTGGTTCCCAAGATCTGCTAACTGGCGAAGCTTCAGTTGCTTTCTCAACACGGACATCACTTGCACTGCCTGATTCTCTAAGTGTGGATCCTGGTTTCAGCCTGTTGGAACCACCACCGGCCTGAGCCAATCTCTCCTTTGCTTTAATGGCTCTTGTACGCTCATTTTTGAGACGTTCTTCATCTTTTAACAACGCTACAAGCTGCTTGGACTTTTCACGAACGTTCATACCTTGGTCCTTGCCATCTCGATCAATAAACTGGAAATCTTTCAAAGTTTGAATGGCGAATATATTCTCGCGACACTGTTGTGCAACACGTTCCGAGCCGGTCTTCAAAATATAGTCCAATAAAACTAAACTCTTATAAACATGCCGCCAATTCTTTCCGTGGTCATTTAAACGTTTCCATATCATTATCATTATCTCAGAAAAAGCGACAACATTGTACGTTTGGTCAGCTATATCGGCCATTAAAGAGCTTGACGGGCCCCAAGGATCGTTCGAGGTTGCCTCACGGACCTTTACTTCAACATTTGAATAATTCTTCACAACGTTTTTCACCTGACGCGTTATAGGCATTTTGAGTTATTTGCTAGGAAATAACACTCGCTAACGTATGCCGTTATAATACAAAAGAAAAAGCCTGCTACTTTGATAAATTACAACAAGAAACTTGAATACAGCTATTTGTGTTTTGAAGAAATATGGCGACGCCAAAATATCTCCCTCGAACCCCTGCAGGGAATCTTATTGCCCATGCGCAAACATGCAATATTTACATATACGTGATATACAATATGGGCGTGGCACTTATATGAAAAGGAAAACGGGAGTTTAACTTCCTTATTACGTATTCAAACACGAAATACAGCCCATTTTCCGGGTTCTTTGGATGACAAACAATACAAACACGCTGGAAAAATTGAACTACGCCGAGATAAAAACAGGCTCCAGTGTTTTACCACATTCAGCGGTCAGTTGATCCAGCGTAGAAAACGACGCTCCAGATTTTAACCACGATTAAAGATCAGTGGATCGGATAGATACTTCATGTTATCGCTTTTATTAGCGGCAAATTTAAAAATGTAAAAGAAGTAATTTTTCTATATACACAATGGCTAAAGTTCACTCTGAAGAAGATTGGTTCAATAATAGTCAAGAATCTAGAAATCCGTGGTCAACGTCGTCTTCTTACATCGATCTAGGATCTTTGGGAAAAGTAATTTCTTTGGCAGAAAGAACCAATCAGTTGAAGGTTTTGTTTAAATATTTATAAAGGCATAGTTTGAACTTTGAAGGCTGTTTTATACAAATAGTGTGGCCATACACCACTGTTAAAACGTCGTCTTTGCATCCTGTAGGGCAAAGCAGATCAAGATAAGATAAGGGAAAAGGCTAAAACAACATCTTCGTCCATAAAACTAATTGAACAGCTTGAGAAGTTGGCGAAATTAGAAACAGAATTGTACAAGGTTTGTACACAATGTTGATCAAATGAACACAACAGAGATCTATATGAAACCATGTTTCACACGTAGGTAAAAGAAATGATTTATCATTACAAGTTGAAAGAGGAAACTAAAGATTTAACAGACTCAATAATTCTTGGTAAGAAGTAAAGACTTAAAGACGTCTGTAACCATGGACTGTAGAGGCTGTACACCCTGGGGCATGGGGGTGCTACAACTCCCAGTTTAGGCAAGGTGGTTGGTCAAATGTGAAGGTGGTTGGTCAAATGTGAAGTTGGTTGGTCAAATATGAAGTTGGTTGGTCAAATATGAAGTTGGTTGGTAATGGCACACCAGTGTTGGTAATAAGTTCAAGCGGAAATTTTAGTTGCTTATGATGAATATAGACATGTTGCCTAACTCTGATTTGCCATAACAATTATGGTTTTGTAAACAGAATTCAACACAATTCCAATCATGTTCAATGCAAACCAATGTGTGTGACCCATATATGCAATTCTTTTTAATCAAAGTCATAGTTAATTATTAAAATCAGGTGGGGCTGTTGATCGGCATCCAACCAGGTATGGTAAAAAAAATTTACCAGATCTAATCACATTGCCAAAGCTAGGTAGTGAAACATGAAACCTTGCACTAATTTGCAGATGTGTATGTATACTTTATTTATGTCTGCGTGCGAGCAGGCTTGATGTGTTTCAATGTCACATATTTGTTGGTAAACTATGATGTTACACCCCAAGTTAAGAAAGTCCTGATATACCTTAATGCAATTCTTTACTTGACTTGTATATTAAGATGGGAAGTCAAGAAGGATGGAAGAGTTATCGTTACATTTCTCAGCAATAGTTGACAAGAAAGATGAACTCATCAACCGACTTCAACAACCATTCGTTGGTGACCATATCACAGTGGATGCGGAATATCAGAGGTACAAGAAAAAGAAAAGTTCTGGTAGAATGGCCACAGTGATTCATCAGAATGGTGGAAACTAAATTAAAACAACTCTCATTTTTAGATATGTTGTTGATGCTATCCCATGCCTAGCAAATGTCCTCAGTAATCTGACCACTTACATTGAAAACTTAGAATGGAGCACCAAGTTCACTTTGCAGGATGGTGAAATGGTAATATATTATTAGCCACATTGTGTAGTTCGTCTACAAAATCAGTTCACTGACCTTCCACAGCATCACATATTATTCTATTTTTTAATTCAAGACATTTGTAGTATTCGGTACTGTTATAATGAAAGTAATTTTTTGCAGGAGAAAATCCTTGCTGATGTTTCCTCGGTCTTGGCACAGATGCAAAGCTTTTTTCAAAGTTTGTGCACTTCCCGAAATCTTATGTCAAAACTGAACCAAAAATAAAACATATGGCATAATGTCACACCTATACTATAATGTAAATATGTTAAATTTATAATGGATTTTTGTGGTATCTCAAATGCAACTTGACATTCAATTCATATGGAAATCAAAACCTACAGTTGTATTCACCAAATATTTAACAAAACTATACCTATGTTACTTGATCTTGAGAGGATTTTCATCAAACATTGATTGTGGCTTTTATATCAAGTTTTCCATCAAACAATACAAGCTTTGGTTCAACTTCTTCTTTCAAAAACCTTGCGACCTACATCCAAAAACAAAATTACCATCTCTTGCTTTGAAAAACAACCACAATACCTAGACATCAATTTAATAGCTCAATTTACCTGGTAAGGTGCTCTACCAATGAAGGACTTTGGATCCAAAATTTGATCAAGTTTATCATGGACAATTTTAAAATAATCATCATTTAATATTCTTTCTACCAAATCATTGTCACCACCTTCGGTCTTCACAATTGACGCAGCTTGTTGGGAGAGCACCCTGATCCGTTCATGACATTCCTATATTTATGAATTGGATATGGTGAAAAGTACAGCAAAAATCTTGGATACAAGGGTAATACTATATACATCTAGGGTAATTAAAAACAATGGGAGCTCACTTTCCTTCACTTTCCCTTCTGTAAGAACAGTCCAATGAAGTGATGGTTATTTCTTACCTGTCTGTCACCACCATTTTTTACGACAGCCATGATGATATTTTCAGAAGCCATGAACGGGAGTTCTTGTTTGATATGACGTTCAATCACCTAGCATTAAAACAATCATATTGTAAGTTTAACCTATTGTTAATTGCGATTAGTTTACCTAGAAACCATTACCAGCAGAAAACTTAATAAGATAAAAAAACAAACAAACTGAAGCACTCAGTTAAACTCAATTAAGACATGAACTGTTGCATGACAACAAGACAGGAACAAGTCAATGACTTTGAAGTAAAGTCAAAATATTACAGTAAAATTCTTATCTTGGTGTCAATAGCTCATATCTTCAGTTTACAATATGTTATAAATAGCCAGAAAGCAAAGACTTTCTATCAAGCTCTTTCACAACTCTCATTTCACATTTAGGTTTATCATGCATGCATTCAACCTACCTTGGGATAAACAATAAGACCCTCAGAAACATTCTGCAGTGTATTTAGTATGATGTCCGCAGTAAGAAATGCCTCGGGCAAGGATATCCTTCTGTTTGCGCTGTCATCCAATGTTCTTTCCAACCACTGTGTTGCTGCAGTTTGCTGTGCATTTCCGACCAACGTCATGAGATGACGGGCTAAACTACAACATCTCTCACAACGCATTGGGTTGCGCTTGTATGGCATTGCACTTGAACCTGAAAGAAGCAAGCTTTCTAAATACTGAATGAAAATTACTACTCATTGTTCTCTTTTCGAAAGAATATTAAACACCTTACCTATTTGACTTTTCTCAAAAGGTTCCTCTACTTCTTTCATGCTAGCCAGCAATCGTATGTCTGTACAAATCTTCAAAAAGCATGAAAAATTTCAATAGTTCATTGCTTGTACTACCATTGCGAATGCTGGTTTCTAGGGAAATGAACATGCAGTTTACCTTATGCACTGAAGCTCCTAAACTTCCCAGGGCATTTAAAATGTCCAAGTCAACTTTACGGCTGTATGTCTGGCCTGTCACAATATATGCATTTTTAAACCCAGCCATGCTTGTGACCAATTCATCCAATTTTTCAACCTGTTAGAGAGAGTCAGAGAGAAGTCCAGTTTAATATGGTGCAAGGGCACATCTGTGTGCATTGTAAGCTAATGGGTTATACACCACATTGAGTGATCTCAAGCATCAAGGCATGGCAATTGTTTGCCTCAAAAAACACTTTAAAAATCATGATCAAGCCATTTAGTATAAACAAGGCTTTTGTAATTTACAGACCTTTTCATCATTTCCATCAAACAAGGCCAAGAAACTGGCTTGGGTTCCTGTTGTTCCTTTGACACCCCTGAATCTCAAACTTTGTTCAACATGCATTAAGTTTGCAAGGTCCAGAAGCAAGTCTGATATCCACAGACAGGCTCTCTTACCAACTGTTGTTAGCTGTGCTGGCCTAATAAAACAGGAGGTATTTGATGTTTGTGTATAGGAATGAAGAAAATTATGTTAATATATCAAAGACACTCACTGGAAATGAGTAAAACCAAGGGTTGGAAGAGATTTATGTTCATTGGCAAACTTTGATAATCTTTCACAACATCTTGCCAACTATAACAGAACAATGAATAAATAGATCAATTATCATACTGATATAGTATCCAGGCACTACTCTATGGAAGTTGATACGCAAGTTGAAGTTAAGGGTGAGGGTGTATAAGAAGGAGCGGTATTATAAGAGGTGATGGGTGTTGCGCGACGGAGGGATATTATCATTATTAAAGTGGAATGGGGGTGTTAATTTAAAGGGGTGGGAGTGTTATATGGGGAGAAGGAGCTATTGCATAGAGAGGAACATTTTAAGTGGGAGGGGATGTTTTAAGGGGGAGGGGGTTGTTATATGGGAAAAGTGCTAGGGCCCCGGGTGCTGCACAGAGAAGAGAGGTAATCTAATGGGGTGTTGTTAAAATTAACCTGATTGTCTCTTTTCATACATTATCTATTGTTAACAACATATACCTTTGGAAGAAGAATATTCAAGCCATCTTTAAGAACAATAAGATCCTGGAAAGGACAAAATACTGTTTATTCTCATCTGGCAAAGTGCTACCAACTTTCCAGAGCAATTTTTTTCATTGCTTCTGGAAAAGGTATATAGATGAGGTGTATATGCATACAAATGTAGTAGTCAGCCTTAGGAGGTTTTGGGGCATCCCTGGGGGTAACCCTTGGTCCAGGGTGCTGGGGCACATCACAGAAACTTACAGTATTATCACCGACATAACAAGACGTTGCACCCAAATGGATTATTGGTGCAGCTTTCGGACAACAGGCTGCAAATGTATGGACATGCGCCATAACATCGTGACGTCTTTTCTTCTCTTCCTCTGAAGCCATCTTGTAGTCAATCTTTGTAAGATTGTTCTCCATTTCTGAGATTTGCTCATCTGTGATATCCAAACCCAGTTCCTGGAAACATAAAATTGATAACTATAAAATTCAGAAACTGGTTTTAACTCAAAAGTGAAAGACTTGGTCAATTATAATTGTATATTTGTTTGAATTTTTAAGTAGGATTTAACTACAAAAAATGCAGTTAAGAGTTGTTAAAGCAGACTTGGATTACCTGGCAGTACTCTTTGGGTAATAACAAGAGACACTGACAGATGACTTGTTAAGTTGTTAACAGACAGTACTCTTTGACTGATGAGTAATATCAGCTGGCATTAGACAGAGTAAAATACTAAAGAACATCCGAGTGCATTCTCAGCTAATAGGTTAACAAGAGACGTTGACAGATTGTTTTGCTAACTCAATAACTGACAGTACACCTCCACCGATGAGTAAAATCATCTGGCATTAGACAAAGTAAAATCCTGAAGTAGGCCATATCTGATATCTTGGTGCACTGCAAGCTAATGGGTTAACAAGAAACACTGACAGATGCTTTGTTGAGTCCTTAACTGACAGTACTCTAGCTTCCAGTCTTCCACTGATGAGTAGAATCATCTGGCACATATTTGACAAAGTAAAATCTTGAAGTAGGCCATATCTAATATCTGGGTGCACTGCGAGCTAATGGGTTAACAAGAAACACTGACAGATGCTTTGTTGAGTCCTTAACTGACAGGACTCTTCCACTGATGAGTATTAAAAATCATCTGGTATTAGACAAAGTCACATAGTAAAACACTAAAGTAGGGCACATCTGGGTGCACTGCAAGTTATCCAGTACATAAATAATCACAATAAAAACAACCTTAAATGACTTAAATCATACCTTTTCTGCTTTAGCAAGATACAGCCATAATTTTCGCCAAGTCGTGAACTTTTTGTCATCGGAGAAATTATAGGACATTTCCTTACTAGCATAACGGCTGGTTAAAGGACTCCTGTAAGCATCAAATACCGACCGATCGTCCATTTTAGGAGGATTTTACCTGCAGAAATTGACAAAAACTATCGAAATGTTCTTCGAAATCTTGAAAACATTCGAAACACGTGATTTTAAGATATTTTCAAATATTCCTTTCGCGGAAAATCCCGCCAAGATCCAGTCTCCCCCACCTCCGAGAACAGCGCAGGTGAACTCTATATTAAAACTGGGTGGTGAAAATATGGGGTCAGCTACTTTGTTTATGTTTACGTTTTGTTTGTTTATTTCTGTTGTTTGTTTCGGCGGTGTGTTGATTTCATTATTGACGTCAGATGTGAGTAGGTGGTTACTCGTTTGTTTTAGATCTTAATGTACTTATTATAGAACGAATGGCTCTTAATTGTTACTAATTTTGAAGATGAACTTTATAGTCTAATGACATCATTGACATGAATTGATTTTAGAGGGGGAGGATGGGGGTAGATTTAGGATTTGGTGTGAACTAGGGGCATTGAACTAAGATTGATTGTAGTCGACCACTCGACCTTAAAATGAACGTTTCCCTTGTAAAATTTGCATGTTACAGCATATGACGTACCTTGCTGTGTATTTAGACATATGCAAGGTTTTGGTTCTAACCAGATCTTGGGCTTTAAGTCATAGAAATCTTTTATCTAAGATAGTTTGATAGGTTAGTATAAGGATTCACATAGAAGGTACAGGTTAGGGTTAGGGTTAGGCAAGGGTTTAGGAAATAAATGGTGGTATTGTCAGTCTGATAATTTAGTCCTGGAGTCAGTTGTTCAAACCTGTATTACAGTGTTAGCACTAACCCAGAGTTTGCCAAGATCTCTGGTGCAGAAAGCCCAAGCCTAAATCTTTTTTAAGAGTACAAAATTTTAGGGCCAATCCTCGGGTGCACCCAAGGTGCAGCACTGGTGTACATGACACAGTATGCACCAGACAGGTAGATGCCCTATATAGTAGATTGCTACAGGTGAAAAGTGCTTTAGATCTACTTGTGAAAAGTATATCGCCTCAGGTGTGCAGACACTTTGTGCAGACACTTCGGGTGCTGTAATGCTTAAATGTGCAGCATGGCTGCTAACCCTTGGATTTGGATCAATCTTTACTTTCAGTGTTCATGCAGTATGTACTTCTTCACCTCTGCCCCTTTTTTAAATTTAAAACCTTACAAAACAAGACTTCTGATCGATCCATTGTATTATAAACAAGCAATTAAAATTGATTTTGTAAAAAAATTGTGTTTGTAAACCCAGAGTTAAGTTAAACTGTCTTTTAAGCAATTGACCCAGTGCTGTCCAAATTTTAAGTTCATTATTTTTTTCTATCAATTGAATTATTCACTGCCGATTAACATTATATATTATAGCTGGAATCCTGATTTTCACTATGGCAGTGAAAGAACCTGTTTTTTCCCTCTTGTAATTATTACATGTTTTAATCTAACAAGTTTGTTTACCAACCAGACCAATATGACTAATGGTATATCATCATTTCAGAATTTCCCAGCATGCTGTTTGGAATACGGCACCGCATGTTATTTTGGTCTGTTGATTCCAACAACACTACCAGTGTTTGTGGTCTTCATGTACTGCAACTGGCTTGGACACAAGTTTTTTATCCATAACTAAAGCCAAGGTAAAGAAATGTAAATTAAGAACAGAACTAATTTTGAAATTCAACCCACCACTCTGGGGTGACTCTGCAAATATATTGTTTTGATCGAAAATATTTCTGCAATGTGATCTTCAGACAAACCTAATCTAAGCCTCTTAATTTTTGAAGCTGTGCCCATTTTTCATCGAAAGAGCCACGCCCTTTTATATATCAGCAGACGTTATCTTCAGCGAAAACCCCGCTGTCTGCTAAACTCGGGTCTGTACGAGATGCATTCTCCTGCAAGGATTACCAGCGACATGTAAATGTACTAAAAGTTGTTTTAATACTTGGAAACTCCTATCGAAAGCACCGCATTGGCGCATTTGTTAAAAATTCAGTTCAATTCAAGCTAAAAATCAATTCACGGGTGGCTCAATTATATGATGTTATCTGACGTGGTATAATGGTTCTTCGTTAATTTGACCGTTCTGCTAGAAATCTGAGAAATATTTCGTTATGAAAGAGTACTAATAACAGCGAAAAAGACGAGCAATAAAGACCAACCTTACAGCGTTTTGGGGACACCACAAACACGTTATTTTACTTAACAGTTGAAGAGCCGAGGGCAATATATCCATTATTATCCAAGACAGATTTTGACTTTTTGAAACAACGCAAAATTTGTTAAAACTAAGTAGAATTATTTATATGATATGCGCAGTACAAATATTATAGATATCTGTCTCTTTAGAAGATGCATATCAGCTGTAATTATAGTAAATTTTAAATGAGTTATATTATGGTTGGAAATATTGTAAATGAATTTTGCTCCAAGGTGAATTTCATTGTTTAATAAATTTGACCCAATTGACGGCGAACGCAGTGACTTTAGTGCTTCTGTAGCCTCAAGACTAAGACTTGTTTTAATTACAATCATTCTCATCATGAAATGTTTTGCTCAATGCTCATAAATTGCTTTGAATGTTTTCTCAAAAATGATAGTTGTTTACTGTAAATAGTTCCGCGTACAGTAGTTTAACCGTATTTCATCGTGGTAAAAAAATAAACATCAATTCACGCCCGATGTCAACAAATCACTCACGCGACGTCGTAAAGTCTTGTTCGCCTAGACACTCTGCCTTCCAAATCGGAAGGCGAATGACAAATAGCGCTTCCTTTTCGACTTAAACTGCCTCGAAACATTTTAATATTACAAGGAAAGAATCTGTTTGAATCCTTGTTCTATGTCGAGACTTGTTTTTCTTTTATTGGAGTGGAGATATCGTAAAAAAACGTCGGCATTGTCAGTATATTTTCACAGCATTAAGGCCATTACATTGCAAAATGCCAAAATGCCGCCTGTTTTATTGCTTGCATCCTTGATGTTTTAATCTATAGATTGCGTTTGATATTATCTATTTCAGGATGTCATATTAGATTAAACAGCTTTAAGCTTGCTTCTATATATAAACCAAACTATGCCACCCAGTAAAAAACGCTGGGTGCTTTTTTTGTACTGTACTGTACTAAGAAATAAACAAGTTTCATTAAAAGTGAGTTTACAGCGACTTGTAAGACGAACTGGGGCCAGTTGTATGGTTGTATCAAGCCCAAAATAAAAAGCAAGTCTCGTTTTATTCAACAAGCGAACTAAATGTTTTTGACCTTAATACAAAGATACTGTGCTCACAACTTCATATTCAGTACATATTTAATTTTGACTTATCCACCGTTTAAGCTAAACGGGCTTGATACAACCGGCCCCTGGTCTAAAGCAATGCCAATGATATTTAACACGTAGTCAAACATTCGTAAAACCAAAACACCCGTTGCAACAAGAACTGCTTTTTACATTTACTTGTACGTCGTAAAAGCGCGCGAAATCTAGCTTTAAAATCACTACAACACAAGGTTTTTATTATATACACGTTAATAATTAGCAAAAATATAATAAATCCTACCAGAAACTATATTGTTTACTTTCGTGTATTTCTTAAATCATTCAAATGATTTTAATCTCTTTCGTACGTGTATTCCTCCGAGAGAAAAACGCCACAGAACCCGACAGTGAAAACAGCCCTTAGGGATACGTGTAATTTTTGCCGTAATTCATTAATTCTCGTCTTTTGATAGATGCGAACGAATGGATAAGTTACGGATGTTCATGTAAAAGCACATGTGCCCACAGCATTCATAAGTATTCGCACATTCACATCGATCAAAAGGTTAGAAACCTGCATTGTGAAAGTGACCTCAAAGTGAATAAAACGTTTTAAATTTGACATATTGATTAACAAATGCAATAAAAATTACAGAATTTAATAATTGTAAAAATTGCTTCATTTATTGCTTCATTCTGAGGTATTTAGAAATACACTAAAAAGAGCCGGTGGGCCAACTAAAGAAAAGCCAAAGTATTGTATTTGAAGAGAAATGGATTAACTTGAAGAATGTATTTGAATGTGTTTTAAATTAGACCAGCCAGGAATGTCAAAATTTCTAAGACTTGATAGGACGCATCGTTGACCCATTCACTATTCTTGAGGAGAGAATGAACCAGATGGTTCACGCTAAGCTGATGCCATTTCTTTGGCAAATTTGGCAGTTTTATGAGAGATATTTTCGAGATGTACCTCTGATATATCAGTATACACACAGCCCTAATGAAATTTACTTGAGGAGATTTGCTACTTTATCGCAACAGTTACTAAATATGTTTCATATTTTACCATATAAACTTGTCTGTTAAGTGTATTAATAGAAAAAAATATATAGATAGGATTCAGATATTGCCTCACCTAAGAAATTTCTTACATTTTATTCAAATTATTACCGAAAAAAACGTTTTGAGCCCTTGAAGCCTGGCCCCTTTGAAGAGGGAAGTACAAATCCCAAAGATTGTCGCGTTCTTAGTCGTTTCTACGGAACGAATTTTTTTGTAAGTTCGTCCCAAAAAAGAAGTTTTAAAACGCGGCCTGTTTACTTGATATCTATAAAAATTTATCTGATCAATTCCCCAAATCTAAATTCTTTCTATCATGTTGAACCGTTCAGAACTTATCTCGAACCTTCAAATATGCGCTGAAGAATCTGGATAGATCATTAATAGGGATGGTAGGAATCTTAACATTCTTCTTATCAGTTCGAAAGATGGTTTTTAGAAATGTTTTGAAATGAACACATTCATTGAGAAGGTTCCTTCACGTCGCCGCGTACAAACCCCAATCGCTTGCTCTCGAAACTAATTCACCCGGCATCGATTTTATTGTTTATCCCTCCGTAGAAGAAAGAACGAGATTTATCAAGAGGTCTTCACTGTGGTATAGACACTACGTTCCTGTCCATAATCACCATTAAATGCGTGTCAAGAGGTTTAAGTCTAAGTATAAGTCATTTTACGACACTTTAGTGACAGGCGAATGATTTATGTTCATTGCGCATTCAACACAAATCAATTTGTATTGTATATTTTATGCAAATTAAATTAAATCTCGCGTTTTATGCAAAATGTTCATTGCGCATTTTATGCAAAATCAAAGATTTCGTATTATATGCAAATGTTTTGCGCATGATATGCAAATAGTGTTATATATCGGGCATATTTAATACAAATAGCTTTGTGAGGAACATTTTGTAGGGATTTCGCTGTCATGATGGCGTACAATATGGGTGAAACTTCGATGCGCATTTTATGCAAATCTAGCTTGACACGCGGACACACAGAGCTATGATAACGAGGCGCCAATAAACCTTATTAGAATCAATTGAAATTAATTAAATCATGATAGGCGATGGCACAACAGGGGTGAGTGGCCTCGCGCAAACCATAATACGCTTTGATATGGAATGAGATAATTGGATACTGCAAGCTGATTGGCTCGCGAAGATTTAAGCGCAGTCGTAAAGCTTTGATGGCCGCAGTATAAACGCCCTGATACAGAATGGCAACTTTAAAACCTCGCGAGTTTGCGACACTGACGTTGGCAAAGTGCGACCAAAATGAATTATCATTATTATCCTCCAGGGGTAGCCTACCAAGGCTTGAATCAATGTTACCACGAAACCACGGAGCCAAACTGCCATTGCAATTCACAGGCTATATATCAAAGTAGTTTGTTTAGATGCAGCAGGGCTATTAATCACCCAGTCACCGGTTTCTCAATGGGCAGCTTTCCTGGTAAGTTTAGGTTTTTAAGACGACTTACATTGCATTATCCAAAACGGCCGCAACAAACGGGGTTTTCAGCTTGGAAAGAACGTCCACACGACAAACGGACAGCTTCGAACACCTAAACGAATCGAAACGAATCTTGTTATTTCCCAAATGTTTCTTTTCATGAAGAGAGTATAGTTTGAAGTCGAAAGGTTTCGATTTTTTTAATTTTAAAAATAGCCAAAATGATTTACTGCGATTCATGGATGTGAACTTTGATAAATGGCATTTGTCTTCGCAATTAGCAAGCTGACGCATTTTGAAATATGGCCTTTGAGGACACGCGAGTGACTGAATTCAAAGAGCTCGTTCTCTTTTTTAGCAGCACGATAACAGCCAGAATACGTCGATATATAAGCATATTCCTCGAGGATTTTGCGACGCTTGCAGCACGAATCGTAGTAGTAAGCATTAACTGATATTTTTGCACTAGATGATGTGGAAATAGCCGTGGACCTCTCGAAGATTCGTGTGACACGTACGAGGCGAAGTCGTATGCAGTACAGTCCATGGCAGGTCGAAGAGATGGAGAAAGTTTTTCAGAAAACGCATTATCCAGATGTCTTTGTACGAGAAGCGCTTGCCGTTCGCCTCGATCTGGCTGAATCGAGAATCCAGGTAGGAATTTTGTGCCTTCAGTGTACGCGCTTCGAGCTTAAAATAATAGTTGGCTCCTTCAATCCACGTCCATAGGCCATAGCTAAGCAATAAAGAAATCGTAGTAGACAACCAGACGTGCACGCGAATTCGTTAATGATTGTACAGGAATTTATCGTAAAGAAAGGAAGAATCTACTTGGAAATGAAATGGACATGGCTTGCGTATGTCCATTGCGACGATGAACTTTCCAATTCAACGGTCAAACACCATGGTTCATTTCAATCCGCAAATATTGGAATTAAATTTGCCCTGTTTGACTCAATCTTTCAATAACAGACTGTCCAACCTACATAGCTTTCTTCACACCCAGTATTTTGGCAACAAGGCTAGCCGTTCATTAACAGAATTTGAAGGTAGGAGCTGTCTGTGTTTTAAACAATATGCTCCCTCAGTGTTCATAACTCCATGTCGACTGCAAGCGAATGGCTTCCTCAAGAAGTATTTATATCGTTCGAGCAGTGTGCTTTTCGGAACCAGCAAACCATATAATACGTCCAAATGAGCTTAAATCTACAAACATTTCCTTAGGGGAAATGTACTTTTGAAGTCCATTGTGCTAAATGCTAGCGATATTTCCTATGTGAAAATGACCCTACATTAAATGTTCATGTTAACACTGTTATGGAATGTAACAGTATTAAATTGGCTTTAAAGGATTTACTGGACAAGATTAATTTTAACTCGTTGATGAACGTTTTAACCCCTCTTAATAACTTAAATATTGTTGAGAAATTCCCTTAGTATTAGTACAAACTTTTGTACAGAAATTCGGATAAATAAATTACGCCAATGGATCGTATGCGATGACAAATGCTTCTACGTTTTAACACTTGAATATTCGTATATGGACAACAGAACAAACAGGTTTGAAAGCGGTCCCCTAAAGGGAATGTTTTCGCTTTTGGAACTTTGTATAAGTTGCAATGCCTAAAATTATCTTTGGCCAGAAACACCCAATCAAAAACACGCTCATAAATCACGTAAATAGCGACAAAATTTCTCAAGCAGTGCTACCGATGTGTAGCAACAGTTGTTTGACAGATTTACATCGACGTCGGTTCGACAGTCTTCGACTCGGAAGAGATAGCGTGCTAGAAATGTGTCTAGAAAAGTGTGAAAATTGTCAGACTGTTTGGCACTCAACTTCCAGCACCTCTGAAAGCCATCTGCTTGAAAACTCCACAATATTCCTGGGGAGATCTTAAATTAACCACTGTGGCGTTTTCATATTTTGCTTGGCCACATTTTCGTGTGATTTTTGTCTTGGATTTCTCATCAAAACTTTGTCTATCGCAGATCCTAACCGGATCAAGCTATCTTCAAGGCAGCGCCAACGTGTCGTCTAACACTCACTACAAAAACACCTTGGACAATAAGATGTGTACAGAGTTTCGTACAATCCAAACAACCACTTTTCGCATAAACTACCTAAAACAACGCTCGATATTCAGCGCATGTAATCTGCATAATATCTTCCAGGGAACTCACGAAGCGCCTTCACAGGCTTATACTAGATAAATTCGTACAGTTTTCAAAAACTCTGGCGTGCCAGCAAAAGTACAGGCCTGGTCAACCTGGTGTTTGCAGACTATATGCCGGGTTCTCAAACTTCAATTTCCTGATTTTGGTCAAGGCCAGGATTGCTGGCTACCGTTGACTAATTAACAATAAGGTTTCTGTTTTAAATTTTTAAATGAGTAGGTTAAAAATATCCATAAGTTCCGACAAGCGAAGTGTATAAATATATACTGAAATTTTAGACACGTGGAACTGTTTACAAACTGGAAAAATGCAGTTGTGATAACTGTAATTCCGATAGCTTATTGCAGCGACTTGCTGGTTGTCCGAGAAGCTGTTTTCATTCCAATTCCGTGTTAAAAATATGAAAAGTAAAGGTGCTTTTTTCTCCTAACCTAGATTTCGTTCTGTTACAGGTTTGGTTTCAAAATAGACGAGCCCGTTGGCGTCGGAAGGAAAATACCGTGGCGACTCCGGGCCGTCGGTCCCTCGCGCAGCTTGAGAAACCGACCGAACTCAAGTCGACACGAAACGATAAGGAAGACACGAACGCGACACGCACGAACATTAAGCACAGCGTTGCGAACATTCTCGCCAAACCGTCGAAGATCATTCAAGTGCCGTGGAAGGTCCCGAAACGCGGCAAAAAATATCGCACCGAAGTGACGGCGAAGAAAAATGCCCCAGCATCGGATGTTATGCGACTAGACCGCGATTTATGCAAAATAGGAGAAAATTCAACGGTTTCAAAATCCTAGTGCATCGTCCTATACATTGTCGCAGTTACGTTTCCTCGGCCTCGTTCGGGTGAAACTGTCTTCGAGAACTCAAACTGTCCATTGAGAAAAGAGCCTTAAGCACACCATAATGCAGGCTGATTGGCCAGCCATTCGTGAGAATATCTACCTTTACGTCTGAATTGAGTGAAAATCTATGTTTTACCAACCTTGTGGCTGATTAATTCTATCGTCGGTTTTTCTATACTTGTGTAGCTTTGTTTACGCATGGAAAAGTTTATATCTGTTTATTGAAATGACATACCAGGGGCCGGTTGTAGTCAAGCCCGTTTAGCCGCTTAAACGGTGAATAAGTCAAAATTAAATAACACTCTTACATCTCTCTTGAATGAGTCAACTTAAGTATTATGCACTGAATATGTAGTTGTAAACATTATCTTTGTATTAAGGTTGGAAACATTTAGTTTACTGGTTGAGTAAAACGATAGATTTGCTTTCTATTTTGAACTTAACCACCGTTTAAGCTAAACGGGCTTGATACAACCGGCCCTAGACAAATAATCGCATACAGACGTGGCGTTTAGATGTTTGTTCGACTTTTATCGTGCTTCTGTTAAGATCTTTGTTAATCTTATGAAATGCATACTGAGAAATACTGGTACAAAGAAAACGTGACTGTTGAAATTTGAAATCAACCTAAAGTCATGACGATGAGTTATATTCACTGATTCACATAAAAAATGCCTACTTTTCAAGAAGGGTGAAATATTTAATAAATGAAGCATTGAGATAATAAATGAAGCATTGAGAAACGCTGGCTAACCACATTTGCTTCAAAAAGATCAAACATTCATACAGAAAAGTTACAATATCGAAGAAAGACAAATATTTTGTTGTAATATTTATATTAAATATTCTTTGTGCTTTTGTTTAAAATGTAGCAGTTGTGATATTCGAAACAATTATACTAAAGTGTAGCAATAAAGCCGTAATAAAGAACAATTCAAACTTCGAAATGTCTTAGAGAATTTGTTTATGGGACCCGCAATCTCATCACTATATACGCGAGTTTTGAAATGTTATAATGCCATATATTAGTACATATTTCTCCTTGCCAATTTTCGTAAGCAAAATGTTCATAAAAAATACAGAACAAAGCTATATAAGATTCTGAGCAGGTTTTTTTCTCAAATCAATTGACCTCTTGAGTCCAATCTAGATTATACTTAATCCTATCATAACGTCAAACCATCCGTAATCCTTTGCAAAAAACTCCCCAAAAATTCGAAAACTTTAACAGGGCCCCGTCTCCATTTCATATATAAGTGTTACGATCTATCATTTGTCAAGACCCCCTCCCCTCCCCCCCTCTTCAAATAAATGCTCCAAATTCTTGCAGTGGCTCATTGTTTTGACTGTATTTGCAATACGCGAACACCATGTTTAACTTTCGCCAAATGTTTTTATTTTGAAATGATAAGAAGTTTCGCTTATCATCCAGTAACAGAGGTTTACATAAATTTTATCTGCCCACAGCCTATCTCGTTTCGAGAAAAGGGAAAATTGAATTAGAACCGCACTTAGATATGGCATCAGAAGTCTTTGATACCGAAGCAGCGATGTTTTGGCAGACAGTGTCCATGCATCTTGCCGTTCATTTATGTGCACAAGATAGAATCTTAGATGTCGTGTGGCATTCTCGCTGAGCTTGAGCACATGCAGTAACGAAGCAAAGTACACATTCAGTTATTTTATGAACATACATTTCATTTTCCCTGATAAAATCGCTTCGATTCGAGGGTCAAAGATGCTTCCTCAAAAAAAAACAAACACCAAAAAAAAAGAATTATGACGCATTATAATGATATCGTCAAAGAAAGCCTGCCCGCGAACAACGAACCTGTGTTAAACACAATGCATTGTTCTGTTTCATAGATTTTCCAAATGACTTCATTTTACGAAATTACAACAACAACTATTTTCATAGACTTTGATATTTACATGTTTATCGTTAAATCGTTCGAAGCTTTTAACAATGAATATTGCAAGGCACTTTAACAAATGAGATTAATCAGTCCCGAAATCTTAAGTTATTTTGGTTGGGTCTAATTTTGAGCGCTTCTGTTTAAATTAGAACAGCAAGCCAATTTTCCGGTGTGTTATGCGTGGCGTGGTCGGTTACAAACGATTCGCGGATTGATTTACGGTTAAAAGAGACACTAGTTGTGCCTTCTCGTATAACTTACTTGCATCTGTGAGCGGAGCAAAACGTGCTCTGCCATACTTCAAACACGTGCACCGAGGCAATCATTAGCATAACGAGCGTCATTAATAGGCACAACATAAACAAGTTAGCAAAACGAGGTCAGCGTGTCAAACGTGAAAAACAATGATCTGAAATGAAAAGATAAAATATTTGTCTTAGACGTTCCGGGTCAACGTTGTAAGTAAATTACGGTGTTTGGTTAACAAATTAGAGCGAGCCGTATCAAGTTCAGTGAAAATTGGATTTGAAGAAAAAAGTAAATACTTCATAGAAGGATTCCTGGTGTTAATGTGTTATAGGAAAAGCTATTTGCTTTTCTAGTCCGGTTACCTCCCGTAAGTAACACAGGATCCATAAGGGATTTTCCTCACTGGACCGCTAGGAGGAACAGTCGGAAAGTGATAGAGCTATCCTTATAAATTAAATTATTTCAGTTAAGGGCCTGTGGTAACACTGGATCAATAAGAGATTATCTTCACTGGACCGCTAGGACAAACAGTTGGACCTCCATGACAGAGCCACCCAGGAATGACAGTTTAGAACTGATAATGCTACCCAGAGTATAAATAAAGTTAGTGTAGTTTAGCCGGTTTCCTCCTGTAGTAACACTGGATCAATAAGAGATGATTTTTACTAGACCTCTAGGAAGAACAGCTTTGCCGGTAAAAATAAAGTTAGTTTGGTTCAGGTTTTCTGCTGTTGTAACATTAGATCAATAAGAGATGATCCTTACTAGACCTCTATAGGAAGAACAGTTTAGAACTGATAGAGCTATCCAGTATAAATAAAGTTAGTTTAGTTTAGGTTTCTTCCTGTAGTAACACTGAATAAATAAAAGATGATCCTTACTAGACCTCTAGGAAGAACAGCTTTGCAAAAATAAAGTTAGTTTTAATAGTTCAAGTTTCCTGCTGTTGTAACACTAGATCAATAAGACACGATTCTATACTGGACCTCTAAAGAAGTTAGTTCAGTTTAGTTTCTCTCACTACCAGCCACCTTTTTTAACGAAAAAAAAACGCTTTTATCATTTCAAAGGTTATCATATCGAAATTTCAAGACCACCACGCAAAGTGGGATACCCAAATAAAGATGGATAAAGAAGATACTAGTTCTCATGACGAAGGCCCTTCTTTAATACTTTGAGAAGTCTTTTTATATATTTCAGGCAGGCGATCAAAGCTTTGTTCAGTCTTTTTGGATACGTGAAAAAACTTTAACTCAGTCATGCTGTTTCCAGCGCTGAGAATATTTTGGTCCGGTCTGCATGTTCGGCACTTTCAAAGCCCTACTGTGAGAGAGCCTGATGCACCTTGTAGAAGCATTATATTTTTTTTAAATGTAAAATAAGACGATGAAATTTACTAAGAATAAACGGAAACTATAACGATTAAAAAATTCACGAGTTTACTGCCAATGACTTGAAGGGGTTATTTGCCGTGGATAATTTGCAAAAACCAGCCCAGGTCAGTTATACTTGAACATAAGTGAACTGCAGTCTTAATGACCCGGGGTAGTCACCTCGTCCCCCATAACACCCCCTCCCTCCCCCCCCTCTCTGCTTGCTACCGAAATATGGTCAACAAAACGACATCTCATTATTGCTGCGACGCTGTCCTATATATGCTGTTTCTGGATGAAAAAAAAACGCTCAAAATACAAGCGCGTGTGATTTGCATTGAAAGTACACGAAGACTCTACATGTGCCAAATGTCAAGTAAATTAACGAGATCTTATCTTTTGATTAAATCATTGTGGTATTTCTGCTATCAACTTTGCTTTCATATCCTTGTTATCAGTTTGAAAAATAACCCACTCGACGAGCTGGCGCTATCATTAACAAGCCCTTAAAGTCAACATCGTTTTACCTTATGAATGATTATCGTTACTGAAACTGTTTTTAAGGCTCTCCAAAAGCTGAAAGCGTCATTCACGGTTCTCCCTGCTGTATTTAAGACATCTGGGACCGCTTGTTCGAAAGGCGTTTAGCTCAGTTAAACGGTCGGCGGATATTTACATCGAAATATTTCAGCTCAGTTGTTCAAACGGATAATTTTGTTTTCTATTTTGAACTTAATATCCACCGTTTAGGCTAAACGCCTTTCGAACAACCGGCCCCTAAACTGTCGACTTAATTTTGATCTAGGTAAGTAATGTATTCACCAATAACATAGCTCGAAAGATAATTCTAAAATTACCGAAATGCTGTTCAACGTGAAAATTAAAGCACGGCAATCAGAAAACAAGAATCATTTTCGCTTTAAAAAAGTTGAAAAAAAAGCGAAATTTGCGTGTCCTTTCAGGACAACTACTTCTAAACAAACCAAGATGGTCTTTCAGTCTTTCTAGTTGTAGTGTTTCATTTCATCCCAATTGCCTAAATCAAGACGGAATCATTGCATTTTACAAACAAACTTTGCAGTTTTACTAATTTTAAGAAGCTCTTCTCTAGCTGGGGTGTTGGATTTCATCCCAGTTGTCTTTATCGAAATTTAGTTTGTAGCTCGAATAAAAGACATTTAATAAACACAAAGGAAAGTTAAAAACAAGATATATGCATATGATATTGACTGCAGCATTTGACGGATTTGTTGTGTATTAGATCTCATGAAACTTGTCTGAAACTATTGGCTGTCATTAGCAATCATACCAACGTCTCCTGACGGGCCCTCAGGTCAAAACCTTGAAAATAATTTTGTATACTTATGCATTTAAATCTAACTTGGTGAAAAGCGCTATCAAGCTAGTTCCTGGTTGGGCTTATCTATTGCACATTTATGTGATGGTTTAACTTTAGATTTGCCATAATTTCTTAGTCTTAAACCGTCAAATGCCTCACATAAACACAGTTAGGTCCCTCAGCAATATCTGTCCCTTATGAATATAGGTATTTCTCGTAAAAAAACCTTCTCTTGTAACTGTCAAATTGTCTAATACGGGTTCTAATAAGTCTCCCATCTGCATATCTCGATCGGTGCTCAGGATAAAAATAACACTGACAATGGTTTCGCAACGCTCGTCGCGTTGAAATGAAAAACCTTTAAATTGAAATGGGAACAGCCTGATTTTGAATATCTGTTCCCACCTGATTAAAAATTTCCACATCTGCAAATGTCGGTAATTGCGAGTTTCTTATCTGAGGTCGGGTCAACGACCGTAGAAAAATAGGTGTCACGGCTACCCATGCTAAGGTAACTAAACAAAGCATCATTTTTTGGCATGCGCGCGCTTTATGCTAAACCGAAGCGCACGAAAATAGAACATATTTGTGGGCAATCTTGCTGCGTTACTTTGCGCTATCTACCAAAAAACTCGTGCGCGCACAAAAGGCAAAGCATGCGCGCAAATTACGCAAAGGTGCGGTAATTATGCTAACGAGGTCTTGAAACAACCTGTCAAACATCAGGAAAAAAACATATCCTGTTTGGGAAACTAACGAAGTTAAGCTAAACAGCAATTAGTGTTGATATCCATAAACGCGAATCGCGGGTTTGCGTTTCAAAATGATTTTTCCGTGTATACTGTATATCGCACGCGCTCTCCATTATTGAATGTAATTAATTTAGGCAACAGGGTATAATTCAATTATGTTGTGAGTTCATTGAAATAAGGCCGTGGAGACATGAAAAATATGTTCATTTAAATTCCATTTTATCTTGATAAGACTAGGGTGATCAATCATGCTTAGCCAGCTTAGGGCTGACCACCTAAGCTTGTTAGCCACGTCTGACACATGGAAAGAGGATTTTTTCAAGAACTACCTGAAGAGAGGAAATATCCTCGAGTTATTATTGATGAAATGTTAAATGTCTGAGAACGTTTGACAGAAGAATGTTCACTGATAATAACCGTGGAAAAATCGGTACAGTGGCATTCAGATTTCAACAAATAGCAATATACACTATTTCAACGGTAAGATATCGAGAAAATTGCAAATAGTGTGGAATTTGAATGAAAAAAGTCAACAAATACAAAGTAATTAAAAAAAAATTGTATATACGTAAATGAAATCTAAAATTACCATTTTTGTCACCAGTTTCCTCTGAAGCGCCAAATCCAAGATGGCGACCTTTTCAGCATGTTCCAGCTTTCGCGTCACATTTCTGCTGTCTACGCGAATTCTACGGAGCAATAACATTCGCTGTTTTAGCTCAAATATGTATGTGTATTTTTTAACGATCTTAACATTTTTTTACAACACTATTTACTTTGAATTAGGTGTTTAATAACCTACCTTTATAAGCCGATTTTGATGCGTAGTATTTTGATAACCTAATTTTTCTTATTTCGCTGTGATATAGCGACAGCACAGACGATGGAGAAATACCAAAAGCTGCGAGTTCACAAATGGTTCCGGCCTCTATATTTCACGATGATTTAGTTAGGTTTGTAAATTGTAATGTATGTTTACTATTACATGTACTGTACGTTCAAGTATTCCAGTTTCCAGTCTCCACATGCACACTCATCGTATCATATTGGGTAGAGATATGGTATATCTGATGGTCATTAGTTGACATTTGTGTGGGTTACCAGACAATCCCCTGCTGTCCCCATCCCCTGACTCTAGACCCAATTAAGATATCACCAGATGCAAAAACATTAAAACAATGGTTTTCAATCATGATTGTCACTTTAAAGTTTATTGTTTTCATGCTCTCTGCAAGAGGGCATAATTTGCCCTGAAGGGTGTATTTGCCATAACCCATACATCAATCAACAATGAGCAGTTTCTTTGAAATTTAATTTCACAAACTAGTTAATTAGATTGAAAATACCAGATTGATCATTTAGCAAGTTTGTCAACTCAATGATGTATGATGGGAAAAAATCATTGTCACAAAGAATCATGCTGAAAGTGAGTGAGAAAACTAAAATTAACTTCTTTCATGACATATAAATGTGCTAAGAGGATAAGGCTGCTTTTTTTTCAAATCTAGACATTTGAATGCATCAAGAAAAAACAGCTAGCTTTGTAAGTTGTAATCATAGATATAGTTCCAATGGCTACTAGAATTGATCATATTGATGTCGTATTGATTGATGTTATTGATTGGTCATATTTTTTGATCATGTTTATTGATCATATTAATAAGATTGGTTGATCAAATTCATTGATTATATACTGATTGATCATATTGATCAATTATATTGATTGACCATATTGAATGATTGATTGATGATAACTGATGATTTTGATTGATTATATTGATTGATCATATTGATTGAACATATTGTCTTTGGTATAAAATGATGTGCTTATTGCAGAAAATTATCTGATAAGAAATCGGACGAAGTTCAGACAGATCCTCTTGCGATATTTCACACAGCGATGGAAAATGCTCAGCCTGTAGTGGGAGTTCAACCCATCAAAAAGGCAGGAAAAACATACCAGGTTAGTATAGCAAATTAATTAGCCTTTGAATGGTTCAGAATCAATGCTCAGAGTTTGAAAAAAGCGGTTTTGCACCACTGTTGCGAAAATAAAACCTTTATTCTCGGATAAACGTATGTATCTCACCTCTTAGTCCAATGAATTTAGGTTCCAACGCCGCTAACACCAAACCGTCGACGATTTCTCGCAATCAAATGGCTCCTAGGCGCAGCAAGAGATAAACCCGGACCAAGGCATGCCAAGATGTACGAGAAGTTATGTCAAGAAATCCTGGATGCCTTCAACGACCAGGTAAGTATCGACTGTCGTGTTAGGTGATGTTTACATGAGCCCGGTTACCCGAGATTCAACGAAGCGTGAGATGATTTTGAGGTTTTGAAATAAGTCTTTATGACACCAAACAAGCACATGCTATTGTTGTAGACTTGTAGTGATTATACGACTGCCAGGATCATATTATTTGCTCATTTCAATACCTGAAAATCATCTCACGCTTCGCTGAATCTCGGGTGACCGGGCTCATGTAAACAGCCCCTTCGACTTGCAAGTTGCAAAGGACAAAATCGGACAATCCAGGTTATATCGCGCTCATATTTCAGCCAATCAGCGCTCAGGAGGTTTCTCGAAAAATAAACCCATTCTGCAGTATTTAATCGATTATATCTTTTCTTATTCGTTATAAAACTAGTCGAAATTTGGTGATTATATTTCATTATAAGAACTATAGCTCTGACATAAATTTGAAAGCGAAATAAAGTATATTTCAAGAGATATGAAGTTGTTTCAACCGATGAATGGACTTTTATGTTTTGTATTTTTCTCCACAGGGAACGGTCGTTCAGAGAAAACGAGAACTTCACAAACTCGCCGAAAGTAACCGGGCTTTCGCGAATTTCAGATGGTGGTGATTGAATGTACGCTTTGTGGGCTGGAAAAATTTGGCGGAAATGTTCGAAAATTTATCGAAAATGTGAATCGGGTCATTCGGATGGCGCAAAACGAAGCAGTCACTGAAGTTGATAGCGGGTCCTTCTTCGCAAATTCAAATTACTTGCTTCGCAAAACAAAAGGTCTTCGGAGAAAATCCTAAATTCTCGAAGAAAATGCGATGCGTGGGAACTCAATAAAATGTCATATAAAACCTTGTGCTTTTTTGTTGTAAAGTTAGCCTACGGGACAATAAAATGTCCATGATATTTTTTGCATTATGTCTTTGTTTATTGAAAGCTTTACACTGCATTTAATAAACATACGGAAATAAGATCCAAGTCTTACACACATTTGCAGCAAAACTTCTTTTTGCCAATCAGGTCTTGGATGGTCTGAGCAACTCCACTTAGCGCTCCCTGGAGATCCCTCAGAAGATTTCGGATCGAGCACGCCGCGTCACACTGGCACCTCAATCCTGCCTGGCAATTCCCACTGTCCTCCTTTTCTCCCAAATATCCACAGACGTTCCCTCTGCCCGAGGGAGGGAGACAGGTGCGACTGAAGGGGTCGCACCATAACTTTTTCTGGTAGTTACATCGACGACCTGTTGAATGAAAGGAACATTTTAGTCGATTTTTAAAACAGTTCCTGGGTGTTGTTGGTGGTAATGCAATTTTCAGATTCAGTAAGGATCATCTTTTATTGATCCAGTGTTACTAAAAGACCCCCAACCTCTTACCCAGGGCTTAATTACCTAGGACTGATAGCACTATCCAGTATAAATAAAGTTATTTTAGTTTAGATTTCCTCCTGTAGTAACACTTGATCAAAAAGAGATGATCCTTACTGGACCTCTAGGAAGAACAGTTTACAACTGATAGAGTTATCCAGTGTAAATAAAGTTATTTTAGTTTAGTTTTCCTGCTGTAGTAACACTTGATCAAAAAGAGATGATCCTTACTGGACCTCTAGGAAGAACAGTTTACAACTGATAGAGTTATCCAGTGTAAATAAAGTTAGTTTAGTTTAGGTTTCCTCCTGTAGTAACAACACTGGGTCAATAAGAGATGATCCTTACTGGACCTCTAGGAAGAGCAGTTTAGAACTGATAGAGCTATCCGGTATAAATAAAGTTATTTTAGCCTAGGTTTCCTCCTGTAGTAACACTGGATCAAGAAGAGATGATCCTTACTGAACCTCTAGGAAGAACAGTTTAGAACTGATAGAACTATCCAGTATAAATAAAGTTAGTTTAGTTTAGGTTTCTTTTGCAAGTGGAGCAATAGGACATCATTACTGAATCCTCTAGGAAGAATAGTTGATAGAGCAGTCCATTTCTCATACCTTCAGCGCTGTTGAATCCGGAGACACATTTCTCGCCAATGTTACCCATACGCTGGCAGGTATGGTACAATGGACGACAGTAGAGTCCCTTTCCACAGTGTCGGGTCAAGTGGCAGCGTTCACCCTCCTTCCCTGGCCTGCGGCAAACGTGGGCGCCAGCCTCACATTGGAGACCATCACAACACGGATAAAAAACAGAACAACCAGCGCCCTCCCCCTGACAATCGCCTTTAACACCAACGATGGCAGCCAGACCGAACAAAAATACGGCGAAAATGCTACGAGACATTATTGAGCACTACAAAGATAAATGCATGGATGATACAAGCTATAGACTAGACTTTAATCCTGGAAAGAAAATCTTAGAATGAGTAGAATCGCAAAATTTGGTTGCGAAATGTCAACTGAAAAATATACCCAATAGTGCACTTGAAATTTTTCTGTTTGTATTGGATGGGGGAAATTAAATATATCATTTGTAAAAAGATTGTTGATTTTCAAACTCTGGAAGACTATATTTTGTAGAATATTTTGCTCACCAAACTTTGCAAGTATTTGGATTTATGAAGTCGTTTTCACAAGGGTATCATATCGTACAGAACCACAGGAGGGCATGATGAAATGCTACTTAACAGTCTCCCACTGGTAGTTTAGCTTTTGGTTAACAAATGAGACTGGGCCGAACTGGTATTTCCAGTTTAACATAACTAACGTGAGAAGACAAAATAGTCCATTTCAGTGACAAGGAAAATTTTTTTACCTTATACAGAATCTTGCTTCAAGGAATCAATATCCAAACTTGTTCTCTCTTGAACTAATGAGTTGACAATGATTTGCAACGGTATTTATATGAATGCTCTAATGAGAATTGCGCTGATTTAATTCTGAAATGTTGTCACATTTGAGTCAATTCAGCCTTAACCTTTTAATGAATTCCTCGCAGCAGTTCAAATAATGTTAATTAATGTTTCATTTTTGTTTGCTCTGCCAAATTGAATGTGAATTGTTTGTAAAGATTTCGACTTCGCACAACATTAGAATGTTACAACGTTTTGATATATGTAAAGAAATGCAATCAAATGAGCTGAAACACACCACAGCCGAAAACCTTTTTACAACAAACGGAAATTGTTACCATTTCCAGACGAACAATTTTCGTTTGTAGTAAAAAAGTATACAAATTTGCAAACTTTGCAAGTCTATATTTTCCGCATTTTACAACATTTCGCAACCAAACTTTGCATTTCTATTTGATTGCATTTCCTTGCAAGGATAAAAAAGTAGTCTATAATGCAAAAGGCCTATTGCAAAGCAAATGATACAAAAGCCAAATATGGATGGTATTTATAGGTTTACCGGTGGCTACACAGGATGAGTAAAAAAAACTTGACACCTTTGAAATTCAAATTAACTGTAATGTGACAGAAGTTGCCTGCAATATCTCATGGGTATACGAAGCATATCAAATAAGTGAATCATTGATTCACCTAAAACATAAAGTTTGTTTCCTTTGGGAGTTAAAGTGCATTTTATATAAGCTCCGTTTTTCATGGGAATTTTCAAATTCCAGCCTTAAGTTAGCGGCTAATTTGACTTTCAAAGTGTCAGTTTTTTTGCACTAACCCTGTACGTTAGCGTAGCACAGCTTTGTATATTATCTTACATGTCATGTAAGATTTGAAAATTTGAAAACTTGAAGATTTGAAAAGATTTCCGTTAAGATATGAAAAGCTATTATTTGCATGTTGTGGTGTTAATTTCGTTCCAACTGAAAGAAGCGATTCTTTTCAAAAAGGGACCACACTTTAAATTAAAATCTCTCGTTAAATGAATATTTGTTCAGGTTGAGCAAGTAAACACAAATAAAATAACGCAAAAAAAGATTACTCCGTATTTGTACAGGGTGAGTGAAAAAACCCCGACATCTTTGAAATTCAAATTAACTGCATAGCGGCTGTAATGTGACAGAAGTTGCCTAAAATATCTCATAGGTATACGAAGAATATCATATCAATTAACCTAAAACATAAAGTTTGTTCCCTTTGGGAGTTAAAATGCATTCTAAGCTGCGTAAATAAAAAAGAACAGTTTTATCAAATCGTTTTTGTTGATTGTACACATGAGAATTGTCATATTCAGCAAGAAGTTCCCGGCTAATTTGAATTTCAAAGGTGTCAGTTTTTTTGACTCACCCTGTAAATGTTTGCTCAAATATTCATTTGCAAATATTTTATCAGCTGCTTTAAGAAAATCAATCTATCGTTAAATGAATATTAGACATTTCTATTTACACCGGCAGAATACAATAATTCAATATGCAAATGATGAGTTTAAAATAATTTAATGGAATGTTTAATCGTTTCAGTTTATTCTTCACTAACGTGCGTTTTACTTTGAAAATGATTCGTTTATGAGGAGCAATGCAAGGCAACGTGGCCAAAAAAATATTGAAATAATTTGTACTGTTGTCTTGAGAATATGTCCAGTGAATTTTAAAGAATTTTAATACTTTTAATGTTCACATGTCATCAATTTAGTTCAGGATATTACGGGTATTCGGGCTACGAACAACCGCCCCTCCGAATTTTAACCCCGGACTCAGACCCGATACCGGAAGTGTTACCTCCTATTTTGTCATACATTTAAATATACATGCTATATCTATTACATCTTAAAAATCAGATATTTAAATATTTATTCCACGATTGATAATTATGGATATTAGTCATTCTAATTCTTGCTATTAGACTCGTTGAATTTCAAAGAGTTTCACGTCAGTGTCGTACCAAATTGGTGGGTCGATATTCCTATCGCGAAAAGACACGAACGGTTCAGAGTGCCAACTCTAATGCCCACCCTAACACCCTCCCTTATTCCTAACACCCCACCTTATTCCTAAACCCCTCCTAAACTCTAGCCTCAATCCTAACCTTTAGTCTAATCTCCCCACCAATATTCCTACCCTCCCTTTACCTAACCCCCTCCTTAAATCTAACCCAAACCCAACCCTTAGTCTAATCCCCCCACCAATATTCCTACCCGCCCCTATTCCAACCCTCCCTTTACCTAACCCTTTACCCAACCATTAGTCTAACCCCCCACCAATAATCCTACTCTCCCCCATTCCTACCCTCCTTACACCTAACCTCCTTTGCAACCCACCACACCTAACTCTCCGCCCTTAAGCTTGTATATACATAACTTTGAGGAAGGTCTTCATAGAGCTAGAAAACCTCCTTAAGAAATGCTGAAGACTTGGAAACTCTGATGCTAAGAGACCCACACTAACCTTAGGTAGACAATACCCCACATGTACGTACGGAACCACATCTGGGTGCCACTGTTCGCCTAGATATGGACACAAAACAAGTCTTACTGGTTGGCTCGAAACTGGTTTAAACTGGTTTTATATCAGGCGCTAACCTGGTATTTTCTAATTAGGATAGGATGAGGTACTGGTAGTAGACCAACCAATGTACCATGTTGGAGAAACTTTAAGATCTCCGATTCATCTGTTAATCCCCTGAAAATAATGGTTGAATGATGTTAGAATAGTTTGGAACTGATAGAGCTAACTTTAGAGCTATCCATTAAATAAAATTAGTTTAGTTTAGGTTTCCTCTTGTAGTAACACTGGATCTATAAGAGATGATCCTTACTGGACCTCTATGAAGAACAGTTTAGAACTGATAGAGCTATCCAGTATAAATAAAGTTCATTTAGTTTAGGTATCCTCCTGTAGTAACACCGGATCAATAAGAGATGCTCCTTACTGGACCTCTAGTAAGAATAGTTTAGAACTGATAGAGCAATCCAGTGTAAATAAAATTAATTTAGTTTAGGGTTTTTTTTGTAGTAACACTGGATCAATAAGAGATGATCATTACTGAAGTGTTAGTTCAGAATCCACAGAGCTCATACTTGTCAATGCATATTTTCTCCACTTGAGGCACAAGAACTTGCAACATTCTCATGATCGTTTGCAAAGGCAGCTTTTGTTTCCACGACTGGATCTATAAACAAAACAAAACGGTTCAAAAACACTGAAAAATGAAGACAATTTCCACATTCTTCCCAGTTCTACAGCAAGACAACGAGTCCTGGGTATCTTACCCATTCAGAGGTGGCGACGAATGAACCAGTACTCGAGACAGATTGCGAGCGACCAATCACTTTGCGATACGAATTATTTTCTTTCGACGTAACCGACTGATTACCGGAGGCTGCCGCTGACCCTTCATCGCTGTCACTTGAATCGCCATCGACAACAGTTCTGTGCACTTCTTCCACTAAAATGGATACGTTGAAACACGTTACGACGAAGCCACGAACTAATCTTAAAACATATTTTCAAGCCCAGGACAGACTGGAGACAAAAAAAAGCCTTTCAGAGCACGCAACGGGGTTTCCGGGCGTTGTTATACTATGCAATTTTCCTTGGAACTTGTAATGCAATTATAATCTTGAGAGATGTTAATTTGTAAAGAGTGTTGGAAATGCTAAGAAAACGCTAGCAGATCGTAAGAAATGTTCGTATTTGACAACTTTAGATACCTCAGGTGTAGAATCGCATTGCAAGTTACAAGGAAAGTTGCATAGTACAATACCGCCTTAAAGCTTCAAAATACGTACTCTCCAAATCTCAGCTTTACACATATCCTGATTATACTCTCGTAAAACGTGGATCTTCTTAACACAATAATTCTTATCTAAAGAATTACCTTGCGCTTCGATTTCTGGTAGTTTGTCTGCAATTGGTTTATCCTCCCTTTACAAAAATAAAGTTGATAGAAAGAATTGAAATTGTCGTTGATATTTTTTACCAAGCTAGTTCCCAGCAGGTTAGTTTAGGTTATTTCCTGTAGTAACACTGGATCAATAAGAGATGATCCTTACTGGACCTCCGGGAAGAACAGTTTAGAACTGATAGAACTATCCAGTATAAATAAAGTTAGTTTAGTTTAGGTTTCCTCCTGTAGTAACACTAGATCAATAAGAGATGATCCTTACTGGACCTCTAGGAAGAACAGTTTAGAACTGATAGAGCTATCCAGTGTAAATAAAGTTAGTTTTATGAATAATTTTCTTACTCCTCTTCACTGGATGATTCTGAGGCCCGCCGTCTTCTTCTTGGTCGTCTTGCTGTGCTCGGATCAGTCGATAGATTCGCAAGCTACAAGGAGAAGATTAAGACAACGAATTATTACTACAGCCACAAGTCCATAACATTTAGAAACGATTATCTCCTTTCCTCAGCTAAGAAAAGCAATGGTCTACAAGGCAAACAATATATTCTAGAGAGGATTCTTCACGAGGTATCAAAAGCGTACAACGATATTATAGCAAATATAACGAAGTCTAACTCTCCTGGCGAAAGCCCTTACTCGAAAAGTCGAGAAGTGTTTTTATCTATTTTATGGCGTTGTTATACCACATTTGATGCAATGTTGTTTGAAAACGCTGGCACGCTGTTTCTCAGTTATAAAACAAAAGGTTATGTTCTTTTTAATTGGTTTGTAGTTTAAAATTACACTCACTTGGTGGAACATGTTTCTCTTTCTTATGATCGCGTATATCAAATGTGAATTGCCTGAAATTGGAGGAATATATTTAGAAAGATGTTTCGGGTGGAAATGCAACGTGTTCTTAACACTCAATTATGAAAGGCAAAACGAAGACACAAATCGGTTGCATTTATCGTACAAATCCTGCGTATTTAACTACACTAGATTTAAAAATTAATTTTTCATCTATCCCTGTTGGTACAACTCAAAGTGGCGTCAAATGAACTTTCACTTAGACGAGTACGAGTTGAACTTACCATCAAATTGATATTGAATGATGTTATTGAATATTTCCAACAGGAAGAATACTAAATGATGGTTTGTGGCGCCCGAGAAGAGAAACCAGGGCGTAGAGAATGCCTGGAAAATGTTTACACGATGATGAGATCTTGGATAAATATTTGGATATTGATCAAATTCACATTGAATTTACTAACAAGGGCACTAAATGATGGTTTGGGGTGCCCAAGAGGAGAAACCAGGGCGTGGAGAATGCGTGAAAAATGTTTACACGACGGTGAGATCTTACATAAATTGTATTGAATGTGGTATAACAACTGCCTAAAATCACACACAATCCAAAAGACATCTTTTGTCTTTTGGATTGTCTACGCTAAAATAGACAAGAACACTTCTCGACGTTTCGACCTGCGGGCCTTTGTAAAGAGAGTTAGTTTATACATCATACTAACTCTCCTGACGAAGGCCCTCAGGCCGAAACGTCGAGAAGTGTTTTGTCTATTTAGTCAGTTGTTATACCACATTTGATGCTAAGTTGTTTGAAGACGCTGCCACGCTGCTCCCTGGTTATAAATTGTATTGATCAAATTGATATTGAATTGTGTTTTTGGATATTTCCAAGAACAAGTGCACTAAATGTCACAATGTTTATTACCATGATAAGTAACAAGATACTAACACGATACGCTCATTTTAAAAGGAATTGCATGGAAATATTTGCAACACTTACTTCAAGTAAATGTAGCAGTTTATTCGACGTGACCATGGACAGAGATTTCAAGTATGGTGAAACTGTTGGAATCAAAGCATTGTCACTGTTAGTATAAAAGAAAAACCAGAGACCCAAAAGAAATATGGCGAGTTTTATAGAGTCTTTGCATGAAAGCAATCTTTGCCTAATGGGACATGCTTGAGTCGAATTGAAACAGTTGAAGTGAGCATAACTGGTCTGTTCATGTGATCCAATTCACTTCTAGCGGATGTTTTATAGTCTGTTGACTTGCAATGTATATTATAACGGGCGGCATATCAACTAAAGCTGGCCAATGAAGTACTGCTTTATGAATAGCAGACTACATTCTATACGTAAGAAGTGAAATGGATCCGTGGGACTAAGTGAGGTTTAAGTGAGGTATTTGACTCCAATGGATGACCACTAAGTCTCACGACACGTGTGTTTCTACCACGCGCGTTTGTATTGTTGAAGGAATCCCACGCGCGCGTCTGAAGGGCGAGGCGCGCGTCTTGGAGGGAGCTTTTCGGTTTACAGTGATTTTAACTGGATTTTAATAGTTGAAATCAACTGATCTGAAAACAACTGGAACATCTTTCTTACCGTTAACGACAATCGTCAGAAGGCAATCGTACAGGGGCTGAAGTCTTTGATGTCCAGTCGTTATAATTTTATGAAATACCTGAAAAATGAAATATATCCATCGATCTCCCCGTAATAAATAAATAAATGAAATCACAAACGTGCCTACATTATGAATACTTACGATGATCAAGAGATCCGCATGAGTCCCCGTGAATACCGGTATATCCATTGGTATCCTCACGGAATACGGTTTATTGAGACGAACACCTTAGGAAGAACATGTTTATAGAATTAAGCGCAATGTTTGAATTTTGTCGTTTGCGTTTGAACGTGTGGTAATGGACCTTTTGCATAATAGACCAACTTGTGATCTAGGTAACAAGAAGGAAATAAATCACCTCAGCTAAAAAGAGCATACCGAAATTATAGCATAATTGCCAAGTTTGGCCGCAAAATGTCAAGTATTCCGGAAAATATAGCCATGCAAAGTAGCCAATTTTGTATACTTTTTTACTACGGCCGGAAGCGTTTAACTAATCTAGTTACAAACTTCCGGCCATAGTAAAAAAGTATACAAAATTGGCAACTTCGCATGGCTATATTTTCCGTACTTTACAATATTTTGCAGCCAAACTTGGTAATTTTACTAAATTTAGTACGCACTTTTTGGAAATTTCCTTTTTGTTGCCTAAATCAAAAGTTGGTCTATTATGCAAAAGGTCCAATTGAAAGTGCGATTTTAAGGGAATCTTACCGAAGTTTCTTTCCCCACTGAGTAAGAGTAAAATAAATACACCAATATGCATAAGACCCAAGCGAGATTGATCAGATCTCGCGTCGTTCAGGTGGTATAATATCGGAACTAAGATCTCCAAAACATCGCTGCTTTTCAACACGAAAAACAGAAATTTCTACAAAGAAATTTAAAATGCATTCAGCATCTTGCAAAATAGCATTCAGCACCTTGTTTATCATGGCAAAAAAGTATCGTCCTTCAAGAAACATGGTAATGAAACGGGACATCGTAGTATCGAGAAATAGACCATTTTCATGATGACATTCCTAAGTTTTGATCTGTATTTGGTGAATGCAAAACACCAAACAAAGGAGTTATTGCAAAATTTAATGCGGCGGCTATCAACAATGTTATAATGTCAACGCCATTATAACTGAGATGAATACAAAAGAAGCTTCGATTCAAGTGTCATTTTCCTCTCGGTGTATCCCGAGAAATCTTTTCATTTTCACAATATTTGGAGATTATGCAGTAAACATACTTTGTGGATGCTTTTCAGGTTTGCAAAACATTTTTAATGCTGAAAATTTTAGTGCTGTTGCATGAAGATATAACTGAGGTTTTGAGCATATATTACGCGACATAGAAAAATATCTCCTCTTATTATAAAATTACAATTTATTCTTATCTCACCTTATTCAAGTCGCACATTTTCCAGAATAGAACCAATAACTCCTGATGAAAGTTGATTTTCTTGGTGGAGTTAGGAAGATACGTCTATAAAACACAGCATTTTAGTAAGACCATCAGTCGAAACTGACTGCAAAAACTATTATATATACTAGCATATATATACGAGGTTTATATCAGACTGTTTTTATTCAAGCTTACCTGTATAAGCGGGTTATTCAGAAGCTGTGCCAATCCATGGAGAATGAAATGAAAATCCTACGAAGAGAAACACAAATATTTAACATAATTTTAAAAGGATATTTTGCGATTTCACTCGCAAAAAACTATTTTCACACGTTTTTTAACAAGCAAGTACACTTAAAAAGGTATAGATAATGGTATAAACTAGGAAATAAACATAAAACAAAGACGTTTTTGAGGCACTTTCACCTTGACACCGCAGTTACACGGCAAGAAAACACGGAAATCTCTTAGGGTCAAAAAGGCAAGAAAATATACCTCTTCACGATGAATACGAGACAAATAATTGCAAAACAGGTTTTCTTGTGCACCAAGCTAAAGGAAACATTAAACTTGATGATGCAAGTTTGATGATGATGTATTTTTGACTATGTATTTAAACAACAGGGAGGAATTTCGTTTTGAACTAAACGGCAAATTTGTTTACATTTCCATGCAAAGTCAATCAGAATGCCTCATTTTTTAATACTTCATGTAAAATGGTAAATAATGCACCTTTTAACCGGAAGTAGTCAATATTTGTGCATTCTGATAGGGTTACAGAAAATGTAAACAAATTTGTTGATTGGTCTAAAACGAAATTCCTCAGACAGCAAAACACGGGGGAATGCTTCACGAGGCAAGATCTTATCTCTGTAGATTCTGTACCTCTGGTGTCTGTTCTAAGACTCCCTCCTCAGAGCTGCTCTCTGCAACAACGCCATGACTTTGCTCGCTGTTCTGATCTAACAGCACAACCAGGAGCTGTGAGGCGACCTCTGCCAGTGGTTCTCTTGTATCGTTGAACATCAGGTGGTTGTAACTAGAACAGAATGTGATCTCTTATGCACCATAGTTGAAATAAATACCCTGTATAATAAACACTCCTAGACCCACTGAGATCTGGGGCAACTGATTACTAAATCATATCGAAGGACTAACGGTAGGAATACAATTAGGATTGAGTTTTGAATTAAAGTTCTGATTTGGATTAGTGTTGGGTTAAGACTTCACGATCGAATGGGATCAAGATTAGGATTCTGATTAGGATTAGCATCGGGATCAAGGGTTAGGATAGGGTTTTATATTAGGGTTCTAATCAGGGTTAATGTGAATTAGGAGCCAGCCAGATTGGGGTTTAAATTAGGGTTTAGGATTAGCAATAAGATCAAGAGTTGGATTGGGGTTGGGATCAAGAGTTGGATTGGGGTTGGGATCAAGAGTTAAGACTAATTTATACAAAACTTGCAAATCTGCTCAAGGTTATATTTGCCAAGATTTGCCTGGATGAAAATATTGATGAATAATGTACTCACGGGACACCATACCCGACTGGGTCATAGGAACAGACTGTGTTTAACAGCGACGTAAAAAGTGGCAAGGCATGCCTAAAAATATATTTAAGAAAATTTTTGAGAATTATTACCGTTTAAATATACTCCAGGTTTTGAAGAAAGAGCCGAGAAACCAACCTGTTCTCTGATGAAGAGAAATGGGCGAGCCACTTGTTGGGTAACGCTTGATTTTCAGCTGTGGAGAAAATATGAAATTCTTACATTTTGAGGGACTTTAGCATCAAAATTTTATCATCTCATTTTTAACATTCATGATAAAAAATTACAAGTTACATGGAAAATTACAAGTTTGAATAACATACGTGTAGGTGGGAGATACATGGACTCAGAGAAACATGTCAGGAGAAGTTTCAATATTGCAACTCGGTTAATGTCAAACTGAAGATTATGCGCAGGAGATACAGAAAAACCAACACCAGCCTCCCTAGAGGATAAAATACAGCTTCAATAACAGATCACCATGGGCACACAGAGACTCTTGGGGGCAGTTATGATTGGGGATGGATGCCGTGTGGTTTTGTAGAGGGGGAGGTGCACACAAGCTTTCAACTAGTGGGTGGGTCCACACCCCTAATGCTGCCCTCTCCACCTAGGATAGAGTGTGCACACCCCTATCCCAGACCTCAGAAGGCTTCTAACTCAGCCTGCCTCATGAGAACTGAACTTCCTCATGCAAGAGATCACTTACCAAATGTATTCGCAACTATCAATTGTGGAGAGATCCTCTGGGTTTTCCTAGATACAAGAGAGTTTAATTCAGTTTATCAGCTCTTTTATAAGCCAAGGAAAGAAAACTACGCACGTTACAAAAAGAATAAGTTCCCAGACTACATTGTTGTTACTACTCACTGGACCAACTCTTTTTGTAGCTTGAACCGTGAAATCTGGACAAAATAGCAAGTCCTGCAACAATTTAAGAGGATATAGAATAAAATAACTTTATGTTCACAAAATACATTGTGTTTTATGCTAGAATGTACATACCGCTAAAGCATTTAACAAAGACTGAGCCATGGGTGGAGAAGAATCTGTGTTCTGTAAATATAGCAATTTATCAGCATGAGAAAATAATAAATAATTGCAATGCACTTACTAATTAAATTTATCTAGAATGCGATTTACCATTTCTCTGCCTGTCAAACCACCAGCATGATCTAAGTCACCCTGAAAATAAAGGACATAAAAGGGTATTAACTTTGCTTCAAGGGCATAGGTAGTATATGTAATGTATAGTATATGTCTCAGTTGTGCACTTACAACTTCACCAGGGACCGTTGACCAGAAGAATCCTCTCCAATCAGGATCCTCGAATATGTATGGGATGACTCGTGTTAAAATGTTCACACAATTTAAAACTAAAAAATAGATAATAAAGCATGGATTAAAATGAAAAGTGTAAATAAATTTCATGCAATCTGGGTACCAGCAAGACATATCTGGGTACTAACTAATGGTTGTTTATTACAGTACTCTTTGATTGCTCAGTTAATCATTCATCAGAGTAAAATACCAAAGTAGCAGGGACTCATCTGGGTTCAATGCAAACCAAATGGGGTAAAATTGATCATCTCTGTTTACCAGCTGATAGTTTTAGTAAATATAGAATTAAAGTTTTTCTGAAAAAGTCTGCATAAATATTGTGTAATGTGAAACAATGCAGACCTTTTTAGAATAACTTAAATTCTTTAAAATCATATTTGACCAACCTATAATATGTTCTTGTGGACCTGTACAGCATGTGGCTCTTGCATTTACAATTCTTTCCACACACTACACAAATATATATACGTTTGTTTCAATCATTCATGCAACATAAGTATAATCCTCATAGATATGAAAGCTATGTGCAGTAGTCATTCAATGAGGGTCTACATTTTTAATAGCCTACTCATCTGTGTAAGAAAGTTAAAAATACTATGATGCATATTACTAAGTAATATATAGATAAAATACAAATGATTTGCTAGAGCAATTATCATGACATTTTATGGGTTGGATAAGAGATTGATTTTCATCAAGTTATAAATTCAGATGTCCTTTCAAAATGTATAGTTTTAAACGCAATACATCTTTTTGATTTGTGCACAACATACCCTACACAAGACAATCTTTGCCCAATTGTCAACAAATTACTTGATATTAATTGTTTGTCTATGGGTTCACTAACATATATATGATTTTCTGCACCTGATTTAATGGAGGTTGTCCTTTCAAAACCTTGAACCATGAACTCAGAGTATACGAGAAAATCATGGGTTATCTCAGGCTATATTACACAAATTGAGGCTCAAAGAATTGCCTTTTTGAGCATAATTATCATAAATTTTCTATAATGTCAAAGATATTCTTGAAAAGCTAAATTCATCTTCCTTAAGTCCTGTTTACACTTGCAATTTTTGTTGTAATTTAATGTGTGATTTTCTTTTTTGGATAGATGTGAACAAGCGAATTAGTCACAGATAATCAAATTAAAGCTATTATACATCAGAGCATTTGTAACTAGTTACTCATTCTTATCAACCAAAGGAAGAAAATCACACAAAAAAACACAAAAAAATTGAAATGGGCCTTTATGCCTTATAGTTTAGGGTTCATGTTTGCAAACGGACAGCCTTTATTGAATTAGCCTTTATTGAATTTCGAACAATTGTGCAAATGCAAACAACTAAAATATTACAAAATCATGACAGACTGTTATTAATAAATAAACAGATCCCTCAACTATGTTATTCAATGACAAATTACATTGCATTTTAGCCACAGAATAGAAAATTAGTGGAGAAGCAATCTCTGTATGAAACCTCTGAAGTTGAACATCTCCTGGTCAATATTTCATGTTTTATGCCATTAATTTGGATGGAGAACAGCATGATAGCTATTGCTTCAGCCTATAAATATGCTGAACTGGTAGCATTCAACTCCGAATATCTGCCATCATTCAACTCAGTCAGCTGCAAGCTGTTACAGTACACGTTGCTTAAATCAAAGATCTTTCTGTCAGAGATCAAATTCCTACTGAGATTTAAACTTCAACTTTATACAATACTGCACATAAATCTCATATCCACATACAAATGCCGTTGTAAATGCTACAAATACTGGCTATTTTAATACACAATACGATCGCTGTGATTTTGACGTGGCATTGTCTATTAGGAAAATATCACGGTTGAAATTACCTTGTACAAAAGTGTAGCTAAGTTTGATGGGTTGTCGTCCCGTAACGAACGAATTTCCGTAGCTGGAATAAGGGTGAAGATGTCACTGACTGATACGCTTGGATCCGTCCAGAACTGAGCCCAAAACGCATCGTCTCCAGCCTCTAAAGCCTGCAAAAATCAATGCATTGTGTAACTGAACAGCCATCAAAATCGACTTATAAACAAACGAACAACAAACTTCAAAAGCTGTGTCTTTAGCGATCAACATACCGTTTTTTTCGTTGTAAGTTGTACAACTGCTTTTCTAAAAGCGAATTTCGTGTCAGTGTTCCCCATTTCGCTAATGTTTGATGTTTTAAATGTAAGAAATATCACACAACGTTTCAAAGACACTCAAAACCACTCACAAACCACAAATTCGCCGCCATTAATATTCAAGTTACTACAAGCTACGACCACCTACGACGAAGTACGTTGGAGGATTTCGTGAAAGTCCGAACGCCTGTTGACGGATGTCCTTTCGACGAGACGCAAAATACGCAAATTATTCTGTTTGCGCTAATTATTCTAAAAATCGACGAGCAACGGCATGTATAAAAGTTTGTTAAAAAAACTAAAAGTCCCCGTAAAAGGCTAGTAGGCTACTTATAATGGCGAAAGCTAAACCAAATTATAATAAGTTTATTGTTAAAAGGATTGTTGATCAGTTGATATTTATTGTTAGTGTCCCTGCAGTAACAATATTTACAACACCTGGTTACAAATAAATTTCTACATTCATATACTGATTTCAAAATTGCACCTTTTCAAGAGCAAGTAATAAATGGAAGAAACATATCCCAAATTACAGCTAGGAAGAGCATCTTAGAACAGGGCTTAATTCTCATTATAAAAGATGCTCTTTTTAGCTGTGACGTTGGGTTCCGTTTTTCGTGCCTAAATTGAGATTCAATCTACACATAAAATCGTCATATTCATGACCTACAATTCTAATTCTATTCTGCTATATACCGCAGATGTTTAGTAATTCCTATAAATAAGTACAAAAGTTTTTTGAATACATAGAAAATCCTGTTCTTTGCTTGGCTAAATGAAATATTATATAACTAAGATTCTTACCCAACATCGACAATACCCAATTATGTACAGTACCTAGCTACGATCTATTTATCCGGTGGGTGGATATGCAAATATATTTGAGGCCAAATTATCATTAGTGTTATTAAGAAAACCAAGAAAATAAAATATCAAGACAAAGAAAACAACCAACAAATATATGGCTGAAAAATGTGTTTTCTTTAGCATTCCATTTCCATCCTTAAAAAATGTTGGGGCTATCTCGCCCCTGCCTCAAACCTTGCCCTATCTCACACCTTGCCCTCTCCACCCTAACAGGTAGGAACGAAGTCAATCGTATCTCTCACAGAACCTAACCAACAGTTCAAAAGCGCTTTCATTTTGATTCACATCAAAATCTGACAGCATTTTTCCATTTTCACTGTTATTATTAATCTCCTCATCAAATTCCTTTATGGTGTCCCTCAAATCCTCGATAGCAAATTGATCACCCATGGGCATGGTCATACCCCGTTTCAAAGTTTCCTTGCCCCCCTCCGCCTCAGTTTCGGCATCAATATCCACTTCACCCACATCCATAAGTCCAGGAATTAGTTTCTTTTTCGATCGATCTCTCTTCAAAGAAGAAGCTTTCTTATCCGGCTTTGCATAAACGTGGGTTGGGTCTGGCACAAATATACTTTCAACTTCCTTTTCTTCAGGTTTTGTCGGAGAACCTGGCGTCACGGCCTCGTCATATAAACTATCTCCACGATTTTGGGGAATTTCGTCATTCGTTGTAGTCGACGGCTTGTCTGGATGACAAACTTCGTCGTAGACGCCGTTACAAACGCTGCCCTGTGGCTGTGAGGGAGGGCTACAGCTTTCTGGACTACCAACTTCGTCGTATAAACTTGAAACTGCTGCAGTTTTTGACGGTGAACTTTGGTTTTCGGCTTGTGCTGTAACTGTCGCGGGAGTTGAACTTGCACTGCCAACGTCTTCGTATAAACCAACCGCGCTTACTTGAACGTTTCCACTCGCTACTGGAGACTTATTTTCGGATTGGGTTACACTTTCCTCGCCTGTGACAGGAAGAAAAGTGACCATCAAGTTCAGCACTTGCGTGGTTTTTTACCGAGTTATATGTAAACGCTTGGTTTGAAGAATAAAGGTTGAAAATTTTACGATTTTAAGATCAAAAGTTTCGGCGGGAAAATGTTCGGAACCAAAAATACTCCGGCTCAGCGAACACTTAATAAAATCACTTTTCGAAAATCACTTTCAGAGATAATCCTTACTGGACCTCTAGGAAGAACAGTTTAGAACTGATAGAGCTATCCAGTATAAATAAAGATAGTTAAGTTTAGGTTTTCTCCTGTACTAACACTGGATCAATAAGAGATGATCCTTACTGGACCTCTAGGAAGAACAGTTTGGAACTGATAGAGCTATCCAGTATAAATAAAGTTAGTTTAGTTTAGGTTTCCTCCTGTAGTAACACTGAAAAGTTTGTCAAAGTCTTGAAATTCCTTCAATGAATAGTTTTTATTATAGAGTAATGATCTTACCTGACATGGATGGTAATCTAGCAGGGAGGGGTGGGGGATCCGAGGAGCTGGCCTGCTTTTTGGTGAGGCTAGTGGTGCGGGACTCCACAGTAACAGTGTCATAAAGATCTGCATTAGGATCAGAACTTTTGGTGTCTTTTGTCACAGCTTTTTCATTCACAGTTTCATAGGTTGGGTCCGCATATGGATTTGTTTCTTCGAGCTTCTTTGGTGCTGGTTTATCTGTGGTTTTCGTATCCGTTTTTGGAAACTCAATGCATTGGTAGGCGCTTATAACTGGCTTATTGCTGGTGGTGGTGGGTCTTGTGCAGAATTCGGGCGGTTCTGAGGGGTCCAAGAGCACGGTATCCATACCATCCAGATTGCGGGGAGGTTTTTGAGGTGGACCGGCAAAGTTGGGCTCATCATAAATGCTAGGGACTGCATCAGATCTGTTCAAAAGAAAACACTGTAATGATGAACTTGATTGGTCTGTCAGATTAGACCAATCAGAGAGGACTAAAACGAAACACAAAACAATTGTAGATGGATGTTGACAAGAGCATACAGGATGAAACAATTACAATCTTAAAGAAAGAAATCTTTACAAACATAATACTTTAAACAGTTGCCAGTGTTTTTAATTAACAATTTCCTGCAGGCCAAGGAAGCAAACAACCATCACAGGTCAAAAAAGCATTCCAAACTTTCTAGGTGTGCATGACATTTGATATATATTCAACTCACGTTTTCTTGTGTTTTTCCAGATATTTTGATTTGGCCATTCGAAGACATCTAATCCAACCTTGAACCTCATCTTCATTCCTTCCCGACTAAAAATGTAGTGACAGAATATAGCTCCGAAATAAGATAGTCTTAAAAAATTCTTTCAATACAAAAGCTTTAATTCTTACCATGTAATATGTTCTTCCTGGTTTAGTTGTGATTTGAAATGCATTTTTTTCACCCTTTAACATACTTATGGAGTCAATCTGGAAAGGAATACTTGCTGAAATCATGTTTGGGTATATTTTGCCATATAGCTTTTTTTATAAAAAATATATTAATTTCTTTCACTCTAATGATTAATTCTAAGTGGAAGTTAAAAGTCCGTGTGTAAAGAAACAGTTTGTTTAAACTTTGAACTTTACTTTGTGTCATTAAATATCCAACAAAGTTTAGGTTTGCTATGCCTTTAAATGAATATGAAGTAGTGTTTTTGATGAGAAAAATTCGAAACATGCAAAATTTGGGCCAAATTTATATCTGAGGACCTCACATTGTCATGAGCAGTCTTTCATGTTTACCTACACCTGCATGCAATAGTTTTGTAAAATATAGTCAGTAATAAATGTTATCAAAATTTAAAAAATTAATTAGTCAAACATTCTAACGAAGTAATTATAAGGTTATTCGCACAATTATAGAATATAAGGCGAAAGGATAATGTTAGGAATTTGTTTTTATACATATAGGTATTCTACGATTGCTTAAAGTCACAGGCAGTGATATTTACCTCAACCACTTCAATACATCCCAACATATTTTCTGGCTATGAAAATCAAAAACAAATTGCTCAACAAATTGATATATATGCAGTGTGATGAAACTACCAAGGAAAACAATATATTCTACTCACCAGTAACTCCTTTGTTTTGTAGTATTTTAAACTCCAGCGATCCAGCACAAAATATCTTGGTCGCCAGCTGTGTAAATGTGTCTAAACGGAAACAAAACAAAACAATTTGTTGTGATGGTGCTAATCTGACTTAGTTTGACCATGGTGGCAGTCAAACTCTTGACCTTTGCTAGTCAATGCATTAAGGCCTATTCGACTACATGCTAAGTTGTACATGTATGCAAATATCATTCTGACAAATGCAAGAGTGTCTATGCCACAATTTTCATGCAATTTTGTTCAGGTTAGTGTCACATTTGTATGTGTGTTTATATGTTCACATTAGCCAGTGTATGAATTGTATAAGACAAATCGCATAGTGTAGCTTTTTCCAATTCAGCTACTATAAGTCAAGATGGTTCAAGGGTTTGATATTTCGTAGCTCTAATCCCTTTCATATCCAATATGTCTTAAACATTTAAGGATAATACTCAAAGTAGCCAAAACGTTTTCAAGAAACATTTTTGTATGCTAACCTTTTTCATTACTCGAATTAGCTAGCTACAACACCTGCTTTTATGAAAAATGTTGAATTTTCAGAACAGGTTCTGGTATAATTTAATAGATAATAGCGATATACAATGACATGCAATCATGACTGTGAAGTTGAACTTCCCGAGACGACGTTGAAAGATGAAAATGTGGGCGAATATTTGAAAGGCATTTTAAAATGTCAATTTATTCGAGGCATCGAAAACCATGGTCCTTTAAGAGTAAGCAAAAAGGCAAATTCAAGAGAGACAGCTGTGCTTTTAGCGCGTTCGTTTGCAATCTTTTCATAATTATTTGATCCAGCCGAGTGAGCCATATCGCAGGAAGTACCAATTAAGCACTTGAGTTCTACATTGTATTTTAAAACATAATTTTTGTCGTTCTAATTGCGATATCAAAATTCTTGTTCATTTTTTACACATTTCGTTAAATGCGGCACAACTCTAAACTCTTTCGAGCCGCAAATGCGAAATCTATCGCGGAAACGGCCACGAAAGAGCAAATTGATAGTTCATAGTCATGTGTTTTAATATACATGTGGAGTCTATAGACGTGACACCTTCGATTTCCTGGTCGACCGAAAGACGAAAGTCTCAAATGAACAGTCGATCCGTTCGGAAAACTATTTCAAGCTGCGATATTTTATATTTATGCTAGACCTTGTCTACGTCTTCAATACAACACATCTTAATTGTTAATCGTATCGAGTCAAATATTTGTAGAGCCTTATTAAAGTTGATATATGTCACAGGAATGCAAATATAAACTGATACACCAAGCATCGATGAAGCATCTACTTTTCTAAGCAAGTGATATATGCCCAAGTTTTGCATGCTAAATGAAGAATTTGCATATAAAGATACAACGCTATACCTGTATCAGTCCTTTACCAGCCTTGTTAAGGAATCCTTCTCTATAAAACTCCATATTTTAAAGAGAAACATACGATAGTACGACAGTTGTTCACGGAAATAGTAATCTAACAGATTGTTGTTGTCACAGGAAGTAATTATTTCATGCTTGATTAATCCTCTGGATCAGGAGGGGAAACACCTGAATAATCTAAAAATTCCAGGGGGGAAGAGGGAGTTTTAGATGGCAAATGGACTCTAATACACCTGGAATGATGAAAACTGGAGAAAAATAATTAAGTCCAATTATTCAAAATCGTTATTCTAGATTTTTTAGCTGAGAAACGGAGCCATTAAGTTGCTATTCCGGGTGGAAATATTATGCCTTAAACGGAAAAATATTTTGAAGAAAAAACTGAAACCTTTTTCTTGCCAAAAAAAGGGCAAATTTTTGGCTATTATTTTCGAAATATTTGAATACTGCGCCTGGCGCCAACGTCCTGAAATTCCTAAGCCAAATAGGGGATTCAATGTCTTCAGTTTCATTATAAAAAACCTAAACTTCTTTGTAACATATAATTCAAAACCAACTGAAAATGTAACTAAATAGTACCTTTACAAGACTGACGTGATACACAAAATTTTGGTCACATACCTTTCTCTGCTACTCTTACAACTATATACAAACGTTCTTAGCTAAATAACGCATCAAACAGAATGATATTATGAATATATATTGATCTATATTGTCTTTCTATGGCTCGCTTTGACTTCGACTACCAAGGGACAATGTTATTTTTCTCAGCGCAGGCTGTGCGTATGGAAACTCCTGGTTGAGACGATCAACAATCGTCATGAGCGACTGTAAACGGTCTTTTTGCTTTTGCAATTCGTTGTCGAGTGTTTCCGACGTTTTGCAGAGCGTTGAATATCGACCTTCCTTCACAGCGGTCAGATGCTTGACTTTCTTCTGGGCTGCTATAATATCAGCAAGATTCTGAAAGAAAAGAAACAAGTTAGTTTAGTTTAGGTTTCCTCCTGTAGTAACACTGGATCAATAAGAGATGATCCTTACTGGACCTCTAGGAAGAACAGTTTAGAACAGATAGAGCTATCCAGTATAAATAGAGTTAGTTTAGTTTAAGTTATCTCCTGTAGTAACACTGGATCAATAAGAGATGATCCTTACTGGACCTCTAGAAAGAACAGTTTAGAACTGATAGAGCTATCCAGTATAAATAAAGTTAGTTTAGTTTAGGTTTCCTTCTGTAGTAACACTGGATCAATAAGAGATGATCCTTACTGAACCTCTAGAAAGAACAGTTTAGAACTGATAGAGCTATCCAGTATAAATAAAGTTAGTTTAGTTTAGGTTTCCTTCTGTAGTAACACTGGATCAATAAGAGATGATCCTTACTGAACCTCTAGAAAGAACAGTTTAGAACTGATAGAGCTATCCAGTATAAATAAAGTTAGCTCAGTTTAGGTTTCCTCCTGTAGTAACACTGAATCAATATGAGATTATCATTTAAAAAATCTAATACGTTGACCAAATAGTTTATATAGTTTCAGGCTTACCCTTTGTCTCTCGTCCGTCAATCTATCGATATTCATGTCAGCTTCGTCCACGGTGCTTTGCAACTGGTAAACTTTACTCTGTTTATCTTCCAGCTGCGTGCTGACTTCCTTCTGGTTTTCTTGAAGAGAGCGGATGTCTTTATCGCATTCATTCGCATCATTGTTTGTCTGCTTGATCTTCTTCTTAAGTTCTGCCACTTTTCTTTGGTAAGCTCCTTTTGTGTTCGTACTTTTACCCGTCTTCGTTTGAGCATCGCCCCTGCACGATAAACACAACAATTTCGTTCACATTTTGCCCACTTTCTCGGCTAGTGTAATTTGGCCGAAAAACGACTGTAAGCATATCAATCCTTGCATATAGCGTGCAGAGAACCTTTGGTGACGCAGATGAAAATCAATTGCATTTATGTAACTAGTTTTGTACACTTTCAGTAATCTAGTTCTACTTAAAAAGTACTGCATATATCAAGGGTGTCAATCCTGGAGGGGGGAGAGAGGGGGGATGTTGACCCCCAGTTTTTGAAGTGGAGGGGACGAATAGATAATCTAATATCTAATCTACTATTTTGTACCTCCTCAGACAGAAACTAGATGACCAGCTGGTGAAAGCTTTAGAAGAATCCCAGTTGAACTATTGATGTCTCTCTTTGAGAAAATGGATGGCACTTAATATTTCTCAACGGAAAATAGGCGACATGTTGTGTTACCTAAAGTTCTATTAGGACGATCCAATTCACTTCTGATGGATGTTTTTTAGTCTGTTGACTTGCAAAGTATATGGGCACAAAATCAACAAAAGCCTATTGCTGTACTTTCTTATCAGTAACAGACTTCATTCCATGCGTCAGAAGTGAATTGGATCCTGTGAAAAGATCTCAATCCAGATGTCCAGAATGCATGAATTGAAAAGCTTCCATTCGTTACCTTGTGATTATGAATTCTCTTTTCGTAACGGATCTTTCCATATTCTGAATCATCTTCTCTTGCTGTTTCATGAGCTGAGAGTGCCTCACCTAAACAACAAACGTATGTCAAGAAATATTCGATGGTTTGGTTTTTTTTTCAAACAACAGATGATGGCATTTAATCAATGTCTTTCACCAAAGAAAGCTAATAATGAACTCTTATTCCCAGCTTGAGTAAATTGAACCCTTAATTCCATATTTTTGTTTCCAGAAAACAAGGAGGAATTTTTTAAACTAATCGACATGATTTGTTTACATTTTTCAAGTCAATCAGAATCCCTAAAACCATAAAACTTCATGTAAAACGATAAATAATGTGACGTTTTACCGCAAGTGGTCAACATTTATGCATTCTGATTGGGTTACTAAAAATGTAAACAAACTTGTTGATTGGTCTAAAACAAAGTTCCCCCTTGTTTTTACCAAGAAGAATGTCATACAACAAAATGAAATATTTTTCAGACAAAGAAATTTATACGAAGGGAAGCGGAAAAACCGACGACAGACGACTACGAAGAACAATACAATGTACATTCATACTTGCATACGATGTATTTCAGCTTTCATCGCCTTAATCTCTCCATGGCCATAATCGTCATCTACTGTTGCTCTCGCTTCTCTTGCTAACTGAGTCTTCTTCTCCCAAAGCATGATCTGTCTCCTGCACGCGAAATCACAGGAGGTTTTAACACAAGCATGGCGCAGTGCAGTGCGAGGACACTCAATGCCAAAAAGTTAACAACTTACTCTGCTTCCACTAAGCTGTTCAACAACCGTTCCTTTTCTTCTTTCATACCGTCAATGTTGCTTTGCAGTTCGACCGATTCGCGTTCTGCTTCCTAAATAAAAGAAAATATGGTGAGGAAAGCGATGATCATCACCATCATCTTTTCCACCACCATCTCCACTATCAAGTATCATCCCCACTCTCAACTTTTCTATCACCTCGACCAACACTACCATATCCACCACCATTATCTCAGCTATCACCCCGGCCCCCCCTCCCCGATCACTCTCTTCCTCCTATCACTTTCACCAACAATACTATATCCACCACATTCAGCGCTATCCCCACCACCATCCGCACTATCTTCACCACAATTTGCGTTTTACCAACAGAACTATCTCCACCACCATAGGCACCATATCCTCCTCCACCACCACTCTCACTTAAAGCACACTCTCCCCACCATCACTTTCACCAACAGCACTTTCTCCCTCACCATCACTTTCACCACCAGCACTTTCTCCTCCACCATCACTTTCACCTCCACCATCACTTTCACCACCAGCACTTTCTCCCTCACCATCACTTTCACCACCAGCACTTTCTCCTCCACCATCACTTTCATCTCCACCGTCACTTTCACCACCAGCACTTTCTCCTCCACCATCATTTTCATCTCCACCATCACTTTCACCACCAGCACTTCCTCCTCCACCATCACTTTCATCTCCACCATCACTTTCACCACCAGCACTTTCTCCTCCACCATCACTTTCATCTCCACCATCACTTTCACCACCAGCACTTTCTCCTCCACCATCACTTTCATCTCCACCATCACTTTCACCACCAGCACTTTCTCCTCCACCATCACTTTCACCTCCACCAGCACTTTCACCACCAGCACTTTTTCTCCTACCATCAACACCATTTCCACCACAATCCATCACAAAGCAAAATACTCCTACCTTGAGCGTTCGTATAAACTCATCCTCCATGAGTATATTACTTTGCTCCAAATTATTCTTCAATCCTCTTTCATTCGTAATGAGAGTGTTCAACTTGGTCATTTCATTTTGCATATTACGAATATTTCGCTCAATATCTTTCATCTCACTTAAATGATGCTGTATATCACCTAAAAATAAACACTAAAACACTTGAAAACAGACCCAAAATTTTTCACAAAAAATTCACAGTTATTAATTAAGATGAACTTGAAGTAACCACCGGGTGATCTGAAATGGCGGGAAAGGGCTGGGACTAGTTGTCAAAGTAATAACTTATTCAGTTCTCAAACAAACAACTTAATATCTCTTGAAATATAGTTTACTTCAATTTCAAATTAATGTCAGAGCTACAGTTCTTATAACTAAACATAATCACAAAATTTCCACTAGTTTCATAAAGAATAACAGAAGATATAATCGATTGAATACCCCTGAATGGATTCCTATTTTGACAAACTATCTAAGCGCTGACTGTCTGAAAAATTAGCGCGCGATGACTTGGCAGGTAAAGGTACAAGACCTAAACAGACATTACCTTCAGTTCTTTGTTTCTTGTGTAAAAGGATCGTATTCTGTTTCTTGAGAGACTTGATTTCCTCCGATTGTTGTCCTACACGCTGAACAGTCTTCACTAATTCGCTCTGGTTTCGCAACCAGAATTGTTGCAGTTCTATAATCTCGTTGTTAGACGACTCAACTTGTTTTTGCAACGTGCTGATCTGCAGTTCCAGCGGACCCAGTTGTTGACCCTGATAAGAAAATAAGTTTAGACTATAAGCATGGTTAGTACACGTGTTTTTCACGTGTGTAGTCCGTGTGACATTTGAGACGGTCATGGACAGTTATTTTTGCAAGGTGCTGATCGGCAGTTCCAACGGATCCAGTTGTTGGAATTGACCCTGAGATGGGAAGAAAACTAAATTATATGGATGGTTAATACACGTGTTTTTCACGTGTGAAATCCGTGTTTTGGACGGTCACGAAGTCTTTAATTTAGAATGTTAGTCCGTAAACTTGACATGAGTTTTCTTGTATTGGGTTCTATTCAGAACAGTTAAGAGTTGATTTCCTCAGTTGTTAGGATATCTAATACAGGCATTCACAAAACCACTCACTCCATCTTTATTCTTGAGGACATCAATTTTTTTATTAAACTGATCGACCATATTCTGTTTCCTCTCAATCACAGCATTTTTCTTCACAATGTCATTCTCTATCGTTGCTGCAGTTTCATTTTTCTTTCTGATTTCCTCGTTCAACTGCTCCAAGATCTCCCCAAGATTTCTCAATCTCGTCTGAACGTTGCTGATGGCCATCAGATCTCTGGATATATCATTCTCGACCTGTGCCAGTTGGTTATCCTGAAGAAACAAACACAGATATTGAGACAAAAGTTTAAAAAAATGCTTGTTCCCGCCATATAGACCTTTGTGTCATGAAATTTAACACCAAATGAATAGTTCTTTTGAATAGATTATAGACTACTATTTGAATAGATTATATATAGAGAATAATACATGGATGCGCAGAAATATGGAACTTATTTCTAGTGTTGAGTATGATATCGAACGAGTTAGCGCAGCGAACGTGCTCAGAGGAACGAGTGAGATATCTTTCCGCGCATCCATGTATCATTCTGTTTATTATAATAAAAAACTGGGTTTTTTGAAATTTTTTTTATCCCCCTTCCTGATTCCAGATCAGTGGATCAAACACGATAATCGCACATGTGTTATTATCATGAACAAGTGTTATTATCATGAATAATCGCACGTGTGTTATTATCGCTTTTCAAAATGGCGGATTCATCAATAAAACACTGCATATTATAAAGACTACTATTTGAATAGATTATAGACCACGCAAGAAATGAAATAAATAAATAACAACAGCTAAAAAGAGCGTCCTAAAATCAGTAAAAATGGAAATTTTGGTTTCAAAATACTGTAAAATGCGAAAAATATAGCGCCTTGTGAAGTATGGAAATTTGTATACTTATACTTTTCTATTTTATACGTTATTGAAAATGGTAACAATTCACGTACGCAGTAGAGAAGGATATAAAATTTGCAAACTTTGAAAGGCTATATTTTTCACATTTTACAACATTTCGCAACCAAACTTTGCATTTCTACTAACTTTACCACGATCATTTCAACTGTTGTGATCTGATTACACTTTCATGCATAAATAATAAAATAGTTTAAAAATGAAAAAGGTCTAAATACCAGTTCAGTTCCTCGTTTCTTTATTTTGTCTGTAACTTTCTTGCTGTATTGAGCAGCTTTATCCAAAGTCATTTGACTTCGTAGTTTTTCCATGATACTCTCTTCAGTACGAACTTTCTCCTCGTATTCTCGTTCAATCTGTTTCCTCAACGCCGTTAATTCGCTCTCCCGCAACGTTATATCCTGAAAATATGATCGAAAGATAAAAATGAAGTGGGACATCATGTAATGTCGTTTTTTCACACGCTGCAAGGGCCTATTCCTTCAGATGTTGCAAGTGCGTGTTTCAACCCACTGGTTTCATGCATGTCTCTTCCCAGTATGTGCAAGTGCACGTCTTCCCACTCGTTGAGTCGTTGTGAATGCATGTTAGCTATAAAATAACGTGCAATTTACAACGTGTGTTCTGATTGGTCGATGTCCGTGTTTGGATCAGGCAATCCAAATAAGATAAGAGCATGTTAATTAGCACAGGTCGCAGCTCTCGGAAGCTTTCGTACAATTGGATAATGCTTTTCTATGCTTTCTAAAGAACGAAGCTATGCTATTGGTTGAAACAGAAATGTATTTGTAAAGTTCAGCCAATGAAAATAATTCTTGCGAGGAGCTGCTAACACTACCCTGTTAATTCACACGTGGATTCTAGATAGAATTATCTAATTGATGTACTAAAACAGTAAGAACACCACGGTTCTCACTTCCAAAGGAGATTCCCTTAGAAAATCTATCGAGGGGAGGAGGGAGGAATATCTAATATATAATTTCTTTTCTTTGTTTCAGCTTATTCAAAGCACCCCCCCCCCACGATAAAAAGTATGCATGTTTAAATTGTGAAAGCCCTGAAGAACACAAACATTTAAATGAAATAAAATATTGCTACAAAGTGAACAACCATACCGTCTTTGCTTTATTCAAAGCCTGTTCAGTTTCGTGCAGCATTCGACTGTATTTGCTGTATTCTGTCTTGAGTATCTCTTGCTTGTTCAAACTCACGCTGGTCAATTTTTTCACCATGGATATATCAGCTTCGATTCTGTTCTGCATCAACGTCAACTGCTCGTTTGTCGCTTGGGCCTTCGAGATGGAGTTGCGATATCCATCCAGTTCCGTCTCGATTGTCTTAATGCGTTCTTTCTGGAGGTTAAGAGCTTGTTGCATGGCCGCAAATGCTTCGTCGCGTCTGCTCATTCCAATCAAACTACTTTGCCATTGCTGATACAACTGTTTCTTCTCCAATTCTATTGCCTTGGAAATATACATTCTAATTGAAACATTGTTCTAATTGCACATAAACTATTCTAATTGGTCCCAAATCACGATGCACAAATGTTCTAATCAGAGTCGATCAAGAAATAGTCTGAAAACTCGGCTTATTCTGTTCATGTTGATGCAAACTTGAGTCATTGCCAGGATCAAAATTTAGCCCATATTAACCTCGTACCCAGGGGCCAGTTGTTCAAAGCAAGTTCAGCGCTAACCCTCAGTGGGTTAAATTTTGATCCAGTGTTTTATCTTATGTGCTTTTGTGCACTATTTGTTTTGAAACTTTAGAAAATATGACTTCTATCGGTACAGAAAATATTTATGAAAAAATATATTCAACTTTGTAAACAAGCAACTTAAAAATCGATGTAAAGAATGGCTTTAACCCAGCTAGGGTTAACCTAACCGGCTTTTGAACAACCGGCCCCAGGGTCTTTTCTCTGTGCTCACTCTGGGAGGGGGGAGGGGACCCGGTGATTCCCCCCCCCCTTCCCACCCGCAGCCCACATCTAGAATTACCGTTCTACCGTACCTCTATTTCGGTAACAGCTTCAGCAAGAGTCCTCTGCGCGGATCTTGTTTCCTCCTCCTGTGCCAGTGTTTGTGCTTCATACATCGTTATCTCCTCGTGAAGACGATCAACCTTTTGAGTCAGACGATCGACCAAGAAATCCTAAAGAATGAAAACAAAACCTAACATCAGCGGGTTCCAGAAGTGGGATTGTCTTCAGTGTTGCCCGAGATTACACTATTATCAGACCTCAGCCGATCGTAATGAAGAAAAAATGTAAAGGCGCTTTTTCTTTTTTTGAAAGGCGTTAACGAGTGGATGGATAAGTTATGAATAATAATATAATAATAATATTTAAAAATTTATAATGCGCAAATTAACATGCTGAAATAAGGGCATTTATAGATCAGGGGCTGGTCGTATGAAAGCCGGATACCTAAAGCGCTATCCACCGAATAGTAATGAATGCTGCGATGTTCAAGTGCAATTATTTGATTATTCGTGACTTAACCACTCGTTCACATTTATCGAAAGCAGAATCGCAGCAAAAATTGCAAATGTAAACGGGCCTCAATACCGGATAATCGCATATAAAGACCAAAGTACCCGGCGGTGATGCTGAAAGTTTCCTCAGTGATCTCGCTGCAACGCAATATGTGATTTTCGGTTTTATCCCTAGAAATCCATCATTGTACCTGTTTTTTCTTAAGTTGTTCAGCCTGCGATACTTCGCCGTGCGCTTTTTCAGCGGCTCTCCTCATGACGGCAATATCAGATCTGACGTCTTCCTTCGCCTCTCTCATGTAAAGAACACGTGATGCCAAGTTCTCCACTTCAGAACGAAGTTCTTCCGCTAGGAGGAAGTTGGACATGGCATATAAGAACAAGAGTGCAGCCGGCTGGGAACCTACCCCCCCCCATCCAGCATCTTCTCAGCTTTGGTCTGAACCAAAGGCAAAGAGGGGTAGGCATATTCCTCACCCCCTCCACCACATGACTATGCCACTAACCCCCCCTCCTCCACAGAACTGGTTCCCCCCATCCTCCACAGAACTGGTTCCCCCCATCCTCCACAGAACTGGCACCCCACCCCATCCTCCACAGAACTGGCACCCTCCCACCCATCCTCCACAGAACTCCCCCCATCCTCCACAAAACTGGCACCCCCGTATCCTCCACAGAACTATGCCACTGGCATACACCCACCCCCCCTCTCAAACCTTGCACCTGGATTCTCTCAATTGAGGCTGTATAATATTTTTTCATCAATTTGAATATTCACATGAAAAGAGTGAAAATGTTTTCTGTTCAAAGACCAACCTACAAATATATCTTTTTATACCTTTTTTTCTCTGTTCCACCAGCAAATTTGTATTCTTCGAATGAATTTCCTTGATGCTGTTCAACTTGCCCTCTGCTTTTGTTCTAAGGTTATGGTTTTCATTGTATTTGTCATGTTCTTTCTCCAACAACATCTGAAGTCTGGCAAGCTCTTGCTGGGAGTTGTAGAGGTTCACACCCAGTTCCTCACGATCTTTCTTCCGTCTGGTCAACTCTTCAACCTGGTGAGAGGAGACGTCAACATTATTGCGAGTTTGTGAAAAGTGATGGATTTTCATAGTTTGTGGGGGGGGGGTTGGGGTTGCACCTTATCTTCTGAATTATACATTTTTAAATTCTTTTTATTGGCACTTTACCCCACCCTACCAAATTAAGGGTGGCTGGAATGCACCCTTCTTCAAAATTGCACTAAACTTTAGATATGTGAATCATACTCTATTAAGAGATGTGGCGGTTAGTTTGACCCTCTGTTACGTGACCTGACTCACCAACCTTTTTGGGGAAGGGGGCCCCCCAGCCCTGTTTTTACAATGGAATGATTTAATCTCTCTTAACGTCGGAAATATGACAAATTTCTATAAAGGGGTACAAGATCCACTTTTAAAAGGGGCAGGTGATTTCTCAGTCAAAAGGGGGCACTACTTTATGAATAGGTGTGCTGATGGAAAAATAGGTTGAGGTGGGCTCTGACCATCTAGGGGTTAGGAGATAATCTTCCTTAGCTGGTATCCGAAGCCAGACTGCATGCAAGAAATGCACAGCTCTCGTGTCAACCTACCACTTCTCTTTCCTCTAGTTCCAACTTTTCTTTCTGCTTCAGAAGATGATTCTTGTATGCAGTTTGAAATCTCACCATCAAAGGCTGAAATAAAAAAGAATACATTAGAATCATTCAAATATACACAAGGCCCAAAATATCTAAACTAGAAAAGATGAATTTACGAGAAAACTTACATGATCAGGGTCCAAAACAACCAAATCATTGTCGCCGTCTGAATCATCCTCGCCCGAGAAATCGTCATTTATAATATCAATATTTTCATCAAATTCGACATCATTTTCATCTTGAAGCTCGTTTTCATCCTGCATCTCGTAGTCTTCATCGTCCTCCAGCAAAGTTTCGCCTTCGGGGCCCTCGATTGGCTCCTCCGAATCTTTTACAAGGTTTGAATTTGGTGTAACCGTGTCCCCAGCGGCTGACTCAGAGACAGTTGTCCCTTCATCGTCAAGTCGAAATTCTCGCAAAGCTTTCGCAGTCAGCTGGTTAACAGCATCGGACATCGATTTTTTGGAACCTGTAGAACCTCCCGACTTACCAGAAACAGGTCTATTCAGTTTACTTCCTGAAGATTTTTCCCCAAAATCTTGAGGCAAATCGCCTTGGTCTTCACTTTTGTCAGCCATTGTAAATACTAAAAGTCTACGATGGCGTTTGTATCCATGGTTACATGCCACCACGAGCGTTCCCGATTACCACACGAAGTTACTCCGAAACAAAACAAGATGGCGGACTACCAGGTGAGCGGGAGTGAAAAACCTAAATTTGAATCTTGAATTTCAACTGTCTAGTTATTCTCTATAGCAGGAAAATGGTTTTCAAACATAGATCGTGTGACTTGAAATCGTTGTGCCTTTTTCCCGCTTCGAATTTAGGCTCAAATTCTCCAAGAACGGATGAAACTTCATACGACAGTTTTCGGGCAAGCTTTCTCGCCATGCGGTCACTATTTGGCGGCATGCGATAACTTTGGACGGATTTGTGTATTCAGGTAATGCGACGTTTGTATTGAATCATCCTGAGAAAAGCATAATGAGGCCTTGAATTCATCTTTTCTGCTCTTTCATAGCCTAATTTCAGTATTTAAACCCGAAGATAGTACATTCGACAGTCATAAAGCTTTGCTGTCCTTTCAAGGTAGAGACAAATCGCATCAATTTGACATTATTCTTAAATCAGCTCAAATTAAGTCTAAAGATTCGGATTTCCATCTAATGACCAATCAATTCAAATCTTTCTTTAGCTCATAAAGGACCAATTTATTCTCTCATTACTGCAGATAATTTCTTAATTAGGTGAGACGGCGCATGCGCTGTGAGAATCGTGATAGATTTTAAACATAATTCATACCCAAACCAGCATGCTTTGATAACAAATAGTTTTGATATTTCATGCAATCATTCGACCAGCGGTGGCTCCACAGAGATTTGTGGTTGGAAATGGAAGGAACTGCTTATGAAGGTACATTATTTACCATTCTACATGAAGTGTTAAAAATATAGGCATTCTGATTGGCTTTGCATGGAAAACGTAAACAAATTTGCTGGTAGAGCCGTAAAGGTTGCCATTGTGGTTGATTTCATAGCTAACGACATTCTCTAATTTTGACCCTAGTTCACAGAGCCAGCGTGGGTTCTTCAGCCGGAAAAGTAAGCTATGAACATAGGATTTAAAAGTTATTGTTGGAGATCTTTTTACACTTTGAATTATATTGTGACGAACCAACGCGAGCACTTATGACATGAAATGAATTCATTGGGCGTTTGGAGAAAAATATCGTACACTTGCATGTTTTAGCCCAGCATAATAAAAAGACCATATCGAATTAAGTAAACTTAACTTGCAATGTTTGGGTGCAAAATATTGTAAAACAAGGAAAAAAGCCCAACTAAAATGAGCGAATATTGAATACTATTGTATAACGAGCGAAAAATTGATACCTTTTTCGAGAAAACGTCTTTCATTTTCTTTAAAGTAGATCTTGTTTTTTTTTACAGTAGTTCGTATGGCTATCCTGAAACAAACGCTCTGGTATACAACAAAGAGGTTTGAATTTTTAAGACGGGCTAGAAAGGCTTTAAAATTTACTAGCACGGCACGGCTAAAATGCATACCCGTACCAACTTTATCCGTGCTTGGCTTTTGATGAAGAAAAATTGGGACAGGTACCAATTTTGTCCGTGACGTGATAACTTATAATAAACGATGCTTCCAAAGACATTGATGAATATTTTTTTTGTTTCTTCCCGTCAGGATAACACGCTTTTTGCCGGCTGTGGGGATAACATCATCTACATGTGGGACCTTGAGACACGGATATGCCGAGTTAGAATTTAGATTTTTCTTACAAAAGACATGCGATATCCTAGTGCGTAACATGTTTTGAATTGGCTTTCTATTTCTCTCAGGGAACGTTCAAAGGACACACGGATTATATTCAATGTCTTGCATTACGCGAGACTAAGAACCAGTTTTTCAGCGGAGGCGAGGATGGAACTGTGAGGGTCTGGGGTAGGGGATAATGTGATTTGAAAGTGGTTTTATCCATAGCGTGGGGACAGGGTTAGCAGGAGGTTGGGGGGAGGCAGGGCTAGGGTGTGTGGGTGGGCGGGGACAAAATTGGGGGGGGGAGTAGAAGGCAAACTAGGGGAGTTGGCTTTTCGGCGAGATTCAAGTTTAATATATTCTAACAGATTTCAAGAACAGGTCAAACAGAGAATGTCATCGCATAAAAGTAAATGAAAACGAGGTAATCTATTTGCAAGTGTCGAATTTGACTACAATTTGCTGACCTGCAGTACAAATACGCAAGCAGAAAGACCACAGACACGGTAATGACGGACTTATCCTATTTGATGAAATGAATTTTGACTCGTTTTTCTCCAGGATATCCGCAGGTCATCACTTGGGAAATGGATCGGGTGTTTAGCGCTAAATGAGGAACAAGAATGGATGGTACATGATAGATATAATCAATGATCTTTCAATGATGGATCCATCAATCTTTTTTTAAGGATCATCTCTTATTGATCCAGTGTTACTACAGGAGGAAACCTAAACTAAACTAACTTTATTTATACTGTATAGTTCTATCAGTTCTAAACTGTTCTTCCTAGAGGCCCAGTAAGGATCATCTCTTATTGATCCAGCGTTACTACAGGAGGAAACTTAAACTAAACTAAACTAACTTTATATTGGATTACTGTATCAGTTCTAAACTGTTCTTCCTATCCAGACCTTGTTGGTCCAGTTAGAGTCAATTCTATACATTCAGGGCTTCCTCCATGTAGGTCTGCGGTGGTGGCCCGCGATTGTCTCTCTGGCATCTCTCATCTTATACGTGTACAAATATAATGGATACGCCAGGATCATGTCAGCAAGCAGCCGTATTTCATAAAGATCTGGTAAGGAACCAACTGTAGTGTATTGCTCTTTTTCTTGGTATCTCACAACTGAGGCCGGTTATCTATCATATTTGGGTGTTTTGCTTTGTCAAAATATATTATTTTCTTCAGATACTAACAGGTGGAACCAAACCAGAGATTTACCATTGGCAGACCAACGGTGACTTGAAAACTAAAGTGCCCTCAACAGCCACTACAATTTACTCGCTAGCAATCAACCATTTATCAGGACACAAGGTAGAGATTTCAACTTGCCTCTCAAAATTTCACTGTCGTGATGATAAAAATCGATCATGTCGATAATTTATGATGATTTATCGATTGATTAGATTGCTTATGATCACCATGATGGACATAGATCATCGCGATATTGATCATAACTATTGATTGATTACATTGCATATCATCTCATCGTCTTACTAATCGATTGATTACATCATCGTAACGATAAAGATCGATTACCTCGATTATTATGATTAATCATGATGACGAAGATCGATATCACGATAACTTATCACGATTAGTCAATCGATTACATTCCAAATCTCCATTTCTAGGTTTTGGTTGTAGCTGGCAATTGTTCAAGTGTGGATCTGTTCACAAACTTCGGCTATAAAGCGCTGTCTTTGACATTTGTGTAAATAACACGAATCTGCTGTAGATTGTTATATGGTAACTTGCATGTCTTGTATTTATATTCTATATGTCATAATTATCGCGACCCCAGTGAAAATACAGTAGTCAATACATATGCATTTTATATGTCATAATTATCGCGCGATCCCACTGAAAATACAGTAGTCAATAGCTACATATGCATTTTATGTGTCATAATTATCGCGATCCCAGTGAAAATACAGTAGTCAATACATATGCATTTTATGTCATAATTATCGCGCGATCCCACTGAAAATACAGTAGTCAATACATATGCATTTTATATGTCATAATTATCGCGATCCCAGTGAAAATCTGGATATTTACTGCGTCTTCGGGGTAACTTAACATGAAAATCATGGTTAACCAGAAACATCTCATTTAAACATTACAAAATAGTTGAAAATATCGTATGATCAAGATGTAATTTAAAGAGCAATAAATGGACTTACCTCGAGAGATTTGACTGAATCAATAAGGACGCTTTTGCCACTCTGAAAGTACTCAAAATGCTCGTCTTTTAAAAAAAGCACATTATAACACATACACCACTAATCTAAAATAAGAATTTGATATGTATTTATTGTGCTGACCATAAAATCATTGAATGTACGAAGTTCTATTAGAGGAAAATTTTGCATAATTATTTCAACTTGGGTGATACGAGTCTCGCATGTCACAAAGAATTGCGTGCAATTGTCAAAAATGCCTTATCTCTGGTGATTACGTGCTAGTAGATTATTTCCTAGCAGTCGGCGGCAGTTTTAAAAATTTTGAGGTTCATTGAAATAGTTTGTCGACCACAAGCGCTGGATTTCGGTTATATTTACATATTTACACAATGAAAGTTTCCATTTTTGTTTCATCATCCGCTGACCTCTCGAGAGGGGGCTCACTTTCAGCACCCGCACTTTCAAGGTCTCTGTCCAGCGGAGTTCCAGGCAGAGGTAGATTATAAGGGTTCATAGCCTCCGTGATCGACTCGACCGGATCCTCGGGGTCCGAGAGTGGGGGTGCAACGTCGGGGGTATCGGAACCTGAGCCAGCAAGATTCCTAGTCGGTGAAGCAGCAGGCAAAGGTTCATCAGCGGCTGTTTCGTCGATCTCACAAACTTCTGTGGAACCTATAATAGACGATACTTTTTTAAAAGCTCAAATCCTAGGTTTACAAATTTTGTTTTTGGGAGTATGTTTTCTTCTTTTGTAGCCAAACTCTTACCTCTCCTTTCCTCTCGCGATCTTCTTGTTTCTTCCTCCAACGAATCCATTCCCAAATTATCCTGCCCCACCTCGATTCCATCTTCCACGCTTGGCACACGATCCACGGACGCAGACTGAGATTTCACGTCAACAACACAGTTGCTGTCGTAAAAGAAACACGAAATTTTGTACAACTTTCTCAACGAGACAACTTGTCTATTTCTAGTTTAACGGCAATTGCCTACCAACTTATTCCCTCGCCTGTATCAGCCTTCCAGTTTATTTATACTTCAATGGCAATTTTGCCACACCCGAGTCAGTCTTCCAGTTTATTTATAGTTCAATGGCAATCTCCTACCTGCCTCTCCTCTGAGTCAGCGGTCCAGTTTATTTCTAGTGCAACGAATATTGCCTACCCACCCCTCCCCTCAGCTGAGTCAGCCTTCCAGTTTATGTACAGTTCAACAGCAATTGCCTACCTGTCGTCCAACTCGACCACGTGCGATTTTGCCAAACCAGTCCTCAAGGAGCGCGAGGAACTACGTAAAGACGTTTTGCTGATGGACTCCGATTGTTCGCTGGACACATCACCGCGGTCTCGCTTGCGTGATCCGTCTGTAGAACCACGCGAGTATCGCGACGAGGAAAGACGAGTCATTTTCTCGTTGTTCAACTGAGATGGTTTGGGCGTGGTTGGTCTACTGCGAGATCTGCGCGCACTTACACGTCGTACAATCTCACGGGCACCTTAATAAAAGATGTGTGCTGTTGATCTAGCATTACAACTGGAGGAAACCTAAACTAAACCAACTTTATTTATACTCGATATCACTTCTAAAATGTTTTTCCTAGAGGTCCAGTAAGGATCATCTCTTATTGATCCAGTGTTACTACAGGAGGAAACCTAAACTAAACTAACTTCATTTATACTGGATAACTCTATCAGTTCTAAACTGTTCTTCCCAGAGGTCTAGTAAAGATCATCTCTTATTGATCCAGTGTTACTACAGGAGGAAACCTAAACTAAACTAACTTTATTTATACTGGATAGCTCTATCAGTTCTAAACTGTTCTTCCTAGATGTCCAGTAGGGATCATCTCTTATTGATGCAGTGTTACAACAGGAGGAAACCTAAACTAAACTAACTTTATTTATACTGGATAACTCTATCAGTTCTAAAATGTTCTTCCTAGAGGTCTAGTAAGGGTCATCTCTTATTGATCCAGTGTTACAAAAGGAGGAATCCTGAACTAAACTAACTTTATTTATACTCAATAGTTCTCTCTCTAGCGTTCCAATAAGGATCATTGATAGCTCTGCCAGTTCTTCCTACAAAATTAAGAACATACTTTCGCGTCGTTTGACAATATTGAAGGCATTCAAAGCATCAAATAAGTCAACTTTCTCATATCCAGGATAAGGATCTTGCGATCTTGACTAAACATAGAAAAAATTCTATAGTTGTAATGTGAACTCATTCTATAGTTGTAATGATTGAACCAAAATATACTCACATTTGTACCCGATCGCTGATACGCACAGATTTGTAACAAGGCGTGGAATGCTGCAAATATCGCAAAACAGTTTAGATTATATAGATTTAGTTTATAGGTCAGATTGTACAGGGCCCGGTTGTATGAAAGCCGGATAGCGCTATCCACTGGATAGCGGTTTTCTCAATCGGGAGCAATTATAGAATACCTGGCCAACCCACATTTTAATTAACAGTGAATGTCATATAGTCTTCTAGATACATGCACCTTGTTTTATGTTTCTTAATCCATGAATTAGATTTCCAGAGAATAAGAATAAACATTATTCTTAAAGAACGGGGTAGTTCTATACTCTAAAATTGATCCTCTAACAGATCTTTAACCTATTGATACCACCTATTGGCCTGGTATTCTATAATTGTACCACAGAATACCTATCAGAAGAATAACTCTATGCTATTTTTTCGTAAGTGTGATCCGTCATGATTCGTCACTTAGCAAGTGCATTTTTTTGAGGCAGTCACCCCCCTGCCAATGTCTAAAATCAGCGCATTTTTAGTATTGGCAGGGGGGTGACTACCTCAAAAAAATGCACTTGCTAAGTGACGAATCATGACGAATCACACTTACGAAAAAAGTACAGGAGTTCTACTTCTGATAGCTATTCTGTGATTGTACCTTCAATCGCTTCAAAATCGCTCGTTGTTTAGCTATAACTTTGGCTTTTTCTAGAGTTCACTAGTCTGACCAAAGCACCAGCAATAACCACTGAACTCTAAAACAACTGGAGTGAACTGTACGACATGACTTGAATAAATACTTACGAACTCTACAAATGGGACAGTTATTTGATCCGCCGCGTAAACTTGAAGCTGAAACATAAGAAAGAACACCTCATTTAGTCTATATCTGGAATAATCTATTCTACTGTACAATTCCAATTCAATAGACACTTCCCGAATTTGCTTGAGTGCACACAGAACAATAGCTTGGAAACGAGGCGGACAATGTAATCTATTGTTTTTTGGGATGGTTTTCATTGTCTGAGAACAAATTCGGGAAGTGTCTGTAGACAGACAGATTCATCTTCCATGTTTTTATGTACTTCTGATCGATGTGGTTTTTTGTCAGAACACAAGATCATATGTGGGCACAACGCAACGAGTTCTGACGACAATATTATCAATATTATTGCAAATTCATTGCCAAATATACATCTCTAAAAAGTATCAAAAAACATTGAAATGGGTAATTTTGATATGAGGCTGAATCGGTCTATTGCTGAATCGGTTTTCTGAAAGAAACTCAGAATGCAATATTCGACATTTACCACAGTCACTACAGACGCACAGATGTTTGCAAGGTAACATGAGAGTGTCACGTGTATCGCTCATGCACACCACACAAACGACGTTTTCATCTGTGTAATCATCGTATTCGTCGTCAAAATGGTCTGCCTGCTTGTCCTATGAACAGAAAGAATCAAAAGATTTGTACCGGGGCGGTTGTATACAAACGAGATGATCTGAAATGGCGGGAAAGGACTGGGACTAGTTGTGAAATAAAATCAATTTCTCGGATAAAACAACTTAATATCTCATGGAATATACTTTATTTCGGTTTCAAATTTATGTCAGAGCTTTAGTTCTTATAACTAAACATAATCACAAAATTTCGAATGGTTTCATAAAGAATAAAAAAAGATATAATCGATTAAAATGGATTTCTATTTCGGAAATACATGGAAAGTAGTTAACTTTGAACTATAGAAAGCAGCAGAATTAGCGTCGCGTTCTTGCTCATATGAACTACGTTTTAAGTTAATTTCTACTGTTGAACATGGGATCTTCAATTTTACATTAAACCTTCCTTGATAATGGCGGAGTTTTCGTAATACCTGGTCATTTTCGGTCTCCTCTTTGCTTTCCAAACCGTATATCTCGTGAAGCAAATAGCACAAGCCATCGACCTGGTGAGGACACAGTGAGAGTTATATATTACAAAAAGAGAATTGATGAACTCCATGACTACAGACTTAATTTTGATTTAGGCAAGATATGCAACATCAAAGTTATTTTATAATTATACGGATTAATGATAAAATTTGAAACGTACCATTTGCTTTTGTTTAATGAGTTTCACTGTAAATGACTCGTCAGAAAGCTAGAAGATAATTGACGGGAAAATAACCTAAATACATGTTTATGCATTGACTTGCGACTTGTTCGCGACAATGATGGAATTAAAACTATATTATCGCTATAAGTTATAACAACTATATTATATAAGTTATAAGCTATAAGCGATACTAGAACGTACCTTTTCAATGTTAGCCATAGTTATATTACAGTGTCCATTAAACTCTAAATTAATATTTAAGATCCAATCAGTTTTTTAAGACTACTGAACATTAGGGCTTTATAACATCGAGCAAGATCTTACTCAAGCAGTTATCGCTCCAGTTATATTAGAGTTCACCGGAGAAATTTCGTTCCAATTCCCGCATATACTGACCTTCTTCCGATGCAGAAATTTGAATGACAACTGGAATGTGATTGGTTGTTTCTGAGTAAATCAACTGAAAGGGAAATTTGCAAACTATGTAAGGCAATAACCGCAATATTTTGCGTATTTTACAACATTTTCCGACCAAACTTTGCATATGTACTTATTTTAGCACGTCCTATCTAGTTTCGGTTGTCTAATTTCATCTCCCTATCAAGATAGACTACCTTTTTTATTTTACAGAGCACACGTACCTCGGATTCTTTGAATTGAGTTGGCTTTATGAGATGAAATCTTCCATGTTTTCCGAAAGATTGGTTCGCGCCTTTGTCAAACTCAAACACACGAGACGATAAAGAGCCGTCATTTGTAGTGTAACTAAAAAGAAAAGCATGTTTATCCTCATGGGGCCGGTTGTATAAAACTCCGTAACTACACTTTGCATAGTTAAATCCCAGTTAACTCAGAAATACACAACTCTGATTGGCCAATTCTGTCCTTAACTACTAAGTTAAAAGTTAACTAGTCTTTTTCAATATAATCAGGTAGTTATCCAGCTTTCTAGTTGGTCAAACTTAATTTGAGGTATATTATATTTATGTGGTATAACAACTGCCTAAATACACAAAACACTTCTCGATGTTTAGACCTGAGAGCCTTCGTACTAACTCTCCTGACGAAGGCCCTCAGGTTGAAACGTCGAGAAGTGTTTTGTCTATTTAGGCAGTTGTTATACCACATTTGATGCTAGGTTGTTTGAAGACGCTGCCACGCTGCTCCTTGGTTATATAATATTAATGTATAACATGTAAAACTGTAAAACTCACACAGCATGACCTGAAGACAGGTCTTCAAATGCAAGATAATAAATTGTTATTGAACACTTCACATCAGCATCAAAGACAAAATCGAGGTAGTACGTGTCAGTTTCGCCTTCGCCAGCATTCTCCTCAACATTTCTAAAGAAATTGTTGACTTTTAGTATATGTGGGTAACCTAGGTATCCACTGATTGATTGATTGATTGAAAACTTTATTTCAAGAGGGTAACAGATAACAGTTAGTAAAAACTGATGAACCACTGGCCCTCAAATGCAAGATAACTCAACTCAACTCCAGCTGTAAATTTAGCTTCTATTTCAGAATTGAATTACTTGAAAATATGATTGACTAACTTGATGAGTCGAAGGGAATCCTTTCGCAGATTGACCAAACTTCGTAACATTTTCGTAGGTTCGGATTTGTGTGCTTCAGGATAGGGAAACTAATTGATAAAAAAAATTATTTATACTCCTGAAATTTCTAAACCTATAGAGTTTAATAAGTCCAGTGTGTATAGTGCACAATGTTCCAGGTGCATTATAAGAGTTCAGTGCACCTAAACCATAGAGGTTTCAATAACTCCAGTTTATAGAGAGCACAATGTCCAGGTGTTTTAGAGTTTAGTGCACCTAAAACATATAGTTTTCGATAACTACAGTTTATCGAGTGCACAATGTTCCAGGTGTATTAGAGATCAGTGCATCTAAGCCATATAGAGTTTTTGATAACTCCAGTTTATATAGTGTACAATGTTCCAGGTGTATTAGAGTTCAGTGCATCTAAATCTTATAGAGTTTTTGATAACTCCAGTTTATATAGTGTACAATGTTCAGCATTGAGTTTTTGCTCAACATTCAGAGAAACTTCTAAAAAGTGCTGCTTTCAAATTCAAATCCAATCCTAACAGTTCAATGTTCCAGGTGTATTAGAGTTCAGTGCACCTAGAAACATATTCAGGACTACCTATCAGACTACCTAGAAATGCAATTGAGCAGGTGCAGAATGTGTTAATTATTTGCATAATTTTAAAGTCAAATGAAGATGAGAGCTTTACTTTACTCTTATACATCGGACACAGACCAGACATCAAGACAGAACAAACAGAATCTTACGTCTGTCTTTCATTTCAAAGCAATATATTCTTCTGGAACCGGTTATATCAAGCCTGTTTAGCTTAAACAGTGGATAAGTTTAAAATAGAAAGCAAGTCTATCCTTTTATTCAACAAGCAAACTAAATGTTTTTGACCTTAATACATAGATACTGGTTACAACTACATATTCAGTGCATAATATTCAAGTTGACTCATTCAAGAGAGATGTAAGAGTGTTATTTAAATTTGACTTATCCACTGTTTAAGCTAAACGGGCTTGATCGACTGGGCCCTGTGGTGTAAAATTTTGCACGTTGATATAAAAGCTGGTAAAAAACTTTTGACTTGCAAATATATTTAAAACCATGCATATTCACCCACATATGTGAGGAAGTTTATTTAAAATACTGACATGATTGCAGGATTAGAACAACTGTTGAAAAATGGAAGGAAAGAATGGAAAAAACAAGTCCAAAACTATACATTATAATACAACTGCATATCATAGATTTATAAAATTTTCTAAAATTAATAAAAATTTTAGTAGGTTTTACACCAGTTCAGACTAAGAAATAGGCAAATCAACTATGGTCAATTTTGGCTGTCAATTGATGCTCAGCAAACCTTGATAGTTGATGATTTTATTAATTAAGCTGATGTTAGTATATTTCAAATATCAGATATGATATATGTCTATTAAAGCCACATGTAGAAAGCCAATGGATTAGATACGTTGGAATTGAAATACAAAAAGAACCCTAACCCACCATTTCTATAGGACTTGTTTTAGTTCTAGTATTAACTCGATCTCATAATTTCTGCTGTGATATTTTGTATTCAAGTTTTCCTGAACATATGCATTCAAATCGATTCAAATATATGATTTTCACATTATACAAAATGCAAGTTGGCTTTAAAGGAAATCGTTTCCTGATAGATTGGCCATCACGTTTCGCACAATATCGTACTTTTCAAACACGAAAATAAAAAAATCGATATAGAACACGTTATCAGTTATTACATAACAAAACTAACAAAAGCAACAAATTATTATCAAGATTCCCTTACCGACACTGGACGAGACGATAGAAGATTTAATTCGTTGTTCTCACCAAAAAGAAAGCTTTCTGGCTGCGTACCAGCGAACGTCTGATCGCCCATGATGAAATGGCTTGAAAAATAATTTCCTAAGCACAAAAAACACAAGTTAGTTGAGAACGAAATTTCGTAAACAAAAATTTAATGAAATGATACAGTGAAGTTACTTTGAACGAACCTGATTTTGGCGGGTACGAATATATGAGGCCCAAATCAACATTTTCGACCCTTTCATTCGGTCTGCTGTAAAATTGACCCATGGTTTGTTTAAAATATTTGAAAAGAAGATTATAGCAGGTTCTATCTATGTACTAGACAACAACTCCGAATACGCCATAGTTAAATCACATACGGAATAATTGTTAAAACACATACATCACAATGACACAACGTCACCTGTGTGACCTTGAAAAGTGAGCTCAATACAAGTGGAATAATATTATTCCAAGGGCTGTTTTCCTTTTCCAATCTATTCAATCGTCGATTTCTTAAGTATTATTTGTATGATTTTAAAGTTTTACGTGCGTATACGTAGGTAGAAAAATACGATAGTGGAAAGCAGCCCTAAGGCATATTTACACTATGCGATTTGTCGAATACGATTCGTACCCTGGCGTATGTGAACGTATGAACACACGTACAAACGTGCATTTAAAATTCCGCTTTGAAAGATTGTGCCAAATTTAAAGGCCTCTTTTGCATTCGTCGGAATGATAATTGCATTCAACTTAACATGTAGTCTAAGTAGGCCTTTATACATTTCATGCAACGTGAAACATTCTTTATGGCCTCGGTTAAACATCGAATTTTGGTCGCGTCGAATGCAAACATTAGATAATGAATGAGATTATGAGATGATAAACCTCATTAACATCTCATTATCTGTTTTCTTCCACATGGGGTTTTCAGAAGCTATTTAAAAAAATATAAACGGTCTCGAATTTAAACGCCTTTCATCACCTCAAACTGGAGCGATAATTCGCCATCTTTGAAGACAAATTGGGGCCGTCATGAAAGCCAAGAGTTGAAATCCACTAAAACACTAATACGCAAGCCCATCTCATCTGAGCTTAAAACAAGCAAAAACACATTTTACCAACAAAACAAGTTTTATGAACGTGGAAAGGTGGAAATTTTTTGAATTTTTTTACATGTTACAGCTCCCTGACCTCAAAACATATTAGGATCATGAACCACCGTTTGCAAAGACAATGACCAGGTGAAACGTTAACATTTTTTAAACTTTAATTAAACGCGTTTAACGGTGAACTTGGTGCATTTATTAATTTTATTGTTTACAATTTGATCAGGAGTACTTCGTGTTTTGACGCCCAGTCATACGAACGCCCGCGTTCGTCCGGACAGCGTCCTTTAAAACACAATCACCATCCTAATACCACGAGTGACTATGGTATTAACAGGTAAGTGACAGCTATTGAGTTCTTGCAAGCGAATTACAAAACTTGGCGGACTACTTTGGTGGTAGTTTGCACTGCAAGAACCCAATATTTGAATATAAATACAATTAGCCTTTCTCACGATGACGAATATGCCGCCATTTTTGGGGTACTTTTTTTCAAAACCACAAGCGTGAGACCTCATATGGGGCCGGCCACAGTCTTTAATTTTAGGCTGTAGTTACTCTTCAAATGGTCTGTTGGTTTTAAGAAAATTGCTTTTCATGTTAAATCATAATTTTTAAACCCATTTCAGAAAATTGAAAGTACCCCAAAACGTCATCGTGAGAAAGGCTAATTAATTTCTACCGATATAGAAGATAGATTCCATTCAATCCTATATATTCTATAGTACTGCACAAGTTGAACTTTGTATCCCGCTGAAAGAAATTGCTAGAAAATTGATTTTTTTTTTGTAAGGCTATGTTTTGTAAAGCTATGTTTTCACATTTTAAACATTTTGCAACTAAACTTTGCAGCTTTACTCATGCTAAAATGCTTTTACTGTGGCGTTAAAATCTATAGTTTGAGACGTCTAATTTCGAACCATCTAATTTACTTCCTACATTTTTCCCTGCCAAATTTGTTTTGATTGTAAGAGTCTATTAAAACGTAGAAGGCAAATTAAATCAATAATAATTGCTAAAAATCGATTGTATTTTTTTCGACTGGATAAAAAGTTCACTTTTAGGCAATACTTTAACTTCACAAAAACAATAGATATTCTTACTTAAATTTGCTTCAAATTACTGTCAATGCATATGATTAATTTAATATTTATTTATAGTGAAAATGACGGCCATTTCAAAATTGTTAAATGGTGAAAAACTTCACAAAGTGAATAAATATTATTCAAAATTCTCCGGCGGAATCGCTCGGAAATTGCAAGTGGAAAGTGTTTTGCTCTCGACCAATGAGATTCGTTTATAGCTAAAACAAAACCGAAGACAAGAACAGATCTAAAACTACGTTTTCAAATATTTTTTAACTCTATACTACATTTATTCCTCCTAAATTCTGTGTTCGTTTCGCTACACCTCCCAAAACCTGTTAAAAAATCACGAAATGTTAGCTTAGATTAGGTTTATTGTTGATTTAGATTAGGTTTATTGTTGACTAGGTCCTAGATTAGGTTTATTGTTGAGTTAATCCTAATTAATTAATCCTAATAGGTTATCCTAATAGTTAATCCTAACTTTAATCCATGATCTACCCTAATCCTAACCTAATCTCAATGATTAACATAACGTGGAATTATAATCCATTACTCATACTTACGGTCTATTTTCGGGATGCGTTCATTAATTGTCATCTTGACACCGCAGATTTTGACGAATTACCGCTGGACGCCGTCGCTTGACTGTCCTGCGTCGCTAAACTTAGTTGTGAAAAGCCGCTATGCGCAGACTCAATACTTGACATCGAACCCCTGGAAAATACAGCATATCAATGAGCATACTACTCGTCGTATATTTCGACATTTTTTATTCGGTAATTCTGCACTGCTTACTTGAAGTCTGTGCCTTTCAAAACTTCGTAGAAATACATAATTTTTGCTTTGTTTTGAGGTTTTGAACTGAGAGAGGTCGCAGGAGGACTTGATTTGTATTTCCACTGCAGGACAAAGACGCCAGCTTGTGAACAGACATGAGTTCCCTGTGAAAGACAGATTTGTTGTTAGGGTTATTGTTTCTACCATTCATTACCTCTTTCTTTTCCTTCCTTCATGTTTAGGGGTGCCTTCTGTCACCCTTCTCCATACTCTACTCTTTCCACCTCTTCTCCTGTTACTGTACCTCCTCACCTCAAGTTCTTTGCCACTTCCTATTTTCCCCTCTTCCATCCTTTCTCACTCTATCATCCTCTCCTTTCATTCTCCCCACTTCCCTCCACCCGCCATAATCCCCCCTCTTCCCTAAGTACTCTTTAGTTACTCTTTACTTCCCTAAGTAGTAAGCTTCTTTTAGCAATTCTAACACTCTTTAATCAACTTTTCTCTCCTTTCAACCCCCCCCCATCTTCTCTACCCACTTGTCCCTTGCACTTTTTCATTCACTCGCCACTCCCTTTTTCACTCACGCCCATTCCCCTCATCTCCCCTCACCCTCCCCTCTTCCACCCCCGCACCTGAACAGAGTCTCCATCATGGCATGTCTTGGGCTTCTCAACAACAACAGCATCAACGTTAGCGATCACTCCACATGATGGACTATCACCCAGGCTCGTCAAACTACCACTGCACGCTTCCTTTGGTCGTTTGTGACGAAATACCGTAAATATGACGTCACCCTTTATCACATCGAAGTCCCACGTGATCACAGACTCGTGCTCTTTCACCGTGACAACGATCTCGTGGGGGGAACCCTTGCTAACGTATGCAGGCTGATAGATTTCGTGACCGATGCTAAACTCATCTCCTTCGCCAAATTCCACAGACCGATACAGACTTTTAGGTACCAGACCTCCTTCCCTCACGTCGCACTAAAGTAGAAACAACATAATTCGAATGTCTTTTTCAACCACTGATCTATATAGACTTGAGACTGGATAGCGCACCTGACAGAATGCAACTTTTAGGCGAGGGTACTGTTTTATGAGACAACATTACCAAATTTTAAACGTATTTAAACACAATTTAACTAGGTTTATGGAAGCTTTACTGAATTGACCATATCTGAGATGGACATTCAATATGAATCCTAGTGCGCGGAAAACCTGGGAGCGAAAATGTATGGTTCCTATGGCTTCATTGATTCAATTCGAAGTATATTCGCCATCCAGTCTTTAATAAAGAACAGTGATTCACGAGTGTTCACGAATGTTGAACGAGAATGCTCTGGTGGGAATATCACTGGAATGTCCATTCCAGGTCTTTTCAACAATATTTTTACATACCTCACATGTTCCACCCAAGAACTCAGGAATGTACTCTTGAGGGATATAGTCCGCCAACCCCCCAGGACCCTGCAAAACAACAAACAATAAGCCGTTACAACTTTTCATCAAACAGGGGGGGAGAAAATGAAATATGACAGAAAAGCTAGTATGTTAAAGTGGATCTAGTGAGTACCCAAGATAATTATTTTATTTTATAAGCACTTGAATTTTACGAGATAGTAAAAATTTTAATAACAAACAGGAGATGCTGTTGATTTTCTTTTTGAAATTAGAAAAATTGGCATCAAATCGATAGTTTTGGCAGATTAAGGAACTGTTACCTAATTGTCAGAAAAGCTATTTTATGCCAACAAACCTGGTAGTCATTTCCACCATAAATAAAGAATTTGTTTCGTGTGTTTTCGTCGATAAACGGACTGACTAAGGTCCACAACACGCCGAAAATCCTGGGAGCACGCACGATCAACAACCGTCCCATGGTTTCCGGGTAATTGTCCTCGACCACCTCGATAACCCTCAACAACGCCTTCACACCTGAGAAAAATACAGCAAATTAGTTCCCAGGTGATCTCGCGCTCATATTTCAGCCAATCAGGGCTCAGAAGGGTTTCCGAAATAGAAATCCATTCTGCTATATTTAATCGATTATAGCTTTTGTTATTCTTTATTAAATCAGTCGAAATTTTGTGATTATATTTAGTTATAAGAACTATAGCTCAGACATTAATTTGAAACAAAAATAAAGTATGTTTCAAGACATATTAAGTTGTTTCAACCGAGAAATAGTTGTTTTTTTGACAACTAGTCCCAGTCCTACTAGAAATATGTAATTTAACAGGACGAAATTTCTAGGAAACTGATGAATAATTCTTTATATCCTTTGAGTCTTACCAGGCCTCCAGAGATGACGCATACACAGTCCTTCCAGATCACAGATACAAGTGTAAGAACTTTAAGAAAGGCAAAAGGGAAAAAACGTCACCAGACTTATAAGAATTATTGATATATAGGTGCTGTGTATTCTAAATGTGATTGGTTCACTCGTAGTCACATGACTTTAAATAAATGCAATGTTTCCCGCCAGGGAAACAAGTGTAATAACAAAAGTAAAGTGTTTTTTTTTAAATGAAATTTTTGTGTAACATGTACGTTTTTGTTCCTATATAACAAAGCACTTAATGTACACTACCTCGGGAAATGGCGGGTTTTGTTTTCCCTCGAGTCTCAACATTCAGGAAAACAAAACTCACTATTTCCCTCGGGAGCATACATGAAGTATACATTGTTTATGTTTTTTACTGAACAAAAGCAAATCTTGAAAGTTTATTTCTCACCTTATCGGCGAACCTTTGGCCTTCGTAACTTCCTCGAACATGCTCATCGCTTTCTCGTTGATTGATAACACCTGGACATTTGAAAATAAAACTCGTTACTCGCTAAAACCACTCTCCGTGTCTACCTTCATCAATTATAGGAAGCCCAAATTTGCGTGATAATTGTTAAAAATTGTTGTAATATTTCAACTTGCAACATTTTCATATGTCGGCAATATTTTAATATTTGTAATATTTCCATTTTTAATATTTGCAATATTTCAATTTGCGATATTTCAATTTGTAATATTTTGGCAACATTTTAATATTTGTAATATTTCCATTTCTAATATTTGCAATATTTCAATTTGTAATATTTCGATAATATTTCGGCAATTTGTAATAATATGTAGCTTTTGTAATACTTTTTTTGGCAATTTGTAATTTCGACAGAAGGCAATAATTATACATTATTACACCATGTTGAAAAATTGCCGAAACATTTCTCCCGTTCAAATCATCACGCAAATTTGGTCTGCTATGCCACAATCCATGACTTTACTTTTCTTCCGGCTCAAAACAACAGTCATTTCCGCACTTACATATTTCAGAAAACCATCTTCACCAACAGCTTTAAGCAGTCCTTTGACATCCATACTACCAAGTCGTAAAATGTAAACAGGTCTGCCCTCTAGATGAAGGATAAAAATATTTCTGTCCCGAGATAGATTCAGTAAAGAAAAATACGCTCTTTAAAGTTTAGGCAAACACACACGTTTGCAAAATTCAATATCATATCTATATATAATTAATCCATATTAAACCCATACTTAATCTATATTAATCCATACTTAATCTGTATTTAATCCATATTAAATCAATTCTCAATCCATATTAAATCCGCACTTAATCTACATTAATCCATATTTAATCTGTATTTAATCCCTATTAAATCAACTCTCAATCCATATTAAATCCATACTTAATCCACATCTAATCCATACTTAATCCATTTTTAATCCATTCTTAATCTGCATTTATCCATATTTCACCTGTGTCATAATGATGCCATCCTCCAGAATAATATTCCATCACAGCCTCCGGTGGTCGCCACTCCGTCAAGATCTTATCCACATTATGATGTCTTCGCCAGGCAAGTGATGAGCATAACATATCATAGGACTAGACAAACAATGAAACACTCAGCTTGTTATAAAAAACTGGATGATTGTAATAAAAACAAATACAATTTGCAACCAATTAAAACAATAAAATAACTTCTCAGTTTCATATTGAGATCTGTGACACACACATACTGCAATATTGACACAGACTGCAATATGAAACTGGACAGAAATACATCTGGAGTACATTACTAATAATTGATAAATTAAGATTACTTTATCAATGTTGAAATCTCTGGCTTTGAGGAAGCGAAGTAGATGAGAGTCATTAGGAATCTAAGAAAAAACACAACAAAATTTTTTACTCAGAAATTTTTTTTACTTTAGTGCAAAAGACAGTAGTGTACACTGCAGTACACCACAGGACACTAGAGTACACTGCAGTATACCTATTATAGTACAATATAGTACAGGGGCCGGTTGTATGAAAGCCGGATAGCGCTATCCACCAAATAGTGTTTTTTTCAATCGCTTTAAAATTGCCCGTTATTTGCTATAACTTTGATTAAATCTTAGTATTCCTAAATCGAGTATCCTCTTTAATAATTGCTGGTTCCAAAAATGAAATTTTATCGCTTTTTATTGAGCATTTTTAGAAGGGTCGAAAAAATCACTATCCGGTGGATAGCGCTATCCGGCTTTCATACAACCGGCCCCAGTACTGTAAGGTGTATACCTTTCCCAAATGTGTTGCACTGAGACGTTTCCTTAGCTAAAAAAGAAAACAATTAACATTAACACACATATGAAATTACCAGGATATTATCAAGTAGAATATAGGCCGTCACCTGAATTAAAGCATTTTCTTCAGTTGGTGTAAGTGGGCCGAGATATCTGTGTATGTATTCATCATCGATTTTATTTTCTGGATCTAAATTTAGTCAACATCAACATGAGTTCCTGCAGAACATTACCATAACTCAGACATGAAATATGGAAAAGTTAACACATTAGCTTGCAATGCAACCTGATGTGTCTCACTTTACTATTTTACTCTGTCTAATGCCAGATGATTTTACTTATCAGTGGAAAAGTACTGTCAGTTAACAAAACTATCTGTCATTGTCTCTTGTTAACGCATTAGCCTGCAAAGCACCCAGATGTGGCCTACTTTAGTATTTTACTCTGTCTAATGTAATGTCAAAATAAGCCATCTTGCAGGGAGCACTGAAACTGTGACTGAAATAAATTTATGGAGACATGCATGGATGATGTACTTTATGTAACAATGGTTTTTATTGTCCTTACGCACTAAAGCTGCTCCCTCAATCTCCTCAGTCTTATCTTCCTCAGCGTCCGACGAATCTGGACTTTCATTGCCTTCGTTACCCATCAGCGGTTCGTTTAAACTCTTCGTCCGTGGTTTCCCAGTTGAGTCCTCGAATCTTGGCAAGTCACCGACCCCTTCGCTGATCAACTCATCAATGTAATACTGAATTATTTCTTTACCCTAGTGAAAGTTTGAATCACACACATATATATTAATATATATATATATATATATATATATATATTAATATATATATATATAATCACACACATATATATATATATATATATATATATATATATATATATATATATATATATATATATTCAATCAATTTCAAAAAAATTGCTCAGGCAACAGGAGAAGTGCTATAGTCAATTATTACCTTTCCAATATTTGCTAAATACAATTTAATCATGAGTTTTTCAACTGCAGCTTCGAAACCAAAGAAAGCTATTACATCTAGGCTTGCATCTTGCTCGAAACATGTCCAATTTGGGTTATCCGGATGTACCTGGCATGAAAAAAACACGAGAAAATGTGCTCAGCAATGATATATTAGTAGTCTTTTGGACAAAATATCCAATGAGAAAGCTAGTTAGGGTAGTTAGGGAAACAGATAATGCAGGGATAACAAGAAACTCTGGACTACAATTTTTCTAAATGCATCAGTAGCTGAATGATAATTATTATTATTTAACTCCAAATAAAAATTACATTTAAATAAATATTTCAACTTGCTTGCATTCATGATCGGAGTCTAGATCATGTTCAAGATGATAATAAAAAACATTGGGGAAACACACTTAGACAAATGGCACCACATAATGTAAAACTATTCTAGTTATCCTGATTTGTGTATTATCCCTACAATTATTTACGAAACATTTACATAGAATGCAATATAACAAAAACCACTGGTATTCTCCATCTCAAAACAATGTTATGCAAAAATATTTCAATTTTTTTTTAGATGGTGTGGTTTCTTATCAAACAAGAAGCTGAAGATTTTGAATCAAACTTGGCCTTATGTTTGAATTTTCTCATTAGCACATTTCATTTTTTTTTCACTGATGTTATCAACCCTAATGTGTTTTTCTAGGTCTTTCAATGGCTGTACTGATTATATCATAATGCTGAAGATTATTATGACAGAACCAGTAGAAACATGTGTTCGTTCAAAAATGTTATTCAGAGTTACTTATCCTCTGTTCAATTTTGTCTAATACTTACAGAATAGTAACAATTTTCCCGAATGATAACGCGAGATGAATAACTTTCATTATATGCATTTATTGTGAGTGTTCTTTTGCGCCAGTCTGTGCTGTTCTTCTGGACAAAAAAGACATGGTCTACCCCGATCAGCTAAAATGAATAATAATTGTTAGATCATTGTATGACCCTTGTCATCACAGGGGCTTAAATATTGGTTGCTAAGCATCTGACTTCATTTACAAAGAAATGAAAGAATAACATGTGAATTTGAAAAACGTGTATGTTTGGAAATACAAAATTACCAGAAACGTTTCCTGTGAACAGGCAGGTGTTGGATGTTAATTCATTAAAGTTTATAACAATGTAAATAGGCCATAAGTTTTCATATTGTTAAGCATATTAAAATACTTGGAGAGGTTTATAAGGGCTTGTGTCAGTAAAGCACAAATTAAAAACATATTTTAATACACCACAAATAGCCAGTAGAAATTTGCCAATTTTTTTAATACTATAAAAATGACAAAGTAGTATGAAGTATTCGTATGCACAGGGTGCTACGTTATCTAAAGCTTTAAACTAGAAACCTTTATAGATTTTGAGTCATATTTTATGCAAAAACTAATGAAAAACATCATAACCCACAACAAGTTAATATTTAATGATTGGGCAGGAAAAGTTTTTCGACAGCTTTCACCGCTAGCATTTATCATGAAAGGAATCAAGAACTTAGGAATTCAATCTGATAATTTGCGGCTTTTTCCAATGATATTGCAATTTGAATTTTCATTACAAACTTATGACAAATTGGATCGCACAGGCAGGCTATGTTTAGCGTCAACAAACACTGAGAACTTAAATACTGCAAACCAATTTTGAAAAACAAACATCATAGACAGTATAGGTTTGTTTAAGGGATAAAACCTTATATATCAGCGTATTTAAACAGCGGAAAATGGGTGATTGACTTCCTAAGTGTATTAAAATATAATTACTGCCAGAAAATTCTGCAGACGAATTGTATATTTGTGTTCATCCATTCCTTACAAATTTTGGCAAAAACATATATTAGACTTTAGGTGTGTTTAATGATTTTGGGAGAAAGTTAGGCGTCGTGTCTTTAAATATCACACATTTGTGATGTATAATGGATATTTAAGGGGCCAGACAATGCCGGGAGAGGTATCCGGGGGAAATATTAATACAAACAATACCTTCTTCAGCAAATACGGTGCCTCAACGTTGATTCTACACCGTCTTTCTATAACATGCTCTGCGCCGTCATCGCTCTTGTATTCCGAAGTGATTTCACTTCCAAGGAAAATCGGTATCATTTTGCATGTGGGGAAACGTTTTTCGTAGGCCTTGGAGGAAGTAAACACGAAATATTAAAACATCAAACCCAAAAGCTGACACATTAATAAACAAACGTTTGCCCGAAAATCTCACATTTGTGAAATATCCCGGCTAATATACACCGTGGACAATTTGAGTGTATCTCAGAGAATAAACAACAGCAATTTCACATCGATTGATACGAAATTACCATTAATCCAGCACAAAAACTATGAACATTTAGTTTCAAATTAGCCTTACCGCCATGACAAGTTCAAACGGGTATTTATAGACCCTCACGGGACTCTGGTATTCTTGCACCATTTTGAAACGGACGGCCAAGCGAAGACGTTCCCGATAAGTAGAAACTTTAAACTATCAGCTGGCTAAATTTGAGCGAGAAGGGACCATGAATTGCCGTAAAAATATGCGGTGAAGTCCTTACGAAATTGAAAATATATCACAACATCACTATTATAAAGTCACCCATTCATAACAACAAATTATAATCACACATGACGCATGCGTAGGCGGACCGGAAGTGGATCTCGTCCGGGACGATGACGCAACTTTGGGGGATTGCGCAATTTATTCCGGTTTCGATCGCATTTGCGAGTATTTCCCAATATTTCCATCCTATTCGACACCGCAGAAATTGGTGTTTAAGACGTTTCAACCCGAAAATCTATTAATCGCTGGTTCACAATTATGCATTTCTGTACCGCTATCAAAGAGAAACCTTTTCAATTTCAATTTCAATTTTTCTTTTCAATACGATCTTTTGACAGCTCATCTGACATACACATCTGACCGCTGTGAAACACTGAAATGGCCATTTTGAGGCTTAAAGTATACACAAGGTTATTAATTCAGACGATTCGTTTTTACCGTGTGCAAGCTTCAAATCTTTTGTGCAAGACATAGTATATTTTTTCTCACCAAGTTCGCAGTCTAAGTATTGCGAATTGCGGCTAAGTCTATACTAATTTTCGCGGTGTCATCCTATTCTGGACTTTTTTTCGACGTTTGGTCGTGGTAAAACTAGAGACAAGTTCTCACAATTCACTATCACGTATCCATTGAGAAAAAACAGAGACAAAATTTAAAACACACCAGAATATTTTATTTTATCAAATTCATACACCGATACACGCCGATTATTTTACAGAATAACTAAAAAGCAACAAAATGTTCTTTCGAAATAACAAATCAACTAAATGCTACGATATATAGTTAAAAAACTACATTTTAATTCCAAATTATTGCATACCTCTAAACCTAAATTACTACAATCTAATATGCTATTTTAAAGCTAATAGACTACTTCTAACTACACTTTTTTCCTGAAAACACAATCCTTATTCCATATCCTATTTGTATCAACTACACACACGATGAAAAGCCAGTCTTGTCAACGTTAAATTAATTTGTTAAAGTAATGCGATAAATTATTAAGATTAGTACAAGAACGTATGTTATTAGTTCAATGACTCATGATAATTAAATTAATAATACATAGGCTTTTAAGATCGAAGAAGATGGAAGGACGAGATATTGAACCTCTTAATAGCCTTTCCATCTTTTATCTAATAAGGACCATATCTCCCTGATGAGGACCATATCTAACTCGACAATTATCAAAGCCTTTTTACTTAACCTATAGACTAATATCAAGTTACTATTTGAAGAAAGTTTGCCTTTTTGTTTTCCAAAATGTTTGCACAAACCCCTTCGTATTAATTTCGCTTTACATCAATGCTTTTTTTATATATATTATTTAGTATTATATTAGCAAGATAATTTGTTATTTTTTGCATTTCACTCGCTGTTATATGTACTTACGTAACATACTATAATTAATATTCATATACATATATATATATATATATATATATTATACACATTTTTAAGATTGGTAAAGTTTTGTGTGCTCTTGAGATCAATTGAGAAATATATGTTCACGCGCAAAATATGTTAAACTGAAGTTGTTTAATTCGACATGGAATGTACGTGACTGGAGATTATCCGTCAGGATACACCCCTTGAATACGATTTATTGTTGTTAATCACGGAAGTGAATCACGGAGGATTAACGATGTTAATCCAAGGATTAACAATCCCAATCCTCTAAATGACGTTAAAAGCGCTTAATTAATTAAGTGGGTTTTTGTTCCGTACTTTGGCATTGAACCTGGCCAAAACCCACCACGTTTTAAAAATCACGTGATACAAGCGCTCCTAATGTCAATACATACATTTTATGTTATTTTATTCGCAAATAATCAAAATAAATGAAAACCAAAAATCAAACGAGACGGGCCGAAAGCATCGCAAATAGTTCAACAAAAGGCCCTGTTACACGGTGCAAATTCTTCTTTTGAGAGATGTAAATTTGGCGACTACCAAACTTTTGTCTTTATTACACTGCATAGCGTTTCTTACACTTAACATTTTCAAGACACTCCACTAATTTACATCTCTTAAAAGAAGAACTGCATTGCAAGTTGCAAGAAAAATTGCACCGTGTAACAGGGCCTTAAACGGTAGAGTACAAATGTAAAAATTTCTGTGAAAAAGAATGTTTTTTAAAAGTCTAATTTTTTTGTCTGGACTTGTTAAGTTTGATGGAATACGTGGGTAGTCTTTTTAGTGAATTTTAGCACCGTCTCGCCCGAAATGATATCAGATATGGTCTGGACTTGTTCAATTTTTGTGTTCAATAATTTGTTCTTGTTTTCTCGAACTTTAAAAAGTGACAAAATAAAGCAATCATCGATTGTCGAAATTATCTGCTCAATATATAAATTTACGGAAACTTCAAACGATTCTAGTGAAATAATCCGCAGATTTCTGAGGCGTAATTCTTCCAGACCACATCTAACTCTCTCAACATAACCTAAGTACGTTTTAAATTTAATTTTAAACTATGAAACTAGCTTAGATTTTCCAATTACTTATATAATTGATAAATTTACGGATTTTTAAAATCCAACATTTTAATATTAAACGATGTTTTTCGATGTACCTTCTGTGTTATTTGGCGATTTTTACACCAAGGTTTAGTGGTTAAATTTTTCGATTAGTGTGTATGCATTGGGTGAATTATATCATTATGCAGCTGGTGAAGCTCGCGTGATTTTGACGTCATTCAATGACGTGCGTGGACTGCGTGGGCTCATGTGCGTGGGCTTCACGTGTCAACTTCAACAGCTACAAATTGACATGGATTAGTAAATACCGTGTTAGCTAATACCGACTGTTTTTTCACCAACAACCAACTAAGAATCGTCTATATCTTGAATTATACACAACAATCATCTTTATACCAATCATACTGGTGCGTCAAATATACACCGAAAAACCTGCTGGGTATATGCAAAAAAAATTCACCAAGGGCTACAGAAAAGCAGATTCAGAAATGCTTTCACGAAAAGAAAAAAAATTCCAAAGCAATCGGGAAAAAAACTGACGAAAACTGTTTAAGTCGAGAAACGTTGAAAATTTGATTTGCAATCATGTGTCCACCCAGAATTGAGCAAATCGGATATTGAATAAGAACAGCCTTTTTAGTTACCATATGTTCAACGGTAGCCCTTAGTGTTCCTGTTTATACCCAGTAAGTAGTCACGAGGTGTACGTTATACATACTAGACAGAAGTCATCCAGAATCGTTGCTCATCACAGCACGGAGATTCGATGGAAATGGATTCAGCTTCGCAGGATTTGTACAGGTTTGGGTGTGACTCCAAGTAATCATCATTGAACAGATGCGACTCCACTCCAGCATCGAGGAGCGTGGTCTTCACGTGATGTTGCACGCGGGAAAAGTACACCTTGATATCGTTGTCTTGGAGATCACGAATGATCGTGAGGAAACCTTGCGAGACTGTAAAGTCAACTTCAGACATGTTTGAACAGTCAACGATCACTAACTCTGGTGGGACATCACAAAGTATGGTGACCTGGAAAAAGTATGATCATCGCTTAGCACTTTTACGTTATCTATACTGCATAACTCTAACAGTTGTGACTTCAGAACTTCGCTTCCTAGAGTACCAATACGATCTTCTTACATTAATCGAATATTTCTTCAGAGAAACCTAAACTAAACTGCTCTGAACTGCTCTTTCTAGAGATCTTAGAGGACTCCTTTTTATTATTCGTATGTTTTTACAGAAGCTAACTAACTTTATTTATACTGGTTAGCTCTATCAGTTCTAAACTGTTCTTCCTAGAGGTCCAGTAAGGATCATCTCTTATTGATCCAGTGTTACTACAGGAGGAAACCTAAACTAAACTAACTTTATTTATACTGCATAGCTGTATCAGTTCTAAACTGTTTTTCCTAGAGGTCCAGTAAGGATCATCTCTTATTGATCCAGAATTACCACAGGAGGAAACCTAAACTAAAACTAACTTTAATTGTGCTGAATATCACTATGTGATAAACTATTCTTCCAAGAGATCCAGAAATGGCCTCTGTGTGTAGCGCAAACCGTCCACGCTTACCTCTTCAATTTTCGACATGAGATATTCAATACCAACGTAACTCAGACCGCCGTTTATCCTGATCAGAGTCACCTCCTGTTGTCTTGCTTCAATACGAGGAATGACGAGGCGGTAGATCAACAACAGCAGGGCAGCGAGGATGCCACAAACTATTCCTGTCGCGATATCGTACAGGCACAGACCAAACGTCACGACAAACGGCAGCAAATCGATCTTCTTTGTTCGCCAAATTTTTTTGACAATCTGGTAATCAACCATGTGGATCACCGAGGACAAGATCACAGCACCAAGGGCAGCTTTGGGAATGTACTGGAAGAATGGCGTCAGAACTCCCAAGGCCAGCATCACAAGACCACCCGTAAAAACGCCTGGATTCAAACAAAAACGTGTGTCAGCGATGTTTTACCACAAGCCAAACCAAACAGACGGAAACCTAAACTAAACTTTATTTATATTGGATAGCTCTATCAGTTCTAAACTGTTCTTCCTAGAGGTCCAGTAAGGATAATCTCTTATTGATCCAGTGTTACTACAGCAAGAAACCTAAACTAAACTAACTTTATTTATACCAGATACTTCTACGAGTTCTAAACTGTTCTTTCTAACCACTCTGAAGATCTAAGAGTTCAATAAAGTCAAACAGCCAAAATCGCAGTAATAAAAGCCTGATTTCATAAGTAACTGTGGCCTTACCTCCAAGGGGGGTGGCAACACCGCTGATCGAGTTCACAGCCGTCCTGGAAAAGCTTCCAGTGACAGGATAGGCTGAACAAAAGGCGCCAATGAAATTTGCCAAACCAAGAGCGATCAGTTCCTGGCTGGGGTCGACTTTGTACTTGTTTTTCCTTGCAAAAGCCTTGGCAATAGCGACGCTCTCGAGAAAGCCAATCATTGGCAGCACAATGAGACCTCCTTCGATTTCGGTCAAAATCTGGACTGTGGTAATTGTATTATTACCGTCATGTGATGAGAGTTTTGGAACCTAGAGAATATGAAAGACTTGTTTTAACGTCTGTCCAAACGATCCAATTTTTTCGGATCAATAAAGCTAATGAAATTATTTTTAAGTGAATTAAATCAGTTTAAAGTATTTAATACTTATTATGTAAATAGAGCAAATTTCATATTATGTCATTTTTAAAAACAAACCTAAACATATGCTTTGAGTATCGTTTTTCTAAGATAAATAAAGACTACAAATAAAAACTTTCAAAATCCTTAGAAAACCCGAGAGATTTCGAATTTCGTACAAAATTTAGACTGTGATACCTCCCTTCGTATTTTAAGGTTACTTCTAAAGTCATTATTAGATAACATACCTCAAAAGTTGGCAGGCCCTTCTTGATGCTTCCAGTAAGGGAAAAGTGTCCCCCATCCCCGTGTGTTTCCATCATGAGAGCCAAAAAGGTGGTGAAGAAAACGATGACTGCATTTCGTCCGACAGAGACGAACCATACGATCTTTTTCATGATCCGTTTGCTCTGGGAAGTGTCCCGTTTGTAGAGCTTCGGTGAGCGATTCACTCGCCTCAGGCCCTCGAGGAGGAGAACGCACGCGATCCCGAGAATCACATCCCAGTGATTCGTCTTCACGATGTTGCTAAACGTTTTGTGGAGCCTGGGCACGAGGTTCTTCGGCATTCCCGACATGCCCATGATCCCAGGGAGTTGACCGCAGCCGATGATGATCGCGGCGGACGATGTGAAACCGCTTATGACGGGAATCGGAATAAATCGCACGATGAAACCAAGCGAGAAGAGGCCCATCAAAAGTTGCAAAATTCCGCTAAAGAACGACAGCGCAACTGCGTAATGCGCGTCATTTTCGCGACCATACGTGGCAACCATCAGCGACATGATAGCCGTTGGCCCCAGCGTGACGTCTTTGCTTGATCCAAGGATACAGTAGATAAAACTGCCCATAAAAGCGTTGTATAAACCGTACTGTGGGGGTAGTCCTGCAAGCACCCCGTAGGCCAACCCTTGCGGGATTACCATCAGCCCGACTGTGATGCCCGCAATCAGATCGCATTGCAATGAATTCCAGTTGTAGTTCGGGAGCCATTTTAGGATGGGCAGCCGACTCTTCCAATCCAATGAACAGCGCATTTTTAACCTAAAACAAAGCGAACACGTCTTGGGAGAGGCTCATTTACTTGGTACAGCGGTCAGGTGATGAGCCATAATGCTACCGCTGTCATGAGGGATGGGAAACTCATCTTACATGGAGCGAGTTATCCCGGCTAGGCGAGGTGAAAACTGCATATAATGAAAGACTAATCAGGTTAAGCCTTTGATGTGATGCGCTTTTACCTGGCTTAGCCGGAATAACTCGTTCCATGTAAACATGCATACAAGGCCTTAGACGAGTTTGCCGTCAATATGAATTCGAATATTATTCCGCAAGTACTGTAATGAACAACCACAGAATGTATAAAAAAGTACGATTTTGTTAAAATTTGAATAATTTAAGACTAGTGAACTTTTAACTGTAGTTAAGGACAGAATCGGCCAATCAGAATTGTGTATTTCTGAGTTAACTAGGATTTGACTCTGCAAAAAGAGTTTTATACTACTGGGGCCGGTTGTATGAAAGCCGGATAGCGCTATTCACCGGATGGTGGTTTTTTCAATCGCTTCAAAATCGCCCGTTATTTGCTACAATTTGATTACATATCAGTATTCTTAAATCGAGGATCCTCTTTAATAATTGTTGCTTTCAAGCTAAAATTTTATCGCTTTTCGAGCATTTTTAGAACGGTTGAAAAAATCACTATCCGGTGGATAGCGCTATCCGGCTTTGATAAAACCGGCCCCAGGTCCCTGAAATTATGTTGCTGAACCCATGCATGGTCATGGTTGCGTAACCGATTAAAGCAAGACCTATATTGGCCGCATGCAAGCTAATTACCATACAAATTTTAACAAAAATTTAATTTCAGAAGCTATGGCATTGCGGATACATAAACGCAGTTACCTTTCAAAGTTTCACTACAGTTAGACTTTATTGTAAGATGTGGCTCGCAAAAAAAGGACATTAAACGGCATTTCATATGGTACTTGGGCACCCAAGTGTACGTTATACTCAAAGCTATTGTTACCACAGGAAAAAACCTACTTATTCTTCCAGATAGCTCGGTTCTGACTTCTGAATGCACTGTATATATATATATAGAGTCGAATGATAATTCGGTATTGACTGTTGAAAAACTTCGACTTTATACATTTTTTTGCTGGATAGCTCAATCACTTTTATTGGTGCTTCCACGCACCAAAAAGCTACGGCAAAAAACCCCAAGTTTCAAACCGGAAAATAGATCAGTGTTAATGTTATAATCAACGGGAACTGAACTAATTTAATTGGAACTGGACAACAGGATAATGGCTCCTTCTGTTCTTCCTACTCCTAGATGATCGTCTGTTATCAATCCGGTATTACTACAGGATGAAACTTAAACTAAGTTGGATTTATACTGGATATTATAAACCTATCGCTCCAAATCGACGTCCTTCCTAGGCTAGAGATTTGGTTAGGATCATCTCTTACTAAAGTTATAGAGGATTTATTCTATAGTCTAGACGTCCAACTGTCCAAGTTTGGGGTAAGCCCCGCCGACACTTCATTTATAACATGATTGCTACTTGGCTACGACAGACTATACCTATCTAGTACATTATAACATTTACTATCCATAATCATAATGCTCCCTCGATTCTAACGCTACTCTTTCGATACATAAAAGCTATACGTATACGAAAATTTTACAAAAATACACTGTTGTACTTTTCAAAACAATGTTACCGGCCTGGACAATTAAAGAATACATTGACATTGTCCAGTTCCATTTGCGTCGACACCGCGGAAATTGGTAGACTTAGCCGTAATTCTCAATACTTAGACTTTAAATTCGGCAAGCTAAAAGATTTATAAATACTCAACAAAATATCTCTTGCACAAAAGATTTGAAGCTTGCACACGGCAAAAACAAATCATCTGAAAATGTCTCAAAATGGCCATTTTACGGTGGCAGATGCATACGAAGAGCCTTCAAAAGTTTCCAAAACCGATATTGGAAGAAAAATTGAACTTGTTTTCAACTTATTTGATAGTATTTTCTTTGACAGCAGTTTCTGAATACTAGGATTCAAATGTGAGCAACTGATGAGATATTTGACTTCCAACACCAATTTCTGCGGTGTCATTTGCGTCTATTTACGTACGCACCACAATATAAAATAACATAAACAAAAATACCTAGAAAGTCTCAAAGGATTCTTTGAATCGTTCCTTGGAAGACTTGCATTCGCTCGATCCATATTTCGCACAAGTATCAGATTATTAAACAACGTTAGGTGAAAAGTCGGCGCTTTAGTTATACTGCTGTGTGCTGAAACCGTCTGTTATTATAATGTAAGTGGGTACAAATCAAGATTGCACAGACACGTCAGTCAATGCCGTGACGGAAGAACTACAAGTAGAAAGCCATCGTTCGGCGAAATCTTGACAACTCAGCCGTTCAGATGCAATATCTCTTAGGCTATATCCACCGATTTGGAATTACAAACTTTCACATTAACACTCGTTTCTTTTTGAATTAACACAAGCAGATTGTCTTGAAGGACAACAGAATGACCAGTGCGGAATGTCATTAAGGACATGAATACATTATCGTTGTATTATGTTTGTTCGAGAACTTACGTGTTATTTATAAAGTCGAGATCGATACATTTAGAATGAGCTCACAATTTCTGCACAGAGTCCAAAAGGTTCCGGTTTCATGAAGATTTTCCACGGCAGTAGTTCCATAGTCATAGGCGAGTTTAACTTTTATATTTCAGGGTATAGACTAGGGGAGAACCTTAACTAAAATCCTTATCATTCCTTATCTATCGTTTCACAACAGGTATAAGGTTCGGAATTTCATGTTTATTGTTTAAGATCTAATGTACAAAGACGTTGTTCACATTTCAACAATGAAGACGAAGGCCGTTTCCTGTTATTCTCAAAGTTCGAATCGTTTAACAAGTCATAGACACGAGGAACGAATCGTTTAACGTAGACTTTTGCTATGAGAATCTTTTACTATAAGCAACCGAGTTCATTTGCATTATGGTTTGAAAAAGGCACACAGCACACTTGAATCTATCAAAGACAAACTTCCTTTTTACCGAAGACTTTCTCCCCAAAGACCTTTTTCACAGATATCTGACTTTGAAAATCAAATGATTTGAAGGACTAGTCCTGGACAAGTAAATATCTTTTAAGTCGCCATGTCTAAAGGGGCAGCTTCATGTAGCGAATTAAGTAAAATGTTTCAGATACCTTAGATTCTTTAGTAAAGTAGCAAACAAATTAAGTATTGTACCGAAGTAAAAAGTATATCGATTTCTGATCATTAGTGCCTAACGATATCCGCCGAATTTCTATGCAAAGCTATTGACCATCAGACCATGCAGTTTCCAAGTGAAATATAAATCTTCTTTGTGAAGGAAAGTCGTGGCATTGTTGGAAACATTCGAACGAAAACAATTGGTCGAAAATAAACCGCTTGTCAATTTGTAAGAAAACTGAGCTTGTTCATCTCGTTGTTCGTTGTTTACACCAAGAGAGCTCTCGTCAGTCAAAAAACGTAATAAAAAACTTGTTTGTCTGCACAAGCCGTTTCCATTTTGTAAAAGCAGTGATAAACATGTCTAGAAAAGGAGCGATGTTTAACTTATATCTAAATTGACAAGAAATTCGACTCAGGTCGAGAGCTTAGCCTATATATAAATATATATTGTGTGGGCACCATGGAATTCATGTTTAATAGCTATGCTTAACTTAAAGTTCTGTGCAACACTGATGAGAGATCGTTTTAGGGTAATCCAAATTCATGAACATGTAGTCATGCACTGTACAGGCATGATCTAACCATGTCTAACTCACGCAGGAGCGAGTTCTGTACGACATCAGATCAATCTATATATGGTAACCACACTAAAACATGCTAAACTTAGCAGCGAGTTCCATACAAGTTCAGTTCATTACAGCCGGGAAGTTCGAATTCAAGAACATGTACTATGTGTCTGCTTAATCTAACCATGTTTAACTTAGCAATGTCACGTTCTGTACAACATCACTTTAAGGTTCGGTAACCACTTAACTTTTCGTTGTCAAAAAGTACTCAACTTAACAATGTCACTGATGAGTTCGTGCAACATCAAAGCGCTTAAACATTGGTCACAATGAAAACTTTTACCATCTCTGTACAATGTACATGTCTGTCTTATCTAACCATGTTTTTAACCTAGAAGCGAGCTCTTCAGTTAAAACATCAAGTCACAATATACTAGTTCACATTCAAGAACATGTACTAGCTCTTCATGACCTAACCATGCCTTAACTCAGCAGTCAGTTCTGTACTGAACATCAGATCACAATAACTGAAGCTATTTCACATAGAAAAATCAGGTATACTACCTCTGCATGCCCCACTATAGTTACCCAACACTGAGCGATTCCTGTACAATATCAGAATAATCAGATCACTGTCGACCTCACCTAAGTGTACTAATTCACTTCTACAAATTCTACGTGATTACTAATTTTTACCTCAGCAACGAGTTCTGTACAACATCAGATGACTTTAAGGCAACCGACATATTTGATGGAGACACGCTTAAGTTAGGCTTTAGCAGGGAGTCTTGTACAAAAATCACCGGATCAATTTAAGATCACCCACATGCACTCGTGAAAAAATATATCATTCTATTTCCATCCACGTAATATAACCGTCTTCAACTGTATAACATCAGATTACTTTGAGGTGCCTCGCTTTCAAAGTCAAGAAGATGTACTACCGCGGTAAATCACAACAGCATGATAGTATTAGACGCCAGTATCTATGAAAATTCCTCAACGGCAATTAAAAAGTCATGTTCCCATTGTCATTCGATCCTTATTCATACAAACTCAAACAATGACCTTCGATGTGCATTCGTCCCATGGTGCGATGTTAAATTTAACCTTATGAACAAGATATATTTATAGCACTAAAATTTTCGCCAGTGCCAGTGGCAAAAGCATTTATCTTTGAATGCTTTACTAAACGCCGAATGCGGAATGTTTTCAATTACTTTCGAGTTCGAACTTTGCTCTTTTGTAACAAAAGATGACGTGAATAGTTGGTGTTTAGGCCCGTCTTAAAGCCTCTTATGGACGAGCAAGTTTTCTATGACAAGTTTTTATGTGACAAGTTATAATTGTTCGTCTGTACGCCAAACTTTGATAATTTTTTCTATGACAAGCACACTTGTTCACAAAGTTGGGCATACAGACGAACAATTAAAACTTGTCACATAAAAACTTGTCATGGAAAACTTGCTCGTCTGTAAGAGGCTGAAACGTCACAAATCAATCTCGTTTCCCGAATGATAGACATGCGTTAACAATGCAAAAACTGTAAAAGAAGCATTGCAACTCGTTAGCCATTGCTTTTAGCGTATATGACACACGATATACGAAACAGGTTTAGCACTATCAATACCCATGAAAACCGTACGAAAATTCTAAGATTCTAAAGAACTCACTAATCCTAAGAACTCGCTTGATGGCTTTAAAAGGCTGTTTTCAAGAACGGACGGAAATTTGTGAACATTTTGAGGGCACTTTTAGAATTTTAACGATAGCGCTTTGGCTCCATTTTCAACAATTCCACGTCACACATGCAAATTTTCAAGTAGAATTCTTCGAGACATTTGGAGATTTTCCTTAGTGGTGATATACGAAATTATTAGACCAATGAATCTTAAAAATCTGAAAGATTTGTTGGAATCGGGAAAATTGCGATAACAAAAGCATTGACTGATTCGGCTTGAGCTAAGATGAGCTTGCCTTATAGGCTTTGATTCATATTTATAACGAAATACAACTAAAAATCCGTTTTATGCAGTTAGACTTCCGTGAACCAAAGCGCGTCCTTTATAACACGCATGTAACGATAATATTTCTGTACGTAAATCATAAATTGCCGGTTGTTATATCAGAAGGATGTGGTTTGCAAGATCCGAAAAAATTATCTCCACATGGACAAGTACTTTTTCCTGCCAAGTCAGACTGATGATTTTGCCTGCCAAGTCAGGCAGTGATTTTGCGAATGATATATTTCATAACTATTAAATACTATTTATTAAATAGTAATGAGTTCTGAAATGGCCGCATACCAGTTGTATTTTGACTGAATTGAATGGGATTGAGTATTTCGTTAAAAATATAGCGGTGAAACTATATTTTTCGTGCTGGGCGGATGTAAATAACGATATACTTGAATGCAGAGTTCGTGAAACACTCTAAAATACGCCCTAAGATGTTAAAAAGCTTAAATATTTAATTAAAACTATTGCCAGAATTTATTCGCTTGTCGATTTGTCAACATTGTTGCAAGTTGGATATTTGAACAATGCAAATGTATAAAGTTGATGATTTATCAATTGAATTTCTAAATGGAACGGGCAGCTTGCTTGATGCCAAAGACAAAGGCAATGATTTTGCCCTTTTGCGATGGTCAAAAAGAATACACAAAATGAAATTGGAAGTTAATTTACTGCGGTGAAATTTGACCCTGTGCCTGTGGGATGAAATAGAATCGCACACAACAACACAACTTACAAGATATGCAACTCAGCCGACTCTGCTTAGAATCAAGTGCAATTTTGTTTGATTTGTCAGTGGTCCCAATAAGTGATACGATAAAAGATTATAAACTTAAAAACAGGAAAGAATAATTTTACTTTGTAACACAAACAGTTTACATAATTATAGACGCCCACTGTGAGAGGAAAACATAATCTCCGGATTCAGTTTTGACTATATCCTGATGCGTTTTTTTTTTGTGTAACGAAAACACAGAACCCGTGCTCCATTTCATTAAGTGTTGTGCGGTTTACAATGATTTGTGTTTAATAGTTCTGGCATAAAGTGTGCATCTAAAATCGATGTTTGATCAAAAAAAATGTGTCATCGGAAACTATTTTATCACATGACGTCAGTAAACATAGTAGGAAATATGAATAATAGAATATATATTTAAAAATAACAATGTATTCGCAAATACAAGCAAATTATAAAACGTTCCAAAAAAATACAATAAAATTGGCGGCCATGTTTGATATTTTTTTTCCTTTTCATTGACAGAAGAATGCTTCCTGTTCGATGAAATTAATCTTTATTTTAGGCAATGAGTACTCTCTTAAAAGTTCAAAACATTTTGTTTTGTCCATCGAAATGACCTTAGACATTTCGGTTTGCGACATTCAAAACTGGTAATCAATTTAAGACTGAAACGTCTTTATTCCATTGCTCATTGACGAAGGGATGGGGATTTTTGGTTATGAACAGGTACCTTAATTAACTCGCCTACATATTACCACAAAAATGGCAAATTTCCAGCTTCGCACAGACTTATAATTACGATTTCAGGCCTGTTCAGATTTCCTACCGGAAAATTTGTGTCCTATCCAACCTGGGCGCCTCGTTGTATTACAGACTTGGCGAGAAAACGCTTTCGATATACACGATCAAATTCGCAATGATTTTGTATTATATACGAAGCATCCCAATAGTTTATTATGGAATCAGAACAATTTATGCTAAATCGCACGCCTTTAAAACTAAGCGCTTTATATAATATCATACTTTCATGCAATGATCGGAATACTTCTTCCTAATCGCGAAAAAATCCTGATAACTTCATCGCAGTACTAAGCAGGCCCCTCCCTCTCACATACCCACCAGGAGAATCGCGCGCTTCAAATCGAATAGCACCATTCGGACTATAAATAAACATGATAGACGCAAGAAAAATTCTACAAAATTTAGGCGATTTAACGATTCTCTTCCCAATCGGTCTTCGACGCTGTGATGCGCAGCGATTCGCGCTGTGAACTACATGCTTGCGACATTTTTGGGCGTAACGCGGACTGTTGTGTCATAACACGGGGTTTTTTTAAGTCGAGGAATATACCCTAACAATCATCAATTAGAACGCGGATTAGAAGTAATTATCCGCATCTACTTAGCCATAAGTGGATAACTTTGCCAAAACGCGCTTCGAGTAAAAAGTGAATTTGAGAGAGTTTTGAAAACTTGTGCGTGCGATATTTGCGATCTCCCTTATTTCCGATTGATTGCGAAGGGTTTATGCGCGGTTGGCAATTGACCATACACACGCCAATAAAGCGGTGACAATCTAATCTAAAGAGTAAATCAATTTTAAACACACATCCCAATTGGCCTACCTTGAGTTCTGTAAACGGTTCGATTCTCTGGGAGTTCTTGTGTCGTTTCACGATCGCTTCCAAAAATTCTCGTCGAAGTCAAGATCTATGGCTTCCACCATTCGTATCGAACTAACACAGTGTGTTGTTCGGAGCTGGTGTATAAAAGAATGGATGCACCCTACTGTGACCAATTTATGACGCAAAGACAAACGAACCAATTAGAGGTAAGAGAAAACAGCCTACATCAGAGCTTGGTGTAGGAAATTGGGTACTGTCAATGGAAAACACATTCAGATTGATGTGAGATTTCTCAGCCTTTCGTCAGGCAATTAAACGTTATAGCGACACGTAATATTTACGCGTAATCCACTGAGATGCTCCAAACCTTGCCTGAAAACGATCCTATTAATCTTAACCACTAGCTAAAATGCTTAACGTTGGCTTGCCTACATTCGTCAGGCGAATAGACCACGCATCTTTGCAGGTTTTGTGAGCCAATTGTGAGTGCAGTTGTTGCTATGTTTACCAATTATTTATCGCAAACTTCCTGACTTATTTGCGAAGATTGTTTCAAATTTCAGGTTTTCGTGATTTGGGCGCTCGCACGAGCGACACATCAAAGTAGATTCTAACGTGCCGATAAAATACAGTAAGCCTGGGATATTTTGACGGAAACGCGCCGAAAATCTAAATAATACAGTTGGGAAGACAAAATAATCGATCGAAACATCGCTGAAATTCCCAATTTTTTACAAAAGAAAGTCGTGTCATGAAAATAATGAAATTTGCAATAATTGTACAGATTTGAGCCGTGGATTTTGTAAAATCGCTGAATATTTTAATAAAATACACAATTATCGCATCTCCAAACATTAGCCTCTAATTAGCATATTCAGCGCACAAACGGAGACGGTGTTGGTCGAATATGTCAATATTGCAACACGCTGTTTTTAAAGAATGCATATTTGTCTAAGACATGATCTGAATTTGGTCATTGGAATTTGGAAATGCATATAAACGATAAAAAATCGCTATGGCGTAAAGTTTATTTATCCTGTGATATCAAAACAACACAGCCGTGCGAAGCTGACAGATAATGGCTACGAAGTCATAACCGAAACTTTGAGCTTGTTTTGTAGCATAAATCGTTACGATGTAGTCAAAATTCAAATTTGATTTCGCTCATCAATCATTTAGTTTATTTGATAACAAGATGGAAATTCTATCCACACGTTGGCGTCATCTATCAATCGAAATTCGTATATCGCGATGATTGTTTTTGTAAGACGTTTATATTTACAGATGGAATGTTTTATTTCTTATGCAAGATAAATTCGCGAGCGTAGACAGTGTTCCTGAGCCGTCTAGACACGATGCTAAGGCAAACGTGTTATTATGGGGAAAAAGCGCAGTTGATACGGTTTTAACATAAGTACGTATGAGTGCATGTCTGCCTTCATGCTCGTGTTTCGCGTGGGTTACCCTACGGCAGCTCTATCTAAGGGATGCTTCTCTCAAAAACTGTCTGTGTGCACACGTACACTTTATGAATTATGAAAGCACCGAGGTTATCTTCCTTTAATTAAAAAAGCGATAAAGCAATTGGTCCATGAATGCGTTTGTAACTTTGTCGAATAGTTCTTTTAGCCTCATGCAGTTACTCCACTGTCCCATAATTACCTACCAGAGGTAATTTATAGTTTTGCATATTTCGCGTAACACATTTGACCTTTGAGCAGACGAAAGATGTACACCTTGCATAGTAGGTTGCTTTCAACTTTGAAATTCATAGTAATCCGTATGACTATGAAAGATGTTTAGGCAACGGTGACAAATTCGTTGTTGGAAGCGAGATTTGAACTCACGTTTTCGGGTATTTAGTTGATTAGTTCACAACTCTACCAATCGAGTTATTGCGTCATTTCTCGTACGCATGGAGAAGTTAAAAACAGTAAACAAGTTAAACTGTTTGTTGCAAGTGTTGTTGTGACATGGTCAAAGCCGACCTTATCCAGTTTTCTACTTGATGTGATGCTTGTATTTTTCGAGTGTTTTTTCAAAGAAAGTCCGTGCTGACGGCATTATTACCTTTCTAATTTTTTTCACACGAAAACGTGCGTACAAGCAAACCAGGCAGTAAAAAACAACACAGTCGTGCGGACAAACATCGATTGGGCGGGAAATGACACAAGGAACGAAGCACAACTAGTCTAGTTACACACACTCGTATCCGATTTCGACACTCAAAGCAGCCTTTTTTCAGGTGTGAACTTGCAGCTAATTATACCTTTATTAGCCACATGCTAGTAAAACGATGTGAAAAAAAAGCAAAAGTTCGTCAGGGCAGATCAGATAGGATTGAAAATACGATTCATCAAAACGTATCGAATTGTGTAGGCAGCAATTATAGACATCCGAGGACAATGGTGAATGATATAACAAAAGCCGAAGTTCGAATTGCACTAAATAACACAATTCCTTTCCCCGCCTCGACATCGGGCGGCGTACCAAAGTTGCGCGAGCTATGATCTGGCCGCATTAGCATATTTTGCGCTTCTATGCTGCGGACACAAAATTTCACAAACATGAAAACCCATGACATTTGCATCAACTAAACTCCGTAATTTCAATATGTTTGATCTCGTTTTATTTAATTAAAGGATTAATACTCCAACCGACCAATGCTCTTGTGAGCCGATGTCTATTATACACCCACTACGTGAGGTTTTGCTGAAAACTTTTCATGATATTAAATATCTTACGGCTCTACTGCACGGTTCTTTCAATAACTTTACTTACGATAACAATCTCGTTTCGTTTTCAACAGAGAACTCAAACATAAGCCTCTGAAGGGGTGCTCGCTTTTTAGTACACGCCGACAAAACACGTCACTGCAATAAGAATAAATTAAAAAACTACACGCAATTAATAGCATGCAAACGTAAACGAACGATGGTGCCAAAAGACCAAAATCCGGCTTAATGGCTTTAAACATGTAAACAAATCAACAAGGATTGAGAAATGGAAAGTATGCCAAGATATTTGATATCTTCTGTAAGATAAAAATGCGTTAATAAAACTAACCGAAGCTTAATCTGTCTTTCGTGACGTCAGGCGCTGAGTATATATGCAACATCTAATTTTGAAACATCCCGTAGAGGAAGATTTTAGCTAGAGCAATGGATGTCTCGTGTTTGTCAGCAAATCTCGATGAATTAAAATGAATTAAGCACCCTTAGTTAAATTGTATTATTTTCCTGAAGAGTTAGTCAATCAACATATATTAAATGTTCAACTTTTTGCAAGCTATATTAAACATCTTAATCTACAGGGTGCGTTTTGTAGCTAGGGTAACCCTTGGTTATAATAGGCATTGAAATAAAAAAGTTTACAAGGACTGGTGCTTCAGTTTTGAAGACATTGTAACTCTATACGCTTAGTTAAAAAATTAGTAAAAATTGTAAGGAATATCTATATCACACAAATGACACAATATTAATGACCAAATATCGTAAGTATTTGTCTCAGTAAATATCTCTAAATGGCTATATATATTGTGTTTGTAAAATAATTCTGTTGTGTTATATTGCAACAATTTTAGCGTCAATTTCAAAGAGAAAGAACATTTACCGAAATAAATACGGAAATAAAGAGTTACAAATTATGACCAGTTTAAAAGTCATACTTTTTCTGTAAGTATGAAACGGACGCGTTTTTATACATCCTCTTTATGAATCAAGTTCCTTTGGAAGTTTGACTCAACTTAGATCTATCAATACGTTTAATGAGGTCAGAGGTTGAACTAAGACAAGCTAAAGTTTTTTTAAACCCTGGTTTTTCAGCGACTGGTGTAAGGGAATCCCTGGCATTGAGATGAACGGAAGAGGTTGTTACCCCGGGGCAAAAAGCACCCAACTTGGCAACTTCTAAGTCGGTCGAGGCACAAATAAGTGAGAAAACAATTAATCTATATATACGAAGTGAAACTGAGATTTTGAAAACACACGCCGCGAAAATATGATCGATTGATTAATCGTAATAACAGAACATTCACATGCTGACAGTCAGTAACATTGTAAGCCGACATTAATATTGTAAGCTCACATTATAAGCTGTAGTGGTATTGCATGAAATAAATATGATTATAAAAGCTTTGCACAAGTAATACTACATATGGCAATTAGTAGCTAATAAATCCGTTTTTTCGTCCACTTCCTTGATTTATCTTAATAACTCGTTGCGACTTGAAATTTTATCGTGTTATGTACGCACAGTGTGAAACAGGCCACAACGATTTCAGTTGAACCAGCGAATAGTATAAGCTATCTAGCGTAGGCATTGTATTTAGTGGTTCACAGGTCAGAAGCTATATTGGCCAAGGCTTGCAAAAATTCTCCGGAATCAGTTGTTAGTCAGACAGGGAAGTCGTTCCTATAATTCATTTCATAATATGAATTTTAAAATAGTCCGAACGATAAGTCGTTAATCACGTTTTAAGTTCCTTAAAATATTTTCAGTCATCGACACTTAGTCTAACACGCAAATTTACAATCGATATACTTGGCCATGGGCCCATGGCATAGGAGATGGATATTTCGAAGAAACACAATCGATTCGACATAGAGTTATGAATAATAACCTATAGTTTGCCATTTTAAAACTGAGTAAATTCGCTTAGCACAGACCATGCATGCAGCCATACTGAAGCGGGGTATAAGGTTTTCATCCAGTGAAAATGCTATTGTGTTGCAATTGATTACTTGATTTAACTCAAGGAACGAGAAGAGAAGTCAATTGCTCAGCAGCTAGAACTGCACGAAAATCACACGGTGGTCGCAAAGTGTCTCAATTCCCAACGCACGAAATACAAGGTGTCAAACACACCCCAAAATTCGCTTGGACCAAGAAACGAAAGACCACAATAATTGGAAGCGATTCAAGAGAGAAATAACTTAAATAAGATGTATACAACTAACAAATTCCATTTTCAGAACGCCGTACATCCACATAAAACTATAAAAGGAGCTCGAGTTCTTACAACAAAGTCGCAAAATGTAGCAAGATTTTCATGTGATCATTGAATTAAGTATGTGTTTTTCGTGAGGCGGGTCAGTATATAAACATACAAGTTCTAAATCAACCGTGGGGCGAGGTGACATGAAGACAGTTTAAAATCAACTTTAACACCTTTGTAAAACACCAGCAAAGACGGTGTAGCACCAGCTGTAGCAAAGACTAGCAAGCAAACCCATGACAACAACACCTGAATGTAAACAAAAGGGAAACTTTTCAAAACACAAATTGTCAAGTATCCTGAACTGAAGTGACTCTCACGAGACAACTAAAACCAATTATATGAATGAACGAGAACCAATATATGTTCGCTTATATAATATTTCACAGCTGTTTTGTTACCTTCAGCAGAGTATATGACATAATACTCATTGTTGACATTTGACATGGGTAAAAAAAAGTATAGTGTCAGTGAGTATAGTGGTATTTAGAAGCAACTAGAAGTAGAATCGTCCATTTTTGGAAAAGTTGCACCGCCCGCATGAATTCGTTTTAACTTAGTCGGTTAGTCTGATATTCACACATCGTTTACAAGGCTGTAAACCGATTATAGCTATCTTAGTCCTAACTCAGCCTATATCACATGAAAATCTACTATAAGCCAATAACATCACATACCACTACCTTCCGATATACTGAGGAAGGAAATATCTTCATAGTCGACAGAACATTCACAGACGGGTCACGATTCAAAGCAAACACGTATTGACCCAGAAAAAAAAGCTGGAATTTCAAAGCAAACTTGTATATATATTCTCAAAATAACCAGGGAAAATGCAGCGTTTTCGAACGTAACTGAAATATACAAACGAACTTCTAAATTATACAGAGGAACTTCTGGGCATTTTGAAAAATGGTCCCTCAAGAAAGTAAACTTTGGAGATGCTTCATACAGTCAGTTGTTTAGGACATTCGTTTGATGATTAAGTATTCCATATATGCATGGCCAAGCCCTCACACGTACCAAAACCTGATTTAGCTATCTCAATATTATATTTCGGACATTTCAACTGCTTGTCATAAGTCATTTAATTGTCTAAGGAATGACTTCCTCAATGCCAGTTTCTCAACACCGTAAAAGCTAATAATGCTATTACCATGTAATTAAAACGATGAAAAAATGAGTTGAGCCCAAGCCCAAGGGCAGTTGGTACCATAGCTTCTGTCTGATGAGATCGGAATAACTGAGATTCAAACGTAGACAAACCAAAGTTATCTGAACTGATAAGTGTTAACTGTCCTTGATTCTAAATGATCCAATACTGGGGCTCAGCTTTAAATCACTATCCAGCCGCTTTTGCGGTCTGAGAGACTTGCACAAATAAAGCTAAACAAATTGACCAAATGCAAAGCTCGATTCGTTACCAGTTATCGACCATTTCTGGCTTTGCAAATGAAAATTACTGCAGTTGTCGTTCGAAACAAGAACTGCGCTACTTTTGCAACAATTCACAACTGATTCAAAGTTATCCTTCAAGGCTAAACTGTGCCCATTCGAGGCGGTATTACAATCCAGAAGGCAGAAGGGCTATATATATACTATGTCCATGATCAGGCAAAAGCGATCAAAGTAGCTATATTGACTTGCAATGCATGAGCTGGAGAGTTTAATTACATAAAGATTAAAGCATCGATCGAGTCAACTCTTTGTTATAAAGTAATGTGCAGTATTTTACACACTTTGTCTTTGTTCATGCATGTAGTATTGATGATGCAACTCGGAAAGAGGAATGTATCAAGTATTCAAAAGTTTAAAACATTTCGTCTTCAAAAATATCCAATACGAACGATATTCTAAGTAAGAACTAAGGACTTTGTATGTCGTAATAGTTTTTCCCCTGCTTCGAAATAATTTGTGATGAAATATCACGGACAAGCCGGTAATTTTCACTGCCCTGAAGGACAATACAGTGACAGTGTAAGAATGAATATTGCTTATGAAGAATAGGGCAAGGTCGACCGGTAGGTATGAGCGGTGTGCACTTCGCAGTAATGATTAATTTATTATATTGTTGTTTTGCAAGCAATATTATTAGCTTATATGACGAATGTTCCGGAATTCATCAACGCTTGGTTTGGGAATTACGTGGCAAGTTCGTATTAAAACCGATTCTGCAAGAACACCAAATTTACTCCTTCAAGAATGAGGTCTCGCTCGAAAGATTCATTTCACAGAATCTTTTTGTGGTTTAATTCACCAAAATGTGTAAAATTTTCCCGGTGCTATTTTGAAAAATTACCAATCTAGCTATCTGGAGTTCTATTCCAATCAACACTTGTCGACCTATGTTCTCAGTTATTCCCAAAAATGGAAGTTAATTTTTTCGTCGACTGAATTTTGATAGGATGAAAGACAGTTAAGACACAGACAGTTCGTCAACATGCTATAGTTTTGATCAAATACCTGCGATTATTTCAGAGACGGTGGTCATCTTCTCATTTTTATATATTTTATATTAAACTGCATATGTATTTTCATCGAAGACAAAGATAAAAAATTTTGCTTCGGGCTGGATATCGGTTGGTTTAAAGTGATGTCAAGGTCGCTCAATATTCTTTAAACATCAAACATGGCCGACAGGAAATCAAGGCTTACTTCCTAGTTGAAATACAAGATAAATCCTGCTGCGAAGCGCAAGCAAAGTTAATTTGCTTTATTATAAACCTCATTTGATTTGTTGATGTTTGTGCGAAGCGATAGCATACTTCGTGAAGGATGTAATAGATTTTTTCGTAGTTTGAAGTAGGCCTAATGAAAAGCAGATGAAATATGAGAAATATCCATATTTGTACACCATGCATGACAACCGTGAATATTCCAAAACATTTATACATTGCATCAGAAAGTTCTTTATTTCTGTTTTGCGACATGCAGAATAACAATATTGATCTTTGTGTTCGAGAGTCACTGGAGTGATATTGGAATGATGAAAGATGATCTCTTGGAAGAAAACTAAAAGTTCAAAACTGTAATTTACTTTTTTTTCTTGTTCTTCCAGTTGATCAACAAGGTTATAGCAAAATAGCAAAGTAAAAATCAAGAGATTATCCGCACTAGAACCCTAGGAAGATCAATTAAGAGCTGATAAAGCTATTCAGTATATACTAAACTTGGCGTTTAGTTTAGGTTTCCTGATACCACCAGATCAATAAAAGTAAAGAAAGTTTAGAACTTAGCTATAGAGCTGTCCAGTATAACGAGAACGAGTTAGGTTCAGTTTCGTCCTGTGGTATAAAAATACACTAGATCAATCAATGAAGAGATTATCCTTACCAGGCCTCTTCGATGTAAACTAATTTGGACATCCAAAATAGATTTATACACAAACACAATGCATGCAGAAGCGATAATGTCTTTTCAACCCTATACCAATAAGGAAAAATTAAGACATCTAAACCGCTATTTACCTATAGGAAATGTCATTAAATCTTAGTTCAGGAAATATTACAAAAAGCGGAAAGTCGTGAACAGATGAAAGATTTATGAACAATGTTCCTGCCAACTTACAAATGATATTTAAGTACTAAATTTGTAATTTTATAGTTATGATAGTTCTTAACCTAATCCAAGACTCGATTATCTTGTACTTTTTTTGACAGATTCTCAATAAACATCTCTTCAAAAATTCTAGTACTTTTAGCTCATGCTAAGACGTGTTTTCGAGAAGGTTCTCAGTTGCACTTGTCATTCTTGGCAACCAACCAAAACTTTGTAACAAAATAGTCTTTCAATCCCCTAGCTGCTAAACTCTGAAATCATTCTTTCGAATCAAAAGGCAGAAACGCATTTCAACGCTGAACACAATGCAAGAATGGAGATGAGTCACTTTTCAGGCAGATTTTGCTGAATTCATCTTGTATAGACCGGTGGTAAAGTAAGGATATTGTTGAATGATTCTAGAAAAGCAGGTTATGTCGATGATTGATTCGATAAAGCCTGTTTTCACAAGAGCAAACATAGTTGACTTACACAAGCATTCCGCTTTTAACACAAGCAACATGACAGGGCATACGAAGGCTTTTAAATTTTTTTTTCGCTCATGTGCATGGCTTAACAAGGTCCAAGGGAATCCGAGCAAAATTTGAGAACCAAAGAATGAATTCTGAAGTTTTCTTTAGCTCCCAGAAAGAGAGTCAACAGAAGAGGTATGTATGGTCAGGAAACTGGGCTAAAGTTATGCTTCTGCTTATATTTATTCCAACTTATGCAAGGTAAAGACTTCATTTTTTTAATAATGAAATGAACACTCTCGTTGAGTTATGACTGAAGCCGCATTGTTGAAGTCGTTTAATTAAAACAAGCAAAGTTTCAAAGAATTTTAGCACCCCAAATCCGTTTCATCATCAAAACTGATCATCAAATAATCCTGACTCATTAAAGACGCTTTAAGTTGACCGGGTTCCATAATTATGTCTGTATTGATTTGCAAGTCATTTCAAATTAAAAACAGTTTTATACACCGAAATTTGATTGACAATAAAAACGTCTGAGTTTCTCGTCGATGAAAGTAGTTTTACGTAAGCAAATTCCTGATTTTAATAAACAAAGGATCTTTTTATGAATAAATGTCAACACGTTAAAGCTATTTACTAGCTAGTTCTAAACAATTTTCCCTCGTTAACAACAGACATGTCTTAATATAGATATTACTGCAAGAGAGAGCGGGAAGCTTTGCTGAAATACAAATGTCCCATGGGACAACCATGTGTGTGCTTCATCCTAACCTCGCACCCATGCTCAATGCTCTACTCTTATTCCAACAGATGAGGGCCTGGATTCTAGTTGGTTATTATTGGTTGTTGTTGTTACTGTAACATGTTTTTGGTGTAGAAATTAAACAGTATTTCAGCAGGAAGATAAAGGTTTAAAGCAATAGAAAAGCAGTTACCACTTGGTCGAAAAAACGGCTGATTAAATTATCGACCAGGGGCCGGTTGTTCGAAAGGCGTTTAGCTTAAACGGTGGATAAGTCAAAAATAGAAAATCAAATTATCTATTTATTGAACAACTGAGCTGAAATATTTCGATGTAAATAGTTTAATTGTCAATGGAAGTACATATTAAATGCATAAGATACAGGTCCAGTCATTCACAAGATGTATGAGAGTATTTCTAAACTTTGGCTTATCCACCGTTTAAGCTAAACGCCTTTAGAACAACTGGCCCCAGTATCTTTGTAGCTTTTTATATTTATCAGTTTGACTAAACTCTTAAAATTTCTACTGATCGACCTGACCAAATGGATGCAGTGTTAAGAATTTCTGCTCATAACTATACTAAGAGCTATCGGTTATGGGGAACTTTTACTGTAAGATATCTTATGCTGAATTGCCCACAAATCTTTCTGAGTTACGGCGATCCAATCATCCAGATCTGTTTTGATTGTGCCGTACGAGGTGCACTAATTTAGTAAACTGCCCATAGTTGTTTATATTTATTTGTGGTGGATTTGGAACCCCGATAGGACGATAACAACGAAAAATGCATCTGCGACTGTGTGCGTTGATGCTGTTCTGCACCAAAGCCTGCCTCGTTATAAAACTAAATGCTCCTAGATTCATCGCTATATAAACTTTGTCACTAAATATATCGGTCAAATACGAAAACTTTCAGGGCGCCTACAACACTGAAACTCTGGCACCGGTGAATAATACCGGTGAAATTTAATTCAAATATACTTAAACTTTCGTAGGTGCGAGTTTTCAAACTTATAGAGTTATAGTCTGTATTTACGTCTACTGTTTTAAACAAACAAAGCTGAATGCAAGCATCTTGAAAAAAACCCTGCAGGCACATACAGGTTATATTACACAACATTTTAACCCTTACCTCAAACAGCAATAAGATATCGAACTGATATTTGTCTTTTGAAGATTCCGGCAAAGGTGCTTTTCAAGAGTGTTCATAAATCTCCGACAAGTGGATTTTCAACAGTTTATATCCAGCTAATATGAAGATAAACAACGCGTTTCTGCGGGTGCCGTGAATATGTTTACGGCTAGTAAAACTCCAGGTACTGAGTGCCTATTCGGCAAAAAATCGACCGCAAAACATGTGGAATTGCATGCATCGCTTGAAGAAGACGCGTCATGTAGCACAAGAAATTTAAATCATCGTTCAAACAAAGCTAAACAAGGAAGAACGCCGGTATTTACTATTCAGGACACGCCATTCGGCGGTTCATAGCTGTTTCTAGCCATTTTCACACACAGATTGTACTCAATGTTTTCTCAGTCAAAATATTCTTTTGAGAATGTTCCGTCTTAGAATGAATGCGCTTTACGACCGAAATTGGAATGAACGATTTCAACAATTTCCACCACAGACAAAATCTTGTTTGAGGCAAAAAAAAGTGAAATTCAAAACCACAGCTAGAAAGAGCATATTAAAATGAATAGAATTGTAAAGTTTGATAGCGAAATGTTTCGAAATTGGAAAAATATTGCCACGCGAAGTCGACAGATTTGTATGCGGATTTTGACATCTGGATTTTGTTCTACTTAATAAATAGATAAATAAATTGATAAATATTTAGCCTATAGCCTGGAATAATCAGTATTAAAAATGCTCTTGTACTTACGTTTCATGAAATCATGCATTTCCTCTTAAACTTTTTGTCATCATGTTTAGACTACTTCTACATCAGTACATCTATACGAATTTGCACCTGGTCGACGCAACTGGCCGAAAGAACAGAATTTATCCGCTCAAAATGAAAAGCCAAAGCCAAAACTCGTCTATTAGGAATAAAAATGAACAAAATGAGTCAGTAAAAGACAGAATGAGTACAAACTTTTAAGCTACTTTTTCTGGCGAAGGCGATGGAATAATCGTTGCACTGCAAATTAAAAAATCCATCTATTTAGTTTCACTTGACACGCCAACGCAAAACCAATCAGGTTTCAATTTATTTTAAATAGAAAGCCGACATGCGCGAAATTAATGTAACAAATCAGTCCCATGGCCATGTGGTTTTATTGGACGTTAATTAAAAGTCTAGCATTGCAAATGAACTAGACATTGACCAGATTCTTACTACAGGGACCGCTTGTTCAAAAGCCGGTTAACCTAACTCGGGTGAAATAAATTCTTTACTTCTCTCTAATCTCTAAGCAATTTTTTTATCACTTGTTTACAAAGTTGAATATCTTTTTTCGTAAACATTTTCTGCACCGATAGAAGTAATATTTTCCAAAGTTTTCCAACTAACAGTGGTTCAGAAGCACATAAACTAAAACACTGTATTAAAATTGGTTAGCGCTAAACAAGCTTTGAAAAACTGGCTCCAGACGGGTAATAGGCCTGGTCGTTTGGCAAAGGAAATTAGTTCGTTCGATAATGGGGCAATTACAATGGGTGTGAGCCTCGACAGGGGAGGGGGGATTTAAGGGGTAAAGGAAGGGTGAGTTCCTCCCCTCCGCCGCCCGCCCTTTACCCCTTAACTCTCCCCTCTCGAGCCTGGGTGTTGATGGTAAATAGCTGTTGCTGAGGGCACCGCTACGGCAGCCTTTGCAAATCTTTTTTTGAATTTCACCAACGTGCCTCCGAATGAAATGCTGGCTGTGATCCGGCATTACGAGATCTGATGTGCCCGTTTTTAGTTTCATAAAAACTACAGTTTCACCCCATTTGAACCTTTAAATACTCAGGGGCTGTTTACATGAGCCCGGTTACCCGAGATTCAACGAAGCGTGAGAGGACTTTGAGCTATTGAAATGGCACCAAACAAGCACATGCTATTGTTGTGGTGATTATACGACTGCCAGGATCATGTTATCTGCTCCGGCATTTCAATACCTCAAAACCATCTCACGCTCCGTTGAATCTCGGGTAACCGGGTTCATGTAAACAGCTCCCCAGTCTGTTGTTGTGAGGTGCACAATGCACAAATGATATTAGATTTAATGGACTAATAAAACTCAGATCCCAGATAAACGCCCTACGGTCTTGGGAAATATGTGAAATCATTCCAAGTAAATCCTAAATACACGTATTTAATTCTTGAGATTGGTTAGGTTTAGTTAGGTTTATGGTCGATTAGGTTTCACCCTAATCTGAAGTCTAACCCAGTAACCCTATTCCTAATCTAATCTCAAGGGTTAAGTTGGCGTATTTAGGATTTACTGAACATGGAAATATTACCCGAAATGGTGCTGTATAATTTAAAACCGAATTCTGAAAAAACACCGTGTTTTAAAATTATTGATAAAGCAATATTAATTAGAGCTTTTCAGCTTGTATGTAAATTAACCCATTTCAAATCACAAGGTCTGAGATGGTCAATTTTTATTGGCTATTCCATGGTCACAACATCTGAAATGGGTATAATTTGCATGCAAGCTGAACGGTCTATTGGTTAATTAATTGCTTCGCTGTCCATATACGTTGCAAGTGAGCAGACTAATAAACATCCGTCAAAAGTGAATTTGATGTTGTACCACTACAAATACAATACTGCAACCTTTGAGGAACCATCCGATAACTCTATCAGATTAACCAATATATAACGAGCGCAACGCAATAGATTAACCATAATATTTAGAACTTGAGATTTATCAATGCAAACACAGGAACTTTGAGTCTTTGACAGTGTACACTGAGCCTAAGGGAGGCAGTTTTAATATAAACTAGTGACAAAAATGTACCTTGATTATTCGAGTTGTTCCCAGCGTTCTTCATGTTTAAACCAGCCAAGACACCGCTATTGTAAACCATGACAACATAAGATAGATCACCGCTTAGTTCAGGGTAATTGTTTTGCCCAAATATAAGTATATTTGACTGTCGACCACAAAGCTGTCATCTTGAATTATAATCTGAGGCTTGGCGTAACGTTTTGTCGAAGATAAAGCGAATACAGAAATCATATGTCATGATAAGACTACGACTACGTTGATAAACAGGCGAAGTTATACCAGAGGAAAAGTTTTAGATCTGGCTTAGTTTTAACAGACTAGCAATGTTAATAGACTAGCTGAAAAATTAGGCTGAAAATGCATTAATTCTCTCAAAAATACACAGAAAACAATAAGCCAATACAAAGAAAAGGCCATTGTAATCTGTTTTACCTAATTATCCGGTTGGAATACCCTGGAGAAAGAGAGTAGATGACGGACCTTGTTTGAACACTTTTTATTTATCAAACGAAACCTATTTACGACGTAGGCTAAGGACAGGGTTGGTAGATACTGAATATTAAAATTAGCCGAAGGCGAAGTATTGATTACTTATGTTAATAATATTTGGCCAATTTGTATAGGTAATAGCATGGTTTCGAGTGTAATTTGGATATAACATGCACGAGTGAGTTTTTCAATAACTTCAAAATAGCACAAATCCGAAGGACGAGTGCTATTGAGGTTTGAGGTCTTTGAAAAACTCACGAGGATTAACTGCACTGAAATCAACCAATCACAGTCAAGTAATACTTTTACATGCTGTACAGGGTGTCTCAAAAAAACGCAACCACTTAAATATGCAAGAATATTAAAATACAGCTCTAAAGTGCACCTCTGGGAATTGAAAATGGCTCTTAAATCTTAATCCTTCATTTACAATGCTAAAAGCCATTTTAGCTTAACTATGGTGCAAACCCGAACAATATTAATATTCTTGCATTTTTTTTGAGACACCCTGTAGAACCCTGAATCCCGGTCAAAACAATTACTCTCAAATGGTTTGGAAATTCGGAAAACATTCAGGGGATGGTTGTATAAAAGACTAGTTAACTTTTAACTGTAGTTACTAGTTAAGGACAGAATTGGCCAATCAGAGTTGTGTGTTTCTGAGTTAACTAGTCTAGGATTTAACTATGTAAAGTGTAGTTAAAGAGTTTTATACAACCAGCCCTAGTAAGAGGTTTGATCTTGTTAAAACAGTTTCTTCTTGCAAAAATTAGCAACCATAATAATATAATGAACATACCTATCTTGTTTTCTCAAATAGCATAAAAACCATCTTGCTGTTGGTGAACATGTAGGGACACCCCTTTTCAATGAAAAATAAATTTAACCCCCCTCCATACCATATCCAAATTAATAACAACCCTTACCTTGCATAATTATCTAAGTATCAAACTGGGGGTGAACTACAGATTATATCCACTTCCCTTGTAATTCTAGTCTGCATGGTGAAAATTTTCATTCAACATATTACACTTTTAACACAAAACATGAACTTTTACATACAAGTTACAAACTAAGTCTAGAAGCAATTGTGTGTTTTATTCAATCATAATATCAAATCTACAAAAAGTTAGCTAAGAGGGTTGTAAAAAAAGAAACGCTCCTTTTTATGTAATTTTTATAGTTTTTTGTGAACCAGCAATGTCAATATTGAACTGTACAGACTGTTTTTCAAAGCACAATATTCCAGAAAATAAGCAATTTGGTTTGATTATTTAGACATACTGTAAAGGTTTATAACAAGAGTATGTTAGAATTAGGAAAATAACTATATGTCCATTGAGCTTAGAAGCATTTTCGGTGAACAATGGATGGACCAGATTCATCATATTCTTGTTTTGAGATCCACATCTGTTGGAAGGTGGAAAGTGAGGCCAAGATGGAGCCACCAATCCAGACAGAGTATTTCCTTTCTGGTGGAGCGATAACCTTGATTTTCATTGTTGGTGGTGCGAGAGCTGTGATCTCTTTCTGCATTCTGTCGGCAATACCAGGGAACATGGTAGAACCACCAGACAACACTGTGTTAGCATAGAGATCTTTTCTGATATCAACATCGCATTTCATGATGGAATTGTAGCAGGTCTCGTGGATACCAGCAGACTCCATTCCGAGGAAGGATGGTTGGAAGAGAGCTTCAGGACATCTGAACCGCTCGTTGCCAATGGTGATAACCTGGCCATCAGGAAGCTCGTAGGATTTTTCCAAGGTGGAACTGCTTGCTGCTGTATCCATCTCCTGTTCAAAGTCAAGAGCAACGTAGGCCAACTTTTCTTTGATGTCACGAACGATCTCCCTTTCGGCAGTTGTGGTGAACGAGTAACCTCTCTCGGTCAAGATCTTCATCAGGTAATCTGTGAGATCACGACCAGCCAAATCGAGACGAAGGATGGCATGAGGTAAGGCATAACCTTCATAGATTGGTACGGTGTGGGAGACACCATCACCACTGTCGAACACGATTCCTGTCGTACGACCAGAAGCATACAGGGATAACACAGCCTGGATAGCTACATACATAGCTGGGGTGTTGAATGTCTCAAACATAATCTAAAAAAATTGTTAAGTCTCAATTTAATAACACAGAGTAGGGATATTTAAAATACTGCAAAAATTGTAGCAACAGGTTGGTAGGTAAGCTATGCATTACTTGAACTTTGAGATGTGATAATTTAAGGGACTTTTATACAAAATCTTTTAATGAATAGAAGTAGTTTGCTATGAAATTGAAACGTCAGGAAGTTCCTTCCAATATTCGAGTTCGACCGTTTATAATATATTTTTAAAATAGAACTTAATTAATAAAACGAAATATGAGGAAGTGATGCCCTAAACCAAAAATGCCACACCTTTTATGTTAAATTTGCTGAAAATATATCAATCTGAGTTATAAAACAAACGCATTCAGCTTTTTAAAAACAACACGACTACAATGTTACATATTAATAAAATTAATCGACAAATTGGTGTCAAAAAACTTCGATTAGAACTTGTTAAAACTTCTAATTTTTATTAAACAAATTCGAACATGCTTGAACCTGCTGTGAACTTCAAACGAGATAAGTTTTTAGTATTTGATATGCGATTACATTCTAACTTCGAAGCAGCATCGAGCTATCGATATACTTTAGCGATATTTCAAGTGATACTTCTGCCATGAGTTTCGAAAAGGCAACATCTGCCATTTAAGTACAAATATGGCGATATATTGTATGTGCTTGCTTACCTGGGTCATTTTTTCACGGTTGGCTTTGGGATTCAACGGGGCTTCGGTGAGAAGGACGGGGTGTTCTTCTGGTGCTACACGAAGTTCGTTGTAGAAGGTGTGATGCCAAATCTACAAGCACAAACAGAAAATAAGGGCGTTAACCGCACGATCTTAAATACGTGTAGGCATTTAAACGAAACCATTTTGACGGCAAATAAACCCCTACCTTTTCCATATCGTCCCAGTTTGTGACGATGCCGTGTTCGATGGGGTATTTCAAGGTAAGGATACCTCTTTTGCTTTGAGCTTCATCGCCAACATACGAGTCTTTTTGGCCCATACCAACCATCACACCTTGATGGCGAGGACGACCGACGATGGAGGGGAATACAGCTCTTGGCGCATCGTCTCCGGCGAAACCAGCCTTGCACATACCAGATCCATTATCAACAACTAATGCCGCAACGTCGTCTTCCATTTTCGATAAGTTTCTAAGCTTCCTTTAAAGTGCTATCCAACCTCGCGCCAAGTCTGAACAAGACTTCAAACAAGTGAGACAGAAAAGATAAGCCTTGCACAATTTAAACGCTGGGGTCCTTACGTCACTTCCGGTTCACGCACGACACGCGTGTTTTCGTTTCGATATTGTTGCGCTAATTATGCAAACACTTAGTCAATGCACCGTGCGTAGCTATTATAAGCTCGCAATGAGTAACCCGTCAATCGCGTGGAGTTCTACCAATGTAATCAACTGCGAATGTGTAATTTGTCCTTTTCATCCACACTGCATCGCCCTGCAACGTTTTTATCTTTAAGTATTAAGGGGATCAATGGGAACTGGGGTGGGGGAGGGGGTGGGGCCTGGGGTGGGGGAGGGGGTGGGGCATAGTAGGTTGTTACCCGTTGCTATGTTGGACTTGTTTGCAAACGTTTTATAAAAATTTTTTTAGGTATTCAACACCACAAGAAAAGGGAGTTAGAGCAGAATACAAATGCTGCCCAAACAGATGTTTTTCCTGGGGGTGGGCTGCCCCCCTCCTTGGGGTAGATGCCACCCCCTCTTGCACCCAGCTTAAAATGCCAGTGACTAAACACACTCTAGTCCAAAAATATAAACAATTCCAGCTGCAATGTTTAGGACATATTACTTAAATTTTACAACAGAAGTACTGTTATTATTTTTGTGGTTAGACTAAGTCACTATTACTCGAAAATTTAGAAGCGTTTTTGGTTAACAATGGATGGTCCTGTTTCATCATATTCCTCTTTCGAGATCCACATCTGTTGGAAGGTTGAAAGAGAAGCCAAGATGGAGCCACCAATCCAGACAGAGTACTTTCTTTCAGGTGGAGCACTAACTTTAATTTTCATTGTTGGTGGTACAAGAGTAGTGATCTCTTTTTCCATTCGGTCAGCAAAACCAGGAAACAAGGTAGAACCACCAGCCAACAGAATGTTAGCAGACAGGTCTTTCCTGATATCAACATTGCATTTCATGATTGAATTGAAGCAGGTATCAGTGATACCTGAACAACTCATTCCGAGGAAGGTTGGTTGAAAGAGGGCTTCAGGACATATAAATCGCTCTTTGCCAAGAGTGATCACCTGACCATCAGGAAGCTCATAGTTTTTCTCCAAACTTGAACTGCTGGTGGCTGTTTCTATCTCCTGCTGAAAATCCAAGGCAACATAGGCTAACTTTTCTTTGATATCACGAACAATCTCCCTTTCGGCAGTTGTGGTGAAAGAGTAACCTCTCTCGGTCAAGATTTTCATCAGTAGATCAGTGAGATCACGACCAGCCCCATGGAAACGAAAAATTGAGGAATCTGTTTTGATAGGATATATTATACATCCCTTTCAAAAGTTCTTTGTCTCTTTTTTATCAGAGCTTTCGTCATTGCTCCCCCCAAGGAGGACGTCATATGCAAAGAATTGCGGAAAAAACATTACAAATGAGATTAAATTTCTGGTTTGCCTTCCAAACACTGGGCACGCATGTTACCATTTCGTAAAGTTACGCTAATTATGCAAAAATATTGCCAATGTGCTGCGCCTTCGCGCGGAGTTCTACCAGTGAAGTGTTTAAACGCGAATATGTAATTTGTCATTTTCATCCGCACCCCGTCGCCCTGTAACCTTTTGTTATCTTACAGCATTAAGCACTGAACGTTTCTCAGAAAGAAGGCCCGGGGGGGGGGGAGGGAGGCATTGATTCCGGTTGTTGTCCACTTGTTTTGGACTTGGTTGCAATTTGCAAACGTTTTATAAGAATTTTCTTATTTTCTTAGGTACTCAACACCACAAGAAAAGGCAGTTGGAGCTGCATACAAATGCTGCCCAAACAGATGTTTTTCCTGGGGTTGGGCTGCCCCCCTCCTTGGGGTAGATGCCCCCTCTTGCACCCAGCTTAAAATGCCAGTGACTAAACACACTCTAGTCCAAGAATATAAACAATTTCAGTCGCAATGTTCAGGACATATTACTTAAATTTTACAACAGAAGTACTGTTATTATTCTTGTGGTTAGACTAATTCACTATGACTCGAAAATTTAGAAGCATTTTTGGTTAACAATGGATGGTCCTGTTTCATCATGTTCCTCTTTCGAGATCCACATCTGTTGGAAGGTTGAAAGAGAAGCCAAGATGGAGCCACCAATCCAGACCGAGTACTTTCTTTCAGGTGGAGCGATAACTTTAATTTTCATTGTTGGTGGTGCGAGAGTAGTGATCTCTTTTTCCATTCGGTCAGCAAAACCAGGGAACAAGGTAGAACCACCAGCCAACACTGTGTTAGCGTAGAGATCTTTTCTGATATCAATATCGCATTTCATGATGGAATTGTAGCAGGTATCAGTGATACCTGGAGAACTCATCCCGAGAAAGGTTGGTTGAAAAAGGGCTTCAGGACATATAAATCGCGCTTTGCCAAGAGTGATGATTTGGCCATCAGGAAGCTCATAGTTTTTCTCCAAACTTGAACTGCTGGTGGCTGTTTCTATCTCCTTACTAAAATCCAAGGCAACATAGGCCAACTTTTCTTTGATGTCACGAACAATCTCCCTTTCGGCAGTTGTAGTGAAAGAGTAACCTCTCTCAGCCAAGACCTTCATTAGTACATAATTTAGATCACGACCACCGATATCAAGACATAAAATTGCATTAGGTATTGCACAACCTTGGTAGATTGGTACAGTGTGGGAGACACCATCACCACTGTCAAAAACGATTCCTGTGGTACGACCAGAAGCATACAGGGATAACACAGCCTGGATAGCTACACATATAGCTGGGCAGTTGAATGTCTCAAACATAATCTAAAATAAAAAATACAAATACTTATTTTGGTACAATTATAGAATACCCTGCCAATAGTGCATTATATTGTTTAATATCTGTCAGAAGGATCAATTTTAGTGTATAGAACTGCCCCGTTCTTTAAAAATAGTGTTTATTCCTTTCCTGTGAAAGTCCAATTCATGTATTCAGTAACATAAAACAAAGTGGACCTAGTTATATATGGCATACACTGTTAACACTTTGGTCCACTTTGTTGGATTGTCCAGGTATTCTATAATTGCTCCCAAAAGTACCAACAGGGAGCTTATTGCTTACCTGAGTCATTTTTTCACGGTTGGCTTTAGGGTTAAACGGTGGCTCTGTGAGAAGTACGGGGTGTTCTTCTGGTGCAACTTCGAGTTCGTTGTAGAACGTGTGATGCCATATCCAGAAAAACACAAAAATAATAGTTGAAGAGACCGTTTTAATACCACAAGTTGAAACGAGCATAAACGAACCTCAAAAACATACCTTTTCCATATCGTCCCAGTTTCTAACGATGCCGTGTTCGATGGGGTATTTCAAGGTGAGGTTCCCTCTTTCACTTTGAGCTTCATCGCCAACATACAAGTATTTCTGGCCCATACCAACCATCATATCTTGATGGCGAGGACGACCGACGATGGTGGGGAATGCAACTCTTGGCGCATCGTCTCCAGCAAAACCAGCCTTGCACATACCAGATCCATTATCAATAACTAAGGTTGGAAAATCTTCTTCCATTTTCGATAAGTTTCTTCTAAAGTGCTGTCGAACCTAATCGACAGAAATTTCCTTTAAATTGACAACTATGAGGGAGGGAGGAATCTGTTTTGAGAGGATATGTTATACATCCCTTTCAAAAGTTCTTTGTCTCTTTTTTATCACAGAGCTTTCGCCATTGCTCCCCCCCCCCTAGAAGACATCATAGTGCCCCCCCAAGGAGGACGTCATATGCAAAGAATTGCGGAAAAAAACATTGCAAATGAGATTAATTTCTGGTTTGCCTTCTAAACACTGGGCACTTCTGGTTCACGAGCAACACGCATGTTACCATTTCGTAAAGTCACGCTAATTATGCAAAAATATTGCCGATGGGAGTTATACCAGTAAAGTGCTTAAACGCGAATATGTAATTTGTCCTTTTCATCCCCACCCCGTCGCCCTGTAACCTTTTGTTATCTTACAGCATTAAGCGCTGAGAGAGGGATTGTTACCGGTTGTTGTTGTCCACTTGTTTTGGACTTGGTTGCAATTTTCAAACATTTTATAAGCATTTTCTCAGGTATTCAACTCAACTAAAAACAGCTGTTAGGCATCATGCTTTTGCAACGTTCAAGTTTGCGGCGATTTTGTAACCGAGCGCAGCGTTTCATCGCAGAACCATGCAACAGTTTGTAACCCAAAACAATGCTAAATAATGCACAGAAGTGCACTTGCTTTCTGTATTCGAAGTTACCACACAATGTTTGTGTATTGATAAATATTCGGCCAGCAATTACTTGAAGCCTCTCATACTATTAAACATTTTTCACTGGGGGAAAAAGGAGGCACTTTCATATGGTCCTGACGTATACCCCCCACACCTGATCGAGGGAAATCAGAATGCTCAAACAAAGTTTTTGTACTATAGTTAACACCTATACTAAAAACACATGGAGTGCTCGAAGTGGGGGGGGGGGGGCACCCACCCTAAGACATCATACATGCCAACCGATGCCAACCTTCAAGTGCAGGGATGACTGTCATGGACATATATGAAATAGGCAACTCCAGGTGATTGCAAACCAATATAGATTATTATCATAAAACCAAATTATATATAGTGCATTAATATATTCATCAGTTAAAATTTTGATACCTTAAATTTGGTTCATTTTCTATACTCAACTATCGACACCAACACATGATTTAGAAAATTGTTCTATGCATTTATTGTGAATTTTTTTAACATTATCTGTGAGTTACCTGTTGAACTGTACAGTCATAACTACTAAACACAATCTAGTCCAAAAATATAAACAATTCCAGTTCCATTATTCAGGACATATTATATAAATTTTACAACAGAAGTACGATTATTATTCTTGTGGTTAGTAAGTCATTTTTAGGCCAAAATTTAGAAGCACTTTCGGTGAACAATGGATGGTCCAGACTCGTCGTATTCTTGTTTCGAGATCCACATCTGTTGGAAGGTTGAAAGGGAAGCCAAGATGGAGCCACCAATCCAGACAGAGTATTTCCTTTCAGGTGGAGCGATAACTTTAATTTTCATTGTTGGTGGTGCGAGAGCAGTGATTTCTTTCTGCATTCTGTCGGCAATACCAGGGAACATTGTGGAACCACCAGACAACACTGTGTTAGCGTACAGATCTTTTCTGATATCAACATCGCATTTCATGATGGAATTGTAGCAAGTCTCGTGGATACCGGCCGATTCCATTCCGAGGAAGGATGGTTGGAAGAGAGCTTCAGGACATCTGAATCGCTCGTTGCCAATGGTGATAACCTGGCCATCAGGAAGCTCGTAGGATTTTTCCAAGGTAGAACTGCTTGCTGCTGTTTCCATCTCCTGTTCAAAGTCAAGAGCAACGTAGGCCAATTTCTCTTTGATGTCACGAACAATCTCCCTTTCGGCAGTTGTGGTGAACGAGTAACCTCTCTCGGTCAGGATTTTCATCAGGTAATCTGTGAGATCACGACCAGCCAAATCGAGACGAAGGATGGCATGAGGTAAGGCATAACCTTCATAGATTGGTACGGTGTGGGAGACACCATCACCACTGTCGAACACGATTCCTGTGGTACGACCAGAAGCATACAGGGATAACACAGCCTGGATAGCTACATACATAGCTGGGGTGTTGAATGTCTCAAACATGATCTAAAATAACAGATACAATAAGATAACAGAATTAATTACTGCCTTATCTCAAAATTAAATAAATTCTTCCTACGTTTCATGATATAATTAAAATAAAAACCAAAAAGGAGAATATTTAACTGGTTGTGGAAAATTGATGGCTAAGATCTTCGTAGCAAGCCATGTAGATAATTGATTATGATTTCAATGTACAAAAGTACCAACAGGGAGCTTATTGCTTACCTGAGTCATTTTTTCACGGTTGGCTTTAGGGTTCAACGGTGCCTCTGTGAGAAGTACGGGGTGTTCTTCTGGTGCAACTCGGAGTTCGTTGTAGAATGTGTGATGCCATATCTAGAGAAGCGAAAAAATACTAATTAAAGAGGGCGTTTACCACAAGCTGAAACGACTATAAACGAACCTCAAAAACCTACCTTTTCCATATCGTCCCAGTTTGTGACGATGCCGTGTTCGATGGGGTATTTTAAGGTAAGGATACCTCGTTTGCTTTGGGCTTCATCGCCAACATACGAGTCTTTCTGGCCCATACCAACCATCACACCTTGATGGCGAGGACGACCGACGATGGAGGGGAATACAGCTCTTGGCGCATCGTCTCCGGCGAAACCAGCCTTGCACATACCAGATCCATTATCAACAACTAATGCCGCAACGTCGTCTTCCATTTTCACAACTAACTTCGAGAGCTAAGCGTCTTCCACAGTACAGTTCAACAACGTACAACTTGCCACAACAAGCTATGAGTGCAAAGTGTTCTTCCAAAAATTTAAATGGCTGTAATTGGTGACGCCGTACGTCACATCCGCCTGGGATAACCTGTCCCTTCCATTTCCGGTCGAGTCAAGCCGCAGGGGAATGCCAAAAACACACAAAAATTCTAGCACAACTTCCTTAAATTTTCACCCTTTTTGGCCGATTATAATATAGGGAAGGCAGCAAAAAACCCTATCGGTGTAAGATATACTAACTACGGCTATTATCTTTAAATTTTGAGCGAGATTGGGCCTAAGGATGCGGGGAAAAGCAAGCTTTTTGGTTTGAAGTTTGGGTTGGAAGAAAACAAAAACATTGCACTACCGCGAGCGAATTTAATCCTTATTAGGCAATGCTCTGCAGACAACAAAGCCATGTGCATAGACTTTACTAAGTTTACCAAATATGGTCACACGATCGTTGATTGGTCAGTTTACGACAACCTGCTCAACCGTCTTTGAAGTGTGACTTACTTCCGTCACTTCCGTTGGCAATTTAAATTTTTAAAGAATACGGCACCATAACACATACAAAATATTATACAAAGGAGGTTAGGTCGATTTCACAACCAAATACTTCGAAATTGCGAGATAATAGTTCGCCTATAAGGTGCGCTTTCTTTCCTGATCCACCCAAGGTAACGAAGAAGGGCGGTCACTCTGCTGCTTTTTTTGACCCGAACTTTTTTGCCCTTTGAATGGGCTCGGCTGCAATTCAACAGCAGGCTGGCATATTCCGGTGTAAATAAGTTGTTTATTTAAGCTGTTTCAGGGTTAAACCTGCTTTTAATGTCGGCCAAATCATATGACAACCAATAAAGCAATGATGTCGGCGATATAAACAGAAATTTGGGAAAAGATTGGAGATACCTCAGCATGTAGACACCAACCTAATTTGGCCGTTTAATTAAAGAGGAAATCGATTCCTAGTTTCATAAATTTGAGCCTCGTATTACGTCTATTAACCCCTTTAATGGAGATATTTGCATCAGGAATTTGCTGCCATGTTTTGACTGGTATTTGGAGACGCATTTTCGACGGTGAAAGAGATAAGGCCTTGCCTTGTTAGGTGAACATTCTTTGCGAAGTTTGTCAATTAATATCCTCTATACAACATCTATACTCATACCGCATGCAAATTTTGTGGATTTCCTGAAAAATGATTGATCCCTTTGAGGCCCGTCATAGCAACAGCCTATGTTGCAATATGAATTACCCAGATACCTCAAAGTCATTGCGATGTTACATATTTTTGTCGCCGCTTTTATTTCAAACCACGTCTGCGAACACGAGTTATGCAAACGACTGCATTTAAATTACAAATTCCCTCTTGGTAAAAGCAAGTTGGGTTCACTTAAACGGCACAATACTTCCGCAATACTGAAATTAAGTTTATATTAATGCCTTTAATCAAGGTGTTTTGTTAAGCCATGGTGTTGTTTTATCGTTAAAAAAACAGACTCAAGTGTTCCTGGACTATTTTAGCAATAAATCTCTTTGAAAGATGAAAGACGTGCATTTTTTGCTTATTTAGACCTGTACGAACCATGATTCAGTCACAGCTGGGAGGTAAACAATTCCCACGGCAAAATTGAAACGGAAAATTAGACAAAAAGCAAAAGGCAGATATAAGGATGTGGAGAAAGCACGGAAGTTCGTCAGGCCTAAATGATGAAAGTCAATTTGCAATTGTTTTGTTTTCATTCCATATTCAGTGTCAAGTGGCCTTCACCGCCCAAACTCCTGCAGAGGAGGCTGGCTCGATATCAGTAATTCGAGTGAAACAGACAGTGGGGGGTTTATTATCAGGGGCAAATAAAAAAGTTAATCACATACAAGGAAATGGAAGTACATTCACTTCCTTGAAGCACTGGAATAGTTTCAGAAAGAAAACGAAACATCCAAATATTTTGATTTCACTATGACAGAAGCATAACTGGGTAAAACTCAGCCACTCCCATTGGTTTTTCCTGACTTCTTCGTAAACCGCAAATTAAATTTTTTGCCCTTGGCCGATTTGTCCCTGACTCCTCCGCAGTCCCTTGACTGGACATTTATAGATCAGTGGATAGTGATATTATATTTACTCTTCCCTAAAAACGGTGATGGTTCAACTTGGGTACAGTCTTGGCCATTGAGAAAAAGTTAGTGATGATCATGAAATTAAACTCATCGATGGAACCCATGGAACTATATGTAAACAGGAATGCTAACTCAGGGAAGAAATTTAAACCAATCGGATTTTAGCTTTTTGTGTCGTAAGAAATACTTTAACGCTGAGCTGCATATAAAACTAAAGCTATATATCAAAATACGCCATTTGATAATCAATAAGCCATGGAATAACCGATGACAATTGTTTGCTAATATCTTGTTTGTACATAGGGGCATGTTTAATGTATCTATTTGTACAAACATACTTAAATCGACAATTTATTTGTTGACAATTCACTAAAATTACGCAAATTTCTTCGACCTAAACAAATTTGTATGAATATGTACAACTATTTCAAAAATTGACCAAGGCTACGTTCATTCGATGCCGGTACGAAACTCTGACTGCATAAAGCCATTCACGGTTTTTAACTGTTTGCACACGATAACTGTAGACGATAACCACGTTTGCCTAAAGTCAACATCACTCTTTCCGAGTTTTCAGACTGAGATACTGGACCCCAAAGTCGGGTTGTATATCATCCAAATGAAGCTATTAAAAATTTCTATTCTGTGTGGAAATTTGAAGACTTCAAGGCTGCTATTTCTCAAATTATAGACGATAACTTTTAAAGTTTCCTTTAAATATTTTCTTTTTAGTTAAATTTCTGAAACTTCATCGTTCAGTGTTAAGTATTTCTGCTCATAACAGGAGGACTAAACAGAAGGTACTGGATTCGAAATCTACCCCCTGGAGTGGTCGCTCCAGTTGTATTAGAGTTCACTGGTATTATTACGACCACAGTCGAATTACCCCGAAACCAATTTACTTCTGATAGATGTTTTTCAGTTTTCTGACTTCTACAGTTCATGAAACGAACAATTAATTATTCAAGCAAATGTGGCACTGCTTTTCTTTCTATACCGACTATAATCCATATGTCAGAAATGATTTCGATTCAACAAATTAAAATCGGTCAAACAAACGTCAGCAATCAGCTTTTCTTTTTAAACCGTTTATAAGACGGTCGTACCGGAATCGTTTGAACGCAACCACCAAAATTCCGTTCGAATCACCACTCTGTGGTGATTTTTTTACCCAAAATTGGCAAAAAGACTTTCTCATGATGATAGCAATGTAGCTTGTGAGAGTGTTCGAGACCCACCGCCTGCTCTCGGAGACTCATCGGTAAAACACACGGGGGGGGGAGAACGATCGAATGGGAGAACGAATCAAAATAATATTTCGGTTTTAGTCGGGATAAAAATGAGCGTCATGGAATCATGATGCGTCGTCACGACTTCCAAAATACATTTTGTGCACCTCATCCACAGTATCAACCCAACCATCTGCATTCTCTTCCGGATCTTCGAGATAATAAGTCCTATTTGGCTAAAAAAATTAAGAAAATTTATGGCAAACCGTCCAAACGCGGGTTATTTAAACCATAAAGGTTATTAATACTGGATTTCATGTTTAGTAAATGCTAAATACACAAATACAATCCTCGAGATTAGATTAGGATTATATTAAGGATTAGTGTTAATTCTAATCAACCATGAACCTAAATCAAGGATTAAATTTGTGCCTCAAGGCTTTACTGGACATGGATTTATTACCATTCGCTATTATAAAGTCCCTATAATAAACAAGATGGCGGCATATCGAGCAAAATAATGAAAACGGGCTTAAATTCTCTTTCCTCACCGTATGAATAAAAAATATCCTAAAATTTTTAGCTTCTACCTTTAAATCCTTCGTCCTGAAAAAAAACGTTACGAAATTCTTTTAAAATGGTACACCACAAAAAGATCATTTGCATTATATAAAATTAGAAATATTGAAATATGTCGAAGTAGAAATGTATGATTGTTCTAATTCCAGTTCACAGCACAGACATTCACGTGCTAAGTTCGCTTCAGCAGTCGTTTCGGAGTTTAGATACACGTCCGAAAAGAAAGAATTTTTTGCGCAATCGTACCAAAGTTATTTTGAGTATATTGCGGCAAAAACTCTGCCTCTGTTCTACCATAAAACTAAGCTCTAAAACGACTAAAGCATACTTGGCACACTGATGTCAGTGCTGTGAACTAGACTCTAAAAAACACATATTAAGTACGTAAAGATATTTCGATATTTTCAATTTTATAAATATGCCATTTGCATTTTGCCTTTTTGTGTTGTACCACCTTAACACGTCACAACAGGGGTAATTATAACTGGGCCCGCGGAGCGTGTTAGAAACAAACACAACTAATGCAAAATTGGTCTTTTAAAGCAAAAGCAATAATTTCTACCAGGAAAATATCTGCAAGGTACTGACACTTTAAAGCTACTTTACTTTTAAAAGGGTTGACAAAAAAGGGTCAGGGGGGGGGAACCACTCCAAGTCTCTCTTCCCTACGGTCCATGGATAGCGGAAATCTTAACACTTTTGTTGTTATACTTGATGTAACACGTACCATGGGATTTCTCCCTTCAAAACCATAGCGTTAGTATCGACGTAGTAGAGATGAGGTCCTTCAGTAAGTATCAGCTGCCTTCTTCTGGCAAACAACCCCTAAAAATACACAAATCACCAGAATGAAAAAGGTTCTACTAATTTGGATACCGTAGTACCTTTTATGAGAGCTGTATTCAGAATATCATAGGCTAAGTTGCCTGATTTCGGAAATATATTTCATACATGTGTCGTTGGAAATAGTGTTAACACATGCTGCCACTTATTTTAACTGCAACATTTAGTCCCAGCAATTCAATTTAGTTTAAGAAAACTCAACAATACAATTTAGTTATTTAAGGCTATAGTTGATTGGGTTTCTTAAAAAGTCTGAAATTGTGTAAACACTATATAACACTGTGTGATACCATGTATCACCGTGTAACATTGCCCAACACCATGCAACACCAAATAACAATATGTACCACCATGTCATAGTGTGTAACACCATGGAACACGGTGTAACCTTGTGAACACCATAGAACGCCGTATATCATTGTGTGACACTATATAACCCCTTGTGACACCACGAAATTATATATATATATATATATAATTATATAATTATATATATATATATACTTATTTTCTACCTTTCTTTTGTCAACCAATCCAGTTTTTAAAATAAGGTTATTGCCAACGAAACCTGACCTGTAAATGATACAAATGAAAGTCATTATGAAGTCCGCTGACCAAGTGCTGACGCTTCGATCACCTCGAAGTGACCGAACTGTAATATAACTGGATGGAGATTGCATAATCATTACCATGGTGATTCTTCGTTTTGCTTTCGTAGCTTTGCTTCGCGTTCCTCCTCCGACAGCATGGTGTTACCCTGTCGTTTCAAAGGGGCAGGCACGTCTTCTTCAACTATCCCCAAATTCTCCAGAATACCCACGTCAATGTCACTGTCAGTCGAGTTCAGAGAGTTGATCTAAACGCACGAGAGAAACGTATGAATAAAGATGGCCGTACGAAGAAATGGCAAGCCTGTCTTAAAAGAAAACTTCGAAAAATTGGAAATGCTGATTGGTTGATTGAACTGTCGAAGGACATCCATTAGTGTACCTCGCTTTCCCCCCAAAACCCTGGTTCATCAGCACAAGTGGCGGGAAGGTATGGAAGAAGGCGCGGGGGAGTTTCTTTTGAAAGATTTTCCCAGTTTATGCCTACAGAAAAGAGAATTTTTAATGAGATACAAACTCGTACCCGGGGTCTTTACTTCCACTCCACGGCCCACGCGGCTTGGGAGTTGGGAGCGGAGGTAAAAGACCCTGGGTATGAGTTGAGAGAGCGTGAGAGTAGGTTGCTGTTAAAGGCCTCGCCAAATTTCTAACCTTCATAGAATGGATCAGCTTGTAAGGGAGGAAATCCTCCCATTTCATCGCAGCCGAGTCGCTTTGTCGGATCCAAAACCTATTTTGGAAAAAAAAACACCTTTCATTCAGGTAAAATAATAGGACCTGTTTTCACCAAAACAAACTAACTTCGCTAAAAACGACATTCTGGACTGTTCTTCCTAGAGTTGCAGTAAGGATCATCTCTTATTGATCCAGTGTTACTACAGAAGGAAACCTAAACTAAACTAACTTTATTTATAGTGGATAGCTCTATCAGTTCTAAACTGTTCTTCCTAGAGGTCCAGTAAGGATCATCTCTTATCGATCCAGTGTTACTACAGGAGGAAACCTAAACTAAACTAACTTTATTTATACTGGATAGCTCAATCAGTTCTAAACTGTTCTTCCTAGAGGTCCAGTAAGGATCATCTCTTATTGATCCAGTGTTACTACAGGAGGAAACCTAAACTAAACTAACTTTATTTACACTGGATAGCTCTATCAGTTCTAAACTTTTCTTCCAAGAGGTCCAGTAAGGATCATCTCTTATTGATCCAGTGTTACTACAGCAGGAAATCTAAACTAAACCAACTTTATTTATACTGGATAGCTTTATCAGTTCTAAACTGTTCTTCCTAGATTGATCTCCAACGCCATGTTATATACTACAGACGAAAATGACCACAAAGTCTCAAACGTACCAAAAGGCGTTCCACGAGTCCCTTAGGACAATCAGGAAAACCATTTGGAAATTCGTATTCTAGTTTGATTATTCGTTGAAATATTTGATATTCATTGCTGGAAAGAAATCACAAACAATGTACGCTGACAACACATGGATTTCAACATACATATACACGCGTAAAAACACTCAGGTTGATGCAAGTTGATATAAACAGGATGAAGCAATGTTGTGCTGCCCACATTGTTCAGAGTTGTTATCAATATTGAACAATATTGTTTCACCCGATTCAATTTCAACAATATTGTTCAATATTGATAACAACTCTGAACAATGTGGGCAGCACAACATTGCTTCATCCTGTTTATATCAACTTGCATCAACCTGAGCGTTTTTAGGCGTGTATAAAAGATATGCAACATTACTAAATAACACATCCATCTTTCATCTACCTTGCTCTAAACGGCGGCAAGCCTGATAGTAGTTGATAAATAATACACCCTAATGCCCATAGATCAGAGCTAAAAATAAAAGATAGCATTGTTGGTTGATGTAGGTGAAATATTCAAAGCGTCACTAAGACCAATGGAACCCAATTACAGAATTCTTAATCTTTCGGTCTTTTTAGGAAAAATGTAAAATATCTGGAAGATAGTACGCTAAGAATATTCGAAATTAGTTTTTCTCAGCAAAAATTCACGTCCAAAAATTCATATCCAGTGTGTTCATGACAATAGAGTCAGTCCCCTTTCTCCGTAACCGTTTGGTCTTACAATCTTTTTCATTTAATTTTTCGCCGAACCTAACAAGCCATCTACAAGCTTGTAATCCAGTTGAAAGAAACACAAAAATGAACAACAAACATTTACGTAAATAAAAACAGTACCTTTTGCAAGCTTTTTTGTCCGTAAGTAATTCCGGAGAAACATATTGTGCTGTCCCGACAAACGAATTTCGTCCGGCTACAAAAGGAAAAAAGAAGGCGAGCTTTATTTTATGACAAATGCCAGATGATTTAATTGCTCAAGGTTTGCTAATACTTTTGACTTTATGCTTTATCCCAAATTTCAAAACAAGTCAATGCAGCTTGGGACTGTTTTTCATTTTGCAGTATTTAATCAATTATATATTTTGTTATTCTTTACGAAACCAGTTAAAATTTTGTGGTTATGTTTAGTTATAAGAACTATAGCTCTGACATAAATTTGAAACGGAAATAAAGTATATTTCAAGAGATATTAAGATGTTTCAAATGGATTTTTATTTGACAACTAGCCCCAGTCCTTTCCCGCCATTTGAGATCACCCGGTTAACATTGTCAACAAATCTTTGAAAACATAATATTTCAATGATTTGGCTAGGGTTGGGATAAAATGCGGATCCGGACGGACGGACGGATAGGCGGACGGACGGACAAAAAGAATAAAATGCGGATTGCGGACAAAAAGAATAAAATGCGGATTGCGGACAAAAAGAATAAAATGCGGACAAAAAGAATAAAATGCGGACAAAAAGAATAAAATGCGGACAAAAAGAATAAAATGCGGACAAAAAGAATAAAATGCGGACAAAAAGAATAAAATGCGGACAAAAAGAATAAAATGCGGACAAAAAGAATAAAATGCGGATAAAGGAACAAGGAGTATACTAAATTGCAGATCACGAAGACTGGCGTAACCGTCACATCTCACGAGAAAACGACCGAGTGCGTGAATGATCGTGAGAGCTATATATTAATGTAGGACGTTTGGTTGTCAAACAAAAATGCACTGCTCTTTCAGCTGGCGATGAAAATTCTCAACCCCAAGAAAGTTACGTATTTTTAATCAAATTATCAGGCACAGGGGGTCCAGGGCCTGTGTCCCCCAAAATTTTTTAAGGGACCAAAAGTGCCCTTTTTGTGATGAAAAATGCCTTTATGTCCCTGTATGTTAAACCAACTGTTTTTCTAAGCCTGGGGCCGGTTGTATAAAGCTTTTAACTAGATTTTGCGTAGTTATTTCCATGTTAACAAAAACTGTGTAAGTCTAAGACAGCCGTATTTTCATCCGAATATGTTGTCGATACCATCATGGGTTATGCCACTACTGATTCCAGAACATATCGTATTCCTACGTCAATTTGGAGTTCAAGTGTATACAAGTTTCAAATGTATACATATAATTATTTAGTTTATGGTTATTTCACTGTTGAATGTGTCTTTAATGACTAGATATAATTGATATTGAGTTCTAGTTTATTGATTTTGAGGGGTTAAATGTTGAATATTTTGTATTATGCTTATAATTTACATTTAATCACACTGTACGAAGATCAGCTTAATTTACATTGTACAGCTCAATCCGCATTTTATTCTTTTTGTCCGCATTTTATTCTTTTTGTCCGCATTTTATTCTTTTCGTCCGCAATCCGCATTTTATTCTTTTTGTCCGCAATCCGCATTTTATTCTTTTTGTCCGCAATTTGCATTTTATTCTTTTTGTCCGTCCGTCCGCCTATCCGTCCGTCCGTCCGGATCCGCATTTTATCCCAACCCGATTTGGCTATTACTTTTAACTTTGTGGATTGCTGGTTTTAACATTCAAGCACGTACATTGCGAATACACTAGATTATGTTTTCAAAAAAGCACACTGGAATTGATAAAAGTGCAAAGTTTAGCTGTGAAACTTTAGAATTGCGGAAAATATACACCAATATAGCCTCGCAAAGTTTTTGAATTATGAAAGTGGCGTTTTACACAGGAATTCCTACCAAATTTGGGTCGAAAATGATAGTAACAATCAAAGGCAATACAGAATGATGAGACGATGTACAAAATTTGCAAACTTTTCAAAACAGGCAAAACCCACATTCTCCGTATGTTAACTTTGCAATTGTATTAATTTTAATATGCTTTCTCCAGCTGTGGTGAAATATCCACAAATTCCTTCCAGAATGAAACATCATAATTCAAATTAACTTCGCATCAAATGAGACATAACACAGCCAAAATAGACAGAAATACTTCTCATATGCTAACTCGTCCTTGACTGACCTTTGAAGGCCCTTAGGTCGAAAAGTCGAGAAGTGCTTTTGCCTATTTTAGGCAGTTGTTATATACCACATTTGATGTGAAGTTGTTTGAAGACGCTGAAACACCATTCCTTGACCTTGTTTAGGCTATAAAAAGTGGAACTAAATTGATTATATATACCTTCTCCACTTTGCTCTGGACTGCCAAGAATTTTCGCAGTTCCAAAATCTGTGATCTTAATATGCATGTCTTCACTGAGTAAGATATTTTCCGGCTTCAGATCTCTATAAGAAATGTAAACGGGGCTAAATTCAGTTGTTGAAGAGCAATTTCTTGTCTGTAATACGCTGTGTCTACACTTTTTGCCAGAATAATTTAGAAATGAAACCAATTTTTAAATAAGATTTCATGGGTTTTTGCACAGATGACGATACAAACGATATATAATCTTGAAGATGAACCACATTACGTTTATTTTATCGAGATTTTGTAAGATTTCGTGAATTAAAAAGAGTTGATAAATGACTGAAACTATGTGGCTGTGGATTAAATTTTGATCGAGGAAAGACGAACGAAATTTAAACACCACACTCCCACAAGTTAGAAAGAGCATTTTAGAATGAGTAAAACGTTTGGTTGCAAAATGCTGTAATATGCCGAAATATATTATTGCGATGAATATATTTCTGTTACGTGTCGTTAAAATGACAACTTCGGTTGAAAAAAGATTATTATAATATCACGCTTGCATGCAATACATGAAAACATAATTATATAAAAGTTGTGAACTTTGTGTGCGATATTTCACACACATTCAACACGATAACAGCAATTCATAGCCATGCAAATCTTGCAGTTTTACCCATTCTAAGATGCTCTTTCTAATTGCGGTGTTGGATTTCGTTGGATTTTTGAGGAAGAAATGTATGTTTGCACAAATTTCTTAGACAAGGGGCAACAGAATTACAGGGAAGTTGCAATTTTTATGTCGCTGCCTCATTGCCATTTGCCAGGCGAGGTTTGGAAATATTTCATGTTTGCTATAGCTTTGACTTGTCAGTTATAACGTCTGTTCACACGATCCAATTTTGTCGGATCCAATTCCCTTCTGATGGATGTTTTATAATCTGTTGACTTGCAAAGTATACGGCCAGCAAATCAACTAAAACCAATGCTGTATTGCTTTATCAGTAACAAACTACATTCCATACGTCAGAAGTGAATTGGATCCGACAAAGTTGGATCATGTGAACGAGCCTTATACATGGAAAGTAATGCTTTAGGCAAATTCTGCACGAAGTCAATAAACTTTTCCTACCTATGAATAATGCCCAAACCATGTAAATGTAGTAAAGCCGATATAATCTCGGCTGAATAAAACTGTGTACATTTCAAATCGAAGGAACCAAGCTGAAAGGAATAAATTGAGAAAATGAAATCGACAGCTGAAATCGACACATTCGTTTATATGAAAATGACAGAAGATGGGTTTTGGTTTTACCTTGTTAATATATGGAAGAAGTTCGCCTTTTCGTGCTAAACTTAGCCCGTAATCTGCAGCAGATATTGAGTTAAAGAAAAGAGAAAGATATTATATATTGTCCGCGAAAGGACTTCCTTATAATTTATATACGAGTTGCATTCATGAATCATGATTTAGTCCCCAGATTTTACAATCAATTTTAGGGAATATAAACATATCACGTTTCTTGATCGATATAAATACGAATTTCCTAACAATTTCCTTGACAAACAGCAAAAAAAGTAACTCAAAATGAGGTTGCACAAACAAGAGTGATATTTTGCTCAATCCGAGCGAAGTTCTAACGTAAGCACCACATCTTTTAACAAAATTACATTCGCTGTTTCGTGCGTGATAGTTTTGCAAGGATACAAAGCCGTTCTTTATCTTGGAAGGTAAAAAAGAGTTGAACAAAAAACGGATGTGACAAACGACTTAAAACATCTTTCTCCCGCGACACGTAGGGGACTTTCTTTTCTCGTATAATGTGACGTTTTTCTAAAATTTTCACTGAAAAAAACAATAAAAATGAGAAGACGAACACTATGTAAACGCATAGTCATAATGGCGGTTTTGTTAATGCATGAGTAATTCTTCAAGAACGTAATTCGTTATCGTTTACCATTTCACAACTCACAATATATACTCGTTTATCGTTTACCAGCTCACACCATTGTAGGTTTGTTTACAGTTCAATGGTTCACGCACAACTAACAATTATAAACAGGGTTGAAATAGTTTGCAAATACGTGCGAAACATTATTAGGAAGATATTTTTTATTTTTAGCCGAGTATTTTTCAACCAACTTTGCTCTTATAAATGGTGTATTACAGACTTGAATATTCTTCTGTTTTAAGTCTAGCAAAGCCAACCCAAGTTGCATTTTTCGCAACGTCAATGTATCTTTATCACTGCAAAATAATATTCCATTTTCCAAAGAAACCATCCACAAGTAATTCATTTGAAAAGTGAAGGGCATACAAAATAATATGATCCATTATGAAAAGATATATATCAGTGTATAGAAAAAAAATTGATCTTTCACACCCTGTAGGCAGTAAGGGAAATTTTCCTCTCTAAAGGCCTATTTAGACTACACGAAAAGTTGTATGCAATTATCATTCTGACGAATGCAAAAGAGGGCCTTTGGCACAATTTTCATTCATATTGTTCAGGTCGGAATTTAAAGTATCACGTTTGTAGTGTGTTTGTACGTTCACATACGCCAGGATAAGAATTATATAGGACAAAATGACGAATCACATAGTGTAAATATTTAACACTGAGTTTGTCACCTGCATCCTTACTGCGCACTATGGGTCAATATCTCAAGCAAAACGTAAGCAAAAATCATCTGCAATCTTTTTCATTATAGTGGAATAGATTCATAGCATGCGATAAAAACTTTGAAAAATCAACACTACACCATCTCTGGCAGAAATGCACAAGAAATTACGATCAAAACCTTTATAACTTATAATTCAGTGCTTTATAATTCAGAGCCTTTCAAATTTCATAGTTCATACTTGCATATTCCTTTCCAGTGCTGATTTCCCTGGCAAGTTGAACCTATCAAATTGGACAAACAATTCCGTTTAAGGAAATTTCAGGTGGTTTCATCAATTCTGGCAATGACACAAAAAAGCTTTGCCAAAAATGCCAAGACTTACAGTGGAGTACGAGCCTTCACCAAGTATTTTACCAAACACAAAATCTTGTGGCTGTTTCTTCTTCTTTGCTGGTGCCGGCTGTGCTTGTGGTTGAGCTGGTTTGGCTTGGTCTGATTCAGCAACAGGCTTGAAATATAAACAAAATAACCATGACAAGAATGGCTAGTGAAGACTGTATAGGACAAATGTTGCATTCGAGGATGGTTTCAAAGGACAAACTATAAAGGTCTGTTCAGTGTTCACACAATCAGATTTGGCAGATCCAATTAACTTCTGATAGATGTTTTATTGTCTGTTGACTTGTAATGTATAGCCGCAGATAATAAAATAAAGTTATTCGAGTACAGTCATATCAATAGCACATTACATTCCATACATCAAAAGTGAATTGGATTTGACAAAATTGGATCTCTTGTGAACAGACCTTGAGATAGAGTCACATCAAATTTGTGGATGACTAGAAGTACTGAAGTTCGGGTTGATTTTATGGTTAATGAATATAGGTTTTGTACGACTGGCCCCAACAGTCAGGTGATGCTAATCCTCTAGGTTAATTCTAGCTCACCAGATTAAAATCCACAAAATGATTATTAATACAGTTGATCTTTTAGATCTAAAAATCTCAGCTTGCAAGGAAAGTATTTTGCTTCTAAAAAAAGTTCTTTGTAAGCACCAACAATAAGAATAGTCTTAATGTATTTTCAATTTCTTTTCTGAATCACACTCTAATTCACACTCAAATTTCAATACATTTAAGCTTTTCTTTAAATTCATGGTAGTCTGATTGGCAGTCTGCGATTGTCCGCAAATGCACCTAATTTGGCATTGTACTTTGTGTAATAATGCATGATTATTTCACTTGGTCTAATGCCAGATAACATCAGCTTCGAAGCTGATCAAAATTTCTCACTGAAAACTTAAGCCAAACGTTTACAGGCTGGATTAACTCTTAAGACAGGTTTTTACACGAAAGAATTCCCCTAAGGATATGATTAGGCATGAAAGTCCTTTTCATTTGCGAGTTCTCAATTAATGGCTTCAACACAAAGGAAACTTCTATGTTTATTTTAGCCCTAAAGATAACTTTCCACGATAGAAACCAGTCATAACATAAATATATTTGTTGTATTGTTGTAGATAAACCGAAAATGTAGCAGTGAAATGTATTAACCTAGACAATACACGTTACAGAATTAAAAGCAAAATCAAAAAAACGTGTTCGTTAGTCAAGGCCACTCCTGTTTGGCAAACAAAAGCTTTTACAAATACAAAACCACGTTGTCGAATTTCTGAGAAGATTGTCAAATGAAAAATTCTTTATTCAAATGCCAAGGCCAACACTTATGCATCGCAATGAAACCGTCTGCATTTGCCTAAACAAGACATGCTTTTGTGTTAAAATTGAAGCCTAAGTAAAATACAAACCTTATCCGCCATTGTGATGTATCGATCAAATATTATCCATGATTTTCAACGCAGTAAAATGAAAGAGAAAAGTCTGAAATTTTTCTACAAATGTTTTAGTTTTCCCTTGAAAATCATTCCATTCTGAGCCCGCCATATCTCCGCTGACAAGGTCAAGGTCGAGAAATAAATAATTAGGGAAAGAATTAGCTGATAAGATTAGAGCTCAGGGACGGGATTAAAGCTTGGATTAAGTTTAAGGGAAGAAATCTCTGTGAGTAATCTTCATAGAATAAAACGATAGACTTGCTTTCTATTTTGAACTTATCCACCGTTTAAGCTAAACAGGCTTGATACAACCGGCCCCTGGTGTAAGTTCTTAAATTAGCGAGTTAGATAAAGGGTTATGAAAATAATCATGGAAAAGATTAGTAGTCGCTTAGAGTTTACACATGAGATTAGGATTAAGTTAACGTTGAAGCTTCAAAAATATTTTAGGCCATTGAGCTCCATATGTTTCTGGAGTGAGACCCAAATTTGACATGACTTTGCCATGGTAAGTAAAGTATATGATGAATAAACTATGGTTTTTTATAGCCTATGAAGTGGGTTGAATGGATATAAATCACGTTTCTACCATAAGCTTTATAAAATATAACCTAAAAGTAAACGCAATCAATGGCACGGAAATGTAAAGAGGGAAGCGTGTTTTCCCAAGTGGAAGTCAGCTCAGGATCTCAGGATTCGCGTTCTCAAGTCGCGCCAAATTTGAAATATATTCCATTCAAAGAACAAGACACATAGCATTCTATAGAGAAGAAGATTCACCATTTTACCGCCTAAATATCTTGTAGAATGGCTTGTGTGACGATACCGGGACTTCTACATCATGCCTCTCAGTGCAAAGGACAAATACAGGTTCGCTGATGCAATATTTAGGCGAGATTTCGCTAAATTATTTAAGGCGTGCGAAATCGCGCCATATTTCACACATTTGTACATTTGATTGATTGCAAGTTTCGCATTTTTGTATTTCAGGTTATATTTGGTCCTATGTTCTCTGGGAAAACGTAAGTTACGTACAAAGCAAGTCTTTGAATTTGAAATACAAGCACGTATATCTAATTGTAAAAGATTATATTTTGTGCGGTATTCTAGCCAAGTTTAATACGTATATGAATTATACTGTCTTGTGATTTACTATAATGGGTACAATCTTTGCATCATGTGAAATTGAAAAGACCTTTTCAGAATCGAAATTTAAAAAATAAAGGCAAAATATATCAAAGATAGCGAGATGAAAGCATTTAAATATTTATACGTAGAATTTTGCTTTGAGGAGTTCAAGTGCTATAGAAAAATATACATCCAGTTTTCACTGATTTTAAACAATTTTCAGCTACTTGAAAGAAGACACTTGGTCTTTAAAAGTATTTAGTTGTTAATCTATTTTGATCATTTTTGTCCCTGTAAACAGTCCTAAAATGCACTATGATCTTATCTATTTCATACTTATTTGTCTTCATGATTGTCATTTGTTACCCAACAATATTTGGTGCTTAGTAAGATCTCTGTGATTTAGTACTGAGCTTGTAAGACGTGTCAAAAGATATCAGATTGCAAATCATTCCTGTTTGCTGATAAAATATGACAAAGACGTTCGTTATGATGAAGACAGGGTGTCAACGCATGACCAGTAAGTTTATTGTATAAATAAAGTTAGTTTAGTTTAGGTTTCCTCCTGTAGTATCACTGAATCAATAAGAGTTGATCCTTACTGGACCTCTAGAAAGAACAGTTTAGAACTGATAGAGCTATCCAGTATGAAGGTTGGTTGGTATAAATGGCTAGTTTCTGATTCTAAAATCTTTCATTCTAATTACAGGCAAAAAATGGCTGCAGTCCCATGTCATAAACTGTCGAATATAAAAAAGAAAGCAATGAATTATAATATAATTGGAATAGATGAAGGACAGTTTGTATGTAACCAATCTTGATTTGTACATTCAATCTATAACTATGAGGTCACACAGCTCCTATCTTATTAAGAAAGCATTTTTTGAACAGTTTCCAGACATAGTTGAATTTTGTGAAGAACTTGCAAACAAGGGCAAGACTATCATTGTTGCTGCGCTTGATGGAACATTTCAACGACAGGTACTGGTTGAACAATCCATTGCAAATATAAGTAGTTTGTTGAATATATATCCTAACACTTTTTTTTTTCTAGGCTTTTGGAAATGTGCTGTCACTTATTCCCATTGCAGAAAACGTTGTGAAACTAAATGCTGTGTGCATGAATTGCTTCAAAGATGCTGCTTTCACGATGAGACTGGGAAGTGAAACAAAGGTAGTGAATGGTTCTAGCTACAAAGTAACCATTTTTTAAATGTATAAAAAAATTTGGGCACAGCTATATTTTTCATATTTCAACCAAAATATGGCAGTTCTACTCGTTCTTTAAGATAATTTTTCTAGCTGTGGTGTTAGATTAGAACTGTAGAAAAACATTCAGGGGCCGGTTGTGTCAAGCCCGTTTAGCTTAAACGGTGGATAAATTCAAAATAGAAAGCAAGTCTATCGTTTTATTCAACAAGCAAACTAAATGTTTTTAACCTTAATACAAAGATACTGTTTACAACTACATATTTAGTGCATAATATTCAAGTTGACCCATTCAAGAGAGATGTAAGAGTGTTATTTAGTTTTGACTTATCCACCGTTTAAGCTAAACGGGTCAACTTGAATATCAACTTGAAGAGTCAACTTGAATATTATGCACTGAATATGTAGTTGTAAATAGTATCTTTGTATTATTTAAGATGAAAAACATTTAGTTTGCTTGTTGAATAAAACGGCAGACTTGTTTTCTATTTTGAACTTATCCACTGTTTAAGCTAAACGGGCTTGATACAACCTGCCCCAGACCACCAAAATATCTCTCCAATGAGAATATAATGATTAGGTTTTGGAGAAAATTTTCAGTCAAACTAATCTAATTGCTTCGCATTTTACCAGGTTGAAATCATCGGTGGTGCTGAAAGATATTGGTCGGTTTGCAGAGAATGTTTTAATTTACCGAACAATAACGAAATAGTCAAAAGAGTTCGCGACTCTTCCGTGGCAACTGTAAACGGTATTTTAAAATCCTACAGATAACACGGTCGACATTTCGCAGACGATGATGTCTCAATGGTTTGTACAGGCAAACAAGACAACAAAACGACCTTATAAATATTGTACAGCGATGAAAAGCAATGACGAAATTGTGACAAGGCTATGCCTAAAGTTTTTTTTTATTAGAACCAGAGGCAGTCTGGCATTTCTGAATCTGAATAAGTCCAAACTTTGCTTTGTAATGTTATTTTGATGTATGGTGTATCAAAGTTCTTGAAATTGAGTTGTTTTTATCGACGTAGCTAAGCTTGTAATTATTTTTGTATTAAAAGTTGTAATTTTAAATTAAACTATTTTTTCTCTCGTCGACGTAGTCGTATTGTGGTTCTTAATTGTTGACAGTTGAGAGTGCATCGAATATTTATGTGCAAAATTCGAAAGGGAACTCAATGTGCACACGAGCGTCGTTTTTGAGCGTTTCAAAATCGTTTTTGTATTAAATTCGACAGTTCTGACTTCTGAACTAATGAGTGTTGTCGAATCTAATAAAACTTCTCACACACGTAAGATGAGATTTATAAAAACTGCCTAAATTGTTTAAAACTAAATACTCAAGTTTTCTTGTATTTTTTTGGAATTTGCTTAACCACATTTGATGACAAACTATTTGAACAAGTAAGTGCATGCACGCTCTTCCCATATTTAGCGATTAATTGAGTGTTTCAATTCTAACGATTTGAAGTTCCGAATCCTGCAATAAATTTTCAGAACAACGGTAACGCTTTATACTACTAGAGTATAAAAACAAATTTTAGTAAAAAAACAAGACAGACTTCAAGATCAAATAAGCCATCTTTTCTAAGGTTAAATTCGCCCAGGATAATGGTTCTATCATACTGAACAATGCCAATGGTTCTATCATTTTGAACTTTACAGAACCATGCAGTTTCGCCTGTAGAAATTAAACAGTTCTTAATTCTTAAAAGTACTTATGACACCGGCGAGTGTACAAGCGATACTTACAACCCAGTCATAAGATCCGTTTACGCTTGCGATTTTTGCTGCGACTTTATGCCAGTTATTAGTTTCGAATGCTCTGATATGCACGAGCTCTTATTTGAACATCAGTAACTAAATCACTCGTTCACATATATCAAAAGACGGGCCTATAAGGCCTGCTGTGTAAGGCAAGTAAGGCCTGCGATTTTTTCTTTTGATAGATGTGAACGAGTGAATCAGTTACTGATGTTCAAATAAAAGTTCTTATACATGAGAGCATTCGTAAATAATTACTCGTTCACATCTATCAAAAGAAGAAAATCGCAGCAAAAATCGCAAGCGTAAAAACGGGCAAATAAACATTTGAGGTGAAATGACGTGTCACTCACAGAAGCTTTAAATGCATTGCAATCCTGTAGTTTACGGTCGTTTAATGAATTAAGGTTATGAAGAAGATACCTTGAGAATAGTCTTGGATTCTTTGTTACGTTGTCAGTTTATTTATAAAACTGTTTAAATCATATTCCTGTTCGTAAAGTTCTTGTTCCCACAGCTCACCCAAGTTGTCTAAAACGTCAGACATGGACGCTTTGCCAGAAGATTTGTTTGATGCGGCTTTTTTGTCTTTCTTGTTGTCGACTGTGAAAAGGTCCAACACTTGTGAGGTGTCCATCGCTGCAAAACTTGAATTCTCTTGCGTGATGACTGTGTTGGCGATATTTAGTTTAAATTTCTGAAGTCTAGAAGGATGAAAGTTGACAATCTGTTCGCAAATGAGTTACGAAATATTTTTCCCCAGAGATCCAGTAGCTTTAACTAGCTTTATCTATACTGGATAGCTCTATCAGTTTTAAACTATTCTCCTTAAAGGTCCAGTATAAGGATCGTGATCCAGTGATACTACAGAAGAAAACGTAAACTAAACTAACTTTATTTATACTCTTCCTAGAGATCCAGTAAGGATAATCTCTTATTCATCCAGTGTTACTACAGGAGGAAATCTAAACTAAACAAACTTTATTTATACTGGATAGCTCTATCAGTTCTAAACTGTTCTTCCTAGAGTTCCAGTAAGGATCATCTCTTATTGATCCAGTGTTACTACAGGAGGAAATCTAAACTAAACAAACTTTATTTATACTGGATAGCTCTATCAGTTCTAAACTGTTCTTCCTAGAGTTCCAGTAAGGATCATCTCTTATTGATCCAGTGTTACTACTACTGGAGGAAATCTAAAAAAAAACAAACTTTATTTATACTAGATAGCTCTATCAGTTCTAAACTCTGCTTTCCAATAAATCTGTACCCCATAATTTTTTCTTCCAATGTTCCTCTTGTTATTAATCGATAAACATTAACAACTTTCTTCTGGCCAATACGATGAGCCCTGTCCATTGCCTGCGCATCCTTCATTGGGTTCCAGTCATGCTCAACGAAGATCACGGTATCAGCACCGGTCAAATTCAAACCCAGGCCTCCGACGTGTGTTGTCAATAGTAGAACGTCAATGGACGGATCATCGTTGAATCTACAGAACATAGGTATACCAAGATTACGAAAGAACACAGAATCTCCCACGCCACCCTGGTTAGTAATAGTAGTGCTTAAGGGTAGTTTACAGTGAAGCACGGGGATAGCAGAGTACCCGAGGGGATCAAGAGGGATATTAGAGTACCCAAGAGGATTGGGGAGGGATATCAGAGCACAAGAAGGGACGGGTGAGGGATATCAGAATATCAGAGAGGATTAGGAACGAATCGTCATATATACAATGATGAAGCACCATATGATATTTTATCATTCCAAAATTTGCGGGAAGCTTGTGTCTCTATTTGAAAATATCAAACACAAAGTTTTTAAAAGATTTATAAAATACACTTCACTCGAGCATCTATACCTTTGAACAAGAGAATGCCGCTGACCAGCAGGGGTGCTGCCATCCAAACGCAGATACGTCACAGTTGGCATATGACACCTGAAAAACAAAAAACTCACGAGTTTTCATCACTCATAGTTTTCATCAAGTAAAACTTGAAACAATTGCCTTGCTTTTGGTTTTCCCCCCACACATGTAGCTGCATCTTTCGAAGACCATGTGCTCGTGGTATACCCCCCCCCCCAGGTTCAAATCACGTAAAGTCAATTCGTACTTGAATAGATCTTGTTCAATGATATCCAACATGCTCTTGAACTGGCAAAACAACAGAACGCGATGCTGGGAAACTACGGAGTCTGTAACATCATCTGACGTGTGCGAAACACCGATACCACAATCTTGAAGCAATTGTCTGAGAAGAAAAGAAAAACAGTTTAAGCCTCTCCATCAGAGTTGCAAAAAGAGTTCAACCTTCCTCCGGTAGGATTTCAAGTTTTGATGACGTTACGTCACTAAGTCAAGTGGCAACCAGCATAAAGAAATATTTGGTTTTTTGGTACATGCATGTGATCAATTAGAGTGTTCAACTTAGAACCTTCCTCACAAACCTCATTCAAACCAAACCTTTCTCCGGGTGGCACCCGCGCACCCGCAGCTTTTTTGCAACTCTGCTCTCCATACACATCTTTTTATAAAAAACTCCTCCTAATAGAAAATTCCCGAATTTGTTCTCGGGCAATGAAAACCATCCCACAAACAATAGATTACGTTGCCCGCCTCGTTTCCAAGTTATTGTTCTGTTTGCACTCAAGCAAATTCGGAAAGTGTCTATTCTTCTCTTATACACAAATGTGGTGCATCACACGGCTGTTCTAAAGGCCCGTTCAACGATCCAACTTTGTCAGATCCAATTCACTTCTGACGTATGGAATGTAGTTTGTTATTGGTAAAGCAGTACTGCATTGGTTTTAGTCGATTTCCTGCCCATATACTTCGCAAGTGAACAGAGTATAAAACATCCGTCAGAAGTGAATTGCATCCGACAAAATTGGATTGTGTGAACAGACGTTGACAATAGCAAAAAGTGGGGAATCATGGAATAGTTTTACCTTAAAGCAACCAGTTTGCTGGCGTTGCTGATATCGTGAAGTGACGTGGATTGTTGTTTTAACTGCGCTGTGATTCGTTGGTACTCTGGATGAGATGCAGTCAGTACCAGAGCTGGATGGTTGCAAACTTTTCTCAAGTATTGAAGAGCCTGGAAGGTTGACAGAAAAATCATATTATAGAAGAATGAGCTCTCGTCTGCGTTTGCAAGTTTTGCTGTAATTTCAGACGCTATTTTCGTCTTTTGATGGATGTGAATGAGTCAGTTATGGGGTGCATATAAGGACATTTGTGCATCTAAGCATTCATAACTATTTCTTCGTTTGCATCCATCAAAAGAGGAAAATCGCGCTGATAATTACAGCAAAAGTTCAAGTGTAAATGGGTCTATATACACACGAATGAAACCTCACAACCTGACGTCCTACTGGCCGAAAAAATCAAGGGCAGAATACTTTCACCAAATTCACGAGTACAAATCGTACAAATTTGCCAAACTTTCCTAGATTCAAATGTTCCTTGGGGTGGGAATAGCTGCCTCCCCCCCCGCATCCCCCCCCGCACGCCTATATGGTATACTATAAGTGAAACCACGAGAGAAATAAAGGAGGGATAAATCATCGTTAAAGAGTCACCTGGAAGACGTGAGGTGGACCTTTCTTCTTTTCTTTCCTCTCCCCATCCTCTGCTAAACTGTTCTCCATGTCTTGCTTCGCTTTGCTCTTCGCAAAATCTTCGTACAGTTGAAGCTGAAACCAGAAGAAAAAACAAGATTAAAGGCGGCGATGGAAACTTGACAAACGCCAATATTGCACGGAGCTTGCGATATTAAAGCCTAGTTAGACTACACGTTGAGTGGTATGCAATCATCATTCTGACGAATGCAAAAGAGGGCCTTTGGCACAATCTTCATTCAATTTTGTTCAGGTTAGAATTTAAAGTCTCACGTTTGTATGTGTGTTCATACGTTCACATACGCCAGGGTAAGAATCGTATAGGACAAATCGCATAGTGCCTTTACAAAGAAATTCATGATATGCAAGGAAGAGAGTAATTCCATGCAGCTCTAGGTTGAAATAGGCAGGGAAAATGAAATCTTACATCACAGCTAGGAAAAGCATCTCAGAACGAGTAAAACTGCAAAGTTTGATTAATAAAACGGCGAGGCTGAATTGCGTGATTATTTACATATTAGATTTAAAGTCGTTAAATATGAAAAGTATAGCCCTGCAAAGTTTACAAATCTTTAATTAATATTAAATTAACCTCTTTTGGCTAAATAATGGCTACTTTTATAGTCAGCAGAATTTAAAATCCTGTTAAGTGGTGACGTCCGACGCCCTAAACCTTATATTATTTTATTATATAACTTCATTTGCTCCTTTTAAAGTTTGTCAATCGGCTTTTTCAAATTTATACCTTGCTCCGACTATAAACATTTATTAAACATTTTTGTGGAAACATCGCCATGAGCAAAAACAATTCACATGGTGTTTTCACAAACAAACGTCCAAAATTATATATCGCCATGAAAGCTCTCATAAAACTTCATTTTCACTTTGCTATTTAGCTTTGACTGGTGGTCGTGGCCTAGACTCAATACACATGTTTACTGCTTTACAGTTACCTATACAACCAATGATAACTATAACCACATGATTCCGTGAACAATGGATGGTCCAGTCGTCGTATTCTTTTTTACGATCCACATCTGTTTTAAGGTGGTAACGTTTGAAAATTTCTGGAAAAAAATAACTTCCCGTAATTGCAAACTACTGGTGGTTTTTCGTTAAATGTCAGTTAGAAACATTTTGCGTGAACAATGAAAGGTCCAGATTCGTCGTATTCGGCTTTTGAGATGCACATCTTTTTAAAGGAAGAAAGAGAGGCCAAGATCGAGCCACCAATCCAGGTGGAGTACTTTCTTTCAGGTGAAGCGTCAGCGATCACCTTGATCTTCATTGTCGGTGGAGCAAGGAGTGTAATTTCTTTCTGCATTCTGTCGGCAATACCAGGGAACATGTTGGAACCACCAGACAACACGATGTTAGCGAAGAGATCTTTCCTGATATCAACATCGCACCTCATGATTGAGTTATAGCAGGCTTCGTGGATACCACCCGATATTTCGAGGAAGGATGTTTGGAAGATTGCCTCAGGACATCTGAATCGCTCGTTGCCGATGGTGATAACCTGGCCATCAGGAAGCTCGTAGGCTTTTTCCAAACTTGAACTGCTGGCGGCAGTTTCCATCTCCTGCTCAAAATCTAGGGCAACGTAGGCCAACTTTTCTTTGATGTCACGAACAATCTCCCTTTCGGCAGTTGTGGTGAAAGAGTAACCTCTCTCGGTCAAGATTTTCATTAGGTATTTAGTAAGATGATGACCAGCCAAATCGAGACGAAAGACTGCATGAGGTAAGGCATGACCTTCATAGATTGGTACGGTGTAGGACATACCACCACCACTGTCAAAGACGAATCCTGTGGTAGGACCAGAAGCATACAGGGATAACACAGCCGAGATAGCTACATACATGGCTGGAGTGTTAAAAGTCTCGAACATGATCTAAAACAATAAATATACAAATTGGTTCTTTCTTTGCCAATCACAAACTCTTCCAACCAAAAAATTGCTACATGCTACTTTTTGTGAGATGTGCTAATAATAGCACACTGATTAACGGCCGACATTAAAAAAATTGATGGCTTCGAAATTCAAAATGTTGACAATCACATTAAACTCTTCGTACTTACAGTAATGCACGTCACCCGGGCTTACCGAAGTCATTTTTTGACGGTTTAATTTAGGGTTAATCGGTGGCTCTGTGAGAAGTACGGGGTGTTCATCTGGTTGAACTCGGAGTTCGTTGTAGAATGCGTGATGCCATATCTAGAGAAGCACAAAAGTAATAATCAAAGAGAGCGTTTACCACAAGCCGATAAATGAACATCAAAAACCTACCTTTTCCATATCGTCCCAGTTTGTGATGAAGCCGTATTCGATGGGGTATTTCAAGGAAAGGATGCTTCTTTTCTCTTGAGCTTCCTCGCCAACATACGAGTCTTTGTGATCCGAACCAACCATCACACCTTGATGGCGAGGACGACCGACGATGGAGAGGAATACAGCTCTTGGCGCATCGTCTCCGGCAAAACCAGCCTTGCACATACCAGATCCATTATCAACAACTAATGCCGCAACGTCGTCTTCCATTTTTACAGCAAAAGTTTAAAGCTATGGCTACATGCGTTTTCTACAGTACTGTTTAACAAATACAAGATATAAAGAATCTTTGAAAGCAGAAGCGCCATCCACTGCGCATCGGTTCTGCGCACAACATTCTATTTTCGGAAAATTTCGGAAGCGATTATAATCTTGCCTCGGTTATTCATGTTGCACAGGTGGAACTATGGAGGCATCACAAGATAAATAACAGGGATTCTTCTTTTACAACAACAGTGAAACTTAAAACCATGCACGCAAATGCAAAGCACGTAGTAGCTAGCTGATATTGCAGTTTCAGGCTGTAAAACAGCAATCACTTTGCATCCGCTCTTATGTCGTCAAGGACTCAACAAGCCGTGAAATTGCCTCATTTGAAGGCGTCGTGAGAATGGCAACGCTGTTCTGGGGCCACAAGTTATGCATTTATATTTTACGCAAATCAGCATTATAAGCTGCTATGTAAAATTTCAGTAAATAAACTATCTATAACTATCTGTCTAACATAGGGTATTATCTCTTTGTTTTGCAAGCGCGTTGTCAAGCTGGCGTCGTCACTAATTTTAAACTCCTTAATGTGTTTACGTGTAAAACAAGATAATGTGTTTACGAACCAATGGATAATTTTTCAAGCAACGCCTTCTTTTGAGTGATGTGAACGAGTGAGTTGGCGTAATGAGTGAACAGTTCATATGTGCATTATTATATACACACAAGCGCTGGATATGAGCTAACGTGCAATCTGATTGGCTCTCTGTGCTAAGAACCTCCGATTTCTAGCTGATATTGCAGTTTCATATAAGCTGCAAAACAGCCATCAATTTGCAGCTTCTTTCATGTCGTAATATGACCCACTTTAGATGAAAGTGACGTTGGTTTACAGTTACATATACAACCTATGTACTATAACTACTTAATTCGGTGAACGACGGACGGTCCAGATTTATCGTATTCTTTTTTGAGATCCACATCTGTTCGAAGGTGGAAACTTTGGAAAAAAATTGTAACTGCAAACTACTGATGTTTTTGATAAAGCGTCACTTAGAAGCATTTTCTGTGGACTATGGAAGGTCCAGCTTCGTCGTATTCAGCTTTCGAGATGCACATATTTTCAAAGGTAGAAAGAGAGGCCACCATGGAGCCTCCGATCCAGGCAGAGTACTTTCTTTCAGGTGGAGCGATCACCTTGATCTTCATTTTTCGTGGAGCAAGGAGCGTAATTTCCCTCTGCAGCCTCTCAGCAATACCAGGAAACATGGTGGAACCACCAGACAACACGATGTTACCGTAGAGATCATCCCAGATGTCGCCATCGCACTTCATGATGGAGTTATAGCAGGTCTCGTGGATACCAGCCGATTCCATTCCGAGGAATGATGGTTGGAAGAGTGCCTCCGGACATCGGAATCGCTCGTTTCCGATGGTGATAACCTGGCCATCAGGAAGCTCGTAGGTTTTCTCAAAATGCTGTTTCCCCGAACTGTTGGCGGCAGCTTCCATCTCCAGCTCAAAATCTAAAGCAACGTAGGTCAACTTTTCCTTGATATCTTTGAGGATTTCCCTTTCGGCAGTTGTGGTGAAAGAGTAACCTCTCTCAGTCAAGATCATCGTCAGGTAATCAGCCAGATGAATACCAGCCAAATCGAAACGAAGGATTGCATGAGGTAAAGCATAAGCTTCGTATACTGGCACAGCGTGGGAGACACCATCACCACTGTCAAACACGAATCCTGTGACACGACCAGAAGCATAGAGGGATAACACAGCCGGGATAGTTACGTACATAGCTGGGGTGTTAAATGTCTCAAACATGATCTAAAAAAATTATTATATACAAATTAGTTCTTTCTTTGCCAATCACAAACTCTTCCAACCAAAAAGCTGCTACTTTTGTGACATGTGCTAATAATAGCACACCGTTTAACGGCCGATATAAAAAAAAATTATGGCTTCGAAATTCGAAATGTTGATATTCACATTAAACACTGTTTTAGCCAGATTATTTCCTAAATAATTCGCCTGATTGTTTTGAATTGTGAACACTTAATTGTGAACTCATTTATTCAAGTGCTCGCAATTCAAAAGAAACACGCGAAATATTTCGCATTTCGCCGAAAAAAAGTGCTCGTGGAATCAGGCCCTTATGTACCTCAGCTAGTGCGCTCCTTGCTTACCGAAGTAATTTTTTCACGGTTGGCTTTAGGGTTAAACGGTGCCTCTGTGTGAAGTACGGGATATTCTTCTGGTGCAACTCGGAGTTCGTTGTAGAATGTGTGATGCCATATCTATAGAAGAACAAAAATAATAATTAAAGAGAGCGTTTACCACAAGCCGATACGACGATAAATGAACATCAAAGACCGACCTTTTCCATATCGTCCCAGTTTGTGACGATGCCGTGTTCGATGGGGTATTTTAAGGACAGGATGCTTCCTTTTTCTTGAGCTTCATCGCCAACATACGAGTCTTTGTTACCCGAACCAACCATCACACCTTGATGGCGAGGACGACCGACGATGGAGGGGAATACAGCTCTTGGCGCATCGTCTCCAGCAAAACCAGCCTTGCACATACCAGATCCATTATCAATAACTAATGCTGCAACGTCGTCATCCATTTTTACAACAAAAGTTTAAAGCTATGGCTATGCGTTTTCTACAATATTGTTTAACAAATACAAGCTATAAAGAATCTTTGAAAGCAGAAGCGCTATCCACTGCGCATCGGTTCTGCGCATAACATTCGGAAGCGATTATAATCTTGCCTCGGTTATTCATGTTGCACAGGTGGAACTATGGAGGCATCACAAGATATATAACAGGGATTCTTCTTTTACAACGACAGTGAAACAAGAAATTTAAACCCATGCATGCAAAGCACGTAGTAGCTAGCTGATATTGCAGTTTCAGGCTGTAAAACAGCAATCACTTTGCATCTGCTCTTACGTCGTTAAGGACTCAACAAGCCGTGAATTTGCCTCATTTGAAGGCGTCGTGAGAATGGCAATGCTGTTCTGGGGCCACAAGTTATGCATTTATATTTTTTTTATAATTCAGCACTATAAGCTGTTATGTAAAATAGCATAAAAAATCTTTCTAACGTAGCCATTGTGCGTTTCCTCTTTGTTTTGAAAGCGCGTTGTCAAGCTGGCGTCGTCATAAATCTTAAACTGTGTTTACGTGTAAAACATAATGTGTTTAGGAACCCATGGATAATTTTTCAAGTGTTTAGTCACCTTCAACAGCAAACGTTAATAAAATCCGTTCACCAGAAGAGAAGAGGGGGAAGAGAAGTATTCTGCAGTTGTGGGGGAAATGCGAAGACTGCAGCCAAATACGCCACTCCTTCGCTATCAGTTTTCGCTCCCCCGGGCGAAAGAAGCTTACTGTAATTCAGTAATTGGGGGGTGTATATTCATATATTCATGTTCAAAAACCGTAATAACATTCGCTTGTCACGATATCTTCGTTTGGCTTATGCGATGGTTAGTAGGAAATGCTTATTAGTTTAATGACTTTGATCATAGGTTTGATAGATTTGGTATCTTTTTTTCGATCTCTGACAGTAAACTTTAGACTACCTTTTTAATAGCTACAAAATTTTACCCACTCCGGAAGCAATCCGGTATAGTGTTAAGTCCGCACATGTGAGCTATCAGCTGAGCAGCTTGAACTATCGACCTCGCGAGGCAGCCCATCCGCACACGTGAGAAAACCATCCGCACACGTGAGAAAACCATCCGCACACGTGAGAAAACCATCCGCACACGTGAGAAAACCATCCACACACGTGAGAAAACCATCCGCACACGTGAGGAAACCATCCACACACGTGAGAAAACCATCCGCACACGTGAGAAAACCATCCGCACACGTGGGAAACTTGCCCTTCGAGGCGAAATCCTCTTGAAAACTATCCGCTCACGAGAGAAACTTGCTGAGCTACAACCTCGCGAGGTCGTGAGCTCAGCTGATAGCTCTCGTGTGCGGCGGGCTTTCATGAGGAATTCGCCTCGAGAGTATTGAATAAAAATACTTTTCATTTTTCGCTGAAATGCATGTCTCTCTGATAGATTTGAAATTCGAAAGGCCCCGAATTCCAATTTTACCACGGGAGAGAAAAGACAGATGAATTCTTACCTGTAGTGGTGATAGCTCGCAGTAGTAATCCTGGATGATTTTCGGTGGTAAATCCTGCAAGACGTCTTCCTTCATTCTTCTCAACAAGAATGGCAAAACTTGGCGATGCAAACCCTCCATTGCCAAGGCACCTTCGAAAATAGAAAATACTACCATTATTTCCGAATGTAGCAAATATCCTAATTAGCAAATAATTAGGTGAATTAGAATTAGCAATTAGAACAATTTATCGAGCAATAGACCTTTCCAACTTGTATGCAAATTACCCATTTCAAATCACATGGTTTGAAATGGTTAAATTTTATTGGCTATTCCATTGTCACAACATCTGACATGGGTAATTTGCATACAAGCTGAAAAGTTCTAATCGAACCTTCTTCTTGTTCTTTCGAAGAGGACTTGGCATCTCTGCTCATCAAGATTGGTTTTCCGTATTGAGTTTGAAATTTCTTCTCGCTGCCCAGAAAGCCGGGCATGAGGAAATCGAATAACGACCACAATTCAAGCACGTTATTCTACAGAGAAAAAAAATATGAAACTCGCAGGGAATTCGCCAAGATGGGGGACTACGATAAGGCAATGTTGGAGGAGAACAGCGGGGGGGGGGGTGAGGGGGCAAGTTAATGTATGGGGGATAGCTAAGGTTTTCGGAGCACTTCTAAACCGCCAAAATTCTTCTCATGATTTCAAAAGTTGACAACAGAGGCGGGGATGAGGGGGACTGTCACCCCTTCCTACGCCTCTAGGGATCCTATTTAGTCTAAAATACACGATTTTCTATATAACTTCTTTTTATTCAACTACCCTTGTAACAGAAAATCACTCAAAAATGTTTTTAAATATCCCAGTGAAAAGCATCCTATTTTAAATCCACGGACAATTATCATTATCATTCTAATTCCCTCCTTTATAGTATATTTCTTATTCACCAAAAATAGTAGAACTAGACTTCACCCGGACTATATGTCGTTGATCTATACCTGGATGGGTGTTCCTGACAGAATCAAGCGATGACTTGCTCTTAATTCCTTGATCACTTTAGACATCTAAATGAAAACACACCGAGGACTTTGAAATAGTTCAACTCTACGATTTAAAACAATTCGACCTAAAAATAATTTCTCAGCAAACCTTGGTTTTCGCATTTTTTATTATATGCCCCTCGTCTAAGACACAGTAGTTCCATGACAGAGACCTAAAATATATGAAACAATTTCTTTCTAAATTGCTTTATCAGTTCTAAACTGTTCTTATCTAGAGTTCCAGTGTTACTACAGGAGGAAACCTGAACTAAACTAACTTTATTTATACTAGATAGCTCTGTCAGTTCTAAACTGTTCTTCCTAGAGGTCCAGTAAGGATCATCTCTTATTGATCCAGTGTTACTACAGGAGGAAACCTGAACTAAACTAACTTTATTTATACTGGATAGCTCTATCAGTTCTAAACTGTTCTTCCTAGAGGTCCAGTAAGGATCATCTCTTATTGATCCAGTGTTACTACAGGAGGAAACCTGAACTAAACTAACTTTATTTATACTGGATAGCTCTATCAGTTCTAAACTGTTCTTCCTAGAGGTCCAGTAAGGATCATCTCTTATTGATCCAGTGTTACTACAGGAGGAAACCTAAACTTAACTAACTTTATTTATACTGGATAGCTCTATCAGTTCTAAACTGTTCTTCCTAGAGGTCCAGTAAGGATCATCTCTTATTGATCCAGTGTTACAACAGGAAGAAACCTAAACTAAACTAACTTTATTTATACTGGATAGCTCTATCAGTTCTAAACTGTTCTTCCTAGAGGTCCAGTAAGGATCATCTCTTATTGATCCAGTGTTACTACAGGAGGAAACCTAAACTTAACTAACTTTATTTATACTGGATAGCTCTATCAGTTCTAAACTGTTCTTCCTAGAGGTCCAGTAAGGATCATCTCTTATTGATCCAGTGTTACAACAGGAAGAAACCTAAACTAAACTAACTTTATTTATACTGGATAGCTCTATCAGTTCTAAACTGTTCTTCCTAGAGGTCCAGTAAGGATCATCTCTTATTGATCCAGTGTTACCACAGGAGGAAACCTAAACTAAACTAACTTTATTTATACTGGATAGCTCTATCAGTTCTAAACTGTTCTTCCTAGAGGTCCAGTAAGGATCATCTCTTATTGATCCAGTATTACTACAGGAGGAAACCTAAACTAAACTAACTTTAGTCCCATCACAACTAAACTATATCTCGATTAGTAAATAAGAAGCACCAACTACTCACTTGAAGAAATCGCTGTCATTTCTAACAATATCATAGGATGCAACAACGAGATTGTGTTTCTTGACTTTGTCTCTTAGCCTTAAACGAGAAACAGAATGGCCTTGCAAGTCTTGTTCCTTTTGACATACTCAGTCTTCAGCAACAAGCGGGGATTTCGTTTTAGACCAATCAGCATATTTGTTTACATTCTAAGTAAGCCAATCAGAATGCACAAATCTTGATTACTTCCGGTAAAAAGTTACATCATTTGCCATTTAACACGAAGTATTAAAAATTTAGGCATTCTGATTGGCTCTGCCTGAAAAAAGTAAACAAATATGCGGATTTGTTCAAAACGAAATTTTGTTGTCTTCAGCTGTAGAAAGAGTACAACAGGTTGTTGCCGTGATTTCTTACCGATATCTTTCACCCGGTGGCCCTGTGTAGTGCAATGGATTCAGATGTTCTTTCGCCACAAATTTCTCCACTTCGTAACACCAATGTCCTGTTAAGGTGGGCGGACAGATCACGAGAGATGGCAGCAGTTGAACATTGCTTCCCTCCTGCTGTGAAGAATGGAATGACTGGGATTAGAGAACCTCTTAGAAGGCTATCCAATATAAATAAAGTTAGTTTAGTTTAGGTTCCCTCCTGTAGTAACATTGGATCTATAAGAGATGATCCTTACTGGACCTCTAAGAAGAACAGTTTAGAACTGATAGAGCTATCCAGTATAAATAAAGTTAGTTTAGTTTAGGTTTCCTCCTGTAGTAACACGGGATCAATAAGAGATGATCCTTACTGGACCTCTAGGAAGAACAGTTTAGAACTGATAGAGTTATACAGTATAGATAAAGTTAGTTTAGTTTAGGTTTCCTTCTGTAGTAAAACTGGATCGATAAGAGATGATCCTTACTGGACTTCTAGGAAGAACAGTTTAGAACTGATAGAGTTATACAGTATAGATAAAGTTAGTTTAGTTTAGGTTTCCTTCTGTAGTAAAACTGGATCGATAAGAGATAAAGCTAGTTCAGCTCAAAGCTAGTTCAAAGTTCTCTCACTACAACTAGATTAATGTGGTAACCCAGATATTGAAAACTTTTTCGTTATACCTTAGACGCCTCTTTCTTCTCCTGATGATCACCAGCCACGATGCAGATAGTTTGCAGTGTTTTTCCCAAACCCATATCTGAAAGAAACCCATGCAATGTGTCAAAGCATTATCACACTATATTTAACACGCGGTATCTAACACGCTGTATTTAACACGCTGTATTTAACACGCTGTATCTAACACGCTGTATTTAACACGCTGTATCTAACACGCTGTATTTAACACGCTGTATTTAACACGCTGTATTTAACACGCTGTATCTAACACGCTGTATTTAACACGCTGTATCTAACACGCTGTATCTAACATGCTGTATTTAACACGCTGTATCTAACACGCTGTATCTAACACGCTGTATTTAACACAGGTTTGAAACAGGAAAGGGATGCAAATTATAATACCATCACAAAGTATTCCATGTAGTTTATATTTTCTTAAAAACGCCAGCCAATTGACGCCATCCTAGAGAAAAAAAGGATGAAAAAATCCAGTTGAATATTAATGTTGTCTTTTAACAGGACTTGCGTCCTCGATCGTTTGATCCGGGCTTATGTTAGGTAAACAAAGAAACGAAAATATATAAGAAAGATTCTAGTCCAGTCATCCCTTTGTCAAACATTTAGTTTAGTTGAAAGGCAATGGAGGAACTGCACAGTCGACTAAACCATAAGCGATATTCTCACCTGTTGATATTTTCTGAGTTCGGCTTTGATGGGAATGGGAACGACAAAATTATCCAACTTAGTTTCGCCAAACAACTGCTTAAGAAAATGTCGTTCCTCGTCGCGTTTTTCGTTGAGAGAAGCCGAGAGCTGTACGGGCTTTGCCGAAGACTACACAGAAGAGAGAAATACAGAAAGAAGTTGGGTAAAGTTTGGAACCTTCACCTGAATGACAGTTGGGACAGACGAAAACCCTTTGCATGTGAAATGCTGTTACAAGGTGGTATTTAACACGTATAGTGCAGGAGCCGGTTGTTCGAAAGGCGTTTAGCTTAAACGGTGGATAAGCCAAAATAAAAAAATACTCTCATAGATCTTGCGAATGACTGAACCTCTATCTTATGCATTTAATATGTACTTCCATTGACAATTAAACTATTTACATCAATAAATTGTTCAATAAATAGATGATTTTGTTTTCCATTGTGAACTTATCCACCGTTTAAGCTAAACGCCTTTCAAACAATCGGCCTCAGTATTGATGGCCAAGTGTGTAATGTTATATATGTGAATGTTTATAATATGTGTGAATGTGTGTTTAAATGACGATATGTAGCATGAAATTTGAAACATATCTTCTGCAAAGATATATTTCATTTAAAAACCCATGTTGGTTATTTCAATGATAACATATTTCAAATGGGGGAACCCCTTTTTCGAGATTGTGTACGAGGAAGCCAATAACCCAACCTTGGTAGCACCTCGTGGCTCCAATCAGTAACACCGATCTTTTAAATAGGTGCGGTGATGAATATTACTCAGAATATAGTTCCTGTCAGCGGTCAAAGTTTCCTACCTCTAAAGGCATCAGGCTTATCAATGTGGCGAAACACTGAGCAGCCAAGAGCCTCACATGCTCGGAATGGTCGCTCATCGCACCCAGTGTTGGTATGATTAATAAAATAACGTAAGGAATAACATCCACCTGGAGACGATTTGTAATATCTGGCAGATACCGTGAAGAAAATGCAACAGTAAAAACAAAATATAAACAAGGCTCTTTCCCTAATCTCAGGTAGTTGATCCAATACGATGCAAAGTACTAGTCCTCTGAAGTTATCTCAATCTCACGTAATCTTAAGTAATCCTAATCTCATGTAGTTGATCCAATACGATACACAGGACTCTAAATCCTCTTAAGTTATCTCAATCTCATATAATCTTAAGTTATCTTAAGTGATCCTAATCTCAGGCAGTTGCAGAAAGGCACGTGCAAAAACGCGACAATGGAAAACAGACCTTAAGCTTCTAAAAACTTTTACTCATCAGAGTAAATTTTGATAGCATATCAAAGGATACAATATATAGTTTCGATAGCGCCTTCTCTGCCATCAGAGTTATTCACATCATTGAGGAGTGGAACAATTTTATTTAACACGACTTCCACAAGTCTTGAAGTGAACACCGTACTCAATGTTCCCAGCACTCTTGAGGTCATATGACGAACGCTGTTGTAGGGATGCTCCAGACATCGTAGAATGGAAGAGATCAGCGTGAACACCTGGATATTTTGACAAGGAAAAGGTTAAATTTAGGGCATTACCATTTCTCTGGACCATCAATTTTGAGATAATGGAAGGTTGATAAATAGAGTCGTGAAGAAATGTCGTTAATTTTAGTTAACCAACTAACCTTTTCCTGTAACGTTTTATTCATCGATGGTGCCAACAATTCAAGAAGTTGTAAGCTGTTGACAATCTCCTGAGCAGACGAGTCATTTTCTCTCAGTGCTTGAAGATCTGTGGAGATTTATGGACAACTTTTAACATACTGGATAGCTCTGTCAGTTCTAACCAGTTCTTCCTAGAGGTCCAGTAATGATCATCTAACTTCATTTATACTGGATAGCTCTGTCAGTTCTAAACTGTTCTTCCTAGAGGTCCAGTAAGGATCATCTAACTTCATTTATACTGGATAGCTCTGTCAGTTCTAAACTGTTCTTCCCAGAGGTCCAATAAGAGTCATCTCTTATTGATCCAGTGTTGCTGCAGGAGGAAACACAAACTAAACTAACTTTATTTATACTGGATAGCTCTATCAGTTCTAAACTGCTTCCTAGAGATCCAGTAAGGATCATCTCACTTCATTTATACTGGGTAGCTCTGTCAGTTTTAAACTGTTCTTCCTAGAGATCCAATAAGAGTCATCTCTAATAAGAGTCATCTCTAATAAGAGTCATCTCTAATAAGAGTCATCTCTTATTGATCCAGTGTTGCTGCAGTAGGAAACACAAACTAAACTAACTTTATTTATACTGGATAACTCAATCAGTTCTAAACTGTTCTTCCTAGAGGTCCAGTAGAAATTATTATTGTGCTTAATGTCAAATGATGTTAGGATGGCTGACCAGACTCACCAGGGACATTATGCAGGTTTCTTTCTAAAGTACCAATCATAATATTCCAGAGTTCCGTGATCTGTTCTGGTAATCGTTCTTCAAAGTGTCTGGTTATATTACGCAACGTTAACTCAGCTCCATTTCTCTGAAGTTTGACGTTCTTCTGGTTCTGAGAAATTTAGAATATGCTGTCAGAATACAGATGGGGAGGTGGGGATATCAGAGGGTGGGGGGACGATAGAGTGGGGGAAGGGTAAAGAGGGGAAGAAGGAGGGTGAAAAAGCAGGAGAGAGAGAAAGTAGACGAGGGAGTAAAGGAGTCGCAAGTGGTGGGAGAGGGGGAAGGAAGGGAAGGAGAGGAAAAAGAAAGAGCGAAGGAGCAAGAGGTGATAGGGACGAGATAGGGCATGAAAAGAAAGGGGAATAAAGGAGTGGCGAGCGGTCGGGAGAAGGCGGCGGGGGGGGGAGAAGAAGGGAGGAGTCGAGGAGAGAGGGGAGGAAGAGAGAGGGAGATGGAAAAGGGGGTACAAAGGAAAGGTAAAGGAGGGGAACCAAAATATACCTCCTCGTCTTTTTGCGAGTTTTTAATAACTGACGAGGGCAAGTCGGTGGCAGCAAGTTTTGAACTTTCTTTTTTCGACGTCGCGTTCGCTGGCTTACTCTAGAACAACACGAAGAAAATTTTAGCTAAATGCCATATTTCATGCTACTAAACACAATATTCACAAAGTCTTTGTTCTGCTGCATTACAATGCTTGGCTAATTGTGAGAATCACTTCATAACAAACCATACGAAATATTTACTCTGAGTAGTCAAACACAGATAACAAAACTTACTTCATTCTGTTTGGCCAGAGTAATAATTCCAGAGTAGCGACTATCGACCGCGTCTCCGTTCGTTGACTGAGCAGCAGTGGCCGCAGAGGGTGTCTGGGGATTGACAGCTACAACAGGGGTCTCGCTAGGATCATTACATGCAAAGGAGCAAAGATTCTTGACAATCTTCGAATTTGGACAAGGAGTCCGATTCAGGCAGAATTCCAAAAGCCTGGTTAGATTACGAGCAGCGTGTTGCTGTAGAGCAGAAGAAAATAGGGAGGTTCAAGATTCACGACAAGGGGGAATTTCGTTTTAGACCAATCAGCAAGTTTGTTTACATTTTCATTAAACCAATCAGAATGTATAAATTTTGACTACTTCCGATAAAAAGCTACATTATTTACAATTCTAAATGAAGTATGAAACGTTTAGGCATTCTGATTGGCTAAGCTTGAAAAATGTAAACAAATATGTGACAGATACGTTGAACAACAGATATGCTGGACAACCTACTTGCATCGCTTGGTCTTCTTCTTTCTTGATGGCGTCCATTAAAGGGCGAATAATTGGATTGAGTTTGGGAGGTAACGACTGCATCGTAACCAGAGCCCCAGCTATCATCGACAGCACCCTGAAATACGAACATTAACGCCAAAGATTAACCCCCAAAAAACGCGCATTTATACAAATCCAATACAATTCACACATTAATCTGAAGAAACAGGGCCCTAGGGGGCGTTCGACCCCCCAGCCCTCTTAGACAGCTGAAATGATGCAATCATTTTGGCGGGAATATTAAGATTACTTTACCGAATGCTGTGTTTTTCAAATTCACGCTGAAGTTGTCCAATTGTAGCCACGAGATGTTTACGTTTGCTCTCGAGAATCTGGGAAAGAAAAATGAATAATACGTTTTGCACCATTTTTTAAGGAAATTTTGACTACCAGGATAAGTGAGTATTAGAGTTTTCTCGCATGACAGAAAGACAACGTTTATTTCTGGATTCATTTAGCAAACGTTCGGTTAATTTCTAACTTGAAATACATTAGTAACATGGTTTGCTAATGTTTTTCCAATTGAGCTACCAGGTCAAGATGGTTTTGAACAGGCGATATTTTGGAACTCAGTCTAGGCGAGGTTAAGCTTGCTAGCACATACATACCTCAACATCCTTTGGATGGAGATTCTTTACAGCTCCTTCAAAAACAGACGTGACCAGTGTTGTGGCAGTCTCAATGGTGTGGTAACTACAAAAAGTAACATATTTCCATCAGCGGTAGGTTGAGATATGTAATATATCGAGTACATAAGCAGTACGCCAAGTGTGCCAAAAGCAGTACGCAAAAAACCTGGGAACGAGGATGATCACGAATGTTCTCACCTGGATTGGTTTAAGGATGACGTATTGATCCCTTTATCTTGGAAAGCAATCTGTAAACTCTGCAAAGGGGTTAAAGGATAATTTTTACTTAAATTCTTACTTTTAAATGCTTGTTTACATATCAACAAACCTGAGAATCAGTTTGTAACCTCGTAAACAACACACCAACTTCGTCGTAAACAACTTGTGCGGTGAGATTTTCGATTAGTTTGGGAGCAAGTGATGACAAATGATTACAACTCTGGAATAAAGAGAGGTGAATGAACAAAAATGCACATAAGATGAAACAATAATATTAGTTTTCAGATCCGAGGACAATAGCAATGATGTCTCACGATGACGTCACCACGGCGATGATGCTATGACGTCATCATGAGATGACGTGTGATGTGATGACGTCATGGTATGATGACGTGTGATGTGATGACGTCCTCTCATCAAGGTATTATGACGTCGTGATGTAATGACGTAATGATTCAATGACGTCATTACGCGATGATGTCATGCCCAAGTGAAGTCACGACAGCAGTTTAATTCATGTTGAAATAACTAAGCATTACCTTATCAAGCGAGGCCCATTCCGTTACGGTCATAGCGGCAACCATGTGTTGAGAACACGAGGTGGACATCAGCGCTCCGTGCAAACATTGGACAAACAGATCCAGCGTCGCTAAGCAACCCTCACTGCCAACGGAGCTCAAATAATACCCGAGGAAACCCAACGCTCTGAAAAAAATATATTCAAGTCTTCTTCAATAGCTTTTATTTGATGCCTTTAAAGATTTACTTAAAACAATGAAAAACTAAAGCCAGGTAATGTCGTCGTCTTACCGTGACGAAGTGTGTCTTGATTGCAGAATAAGAGAGTCGACTTCTGACTGGGTTTTGCCAACTAAAATTCCACCAATATGATCAGTTGTAACAGATTTCTTAGAACCCTCCTGGAACAGAAGTATGTCATGTGTTCTATATTTGTTTTCATAGAGTGATTAAGCCAGTCGAATGTACTGTAAACTGGCATATTCGACCATCACTATTTTTTCATGACTAAGGTCAAGTTTACCATACTCCGGTATATTCGACCATCACGACATTTTTCTATACCACTATCACTACTTTTTTATGACCAAGGTCGAGTATACCATATTCCAGTTTCCAACTGACCTTGAGTTGAACTGGAGCGCTAATGATCCACGCCGGATTAAATGCGGCTGATTTGGGGTACATCGCCATTGACAACCAAATATTTATCCAATGGGACGTAACGACAGCAAGCTGTCTCTCCTGAACGCATTCGATTGTGTGTCTCCACACCTATAAACATGAAGTATACGTCCTCATGAATGCTTTGAGATTGCACGTAAAATAAAAATGAGGTTTGCTTCAAATATTTCTAGCAAAATTTATGAAATCATACAAGTTCATATCGTCCTAACTTATCCATGTTTGATCAACAAGGAGGAATTTCGTTTTAAACTAATCGCCATATTTGTTTACATTTTTCAGGCAAAGCCAATCAGAAAGTCTAAATTTTTAATACTTCATGTAAAATGATACATATTGAAAATTTATGCATTCTGATTGGGTTAGTGAAAATGTAAACAAACTTGCTGATTGGTCTAAAACGAAATTTCCTCTTATTTGTTTGATCTAAGTAAAGGCTCTCACTCAAGGCCTCTTTCCACTCATCGAAATGGCGAACTCGCAAGCTCGCTGCGAGGTTTTTCATACAAAGAAAACGCCTTTAGGTTGATTTTAAGTACATACAAGCGCTCGTAGCGAGCTTGCGAGTCGGTTTTTGCGATGGGTGGACAAAAACCTTAATTCTGACCAAGGTGTTTTTCGCATATCATATCTATCGTTTTCCGACTGTGATTGATCATGAATGTCCCTAATTATCACTCAATGTACCTCGTGTAGTAACGTCAACAGTTGTCCGTCCTGTTCCACCAAGAAACGCTCAAAGAAATGGCGCATGGCAGGTTCGAGGATTGGGGACAACCAACATGGCTGCGTCGTCGTTGCCTGCAGAACACGTAAAATAGAGAGTTATCGGGGGGGTGAAAAAAGTCAAAGTTAGGTGGGGGGGAAGGGCGTCCGCAGTACTTTTTAAACAGAGCAAATGTATCAAATTTTTTTTTAATTCTTTTACCAGAAACTTGATATTAAACACTAGAGTAATCTCAGAAATGAAAAAAATTCCCTAAACCACCAATAAAACCGTATAAAAAGCAATCTCCTTACTTGGTTTAAACGTTTTCTGTAAGCCTCCAAAATGATTTTCAACGTCTGCAAGGTCGCCTTTCTTACGGAGAAGATATTATGCCTTAGGAAGGGCCATAATCTCGGTACAACGCTGTCCAAAGAGACGCCACGCTTTCCAGTGATGGCCTCTTCTGAATGCAAACCAGAGGAAGATACAATGGCGGCTAACAACATCAGGATGCTGCTGGTCGATGCTGAGAGATCGTCCAAGAGGCATAACGAGTCCCAGAGTATCGACAGAATTGTCGGAATCTTAAACGAAACGAAGCGTTGGTTTGAATGTTGTGGATTTTTGTAAAGGCATTAAGGAGAGATGTAGAGGGTGTATATCTTTTCTTATTTATGCTTCTGTTTCCTGAAAAAATGAAACCTGAAAAAAATCAAAATCCAGCCCAAACTGTCTTAAAACAACGTCTCAGACCCAGGCCCTTACCTTATCACCCATGCTGAGCATCTGATCGACGACGGGCAACATGGCGGTGGCCGACACCGCTCTGACGTCATCATCACAGTCTTCGAGTCCACCAATCAGCGGCGATAATACAACCGGTAGTAGTTCACGTGTCATATCCTTTCGGACGGCCAGCAAGTACTTGATGCCCAGGAGACCGCCATGGCGAACTTGCCACTCGTTCTGAGCGTGCAACGTCAGCAATATTTTCAAGATACTTTTCACGGCTGTCGGGTTCATTAGCTTCACAACCACTCCAAGGGTCTGGGCACAAGTCTCCCGCACTGGTGCTACCACCTAGAGCAAATACCACAGTTACATTGATCTGATAGTATACTGGATGAAGCAACTATATATCACTTAGACACTGATCTGTCAATACACTGGTATACTAATTCTATAATAGTTGTTTATAAGATCAGTGCTGTTATAGTTGTTCATCCAGTGTATAAGATCAGTGCTAGCTAACAGTGAGCAATCGTTATTGTTGCTGGTCATTGACCGCAAAATGCTTTGTGCAACACTGGATCGCTTAGCATCGCAGATAAAAACCAGGCTTAACACTTTTAATAAATAATGATTTAAACCATGCAAAACCTCTGTTTTTAAATGCATGTTTAGTCTGAGATGACCTTACTTCATCCGTGACAAAATCTCCAAAACGATCCAGGGCAAACACACACAACAACTTCAAGGACATATCTTCAAGCCATAATTCATTGGCCGTAGGCATCTGCAGGGAGCGAAAAATTATGAAAATCTTAGTCATCTTAGAGAATAGCGCAGGAGATAATCGAACTCCCCCTCACCCTCACCTCATCCTCTCCCCCCCACACACACGTACCTCTTCAGCGGGCATATCTGTTCTCATACCAGCACCAGTTCCGTGAATTCTCACGATGTGTCTCAAACCAGTCGCAGCCCCGTGGCGGACCTAGGATAGAATAGACCCTTTCGGTAATCAAAGTACCTCAGAACTTTACCGTTTCCAGTTTAGAACCACTTTAAATGAAACGGATTCCAAGTTTTACTTTCACGAGCTATGTGCAAAGATGTAAAACATCCTTCTTCAACACATGCGTCAAAAATAATTTTTCATTTTGACCAATAAATGTGGAAACAAGCCATAACACGAGAATGAGGTCCGAGGGCCAAAACCTGACCCTCGTTTATTGGAGTTCACTTAGCCCATAAAACATGGTGGAAGGAAAAGCCCACAAGAGTTATGATATATTTATGTATTGAATTAACAGGTCAAAAATACTCGCTTACCTCCCAAGATGGATGAAAGATTTCATGGCAAAGTTCCTGACAAAAAGTTGTAAACGGCCACTCAACTTCCTGAAGAACCGAAAAAAGGTGAATAAATAAAATAAAATGGTAATAAATAAAATCATATTACACACACCTCTTCAATCCATGACGTCGTATCTCTGACAGAATCGACCACAATCTTATCAGGATCTTCAGGCTGATCAACGACCACTTGTGACGTATGTTTCATCTTCTTCTCTGGCGGCCCGTCTTTCTCTTCTCTGTTTGAAACGAAAATTTTCCATTTTGAGCAATTGCCATAGTAATCCTAATCCTAACCGTAATCTTAACACAAATCCTATTCCTAACTCTAATCTTAACAAGAACCCGACCTAATCATAACCCTAATCCTGACAAAAACTTTCTTAATCCTGACACAAACTTTCCCTAAATTTTTAACAAATTTCCCCTAACGAAAAACCGTGTTAGACTGTTTTTGGCCTTGACAAAAAAGTATATTCCCGGACTGAAAAAGCGCTTAAATAAGCAAAATTCCGCTGCCAGTTTGACAGCGAAAAATGATAAAATAAGGGAATGCAGGAAAGCCACATACTTGGAAACATTTCCTGGAACGGGAGAATTGTTTTCTTTCGATCTTTGTTTCGCTAAAATCTTGGCTCTTCTTTTTGCTCGATTTTTCTCGCGCGAGCTCATATCAGCCGAAGAGCTTATGGCCGCAATCTCGGCTGCAACAAGCTCCGCTGTCGACTAAAAATCACATAAAAAATAAATATGTTTCATTAAAAGAGATCCCGTAAACACGTAGGGCCAACAATAAAGCTTGCAAAGTGGGCAAATGTGTAACAGAAAAGTGTTTGAAAATGTGTTAATCATTTCTCAAACCTGGCTCTCTTTCGACAGTTGTTTTTGTACGGTCTTCTTGGCAACATTGTGGGCTGGTAATATATCGTCATCGTTCAGTAGGCTCTCCATGCCCGTCTCGAGGCCTGGGACCATGCCGAGACGTTGCCGTAGCAACTGCTGCTGACGTGCTAGTCGTTCCTTGACATCCAGTCCTGCAAGGAAAAGATAAAAACTGTTTTAGAAGTCGTGACTGGTTAATCTGATAGACTTCTCGCATTTGATTGGTTCATGTTCTCTCCCATCGCTGATCTATAGCGCTCGTGATTGGTTAATCAGATGGACTTCTCGTATTTGATTGGTTCATGTTTCCTCAATGGTCGTGGCAGTGATAGCCAAATCTAAACCTTGTTGTTAACATATCTAACATGGTATATTGAATCCTTACCTAACAATTCTTCATCGAAGACGTCGTATTCTTGGCCAGACGAGCCGAGCAAGGCCTCACCATGTCTTAATACATGTGTGATGTCAAATTTATCAAACATAAGAATATCTTTTCCTGAACACGATTCTGATGAAGCAACATCTTGTTCGGCTACAGGAATAATGAGTGACCCAAATCAGGGGGGTTAACCTTTTTCCAACTATGGGGGGAATTCGTATTTTGGTAGATTTTATTCTTTTGGTAGATTTTAATCATTTTTGGTCTGAAATGTTTCCTCAATTATTCTGCCCAAAGCAGGCCCATAGTTGAGAAGGGCTCGAGGGGATACAATATTGTACTCGAATGTCTGTATTGAACTTCAGTTCAATTTTCAGCACTGTACTGTACTCCAATATACTGTACCATACTTAACTGTAAAAGAGGCACATGGTATACTGTACTGAATAATAGCTACACTGCAATGGTTACTGATATGTACTGATATGCTCTGCACAGTAATATCCGGTACTATACTGTACACTATATGTACATTGCTATACATGATATACCATTTTGTACTGCACTGAAATACTCTGCTATACCATGATATACTATAACATTTTCCTATACTATACCATATTATACCATATACTGTACTGTAATGTACTGCACTGTACACTACACAAAGATATTAAACCATATAACACCATACATTTGACAACAAGACCAGTTGGTTCCCACTTTGGTACATTCGATGCAATGGCTTCAATGGCCTCCCCAGCTGCAATTCTTGTGTCCCAGTTACTGCTCTTCAAATGAACGTGAACCTGGATGGATACAAAAAATAAAGTTTTGTCAAACATTTAGGAAACTGGCATCACCATTTAGACCATTATCTTTTTATTGTTTGTTCAAAAGTTCTGATATCTCAACGGGAAAATAACCAATTTGCAACAGGAAAATCAACAATAAATAATTCATATTTATTAATCTGTGTAAAATTCAAGTAAGTTTGTTACTGTACCCTGTTTAGTAAATTATTTAATTCATGTGGATGCAATTTCTGGACTTCGCCGAGTTGTTGAGCAGCAGTTCGTCTTATGACGGGTGTCGAGCCCGTATCTAATAATAGCAAAAGCCTGTCTAGCCTACAAAATGCAACAGATTAACATTTAAGAAAAAAAAATGACATTTCCTGACTTTGACATAAGAAAGTTCGCCATAAAATCGTGGCACTTCACCTTGTTGTCATTTTCAAAACTCTTGCGCGTCATGCAAGGAAGACAGAGCGTAGGATTTCTTATCTCAATCTATTTCTAAAAATTTTCACTGCTTTCTTCCCCGCCATGTTTGTTTCTGAAAAATGTGTACAAAAGAACACGTTATTCACTCCAGAATGAAATAATGAGATCAGTGACAAAGTTCAGGAATACTGAACTATATAAGTACATATGGATGTACATCTAGGACATTTCGGAATTTCGTTTAAAAAAACCATTGGATACTCAAAAATACTTTGAATATGCCTTCTAACTATTTGAATATGCCTAGGAATGAGGTGAATAATATTTCATCTACTATATTATTATTGTAGGGTTGAAAAGTAGGGCAAAACAGGCCACAACGTTGCGCCACGATCGTCTTCGTAAGACACCGTTCCCGTCTCGGAAAAAGCCGTACGACACAGAATGGGCAAAGTGTACATATAGTAAATTCGTAGATTCCGTGCGAATTCAGTTATATTTTTTACACAATTATATTTAAATCTTCAAATATAGGTTTCTAACAATGTTGGCGGTCGTAGCAGGTGTGGATGATATCGTATTTGATGTCGAAACAGCGCTATCACAGCAATTGGGCACTCAACCATTGCCTTTCCCAGGGATGGATAGTAAGTGTTTGGTGCTAAAGACGTAAAATTGCATACTATTTTCAATGTTTGTATAGACCCCTCAGCAAATGTATAGGTCAGGTCAATTGTATTGGTGTAATTGTATAGGGTAGTTTTCCCCCCTGTTGCCACATTTGCAAGAACAGTTTGGAGGTCTTGCCTCTTGGGAAGAGGGGGAGGCCTCTGCCTTGCCCCCACAGCTCTGTCTGTCTGGCCAAATTTTGGCTAATTCTAATAGCTAAACCATGAACTCCTCTTCTGTAGAGTCAGGTGCTGCGGTATGTGAATTCTTTCTTAAGAACAACTGCAATCGAGGCAGCTACTGTCCCTATCGACACACAAAAGGAGAGAAAACAATTGTCTGTAAACATTGGTTGAGAGGGTTATGCAAGAAAGGGGACCAGTGTGAGTTTCTCCATGAATATGATATGTCAAAGATGCCTGAGTGCTATTTCTACACAAAATTTGGTAAGTGATATTGTGACAGCACATATGAACTTGCAATTGTATTTGAATGAAAGGGTCTTGATTACGAGTGGAATTATACACACTTCAAATTCAAGCCAGGAATATTTGAAGGAAAAATGAGTCAACTATAGGTCCTTTGGCAGGAATCGAACCTATGCTTTTGCGATGCCGGTGCAATGCTCTTGCCACTGAGCTACAGAGGTAGCTGACAAGAGCAAGCGTGATTAATGTGTATATCATGGTAATGCCAGGAAGAGTGAGGGTAAATAAAATATGACAAAGTAAAATACTAAGTGGAGCCCATTATATTTAATAAACTCTCATACTGACTTCCTCAGGTGAATGTATGAACAAGGAATGCCAATATCTTCATGTTGATCCTGAGTCACGAATGAGAGACTGCCCTTGGTACGACCGAGGATTCTGTAAACATGGTATGTGAAATCATACAGCTCAAACAAGACAGATAAATTGTTTCAGACATTCACTTAGCATTGTAATGTGATGTTTATTATAGGTCCTCATTGTCGTCATCGACACGTCAGGAGAGTTTTGTGCGTCAACTACTTGTGTGGGTTTTGTCCCGAGGGAAAACAGTGCAAGTTCATGCAGTAAGTTAAATTAAGTTACCTGAAATTGAAAATAACAAAAATGTCTTTATCTCAACATCTGCTCTTTCAGTCCAAGATTTGAGCTGCCAGTGAGCACAGATTATCCAGACATCATGATGAAGAAAGTGATCTGTCATCGATGTTTCCAGCCAGGACATAAAATATCAACATGTCCTTTGAATGTGCAACCCACGGTACCAACAGCACCAGTAAGTTGCAACACTATTGTGACTTTATCAACTAGTTACCTCAAAATCTCCAAACATGTTTTCATAAGTTCTTGTTAAATATTGCTAGTGTCAAATCCTAGTTATCAAGATGGAAATGTGTGTTATATTATTCTGAATACCATGTTTTGATGTTTTTCAGGGCATGATACCAACCTTTCACAATCCCCATTTTAATCCAGCCCCACCAACTGCCAATGTTCAGATCCAAATACAACCAACTACAGATGGACTGAATCCACCCAGGATGCCTTGGAGACCACTGGAAACTGTCACATGTTTCAAGGTTTTTGTATTTCTAATGGACCATTCATATGTTAGACTAACTACTGACCTAGGCAAAAGGATGCAAATAAATCACTGCAGCTGGAGAGAGCATACTTAAATGTTGTAAAATACAGAAAAATATATAAGCTTTACAAAGTTTACATTTGCTATATGATTTTTGGCTCGAAAGTTGTCACCATTTTCTGCTATCAAATTGTTACAGTTCAACAAAGGGTATAGTCCTCCCTCCTAACCCATCCAAATTACCATCACTGGTGTTAAAATTTTCCAAATTCTCTTGTCTTTCAGTGCGGCGAAAAGGGTCACTATGCCAACAAGGTACAATCTCGTTTTGTGTCCAGAATTCTACTACAACAGTATAAAATAGATATATGTTATTATTGTAATACACTTAATCTAATTGATCTAATCTCTTTACAGTGTTTAAAATCAAAAGCTGATATCCTCAAAGCCTAAGGAACCGGTCTTATACTAACCTGGTTTTGTGGCAAAAAGAACCTAAGAATGTGAACAAACTATTGAGGAAAATAGATATAACTTGTGCATTTGACACAAGCCTCTATGTTGTACATAATGTGAATATTATTTCAATTCTAACTCTCTGATATCAATCAATAAATATTGATTCAAGTGTAGTAGTGTAAGCAGTAGAATTGTCTAGCACATTGTGCAGCTAAACCCTTGTAAGTTTAAATTAAAACCAAGAACCCATGAGAAATGATGTTACAAGCAGGGGCGTAGGAACCAGGGGGGCCAAAGGGGGATAGTGCCCTTTTTCTTTGTGAAAACATCTATGCCAATGCAACAATATAATAATATAATTAATTTTTTCAACAATAATATATGTGCCAATGTTAAATGCCCTTTTTTTTTAAGTGCCCTAGACGTTAATGCCCCCCCCCCAACTTAAACATGCCTTCTACGCCCCTGGTTACAAGATACTTGTGCACATCATGGAGATGGCCATTAAAATATATAAACACCGACTTTATGTTTTAAAGATGCTTCATAAATAAATTCAATGCAGCTGAACTGCATATTGTTATTTTATTAATAAAAAATTATGTATGTTTACACAAATACACATATATAATAAATATACATATGTCCAATACTTAATTCAATTTGAAAATATACTATGAATAAAATATATTAAATTAAAATAATTTAATAAAATGCATTCATATCTATAAATATAACTATTCTAAAATTTGATGCACAGTGAAGCTAGCTATCTCGATCAACATTGAAACTTGTCACATTTTCATGCCAATTTGAATAACAGGGCAATAAAGATTGCATAAGAATTATCATTATATACAACTTGCTATCACAAGCATAGGCATACGGTCTAAAAAGGGGGCAGGCAAATGATTTCTTAAAAATAACCTGACTTGCAAATTATCTGACTAAGCCAAAGGTACACAAAGTTTGGTGAAATTCACTAAAAATTTACCCAACTTAGTGGATTCAATCATTCAAATGTTTCTTGGCAGGCAGCTCCTCCTTGCTGCCCCCCCCCCCAGCATCATGCACACCTATGAACAAGGCCAAAACTTACAGGGGGTGGGAAAATGGCTGGGTATTAGGGAAGGGGTGTACCTCCTCATTTTTGCTATACACATTACTTGATTGGTATCATCAAATAATAATCCATTTTCAACTACTGTAGTTCGAATTCACCTTTTTCGCCAAATTGTCCACAGCACACAACATATCTTCCCACCCTGCGAAAATACTTGATGACCGCATAATCTATCAATACTGCAAAACAAACCAATCCTGCAAAACAAACCAATCCAATAACCACTTTCCAAAAATCAGGCATACTAGAAGAGGAGGAGCCTTTGTAGGATTGGTTCCCGACTGCTCGGTTGTAGGAAAGCCAGTGGTGTCTTGTACTTTTGTGCTTGGATTAGATGCGCTAGATGGTGTACGTGTTTGGGTTGTGGTTGCCGTTGGGAACAGAGGTTCTCCTTAATCAAAAATCGAATAAATATTTAAATGTGAAAGCAATTTTTGTTGCCACTTTTGCTGCCACTATTAAAAGACTTCCATGAATTAAGCAGCTACTGGGATAATAAACTGGGGGTATCTTAACCCATGCTATGATTGGTATACCTTGCTTTTTTGCAACTGTATGACCTTTCTGGGTGGTGATGGTTGTTTGTATTTTTGAAGCAATGGTTGTTGTAGCTTCCGGTCTGCGGCTTCGATTGGTCGTTATCGGTGGATCAGTTGATACTCCTAATAAATCATATATATAATGGAATTAAATATCTTGAATGTGGTAATTTAAATTTGTGGTCTACTTTGACCGGGTCACAAATGAAGAGAAATTCAAGCTAAAAACTGATTTCTTCTCTAAATTGTTATACACCAAATCTGGATGGTTTTATTACTTTTAGGTATCATTTGATTATTTGAATTTTTAAATTACACGCGCGAGTACACGCATGCACACGTGCAAAGCAGAATTATTGACTGACCTCGGCTTTTTGTGCTTAACAAAAATAATTCAGGATTGTAACTGCCCTGGACATCCGATGGGTAAAATTCCACGTAAAATTGAGCTGTGTTGTTACTGGTGTCGTTGTATACCAGCGTAAACTCACACGTATTGACGTGAAGAATTAATTTAATTTCGCCACTCTCGCACTTCTCCGGCTTATCGGCGTCTGTAGATTTTCGGCGACAAAGGTGCACGGTCTTTCGACAATCGCTGGCTTGTCTTGTGGAAACGTTGTAGTTAATGTGCCACGTTCTTTTCACTCCATTTGGGATGACAGATTCTTCGTATCTATGCTTGACATTGACGACGTCAACTGTGAAACAAAAATGCATGAAAAATGCTGTTCATTTTGCAATTTGCAAATGGAGCGCCAATAATATTGAATATTAGCTATCATTTGTAAGCCTGGCTCGATTCAAAAAGGACATTATGAAACTGTAGATGCATGATAAACATAGTTATTATATACACAAGCGTCGGATATGAGGTATGCTGCAATTTCATTGGTTGGCTACTAGACAGATATTAGCTCATATCTGTCTAAGTAGTAGAGAAAGAAAAGAAAATGGCGGAAAGATTTGGGGAGTTGAGTGAAATAGAAATCCAAGCCTAGTTGATAATAGCACACCAAAATGCACCGAAAGGGCGACAATGTTTGCTCACTCTCGTCTATCAGCTCATATACGACATTACGACTCGAGTTCGCAGAATAACTGTTAAATATCGCACACTTATTATCTCTTTAAATCTCTTTACAAAACGATCTTAAATTGATCTTAATATAATATCTCTTTACAAAACGATCATGACTATGCGTCTATGCCGCTAGTGGCTACTACCGCAGTTTAATGATATAGTTTATTGATGTAGTCCTAGTTTAATAATGATGTGCTACTACGCTCAGCCATACCTCGTGGGCTATCTCGAGTGATATGGACGTAGTAGTCAACGTATGTTACACTACGATAACTCTGTACGTATTCTCCTTCGAAGCTCGCGAACATGTGATTGATTACTAAGCTGCCGTCGTTGCTTATGGCAAACGTCGTGTTATTTGCCACGGACGTCTTCCAGGGTGATCCAATTTTACGCCGCCACATCGACGCGACAAGGGTTTTTTTACCGTGGTCGAGGCGGTGCCATAGGGCAAAGGTTGCAGTGGGGTGATTGTCCTGACTAATTCCACTGGAAAGAATGACTTTTTCCCCCTCACGAACAGACATGTCATACGAGAAAAAGCCAAAGACCCCTTGAAATTAAAACAAAACGTTTATCCAGGCAAGTACCATCGTTATCATCTAAGTGTGTACACGTGATCATAAAACATGTTTTAATTAGATTCAGAGTTGTAACGTTTGGGCGGTAAAGACAACTTGTTTGAAGCGCAAACTGATAAAAGTTTCAATTGCTATACGCAATGTATTCAGTCAATAAATTTGGAAGAAATTATGGGTAGTTTAGAATAGAAATTATAGGTAATTTAGAATAGAAATTATAGGTAATTTAGAATAGAAATTACAGGTAATTTCTTCCAAATTTGATTGACTGAATGCGCTTGAAAAAAGTTGACTTCACCGCCCAAACGTTACAACTTTGAATCTAATTTTAAAAAACATGTTTTATGATCACGTGTACATGCCAGCGAAGTGAGTGAACTGTAAAATCAACTGAAACGCTGACTCCTATAGTTCAGCGTGATACTTGACCGTGATACTTGTTGCTCGTTAAATTCTTATAAAAATTAGCAAAAACTCATATTTGGCTTCAAAGATGGCGGCAAAGTTAGGGTTTTAGGTTTTATTACAGTTCACTGGTACACGCTTAGATGATAACGACGGTAATGTATGTGACTCCCCCCCCCTCTTTTGCATACCTCTCGCATTAATCAACGTGATAATAAAAAACGCCAGCATAACTGACTCCAAATCCTGTAACTACTTTAATTCACCTGTGAAAAAAGTTGTATTTTAAAACAGTATTATAAGTAACTCACTGTCTGATTGGTGATAAGACCCAGTTTAAACTCGGTGAAATGTGATTGGTTTGCGAAACTGAATTCGGCGCGAGGTAGTAGAGGTAGAATTGCTTCCTACTGTTTTCATCAGGTCGCGCGAATAAATTCGCCTGTGATTCGCCGGTTGGAAAGCGAATCGTCAAAATATATTATCGTTAAATAGCGAGCAGTCAAAATATATTATCGTTGAATGATATATGAAATCATACATGCAATTTGCATGCGCGTTTTGATGGTCGAGAGTGATGATATAATATCGAAAATAATTGGACAGATGTACGCATGTCAACAGCATCACCTGCGGGAATTCCCCGCTCGCTCGGGGGATTTCCCCACGAAGAAATTTTTATTATTCGTTTAGATTGCTCACAAGTAGATTTAGCCACTAAATTAGCCGTTGTCTGATTATTACAGCAAAAATATTAATAACTGTTGTAATCTGACATTCAAGGAAAAATGGAAAATACGAGCTAGTATCAACATGATTTGCCTCTTAAAACTTCCTGCATGATATATGAGTACATTTCCTGTTTAAGGCAATTCGACAGACTTCTTTCTCACTTTAGATGTTGGTAAAAGTATAATGGTTTCATATAATGGTTTGATAACTCAGTTTTTATCGATAAATTTCTAAACCCAGCCAGCCATATTTACAAATATCACATCACGTTTTCCTAAATTACTATATTTGAACGACGCCTGCTGAGACGGGCCGGTATTTTTTATAGTAAAAAGTGCCTTGACTGGCAACCTTTCTTATGTCAATCGGCATGCATGGTAATGCTATAAATCAGAAATATAAATCAGAAATTCAAGTTCAGGTAAAATGTTATTGCCATAACAAATAAACTCACCCAGTGCTTGTCGCTGCTTGATACTTCTTTGCCGTTATAACAAATCGCTATAATTTGTATGGGTACGACAATCGCTGAATGACCATTCACAACGATAACCAGTTTAATGTGTATATGTCTGATGTAATCGGCATAATCTTTCTATTTTATGCATTTTGCCTTATATAATTGTTCTGGTTACGTCATCTAAACTTGACAACACAGTGCATGACCAAGCATGTTAACAAGAAAGTTACATCTACTTTATAGTCGAAAACGATGATTTATTACTGAACATATCACAGTTATAATTTTACGCACGTCAACGCACGTCAGCAAACGCCAAAATGCGGAAAGCTCGGAATGTTGCATGCTTGCATGTTGGTAATCTTTAATCTCTTACACTTATTTCATGTTATGTATGCTCCCGCGGAAAAAAATGAGTTTTGTTTTCCCAAGAGTCTGAATGTCTCCCGAGACGAAGTCAAGGAAACATTGAGACTCGAGGGAAAACAAAACTCACTATTTCCCGAGGTAGTGTACATTGTTGGAAATATTGTGTGTATGTGTGTTTCGTATATGTTAGTAAATGTGCGTGGTTGTCAGTGTATTTATAATTTATGTGAACGATAATGAATGCAACATAACGAAAAATAACAGTCTATCGTTTTATTCCAGAAGCAAACTAAATGTTTTTAACCTTAATACAAAGATACTGTTTACAACTACATATTCAGTGCATAATATTCAAGTTCACTCATTCAAGAGAGATGTACGAGTGTTATTTAATTTTGACTTATCTACCGTTTAAGCTAAACGGGCTTGATACAACCGGCCCCAGAACAGTTTCCGAACCGGGACTATAAAGCCCGCCGCACACAAGAGCTATCAGCTGAGCCAACGAACTCGCGAGGCAGTTAGCTCAGCCCGAAAAACCATCCTCACACGTGAAAAATTTGCCTCTCGAGGCGAATTCCTCACGAAATACTATCCGCACACGAGAATAACTTGCTGAGCTAACAGCCTCGTGTGGTCTTCAGCTCAGCAAATAATGGGACCTAAAGCATGTAGGACGGAACACGACGACGGCAGCTATCAATACAATGCTTAATTGAAAAGAAATAATTATTAAATACCTATGGGAGTTTTAGACGTGATCTACGTTCTGTTTACAACGGCAAAACGTCGTTTATTACGTCCTATGTAAAACGTCAGCATTTCAGGACCCAGTGAGCGCTACCTCGAATTAGGCTCTATAGCATTGTCCCTAATGTTTTCGACGTCTTATATATCGTTAAATTGGTACAGTTGATGATATAGAACAACGCTTCACATAACATTAATTTAAAGGAGTATTCCAGCCACGTCGTCGTCGTGTTGCCATCCTACATGCTTAAGGTCCCTAACAGCTCTCGTGTGCGGCGGCCGCCTGGCTTTTAAAGCGATACAAAAGTCATCTCAAAATTCAAAAACATGCGGAAAACACTTTGAAATGCATGATTGATCAGACTGGTTTCCACACAGTATGAGTATGTTAAAACAAATAACATTTGATTAAATATTCAACAAGTTCAACCACATTAAAACAAATAAACTTACTTGATGCTTGCTCAGTTGGACTGCTTTGCCGTTATAGCAATTTATTGCTATAATTTGAAGCTTGTACTGTATACTGTGTATCACAGTAAAGAATAAGATAGATACATAGATAAACCGTTTATTTAGATGAGATCACCAAAATCGTTTCTACTTATTATATTGATTGTGCCTCGGTTGCGGTTACGTCATATAAACTTGACACCAAAGACCTAAACTTGACACCAATGACCCAGCATGGTTAACTGGACCACTAGAAAGCATTTCCCCTTTTCTTGAACCCACCTCTAAACGTTTATATCATCTTATTTCAATACAAGGTTGTTTGTTCTACATCATCAATTTCCAGATAATCCATTTTCAATTTGAATTCGCCAACTTTTTTGCCAAATTGTCCACAATAAAATAATGTCAAATCTTCGCTCCCTGTGAAACTTGACGACCACAAATACTAATGTTATATTACTGCTAATGCTGCAAAACAAATCAATCCAATAACCACTTTCCAACAATCAGAGACACCAGAAGACGAGGAGCATTTTTTAGGAATATTTACTGACTGCTCTGTTGTATGATTTTTGAAGCAAGTGACGTTTTGTTTGTTTGTGCTCAGTCGACTTTTCGGGGTGGTGATGATAGCTTTACTTTTAGCATTTGAGGCGCTAGTTTGTGCATGCCCTTGGGTTGTGGTTGTCGTTGGTACTTGGGATACCCCTAATTAAAAATAGAAAAAAAAAAAGTTAAAAAGGTGAATAATGTGAAAAAAAATTGTACTAAAGTCTTTAGCAGTGTTTACACTAGAGACCTATACCTGAACTAAGACCTAACTTAAGCAGTTAGTCCTGTAGTGTAAACGCACTAGGACTGATCTAAGACCGACCTAGGACCGACTTAAGACCATGATTTCAGGCCAAGCATTAGAGGTGGCCTGAAAACATGGTATTAGGTAAGTCCTAGGTAAGTCTCAGGTCAGTCTGCCGGTGTAAACACATTTTCATTGACCCAAGTGTGGTCGAAGCTAATTTCCATGACAACAAACGTAAATTCGAGTCTTTGATGTCAGCATTTAGCGGTCTTGGAATTTTAGCGCGATTTTGCAAAAATTAGAAGGAAGTTCAGAGTTGATAATTAGCTACATGGCGAATTTCGGAACTTGGCGATAAGTTATATCATATTTTTTTAATTTTGCATGAAATCGTTGTTTGCCATTAATCCCAGTAATCACTACGTCGTATTCTTTTACGAGGCTTTGTAGTTTGTACGAAATAAACAAACAAAGAACTGCAAGCTGATTTTAATACTCTTCTCAAAGTACTTTATGTTGCGTGTATGTATATAAGTCCCGTTAGGTAACTGGTGTAAACACACCCTGTAAAACTTGGTTAGGTACTTCTCAGGTACGGGTAAATGTCAGGTAAATGTCAGCCCCTTCGTGTAAACACGGCTTTTGATAAACTAGACAGCCATCGAGACAATAGACTGGGGTATCTTAACCCGTGCTTCTTCGCGGCGGGGGGGGGAGGGCTTACCAATAAGATGCTGAAATGGTTGATATATATACCTTGGGAAACTTGTATTTTCGATTTTGAAGCACTGGTTGTGGTAGTGGTTTCCGATCGGTGGCTCAGACTGGTCGTTGGCCGCGAATGAGTCGATATTTCTAAATAAATCATAAATAGAATTAAATCTCTTTAATTTATGTAATTAATATTTAAAAAAAACACCAAATCGTCAACAACATGATACTTAAATCAGAATCATTTAAATTATTTTACGTGCGTGTACGTAGGCATTGCGGCGCAGTTAAAAAACTCCCGAGTCCTGAAAAGGATTTCAAAAAACGCTTCTTTTAACGGCCACATAATGTTCTACAATTCTAAAAATCATTACATGATGAAATTTTCCGGCTGATCTGAGATCATGGCGTCATAAGGCGTCTCGACAAAACTGAGTTATCATGTGCCTGGTGTTATTTTTCCCTATTCCGGCTAACTAATAGTATAAAAGACGAACATTTTAAATTCTAATTTAAAATTGGGAAAAAATAAAGTGTTTTTGCAAAAATATAATAAAATTACTTGATATTTTCGAGTTTCGAAGTCATATGCAATGAAGGAAATGATAATTCAGTTTTGTCGAAGATCTGGCTTCTGATTGGTTGATTTTTATACCCAGATCAGCTGGTTGTAGATGACTATACCCAGCCATACCTCGTGGGTTTTGTGGAAAGATATAGACGTGGTAGACAACGTATGTCACATTATAGTAACTCTGTACGTATTTTCCCTCGAGCCAAGCGTTCATGCGCTTAATGACCAAGTCGCCGTCGTTCCTTATGGCAAACTTCGTGTTATCTGCCACGGACGTCCTCCAGGGTGATCCAATTTTACGCCACATGAACGCAACAAGTGTTTTATTACTGTGGCCGAGGCGGTGCCATACAACAAAGGTTGGGCGTGGGCCTTTATTCAACCTACTGCGGAGGGCGACCTCTTGTCCTACTTCAACAGGCTTGTTAATCGAGGCGAAGACACCTTGAAAATTTAATGAGAATACTGTAATATTCAAAAACATATTTATCCTTAGTTGTATTAGTGTTGAGTGTTTTATCAAAAGCCCGCCTAAGCTAATGACCAGGTCCAACTGGACCGTACCGTCCAATTTGGGGCGGGGTGTATTGGGGTGCATATATATTCATATAAAATTATTCATGTTTACCCACCGCAGGAACAATAGCGTACAAAAGAAATCAGTCGGGCAAAAGATGAATATATTCAGTAATATCTCACGTTTGCGTATGGTTTTCGGGCTGAGCTAACTGCCTCGCGAGGTCGTTAGCTCGGATAGCTCTCGTGTGAATGTTTTAAATTACTTAATCAAATACGCTGCGATTGTCGAGAAATAATAAATTTGCTCCAAGTGTATAAATTCTTATTTAGTAGTAATTAGGATGAAATATTATAAAAAGAATACTAATGACAAATGATACAATGACTAATGTGCCATTCTTCATCATACTTTATCACGTATAAAAGACACCACATGTGACTTCTAGGGTTGATTCCATTGGCTATAATGCTTGAATGTGAATTATTAACGCAAACAAGTGCATGATTTCATGCAAAATCTTTTTTTTCACCTCTATATTTTGTAGAGTTGTACCTTTTAAAAGCATAACGATCCTTTTTTCGCCCTTTAGGTAATGTATATTATTCTTCGCCCCCCCCCCCTTTTATCATGGCCCCTCTTTTACTTATTCTTGCCCTGAGTTTATTAGTTGTAATACCTCTTGTGAGTGAGCATAACGATCCTTTTTTCGCCCTTTAGGTAATGTATATTATTCTTCGCCCCCCCCCTTTTATCTTCGCCCCCCCCTTTTACTTATTCTTGCCCTGAGTTTATTACTTGTAATACCTCTTGTGAGTGATGGGATTATGACAAACGCCAGCATAACTAAATTCAAATCCATTCTTAATTGCCTGAAAAAAATCGTATTAATTAACAGTGTAAAAAGTAAATATTTCTTCTGTTTGAATTGCATTTGACGCGACCAAAATTCGGCCGGCCCGCTTCGGCGCGATCTCGCTTGAGCGAGGCGAGATCTCGGCATGCAATAACGGGCTTAAATGAACGCACTAGGTGGGCTAGCCGGGTAAACCGGGCTTAAAATCGTTGATTGCTTTGCCCACCAATATGCCATCATCATTTCTCCATTTTATTTGTATTTTGCAAACCAAAAGAACACCATGCGCGAAATCCGCAGCAAAATGCTGTAAAGTCCGCGCAAAATGCTGTAATCGATGCAAGCAACACATTTCCAATTTTGTGTAAACAACAATTTGTATTTCCCACCATACTGCGCATCGGCGCCGGTAACGCTCCCGGCCAGCCCGTCTCATGTAAATCAGAAAATAAACTATCATAAATTTGCAAACATTTGATAGATCGAGAGTGATGATTACTCGACTAAAGCCCGGGTCAAACGAGAATGATAGTTGATGAGAGTTAATGAGAGTTGCAACTCTCGCTTGCGTTTGACCGCGAACTCTGATACACTCTCGTGCACTCTCATCAACTCTCATCGACTTTGAACTGGTTCAAATTTTGTTGAGAGTTGATGAGAGTTGATGAGAGTTGATGAGAGTAATCAATTCTCGTTCTCAACTCTGATCAACTCTCATTCTCGTTTGACCGTCGCATCGAGAGTTTGGAAAACTCTCTTGCGAACTCTCGCTTCTCAACTCTCATCAACTATCATTCTCGTTTGACCAGGGCTTAAAGGCCTGTTTACATGGAGCGAGTTATCCCGGCTAGGCGAGGTAAAAAGCGCATCATCACATCAAAGGCTTAACCTGATTAGTCTTTCATTATATGCAGTTTTCACCTCGCCTAACTGGGATAACTCGTTTCATGTGAACGGGCCCTAACTTGAGCTAAAGCGAGAGTCTTAATTTCGGTCTGTTTTTTCGCGTACGAAACAAAAACACTCCTTTAGCTCGAATAAACACTCACCACATCTCAGCATACCACAAATTGTAGGAATTCCACTCAACTTGCAATTCAATATTTTCAGTATTCCTGAGTCATCTTTAAGTTGTCAAATACGAACATTTCTTACCATCTGCTAACGTTTTCTTAGCATTGCGAACACTCTTTACATTGCGCTTGCAAAGAAAATTGCATTGAGTAACAGCGCCGTATATACATATCATACTAGGGAGTTTAAGATTCACGATGCGGAAGCAGGAAGCTCGACCCGACCACGCGCTTTCGCAACAGAGAAACCCCACACGCGAGCAATAGGTATGCACAACATGTATAACCCTAGAACAGCATTGCCATTCTCACGACGCCTTCAAATGAAGCGATTTCACGGCTTCTGGGCGACATGAAAGCAACTGCAAAGTGATAGCTGTTTTACAGCTTTACACGCGAATTCGTGAAAACTGCTTTATTTACAAATATATCAATCACCATAGTGCGATTTGATTCATTAACATTATTCACTAGTTTTCAAACTAGAAATGAACTCACCCGTTATACCTGCTTCTTAATTGGCCTGTTTTGTTGTTATATATGTAATACGTTGCTATATAATTTGCAGCTGGTATATGACAGTATTATATGTTTAATATTTTAGGAATTTTAGTAGCATGAGTAATTAATTAGTTGCACTAGATGACAGAGAAGATATAATGAGGTAGGAAACGAAAAGTAAATAATTGTGAAGTGATAGCGGAGCTGTAAGGACTGTGATCTATATTGTGAGAGTAAATCTAATATAAAAAACCCAACAAAATTGTGAATAGCGTTGCGAGCGCATCGAAACGCTTAATTCGTCTGTTAATAAGAGCGTCATTTAGACGCACTTAATTTGATAATTTAGGCGTTTAATTTGTCTAGACAGTTATTCATTTATTTATTTTATTTATTTATTTGTTTTATTTATTTATTTATTTTATTTTATTTTATTCATATATTTATTTTAAAGTTATTTATTTAGACAGTTATTCGTATTTATATGTTTATTCGTACGTTAAAGTCGTCTTAGACGTCTAAGCCGTCCTCTAATATAAATACGACCTTTCGAAAATATACCAATATAGGTAAAAGTAAATCGCTTCTTATTTTAAAATACGTTAATTTCCCGAGAATCTTGAGAGCAAAAGTATTCAACTTATTTAGAAGTTCGGAATTGGACATGTTGTCTGCAGTTATTTTTTTTAAAGCCCAGTGTTTGCGTCTAGTTTTCTTCTTGTCCAGTTTATGCATCCTCGGTTTTTTATAGCCCAGTGTTTTTTCCTTCTGCACGTTCGCTCACGCTTGACGGTTTGACTCAGTGTTGCCACAACCTGTGTGGCTTGAACAGAACCTTCTAAAAAATACTATCAATAATACTACTGCTACTGCTACGACAACCCATAAGACAAACCAAGCAAAAGCCCCAGCTGAAACACCCCGAGAAGAACTGTCTGAGCAGGTTACAGTAGACTGGTTTATTGCATTCGACCTGGTGGATTGTGGCGAGATTACTGATTCTGGGCCTCGAGTGGTCGTTGGATACGGATGTCCTGTTTGAAAATAAATCAGAAATGAAATGAAATGCGGAAAAAATTTTTTCCTGCCACATTTACCGGTGCAAAATCCTAAATCCGCTACACCGACACAAATAAGCGCGAGGGGTCGATGGGACGTACAAAGGGGTGATATTAAACTGGCGCGCCACCTCAATTTTTTTTTCTAGACGTAGGCGCTACCCCACGGGCGCTACCCCACGGTCACTACCTCCACCTGGTCATGTATCCCACATGGAGGATTGGACCTGAGGTTGAGAAACTTTGTATTCGAATTGTCTTCATGTAATTTGGCAGGTGGAAAGGCGAGGCGGTCCCAGGTTACGCTACATTGGCTTGGCGTTACTTGAGATAGGGGGGGGATAGGGACGAGGGCTCAGTCACGAGGTGCCACTATGGTCGGCACTGAGCGAAAAACATTTTCCAAATCTGAAGCATCAAAGTAATTAAGAAGTAATTACCCCACCTATCCTCTCCCCCAAGACGCTACTAGTCGTAAAGGTATGTAATTAAACTTTGAACCCAAATGCTTTCTTGCTTGTTTCTAATTTTAATTTAGTTCTCGGCATGACGCGTGAGGGAAGACGTGCCGTGGCGTGATTGTCCGTGTGGTAGTGTCCCCTATATTTTGCCCCGGTGTAATTACGCCCCAACCCCAACCCCAATCCCAACCCAACCCCTCTCTCTTCGATCCTCTTGATACTACAGCCTGTGGGAATTTTAAATATGTTTTATCAAATCAAAGACCAATAAACTAACCTTGCTCTTTCGTATACGTAGTTAGCAAAAATAATCGAGGTTTGTATTCATCTCTGGCGTCCGATAGGGAAAACTTCAAGTAGAACTGAAAGTTGCTCGTAAAATTCCTGGTGTCGTTGTATACCAGCGTAAACGTGCACGAAGAGATGTGAACTGTACAAATGATTTTGTTAGGTTCGCATTTCTTCTTATCTGCACCTGGCTTTGTTGAATTTTCGCGACAAAGGTGCACCGTCTTTCTAGATCTGCAATCACTTTTAAGTCCCGTGGACACGTTAAACTTGATTACCCACTTTCTCCTCACTCCGTTTGGGATTGGCGACTCTTCATACCTTTGCCTGACATCGAGGACATCGACTGTAGAATCTATTTGTGATTTACGATATTCGCTAGAAGGCCATCGCTAGGCTTAATTGGTGGGAGGGGGGGGAGGGTTGTAGGACTTATTTGCATTTGTCTAGTCTCATAGGGGGATGGCCATGCCAAACTGAGAGAAACAAAGAACTTTTGAAAAGAATTATATCTGTTCGCTATTGTTTCTTCTACGGTTGTATACGAACATGAATATATGAATATACCCCCCCCCCCCCCCAATTAAGCTTCTAGAGACGGCTGTGACGATATTTGTATAATTAAAAGGCTCTCTGACTATTTTCAAATACCTTGTTCAGTGATACGCACGTCGTATCCAACGAATGTTTCATTGTGAGATCTCTGTTCATAGATTCCTTCGAGGTTCACGTCCATGTTTTTTATTTCCAAATCACCTTTGCTGTTTATAGCAAACGTTTCATTATCCGACACAGTCGTTCTCCAGGACGATCCAATTTCATGTTGGATTCGCCCGACGATGGTAATATCGCTATGGTTGTCGCGAATCCATTCAACAAACGTCGGAGGTGGACCTCTGTCCAACTTAAACCCATCAGTGAGATTGGCTCTTTCGCCCAGACGCACGGTCATATAATACAGAGTAACGTCACCTTTAAGGTGAAAAAAGTAGGTAAATTAAAGGAAATAATGGTAGATTAGTTAAAAAATATCACGGTGAAATGTACGCACTTTCATATTTAAAACTATAGTGCACTTTTCATACCTAATGTGGTCCGTATAACGGTAAGAAGAAAAAAGACTTGCATATGGAACTCCGAGCCCATTTTCAACGACCTGGATGACAGAAGAGAATTGAATATATTTCACACACACACACCGACATACGGTGAAGAAATGTACGATTCTATGATGAAATTTTGAAATGACGTATATTTGAATGATGCAAGTTGCAAGAGCAGACTGCAATCACAAGATTTTATGCATGCTTGCATCTCAGTTTTGGCCACAAAATAAATATTTACAAACAGGTAACAGACTTACCTGCCTTCTTCTATACACATTGCCGTTATAAAACTTCACAATAATTTGTAATACATCGCTAAAATTTGTAACTTAGATAAATTTTTAAATCGTCCAGACTCTAGTGCAATATGACGGTAGAAAAACAATCTCTGAGACTCTGGCCACTCACTATGAGAAAGTGCCATGTCAGCGCTCGTTTTACGCCACCTTTAACCACTATAACACCACAATCATGACTTAGCACACTCATAGTTATACTGAAGGTATCATTAATAAACTGGGCGTATTGCACTTCTTTCGTCTTATATACGAACGTCAATTAAAAGTTGTGAGGTATTTCAGAAATACGAGCAGAGGCAAAAACATGCGATTTTTGAGACCGAACGGGGAACGTCGCGACAATTGCAAAATTCTGTGATTTCGATTCGGAGTACTGGCTCCAGAGGTATCGGTTTGAAGTTGCATTTTTGGCAAAGTTCCCAGTTATCTCTCGCATGTTTCTGCCTTTTTTCTTTTGACTAACGATCAATAACACAGAATGAGTTTTTTTAACGAGTTATTTCCTAGGCGTAGGCAGCCCAGTGGGGAAAGATGCGTATCCAGTCTCATATTGCGGTCTGTTGCGACGTACGCATGCACACGCAATGATGAAAGTAGTAAACAGGGCGCTTATATAGTATATAAGCGCCCTGGTAGTAAAGTAGTAAAGCTGGCGCAGGTTGTACGAAGGATGGCGCTATCCTGTGGATCTGTGGACAGTGGGTTTTACAATCGCTGCTCGTGTTTTGGTAATTTGAATTGAACCTTCCTATTCTTGAAGTTCTGTTTCTCTTTATTTATAGTTGGGTTAATATCTACAATTTTACTACTTTTCAAGCATTTTTGCATTGGCTTAAAAATCGCTATCCGACTTCCGCACAACTGGCCCAAGATCTTTACATTATGATTGGCATCTGTCAAAAAAGACTTTCGTACAAGACTTTTATATGGAATTGGATACGCTGTGTCCGCACTTTGGTTTTCTGCTGGTCCAGTTTATTGGGGTTTTTAGTTCAGTGTCTACTCTCTCTTTGCACTTGGGTTTCATTTTGGGATTTTATCCATCTTAATGTCTTCATTTTGTTTTTTTGATCGTTGCTTTCCACATTTACGTATCACTAACATCAGCAAAGAATCACGAGGACAATCCCAACAACAATCAAGACAATGGTCACAACTGAAACACTCAAAGAAGTAGTATTCGAGCTGGTTGTGGTACTCTGGTTTACTGCATTTGACATGGTGGATCGTGCCGAGATTAACGACTCGGGGCTTTGCGTGGTCGTTGGATACGGATGTCCTATAATGAAAATAAATAAAAACAATTCCTGCTGCATTCAGCACAAAATCCTAATCCCGCTACACGGGCACAAATAAACGGGAGGGGTCGATAGGTGGTTTACAGAAGGGTGTCGCTAACTGCAGCCCACATCAAAACTTTTTTGAGACCCAGATGCCGCTCACGTTTACTATCTCCACCTGATCATGTATCCCACGCGGAGATTGAACCTGAGGTTGAGAAACTTTGTACCGGAATTCGTTTCTTGTGTTTTGGCAGGTCGAAAGGCGAGGCGGTTCCTGGTTATGCGATTTTTGCCCGGCGTTACTTGAGACAGGGGGAGGATTTGGGGGACAAGGGCTCACTTACGAGGTGCCACCACACTATGGTTGAGCGAAAACCTTTCCCAAATCTCAGTGAAGCCTCAAATCGCCCAAATAGCCTTGATAAATTCTTCTATCCACCTCAGGAGCCCAGGCCATTTTACCCCTAAAGTAATTACCCCCTCCGCACCCCCATGACATTACCAGTCGTAGAAATTTTAAAGTACCTTGCTTCCCCATAATTGTCGGACTATTCGAGATTGTAATAGTCGCTCGTATTTTCGAATTAAACTCGCTTGTTGTTGTCGGGGTTTGCGATCTATGGCTTCGAGTGCTCGTTGCTGGTGGAACTGTCGATGTCACTAATAATAAATCCGAAATAAAATTAAATATTTTATATCTGAATGATCGTAATGGGTCGACTTGAAGCCTGACTAACCTTTTGTGAGCGCTTGAGGGGCCTGATATGTAAAATTGCAGGTACATTTGAATTAAGCTCGGTAATTTATTCTGCACATCCCTAAGTCTGCCACTGCAATAAAGAGCCCAAACTCGTTTACTCCGCATAAGTATAATATATCCTTTTTCCCTTGGAACAAGGTTATCCTCTCCCCCCCTTAAATCCTAAAGTATGTACCTTGCTTTTCTGTAATCGCAGGACTTTTCGAGGTTGAAATGGACGCTGGTATTTTTGAATTAGACTCGCTTGTTGTTGTCGGGGTATTCGATCTGTGGCTTCGAGTGGTTGTTGCTGGTGGAACTGTTGATATTACTAAAAAAATCCAAAATCAAACGAAATATTTTATATCTTGTGAGTCATAACTGGCGTTAACTGAGTTGTTTCGCTGTAACTGGCGTTAAGTTGTATATAGCGTATACCCTTTGGTCCATGTTAATGTGTACTGTAAATCTGTAATTTGTAGTGTAAGTGGCAAAGAATAATAATAAGAAAAGACTGACTAACCTTTTGTTGGTAGCAAGAATAATTGGGGTTTGTGCTTGCTTGAGGGGTCTGATATGAAAAATTCCAGGTACATTTGAGAGGTGCTGGAGATGGTCTCGTTCATCGTGTCGTTGTATTCCAGAAAAAACTGGCAAGAATTGACGAGATCCGTCAGGATGATTTCATCATACACGCACTGGGGAATATTTGCATCTGTTTTTTGGCGACAAAGGTACACCGTCTTTTCGCAATCTTTTGCATTTCCTGTGGACACGTTAAACACGATGTTCCACTGTCTCTTCACTCCGTTCGGGATGGGCGACTCCTCGTATTTCACGACTTTAAAGAACTCGACTAAAAATTGTATTACAGTTAAAACAGAAATACCTACACACTTTCTGTATTGCGTTGCTTACGTTTTCTTAAAACTAAAATTTAGCGTCGTGTTGCCGCATGATTTAAATCCTGTTTTAAGTACTAGCAAATGTTTATCTTTGAGCAATCCTCCACTTGATCATGTGTCCACTTGGAAGATTGGACCTTAGCTTGAGTAACTTTGCACCCAAAATGCTTTCTTATACTTTGGTAGATCAAAAGGCGAAGCGGCCCCAGGGTTATATTCAAGGTGTGACATTGGCGTGGCTTTACTGGAGGGGGTGGGGATTTGAAGGATGAGGGCATACTTCAAAACTATGGTTGACACTTAGCGGGAAAATTTGGCAAATCAGAAGCCTTCAAGTCGCCCATCATGATCAGTCTCTGTCTTGAATGCAATGAGGCAATGGCGGATCTAGGGGTGTACAGAATAAATTACAAAGGTTTAAGATCGGAATCGCATTGGCAGATTTTAATTAATGTAAAAATATTCGTTTCAAACCTATAACCAATAGCGTTGTTATTAAGGTGTTTTGAATTTAAAATTAAGCTCGGTAATTTATTCTGCACATCCCTAGATCTGCCACTTTAATAAAGAGCCCAAACCCGTTTACCCCTGAAGTCATTACTCCACATATCCTCTTTGCCACAAACACGGAAAAGCACAGAGATTGGCCCTTGGGAACAAGGTTGTCCTCTCCCGCTTTAAATCCTAAAGTTCGTGGTATGTACCTTGCTTTTCTGTAATCGCAGGGCTTTTCGAGGTTGAAATGGACGCTGGTATTTTTGAATTAGACTCGCTTCTTGTTGTCGGGGTATTCGATCTGTGGCTTCGAGTGCTCGTTGCTGGTGGAACTGTTGATATTACTAAACAAATCCAAAATAAAACGAAATATTTTATATCTTACCGATCGTAACGGATCGATCTAAAGACTTGTGAGTCGTGTTTGTTTCGCTGTAACTGGCGTTAAGCAGTTAAGCTGTATATAGCGTATACCCTTCAGTCCATGTTAATGTGTACTGTAAATCTGTAATCTGTAGTGTAAGTGGCAAAGAATAATAATAAGAAAAGACTGACTAACCTTTTGTAGGTAGCAAGAACAATTGGGGTTTGTCCTTGCTTGAGGGGTCTGATATGAAAAATTCCAGGTACATTTGAGAGGTGCTGGGGATGGTCTCGTTCATCGTGTCGTTGTATTCCAGAGAAAACTGGCAAGATTTGACGAGATCCGTTAGGATGATTTCATCATACACGCACTGGGGAATATTTGCATCTGTTTTTTGGCGACAAAGGTACACCGTCTTTTCGCAATCTTTTGCATTTCCTGTGGACACGTTAAACACGATGTTCCACTGTCTCTTCACTCCGTTCGGGATGGGCGACTCCTCGTATTCACGACTTTGAAGAAGTCAACTATAAAATGTATTAATAGTCTTAAAGTGCACATAGAACCAAATGGGGAGGGGGGAAGGGGGCTTAGGGGATGGTGAGGAGGGGGACGTGCTGAAAGCCATGACCACGCCCTATTTATCTAATAGGCGTGGTCCCAGATTGTAGCTTCCGGATATAAATTTCGTCGCAAACTATTATCGTTAATTAAGCAATCTTTAAGAATTGTGACGCGCGATCAAAATGATTGCGTAATTATATATATATATATATATATATTAATATATATATATATATATATATATATATATATAATGCATGTCGCAATACATAATCTTGTAAATAGAATTTGCTAGAAGAACATGATGATTAAGTGATTATGATACGTAATTGACAGAGTGTAATATAAGAAAGAAATTGATATAAATAAATCAGACTGGGCTGGAAGCCGTGCTGTGACTGTGTCTTGCAGGATCTTAGGCGTACGCTACAGAATATTATGGTAGAATATTATAAAATTTATTAGCTTCTGGCCTGGAAACTGAAACACGTGCTGAGACTCGTGCTGTCTTCTTAAACAAGGAGGAATTTCGTTTTGAACTAATCGTCATATTTGTTTACATTTTTTAGGCAAAGCCAATCAGAATGCCTAAAATTTTAATACTTCATGTAAAATGACGTATATTGTACTTTCTATTAAAATATATGCATTCTGATTGGGTTAGTGAAAATGTAAACAAACTTGCTGATTTGTCTAAAACGAAATTTCCCCTTGTTGTCTTCGTAGGCATTTAAAACCGGCTTTCCACTAACGCTTTTTTTTCGCGGGGAGCGATTGTGTGTCTGAGCAATTTTCGAACGAATCTTTGCGCAATTTGTCCCGGATAGTTGCAGCTGAGAGCTCTATAACAAAATTAAAAATGTCGCATCGCGCTAGTGGAAAAACAGTGACAACAATTTACGGTGTTTTAAATATTGGTCAGTAGTGAATATGCGTGATAACTTGAAGGTGAGAAATTTTTCGGCATTGCCGACAAATTTTTCGCGTTCAAATTATCACGCATATTTGGGCTGCCTTGTGCTATGACAAAAATACCTCGCGTGTCTAATTTTACCACATGGCAAGCTAATGTTATGTTTTGATAACTCTGTATATATCTCCCTTGAAGGCCTTCGTCCATGCGCTTGATTTCCAAGTCACCGTTGTCGTTGAAAGCAAAATGCTCGTAATCTGCAACGGACCACTTCCAGGAGGAGTCAGTTTCGCGTTCCCTCAAACCAACAAGTAAACTTTGATTATCCCAATGATTATCCTTTAGGAGACTCCATTTAACATAATTTGGAAGTGGGTTTACTTTGTCCCCTGGATCACTGGGTAGAGTGACATCACTGTCCATTGATACAGGCATGTATTTACAGCCATCTTGAAAATCTAAAAAAAAAAGTTCTGGTTCATTGAAAGAATTGATAATATTTAATTGATATATAAGAATTGATAATTGACAGACTGTAAGACGAAAATATTAGCACATTCAGAACAAGTCTAAATAGATCAAATCTTTCGACTGTAACGAGAATTCATAGGTCTTAAACTTAGGAGAAATCTTTTCCCAAGTAAATAAACGAGGTAAATATGCAACTTTTCGTCGCGCATTTTCTTTGCAAAATATAAAATCTGAATGCTGAAATAACACTCCCAGTTAGTAACAATTACAATGTCACTAAAACCCCAGGAAATTTGCGTAATTTTGTTTTTATGTAATGAAATAAATCGGCCACCAAAATCAACTATACGCCATCAAAATATGGCAGACTATAAGGCCTGGTCGCAAGGCAGGCGCGAGAGAAAGGCTTAATAGACCTTTTTCATAATGACGTCAAACGCGGAAAGTCTGATGTTACACGAAGTTTGATTGGCTCGATAGTTTTGTGGAGCCAATTAAATTTCGTGTAACATCAGACTTTTCGCGTCTGACGTCATTATAAGAAAGGTCTATTAGTCATAGATATAATAAACTGTGGCTTTAGTTTCTCTTTGCAAAACTGTGGTTTTAGTTTCTCTTTAAACTGTGGCTTTAGTTTCTCTTTGCACCTGTTTTGGCTGTAAACATGATAAGAAACAACAACACTTTTGGAAGAATTTTCAAACGCGATTCCAGCGACCTGAAAACATGAAAAAATGGGTAAAAATTTATACGTATGGCAAATGTTTCATGGATATAGTTATGAATACATTCAAGTATTACTTACATGTATGCTGCCGATACAAAAGGCGGCGTTGATTCACTTTTTTTGTAATAGAGAGTAATCTAAAAGAATGGATATCATTATTAGTATGTTTTCTGCATTTCAGATATCAAATTATTTTCATGCATTATAAGATTGCGTGTGAGCATTGAGAAAAGTCTGAAAAGTATTGATATAGTCAAATAACGCGGTTTCAGTTTAGTTGTCGTTAACAATCACCTAGGAAACCACATCATAAGACTTCAATTTTAAAATTTTTCAATAGTTTCCAGCCAAACTTTTCGAGTTTTAATACTAAATTCTACTTCATTTTTGGGATGCACCTTCATGCAGGACTTGGTTAAAACAAACTAGTTTAATATGATTTTTAAAAAGATTTACGAATATACGCAGCACGGCCTCTGCAGAACTTAAACTTAAAAATACATGTAAATTGAATGGCAAATCATTACGTTTTTATTCATGTTTATAATATTGAATGAGAATGTACTAACCTTGAATTAAAAGCGCGCCTGGATATGTGAATGCATGAGATACTATTAACAAACTATTCACTTCAGATGTCGTGGCGATTTAATTTATACAGGTGACAACAATGTATTGGACTTGAATTATTAATGACTTATCAAATAATTAATTTAGGGCCTCCACAGACTAGGGACTTTTAGTTGTCGATCAACAATGGTTGTCGACAACTAAAAGTTATCGACAACTAAAAATCGTAGTCTGTCGAGTAAGTTGTCGGCAACTAAATTATTAGTTGTCGACATGCAACTAAGCAGTTTCCCTTTTCGGAAAAGAACGACAACTATCAATTGCTTCGCTAAACTGTCCCCAAAATCTGGGCCAATTCATGCAAGAGCCATCAAATTTTGAAATAACAAGTTTTGGCAATTTGGTAGGTCGCGTTGTGAAACTTTCGCATTCTTTAATTTCCGGTTTTCATGCCGAAGATTTGGCAAGTTAAGCTTGTATTTGCCTCTCTTTCTCACACAACTTGACTTTAAATCTTAATTGTTCCTCTTGCTTTACAAACTGCTCTGCCTTATCGTTATTTACTCCAATCGTTTATTACGGTTTGTTCCTCTTTCTCGGCTATTTTGATTGCCTCGTGAGCGAGTAGGTCGGTACGTATCTATATGAACAAGTTTTGCTATTGGCTGATGATAACAATAAAACACAATAAACTATAAAAGTGGATTTCTATAAAAGGACGAATCATAACACTGCGTGTACACTATTGTTACAAAAAGCCAATCACAAAACTCGTTCATATTAGGTAGATACTTACTGGAACGACTTTGCATTGCGATGTGTCTTTAGCGGTAGTTTGTAACACTTCGAGACTTCGTTTTTGTAGCTACTCGCTTACCTGAATTGATAGCAGATTCCGATCTTTTTACAGCTAAACTTAACTGTGTCAGGCGTGTCTCCAAGTCCGTCACTGCCTTGGCCTTCTCGTCCATGTTCAACGGATTCGCAGTTCGTTTCCTTCTACTGGCGGTACAGCTTTCCCGTCGGAGGTGCCACGTGTGGAGAATGTTTTGAAAGTCACAAGTTGAATAATAATGAGGATATTTATTATAGTTTGAATCACACGTTTAACAAAATCACAAAATCTCGCTCACACCTTAAAGCCCTGTTACACGGTGCAATTTTTCTTGCAACTTGCAATGCAACTCTTCTTTTGAGAGATGTAGATTTGGCAACTACCGAACTTTTGTCTTTATTACGCTCCATGGCTCTTCTTGCACTTGCATTTAAAAGACTCTTCACTAATTTACATCTCTTTAAAGTAGAATTGCATTGCAAGTTGCAAGGAAAATTGCAGCGTGTAACATAGCCTTTAGTGGTCACTGTAACACTAACACCACCCCCTTGTTCGACTGGATTGAAATAACTTAATTTACCCCGTAATTAATCCCTACTGAAATTACTTAATAATTGATCTCTGTCAGTCTCCAACCCCACAGAACAGAACATATCCTTGCACCTTGATTAATACTGCAAAACAAACCAATCCAATAACCACTTTCCAAAAATCAAGCATACCAGAAGAGGAGGAGCCTTTGTAGGATTAGTTCCTGACTGCTCACCAGTGTTGTTTTGTTCTTTTGTGCTTGGATTAGACGCGCTAGATGGTGTACGCTTTTGGGTTGTGGTTGCGGTTGGGAACTGAGGTACTCCTTAACCAAAAATCGAATAAATATTAAAATGTAAAAGCAATTTTTGTTGCCACTATAGTATTAATACAAAAAACCCGCCACAATTCACAATTGAAAAACTTCGAATTTGTGACTTCGATAAACTAAGCAGGAACAAGCACTGGAACAATAAAATGGGGGTATCTTAACCTGTGCTTGTTTGGTGTGCAGAGGAGCGGGGGTAGTGGCTGCTATGATTGGTATACCTTGGTTTTTTGTAGATGTTGGACCTTTCGGAGTGGTAATGGTCTCTTGCATTTCTGATTTTGAAGCAATGCTTGTTGTAGTTTCCGATCTGTGGCTTCGATTGGTCGTTGCTGGTGGATCAGTCGATACTCCTAATAAATCATAAATGGAGTTAAATATCATCTTGTATGTGATAATTTCATTAATTTGTGACATAATATAGATCGAATAAGAACAAATTGTGAGAATTCGACCGTAGCGAATTACCTTGACCGGGTCACAAATGAAAAGAAATTCAAGCTAAAAACTGATTCCGTTGAATCCGTTCGATCAAAAAATCACCCAATGGAAAACCACCTTCTCTAAGTCAATTCTAAATTGTAATGTTATTCACCGAATCTTCAACAGAATCCAACCAATCTATCCATTCTGACAATGGATCGATGGTTTTATATAATTATTTAATTACACGCGCAAGTACACGCATGTACGTGCAAGGAAGAATGATTGACTGACCTCGGCTTTTTGTGCTTAGCAAAAATAGTTGAGGATTGTAATTGCCCTGGACACCCGATGGGTAAAATTCCACGTGAAATTGAGCTGTGTTGTTACTGGTGTCGTTGTATACCAGCGTAAACTCACACGTATTGACGTGAAGAAATAGTTTAACTTTGCCACTCTCGCACTTCTCCGGCTTATCGGCGTCTGGAGATTTTCGGCGACAAAGGTGCACAGTCTTTTGACAATCGCTGGCTTGTCTTGTGGAAACGTTGTAGTTAATGTGCCACGTTCTTTTCACTCCATTTGGGATGACAGACTCTTCGTATCTTTGCATGAGATTGACGACTGTGAAACGAAAATGCACGAAAATTGCAATTTGCAAATGAAGCACCAATAATAATGAATATTAGCTATGGATGATAAACATTGATATCGCACGTGTCTGCCTATGATAAAACCTCTTCTATACCGTAAATCTCCGTTGTAATACACTTAAGGTTGGTAAGAGTTTTGTGAGGGGCTTACTCGTATAACGTTTTGTGAGGGGACTGAACACGGACAACATTTTGTGTTATAATAGAGAGCTTTAGCAGCGACTACGAGTACGAGTACGAAATTCGTCATTCTGGCGGGAAATTTTCGTTTTGTGCACGCGTCATCTCGTACTGACGCCAGAAACTCGTAGCCGTCGTCTAGTCTCGAGTACGAAGTTTTAAAAAGAAAAGGTAAGTCGATATATTATTGTTTTCCTATAAAATAATTTAAATTGATTTTCGCGAAAGTCCTGACGTTGTCGTGGGCATATAGGCCGTAGGATGAGCATCCAAAAGATGCTTAGAAAACGGATTCCGTTGCACCCCTCGTGGAACTACATAATTTTCACATGAATCAATAGATAAAAATTTACTTTATCAGAATCCGTTGTTCCCCAAGCGAAACAGGTGCACAATTGGGAGAACAATCCCTCCAAAGTTTTATATATTCGCGCTTCGAAATATTCGAACCGCCATTGTTTTAGTAGCAAATACGCATGCGCTTGTCAGCCAAACTCGCACTGCGCACGCGCATAAGCACGCACATGCTTCGAAGTGGAAACACTCTTAGTTATGCAAAACAATCATGGCTGAAAATATTTATAAAACTCGAATATCCTCATATTTTATTCATTTTGTTGGCGTTACGGAGCAACTTTGCAAAGTTACACGCCAAGGGCTTAAGAAATGTCTTGAGTGTAGGTCTAAATGGGCCAAACTTAAATGTCAACAAGCTGAAATAGCTAAGAAATCGTACGAGAACATCGATGACGGATCTGTCAATTCATACATGGAGAACAGGAGAAGAACCCTGACAGCATTAACTTAGAATGGTACCATCGTATGAAATGCTGGAAGAGATTTTCTGATGAAGAGAATATCCGTAGACAACAGCGAAAAGAAGAAAAAGGAGAAGGAACTAGCTCTAAAACTGTAACTTCTACCGAAGAACTACATGTGGAAGTGGAACCAATAGAACCAAGACGAAAAATTACACGCCAATCAGTCGCAGGCGTTAATAAGACCTTGCCTAAAAGAAACGAGTCCAGAGATATGTATTGTTTGTGGAAGAGACGCCTCTTGGTTCTCACTAGACAAGGTATGGTCATTTTGATAGATATATTATACTAGTGCAATAGTGCAATGTACTAGTAGCACAGCATTCTCGAGTTTGGTTTTAAAATATCTTGAATTGTGGTCAATTAAGTTTATTTAGGGTAAAGTAGTTTTTAATGCTACAAACATCCAACTGTGTTATTAGCAGATATTTAGTTTAATAGTTTTGTTCACACCAGGTAACTAAGAAGAGAAAAAGAACCCCACTCATGTTGGCAGAAATAATTGATGCTGGTCTTCTACGTACAGCTGCCGTGAGTAAGAATGATGAACGGATACTTGTGCAAATCCGGGGGAAAGACTGTGTAGCACTGGAAGTCCCCTATCACAAAGTTTGCTACTGCAATTATACAAAATTTCTCACCAGAGAGACAAAGAAGCAATTGGAGACTGAAAGATCTACATCAGTGTACGAGAAGTCTTATGATGTCTTCTGTAAGAAAGTAATCGAGACTGAGGTCATTGTAAATAAGCAAATAAGGTATATGAAAGATTTGCTGGAGAAATTTGTTATCATTGCTAAGGACACCGAGAATGTGGATGCATCTAAATATAGAGCTTTTAAACTCAAGCAACAACTGATGAAAAGTTATCCCCAACTTGTGTTCTAAGTACCGAAAATGAGAAATGTTAGTGAGATTGTATATGTGGAAAATTTGGATTCTTCCGAATTGGTTGAGGAACATATGTCAAACAAGTCAGAAAACAACGATGAAGACTTTGATGAAGAGAGCTATACCGGTACCATTGATGATGATGATCTGAATTCCAACACAGAAACTGAGGAAAATTCTAGAGTCAATGAGTTACAAATTCTATACAATGCTGCATTGATTCTTCGCCAAAAGGTCCAAGATATACCAAAACTGAATCTTCCTTGGCCACTATTGGCATCTGATTTGACAATGGATAATGTACAAAAAGTGGTTCCATGTGAACTTTTTAATGTCTCGGCTTGGACTTGTGGATTCCAACTTTAAGTGAGTACGTGCCAATTGAGGGCAAGAACAATGCCAAACTAACATCAATTGTACAAGACCTTGTGAATTTAGCATCTGGGGGAAGGAATCCTACGCCCAAGAGCATAGCACTTGCCATGGCACTTAGACAACTGACAGGTTCAGCCTCAGTGATTTCTCTATTGAGTGGCTTTGGACATTGCATGTCACACTCATTTGTATTGTGCCATGAAACTGCCCTTGCACAGATGATATATCCAATGATTCTGCTATTCCTCCAGGCTTTGTTAGTGATGTTCCAACTTCTCTTGCATGGGATAATGATGATTTCTCAGAAGAAACTAGATCTGGCAAAGGGACAACTCACATCACTGGGGGCATTATCATCAAAGGGAACAAAGTGCAAGTACTGAGTTACAGAAACGGGATAGCATTCCAAGGCTATATTTAAGCGAAATATTTAACTTGTTTCTTGATTGTGTGAGTTGTATGTATATTTATATATTCTCCATCCTGTTTGATACAGGTGGGTTTTTTACCTCACAATTTTTTATTGAATTAAGTTGTTAATAAGTAGAATTATACGTTAAAACGGTATTTTGAAACAATAGCCAATGAATTGAAGTGATTTAGCATATGAGCAAGCAAAATGTACAATGTGTTTTAACAATATTTAATGTGTGTGTATTTATTCGTTAATATTACAAGGTTTGATCTTTATTCCGTGATTTTATTTTGTTATTTTTACACGGGAAATCGGGGAAAACCCACAGGGAAAATCCATTTTTCCTGTCTGCGCGTGCGCAGTGCGAGTTTGGCTGACATGCGCATGCGTGTTTGCTACTAAAACAATGGCGGTTCGAATATTTCGAAGCGCGAATATAGCAAACTTTGGAGGGATTTTTTTCCCAATTGTGCACCTGTTTCACTTGGGGAGCGACGGATTCTGATAAAGTAAGTTTTTATCTATTGATTCATGTGAAAATTATGTAGTTCCACGAGGGGTGCAACGGAATTGCATCTTTTGGATGCTCATCCTACGGCCTAATAGTTTTTTTGAGCGGAAGTGTGATTAACACAGGAAATTATGCTTGCATAAATCCCGTTCCGGAAGTGGCTGGATATGCAGTTTGTAAACATGATGAAATAATTATTTGCAGTTTCATTCTCATTTCTCAGCGAAGAATTTCTATCCTTGCGATTGAAAATTTGTATCCTTTATATAGGATTGAGAATATTTCAAATTATACGACCAAATGCAAAATATAAATATATATCAGGCTATATCATATTTTATAAATTTCTATATTTTTGAGTTGTTTTTTTTGTATTTAATATTGTCCTAATATCCAAAATGATATTTATATAATGCATCGAGTATTGCCTTATCCAACAACTCGAAGCATATTTTCTACTTGCTAGACAACCTAAGCTTTAGTTGATCATATACAGCTATGAAGTCGAGTTCATCAATAGCATCATTGGCAAAAAGGGCCGTAGCTGCATCGAAAAGCAAGTTGTTGCTAAACAAAAATTTAAACGGAAACGACTACGACTTCCTCGTGCCAAGCTGTGCGCGGTCAAAATTCGTACTCGTACTCGTACTCGTATAGTCGCTGCTAAAGCTCTCTAATATAACATTTATAGTACGCGCGTGCTGATTGGTCAAGAAGCGTGTTTCTATTTACCAATTAGACAACGAGTCCGAGTTGCCTATTCGCTCATAGACAACGAAGGCGAGTTGTCTAATTGTTTTAGTATACACCCTGTACCTAGATATATTAATTTCGAGAAAATAATCGATACACCGCAATTTCAACGAAAAATAATTTAATTAATTAAATTTTATACGGTTGCGCGAGCGAATTTTTCCCAAACGTTCACCATCTCGAATAGACAATGGTTGAGTAGCCAATCAGAATGTAGGATTTGTAAAAGACAATAGTAATAGTGATTACTAATTACCAATATACATAAAGTATTAAATATTTAGGCACTCTTATTGGCTTAGCCTGAATGTCAGAACGTCATCTCCAGTGATTTTATGCGTAAGCGCCATTGCAAGCGCTATTTGTCATGGATCGTCGCTCAGCAAGAACTGTAAACAAAGGTCTTCCTCTCTGGCACAATGCATAATAGCTTAGTTCCTGGGAGGTTACTCTTCTTCTGCTTACGGTACTTGCTTAATGATGAATCAGGCGTGTCGAAAGCGCTTACGCAAAAAACAATGAAGATGAAGTCAGTCCTGTTCAGCTTTTTGAACGAATCTTTGAGCAATCTTTGCAGCCGAGACTGAGAGCTCTGAAACAACCCCTAAAGTATTGCATCGCGATATGACAAGATTATAACAAAATACCTTTCCTGTATAAATTCACCACATAACAAGCTAATGTTATGTTTTGAAAACTCTGTACATACTCCCCTTCAAGGCTTTCGTCCATTTGCTTGATTTCTAAGTCCCCCTTTTCGCTCAAACCAAAATTGTCATGATCTGACACTTCCCACTTCCATGATGACTCATTTTTGCGCTCTCTCAAACCAACAAGTATGCTTTTATCATCTTTTAGAAGACTCCACTTAACATAATTTAAAGATGGGCTTATTTTTTTTTCTGGATCACTGTGCATTGTGAAATTTTCGCCCTTGGTCTTGTACAAAGGCATGCATTTACGTATACTGCCATCTTGAAAATCTGAAAAAAAGTAGGTTAATTGCATGACAAACTGTAACACGAAAATACTGACACATTCAGAACAAGTCTAAATAGATCAAATATTTCGACTGTAACGAGAATTCATAGGCCTTAAAACTTAGGAGAAATATTTTCCCAAGTAAATAAACGAAGTAAATATGCAACTTTCGTCGCGCATTTTCTTTGCGAAATTTAAAAACTGAATGCTGAAATTACACTCTCATTTAGTAACAGTTACAATGTCGCTAAAAACCTAGAAAATTTGCGTAATTTTGTTATATGCCATCTGAATATGGCCGACCATTTGTTAACATTTTACAGGCTAAGCCAATCAGAATGTCTGAAACTTTAACACCTCATGTAAAACGATAAATAATGTTCCTTTATTCCGGAAGTGGTAATTGGTCAACATTTATGCATTCTGATTGAGTTATTGAAGATGTAAACAAATTAGTTGATTGGTCTCCTTGTTTTTTGCACCTGTTGTGGCCGGGAAAACGATAAGAACCAAAAACACCTGCAGAAGAATTTCAAAACGCGATTTCAGCAACCTGAAAACATGAAAAACAAAAAAAAATTATACGTATGGCAAGTGTATGAAAATACATTTTAAACTCGAAATATTGCTCACATGTTTAGCGAGAACACGCTTGATACAAAAGGCGGCGTTAATTCACTTGTTTGCAATAGAAAGTAATCTAAAAGAAATTTTATTAAATGGATATCATTATAAGTGTGTTTTCTGCATTACAAATATTAAAGATAAATGCATATCCACGCATGCTTTAGAAGATTGAACGTGAGAAAAGTCTGAAAAGTATATTATATATTTAGATAACTTTGAGTTTAGTTATAGTTGCACGTTACATTCATTCCATTGTTGTTTGAGAAGGGCATGATTTTAAATCAAGGTATACGATATTTCACCCGATCGTGTCGTGAACGTGTAGGCCACGCGTGGAATTGCGTAGCTAAAAATTACGAGCTTTGAGTCGCCGGCTGCTTTGAGGCGGTTATAACAATCACCCAGCAACCTCATCATCATCATCATCATCATCATCATCATCATCATCATCAAGACTTCATTTTTAACATTTTTAATAGTTTGCAGCCAAACTTTTCGAGTTCACTAAATTCAGCTTAAAATTTGGAATGCACTTTCTGGACATGGTCAAGGCCGTCGCTAGAGGCTTAATTTGAGGGGGGGGGGGGTACATGTTCATATATTCGTCTTATGCCATCATACATCATATGTTCGTCATATATTAGCTATTGTCTCGAACATGAATATATGAATATGTACCCCCCCTCCAATTAAGCTTCTAGCGACGGCCCTGGACAGTTTAAAATAGTTTTTAAAAAAATTTTCCAATATACGCAACACGGCCTCGCCAGAACTTAGATACCTGCAAATTGAATGGCGAATCATGGCAATGGCAAATCGTTTTATTCATGTTTATATAAATATCGAATGAGAATGTACTAACCTTGACTCAAAAACGCGCCTGGATATGTCAATTTAACATACTATTTGCTTCTCGAAGATGTCGTGACGATTAGTGACATCAATGTTTGGGACTTTCTTGAATTATTGATGATCTCTGTGGGCAATAAAAAACAATTAATCCATCACGCAACCTTGGGAAAGGTCGGTACTGTTGCCATGTTGCACACAGGAAATATTTTCTCTAATTCTCATGTCCATGTCCAGATACAGAAATTGAAGCCGGAATTTGCTGCGGCCGCCATCTTACTGTAACCACCTTGAGGGGTGAACTACAGGGTGTATCAAAAAAAAGGTAATCCAACTTTGGTGCGCTATTGTACGTGAACTACTCATTCTATTAACGAATTTTTTTCACATTCCGAAAGGTTATGCTTTTAACTATCGAATGACATGTTTTTGATACCAAATGGTGAAAAAATGAGCAAATAGGAGGCTGATAAAAATTGTTAGTCGAAATCGCATATTTTCACCTCTGAGAGTTGGGACTAAAACCATTGAAAATTAACTCTCTTTGGGACTTTTGCTTTTGAATAAACTACCCGCATATGCATATTAAGTAGGAATAAGGAGAACATTCCAAGCAATGCGGCATAAAACCAGTGCAAGCTGTGACATGTTCATGATTAATTGTTTTTTTCTTTTGTTATGCACTGCTTTAATTAGGCTCAAAGGTGAAAATATGCGATTGCGACTAACATTTTTTATCAGCCTCGTATGTGCTCACTTTTTCACCATTTGGTATTAAAAACATGTCATCCGATAGTTAAAAGCCTGATCTTTCCGAATGTGAAAACAATTCGCTCATAGACTGAGTAGTTCACGTACAATAGCTTGTTGAAGCTGGATTACCTTTTTTTTGATACACCCTGTATAGGGAAAATGTGATATTTTCCGCTGTTTGAAATGGTATGTTTGATTTGATTTAGTCCTCTACCTAGGCCTCGCAATAACAAGACAAAAACAGCGGAAAATATCACATTTTCCCTATAGTTCACCCCTCAAGGTGGTCACAGTAAGATGGCGGCCGCAGCAAATTCCGGCTTCAATTTCTGTATCTATGGTTGCTCTCTCCATTTATATTGTAGCTCAGTGGTGACTGTGTCATTCCGGTCTGTGCGCGGGTGCAAAAAAGGGCACGAGGATGCATGTAAATAACGTAACACGAACGCTGTGACTTATAGAGAGAGCGAGGTTATGTGGTATTGGTTTGACTAAATTTTATTTAAAACAGTATTATGAGTGAATATTAGTGTACCGGCACAATTTCGATACATTAATCTTTTATACCATACCCGATTGGGTAAAAGGCGGATATGACGTTTAAAATTTGTTTTGTTGAAAAGCAAGTTATCCGTCTGTCCGTATCCGCGTTTTACCCTAACCCGGTGTATGAGAGCATTTTTAAACTTTTTCAAAAGAAGAAAATCGCAGCGAAAATTGCAAATATGAACGGGCCACACAGCAAAGTATTACAACAAAAAAATTTAGAAAACTTGCAACAAAATCTGATTTCAACGCTCGTTAATTGGAAATATGAAAGCACGGGCTGCAATATTTGCGAACATTTTCAATTAACATGCGTTGAAATCAGATTTTATTACGAGCTTGTGCAATTTTGTTGCTAGTATTATACTACTTTAAAATGCATGCAAAAATAGGAATTCTTACGTTTTATAATAATATCATAAATGAACTGATAAGTGTACTAACCTTCACCTGAAAGTGTGCAGCGGCGCAGGGTACGCCAAAGGAATGAACGCTTGCTACTAACTGTTTTCTTCTTAAGGTTGTGACGAATTACACAGCAGGTGATATCTCAACCTCGTTCCCAGGGCCAATTTCCGTGTTGTGGTGATATCTACATATGTCACTCTAAACCAACTACAGCAACAGCAACTACACCAATCAAAAACAAAGCGTTGAACGGTAAATTAAAATTCGTATTTGTTATTTAACAATTTGCTGTCCCGATGTTGGTTAATCTTGACCATGAAAATTGAAGCATGAATGTGAACTAACAAACCTGTAGGGTTTACTTTCAAATTTATCCCCTTCCGGTCGGGTTACCGGTTTGCCCTTAACGTCAATCGTAAGGTCTCTAAAGCCGGTTTTCCACTAGCGATATTTTTCGCGCGAAGCGACTTTATTCCTTTGTATTTGAGCAATTTGTTCCAGATGGTTGCAGTTGAGAGCTCTGGAACAAAAGTAAATTGTCGATTCGCGCGAAAAATATCGCTAGTGGAAAACCGGCTTAATGTAATCTTAAGGTCTGACGCGAATTTGAGGAAGGGTCATTTCTCTGAGTAATTATGACTTGTAACGGTAGCTTTTCAGGCCTTTTTCTAATCTGGCTTTACAGTAAAAACAAGTAGAGTGCCCAGGCGCTTTAATAGTAAAATATATAACGTTGCATTCAGTTATTGTATAGAGGTCGGGCTGAAAAAAGGCGAACGCAAAACAAAACCACCCCAAGCACCCCCGCGCGCTCGCCTCTTTTCAGCTGACCCATACAATAACTGAATGCAATGCTATATATTTTACTTTTAAAGAGTGAAAAGACATTTCAAAAGACGACTTCAAGCATATACGCCAGATTAACTTAATATTTTAATTACTACTAAAAATTGTACTGATTGTTTTAGAAAAATGTACTGCCACATTTACAAATTCTTTAAATAGAATAAATTCCAAATATCTACAGACATTGATATTAAAATATTTAATATACAAAAATATTTAAACAGTAGTTTAAAGGTGGTTTAAAATCCTTGTTTACATTTTGAATCCGTATATTTCCTAAAATATCAAAAACTTTCAGAATATTTGACACGCTTATAGTTTGCTATACTCCTAAACGAATACGAGAGAGAGTTTATGTTCAGAAATATACGAAACATGCAAAATTTGAAAGAAGTGTAGACTATCCATTGTATGAGCAGAACCGATGCACAGAAGCGACTGTAAACCCCCTTTAAAAAATACTCTATTTTCAAAAAAAATATATTCTATGTAAATATCTATCTTATAACACAAAATAATCTCTCTTTGAACCAGTTCAAAATCGAAACGTTTGGTTGCATTGGCGGTTGCAATACGTAAAAGAAGATACCAAAAATATTCGCCGAGCGAAGTTGGCAAATTTTGTTATCAATTATTAAAAAACTTTTCAAAAAGTGGTTAGGCTTTTTTGCACGTACTGTACAATTTTGTACAAAATTAGCCGACATTGAACGTCGACATGCATTTTTCGAACTTTTCGCCACCGAATCTTCCAAATCTTCTAAACTTAGGATGCTCTTTCTAGCTCTTTTCATGCTAACTATTTTGACTGCGCGCCTCGAATACATTGATTGAAAATGATTATAACTCAGTTATAAAACTCTTTAACTACACTTTACATAGTTGGCCAATTCTGCCTTCACTACAGTTGAAGGCTGTAAACCAGCCTTTCAGAGGCTGAAGCCATTGTTCTTTGGTATTGGTCAGATTGTCGCTCTCTACGTTTGCGGTAACGACGATAGAGAATAACACACAGAATAACAATAGCGCCTACTCCCAGTACAATTAAAACTCCAGTACAAAGTCCAATAACATAATCCCTATCACGATCTGACGTTGGACGACTTACGACAAAAATGCCATCGTTTCCCTTTGTTGTTCTGAAGGGACCTTTTGTCGTTGCCGTGGCTATTAAAATAAATACAACAGAATTTGTGAAAATAGTTTTGCTGCTATTGTTGCAAAAACACATCTAGTTAGCCTCGTCAATAGATATTCTGCGATAGACTATCCCTCCTTCAACCCGGGTAACCACCCACCTACCTCCCACCCCTTACGTCGCTACTGCATGTAGGAATTTTAAAGTAGGTAACATACCTTGTGAGGGGGTAGGGGCCACTTGCTCTTCTGTATTGGAAACGCGTGTTTGTGATGGCGTTACCGATCGGAGACTTTGCATAGTCGTTGATTCATCTTAAGTAAATCAGAAACGGGATAGGCACGTGAGATTAATCGATTTCATTTTGCGTCCTGAACACAGAGTAGATACATGGTCCAATAAGTTTCGCCCAAGACAATTTTTCGGTCCCAGGGTATTCTCCTTCAGTCTCTCGACCTAAAACGCTTCTGGGTAATCCGCCTTCGTATTTCAGCAAATCAGCAGTCAGAAGAGTTGTCGAAATAAAAATCCTTCCTGCAGTATTTCATCGATTATATCTTTTGTTATTCTTTATAAAACTAGTCGAAATTTTGTGATTATGTTTAGTATTCTGACATAAATTTGAGACTGAAGTAAAGTATATTTCAACCTGCGAGATATGGATTTATATTTGACAACTAGTCCCAGTCAGATCACCCGGTTGCAGTAAGTCAAAACAAAAGTGCTTGTATCCAGGGTGTCACGTAACCAGCCGATGGGTTTTGTAGTTGGCATTGCTTCGTTAACTGCCTTTGGCCGAAATAAAAACCTTCACCACTCGCATAACGTAATTATCTGACTATGTTTAGTTATAAAAATTATAGCCCTAAAATTTGAAACCGAAATAAAGTATATTTCACGAGTTATTTCAACCGAGATATGGATTAATATTTGACAACTAGTCCCAGTCTTTTCCCGCCATTTCAGATCACCCGGTTGTAGTAAGTCAAAACAAAAGTGGTTGTATACCTCGATTTTCTAGACCGTCCGTGGTTCCCTCATTAGGCGATTGCTGACTAGACTTTGATTCAGGGTTCTGAGTCGAGTTGGATGCTTGATAAATCAGAAATGGGATAAAGTATGTTACACGTGATTGATAGATTGACAGACCGACCTAAAACCAATTAACTGACCTTCAGTTTTCGTAGATAGACGCGCCATTTGAGGATTGTACGGATCGGAGAATCTTGGATCTATCCAAAAACTGAACGAATAGGTCTGAGGTGCCTTGAGGTTTGTTCGTCGTATCTTCAAACACCACCTCGATAGGCTGGCCTGATTCGACTTTAGCGTCAACGTACATCTTGTGGTCGACGGCGTCGGCGTCGCAAATCCTTTTCCTTAGGTCTTGTGTTCGCCAGATTCGACATATTCTTATCAATATTTTGCGGCCAGGGTGAGCAAAATAGCACTTTATTAATTCTTCGCCTTCCTTACACCCGTACTTGACACCGGCGATGTGCTCTGAAATATAAATTACTGATTTATGGCTTGGCCCAAAAATATTTGTATCAAAAGCTATGTTACATACACGGTGCTACAACTGCAACTAGCAATGCAACGGATACCTTATTTTATTATTATTTACGGATACCTTATTTTATATGAGCTAATACGCAATCTGATTGGCTCTCTACTATTAGATATATATCTTATTTGTCTAGTGTCCAGTCTTGCCCCTGGAAAAAAGTGAAAAAACTTTGTTCCAGGGGGGGACTACTTTTATTTTCGGTACTTGCTTCGTGATAAATCATGACGGGAAAGCGCTTACGAAGAAAAAACAGTGGGGATGACTTTCTGTATGGCATTCCGTGACTATTGACCGCATGTCCAGATACACGCGTAAAAATCATCATGTTGATGCAAGTTGTTAAAAACAGGAGTGAACAATGTTGTGCTGCACCCTGTGAACAGTATTGTTAACGACGTTGTTGAAGCTTGTTGAATCATCAATGTTGTTGCAACTTGTTACAACAACATTACATCAACATTCATGATTCAACAAGCTTCAACAACATTGTTAACAATACTGTTCCCAGGGTGCAGCACAACATTGTTCACAGCTGATGTGACAACCTGATCAATTTTTGGCCGTGTACCTTTGGTGCCTGGTTGAAACAGAAGAACGTCATGAGCCGCGAAATATTTATTTCGCCATCTTGCTACGTAGTTTCCTTCATTGTCCTTGCCCGCGTTCGTGATGGTCAAGGACCCATTTTTTTCTAAAGACAAGTTGTCTCCTCTCGCCAAACCTCCCCAGAAAGGTGTTCCTTGGTCACGCTGCACCATTGCGACAATAGTGCCCTTAAAGCCCCCGGGGACGAGGCTGCCGTTGAACCACCACGTCAGATGATTCACATGCGGCATTTTGTCCCGTCCAAAATCACCACCAAGTGTGATCGTTTCGCCTTTTTCCAAATAATGGGGGAACAAAATCATGTGGCCTTTATTAAGGGGGAATACTACAAAAAAAAAATCAATTCAATTTTGATTACATTAAGGTCTATTGTTTTCATATTATTAGGCAAGTTATTCTGAGTTAAAAAAAAGCTGTATGAATGTGCAGACAAAAGTGCTCAGAGTATATCTTGAAAATTTTGTCAACATGGACCGCGACACATTTTCTGACGGCCAAAATTAGTCAGCTAAAAGTCAGTTTTAATTAGCATTAAAGAGTTATTTACAGAAAATGAAAATTATATTGAGGGGTTCTATTTAGGATTTAGCCACCCCCTCTCTGATTCGCTCCGCGGACTCTGGTCAAGTTAGCTTTTTTACTTTTTCAGATATCGTTTTAAATGTAAGGGGAATGAGTTTTTCCGCTCGCTAAAAGGAACGATGTTCGAACTTGTTCACGACAATTACGATTAAATGGAAACAAGGTTTATAGAGTTATAGTCCAACTACGAAAAGTGTTCCACTTCCGTTTCTGTAGTCTCTTGCACTTCCTGTATTGCCGGTTAACTATAGTAACCGTCAATCACAAAAGCATTTTCACAACGGTACTCCATTGTCAACATCTTAAACTCCATAATGGCAACAGACTACAGAACAGTGCTACAGAAGCGGAGGTGGGGCACTTTTTGTATTTTGGCTGTTATGGGAAAACACACATTATTTTTAGTACTTTAATGTGAAATGTGAATTTTACCGTGTTCAAAACAAGTTTATGATAATACCTAATATGGCAGACAACGTCAAAAGAATTTTGCTTTCCATTTTCACTGACCTATAATGAATGAAAAAAAATGTGTTACAAATGAGAAAGCTTTAAATATATCTTCTGTAATCTTCGGCAAATGCTGCCATTTCATTGGCTAAAAGGAGTGCGATTTGAGCATTAATTGCACCCTTTGCGAGTTCTTGCTGATAGTCAAGAAGTTGGTCGATAGAGGTCAAGTGGCAACCAGCATTAAGAAATATTTGGTTTTTTGGTACATGCATGTGATCAGGTAGAGTGTTCAACTTTGAACCTTCCTCACAAATCTCATTCGAAGCAAACCTTCCTCCGGGTGGTAACCGCGTACCCGCAGCTTTTTGGAAACTCTGGCCATTCATGATTTTATCGCGCCAATCTTCGACATTTCGAAAATTACATTTCTTGCGTAATGTTATTAATAGAAACTATGTTTATCGGAAACCGGAAACGTTTCGAAGAAACAGCTAGTTTAGCCTGCGCGACAACTGTATTGTCGTACTGTATAATATTAGAAATAACCGCGTCTTTTTTCTGATAGTACAAATACTTTTGGGTTGTGCAGCATAACACAGCCACAAATGCAAAAATAGCTTAGTCTCTGTTATGATTGATGGTACTCCGACAACATGCAATGTTCGTAAATTTCAGACAAGTTTTAATCCTGAATGCCCCCCCCCGCCCCGGCGCCCTGAACAAATCACGACTAACGTGATATTTAAGTGATGTGTGAATGTGTATTCAGGTAATTGCACTGATGAAGGCCCGGGTTAACGGACCGAAAGCTTTGCAGTATTTTATATACTTACGTGGTGTACCTACAAGCTTAATTACTTAGCAAATATACTATTTTCTCTTTTGGAACATTACAGTGCTGTCAGTGCAACTGTTATGTACCCAAATTTTATCATTTTTTTCTTGACTTGTGTGGGGAAGGAATTAAATTCCTGGCAGTGTCTTGAGTTTGGTCTATGTTCTTTTCATGATAGCAAAATCAATGTTAATAGGTAAACCATTCCCCCAGTGAGTCTACTATAGTCACTCTTCCTACTATAGATCTTTATTGATCCCACCCAACATCAATTAACATGATCTGAGGGTGCTGATACAAAATAATAAGATGCTGTAAACAGTGTAAAATTAATTCCAACCTTTGATAGTGAACCCTGTTATAGAGTAGTTTATTTTTTAGCTTCTTGCACCTTGTGAATAAATCTTGATCAGATCTCCATTTTTATTTTTCAGGATGAAGTTCATGCATTTTATGAATGTGCATTGTTATTCTTCATTACCATGTTATCTGATTTTGTTGTTGGCTGGTGTTTTTATACCAATTGTTATATCAATTAATGAAATAAATATAAACATGCATTGACTGAGCAGTGTGTCTTCAACCTGCAGCAACTTTTATAATTTTCTGTTTATGGTATCAACCTCCAAGAGGGTTATATTCATTAGGCTACTCAGTGGAGCTTATGGAGGGATAAATGTTATTCTTTACTATGACCAGGGGTGCAATTAGACAATACTGAAAACTTTTATAGCCTATTGAGGTACCAGTTGAGGACTTAAAAGAGAAGTATATTATGCAAATATGACTCTTGGTTGAAACTATATTCCTGCACTTAGTATCAGTCAGCTGCCCAGCATTTTGCCTGAGCTTTGGCCTGTGTTTCTTTGGATATTGGATTATGCATACATACTTGTAGTATGGAGAGACTTGGAGAAACTTTGTAGTGTAGCAGCTTGAACAAGGTTGTTTTCTATTGGTTAGATGCTCAAACTACAGAAAAATAGTCAAATAATACTTTTAGAGAAACCAGAAATAAAAATATTAACTTTTGGAAATGTAGACATTAATTAACATTTATTTTATACACAAGTGCAAAATAGTTCAACAAGATAAAACTTGTAAGATTTAAAAATAAATTCAAAAACACATTTATGGGGCACAGCTATTGCACATTAATGCATAGATGCAAAGTTGGGCGATGGGCCACACATGAGATAAGCACACCCACACAATTCTAGGGGGTCAGGGGGCATGGCCCCCCTGGGTCAGGGGGCATGGCCCCCCTGGAAATTTTTGAAATTTGGGTCTCTGAAATGGCATTTCCAGCATTCTGAGGATATATTAAAAAAAAATTTAGAGAGAAAGCTCCATCACTATTGACCAAATATAAGGTAAAACCGATCATACTCGCCCAGTAAAATGCGTCCAACTCTAATCCGTAATTCGGTAGCGTTACTGCGATAGGCTAATATAGTATACCGGTTGTTGTAATATTGCAATATCCGGCTTGTTGTCTATAATATAGCTTAAAATTGGAACTACAGTAGTCCCCCGCTAACTCGAACTCGCTTAACTCGAACTCCTCGCTAACTCGAACTAAATCCAATTCCCCTTGGATTTGGTAATGTTTTTTATAGTAATTTACTCCGCTTAACTCGAACTCGCTTAACTCGAACTCCTCGCTAATTCGAACAAATTTTGTTTTCCCTTGGTCAAATATATCCGGTTAACTCGAACTTTGGTTTCGAATCATGGATGAGCGAACTTTAAAATGTGAGAAGATAGCATTTTGACAACTGAAAACTATCAAAATAACAACAAGTTAATCAGTGTATATATAATGGTATATAAATGATTATAAATTTTAAAAGATTTTGTGTAGTGCCACGTTCGTTATTGATCTAGCTTTTTTGGTTCCTTTCTATTCTTTCGATCTTTATAATTTTAAAGCGTCGCGCTTTTAAACTCTCGATGACCAGTCATATTGGGAGGCCTGATATCCCTTGAAGAATGATTCGATTGGATTTTATATCTTATTGCATTATTACTTATATAATAAACGTAATCTGACACCAACTCTGGTTAACTCGAACCCCCGGTAACTCGAACAATTTTTCTTTCTCCTTGGGACTTCGAGTTAGCGAGGGACTACTGTATATTACTCTAAAAAGTAAACTAAAAAAAGCATTTAACTTGTTCAAATCTTTTTAAAAATTACTATTATTTCTCTAAATATTAACTCCCTATTTACGCGTGAGATATATCATATTATGTGTGTGAGCGTGAGAAATAATGCTGAGGCGTGTGTCACACGCATAATGCGTGAGACTTGGCATGTCTGATTTAATGCCTTTCTGATGCTGTCCTTGCCATGTAGATCAAGTACATTTAGTTAGTCTCTGACAAAGTTTCTTTATATTTCTTGTGCTCTTTATAAACTTTAAGATAAACCCATTTATAGTTTTATAAAAATCAATCACAGAAGTTGTTTTAATATTCCAAGAAGACCTGATCAACCTGACGCAACTTGAGGCAAGAAGCAAGCTATATCGTGCGTTACGTCACGATTTTCAACAAGGTTAAAATGCTGACACCATGCAGTTTCCTATCCAGTCTTTTAACTATCCATGGTGACTCAGAGCCATAGTTCTAATAACTAAACATAATCACAAATCATTTCGACTAGTTTTATAACGAACAACGAAAGATAAAATTGATTTTTGACAACCCTTCTGAGCATTGATTGGCTGAAATATGAGCGCAAGATGCCAAGATCACCTGGATAAGTCAAGTTTTAACCTTGGTTACATGTAACCTCATTTTCTTCACAAATTAATTTTGGGGCCCCAAATTGATTTGGTATTAAAAATATCTTTCAATTTCCCTAAATTTCCAGACTGATTTCAGCCTATTAACTATATATTAAGGTGACTTAAACACTTCAAAATACTTGTTCTCACCAGGGGTGGATCCAGCGCTAGTGCATTACAGTTTTCTTGTCTAATGCAAATTAGTGCCCTATGCCACAGTACCCATGGATCTTGCAATGATAATAACTCAGGTTTTTTTCGCTTTTGGGTCGTTCAAATATATATCTAAAGTTCTGAAAATGAAGTCCATTTTTGGGACAAATGGTTCTTTAAAATTTCTTTAAAAAAGTTTCCTTGAAAGTGGAAATCCTGATCACGCGTGGACTACACGTAAAGCGTGACGCACATGGTGCTTGCTTGTTTTATTGTTTATATTATATTGTGTATAATGAAATATTGCTATAAAAAAAGTCCACTCGCTTCGAGTCTAAAAATATAGATATTCTTTAGTTTTATAGAGCTAGTATATTTCCCATCATTCTGCTAATGCCCAACGTGTACCTTAAAATCTAAAATTTACGACTAAGTAAAAAAGTTATTGGACTTTGAGAGTTGAGACATCAATGTCATGGACTCATGGCTTAATCACGAACACGAATATTTATACATTGAAGATCAGTTTAGATCACCTCATAATTTTACCTTCTGTGGTCAGATCAAACCGTGTAAGGACAAAAGAAGGGCGAGCCATAACGAATCAAAAAAACATCGGAATTCCAGCGTATTTCAACAATTTTTTATGGACACTTACCGATTACCGTATGATAAAGCTCTTCGTATATTTGACGTATAACCTTGCTACTTTCCCGTTATATTTAAGATACCCAAGTACGGTTAACCACACTTTTGGTTAGTTGTTATCTGCTTGAACTCGTCACCGACAAAAAAGACTATTATTTCACCTAAAGTATAAATTTTAAGATGAAATAAACTTTGATAAGCACAACTGAACACCCAAGCATGTAATAAAAATCACAGACCGACTGACCGAGTGACCGACATGCATTCTGTTGGGCTGGTCGCCTGGGCCTGTTTAATCATGCTCGCATTCGCTGGTTAATTAATCCAATAACCGGTTATTCACGGATTAATCCGGTTTTCAAGCCTGTTTTTCACTAGCGATAATTTTCAAATATAGCATTACCACAAGGCATGGTGGAAAACACGGATACCGGATAGCGGATACCGGGTAGCGGATACCGGATACCGGATAGCGGATACCGGATAGCGGATGCCGGATAGCGGATACCGGATAGCGGATACCGGATAGCGGATACCGGATAGCGGATACCGGATAGCGGATACCGGATAGTGGATACCGGATACTTAAATAAATAGAAAATAGCATATATACGGAATATACCTTTGGCGGCCATCTTGGATTTACGATCGTCTTAATTTTCAATTATTCGTCGATGTTTTGCAATAGATGTGCACCGATTTTAGTTTACAAAGAAGTTCTATGCTCCTTCATTGTTTCCGAAAAAAGACCAGTGTTATACGTTTGCCATTCACGGAAAAATATCTTTATATATAATTATAATCACAGGTTTGCCAGGTGGCAGGTTCATTAACATTGCCTTGAATTTACGTTTTAGTTATTTATTTGCCTTAAATTGCTTTTTTTTTTTACTTACAACGAACTTCTGTTCCTTTTCTTTATTTTCGAATTAAAAATCCTGTCCTAGTCATTGCAAATCGAGGCTAAAAACACCTTTTGAAAATGGCCTTTGGCTAATTATATAATGTTGAATTTTAGCAATATTGTTCATCAGATATTTAGGGTGAAAATCTTTTCCATGCAAATGGCTAAATCAACTGAGAACAAATATCATTAAATAAACATTGAGAAAGGCTGATAAATAAGAATTAGTCCTTCATTGTCACTACTGGAAAACACCTGTTTGTTTTTGTGAAGCACAGTGTATACTGAACGACCGTTTTATGCCTATATGCCTTGGAATGTTGAGGTCAAATTCTACATTCAATTCATGTCAAATATCATGTAATTAACCTTGAGAAAGCTGCTGAATCAACAATTAAACCTTCAATGTAATGGATTATGGAAGAATATTTTCCTATTTTGAGATAAACACTGCAATGAGAATCAGGAATTTTGGCAATTATTCATTCAGAAAATCATGGTCAAGTCCTTTTCTCTAAGTAAAATGTTACATCAACTGAGGTCAAGTATCATAAAACAAACCTTGAGAATTAAAGGTAGTGATCGACACAAGCACTGGCCCTTGATTGTGAGTATTGGGAATTACCAGTTTGTATTTGTCAGAATATGACACTGTCAATATATGTAATTATCAGAAGAATATATCTTTCCTATTTTGAGATGTACACTCCTCCAATATGTGATTTGAATAGGAATTTTAACAATTATTCATAATAAAAATTATACTAATGTTATAACAGAACACTTTGTAAAACACTTTAAATTGTAACATAACAAAATTAAAATTCAAGTAGTGACAATGAAGGAATTTGATGACAACTCTCCTCAGTTGATTTAGCCAATAGCCATTTGCATGGAAAAGATTTTCACCCTAAATATCTGATGAACAATATTGCTAAAATTCATCATTTAGTATTCAAATCACATTGGAGGAGTGTACATCTCAAAATAGGAAAGATATATTCTTCTGATAATTACATATATTGACAGTGTCATTGTTGATTTAATAGCTTTCACAAGGTTCAATGATGTCTATTTTATCATAATGTAGAATTTCACCTAAATATTCAGAGGAATACTAGCATTAAATGGTCATTCATAATACAATTGTGCTTCATGAAAACAAACTGGTACAATCAAGGGCCAGTGCTTGTGTCGATCACTACCTTTAATTCTCAAGGTTTGTTTTATGATACTTGGCCTCAGTTGATGTAACATTTTACTTAGAGAAAAGGACTTGACCATGATTTTCTGAATGAATAATTGCCAAAATTCCTGATTCTCATTGCAGTGTTTATCTCAAAATAGGAAAATATTCTTCCATAATCCATTACATTGAAGGTTTAATTGTTGATTCAGCAGCTTTCTCAAGGTTAATTACATGATATTTGACATGAATTGAATGTAGAATTTGACCTCAACATTCCAAGGCATATAGGCATAAAACGGTCGTTCAGTATACACTGTGCTTCACAAAAACAAACAGGTGTTTTCCAGTAGTGACAATGAAGGACTAATTCTTATTTATCAGCCTTTCTCAATGTTTATTTAATGATATTTGTTCTCAGTTGATTTAGCCATTTGCATGGAAAAGATTTTCACCCTAAATATCTGATGAACAATATTGCTAAAATTCAACATTATATTAGCCAAAGGCCATTTTCAAAAGGTGTTTTTAGCCTCGATTTGCAATGACTAGGACAGGATTTTTAATTCGAAAATAAAGAAAAGGAACAGAAGTTCGTTGTAAGTAAAAAAAAAATGCAATTTAAGGCAAATAAATAACTAAAACGTAAATTCAAGGCAATGTTAATGAACCTGCCACCTGGCAAACCTGTGATTATAATTATATATAAAGATATTTTTCCGTGAATGGCAAACGTATAACACTGGTCTTTTTTCGGAAACAATGAAGGAGCATAGAACTTCTTTGTAAACTAAAATCGGTGCACATCTATTGCAAAACATCGACGAATAATTGAAAATTAAGACGATCGTAAATCCAAGATGGCCGCCAAAGGTATATTCCGTATATATGCTATTTTCTATTTATTTAAGTATCCGGTATCCACTATCCGGTATCCGCTATCCGGTATCCGCTATCCGGTATCCGCTATCCGGTATCCGCTATCCGGCATCCGGTATCCGCTATCCGGTATCCGCTATCCGGCATCCGGTATCCGCTATCCGGTATCCGCTACCCGGTATCCGGTATCCGTGTTTTCCACCATGCCTTACCACAAGATGTATGGGAGTATCTTACTCCGCTGTTTTGGTTTATATGCATCTGCACCGCTGTTTGTTTCAAGACTTGCAAAATAAGACTTCTACTCATTGTCTTCCACAAAACATTTATGGAAAAACATGTTCAACTGCATGTTGTAAAAATTCGAGTTAACAACCAGCCCCAGGCGATATATCAACGTGTTAAAAAAAACATACCAAAAAGGCCCAATCTTCAACAGAATCCAACCCAGGGGCGTAACAGGAACGATAATTGGAAGGGGGGGGGGTTGTGAAGGGGGGGGTTGTGAATATATTCGTATATTCAGTTCTGCCCGACGGATTTCTAATTCAATACTTAAAAGTATAAAAGCATAAACTGTTAACTGCCCTTTTTCACTTACAACGGACAATATAGAAATATGCAAATATATCGTCTTGAAACAACAAAAGTTTGTTTGTTTCAGACTTCGTGTTTCTCATGCGCAGAACGCATTTAAAACAATAGTTAATCATTGAGATACCTCATTATCTATTGTTGTTAATGCGGCACATGAGAAGCATCGATGTCTCGATGCACAAAGTGCATTGTCCATTGGAATGTTTTTTGAGTCAATAAAAGTGGCTGAATTCGAAAAGAACTTATATTTGGTACTCTCGAAGAAGGAAGGTTCACTTGAAGAAGTTTAGGGAAAGCTGGGAGAATCTTGCTCAGGTACATGGCCATGCTTCGTTTAAAGAATCTGTTGGCTTGAACTTTGGTTTTACCTATTCATTATTCATCGTCGTATTGATTTAAATAGCCAGAAGACATTAGCGACTGGAGGCATATTCTTGCTGATTTTAACGCTATATCTTGTATATTTCGATTCAAAATGTGAAATGCAAGCGAGATGATGTAACTTGATTTTGTTTTTACTTTCTTACTTCATTTTAGAACGAACCACGGCGCCGAAAGATGGGGAAGGCGATACACAAACGCTTACCTGCAGCGAATAATAGGTATTGTTCTATTAATGTATGTGTGTTTTGCATTTGTGACTTGAAATAACACATTTGTACGCGGTGGGGGAAACTAAAATGTAGTCAGTAATCGAACTTTTCGGGACTTTCTCCCAAGAAATGGTTGAAACTTTTCGGTCGGGCAGCACACCTTTCCGTACACAGTTGTCGTGTTGTGACTATACTTGTTCGTCAGGGCCTCATGTTAGTTTTGTACAGGGGAAAGACGGTTCAAACTGAAATAGAATGCCTATAATTACCCACAGTTAATAGAATATACATGGTTTGGAGACTAAATAAGTACAATACAACTCATGAACTATCCATGTTATTGTCCAGGTTTATGCAAAAAATGGTTCCTTTTTCGTCACGTGTCTATTGTATTTGAGCCAAACGTACCAATGGCATTCGTCTTGCTAAGCTCCTCGACCTTGACTTGAAAAATAGTTTAGTTTAGTTTAACCACAAAGCAATTCGCGTTAACTAGGCTTTATAGTTTATACGCCCGTGAATTTTTTGTTTTATTGCGGTTTTCTTTTTTTAGAAAGAAAGAATCGTCGGAGTGGAGAGATATCGGACCTGCCTTGGGACATCTATGCACGCAAATACAAAACTCGATTTCGGTGAAAATTAGCATGAGGAAAATATGCATGGGATTTTGGCTTTCCGGCTGAGATATGCTGAACACTCTTCTGTTTACCTCCTTGATTTTCAACTTTTGGACTGCGATTTTTGCATGGATTCGGTCGTTTCAAGCGCATGCGGACTAAATACAAGTGATTCTGGGGCCCCATCACTTGTATTTTCTCCATCTTGAACGACAATAGTCCGGAACAAAAATATCGCTCACAGAGCGCCTAAAACATAAAAATGCACGAGAAATTGTATTTCTAGAAGGAGATAATAGTCGAGTGTTTTAGTTTTCTCATGCAGGACTATGAAAACGATGAATAATTATTTCGTGCAAAACGTGCATGGCATTTTGTATTTGCGTGCGCAATGCGAAGGCCTTGGACGAGTGGCGTAGGAGATGTTGGAGGTCTACATTCGGGTTTTTTGAGTGATTATTTTCAATGCTTTATACATAGGGGACTTTTTTCTTTTGGAAATTATTGATATCATATTTTTGAATCTACTTTAAGGGATCAAATGATGGAGGATCGTCGCTGGATCAAATGATGATGGATCGTCGCAGGATCAGATGATGATGGATCGTCGCAGGATTACATGATGGGGGTCGTCGCAGGATCAGATGATGGGGGATCGTCACAGGATCAAATGATGGGGGATCGTCGCAGGATCAGATGATGAAGGATCGTCGCAGGATCAGATGATGATGGATCGTCGCAGGATGAAATGATGGGGGATCGTCGCAGGACCAGATGATGAAGGATCGCCGCAGGATCAGATGATGGACGACGAGAAGGGTGTACAAGTAGAAGCTGGTTGAGGTACATAATATATGTATACTTATTACAGTATTGCATGATTAATATAAATGCATGATTTATTCTCGTATTGACTCCTCCTGGTGGTCTAACTTCGTATATTCACACATCAAGTGACACTGATCGAACCGTTTTCGATAATGCATGATAACAGGAAATTTCTCACAGCTCTTGTGAGGGTGTTTTTGCGGTTTCCCGCGATGAAACATTCCCGGTTTTGTCACTTGAGTGTGAACGACTTAACAGCCGCGGAAGATGCGTGATGGCTTTAAAGCGTTGAAATGAAAGTGCGAAAATGCAATAGCATGGCCGACGACGCGCACGCAGCGAGAAAATATCATCGAATTCGTATTGGCCTAATTTTAGATTAATACGAAGGTAATCGCGAGTACTTATATGATTATATAAGTTCTCTGTTCAGCCTGTTATAATGCGACCGTTTCGAAGGACCGTCCGTCAGTGGCATAAAAAATTATACTTTCAAAATTTCACTGTTTTTCAACATTTAAATTCGAATTATTGATCTTTCAAATGAAGAAAAAATGACTATTTGCCATTTAGACACTAGCACTCTCTGTTTTCCCTTGTTGGTATTACGTTTTCGGATTCCCGGATTTTCAAGCATGAAGGAAATAAACGTACTCTAATAATTTTAACTAACCCGATGAAGTTTCTATAAAAAGGAAAACATTCCTTCCTGTATTACAAGATCAGTATTTATTGCATTGCATGATAACTATTAACTACACTTGCATATTTGGGGGGGGAGGGTCTTCTGGGATATAGTGTTTAACTATAGGTTAATATTTTACAGTACCCTCTGCCTTAAAAGTAAACCCTCTAAAGATAAGCCTTTGCATTTTGACACACTTACTATGTTGTTTAATTCCTTTCACGCCCCACCGTCGAGATGCTGTGAGGAAGAATGCAGCTGTTTGGGCCGGATGGAGCAACGAAGCAAGTGAAACTTCTGTACACCTAACCAGAGTAGTGATTATGCGTACGAAAGGTGAGGGGCATTATTGATTAGCCATATTGCATGTTAAGCCCCGATTACGTAATATAGGAGGTATACAAAAGATGAACGGTGCATGATGTGCATGTCTTAAGAAGGGATAGTAGAAGAGTGTTGTTGTCTACGGTTTGAGATGAAAAAGCATGCAAGTCGTGAATATGAAACATTTCTTTCCAAAATGCCGAATTTCCAAAAATGAGCATGATCATAAAATTTGAATAATTGAAATAATTTTTGTTGCCACTGTCGGACAAAGCGCAGTTTGATTAAAAATTTTAACGGCCTGCTGTTTTGCAACGAACGATATGCGCGCTGCATGCGCACGTTAGACCACCACCAGGATTCAATTGACCATATGAAAATTATGAATTGACGAAGCCCAAGAATTACATAGCTATATGAAATTCCTGGGACTCAGCTCGAATGAGCGATTGAGCGGAACTAAAACGGTGAACTCTAAATGAAATCTGGACTGTCATTTCTGGCGATTTCTAAATGAAAATACCAAATTTGGACCGCCGGTCAGGTGACCTGAAATTCAGGTTACCTTTTGGAGGGTTTTTCGCCGGGCACTCCGGTTTCCCTCCTTTTCGTTTGGCTTTAAAAAACAGTGTCCATGCTTGGGGCCAAACGTGTTCGTATAGACAGTGAAAAGATTTCCCAGAGAAATCCATTTGTACATGAACAATTAAAAAAGCGAGTTTTGGCCTTCTGGGTTGGATTCCCAGAACACTGTCACTGACGTAAAAGAATTAAATTGAAATTCAAGCGAGATTCATGTGGGCAGAACACTGACATGCTGCAATGCTGTCGGGCATCATTTTTACTCATAAGTATAAGTTTTATAAAATAACATGTATATAACGCGAGTTCTGATTGGTCCGAAGCCCGTGTTTGGATCAGGGGCGCTTCAATTTTCTGAACTATCGCAATTCGCAAAATTCCCGCGCGTTTGAATCAGACCATCTACAGGGTGTATAAAAAAAACGCAACCACTTAATATTCATGAATATCCTCTTTGTTCTACAACACAAAAGACGTTTGGCCCCTGGAATGCGAGAAAGCTTGTAATCATATTCTAGCGGCACAATCGTCGGTAAACAAAGTCGGGTGCGTAAACCAACGAGCTGAATTGAAAGTATTTAAGGAGTAAAATTTTACTTACATCTTATTTTATAAGGTTGACAATAAAAACTCGTTGTTCGGTTGTTAGCTGAACCATTATTAGTTTAGCTGATTTGACTATTAGCAGTTAAACTGTACGATTAGAAGCCATTTTAAAATCCCAGGGGCATAAAATCTATTGAGCTTATAAACAATATGAATTTTAGAATATTAAGTGGTTGCGTTTTTTTTGAGACACCCTGTAAAGTCTTAAGTCTAAATAAGGAAACCATTAAGTAGCTAATTGTTTAATACTTATATCCTATTTTAAGCGCTGATTTTATTTTCTTTCATTCTTTCTATAAAAGATCTGTTATGGCCAAAGAAAAAAAAAATGTTTCCAAATGCACCCTAGCTATTCTAGCACTTAGCTCTGCCTTGCTATAATGTATAACTTAATAACTGTAAAACATTGAACACATTAAGAAACATATATATGAATAATTAACAGTCCTTGTGTATTGAATGTTTTCGCCAAAAGTCTTCAACTCTAAAGTTAATCTCGCATTCTTCCTAATGAAAAAAAAAACACATTGTGTTGAGATGTTTTGTTGCATATTTCTAAATGCCACAATTTAACCATTATTGGCATTTTCTGTATTCTTCTACATGCAATATTAAAAGTGAACATGCTGGGCCACTAACTTCTCTCATTTCTCTTTGATATTGACGAAGTTCTTGAACGTCTGGCTCTTTTCTTACCTACAATGATTAAAAAATAAAAAATGTACACACTTAACAGGCTTTATAATCATTAAAATGCACAGTTACTCAGAAACACATGAAACATATATAAGTTACTCCAAAATCCTTTACAAGCTGACAATTTCAAAAAGTATAAAATGAAACATACTCTGATAAACAAAATATAAACAAATAAAATACAAACTTTGTATCCTTTATAAAAAGCTTGAATAATTGTTGCTGCTTCATCGTCAGAGAGAAGTAGAGACAAAGGTATTGGAGGGCGAGGACTATAAACATATCAAGAAGTGGTTAGTGCTAACAGCTAATCTAGCATGCAGTGGTGAGAGGACAAAAATGTTTCAAAATTTTTAATATATTTATTACCTAACAGCCAAAATTTCTTGTACAAAAGGTATTTTTTCCAATGCAATACCTTCTCTGTCATTATACTTTGGGTTGTGACTGCAAATTAAACAAAATTAGTCAAGGCCTAGGAACATTTTAACTCGTATTCTTGAGGGTCAAATCCCTGGGACTCTATAGACGGAAACAGCTATTTGATTTCAATGATTTTTTAAAGCACACACAGAAACAGCTGCGGCACTTCAGAAAGTCAAATTAGATTTTATTGTATGTATAAGATTTTCGGCATAATATGATATGAATCCACAATGTTTTGTAGTGTGCAAGTAAAAAAATTTCCATTATATGAACCACTACCTTTTCTTTATATTTTTGGATGAAGTGGAGAGGTTGTGGGGGGCATATCAGGAGTGCACCCCCTACCTCCCCATGACCCCACCTCCTATACCCCAGAAAATATATTACATTTATCTTCATTCAATCATCACTAACCTAAAAAGGTAACTTGTTAGAAAGTCACAAGCATTAAACTTTGTCCGCCGTTTCTAAGAGCAAAAAAGTTGAAAAAACAACAACATAGTTTAGATTGAAGTGATTAAGACCAAAACATTGTTAAACTCGATGCAAGCAGTAATTTATATACCTCGAATACTTTATTAGCTTTGGCTTCAATCAACATTTCTTCCAGAGCAGGTAAAAGAATTGGAAAGATATAATATTCACAATATTCCCTCGGAGTGCATTTCAACGGGTCGGGTGTGGGGCACTCGCATTTTACACTTTCCTCGACAACAGGCACTTTATCCAGCAATACGTAACCAAATGTTGCAGGATGTGCTATAGCCGCGTCGAACTTTGAAACAGTCTCTTTTTTATCACAATTTTCTTCGTCCATGTTTGCCAAATTTAACCGCATTTGAGACGCATTTGACATATGTTCATTATCGCCTCCTGAAATTTCGGTTATTCGTCTGGGAAACGAGCCGTAAAATACAGGAGTTGACTTTGCTGAATCGTAGTCATTTAAAGAAATGTTCTGGTAAGATGTTTGTCTGATTGTGGTCGATTTAACGCGGTTTATTTCAGAATTTCCGTCAAAAATTAGCAAATCTTGGCCCGCCATATTGTTTATCTGACGTTGCCCGTTGCTAAGGAGACACAAGGAGCTGTAATGAAAGATGAAAGCTATTTTTAAATGAAAGAAACAACGACTTTTCTGTATAAAAGGGATCTTACAAAGAGATTAGAGCTTCAACATAGACAGCGGTACATAAATATTACGTTTTATGAATGTTAAAATGTTTAAATGTGTTTTTAATAGAGTTTAAGTATCAGAAATTTGAATTCTTTGTATGGGTTAGCTGTGTTCAAATGTGCTAGTTTCCAGCCTCCACACACAATATGGCGTCGAAAAGTGTCTTGAATTTGCCGGTAAGAATTTCTTATATATCATAGATAAATACTGAAAATGATGTTTTTGAAACTTTTAGTACGATAATGTTTTCTAAGAGTGATGGGGAATCTAATAATTTTAGAATTAATGGAGGTTGTAAGTGAAAATAGTATTGATAGAATTGTTGCCATAAGCCCCTCCCCCCCTTGGATCAAGATTTATGGATAAGGGTTATTCTCTGCCCTTGGGCCTGAATAATGGCACCAGATTAACCTGGATTGTTTGTCTGATCTTCTGGTGATGTGATGAAGACCTTGCACCATGGCTTTCCATGCAATAAATGAGAGATCAGTTTTATATTTCACAGGTACTAAGAAATGTCATGCAGAGGCCAGTTCTAGGCAGAATATGTGGTAGTTGCTATCCAGGCTTGGAAACACAGCCAACCATGCTTGCTCCGTTTGCTGTTAGGTTTGCATTTCAACCGAAAGCCAAGTTAAAACGCAAGGCAGCTGAAGTTCCTGGCTACAGAATTGGTGTGACGAAAGCATGGGACTCCTGGCATACAGGTATAATGTACCATTATGTACATGATAAAAAATCAGCTGTTTAACCCCCAAATCTTTCATCTTATAGGGAGTATCGCTGGAAGTTCTGAGGCATCGGCAAGGCTGCTGGATGACATTATGATAAGGAAGTTTATTGAAGGAGTATTTTATGATCTCCTGCATTCAGACATTGTGATAAAAAGACGAGACAACCAAATACTCATTGCTTTCTACGCTGCATCAATGCAGGGTTCCATAAAGATATACTTTCTTGTTGGCTTCTGTGAAAGACTGTTGAGTGAACTGTTTGGGTGCATTGTAAAATTAGAGGTTGTTTCAAAGCTGGTCAGAATAAAGTCTCCAAAATAACACATTTGTAAGCGAATGTATCAATCATGTACATATATATCATTTGCCTTATATGGCAAGCGCCATACGCACTCCAGTGGAATCTAAGATCTGAAGCTGATTCAGCAATTTAATTAAAAAGAATATTGTAAAAACCGGACATTGATTGAAATTGATGTTAATTATTAACTTAATGACCCAATCAGAACGTGGACGGCATTAGTCATATTTATTCAAAACAAGCGGAAAGCACCTCCCGAAATTTAATCTTTGTTTTCCCCAAAATCGTCGGCGAACTCATTTGCATTTAATACATTCCTGCTTGTGTAATTACCGTTTGAAGTTTTTTGTTCAGAAGTATATTTGTGGCGTAAAACTGTGGTTATGAACTCTTGCAAGTCGCTTCTTTCATGATGAAATATGTCTTTTGACAGCCCCATCGTGGCAGTCTCGTAGAAGTTTCAGTGTCCGTGAAGATTTTAGCGATTTGTGGCGATTAAACATTCGCGTTTTGAATACAATATAACAAGGAATTTCGAGAAGAAGGGCTCCTCTTCGGTATAAATCGAGAGGGATAATATGTTGGTAATGAAATGGTTGGGGGTTTTTTCTTTCTTGCTGGCAACTTGCTACGGTACAGACCCAACTCAAACACCAAAACGTGAGTATCTATAAGTTTCCGTGTATAACTTTATATAGTTTCATGTTAAAGTTAAAGCCGTGGTTGCCGGGATATCAATAATAAATAAAGTGGTTTTATATCGGGAATGTAAACGTTTGTTAGGGCCAAAAATAACAGCGGTGAAACAGAAATACTGATATGTTTATTGGACTAAGGCATTCGAATGTATGTTGTGTTTTTAATAAGTTAAGCGTTTTTTTCGAAAGACCAACCTATAATTTTGTCTGGTAATGCAAGCCGATTACTGTGGGAAAATACTCGGGTTTTACGCTTCGTTAGGTCCATAAACGTTTCCTTTGATAACTTTTGCTCTCAACTCGCGCTCAATATTTTAAAACATTGTTTAATGCATTAGGACATTTTGCAGAGAAGTTTCGATATTTGATGTGTCGATAGCTTCGTATTTTGGCAGCTGATACCTGTTATTGTAACGCGATTTACGATTGTCGAGTTGAATTTTAACGCTAAAACGATTGTCGAGTTGAATTTTAGAAAGGGAAATGGCTAAGCTTGATACAGAAGTGGAACTTCTCGTACAAATATAAATGCGACATATTGTTTTCCGACAGCAGCATTTGCATCCTCATCATCATCGTATATTGCAATAGTCTAGCTCCTTCGTCCTAACTTTGTCTATTAAATTAAATGTCTGAAATTTTGTAGTGAATATGTAAAGGAGATGGGACTCTCGAAAAATATATTGGTCTTGCAGCGTTAAGTGCGAATGGAGTACTAGGGGTTGAGACGGACTGTATATGGCGTTCAAAGATATTTCATTTTACAATCGCGAAACATCGTTGCTTTCTGTCAAACTGGAAGAGTCTAGTATTAAAAATATGGTATTGTAGTTTAGGTTCCTCTATCGTTGTCTCCATGCTCAAATAGCTCAATTTTCAGGCAGAAATTCGAGCAAAATACAATGTTCTTTCGGTGCATAAAAGTGGTGAAATTCAATACTGAATGTTATGCTTGTTTGTTATTAGTAAATATTTATATGTCCTGTTAAAGTTACCGAGATAATGTACCAGAAAGGGATCTTGGTGATTGATTATTGACAATACTCTGAGTGGTGGGAATAGTAACTTTTACAAATTAACTGTCATGCACAATATACTGAATACAGCCCTGAATACAGCCCTGAATACCTGATATTTTTACCACAAACATTGTCGATCAGGGTTATCTGAAGGAACTGAGTCATTGGAGTGAATACCATGATTCTGAAAGGGTAATAGTTTCAAAACTGATATCCAGTATTAAATTGATTTCAAAAGTGATATCTACTATTTAAAAATGTCTAGCCTTCTTAGCACAAAATTCGCATTTTAATAGTTTAACCTAAATTAAAACAAATCAATTGTTTAAAACTATTTTCTTCATCAAAAATACCATGATTTGCTTGAAATTAATGCATAGAAAAAGATAATAAGTTAGTTACGACAAGTTTACCAATTGTATTTACAACTCTTAGTGTGATATAGGGCACAACTACAGAATACCACGCAAGGTTAACTGTCAATTTAAGTCACTTATTTATCGTCCATACCATAATTTTGTTTCTCTGGCTGTGGATCAGCTTTTTCTTACTATATTTTACTTCAAGCATTCCGTATTAGTCATACTTCTACATATGTGGCTTTTAATAAAGTTTTATTGTGTGGTTTTATTTACTAAAATGAGTTGCTTTAATGCAATTTGCAGGGGATTTTATAATTATTCTGTTGCACTGCTGCTTCTTTTCTCCGTATAAAAATTAATGAAAAATTTTCCCTTTCCAGGTCTCCATCCGGGATTATTTTTCAGTAACAAGCCGGCGTTGCAGGACTCCCTTGGGAGAGGAAATGACAACGCGGCTGTCACCTTAAGCTGCATCGGTGGCAGCGGAGATGGTCGGAGAGTTTATTTCAAATGGTACAAAAGTGGAAGTGAATTGACGTCTGATTCATTCAGAACATTGACCACTTCTGGAGACTTGAGAATCAACCCAACAGACCATACAAGAGATGATGGTTATTATCAATGCTTAATAACCGATAACACATGGTCAGTTTTATCGAACAGTGCCGAGCTACGTCTGGCATGTAAGTATCACTTGTTACTATGTATTAGGGGCGGATCAATGCTAGCTCATCTGACAGGAGGGGTGCAGATTTTCCTAATGGGGTGCATCGGTGTGCTAGCAAACAATTGCCCAATTACAGTAATTCCTTGCAATATTGCACATTTGAACGAATGTCAAAAAAAGGAATGGTACATGCACAGTTGGTAAAACGGGGGCAGTATTTAATTAATATGTAATCACCTTTGAAGTTATAAGTTGCACTCTTACTCTACAATCACCCATATTGTACAATTTTCTAGCCTGTAATAATATAATAAGAGCCTACAGTACATATACCTTTTTTCATGGGGGAGGGGGAGCTTTAGGGGGGTGTGCACCCCTTGCACCCTGACTATATATCTTAATTAGTTGTTATATCTGAGGTAATGCTTAAAACATATCATCCTAAAACAATGGCTCTGACATAGCTACAATATAGGCAAAGTAAAATTGAGTGAATATGATGGCAGGATATACATATATCTGGATGCTTTGCAAGCTAGTATTTGGGCTGCATTATTAAGCAATTTTTTCATCATAAATGTATAGTTAACCACCTTTGTATACGTAAGTCCACTCTATAGCAGTGTGTCAAGGTTCTTTATTCAGAGTGGACATTAGGTGGGAGGGTTTCTCGGGACTGACAAAAAGGTTCAAGTTATCAATTGCAGAGTTATTAGTTATATTGATCATGAAAAGTCTCAGAATGACACCCCTCCACCATGCAGGACCAAAGCCTTACCTCCAAATGACCAAATACCATTCCATTTTTAATTATGTTGCATGTAATTTTCTGCAATACAGGAGGGTACACATTTGGAAATGTAGCAAAATTTATGTACTTTTAGGGCATAACTGAATGCAGTATTCAGCAAATATCAGCCCTTTGCAGGGATGTAGATAGGACCTTAACTTTGGGGGAGGGGGGAAATGGGAAATGCCTGCTAATTTTCAAAAGATTATATGGGGGACCACCCTTATCCCTTAATGCCTCCCTTGGCAACGCCTCTGGCAGGAATCGAATCCTATGTCTGGTGCCAGAGGTAATTTCTTCTGGTCCAGTGTAATGCCTGTTCACTACACCTTTCACTGAGCTACAGAGAAATCTGCCGAGAGCAAACCTGGATTTATGTATATATGTAAATAATGATGTATTGTATAAGAACTGATCTATGCTAGATGGACTGAGCACACAACCAATTTAATCAAGAGCTGGATGTGTATATCTAGTATAGGTCAGTGTGTATAAGGGTAAACTACATATGATTTTCTTTCTCAACTTTCCATTCTAGACATCAATGGTGTGACAAAAAGGGATGTGACTGTGTATGGTACTCAATACCAAGGCTGGAAATATGTTTTTGATCGCTCTCATTACTCGTATTCTGAATATCCTAAACCAAAGTTCATCTGGAAGTTTAAGGGACGGACACTGAGAGAGAGTAATCGTATTAGTATATCTGCAGAAGGCAATTTGTATATTGCTCAGTTGAGCCTTGATGATGCTGGGAAATACACATTTGAAATGGAACTGGGTTCTTTGAAACAGCAAAGGGAATCTGTCACCTTGCAAGTGGCCAGTATGTCTTTTACAACTATTATATTTACCTGTTCTCCTGTAGTAACACTGGATCAATAAGAGATGATCCTGACTGGGGCTCTAGGAAGAACAGTTTAGAACTGACAGAGCTATCCAGCATAAATAAAGTTAGTTTAAGTTTCCTCCTGTAGTAACACTGGATCAATAAGAGATTATCCTTACTGGACCTCTAGGAAGAAAAGTTTAGAACTGATAGAGCTATCCAGTATATATAAAGTTAGTTTAGTGTAGGTTTCCTCCTGTAGTATCACTGGATCAATAAGAGATTATCCTTACTGGACCTCTAGGAAGAAAAGTTTAGAACTGATAGAGCTATCCAGTATATATAAAGTTAGTTTAGTGTAGGTTTCCTCCTGTAGTATCACTGGATCAATAAGAGATGATCCTTACTGGACCTCTAGGAAGAACAGTTTAGAACTGATAGAGCTATCCAGTATAAATAAAGTTAGTTTAGTTTAGGTTTCCTCCTGTAGTAACACTGGATCAATAAGAGATGATCCTTACTGGACCTCTAGGAAGAACAGTTTAGAACTGATAGAGCTATCCAGTATAAATAAAGTTAGTTTAGTTTAGGTTTCCTCCTGTAGTAACACTGGATTAATAAGAGATGATCCTTACTGGACCTCTAGGAAGAACAGTTTAGAACTGATAGAGCTATCCAGTATAAATAAAGTTAGTTTAGTTTAGGTTTCCTCCTGTAGTAACACTGGATCAATAAGAGATGATCGTTTTCCCACATATCTGTGGAAACTAGAGATAACAGAGTTATTCATCATATATTAAATATAATTATTTTACGTTTTAGCGGCCTCAAGCACATCAGATATTTATGCAACGGTCATGTTTATGGGTCCAAGAAATCATGTTGTTGGTGTAAAACGACCTCCCTCAGTTACAAAGAAAGACATAACTTTTGAATGTTTTGCGACCGGAAAGTAAGTACAGAAATGGATTTCGTAGTCTGCTTTAAGCGTTTCCATGCTTGAACCGTAGGCGTACGGGTGCAACTTTGTTTGGGGGGGGGGGCAACTAACCCTTTCCCCCTGGCCCGTACGCCTAAGCTCGCTTCAAATGGTGGAATATTCTTCCCTAAAAATGAACCATATCCATGTATGAATTACCTTATTTTTCAGGCCAATGCCAACCATCAAGTGGAAAAAGGTTGGTGGATCAGAGATCCAGAGTAATTCGAAATATGTGATTACAGATTACGGCAAAAGATTGACCATTAAGAATCTTATTAAAAGCGATACTGGAAGGTACCAATGCACCATCACCAGAGCAGCGAGTGCGGTATTCCCCGAAGCTAATTTAAAAGTTGTTGGTAAGCTATTCTTTGCTTTATATAACGAAGACAGTAAAGCCCTGTATGTAGTTAGGCTTTGAGAACTTTTTATAGCAGACAGACGGACTTCATTTACACTGAATAGCTCTATCTATCTGGTGCCGGTTGTATCAAGCCCGTTTAGCTTAAACGGTGAAAATTAAATAACACTCTTACATCTCTCTTGAATGAGTCAACTTGAATATTATGCACTGAATATGTAGTTGTAAACAGTATCTTTGTATTAAGGTTAAAAACATTTAGTTTGCTTGTTGAATAAAACGGCAAACTTGCTTTCTATTTTAAACTTATCCACCGTTTAAGCTAAACGGGCTTGATACAAACGGCCCCTGTTCCAAACTGTTCTTTCTAGAGCACTTATAAAGGCTGACTATTTTTGAGTACGTGTAGTATTTGTTAGTATCCAGACCACGTCTCTATTGACTAGGTATTGCGCCAGATGTATTAGAGTTATATACGCCCTAAGTTCACTGATTCGCTCTTATTTGAGAAACGGGTGTGGGTACGTTTAAATACAGACTGATTGGTGGCAATACAGTATAAATAAGCATTCTAATGAGACAACTTTTTTCTTCAGAACAACCAGAGATCAAAGCTTTAGAGCCAGAAAACCAGGTCCGTCACATCGGCAATTTTACGACGCTGACCTGCATGGTGACTGGATCGTTTTCCGGAGTCCGTTTTTCGGTCAAGTGGTACAGAAATGGAATAAAGCTGTCGAAATCCTCCAAAATATCGTGGTTTTATCGAACCCACGGTTATTATAGGAATTACACTCTTAATGTGACAAAACTAAACAAGGACAATGATGGTGGAATGTACCAGTGTTTCGCTCAGAATGATGGTGGTAGTGATATGGCTTACACAGCGATCAATGTGCAAAGTAAGTGTCAGATACAGTCGAAGGGTTTCAGATTAGTTTTTGAAGTGAGGATCTGAGGATTAGAGTGTTAAGATTAACGCCTATATTCAAAAAGCTCACTCACACCCATACTCATCGAGTGTGACATATAAATTTCATTAATGCTGATCAATGAGAAAGTTTTTTCTGGATAGATGGAAAGATATAAGGTAAATCACTGAAAATCAAGCCCCTGTTCAGCTGGAAATACCGCCATTGAAACTTTATGAGAAGATTAAGATCTCCCACTCAATGAGTTTGAGTGTGAGTGAGCTTTTAGAATACAGGCGTAAGAGTTAGGATTAGGGCTCGATTAGAGTTCTGGTAAAGATTCTGGTTAGAATACTTGAACAGAGAAGTCTATATATTAAAAATTGGGAGAGGGGTTTAAGGGTTGGGATATGTGGAGGGGGAACTTCACATTTCAGAGATCTTTTGATGGAGGTGGGGAATGAAGGTTTAGGATGCGTTGTTGAGGAAATGGACATTCAATATATTTTATAATAGATAAGGTTGTCAAGTTGAACGTTGGGATTCGTAGGGAGGGAACTCTATGTCGGTGGGTAAAATTCTTGAAGGGGGAACTCTACATTTCAGATATTTTATTTTGAAATGGGTGGGTGGTTGAGATTCCTGGAGGGGGAACTCTACATTTCAGATACTTTGATTGACATTTCGTTTCTCTAGCTATGCCACCTTACATCTGGTATGGCCCGGGAGATGTGTACGCGGAAGTCAATCGTCCGGTCAAAATCGTGTGCAAGGCCAGGGGCTCCCCTCCTATCACGTACACTTGGGAGAAGAATGGCCGTAAAATCACAAACCTCAACCCCCGTGATAATGGAAAGAATGGCACTTACGTCATCAGGAATGTCGGAAGAGGTGACGTAGCTCAATACACGTGTATTGCAAGCAATGGCAAGACTCTCGCGGACACATATAGATCCACGGGAAGACTGGAACTAGTCAGTAAGTAAATGACGTCATCATATTTACCGTCAATTACGTTATTCAGTGAACATCGTGAACCGATGGTAGGAAAACAGGATAGCTCTATCCACCTGGTTGTAGTCAAGTCGCTCTTAAATTTCCCTCACTTTGCTGTGACTTAGAATCTTAGATTAAACCTATGTATGTACTTTTGAAGTGGAGTTTAACTTCACCAATAGACGATCTTTTGCATAATTTATCACGCTTATTCGGGCTGCTTATGCTTACAAATACTCCGTGGTAATCTGTTTGTCGGCTCAAAGTCATTCCCAATCTCGTTCCACGAGCCCGCGATTCCTCTGGCGAGGAAACAAAGGCTCTGGGTTTGCAAGCCAGGCTTCCGGTTTGTTCCGGTATTTATTGTATTTCAAAATTGAAACGCCGTGAACGACCAATCAGAGTCATTTCCGATTTCGATTATCCCAGAGCTTTTGTCTCCTCGCCATAGGAATCGTGGGCTCGGGAAACGAGGTCGAGTTATGCCTTGCTAAAACTGTTCCATTCTTTCCATCCAGGCCCAACTGTCGTGGTAAATAAGTCCATAACAGTCTACGCTTCCAAAGGCAGTGATCGTTACATATACTGCGGCGTTCGTTACGACAGGAAGATTAACGTCACGTACAAATGGTATTTCAAAGACCAGCTGATTGAGAGAACTAATGCGCGATATCGCTATGGAGACTGGGGACGATTGATTATAAATGGCGTTTTTGAACGAGACAATGGTATTTACCGCTGCGAATCAACCTCAAGCGTGGGTCATTATTCCACGACAGTTGAATTGGTCGTTCAAGGTAAGTTAAGGGTCTGTTACACGGTGCAATTCTACTTCTAAGAGATGGAAATTAGTAAAAGTCTTAAAGTGCATGAAGTGTAATAAACACAAAAGTTTCGTTGTTCCCAAATGTACATCTCTCAAAAGTAGAATTGCATTGCAAGTTGCATGGCCTTTAGGGATTCAAGCTCCACTGATCTTAAAACTGCTGGATCGCGCATCATTGCATTGAATATTTGAAGTCGGTTATCATGAGTTGAATTTTTAAGAATAATTTTTTATGAATTTTTGATCCTGTTGAATACATTGCAAACCGACCCATCCGGCTTTCGCATCGAGGTATTCCTCCAGGTTAGATACATAGTTCAGTGATTAAGATGTTAATGACGAATAGTTTATTGAATGATCATTTCAGCTCCGCCATACGAGCCCAGAGTCCCGACGATCGATCTGGTCAGACCCGCCTCTGTGAGGCTGCTGTGGCAAGTCAGCAATACTGGAAACAGCCCTATTCAGTATTACAAAATCGGCCAGAGATTTGTTGTCAACAAAACGGAAATCGTTCTCAGGCAAAGAGTGCATATTTTCGGAGATGTGAAAACTACCAAAGCATACGAGGTCCCTGGTTTGACACCCTATACAAGGTACAGTGTAACTGGACTGTTATCTGGAGGGATTTGTTCCATTCATTTCAAGGACTATTGTAATAAGATTAATGAGATGCAGGAGCCGGTTATACGAAAGCTGGATAGCGCTGATGACCATCGGATAGTGGTTTTTCCATCGCCTTGAAATTACCCGTTGTTTGGTAAACAAATATTTCGTTAAAAATATATTGGTGAAACTGCGTTTTCCCTGCTAATCAGATGTAAATAACATTAAATCTGAATGCAGGTTTCTTAAAACACTCTAAAATACCAGTAATCTGTCTGTACTGAAATACAACAGGACCGGTCTGGCCTTTTTTAGCGTATAAAGGAAGGCACCCTTAGTTTCTGCCCGTAATATAAAAGTATACAAAAAATTTCCAACTTCGCATGGCTATATTTTCCGTACTACTTGACATTTTGTAGTCAAACTTGGCCATTATACCAATGTTAGTATACTTGTTTTACCTGTGGTGATTTTCTTGGTCTATTATGCAAGTGTCCATTGTCTTTGTTTTAAATGTAGTTGAAAAGGGAAGTTGTTCATTGCATCCTTTGCTCTTAACATCTAGATACCAGTTTCGTGTTCAGGCGTGGAATTTTGTCGGAGCCAGCCCTTGGAGCGGCTGGTCCAAAGAAGTTGAAACGAGACAAGCAGGTAATTCAGGTTTGAATCGCCTGAATTTGAAAATCGAATAAAATGCACTTGAGGCAGTGAAACGTGAAGGCGGCGGTGGGCGTGGGGTTTTCCTCCAACCTCCCATAAGATGGTATTCTGAGGCTAGTTTGTTTCAATTTATTAGCTCCGTCGTACAAACTTAAAACTGTGGAAGGGAAGGCTGTCGATGATGACACCATTGAGGTCAAGTGGGAGGTGAGTGATAATGACCTACCGATACTTCATCTTGCACGGTTATTTTGTACCCGTATGTCCCTATCGTTCAGTTCGTTTAGAGGTAATCGGGTGCCACTGAGCTCTTTACTACTGGCTTGATGTTCTATCTAATGAGAATATTCCCTCATTTTTCTCGTTTCCAGGAGGCTCCTAGGTCCACGCACAATGGCGTATTGCGTGGGTATTACGTGGCGTGGAAGTACGCGGGGATTACCGTGGGAAAATATACCATGGTGAAAGTTACTCCGGCAACTACGAGAAAGGCGAAAATCACCAACCTCATCTTGAACTCTCCGTATGAAGTGAAAGTACAGCTGTTCAATGATGCTGGTGGAGGACCATTCAGTGATCCTGTTCTGATAAGAACTAAAGAAGGAAGTGAGTTGTTATTAATTATAAATTTATTTATACTGGATAGCTCTATCAGTTGTAAACTGTTCTTCCTGGAGGTTCAGTAAGGATCCTCTCTTATTAGTCCAGTGTTACTACAGGAGGAAACCTAAACTAAACCAACTTTATTTATACTGGATAGCTCTATCAGTTCTAAACTGTTCTTCCTAGAGGCCCATTAAGGATAATCTCTTATTGATCCAGTGTTACTACAGGAGGAAACCTAAACTAAACTAACTTTATTTATACTGGATAGCTCTATCTGTTCTAAACTGTTCTTCCTAGAGGTCCAGTAAGGATCATCTCTTATTGATCCAGTGTCACTACAGGAGGAAACCTAAACTAAACCAACTTTATTTATACTGGATAGCTCTATCAGTTCTAAACTGTTCTTCCTAGAGGTCCAGTAAGGATCATCTCTTATTGATCCAGTGTTACTACAGGAGGAAACCTAAACTAAACATAACTTCTTACCTATTTATACCTGACTACTACCGTTAGTTCATCGACAACAACAAGTGGATAATTAACTGATTATATATTCTTGTACCCAGTCCCCAGCAGTCCACCGCGCAATCTGGCAGTCAGGAATGTCTCATCTCGCTCTGTCCTTCTTGAATGGGACGATCCACCCCAACAGGATTGGAACGGAAAAATTACCCGATATATTGTAAGTACCTGGCGCAGTCCAGTCAACCGGTGGTAGCGTAGCGCGTGCAGTTGCAGTCTGTGCTGGACCTCTCTACAATTCTTCCGTAGATACGCGTTTGGGAAACTGCTAAGAATGACGAGAAAGATTTTGAAGACAGGATTGCGCTACACGACCCGTCAACCTTCACGCAAGTGTTCAACGTGACAAACCTGAAGACGTTCACTCAATACAAGTTTGAAGTGAGCGCTCAGAATAGCGTTGGTGGAAGTCCATTTTCCAAATCTGTACAAGTCAAGACAACCGAAGACAGTAAGTCTGTATTTACGGGTAATAAGGGGGGGAGAGGACTGAATTTTAATGAGGGGAGGTGCTGAATTTTTGTGGGGAGGATATAAAAATGAAAGTTCATCGTTTTGTCTGACTGGCCGTAAATATGAAAATGATTAAAAATTGTTAACCATGCAAAACAGAGATACGAATGTAGTCCATATAGACTATACTCCCGATTTGACGCGCAGAAAACGTCAATAGATTGCCAGTGGCGTAGCCAGAACGATAATTGGGGGGGGGGCCATATTCATATATTCGTGATACGCAGGATTAATTTCCTTTCAAATCAATTGTCTCTACAGTCTGTTTACATGAATATATGAATATGGGCCCCCCCAATTATCGATGCTGGCTACGCCACTGTAGATTGCTAGTAATATTCTTATTCGGTGTTCTATTTAAAATTTGTCACTTTTTTGTGTAAAATTCGTGATGTGAATCTTCATTCTCATTTTAATCTAGGGGGCTATGCATCCCCCTGTCCCTGCCTTTGAGGTTACGCTTATATCATTATCGATACATCACTATCCCCCACTAACCCTGACGCAATTTATCTGAATTTTAGTTCCCAGTGCTCCGCAGCGTCTTCAAATCGTCGACCAGTTCTCGGACACGATCAGCGTGAAATGGGTGAGACCTCGCGAGGTGAACGGTGTTCTAACGGGCTACGTCGTGGAATATTGGCGGCTCGACGATTTTGGGGATAAGGCTGGGGAGGTAAAAACTGTCGAAGCCGAAGGGGGCGCACTGCAAACGGGCATAACAAACTTGCGGGCTAAATCGAGGTACAAGATTAGAGTCGCTGCAAGGACGAATGCTGGCGTGAGCGATTATGCTGAGATTGAAGGACGAACACAGGACGTTGCTGGTATGTAGCTACCTTAAGGCCCTGCAATTGTTCTAACAGCTTGTAATATCCTATATATATAATTAAGCAAAGGAAACATTTGTCTTTAATCATTATATCTGTCAGTTTCCGACAACATGTTTATAGTGAAAATGCTAAAAAAAGATGATATGCTGTTGAGAGTGTCCTAGCCCAATTTATAGGGAGTACCCCTCCCAAGTATAAAACCCTTGCCACGTTTCTTATCAAAAAAACACTTCTAGGTTCCTAAGTTCTGCAAAATGTAGGTTCTTTTTTTTGCACAGTATTTCTGCATCATTGATATTGTCCTAAAATCATGCGAAATGTTGAAAAGTATAACTTGTATGTTGTGACTTCAGTGAGACCCAGAGAACCGAGTCAGCTGCGACTTTTCGACGTAAACGCCACATCGATGCAGTTAACATGGAAGGAAGGTTTCAAAGGCCATTCGCCCATCATCAAATACCTCATCGAAGGCAACAACGAGACGGGCTTCGCGAATGATCGCAGTTCCAAATGGTTCACGGCCCTGATCGTAATCGATCCTTTCAAGATCTACAACCTACCTCCGGTCGTCATCGGGACCGCGACGATCTATCGCTTCCGAGTTAGAGCCGAGAATAAAGTTGGTGTTAGTGCATTCAGCAACGTGTCCGCTGGTATCAGCACTGCTGACGCACGTAAGTTGAGCTCATGCGATAATTTCTTAATTCGCAGCAAAAATTGCAGGTATAAACATAGACAGCCCAGGCTTCGACTTGCGCGTGTGACTCTCGCGCGTGTGCCGCGCTTACTTTGTTTACATCGTGTATCACACGCGCGACTATCACATGCGCAAGTCAAAGTCAGGTCTGCCTATCGTATAAAAAGGACTTTTATTGATCATTCAATTCGCAACATTACTTTTTCTTTTCAATTAAGTCCACGGAAGTTCATTAATTTAGGATTTTGTAGCTACATTTATATATCCAGTGTTTATTATCAGATCAGTGATTCAGGAATATAAATTGTTTGATATTTCAGGTCCATGGTCGCCGCCTGTAAACATTCGTGTCTCGCCCGCACAGTATCCTGGGGAGTTTTTCTTATATTGGAATGTAAGTGAACCATTGAACTATATAAGTAAACTGGACTATTACTGAAGTGATTAAGTAAACTGGGCCCGCACAGTATCCTGGGGAGTTTTTCTTATATTAGGATGTAAGTGAACCATTGAACTATATAAGTAAACTGGATCAACTATATATAAGTAGATTAACTATATAACTGTACGAACTATATATTTTAAAAAATTGGACGAACTATTAACATCAGTACGAACTACTTTTAACGTATCCAATTTAGGCGCCTCCCAAAGAGACTTGGAACAGTCCTTTTATAAAGTACACCATTGTCATTCAAGAAGAAGGGGAACATGGAAATTTTACCAAATCCATCTACAGCGGTATCCGTGCGAATGCCAGACGGTTTAGACTGACAGCATTGTTGAAGTACACATCGTATGAGATCAGAATGAAAACAGTCAACGAGCTTGGCGATAGTCCTTTCTCCCCCGTGGTTGTCTTGCGAACGCAGGAATACGGTGAGTGTTGCGTGCTTCAATCCGGGGGGCGGGCAGGCGAATTTTCGTTGAACACTGTTTTTTTTTGCACTGACACTGTTCTTTTCTCTTTTAGTTCCCGGCGCTGCGCCTCATAACATCCGGGCAATTGGCACGTCTGGATCGAGCATTGAAGTGTCCTGGGACGAGGTTCTCGAGGAGAGCAGGAATGGCATTGTACTTGGTTATAAGGTAATATATTTCCCAGTGTCTTAGCCAGAGTCTACTGTTAGAGGCTAGGATTTGAAGGTAACTGGACGATCTATATAAGTAAACTGGACTAACTACATACAACAATATTAACATTCCCCTTTTAAGCTGGACCCAAAATCTTAAAAATTCACCCTAAAGGTGAAAGTCAAGTCCGTATGTAAAAACAAACGGTTTGTTCCCATTTTAAACTTTTATACTTTTTAAAATACAATTTGCTGCTAGAATATCTGACATGGTTCCCTATACGCTTTTGAATGAGTATGAACTAGTGTTTACGTTTCAGAACATGCGAAATTTGGGCAATTTTTACTTCAGAGGTCCCTCGCATTGTTATGAGCAAACTTGAGCGGGGGCCAGTTGTTGGAAAGGCATTTAGCAACGGGGGATAAGTTCAAAATGGAAAACAAAATGATCTATTTATTGAACAACCGAGCTGAAGTCTTTTGATGTAAATAGTTAACTTTCAATGGAAGAACATTCACAAGATGTATGAGAGTATTTTTCAACTTTGGCTTATCCACCGTTTAAGCTAAACGCCTTTCAAACGGACGGCTCCAGAACCGATGCGCAGAACAGACTTAACTTCAACCTCAATATTTTATTTTTCTGCAGTTATTTTATCGTCTCGTTCAATACGCACCCCACGATTTTACCGAACTGGATTTAGGTAATGTCAAATTATACACACTCAAGAATCTTCTGGGGTACACGCATTATGACATCAGAGTCTTGGCTTACACCAAGATTGGAGATGGCAAATTGAGTGACAGACTAAATCCTTATCCGCGAACTCTGGAAACAAGTTAGTAAAGTTCTTTTTATATTAATCGTACAGTTTCCACCAAGATGCACAAATCTGGATTTATGAATATGGATTACACCAATATTCAGCCTCATAACAACGGCACAGAATACCTATCAGAAGTAGAACTCCTGTACTTTTTTCGTAAGTGTGATTCGCCATGATTCGTCACTTAGCAAGTGCATTTTTTTAGGCAGTCCCCCCCTGCCAATACTAAAATGGCCTGATTTTAGACATTGGCAGGGGGGTGACTACCTCAAAAAAATGCACTTGCTAAGTGACGAATCATGACGAATCACACTTACGAAAAAATAGTATAGAGTTATTCTTCTGATAGGTATTCTGTGACAAGGGTAAATTTCGTTTTAGACTAGTCAGCTAGTTTGTTACATTTTCAGTAACCCAATGAAAATGCGTAAATTTTGACTACTTCCGGTTAAAGGTACATTATTTACCATTTTAAATGAAGTATTACAAATTTCGACACTCAGAATGGCTTTGCCTGAAAAATGTAAACAAATATACCGATTCGTTTAAAACGAAATTCCACCTTGTTGCCTCATATTCAAATTACGTATATTTCTATGTTTTTGTCTACTTTTGATCGATGTGATTTCTTGTCAGAACACAATATCACATGTGGGCACAATACAACCAGTTCTGACGACAGTATTATTTCAAATTCATTGCCAAATATACATCTCTCAAAAGTATCAATAAACATTGAAAAGGCTAGATCGGTCTACATGGACTTGTATGTACGTCATTTTTTCGCCATTTTTACATCGTCTTTATGTTCCCGTTCTTTATGTTTAGAACCCGGTCCTCCAAGCAACCTTCGCTTCCCAACGGTTACCCAGTCGGTGGTCGTGGTGAACTGGGCACCACCGGAAATGACTGGTGGAAATATAACACATTACCGAGTGAGCTACAAGCTGCGTGATGACGGCAAATCTCAACTAGTTACCAGACCTTCGCTCATCGCGAGAAAACGATCAGATTCAATTCCTAATCTTTCGTCTAATAAGTTCTATATATTCAATGTGCAGGCCTACACGGCGGTAGGCTGGGGCGAGGAAGCCAGCGCGGAGATTTTCACAAGTCGTAGAAATACAAGTAAGAATGTTTTATTCTGTATCGAAAATTTTTAATTTCCTTGTTTTCTTGAATATTGTTTCTTGTACTGAAGTATGACGATTTTCGCCAGGCTTTCTCCTGTAGTAACACTGGATCTTGGATAAATAAGAGATGATCTTTGCTGGACCTTTAGGAAGAACAGTTTAGAACTGATAGAGCTATCCAGTATAAATAAAGTTGGTTTAGTGTAGGTTTCTCCCTGTAGTGACACTGGATCAAGAGGAGGTGATCCTTTCTGGACCTCTAGGAAGAACAGTTTAGAACTGATAGAGCTGTCCAGTATGAATAAAGTTGGTTTAGTTTAGGTTTCTTCCTGTAGTAACACTGGATCAATAAGAGATGATCCTTACTGGACCTATAGAAAGAACAGTTTAGAACTGATAGAGCTATCCAGTATAAATAAAGTTAGTTTTTGTGAGATTTCTTCTGTAATAACACTGCAACAAAAATAGATTGCCTTTGTCAATGTTTCAGAAAAGTCGTCTGTATCAAGTTTTAAAACGTTTTTCTTTTTCAGAAAAACCTGAAAGACCTATTATTCTTCCAATCTCTGACTCGGATATAACTTGGCGTTCGATAAAAGTTCGGTGGGCCGTCGGAAGACGTCGGGATCAACCTATCAGATATTTCACTCTTAGACTGCGCAAGCCTCAAGGAGCCTGGGAAATACATCCCAAGCCTTTGTCTGGTACCGACAGTGAGATGATTGTGTGGGGACTGCAATCTAATCACTTCTACACTTTTGAAATCACTGCAACGAACGATGCCGGTACCAGTCCTCCGAGCGCACCCTCGCCTCCTGTGAGGACGTTTAGGAAATGTAAGTTGACTATCCTCATCTTCTATGTAATGTATATAGTTCAGTGTGAAAGATCTACTCTGAACTCAGGGGGTGAGTGGATGCCTTCAGTTTGCTTTACAACATAACAAGTGGGGTCGAGTTTTGATGAGCTTAAGATACAGCTTAAGATTTTAGAAAAAATACTTTTCAGCTGAGTATGGACATGTTACCTCAAGTGTGTATACATTCCAGTTTTAATATAGAGTGCTCCACTCTTGCCTGACGAATAACAAAATCTCGCATTCACTAAAAGAAAAACTTCAAATCAATGTCAGCTGATTGTTAGTTTTTATTCGGCAAGAATTGACAAAATTTTCAATTTTTTTTTTCAGCAACACGAGGAAGTCCTCGTGATGTGAGAATTATGTCACCAAGTTCAACATCACTCACTATTACATGGAAGGTAAGCTACATGAAATGGCATGGTGAGGTAAGGTTCATTGAGCTTTCATAGGCCCAAAAGTAGTAACAATTTCCACACACAATAAAAAGGTATTTAAATTTTCGAACTTTGCAAGGTCATACTGTCCGCATTTTGCAAAATTTTCCTGTCAAAGTTTACATTTCAGTATGCTTTACTAGCTGTGGTTGCTGGATTTCTTTTCCCTAGATAAGAATTTATTCTAGCGGGAAAATTGCCAGGGACGCTGGGGGGGGGGGGGGGTGCAGAAGCAGCAGTGCAATGGTGGCAATAGTGCCCTTTCGTTTTAAAGGATTATACATTCTATACCTTAAGTAGAAGTGCCACTATTGAGAATCAATGGCGAAGAACTCCAAGACCAGGCCGTAGCTAGACTGCTTAATTTGGGGGGGGGGTATATTCATATATTCATTTTTATGTACCGTAGGAACAATAGCCTACAAAAGAAATCAGTCGGGCATAAGACGAGTATAACTTCGCAGGTTTACTGAATTTGTGATGTTTTCCATTTTCTGATAGCCTCCATCTTTGGTTGACATCGAAACGACCATCAAAGAATATCGTTTGGGCTACAGACTTCACGAAATAAACCGTCCTAGTAATAAGGTTTACCTCACCATAGTTTTGTCGGCCCCTACGAGAAAGTATGAACTCACAGGTCTTGAAGAATACACATTATACGACATCAAGTTAGAAGCTGTCGATGTGAATTTTGAATATCTGCCTGCCTACCTGGAAACACGGAGGACCTCGGCTGAGCGTAAGTAAAGCCCAGTGATCTCTAACAATAACTGGAACGACTATGCCTCAAGGAAAGGTCTATTCGAAACCCTTGTTTTTAGGGTCCAGTATCTTGACTTAAAACAAACAGTAATTTTGCTCCACAAAATTGTTTAATGCAGCTCTTTTTTCTACATTTATCAGTCCGGATGTTAGTATAGTAAATGGAGTTCTGAGTTATCGATCGAGATTCTTTCGTGGAATTCTATAACACACCATTAATTAAATGGCAACGCGGTCACTAGTGTAGAACTTTGTATCCTTGCTGAACAAGAAAGAATTTCTTGGTAAACAAATGTTTACATTCCAAGGCAAAGCCAATGAGAATGCAAAAATTTTTAATACTTCATGTAAAATGGTAAATAATGCGCTTACCGGAAGTAGTCAAGTTTCTGCTTTGTGATTGGGTTACTGAAATGTAAACAAATTTGCTGATTGGTCTAAAACGAAATTCTCCCTTGCTTCCTTGCCGTAGGTAAAACACCCGCGAGTTTCATTGTCTATCATTTCTCTAGGACCCAGACGACCAAGCCTGAATGGTAAACCCAGTGCTGGTCCAACATTCATTACCCTATCTTGGGGCTCTCCTGGTACAACGAAAACACCAATCTTAGGATACAAGGTATTCAAAAAGATTTACGTCCTTACTTAGGTTTCCTCCTGTAGTAACACTGGATCAATAAGAGATGATTCTTACTGAACCTCTAGGAAGAACAGTTTAGAACTGATAGAGCTATCCAGTATAAATTAAATTAGTTTAGTTTAGGTTTCCTCCTGTAATAAGACTGGATGAATAAGAGATGATCCTTAATGGACCTCAATAGAAGATCAGTTTAGAACTGTTAGAGTTATCCAGTATAAATAAAGTCAGTTTAGTTTAGGTTTCCTACTGGATCAATAAGAGTTGATCTTTACTGGAGCTCTGGGAATTTAGAACTGATATTTCAACATTATATTTTCTAGGCTGAATACAAGATTCCTTCTCGCCGGCGTCGTGCCGTCCGCGAACACTGCGAAACCCCTCAGCCTGGGTCAGCTTATTTCAGCAATACCTCAACTAGTGGAACTATAACAGGTCTTCAAATGTACACAAGTTATGTCATCTCCCTGAAGTCATTTAACACGGCTGGCGACAGTGACCCCAGTAATTCAGTTTCTGTTCGGACAGCTGAAGGAGGTAAGAGGGCCTGTTTTGGCACAGTGTTTTTAATCGTGGATGTGTAGTAAGGTTTAATTTAGTTTAGGTTTCCTCTTGTTGCAACACTGGATCAAAAAGAGATGAACTTACTGGACCTCTTGGAAAAACAGTTTAGAACTGATAGCGCTATCAAGTATGAATAAAGTTAGCTTAGTTTAGATTTCCTCCTGTAGTAACACTGGATCAATAAGAGATGATCCTTACTGGATCTATAGGAAGATCAGTTTAGAACTGATAGAGCTATTCATTATAAATAAAGTTAATTTAGTTTAGGTTTCCTTCTGTAGTAACACTGGATCAATAAGAAATGCTCCTTACTGGACCTCTAGGAAGAACAGTTTAGAACCATAAACAATCCAAAAGACTTGTCTTCTGGATTGTCTATGTTAGAACTGATAGAAGTATGACGATTTTCGCCTGGCTTTCTCCTGTAGTAACACTGGATCTTGAATCAATAAGAGATGATCCTTACTGGACCTCTAGGAAGAACAGTTTAGAACTGATAGAGCTATCCAGTATAAATAAAGTTAGTTTAGTTTAGGTTTCCTCCTGTAGTAACACTGAATCAATAAGAGATGATCCTTACTGGACCTCTAAGAAGAACAGTTTAGAACTGAAAGAGCTATCCAGTATAAATAAAGTTAGTTTAGTTTAGGTTTTCTCCTGTAGTAACAATGGATCAACAAGAGATGATCCGTACTGGACCTCTAGGAAGAACAGTTTAGAACTGATAGAGCTATCCAGTATAAATACAGTTAGTTTAGTTTAGGCTTTCTCCTGTAGTAACACTTGTAGTTAGATAAGTAACCTTTTGTGATCTATAATAAGAAATATGGAGTGAGTGTATACTTCTCATTTTTATCTAGTGCCTGGTCCCCCGGCGGTGTTCGACTTTGATGGCGTTTACGATATAGAGGTTCACATATATTGGGAACGCCCTTGTCAACCAAATGGTGTTATTGAAAACTACGTCTTAACTGTGAGTTCTGGCGGAAGAAAAGTTCGAACAAAGGAACTCAGCGCGAGTTCTGGAGAGTATAAAGTCCTGGGACTGGCACGAGCCAGGATTTATAAATTTGAATTGGTCGCAGAAACGTCGAAGGGTAAAGGAATTGCTAAAGTGCTTGAAGCAAAAACCAAATCTGTCGCAGGTCAGTCAGTTTGCACTTCCACTTTTCTTTCCCAGCATTCTCGTCCCCGATTGGTTAATTCGTCACGAAAACGTAAAGCTATTGGTCGATTCAAAAGCACGGAAATTTGATGCAATTTTCAACGAATAAATCGATAAGTTTTTGTTTGTAAATTAATCGTTCCCCTATTCGAGTTTTGAACGAGAAATATAGTCAAGGCTGAAAACATCGTTCAAAAGTAGGTGAAAATGAAAAGTTTGGTTATCAGATATGTGTAGAAAAAATAGCCGTTTGAAGTTAGCAAACTTTGTATAAATTGCTAAAAAGTGGGAAAAGATTATTTTCGATTTCGATTTATTCAGTTATTCTAGTTGAAAATTTAGTTGGATTCAAGCGGAAGTCTGTTAAAATTCTATAAAATGGATAACTTTGTTGACAAATTGCCAAAAGATTTCTCCCGTTAAAATTATCACGCAAATTTGGGCTGCCTATGATGATTATTGGTACTGTAGAATCCCTTGAGCTTTCTCAGAAATTTCGTGTTTACTGACTCTCTTATCCGTGTGCGCTAAGGACCTGATACTTTGTGTTATAACAGTGAAACCGTCCCGACCGAAGATAACACTTGTGACGGCGGAGAACGACGAAGTGACGCTCAGCTGGCGTGTTGTTTCCCATGGCAACACTCCCATCACGAAGTATATCATAGAATATCGCTCTTCAACAGGTGAGAACTCTTTATAACAATGTCATTGTGACGATTTTCCCGACCTGGGGCCGGTCGTAAAAACACTATATTTTGTGTACCTATAAATCGTAGTCGATTGGCCAATCTTGTTACAAACTGTAGTTAACCAATCTTTTTGCACCTGGCCCCTGATTTTGAAGTATTACAGCGAGTTTTATGGAACCAAACAAGCACATGGTGTTGTCGGGATTACTACATTGCCCATTTCAATACCTCAAAAGTCGTTTCAAACTCTCCTTAATTTTGGATTTTGTGACAACCCCACGTGAATTTGTTTCCACAAACAAAGTCCAAAATTATTATTATCGCAAAGAACTTATTAGACTCTCCTTAATCATTTGCAGAGAAAAACCCCTGGGTCACGGGATGGAGGCTCGACCCATCAGATACGAAAAAGAATAGAACATCCAGGACGTTCTACGTTGTGCTGAGAGATCTGGAACCGAACACAGTCTACTGGTTCCGAATGAAGTTGGAGAATAAAATAGGGTTTTCTGAGCCGAGCGACAGCTCTCCGTCTGTTTCAACAGGTTGGTTTGAAGAATGACATGGATATTTTTATTTATTTTTTATTTTCGCCCGTACGGACCGGGCGAGATTTTAAAGTACAGTGCCAACGCTAAAATATGAATTCGGGTCGCAAGAGAAATAAATCTATTATTTACCAACCAGTCTAGTCAGTCCGTACAGGGAAATATTTCCCTCGGTCTCAAAAACGCCCCTTCTCAAAAACGCCCCTCGGCTTTCGGCCTCGGGCTGTTTTTGAAACCTTGGGAAATATTTCTCTATACGGACCTTCAATCTGGTAAATAACATATATATATCTCATTAAGACTATCGGTAGCTAGACAAAATTCTAATTTCAGCTGGAATGGTAACTGTAGTGATAAACATGGCCATATTCGCCCGAAGCCGGTATTGTTTTTCGGAGTTTGTGCAAATTGTGCTGTACATCAAACTGATAAGATTAAAAGTATTTCTAAAATGCCAGGCTATTTTTTTAGCCGTGTTTACAGAGAGGCGCGTTTTAACTGTGAAACAAAATAAAATCCCCAACTTGGTATTATTAATGCGTTTTTTTTTCGTTTTTTTAACTTCATTGTATTTTTCTTAGGCCCAGCTCTTCCCGAAGCGCCATCTGCTCTGATATATGAAGAAATTTGGTTCATTTCAGTCATGGCTGTTATTGGTTTCCTTATCATACTCTTCTTGATAATCTGCATCTGTTTGCTATGCCGACGGAGAAGACGACGAAGTGAGTCTGGGCGACACTAGATGTTCTTGATTTCAGAGCAAAGCGTAGAGCATGTCCTGACTATAGAAAGCGTAATTCCAACTTGACAAAACAAACGAACTAAACAAATTTGATTTTCACTCTTTATCCTAGCTTAATCCTAATCTTGATCCTAGCTCAATCTTAATCCTAATCTTAATCTTATTCCTAGCCTAATTTTGATCTTAATCCTAGCTTAGTCTGAATCTTAATCCGAGCTTGAATTTTTATCCCCAACAGAATCTTTATGCTTATCTTGCCTTACCTTACCACAACATCATCGCATGAGCGTAATCCAAACTTGATCTAGTTCTAGCAGCAGTCTTTCGTTTCAATTTAATTTACATTCATAATTTTTCATTCCTAACAAAAATCTCATATAACTTTAGGTAAACATCTAGCATATCCCATTGAAATGGAAACGCACAACAGTTTAGGACATAGACCTTATTCCAGTTTTGACGAGACGCTCAGTAATGGAGGAAGTAAAACACACCGAGATGAAAAGTGAGTTTAACTTTGTCTTATATGTTTATGTGTAATGTAATGTCTATTATCTCGTGATTTTCGCACTTTGACTATATGGACGATAATGAACAATTATTGGATGAGGTTGAATGTGTTATCGAGAATTATCAAGCCGAAGTTTGCGTTATTCGAATATCGCAAACTGAGGCTTGATAATTCTCGATATCATGCGAAAACAGAATTCAGTAATTGTTTTATTATGTAGTTATTTCCTTTTTAGAGAGGAAGCCTGTCCCATTATTGACAACAAACTAGCGGCAAAAAATTACGTCACCTACGGATAATTTTCAATGTCGTGTAGGTGGCAAGACATTGAGAATTATCTGTAAGTTTTTAGCCAATCACAATCGAGATTGCATTAGTTATGCATAATAACATGATTTCATGAACTAACAGCTGGTTTAGTGATTCCCTGCTTAAATAACCTGATTTTGCTAGAAAATATTTCAATAGAAACTGTTTCAGAGTTAAGACATTCAATGATTCGTCGGTTGATTACCGCCATTTTGGTTTCGCACATCATAGCGTTTTATAGCAAATATATCATTCCAGTACATATTGAGGTCACCGGGTCAATCTCTCATTTGGGTAACATTAATATTTCGTTCCAGGCCTCTCGTTGACGACGAAGAGAGCGAACAGGAGGGTGAGGAGGAGCAAGAGGAGGACGAAGCGAGTAGCTTGGAAACTAAGTCCGACATCGAAAGTGATGAAAGTTCTGATGATATTTCGACTAAGAAACAAAAGATGGAAAAGGCTTTACGTGAACAAGACAAATACCGTGCTCCAAAGTCCTATTCTACTGAACAACTTCACAATTCGCCACCCCCCGCCTATGCCACTTTTGCAAGCAACAGAGGCAAAGGTAAGCCCATGATGACCGGGGGGAGGAGCACGTGCTACTTTTCATTTTCAAATTATTAGTTGTCATTTATGATATATTAACGCGATATTATTACCTAAGGCCGTTCAGAGCCTTTCCTAGACCCGTTCGGTGACTTTGATGATGACATCAACAGTAAGTCCTATCAACTTCCATATCGCCCGCCAACAAGACGGTCAGCGTTCGAAGCTTACGACGGAGAAAGTTCGGAGAGCTCCGAAATCGCAAATCGGAAACGAGGGGACCCGAGATCAAGTAGCTTCAGACGCGCCCTGGTTACAGGTGGACCTAGTCAGCCCGAGCCTGAGCGGCCGTACGAACCTAATCGCAGGCCACAACCGCGTAAATATCGTAGTCTGGAGAAAGCTGTGAACGAGAATACTAAACCACCAAGTTACCATGACGATGATGATGACGATGACGATTCACATCGGCCGAGTTTGCCGCCCGAGTATCGTTCGGACAGCGGTCGCGAAAGTAGCGATGATCATGAACGTATACCTCTTACCCAGGCTAACTCGCGCTACGAACGCGAAGATCGGTCAGAATCACCTGCACCTGAATATTATTCCGATGATTCATCGGGAAGACGTCGACTCACCGGCGGAGGACCGACGCCACAACCAGAGATTTCTTCATATTCGTCGTTCGTGTAGTCCATGTAGGACTGGCCTAAATGCCTCAACATCCGTAATCGAGTCCAGGCGCGGATATCGGATATCGGATGGACGGCTGTTATACAGCCATTTTCGAAGATGAATAATTTTAGTTCCACATAACGCTTTGCCAAACAAATTATTTTTATAGAAAAGTGTCGGGGGCTTGCCACCGACGACCAAACATATCATATACATAGTTAGTTTTGAAGTTAGTAAACTGACTGCGATGCTCGTCGTTGAGATGTAAAATTTTGTACGGAAAGATTCATTCGCATATTAAGCAAGTTTAATATCATAGGCAACTTTATACGTAATGGCAAAACAATTTAACTTACAGCGTTTTCAATAAGCATAAGCATAAGCGTGCTTTATTTGTGACAATATTTACGTTGTATTATAAAGTCAGAGGCGAAGTAGTAAATGATATCTGACGTTGAAATAGCTCAGTTTTAGTCAGTCTCTTTAAACATTTCCAGCAAATTCTGCAATACTGCAAACGTGTAAACGGGCCTTAAGACAGTGTAATCTCAGGTGATTTGAATGTTTGTCAGATTTGAGGTCACGCTTGTGTTTTAAGAAATTATTTGCACATTGCAGACAAATTGTTCTTGGAAACACGATTTACGAGTTTTTTTATACAATAACATTCTAATAATATTCTTGTATGTTTGCATGGAGACATCAGTAAGTAAATTAGCTTGTAGGTACACCACGTAAGTATTTGATACTGCAAAGCTTTCGGTCCGTTAACCCGGGCCTTCATCAGTGCATCAATGAGGTGTACCTATAAGCTAATTTACTTCTATAACATTCTACCTGAACCGTGTGTATTTTATACTTCTACCTAGAATTGTTGTGTGTTCCAATAGGGAATTTGCAGAATCATTATTGCACAAACTAAGTCAAAGGCGTAGAGTTTTCTGTCTGAGGGTGTTGAAGCTCGGCAGAGATACCTTTTAGAGGCTCTGGAGGTATACCGCTTCGTTCCCACGAAATATTTGACCTGCAATATTGCCATTTTTAATGTACTTAAAATATTGTGGGCCTGTGTAGGAAGCTTGACTTCAATATTTTCATAATATTTCATTTAAAACAACCAAAAAAAAAGGCGGAAAAAATCTCATTTTGACCAATCTCATCGCAAAATGTTTCGCACCGTAGATTTGAATAATTTGCGTAGTAGTCAAACCTCCGTACGGGGATTTACCCCGTCCACGATGGGCCTAGCAACCGCCTTAGCAACGAGTGATCCCGGTAAAGGATTAAAACTCTGTTATAATCTCGTTCCCTTGTTTGTGGAGTGTTTTTCTTCGCTTGAACGAAGTATGTCGCTCTATTTTTTAAAGAGGACTTAAATTGGAAGTGTAAAGGTCTGAGAAAAGTGCTATTGTTGCGCGGAAAAAGCAAAAAACTGCAGCAAAATGGCCCACACGGGGCCAAAGATATCTTCGGTATTTTGACTTCACTGTGTAAACAAAGCTATTGAACTTCACGTTTAAAGATAGTCGAGTTCTTTTTTCACTTGTTTATGAACCGAGACGTAAGCGAGTCGTCAGGATTCTGCCGTATTGACAGACTGAGCTCAATCAAAAGCAGATTATTATCCAAAATTGGATAATAATTTTGTCAGAAAACTTCTGATGGATGTTTTATAGTCTGTTGACCTGGGGCGGGTTGTTCAAAGCTAGGTTAGCGTTAACCTTGGATTAAATTTTACTTAGCTGTTTTGGTTTATATGGTTCTTCACTGCTGTTTGTTTCAATACTTTGCAAAATAAGACTTCTATTTATCCGCAAAATGTTTATGAGAAAACATGTTCAACTGCATAACCGAGCGATTAAAAATACTGATGTAAAAATTTGAGTTAACCCAGGGTTAAGCTAACCCGCTTTTGAACAACCCGCCCCTGCATTACATATAGGTGGCAAATCAAATAAAATCAGCGCAGCACTGCTTTATCAATATAAACAGACTAGTACATTTCATACATCAAAAGTGCATTGGATCCGACAAAATTCAATCGTTTGAAAGAACTTGAAGCTAAAATGGTTTGTTATAACGAAATTCGTTGACAAAATTTAAATTCAGGCGTTAAGTAGCTCCATAAAGATATATTCTAAAATATTATCGCCTTTAAGCGGAAAAAAACACTGAAATTTTTCAAATTGTTTCTGATATAATGTTAAAGAAATCCGAAACTCAAAGTTTCCCGCCAAAACCGAAGCGGTCCGTGCTGTTAGTCAGGAACCAATCAAAATGCTCTATTTGGCGTATTGACCAATCAAAATGCTTTAATTTGCAGTTGCACGTACAACGATCTGAATTAGTCTAAAAATAAACAAAAGACATTGCCAAGTTGTCTTCGATATATTCAACATTATCGCTTCGTTTTATTGTGATTTCATGGAGATAATTCGTTTAATTTAAAATCTCTCTTTCAGCGTTATAATTTCTACATCACAAAAGGCATACGAATGGATTCTCTTGCGTTATGTAACCCAGCGATTATGCGACGTATTTTGGCCAACAAAATACCAGAAAAGCTTCAGTCAGACCCGGAACTTGATGCTTTATTGAACGATTTGTTTAAAGAAGTCGAAGACGATTACATTTTCAGCATACGGAAAGCGATAGGTAAATAAATTACCGCACGACTTGTGTGTTAATTTTTATCAGTATTTTAATGTATATTTAAGGCACAGTTCAAGCTTTTGAACGATGGTTTTGAGGTACTTAACAAGCCTAAATATTAAACGATAACTACAAGTTAACTTGAAGGCCAATTCAGGCCAGGGGAATTTAATTCAAAGTTGTAAAATTTGCACATCGAATTAGCTTTCATTAGCTGCATAAAGCCGAACGGTTGGAGTCAAGCAATTATGCAGAATACACCCATAAGAATAATAAGAATATTATGACCGAACTCAGTCAAAAACCTTGAATTTTTCCAGTTGGCGAATGGTAAATAGTGTTTATTACACATATTAGTAGCAGATGCGCTAAATTACAATGTGTTTACAGTGTATAAAATGGTAGATGACAATAATTTTCAATTAAAAACTAAAAAAGGTAGTCATCCGCGCTTAGAACCTATCACTCAAAAGCCTTAACAGTGTCTTTGAATACAAAACAATTCCAATAGTTTGCTCCATCGTTTTTAGTCGACTACATTCTAATGAATCCATCGGAGAAAGTTCGTCTCAGCATCAGCGCTATTCCTAGACCATTTCCTCGAAGGTAATAAAAAACTGTATCAATTTTCATGATTAATACTGGATTGTCATGCGAAGTTTAAAAAGATATTTTTGGTAAAGACTAGCCTTGACACTTTCTCTGCCATTTTTTAGAACTATACGTGCACCGGTGCCTTGGCATAACTCGTACCAAAGAGGGAAAGATATGGTGATAAAAAATGTTTTTACAACCAATCCGGTCATGATGGAAATACAAAATGTTTGGACAAACAGGTAAATACTTGTTCAGTCTATATTTAAATTTTAACCGTGTTTAATCGAAGAAAGTCTTTGTCTTGTAGATTTTCTCAGGTACGTTTTGTTGACGGTGACGAACTACTTGCGTCTGGGCTACCTGTTGTACCTGAGGAATTCCAAGAACGTGTTAGAAAACAGTGTCTACGAACAAGAGAATTCCTCAAGAAAACGTAAGATTCCATGATCTCCATATCATATATTTACGATCCAGTTCCCAAACAGTGCACTTTGTTCTAATTGTTTTGAAAATCACACTGATCTCTGTATCATATATTCACCATCCACTCTCCCGAACAATAGACTATATTTTCTTTGTTTTGAAAATCATGCTGATCTCTATATCATACATTCACAATCCAGTCAACTTATTATCCAACATATTCGCTTCTTGCAGATGGATAACAGAATGTGCCAAGGTTCTCCTAGGCTGTAAACAACACTGGACACATCTCATTCCAGCGAATGAAGGCGATTCAGCCTCACTCATACAAAAATTCTTCTCATGCGTCGGAGCTCTGATGTCCATACAACTTAGAAGCCTCGTTCTGAATTCATTAAAGAATTTCTTAGACAGTACGAGGTAAGTGGAGGTTTTGACTTCTATTGTTCCGACTTTGCTGAAGATAAAAGATCTTCAATATACACACGTAGGACACTGATACATATGCTGACACTGGATGGCGCTTCTCGTATTCAGTGACCCAAAAATTCGAAGCTGATATGTAACTTGTATGGTGGCCCTTTCCCGTAATGTTGATACTGTTAAGCCTAGTTCTCCTATGTTACCGTATCACCGGCTGTCGGTGGTTTACTATTGGCAATCCGTTAAGCCTGGTTCTAATTGGTCGACGACAGTCGGCGATGGCAATCGTCGGTGATCACCGGAGAACAAGGTTTTCTGTTATTCTGAATGAATCTTCGTGATCACCAGAGAATAAAGTGCTTTGTTTATTTTGACTGTCGTGACATATGAGAAAGTCTGTTTGTCTGTCTGTTTTTTTTAAAATTTGGTCAAAATAATGAGAAATTTACCCGGTATTATACGGTAAATTTTGCAGGCAAATATGGACAATTTTGCCGGCCTAAGGTATATTTTTGTCCGAAATAAATTTTAGCGAAGTCCGAAATGAATTGTATAAAAAATTCTATAATATATATATAGTAATGAAGTTAATGTATCGGACGAAAAGAATATTTTACAAAAAAATATTCATATCACACGCACGTTCAAAAATGATATGTTAATTCAACTGTGCCTAATATGATTTAATACACAACTTATAAACTTTGAAAATATATATTCTACTTTTACAAAATTTTGGAACTAAAGTTCTACTCGATCATTGTAAGATGCTATGTCTAGCTGTGGCGTTAAATATAAGCTATTAACCTATTATTCTTCCAGCTTAGAACAAAAATGCGTCATCATGAACTTTAACATAAAAAAGTCCACTTTTTCCTTCTCTGTTATTATCGAAGTACTATATTCAAGGATCACTAAGCTTCATGTATATGGACACCGCAGTAAAAGCAAAGGCAAGACCGAGTCTCATCACGTCCATATCTAAAGTAGTAGTGATTAAAAATAACAGGTAGAGCATAATATTTATATATTCATAAAAGTGTAATTTTGGCAGGACGTGCCCCTCAAAAAAGCGTAATTTTGGCAGGACGTCCCCCTCCCCTCACGCCGGGGGAGCTCCCTCCAACTTTTGTTTAATGAGATAAGAAAAAGAACAGCTTTTCGAAATGCACTCTTCAGCCAATATTAAATTTTTAAAGACATTCTCTCTGTTATAACAAAGTTGAACTTCCTTAACATTAACTTGCTTCCTAACGCTGTTGTTAAGCGGGGCAGCATTTGATGGACGTTCGGGCGTATGTTGATGTAGGTTTTCAAGCGATAACTATTATACTTCACGACAACGGTTATGCATGGGAACACATACAGCACAATTTTAAGAGCTTATTTTCTCGACAATGCTTTCATAAAATTAACATATAACGCCTGTTCACAAAGTATTACCTCCTCACATCAAAGTATAACTGTAGTGTAGCCATACCGCCTAATAAAACATGTTAATTCTAGAAGGGTTTCAAGTGTAGACGTACGTGTGTTTTATGTCGATTCAAAAGCATATTCGGTTCGTAATCGAGACTTCAGTTTTCGACTCTTGTATCGAGTCGCTTTCTTTTTCTTCTGTTTGTTGTTTGTCTGTTTTTATCGTGGCGATCATGGTTTTGAACTCATCACGGGAGAGATCAAAACGGGATCAAGGAAATTGAGACAAGAATTCAACGGCACACCCTCAACACGTAAAATTTCAAACGAATCCATTCCCGACACAACAGAAAATTCTGAAGAGATTGATGTCGACAAGACGGCAGAAAAGACTGGTCTTCAAGAGATAAGAAAAGGTATAGCCATTGGGACAACTTTTGACAAGAAAAAGATTCATACACTGTTCCCTCGCTCGCATGAATATTGCGTGATCCAAGAAATTTATTTCCTGAGCCAGATCGTATCTAGAATTTAACATGCACGGGGGTGTGAAGTTTGCGTATAACCGATTAAGTGTAGGTATTTAGATGAACGAGTTTCCCCCCGGTCTCTAAATGTACTATCGACCGAATAAAAACACTTCACCGACAAAAAATTTCCTTGTCGATCCGAAATCGCGCAAGCGCATAGCATTCTAATTCGCCGGTTTCGGGTGAAAATATCCGGGCGGGATTATTTTTATCAATAATATATAGCGGACTGTAATTAATCTTCCAGAAATTGCAGTGGAAACAAAGCGAAGTTATGAAATAGGAAAGAGACAAGAGGTTCCTTTTTCAACTTCTTCACTGCCTAAATGGAAATATCCCACTATGAAACCAGGCATCATTTCTCATGTAAATCAGACGAAATGGGACAATCATATCAAAATAAACCTATCCTTTTTGAGCCGCCGATTTTCTCATCCTGACAACTTCAGAATATATTCAGAATATAACTCAGGAATCAGTTTCTTGTGCTAAGGATCATAATCTTCCTAGTTGGCTGGTTCTTGTTGAGAATTATGGTGTTTCAGGCTGTCTTTTGTTCTACATCATTGCAATGTTCATCTTTACTGCTCGTGGAATTCGCAAAAAACTCAGGGCAAGCGAGAACATTGTACAGAAATCAAACATTGTTAAAAAACGCAGAAGCTTTGTTTTGTTGTTTAAGCTGTCAACCACTACAGCCATCAGCTGGATTCCTCTTGTATTTGAAGATGTTGGAATTGCTTTTGTCTTCACTGGAAAAAATTACCAGCTGCTTAGGAAGAAATTTTTTAGCGAGCAAGCGAGTCGTTAAAATCTTCTTTGCACGAACATTCGAAAAATATCTCAATAATCACGTATTCGTCGCTTTAAAATCTGTAAAAGAAATGTAAAAAGGAAACTGTACTAAGATTCAACAAGCAATGGAAGCAATTAAATTATGATGTAAATAAATGTAATGTGTATAGAGCCATTATGCAATAGCAGGTCAGTTCAAAAGCATTCGTGATTTTCGATGATTACTTTCTATGATTACCTCATGCAAACTTAGATCGTTTATATTAATTCTATCCCAAAACTAGACACTCCTAACTTGAACCTAAAGGCATTGTCTTGACGATTGTAATCTTATCATGTATCCACAAAATCATGGATTTTAGGTTGGGAAAGCATCTCTTTACCTATAATAATGCACTTATGCTTGGATTGAAACTAGCTTGTATATACGATAAGATAAAATACAGTTTTAAAAATATAGCCAGGGTATATTTATCGTAGGCAGTGCAGGAAAGGAAAGGAAATTGAGGTGTATTAAACTATTAAGTAAGAATCCCTGATGATGAAATGTTTGTAGACACATTGCGTGACTTGTAGATGTTAAATTCAAGTAGATTGTGTGCCATTAGCTAATACAAGAATAAAATACTAAATAAGAAGTCAACATTAACATTGGTCATCAATTATTATAATTTGTAATTGTAATAATTGTAATAAATAATAAACTACATGAATAATTGTAGCACGTTCATTAAAGTAAATGTCAAATACAAAATGATGTGTCTTTTGTTTCGTGTGGACTCAGTTCGTCAGAGAATGGCAAGCACATTGCGTGTCGATGGGTCAAATTATACGTGAATTTCATCCCAATAGAAATATATAGCGTATATGGTCTTTCAAGTTGCTTAAGGAACACAGCCTCGCATCCAGGGTGCATTATTTAAAAACGTAATATAATCCAAGCCATTGGGTTATGTTAAACGTTTTTGGTAGGTACAGATGACGTATACTCCTGCAGCTGATAAATGACAACATGCAATTTTAATAAACCACGCCTATTTTTGACAGCAAAACTTGGACTTGCTCCACCCCCCGTAAGTATAATTGGCTGTTGGGTATGATCACGTGTTAGATTATTTTCATAAACAAAACACTCAACATTGTATAGAATTTCCCACACGTAATGCACTTTCGTGATATTTGTATCATCACTCTCTTGCAATTTTACTAATTTTAGTTCTCATTACTTCCTTGTTTTGTTTTCATTCATATTTAAAATAAGTTGATCAGAAGTATAAGAAGTAAAATAACAAGCGTGCGTAATATCTCCCAAAGTGGGTCAGTCAGAGAGGAATAATATTTAATATATTGATAAAACGATCACATAGCGCCTGGCTACTGCAATCTGTTTAAGCTTATATCTTTGAGAATATTTTCATAAAATGGGAATATATCGCCTCACACAGTTCTCACCAAAATGACGCCGAAGTATAAGTGTGGCTATGTAGTCGCATACAGTCCAATATAACATGTCAAGGATTCTCGGAGGATTTCAACACATTTTATGACATTTTACGAGTGCGGCTCGTTTTAGACTTCATTTCTATTGAAAACTTTTCAGTCGTTTAACAACGCTTGCAGCTGCAAGATGGTTCGTAATCTTAGCTTCAGTTTTCGACTCTTGTATCGAGTCGTTTTCTTTTTCTTCTGTTTCTCGTTTGCCTGTTTTTATCGTGATGATGGTGGTTCAGGACTCATTACGGGAAAGATCAAAACGGGATCAAGAAAATTGAGAGAAGAATTCAACGACAAACCCTCAACTCGTAAAGTTTTAAACGAACGAGTCGAATGGATTCCCAACACAACAG